CTGATACGTATAGTTAATTTGAACAAGTATGGAGAGAGGTATGTATACGAAAATATATCAACAGTTTTATTAAAGCCCTGATTAATGGTGTTTAGAGTTTGGTCGGTCTTCACAATCCAATTATATCTTTGAGATGTATAAATACGTGTAAATAAAAAATTTCGCACATGTTCTTATAAACTATGTCTATCGATAATGGGCTTATATAACTGGAACATGTAGATCAAGGGGTTTATTATAGAACCAGCTTTATTTAATTGTTAATAAGATATTCATAAGCGTTCATGTTAAAGTTTATTTACCTGGCTTTGGTTCATTAATTAATAGTTATTGATAAATGCAAAAAAAAAAAAAATTCGTGTGGATGAGAAAAGCAGCTTGTATTTTGGACATTTATTCGTCTTAAATATTCGAGGTATCGTTTCTTCTCCTGACACTCGAATGCAATCTCAACTGTACCATACGTACTTGCAGTTAATGTTGCAGCAACGACATATCTCAGAGAGATTGGACGATGGAGTCAAAAATACGGTGCTTGAACTTGCAGAGAAGATGATTGCGGATGAAGAAGTCAACCTGAAACAACATATCAGTGAATTGTTGGAGAAACTTCAAGTTTTGCCATTCCAAAAGCTGAAGTTTTCATCCAAAATTTTCTATGATCAAAATGACTAGATGTTAGTGAAGAGGTTGAAAAAGAAGTTTGGTCATGATGCAATTCTTGTTATTGGTAATTGATCGGCTTCAAACACAAAATACCACGAGCCAACAAGGAAAAAAGGTCTCATTCGAATGCTGAAGAAAAACCGCTTCCAAGTAAAGTATTCAAGATTGACGAATATAAGACTTCTTCATGCTGCCCAACCTGTGAAAGTTCATTAGAAACGTTTAAAACAGTCGTCAACCCTCGCCCCCATAAGAGAGCAGCCAAAATGCCAACTGTAAAATGTCATGGCTTATTGAGGTAAAGTAACAGTATGAATTCTATTAATACAACAGAGAATGATAATAATTATTGAACTATTAGATGTAAAAAATCGTAACTGTCTGTTGGCCAACCTTGAACAAGTCAAGGAAATTCCACGAAAGCTGTGGAATCGAGATGTGGCAGCTGTTTTAAACTTTCGAAAGATCTTGATGAGCTTGAGAGAGACATGTAAACGCCCTGATGTTTTTAGCAGAAAAGAAGCGTCAAAACCAGAATGAAGGAAACAATAGCAAATCTCCGCCAAAGTTATCGCTTTGGTTATTTAATGCAGGTATGTTGCTCTGAGCTTACTTAAAAATATTGGTGAGCCAATCATTTTTTTTTTTTTGGTTTTTCGCCAATACTTTTTTTAGTAAGCACTAAATTATTTTGTTATTATCACCATTCAAATTTCTAAATTAACCAATATTTCCCAGCTTCGCTGTAGTAGACATACCTATCCACCAATTTAGTATTCACATTTATAGAATAAAATAATGCAAAATGATTGGGTAATTATATATATCCAATCAAAACTTATTGTTGCAATTATATGTGTATATTTTGTTTGTTTCAGCAAAAGATAATAAGTAATTAAATATGTAAATAAATGCAAGAAATAAAATAAAAGTATACATAAACGCAAACACATATTATTTCGCATTAAACTTAATTACATGGACTATTATTGTTTATTTTAGTAAAATTATAGCAAAGAAAAAATCATGTTTTAAAAAAGTGATACGAAAAAAAAAAAAATAAAAAAAAATAAAAGCTGAATATGTTTTAAATCCTTTTTTTTTTTTTTCCTTTCTTTTTCTGGTTTTATAAAGCATTAAAATAATACAGAAAAAAATAAAAAAAATAAAAAAAAATAAATAACAATAATAATAATAAAAAAAAAAAATACATTCTCCTTTTTCTTTTTTCTTTTTTTCTATATTAATTATCTTAATTTTAAGGAAATATGTATATCGAAATAGCACAAGCAGTTGAATTCCTTGGAAGACTTTTGCAATCGAAACTTGATCAAGAAACAGTGACGAAATTTAAAGATAAGCTAACGGAATTGCTTAAAGTTCGTTTTGAAGATCATTGGGATCCTCAACAACCTTATAGAGGTAATGGATATCGAGCTATTTCTAATTTTAATGGCCAATTAGACCCTATTCTGATTACAGGTAAATGAATATACAGAATAACCAAAAAAAAAAAGAAGAAATTGACTGACATTCTGTAAATAGCATCTGTTCAAGCAAACATTCACCATGACCTTATTCAAACTCATCTTCCTCGAGATTTTGTACTTTGGATTGATCCTTTCTCAGTTTCCTACCGAGTAGGTGATCATGGTAATATCATGACATTGTTTGAGGATCGTTCTCGTGGACGAATTACAATGAAAATGGATCCTTCAACTAATAATATAACCACCAATTCAAATACTAAATCACCAACTAATTCACCCATGATGCAATATCTGCAGCCACGAACATCAACCCCCATTCGCATTTCACCTCCTAACAGCCCTGAAACCCTCTTATTGAAAGGACAACAAACTCCTAACATTCATTCTTCCTCACCTTTAAGTAAAAAAAATAATGAAGAAAAGCCAAATAAAGGTTTAGTTATGGCCGTCTAAATGTTGTACATATTTGTTTTTTTTTGTTTTGTTTTTTTCTTTTGCTCTTTTTATTTTTAATATAGCTTTTTATTAAAAACTCCCTCGTCTTTGTAAATGTTCACGAGCAGATGTACGCAAAGATGTCAATGGATTCTATTTAATAAATCAATTAATGACATTCACTAAAAAACATTTCATAAAGATTGTTTACCCGAACAGATTCTTCTTCAGCAATTCTTTTTAAAGGAATGTAAATTAAAAGAAAACTAATCCCCAAAGTTAAAATTATATACAAAACTATTTTCTAATAAGAAGATTGTTTAGTTTAATCGTACCATATATATATATATATATATATTTAAAAAAAAAGCAAAAAACAAAAATAAAAACCTCTTGAAGTAAATAACTGACTAATTTAGTAGATGCCGTTAAATAGCCTAATCCAAAAGCTAATAATATACCAATTACTTTAAACATTAATAACAACCAAAGGCTGAATTAAAGAAAAACAAAGCTCTTAATCCTTCCTTCCTTCCTTCCTTTATTTATTTTTCAAAGAAAAAAATAACAAACTTCTATCATTAATGAAACTAAAAAAAAAGAAAAGAAAAAGGAATAAATATGTGTACACATAAAATTATTTGAGCAATCAATTTTTTTTTTTAAAACATTTTTATACAAAAAAATAAATTATTGAAAAGGAGAGGAATATAATTTTATACAAAAGCAAAGTAAAGAATGATCTGTGTATATGTACAAAAAGGAAGAAAATAATAATATGTTATTAAAATATAAATAGAAACTAAGTTAGACTATAGCAGTTAACTTTCCCTCCTTCAAAAGTGTACCTTAAAAGAATCTTGCGATTAACTAGACTGTAAATTCTAATTACACATCGTTAATAATTCTCTTCTATTTTTGCTTTTTTTATATGTAGTGGACTCCGTTGTTTCTTTTACTATCGTGCTCACAATTATTACAGCTTAAAAAAAAAGTAAGTATTCGTGATTGGGAGGTTTTTATTTATATTTTTATTTGCACGAAAGCCAAGTTAAAAGATTAAATATGAAAATTATAATGTCTAAAATTTGAGTCCTTCATAGACCTTTTGTTCAGTGAATGTGTCTAACAGTTATCTTTGGCATGTAAAAAAAAAAAAAAAAATCACTTTGTCTAATTCATTATATGAATATTATTTTGTATCACGTCTTAATATGCCCATCTACAAATTATGCATCTTACTAAAAAAAAAAAAAAGAAAAAGAAAAAAAAAAAAGAAAAAGAAAAAAAAAAAGAAAAAAAAAAAAGAAAACCTGCTGTAACAGTAGCAGTTAATTATGAATTTCCAAAAGGGGTATCGTTATTTTTTGAAGTATGTTTGCTACCACTAAGCCAATGAATCCATTCACAAACTTTAAGCCAATAATGATTAAAATAATTCCCAATAATCAACATAGTAGTAATTGATTGTTGTGAATCATCCATTTTACGCTCCAATAAACCTACTTTACCATAAAATGTACCTACATTATCTTCAATATCTTTCAATTTTTCATTCAAGACTTTTAATTCATAATGTAGTTTGGCACTACTATCTTCTACTTCTTTTAATCTTCTTTCTGTTTCATTTTGTTCATCTATCACTTTACGTGAATCCCTTTGAAGACTTGAAAAGGCCGCTACACGTCTTTCATAGGTCTCCTTTAGTTGAGCCGCTGTCTTTTCATAGAGATTCGCTAAATCCTTCATCTCTTCATATGTATGTTGTAAGGCCTTTTGTTGTTGACAGAGTCGTTCATAGGTCATATACGTTTGAATATTCATTGTCACGATCGGCCTCAGTTCGACCTCAGTTTCACTAATGATAGATGAAGAGTGTTGTTGATTTTGATTTGATAATGGTAGTGGTAACAAGGCAGCTAAAGTCTGTGATCGTTCACATTGCTGTTCTGAATAATATGTGTCATGTGTAGTATTATGCAATGTCTTGGGATCTAATGAGTTCAAAAATAATGGATCAAATAAGACACTATCAGAGACTGACCTTGTATGTCGTATTGAAAACCCAGTTTGCTTTATGGGCATCTTACAAGGTACAAAATCCTCTCCAACAATTGTGGTAGGTAAGTAGAGCCTATTTGAAGATTGGGCTGTTTCAGACGATTTAGATACATGAAGCTTCGGTAATTTCATTCTATTCGATGATGGTAAATCTTGTTCAGATAATATAACATGATTTATATCTTTATTGGATATATCAATCTCGACTGTTTCTATATTATCAGTAGAAGCAGAAGCAGAAGCAGAAGCAGCAGCAGCAGAAGCAGAAGCAGCAGAAGCAGCAGAAGCGGCAGTAGCAGCAGTAGCAGCAGTAGCAGCAGTAGCAGTATTATTATTATTATTATTAGAAATAGTAAAAGATAATTGAGAGAGCTTTCGGGATGAGGTACTATGAGTGGGATAAGATTCTTCTTCTTGTATGAATGAAGTATGTCCACTACTATTAGCACTAATGTTACTACTGTTTTCTAGAAAACTCAAAGACTTGGGAGATAAAATGGATGAGCTTAAACTTTCATGAACTTGAGATAATGAAGATAATAAAGGAGATGGTGTTGATGTAGAGGGTCGACTGCTATTATTATTATTATTATTATTATTATTATTATTGATTTCTTTCTTGTTATTCGTGCTATCATTATTAATCCATGGAATTGAACCAGCTACTCTGGTCAACATATCAACAGCAGCACCACCTGTTCTTGTCGTGCGTTTAAGCATATGCATTAGTTCATTTTGCTGTTCTGAGTTATGAAGTGTGTTTCCATTATTAGTATAATTGCTACTCGTTCCGCCTCCTTTTAATCTTGGTCTCCAAATGGCTCTAAGACTTTCAATAGTGGCATGATGACGAAATACTTCTGGATCTGATGTTTCATTGAATAGAGGTGAATTTGTCGTACCTGAGATATCATCCAGCTTTGATTTAATGACCTTTGTAACCTTAAGTTGGCTAAAATTATATTCATTTAACTTTGCCAATGTGTCTATATCAATGAATTTCGTTGCTCTTATATTTTTATAACGTTGATAATCACCAATATCAAATCGAAAGGCTTCATAGTCTATAAAGGGGTCTTTGATAGTAGTAAAGTTATAATCTTGTAATTTGTTTTTACACACAAGTAATTTGGATATAATTGCTGCTAATAAATGAGGCTCCATCCAAGCTTCTTTCAATGTAAACTAAAAATATATATATATATATATATTGATATCATTTTTACTCCCTCTCTCTTTCTTTCTCTTTCCTTTTCCTCCCTCCCCTACTTACCTCTGTTGTTTTAATAGGATTATATTTAGTATAAAAGCTCCATAGTGCGTTTGTTGTTTCATTACATATTAGACCATCAATGTAATCTTTATCTAGTAAATTAAATAGATATAACGCTATTTGTACTAATGAAACCAAGTTAATAACTGCATCTTCAAAATGAACAGCATCTGCAATTTTATAGAGTGATCTAAATTTCTCTTCTGAAGCAGGACTAATAGCAACATCTACATATGAATACAATTTACACTATTTATATCTATCTTTATTAACCTACTTGAGTGGTCGAAGATTAAGAGAGCTCCTGCCTGTACAATTTGTTCTTCGTAAATTAATGTTAACATATACTTTCTTTATCCATTTATCGTAATCACCATCAGGTATAAGTATCATATCAGTATCAAATGGTAATTCACCAGGATTAGTTAATAAAATTTCTCCTAATGGTGTTGGTTTTGACTTTAAGTGAGCACCCAGATTTAAAAATGTCTGAATTTGAGGTCGAGGATGTTGTAATTCAGCTGTTGAAATAGCAATGACTGCAACTTGAATCTAAAAAAAAAAGAAAAACACACACACACACACCATTATAATAATTAAATGTACATCCTATTTTAATTTGAATTTAACCTACAACATGATTTTCATCTCCTGTAAATACTTTAACAACATTAGAAGGTACTTTACGATCACACACCCTATATAAAAAAATAGAAACATGAATGAAGAGTATAATCACATGTAAATAAATGAGAATAATAATAATAATAATAATAAAAGAGCTATGAATTTTACCATTGTTCAACAATATAGATCTGGTAACCTCTTAATTCTTTTTGTTCTTCAATTACACTAAGACCACAGGTGGCAGCCATTTGAAGTGCTCTTTTTCTTTCTGCAAATACAATTCTCTTTTTTTCTGTCGTCATTATCTGTTGTATATATATTTAAAAAACACATGTACAAAAGTAAAGTAAAAAAAAAAAAAAAAAAAAAAAAAAATCAATTATCAGATTTGGAAATATTTAGTGAACGTGACACATAAAAAAACCAGATCATCCACCCAAAAAAAAAAAAATCTCATTACATATTTTATTTAAATTCATGTTGGTGAAGAAAAAGAAGTAACTCGAGTAATAAATCGACTAAATAAAGCAGCAATAAAAGCCATCAGACCACCAAAGATAAGTACAGGAGTTACAGTAGATATAAATTTTTGTTCACCATCTTTTATAGCATCTGTTACAGCAAAGATGAAAGATGAAATAATGGCCACTGCAAATTGTGGGAAGACGATATACATATTATGAACACCTAAAATCATTCCAGCATCGAATTCATCATTCTCTTGTTGAAGCTCTTCTTCATTCACATTACTACTACTACTACTACCACTATTACTATTACTACCTCGCTGAATAGTGGCGGCATTGATAATTAAATTTTGTCTCCTTTCATCTTCAAAACTGACATATTCACCTACAAGTGAAAAGGGAATCCAAAGTACTATAGCCCATGGTATGCCCATGATAGCCAAGATACATGTAGCTGTTGTAACATTCTTTACAAATAAAGTGGATATCAACGCAATACCTACCGTCATATGTGATAGAGTATAGATATTAAGTAAAGAAAATATTTTCATGTAAGAGAATTTCGTAGCAGCAGCGGGTATGATTAAGCCAGCAATCACAGAAACAATAGAGTAGCAGAGTAAGGCAAATGATCCTGCTCTTGTTCCTTTAGCCCAATCAATAGGTATATCAGGTATTGTTGGACGATGAGTAGCAAAATAGATATCAGAAACCCATTGCGTGCTATAGAATAAGAAAGGAAACCAACCCATCCAAGCAAAGAATTGTGTATTACATAATGTTTGAATTGGCTTTGGTAAGAACCGAAAGGCTCTCCAAATATAATAGAATATGCTATACCAAGGCCTATTTAAAATAATGTTAATGTTAGTGTTAACAAAAAAGTTTAATTATTATATGACTTAACTGGTTCATATCTAATTCTTCTTTTCTTTTATTTACTTTTTCTTTTGTAGTGACGCATGTGATGGTTAAAGCAATAATAAATACAAAAATGGATATTATACAAAATACTTTGACTTGTGAATCACCTAACCAAGGGAAATATTTCACTAAATCTATAAAACCAACAAAGTAACCGATTACCATAGCTGTATTACTCATACGTGCACTCCATGCATTTGCAATATCCTGTTGCCAAAGTGGTGGTATATCCAAAATTAAAGCACGACAAATAGCTTGAACTGCATTTAATGTGAAATCCAAGAAATAAAATGATGCTACAGCCACAATAATAGCATTTGTATGTGCCTAGTAATTATGTGTGTATTTGCGTGCTTGTAAATTAGTCTTTATGCTTGAGTAATAGCATGTATTATTTATACACTTACTGCTTTATTAATTACATTCATATTATCATTATCAGATGTTAATACAGTTGAAATCCAATATCCAATTTCTTTTGCATAAGCAACTCCAACCATTGAAATGCAAGTCAATATACCTGCTACAATAATAAACGGTCTTCTTTTACCTAATCTTGAAGTACATTTATCACTGAAAGCACCAATTAACTACAAATAACTTTAGAAAAATAAAATAAAATAAAAAAAGAACCAATTTTTTTTTCAAATATATAATTAAACTCTACAGGCTGAACAATAAGACCCGACAAAGGGCCAGCTAACCATACTAATGCTGTTAATTCCTTTGAAAGATCGAGTGATAATAAATAAGGTGTACCATATCTTATTACCCGCAAAAAAAAAAAAAGAAATAAAAAAGATGGAATGAAAATAAATAAATAAATAAATAAATAAATTAACTTTCCTTAATAACACTTACGATAATTCAACTGTCCCTTTTATGTATTTATTAAAATGATGTGTTTAATACATTATCTTCTTGCATTTAAACTATTTAACTTTACTTACAGGTAAATTGTACACCCGCCATACAAACAGTCAAAGTTAATATTTCAAATAAACTTAATCCTGGTATATTACTATCATCTATATTCACTTTTTGCTTCGCATAACTTATTGCCTTTCCTGTACTATTATAAGTCGATGCCTCGAATCCTGATCTTCTTCTTTGATATATTGGTCTAGTTACAGGTGGTTTATTATTATTTTTATTACTCTTTCTTTCACCTAATAAAGGCGTCTTTACATTTATTCCAGGCATTTTTTTTTAAAAAAATATATATATATATATTGTATTTTATATACGGTTTATGTAAATTTGTAGGTTTAAATTATATATACATCTAAAAAAAAAACAAAAGAAAGAAAGAAAAAAAAAAAAAGAAAAGGCTCGAATGCATATAAATATTTAACAGATAACAACGGCCGCTCTTAATGCAGTCTTTGAATTTCAAATTCAGACAATGTTAGTATTTTTCTGGACGAATCAAAATTAATTTTCAGACGTTTAGCTTACCTTTTTTTGGAAAAAGTAAAAATCGAAATTAGATGTTTGTTTAGACTTTTTCACCTACTAGACATCCAATAATGTAGTATATTCTAATTGGTAATTGCCAAATAATAATTTCTGGACCTGTAGGCCGAGAGACAGTGGATGCAGATGGATCTCTGAGACTGAATTTATTTAAAAGCTTGGAGGGCAAGTGAGTGTGCCTAATTCTATAATCTTAAGCCAAATAATCCTTTATAAACATTTTGCTTACAACACAACTGGTAATAGCCTCAAGTGTTTGAACCATAAGCAAAGATCGAAAAAAAATTAACAACCTCCGCTCGGCGGGATCCTACCCTCCCCCACACCACACCCACCACCAGTAATAGGATAAATGTTGTCCATATAATCACCTTTGTTTTTCTAAAAAAAAAAAAAATCTTAGATAAATTGTTTTTCTTTCACTTTCTTACTCTATTGAGCATGTCTAATGAATATCGGTCTGGCATTATTAAAATAAAAAAAGAAATGATTTTCAACAATCTACTGGTATTTAATGAAGGTCAGAATTTAATAAAAAATATATATAAAAGTTTTTACTAACTGATATTACAGCAAATGCAAAGTGTACCGACTGTGAAGAAGTAGGACATTTCAATAAAAACTATTACAAATGCAAGTTTTACAAAGGAGCAGCCGCTGATGATGGTACGGCAGTTTAATATTATACAATAATGATCACGTATAGTTGGAACTTCAAACAAGAAAAGAAAGGCAAAGCAAAAGTTTGAAGCAAGCTAAACAAACAGCAAAACGACAAAAGACCACAAATGATAATGTGACCAATCTTCATTGTAAGAAATGCTGTGGTGATAATCATTCTACAGCAAGATCTCCCTTATGCCCATACAATATAACACCTGAAGACAGCTAAGATTGTTTTATGATGTTTTCAATTTTGGGAAACCGCGCTACAGAGGGTGAGTATAGATAAAGATTGTATCAAATCAGCCTTATGTATTTCTTACTTTTATATTTGTAGCATTGCTGAATTAACACCAGATGGAAACAACCAGATCCTTTTTTTTGGAAACTTGATACGGACTGATGGTTTTGTTGTTGACTTTTTTTGTTTTACAAAAGATGTCAAGCCAGTTACGGTCCTTCTTTGCAACGCTTTGAGTTGACTCTTCACGACTTTACTTTACCAGAAGTAGCAAAGGATTATCATCCAATTTTTGTTGACTCTAGGCGAAAGTCTGTATTCACTGCTGTGAGTGGTTTAAACGAGTCTAGACACCCAATAATCCGCTGCAGTACTAAAGAGTATTATCAACTTACTGGTTCGACTGTTTTTTTCTGCCCAGTAGCAATTTTTGAAAAGTCAAAACGGAATCAAGAATTCCCTCAACCAGGACATCAAACCCGGAGCGTTTTTTAGACTATGTTCAATATCTGTTTGACAACATAAATACTTCGTTCAACTTTTACAATCCCAGTACTGCAAAAAAAACGCTTCCAACTTTATCAAGGGAGACAAAAAGCGCAAGAAACTATGGTCAATATGCTTGTAAATGGCAACACCAAATATAATCAAAGTAGGAAAAACAAGAAGAGGCTGAAAAAAAGAAACAAAAGAAGGAAAGAAAGAAAAGACCAAATAAGAACGATGCTATCAAGTATAAATATTTCCTACTTGATTATATTCAAACAGTTATTAATTAATTTTTTCTTTAGAAAAAAAACTGAATAAATGGAGGCCCATCAAATATAAAGAAGACAAGACGAAAGTTCCTCTGATAGTATTTAAAAGTGAAATGTTCAATAAGGAACACCAACAAGATCAGGACGCTCAGATGTAGGATGACAGGTATTTTATGGCGCGCGCTGAAAAGGCAAGAAGCGGCTGGACAACTTATCACAATCACAATTGACGAGTTCCGAACATCCAAAGTATGCAGTAGATGCCAAACTCTAACCTTGATGCCAGCCTTGCCTGCTACTAAATTGAATGTGCTGGCCTGTTCTTCTTGCCATACTCTTCTTTGTCAAAGAGACATTGATGCCTTCCGAAACATGCTGACAATCTCTATCAGCATTTGGCAGGGATGAGAAAGACCAACACCTTTTCATCGCACTACCACCACCACTACCACACCGCCACAGTCATCGCTGTAATAAATACAGCTTACCTAGTGTATTTAGATGACCACATTCACTCAACTTCTGTTGTTTGAATGCTTTACAGGTAGGCGTCTGAAAATTATGTTTACTTTGTTTAAAAACTAATCTCACTTCTTCTAAATTTTATTCTTCGTTTGTAAGCTAAACATCTGAAAATTAATTTTCATTCGTCCAACATCGTCTGAGTTTAAAGTAGAAATACTGAATACGACCATCATGGTGCAAAACATTATAGACTCCGAATTTCTACCCAATCAAAATAAAGCTACATTTGACTCGCATGAACCATCATCAGTTGACCCGAATGACGTTGTCATAAGAAGCTAAAGACATTTTGGTTTTACGTAACCATCATAATATGTCATGTATCCACTTTAAGGAATTAGAATGATTTATTAGGGTAGGATTAATTTTTTTTTTAAAAAGAAAACAAAAGATTATTAAGGAATTAAATTAAGGATTATTTAGTAATGAAGTAGTAGTTTTTTTTTTGTTATAATGACTTTGGATTAAGTGGTGTGTTATAATGTTTTTTTAAAGATGATGAAGATAATGTTTGTTGTTGAGATTGCGATGATGCATAAGGCTTTTGTGCTGTACAAAAATAATAATTTGTAAAACTTTTATATTGTTCCATTTCCTTCAAGACAACTGCAATGTCACTCTCAAATGTATATAATTCATTTGATTTCCCGTAATAATCTTGAACAGCAGGTTGAAACTTGGTTAGCATATCAATCATGTCGTCTCTACAAAGCACACCAATACGTCCACCCCAAATTCCAATAGGTATCGATCGATATTTTGATTGTCGATTAATGGCATCATTAGGAATTAAATTGTTTAGATTACTCATTTCTTCAATGGGATTCATTCTCCTACTTGTAGCTACTTCAAGGACTATAAAAAGAAACTAATAAATAAATTAAACATTATAAAAAAAAAGATGTTTATAGAGATTATTTACTTTCTTGATTCAATTTTTGAGTGACAGGACCTGCTGAGTAAACGATTAAATCAGTCTCCAATATTTCTATATAACCTCCTGGTTTTAAAAGTCTCCAACAACTTTTAATTACTTGTGAATATTGAGCACTCGTAAATGATAAAACCATGAAACGAATGTGAATGACATCAAAGCTTGCATCAGCGAATTCTTTTAAACCATAAAGTACATTGGCCACCATTAATTGGCAATTTTTAGGTAAATTACACTCTGCAGGAAACATATCAATATTATCTACTCCAATCACATCAATATGTGGATATTTTGTTGACAAATCAATACACCAAGCGCCCGGCCCACAGCCTATATCTAATATTTTACAGTTTTGTAAATCATTATAATTAAAAGGTAAAGAAAATTCTCTAATAAAAAAGAAATAAGATATATAAAATTTAAACATAAAGTGACAACTATTTTTTTTTTTTTACCCTTCAAAAGCCAATTTAACAAGATCATTTTTTAACTGAATTCGGTCTGCTTCATCTTCATCTGATGGAAAAATTTGAAGTGACTCTAATGTTTGATTATTACAACTCATATTTTGATATGGATTTTGAGAAAGATCTTTATCAGATAATGTAGTAGTATCACTTCTACTACTACTTCTACGTGAGAAGGTAGTCATGTCGTCAACCACAGTCGAATATGAATCTTGAGTCATAGTGGATTCCTTTCTTTTATGCCTCCTCTTTGTAGCTCTTGATAGAATACCTGACAAAGTTGTTTTATTACTATTCTTTATCAAATTAGGTCTATATACTGGATTGTCCTCTGTTATTTTTTCAATAGGTGTTAATGAGTGAGATCGTTGTCTAACATGGGTGTCCTTCAATCTTTCATGCTCTTCATTTCTAGTGTATTCTGGAGAAGGAGGAGCAGAAGAAAACATTGTAAATAAATTATTTGTATTAAACCATGACCTTCGATGGTTACTCTTTCTTTCAATTCCTGCCTTTGTAGTACGCTTCATATTAGCCATGCTTTACAAATAGAAAGAAAGAAAGAAAGAAGCAAGCAAGCAAGCAAGCAAGCAAAAAAAAAAAAAAAAAAAGGAAAGTACAAATTGGCAAACTTGTTTAACAATTTGAGCTGAGATCTAATGTATGGTCACCAAAAAAAAAAAAAAAATGTGTGAACATTGTAATTAATAGAACTATGATGTACAATTAAGAATTTTATTTATAAAGTTATTAAGACATTATAAAAAAGACATGAAATGTTAATAGGAAGAGAGCTTGAATAACCGAGTCTGTCAAGAATGAGGGTAGATTATAAAGAGGCAAAGGAATGGAGTTGTAAGCTGGACAATCTGTATTCTATAATATAGACCCTTATTGAGAGTCAACGTACTACCGATGAGGATACAGAATGCCATAGCAGAAAGGAAACTTATTTAGGAAGAAGGAAAGAGGGTCTTCAATTATTGTTTGTAGCATTTACGATCTGGTAGTACATATGAAGACAATATATTGAACGAGGATCTACTAAACAGCTAGTACAGGGTGAAAAGGATGAAAAAAAAAATTATGATGTATGATTATGTAAAACTTCATTAAAAAGAAACCAAAAAACCCTTGTATGAGGCATATGATAAAAAAAAAAAGAAGAGGTGAAGGAAAATTATAATAATGATACACTAGTTTCGGCTGTAAAGCTATGATGTACAGTCGTTCCACTACTCCCAAATTGAGGATATTTGAGAGCAGTTTGTCTGAGTTCTAAAAGTAGGAGGGCTAAAATACATTATTGCTTTGCCGATAAAATATAGGTGTTATATCTGACATTAGCTAACGATGATTTGTCAGAGTCTTTTTTTTTTTTTTGACTCTTTTATTGTGAGTTCTTGGTATTTGGGTGGAAAAAGTATGATAGATACTTGAATATTTTAAAGGGCATCGATTTACTTCATTATGAGATTGCTTTACAAGTTGATTAGTAGCTGCTACAGCCATATTCTTTACAAGTGTGGCATTTAGCATAATACATATAACTCTGTACATATCATAGCAGTACAACAGGAACATGGAAAATGGCTGCTTTTAATAGGTTATATATGTAGTCCGTAAACAGGATCCATTACATAAACTAACACAAAACTGCTATTGGCTATGACTCTAATAATTGATACAGAATCTAACCCCTCTATGTTATTAATAGAATCAATCGTGTCTTTCATATATATATATATATAAATATATACAGATATATATATATATTTTACATGCTTTGTAGTATATTGTCTTCTTCAGTGATATTTGAGGTAATGCCTTCATAGAGTAGTGCAATTCCGCTCAGAGATAGTTCTTTATCAATGTTCAAATTTTCACTTGATCCTTGGCATTCCTCAACTATATCATTTATTCTATTGATGAACACATCACTAAAATCAAATTTTGGTTGCAGTATCTAGCGATCATTTGACCTATCCAGCTTAATTAAGTCGTCCTGGTTCACTGATACTAAAGAATCATATCTCTTTACTGGTTTCTTCAAATGTAGGTCGAACTTCTTCTTCTGAAACATAACAGTTACTAGATTTACTAGGAAAAATATTCATTATCTTCTGCATCTAACTTGGTGTCTGAGTATTTCGTTACGACTTCTGAAGGATATGCTTTCAATATTGTATAAAAATGAGAATCATTGCTTTCTTCTAAAAGCAAGTCGTTATTATTTTATAAATAAGACATCATTATTAATAACTAGTATAGGGCAAAACATAGTATTATTTACATTTAGTTTTTTTTTTTTTTTTTTATTTATGCTTCTGATAATTTTAATATTCCATGTAAAATCTAAAATATGGAATATTATCATCTTCATTTTCTTTTTTTTTTTACAGCTTTGTTCTTTATTTATTATTATTATTTTTCTTCTACTTTCTTCCTTATTTTAAACAAGAAATACAAGTTCTACTGTGCGTGTTGATAAAACCGCAAACGGCGTTTGAAAATAGATTGGGTGGCTGAGAGCAGCACAATAATTTACTTGCAGATTTTTTTTTTTTTTTTTTTTTTTTTTTTTTTTTTTTTTTTTCATAAAGTAATTGTATAAAACATGGTTAGGTAATTATGATGATGATAACCAAAAAAATATATATACATATTTCATTTATTTTATAACTCAATTATTAACTTGTATAGTTAACCAATATATATGTATCAACTCTTTATATATATAGCTTTCAGTGTGATGGTTGTGGCGATGTTGTTAAGAAGCCCAAGTTAAATCAACATCGTAATCGTTGTTATGCTACTTTTACTTGCATCGATTGTTCAGTTACCTTTGAAGGTACTTCTTATCAATCACATAATTCTTGTATGACTGAAGCAGAAAAATTCCAAAAACATATATATAAGAACAAGGTAAAACAAAAAAAAAAAAGAGTGTATGATGTATACAGAGCTTATAACTCAATCAACATTATAATCTAGAACAATAATACAAAGGATGCACCAAAGAATGTAGAGGAAACAGCAAAGAAGCCTGTTTCAATCATTGAACAGTTGAATGAAAAGAAGAGAAAGAATGAGGAATCCGTTGAAGAAAAGAAAAAGGAAGAGTCAAACAACAAGAAATCAAAGAAAGATGAAGAATCAAAAAATAAAAAATCCAAGAAAAATTTGGCTTCTTGGAGTTCAACTGAGCTTGACGTGGATGAATCAAAGAATCTTAAGAATGCTTTAAGAGAAGTTTTAAAGGAAGGCGTAAGTAGTTTAAAGCAAGAAGGGAAATTTTGGTATTAATTTTTTTTTTAAATTAATAGAAATCATTATCATTAAAAGATGTTCGTAAAAAAACAATTCAACTTATTGAAAAGCATCCAAAATATAAGAAATCTGATTTAAAAAAGAGTTTTGAAAAGACGTTCACCTTAACATTAAAGGACAGCGTCATTATTTTTGAGTAAACGATTAGACATGCATAATAAAAAATAGAATAGAACAGAGTTACTCGTTTTTATGCATAGTTTAGCTTGTTTAGAGTAAAATGATTACATAATATTTATCTGCAGACTTATTTCATGCTTGTTTAAATTGATCGAGCAGAAACTTTCTTATGCATATTTATCCTTGTTTTAAACTATTTTCGTTTTCATTTTGTTCATATCCATGTCAAACTAGTATCAAACATAAAAAAAAAAGTCTTAAACAAAACAAACTTATTTTATTGTAATAGATAAAATATCATTATTTTTATTTTATTTTATTTTATTTTATTTTATTTTATTTTTTTTTATTTCTCTTTGCATTTATATAAAAGTTATACATATCCTTTTTTTTTTCTTTTATTTAAAAAAAAATCAACTTTTCCTATGTCAAATAATATCGAGCTCACAATAGACGAGCATATAAAAAAAGTAATCGAAGTGCATTGGAAGTTTGTTATAAATATGGCACAGGCAAATATAGATGATATTGAGCAGTTTAATGTACATGATCCAAATGCAACAATGACTTCAAGAGCAGACCAAAGAGCAAGTTCTGCCAGTGAAAATACAAATCAGCAATCTAGAGCGGCAAGGAGTATTGCAAGAAGAGATAGTGCATATCGAAGAGAAAGTCATATAGTAAGAGGTCTTGATGTCTTGTTCTCGATGGTATATAAATGTAAGTCTCCTCTCTCTCTTTCAATCATTTTAGAGTAATCATCTTTATATGTATCCATATATTAGCATCTGGTTATCTTTCATACCTTTCTTGTATGTTAACTGATTTAGATCATGATAACCCTATTGCTATGGCATTTTTAAACCATCTTCTTGAACGAGCAGCACTACCTTCTCAACGAGCAATTAGCTATATCTCACCTCTTATCATGTTGAAGTTAGCAAAGAAGCCTTCTAGAATTCAGCGTATGATTTCACTTATATCGGGTAAATACAAACTTGAGCGTTCGCTTAGTAAACGGTTAGCACTTCGCAAACAAATATTTAGCATTGCTCTAAAGCCATCATTAAGTTTTATGGTCTCAGTTCAAAATGAAGAACAGACAAAGTTAAGATTGAATGCAGCCATCCTTTGGTGTTATTTAGCCAATAAATTTGCTGGTGAGATGGCTAAACTTATTTGGAATCAAGATGTGAATGATTTATTATTTAGTATTATATCGGATATCCAAGAAGACCTTATGGTTCGCATCTTTTCCCTATTAGCCATAGAAAAATTTGCATTGACACGTAGGTTTCTGTTTCATATGCTAACATCATACGGGTTTTATTAATCATTCATACATAGGCTCTATTAAAAATTTTATTACAAATCATAATCTTCAAATTCGAGACATATTGATAGCGATTATCAAAGAATGTGAACTTGCAAATGAGCGCATCTATTTCATATCAATAAATAATATGAATCAAAGTCAGAAAAATAGATTTAAACTGATCACTGATACTTTGTACGTTGAAACCGCCTCATTTAATCAAGTGAATAAGTTTTCTACTCAAAATATATTTGATACAGCCTTTATTCCTCCCAAGGGTCCTTTACGTGATGAATGGGGAAAATATGCCCAACTCAACTTTTGCTCAAGATGGGCTCTAGATCATAGATTTCCAAATAAAAAGAAACAAGTAAAGAAAGAAAGAAAAAAAAAAGTAATTTATCATATCATCATTTGCTTACATCTCTCTCTCTCTCTCTCTCATTCCCCTCCCCTATCATATTTAGATTTCATTTCCTTGGGATTTATCTAATCTACGGATTATCATGAATCCTTTTGATGCAACATCCAAGCTGAAAATAGGAAGCAACGGTCTTGAAGTATAATCAACATATATATATATATATTAACTACTATTTAACTTACTTTTTTTTTTTTTGTTTTTGCCAACTTGTATTATAGCTCCGTAATGATAGGCCTTATTTTGAATCTGTTCGAGCAACTGCATGTGTTAGGAAGGGTAAATGGTACTATGAAGTTTTACTTCTTAATAGTGGTATAGTACAGATAGGATGGGCTACAAGCAAATGTAAATTTGCTCCAGATGAGGGTGCTGGCGTTGGAGATGACAATGTAAAGTATATTAAAAAAAAAAATCAACAGGCATAAAATGAAGAGAGTTTTTATTATTAACATAAATTTTATTTAATCTTACAGAATAGTTTCGCATTTGATACGTTTCGGTCTTGTGTATGGTCTAATGGCTCATCTGTTTATCCTCAAGGTAAAGTGAGAATACGCTGTAGGATAGGTGATGTAGTGGGTAGTTATCTTGATCTCGATAATGGTCTTTGCAGATATTTTGTCAATGGTCGTGATTTAAAACTTACTGTAGAATTTGAAAACACGTATCGAAAGATAGATCGTCGAAAGAGTGTATGTCTTCCTGAACGCCCAACTCTAGATGACTTCCTTTCATCCAAATTAATATCCTCTACACATTCAACCCCTATTCGCTGTAAGACCCTTTTGAACATCAGAAGGGAGTTGCTCAAAAGGAAAAGTGTTACGAAGGGATTAGGCCTCTATCCTGCCATCACTTTGACAGCACATCAACACGTTTTAGTAAACTTTGGTGAAAGTCCATGGATGTTTCCTCCACCTGTTGCATGCCAATTTCAAGCTATTTATAAGAGTGGTTACCTTGATGCTGATTTCAAGCGACTTGTTATGCACTGGGTTAAAAAATGTGGAGTCATCACTCAAAACAAAGTATCTTCATCATTTGACAAGCAGCCTTATCGTCCTCTCTATGGCGCTGGTCCAGTTCCCGACAGTCCATTACCTATCATATACAGTAGTGGCAGTAGTGATGAATCAAGTGATGATGATTCTAAAGGGATTGGCGAAAGCTCTAATTGTAATATTTGTTTTACAGAGCCTAAGGATACACTACTTTTACCATGTAAGCATGATGGTATATGCAATCAATGTGCACAGATGCTGATTACTTGGTAAGTATTTTTTTTTTTTTTTTTAAAAAAAATCTATCCATGCATGTTTATTAATTTTTTTTTTTATTTAGTCATTTATGTCGTGCAAAGATCATTACAAGAATTACTCAAAATAACTCATAATTTTTTTTTTTTATATACATGTAAAGAATTTGATGTTTCATTAATTTGTAAAGTAGACAGTTTAATAAAGTTAATGCCAACTTCATAACAATGTTAACCATATATTAGTTCATATTTATTGCAGTAGCATTTTTCTTTCCTCACTTTAAAAGTTATTGATATAGTTTGAAACTTTGCTTTCTTTTATATACGTATAATCTTGTACTTAATGGGGCAAGCAGTATCTAGTTTTGGTAATATGATAAGGTTAAACAGTTTTGACATGGACTGTTTATTTTAAAAGAAACCAAAAAAAAAAAAAAAAAAATGGCACGAAGCAAAAGCCCATCCCAAAGTAAGATTTTTTTTTTGTAAGGCTCAACATATAGACACCTCTCTTATTCTAATACAAGAGAGTAAGGTCCCTTTGATTGCTTTTGAAGATGTGATATTTGGTAAGGACCTGGTAAAGTTGAAGAAGAACCGATGTAGAGTGACAGGCATTTTACGGAGAGCCCTGAAAAGGTTGGATGTAGCAACTATCATCATTGACGAGCTCAGGTCCTCTAAGATGATCAACAGAACCCTTAGTGTCTCTATCACGTACTCGTGTTCACAATATGCTGGTGTGCAAAACTTATTCTGCACTGTGGTAGTGAACATGCTGGCTATATCCATTTTTGACCTGCGAAAAAATACTGATAGACCTCTAGCATCCGTCAAAAAACAAAATAAATAAATAGCTTACATAATAATCCTTTACCACTGTTTTATAACTACTTATTTCTTTTAGATAGTCATTTTAAATAAGATGTCTTAACATTAACCTTATTTGATTTAAAAATTAATTTCAAGCCTTGTTTTTTCCGTTTTATCCAAAAAAGGTAAGCATTGCATCTAAAGTGTAATTTTAATTCGTCCTGTAAAAAACTAACAATATCTAAATTTATAGTATACATTATTAAACGTGTTTTTATTTTTTTTATTTACTTTTTATTTTTTTTTGATTTATAACAAAATGCTGTTAAAACATTTAGTTTTCGTCATTACAGGCGCTAATCGTGGTTTTGGCAAAATAATAGCTGAAACGATTGCATCTAGTATAAAGGGTACAAAAACGAGTCTTATTTTAGTAGGTCGAGATCTATCTCAACTTGAAAAAATTCAATTGAGTAATGACACCGTTTCTTGTCATTACATTGCCGAAGCCAACTTGGAAGGAGCTAAAAAAGCTGAGGATACAGTGATAAATAAACTTAACTCTATGATTAAGGTAAAATTCTATAAATACATAAATATGTATTTATATTAATAAAAAAAATAAAAAAGGAATGGAAAGATAGGGATATTGCGCCAATCACAGAAGCTATACTTATAAATAATGCAGGATCAACTGGTGATTTATCCAAAAAAGTAGGAGATTATACTGCATCTGAAATTGAGGATTATGTAAACTTAAATATTACTTCGTATATCTCTTTAGTGTAAGTAATCATGTTTCTGCATAAACATAAGAACATATATAATAATATATATGTTTATCTAGAAACGGGTTTATTGGATTATTTAACACGGGCCTAATTAAAGTAAAGATTGTTAATATATCATCATTGCTTGCCGTTCAAGCCTTTCCTAATTGGGGCCTTTACGCCTCGGGTAAATCTGCTCGTGATATGCTATTAAAAGTAATAGCCAAGGAAGAGGTATTTTTTTTTAAGAAAAAAGAAAAAAAGAGCGCATCATTCTTTGTACTTATGACATAATATTATTTAGCCTTCTATTCGTACTTTATCTTATGCTCCTGGGCCATTAAATAATGAAATGCAATTGCAAGTTCGTAAAACAATAGCAGATACGGAACAAAAAGAATTATACACAAAAATGGCAAACGAGGTATTTCTTTCGCAACGTACCTTCATCATACACATGTATTAATTTATTTTAATAGGATAATTTAGTTGATATGAAAGAATCAGCTCAAAAGCTATATGATTTATTAGAAAAAGATACATTTGAATCTGGCAGTCATATAGATTTTTATGACATTTAATTCTGATGTTTAATAAATATGCATTTGTCTATAAGATATAATCAATATGTGGCCAACTTTCTTGCTTTTTCTCCCTATTAAGTTACGCTTTTTCTTTCTTATATAAACAGCTTTACTGAAATTATGACCCTATTTCTTATAACTGCTTGTAATATAAACTCTTGTTATTAACTTTTTTTTCTTTATTCTTTGTTTAGCATTTGCTTTCTTATTGTTACATAAATAATAATAAAAGATATACATCCTTCTTTCCCCCCCCCTTTTTTTTTGATAAAACTATAAAAAGAGAGTCTTTGGTCCGGTAGATCGAAATAATTTACTCATTGAAGCTCGAAAAGAATGGTGACTGGGGTTAAGAGTTCTTTTATATTCATCAAGAAATGAAATTTGAGATTTATTGAAGGAGCCTCGACGCTTTTCTCGAACATATCCCATAGCATCCAAGGGAGACATGCCTAATTCAATTAATGCGATAGCAACCAAGACGGGAGCTCTACCTAATCCTGCTATACAGTGAACGGCAATTGTCAATCGTTGTTGTTGTTGATATTGCTGCTGCTGTTGCTGTTTTTGTGTCTCTATACTAAGTTTCGCTTTATTTATACAATTTAACCACTGATGAACCACCTGAGGAGGAGGCTAATGAAAGAAAGAAAGAAAGAAAAAAATTATTATATACCGCAATTAAATACCTCATTCAATGTTAAGCAGATTCTCTTAAATAATAATAATAATAATAATAATAAAAACTCCCCCTTTAATAGTGTGGTAGTACTTACGATAGAGCCATCTTTAAAAGGTAAATCAATGACTGAAATGCCTCGCTGAAGAAGTATTTGAGAATTATACGTAGGTTGGCAGCATCGAACGACAGTTGAAACGTTTAAATGGATAAACTCATTAAGATAGGCTGGTAACGAGGATTCAGTTGGACTATCGAGGATTAAAAATCGAATAGGATATGAAGGATGGTTAATGGTGGTTATTGAACGAGAAATAGGATTATTTACATGAGACTGAAGTTGGCCAAAGCTAGATATGATTCGCATTATTATTGTTATTATATAAAAGTAAATGAGCTTTACGAATAAATAGTGTAGTTTAAACAATAATTAAGTTAAAAAAAATGTATTTATATTGTTTTAATACATAAAATATTATAGAAACAATAGTAGAATAGAGTACGCTACATTAATCATAAATTGTTGTAAAACAAATAAAAAAAAGGGAAAAGCAAATTGCACTTTATTATAGAATCAAACTCTAATCTCTGAAACAATTCCTTTTTTTTTTTTTTTTTTTTTTTTTTTTTTTTTTAGCTTCCACATTTATAAATTATGAATTTAAGACAAGGGAGAATTTATAATAATATTGTTTTCCTTGCCTTTAAATTTTAACTATGCAAGAGTTAATTCATCTTATAATACTAAAGATAATGTTCTTACATTTAACTCTTAAATATACAAATAGTATTCATTGTCATTATCTACTAATGAATAAAATATCTTCAAAGGGATTCTTTATACAAGAAGGGGTTTTTTTAATAATTTAAAGTTATTATTATTAAAGATATGGAAGAGCTAAAAAAAATGCCATTATCCTTTTTATAGCTAATTTTGTCTTGCCCAAAACTGTATAGTACTATAATGCTTTTATTTCTTTAATTGAGTACTGAACCTCTTCTTAAATAAAGGTCATTATTAACTATGCTTAATAAATAATTAGAAACTCTGTTAATGGACTATCTGATGTATCGTTATTCCCTAGTTTTATTTTAATATAAATATATGCATGTATATTTTTAAAGCTAACCTATAAAAATAAAAAATAAAAATAAAACCGGCTGAAATGGCGTGTCTGAATTTATCATTTATAATCAGGCCTAACTTGGGCTAAATGCTTTAAAACACTGCAAAGAAACTATGTTAATATTATAAGATCACATATATGTTTATTTTATTTTATTTTATTTTTTTAAAAAGATAATAAGATAAATGGATATTATATTAGACAAGTTATTAGCAATGAATGATAATTCTTAGGTAATGAATTTATCATACTTGTATACATATTCAAGACTTTGTTACTATAATTTACCACCATTTTGTTTCTTCATATACTGTTTATACCAAGCAGGTTCAAGTTCCTCTAACTTATTTAAATCATGTCTCACATCATTGGTAATATTCTGACGAAGTTCTTTAACTGGTACCATTCGTATTCTAGGTGCAGTATTAGATTTGTCAACTCGTGGATGTAAACCAACTGCCATTCGATTTTCACCCATTTGTTCAAGAAGTTGAAGCATACTGCGTTCTGACCATATTTTGAACAATTGGGCTAAATATGCTTTATTTTGATGTTGATATTTTGGATAAGCTTGAATGCAATCATCTGTCCAATCTATCTTTTTTGTTTGAAAGTTTCCTACAGCCTCCTTCGTAAATCGTTCTACTAGTTGACGAATCATGGATCGCGTTTCAGTATTTATATTCCATGTTTGTGCAGAAAGATCCAAATTCATCCAGGAACCGTTATTAATCCATTGCTCTACTCCAGTTTTGTTAGAATCCCAGTAATGGAGAATGGGTTTAGAATTATGGGCGCCAATCACTACCGTTCTTTGTGTTTCCATTCCTTCTTTCTGGTTATCATTTGTATATTGAACGATATAAGCAGGCAAATAGATAGGATACGCTGCATTAAATAGGACTTTTGCATTGCGAATAATGATAACATTATTTTTATGCAATGCTGATTTGATTTCTAAATTCTCTAAAGCATTTGAAGCGTGTTTTGATAAATCTTCAAGAGGATTGGCACTAAAAGGTAAAACCTCTATATCTCCTTTGCAAAGATTAGGTGTAAAAGGGACAAGTTCTGTCAAACATGTTGTTAGACATGACCTAAAGCTTAAATAACAGACAGGGTCCCATGTGTGTCCTGGCCAATAACAATTAAATCCAATTCCTAATATCTGTTGTTCAGGCCTTATTTCTTGATATATAGTCTCGTCTGTTTCACCTGCTTTTGTTAAGAAAGGTGTAATATCAGCAGATATAGCCATATCATAATACCAAAACGGGAGGTAGACTTTACGAATTTGCATATTTGTAACATATTTTTTCACTTCAGGTGTTTTTTTAGTGAATAGCTTTTTTTTTTTTTTTTTTTTTTTTTTTTTTTTTTTTTTTTAAAAAAAAACAAGGATTAAAAAAAAAAAAAAGACTGATTCATTGTTTGAATTGACTAAGTTTGCTTACACTTTTAATTATTTCGAAAATAGCAAAGAATGAATGTTGATTGGCATAAGAAGCAAAATTGATAGACTGACGTATTGTATCTTCAGATAAATTAAAAGGTAAGGCATATACTTTATGCCTGTCATCCTTATTAATGGTTGTTGATGAGTAACGTAAGCCATAACATGTAATCGGTCGAATACTAGTATATCTTTTTAATAAAATATTTGGTTTAGAACACACTCTTTGCATTTTCTTTTTTTTTGTGTGTGTGTGGAGAAAAAAAAAATTAAAAAACTTTTTTTTTTTTTTTTTTTTTTTTTTTTCAATTTCTTTTTACCAATTATTATTTTTTTTTTACGTAATGATACAGTAATGCTTGCTTTGGTCAATAAGTTAGCAATTTAGTAGAGCACATTTTTTATTTTCTGACTAATGGATAAATAGCCTTAGATGTACCGTATAATCCTTAATTAGTCCCAATAAAAAAAAAAAAAGTAGCATTAAGTAGATAACCGAGTGGCTACAGAATAAATCAGATAGAGTGGGAGAGGAGTGATTGCATTATGTAAGGAACGGCACAAGTGCAGATCGTTGATAGGGTATGAGCAATTGAAATCAATAGATGGTTTGCATATCCTCTATATACATTAAACTAAGAATTATTACGAGTATGCCTCTTTGAGTGCTGATTGTTACTCTGAAGGGCGTAGATCCAAAAGATCATTTGTTATGGAAGGTTGAAGCTCGTTTAAGACACTTTATCCTGATGCATTGTTTATTTTCTTTTTTAACATAATACCATTATAGGCCTTTAATTTTTTTTTTTTTTTTTTTGTCTCCTATTTTATTTTATTTTTACTCATTCGATAATAGTAATAATAATAACAAAAAAAACAGAACTTGAATGGAAAATCACTGGATATTTGGTATATAATAAATAAAATATTTATTTTATTTTTTTTATTTTTATTTTTTTTTATTTTGACGCAGTTTCTAGAAAGTTACTAGGCACAAGACCTGTTCGAACTATCTTTTGATTTCTACTGTTTAATAGACTTGCTTCCCACCATCCTTGTTCATCATTTTCACTCTTTGAAATAATACCGAGTAAGTCTCCTTCCTTAAAACCAATTTCTCCTTCATCGGATGCTTCATAGTCATATAATGCAACAGCTATTTATGAACGTTATTTTTTTTTTTTTTTTTTTTTTTTTTTTTTTTTTTGATTATGTATCTATACATGCATATATATATAACTTACCAAAATCAATAAAATGTCCATCTTTATTACTTAATATACTACTACTTGGACTTGATGTCTTTGAATTGATACTATAAAAGTCTTGAACAAATTTATTATTACGATAGAATGGAGATTGTTGATCAATACTACGAAGGGAATCACTTGAAGAAGATGATACTGAGCCATGATTCATTTGATGTTGTTTGGTATCCTCATGATGAGTAAGCATACGGTCATGAATCATTTGTGCAGTAGGGGTTGTAGTTTGCTGAGGCTTTATACTGCTTCCAGTACTACTGCTATCTCTACTTGAAAGCGTACTTCCAGTTTCCTTAGTTGAAAGAGAATTAAAAGGATCATACAAATCTGCGCTGCTTCGAATAGAAGTTGCATTATTGTTATATACGTATTGCGGTTTTGCTGATTCAACAGTACTCATACGACGAGAAGTAGGGTATTGCTTATTCAAGTATTGAGAGGGAATATAACTTCTTCTTTGATTCTGTCTTTGTAAATAACTAGGCGATGATAGGGAGGCAGTAGGTTTAATTTGAGATGAATGATGGTATCTTGTACTATCTTCATAATCACGATCAATTCGCTTTGAATCTAATTCACGTAGCATATCATCTAATTCAAATACTGCAGCACGAGTTGAATTGTCATAATCAAATGTTTCCTCTTCGTCTACAAGTGATTCTTGTTGATCATTTTCAGAATGCTTATCAGACTTGAATTGATTCTGAGTCGTGATAGGATCTATCACTTTAGTAACATGATTCTTAGACAATGAATGAGGCGAACTCACGAAGGTCTCTGCTGATTGAATAGGGGCAGGCGAATTTGGATTTTCTACAAAAGAAACCCTTCTCTTTGAAACAAGATCATCTTGATTAGTAAGTGAAGAAGGAAGTGTACTTTGTTGTTCTTCTTCCTTTATGTCTTTTTGATAGATGAATAAAGGTTCATTTATAGTTTCATTTTTAGACTGTGTATCCATGTCAGCTTTATATTGATTATCTGTTTCCTTTACGTCTTCTTTCTTTACTAAAATGGTATTAGATTGATCTTGTTGTTCAAGTGTATCTCCTTCCTTTAGATCAAGATTCTCTTTGTTCTTATTATTGTCGTCAACTGATGAAGGATCCTCATTTAATTCTTGATTATTATAATCCTTTGATGATGTTTTATTCTCAAGTTGTTTCTTATCTTGAACACTCGCTGCTTCCATCCTTTCTTCATGTTCCTCAGCTTCACCTTCACCTTCAGATTCTATCTCTGTTTCTGTTACATATTCATATTCATCATCATCATCCTCTTCTTCATCTGACGGATATACTTCCATTATACCTCTCATCAAAACTGGTTCAGTTGATGTTTCTTTTTCAGCCTTTTGTTTTTCTAATAATGCAGCCTCCGCAGCGGCGGCAGCTTCTGCAGCTGATTTCAATATGTTGTTTTTGCTAGTCATACTTATACTTTCTTCAGATACAGTACTAGATATAGATAATCGTTTTCTTCGAATTCGAACTTGAGCTCGATCTTCAGATTCACTCTGTTCTTCATTATCAATCACATTACGATTCATTTTAGAGCCTTCAATATCTTGATTTGCTTCCTGATATGCATGAAGTTTTATATATTCCATAGGTGCTATTTTTTTTTGGGGGGTATAATAAAATGAATACACATATTCAATTTTTTTCTTTCTTTCTCATACTTACTTGGAGCCCTTTGACTGGATTTATTGAGTACAACAAATTCTTTCAAATCTTCATATACATCAATTTTTATAGCTTGTTCATTCACTCGCTCACATGCCTAAATAGAATAGAGGGATTCATATTCATCTACGTTTGACCTATTTATAGTATGAAATTAATTTTACCTGAATTTCATTCTGAAGAGATCCAATTATTAAATTAGCGCAATTTGACAGGTTTGTTTTAAAAAATTCCAATCGTTCCTGCTCCAATTTCTCAAAGATCTACAAACAAATTTATAAAGGTCAGAGATGGAGGGGAGAGTCTTTAAAGAAAGAAAGAAACAAATAATATAATGAAATTTACTTCACATGTATTTCTCCATTCAACATTCCAATCCTCAACAATTCTTTCAAGGTCTTTTACAGCTTCGTCATAAACAGTTTTTAATTTATCAATCGTTATTTGAGCTGATTCAAAAACAGCACGTTTCTCTTCATCTGTTGTTTGTTGCTGTACTAATAAATTAGCCTTTTCAATCTCCAGATTATGACGCTTATGAGCCTTAGAGAATAAAAAAAAAAATAGAGATGAACAAAGTAAATTCTTTTTTTATTATTATTATTATTCTTATTACAACTTACTCTACGCACAAAATGGACCTGAATTTGTCTATTATTATATAGTTTTTGAATAGATGCTTGAAGCTTAAAAAGTAAAAATAAATGAATCAATACATTAATTACTCTAGTCAAAAAAGAAAAAAAAAACCCCCATGGGCTTACCTGCTTCCTTAATATCTTTTGTTTATTTAGTAAATTGGTTAATGGTAAAGCAATCGTTTCACGTAAAAGAGTTGATAAATGTAAATGAGATTCAGCTACAGATAAAAACTCTGTTTGCATTGAATCCATTGCAATTTTACTTGCTCCATTTTCTGTATTTGATGATTTTTGTTTCTGACTAATTTGTAATAATGTTTTCCCGTATTCTTCTTCTAACAAAGCTCTGAATATTCATATATGTATATATATATCAAAAGTCAATCAATGAATTTCTATACTCTTTTTTTTTTTCCCCTATCATCATACCTTGCTTCATATGCATGTCTAAATCTTTCACATGTTTGCTTAGCGCCTTTCATTCTTTCAATCAATATCGTAATACCGTTTCTATCTATACTTTCCTATGTTATAATGATATTGAATATGAATATATAAAAAAAAAAAGTTCGGTTTTTATGTTGCATAATCTATTCTTTACCCAAAAGTTATCTGCAAAATGAGTTGAAGTAAGTTTCTCGGTGACCATCTTTAACAAACGTTGGTATCTAAGCTTATTTTGTTTATATGTAAAGAATAATAATAATAATAATAATAAAAAAGAGTGACGAAAATACAAGTGTTGTAAAAAAAAAAAAAAAAAAAAAAAAAAAAAAAAAAAAAAAAAAAAAAAAAAAAAAAAAAAAAAAAAAGAAAAAGAAAAATTAAAAAATGCTTCAATGTTTACATTAAATCCGAATTTAGATAAAAATAAACAATTATCCTTTTTACACACTAAAAAAAAAAAAAAAGAAAAAAGAAAAAAAAGGGGAGAAAATAATGACAACAACAACAAAAACAAACAGTTACTCTTTAAAGTAAAAAAAAAAAAAAAATCCTCTTTCTCACTTTTTGTGATTTATTATGTAAATGATACTTCTTCATCTATTATGTTTTCTAAATAAATGACCAATAAAATTTATCTCATTTTAAAAGTTCTAAATCCCTATTTATGAAGCTTTTGAAAGAGGTCACGATTACAGTCACAACAGCCCTCTTTTTTTTTTTTTTTTTTTTTTTTTTTTTTTTTTTTTTTTTTTTCTAATGGTGGTGTACATGCAAATTTACCTTTTTTTTTTTATCTTCCTTTCTTATATTAGACTTATGATGTCGGAACAAGTATCAAAAGAAGAGAAACCTATTATATCACATTGTGTTGAACATGCTGCAACTGGGTTATCAACATGTGCTGACTGTGGAAAGAAGATTCCTCTGAAATCGCTTCGTGTAGCAGAGATCTATAGAAAAAATAAAAAAGTTAAAAAGATGCACGCTAAGCATACCTGGTATCATTTCAAATGTTGGAAAGGTAATAATGATAATAAAAGAGTCTTTTTTTTCCCTGTATAGTAGTAGTGATATTCATCTTTTCCTTTTTTTTTTTTTCACTCTCTTCAGTTCCTGAATATTTAACTCATGTGCCTATTGAACAATTCAGAGGATATCCAGCTTTAAATGAAAAAGATAAAAAACGTATACAACGAGTGATTCAAGGTGGCGTCGGATCATCATGGGCTGCACTTATGGAAAAAGACAAAGCTGAAAAGGCGGAAGAAGAGATGGAAACTAAACCAACAAAAACAAAAGATGACATGATGGACATTGATTTGACAGAAAGTTTGACAGGTATTCAAGAAGAGAAGCCAAAGAAAATAAAAGTAGAAAAGAAAAAAAAGGATGACGATAAGAAAAGACGGCTGTCAAATTCTAAAAAGGATATATTAAAACCCAAAAAAGCTAAAGTATCAAAACAACCAGCTTCTGCCCCTTCAAAGCCTAAAGAAATCATTCTCCCAAAAGAAGATTTATTAGAATTAGAAAAATTTGCTAAAGAATTCAGTGCTGTCAAAGGGAAAAAATAAATCAACCAAAATAAAAGTATTGTATAGATATTTGTATTTTTTTTTCCTTTTAATGTCTATTTAAGTGTAATAAAATATATTATTTACGACGGACAATTTCCCAACCGTCTTCATCTACAAGAGGTTCCTTTGAAGTTTCTTCCATTGGTTCATCTTCATCTTCTGGTTGATCATCGGTCTGATCATTCTAAATAATAAACATGTAAAATAAGTAAATAAATAAATATATATACACCTATCTATATTTTACATTATCATCATCATCGTCGTCTTCACTATCATCATCTCCTTGTTTCACGCAGCTTGAGGCAGCTACATACGAGTTTTGTGACTTATTTTTTTCACGAAGACGTTCAACCTCAGAATAGTTACCTTGAATACATTGATTAAACAGAGTAACCAAATGTTTGGCAACTAAATAAGGTGAATCGTCTTCGAGTGTTGTATTGAACTCATCATTCATGACTTGAATCAAGATATCTTCAATATCTTCGATATCAATCTTTTTACCACCTACAGAAAAGAAAAGAATGAAACTTGTTTTGAATATCATAAGTTATGCATTTATATACATGTACATTTATTTATTTAAATGTATTAATTAAGAACTGGCTTTACGTTTTCCAAAATAATCAACAATGACATCGATCAACCATTCTCTTTTCTCCGCTGAATCAATGCCTCCCCATTCTTGTTCCACTGCAAGTTTCAATGCTGTCCAATTATGAAAAATATAACTTGCACCTTCTTCAAATGCAACTTTATTGGGATGTTCTGCCATTCTATTGTGTATATTAATTTAAAAAGAAAAAAAAAAAAAATAATAATTCAAGGTGTATAAATAAATAAATAAGTAAAAAAAAAAAAAAAAAAAAAAAAAAAAAAAAAAAAAAAAAAAGTTTGGTGACTGGTTATGCGGTAGTGTGTGTGTTTTTTTGGTAAAAAAAAAAAAGGCACTACGCGTTTGAATTGTGATTTTTTTTTTTGTTTTCTAAAAAAAGATATTATAATAATGGAAAAGCCTACACCTCGCATCAATTCTTCATTAAGAGAAAAATATGTTGGGAAAACAATTCGTTTAATTGGCAAACTTCATTCTGTAAATATTAAATAATTATACAACACACACATATATATATATATATATAGAAGAGTATGCTCATGGTATTGTTTAATATTTAGCTTTCTGGTAATACCGCAGTACTTACATCGACAGATAATGGTCAAGTTTTAGTCAAGTTGAATGGTGTATGTTGAAGATATTTTTTTTCTTTGTTGTTCTATTTGAGGTTTATTAACTCAACTTTATAGGAAAGTCAATGGGGAACCGATTACGTTGAAGTTATTGGGTTGATTGAACCCGATTTCACTTTAAGAGAATTCAAGACAACTAATCTTGGCAACTCTTTTGGTAAGTATTTATTAAAAGAAGAGAGAGAGAAAGGATATTCATATTTGTTATTAGATCTTGAGTTAGCAAATAAGGTTGTTGAATATGGTCAAAAATGCCCTGAAATATTTGAGTAATTAGATCAACAAAGTGTAAATATGATAAACGTATTACAATAATAAGGCTTCAAAAAAAAAATGTACAAAATAAAGTTAAATGACTGGATAAAGAATAGGCGCTTATTGACTTGATTTATCATAATTGATTTATTTTGGGGAGAAAAGAAAAAAAAAAAAAAAAAAAAGAGAGAGAGAGAGAGAGGGATTGCTTGTTACTCATTATAATAATAGTCTGATTAAAGGAAAGGGATGATGTATTATAACATGATTTATTAAAGTTCTTTTCCTATTTGTTCAGCAAGTTCTTTACTACGTCTTTTAGCAGAAAATACAGCTTCTGACATGACTTTTCTAATTTGATTTGATTCCATAGAATGAATAGCTGCTTCTGTTGTACCTTTTGGTGATGTTACTTTACATCTTAAAGTAGATAAATCATCTTCTGATATTTGTGCCATTCGAGCTGCACCAAGACATGTTTGAAGTGTTAATGCTTTAGCATCTTTTGATGATAAACCTGCTTGAATACCAGCATTTTCTATAATAAGAATTATAAATAAATAAATAAATAAATATATTAAAATTATCAAATGAATATATTTACGCATCGCTTCCATAATTAAAAAGAAATAAGCAGGCCCACTTCCACTAATACCTGTAACAGCATCTATTAAAGATTCTTCATGTACCCAAATCACTTGTTTTGATACTGCCTTCATAATATCCTCTGTCATCTTCTTTTGTTCATGACTTACATGTTCTGTAGCATATAAACCAACAGCACCTTCTCCAATTAAAGCTGGTGTATTAGGCATACAACGAACAATACAGGGCGAGAAAGGAGCATGGATCCAAGCCTGAATATCTTCAGTCGTTATACCTGCTGCAATAGATAACACCAAGACCTCTGGATTATGTTCAATCAGTGAACCTAATTCAGTCACTACAGTATGAAGAATTTGAGGTTTAACGGCCAACACAATCACATCTGCACCATCTATCACTTCTTTATTCTTATTTGACCCGATCATATCAGGATATTTTGTTTGCATATATTCTAATCGTTGTTCAAAAGGTTCTGAATAACGCAAATAGGAACTTGGATGACCACTTGATTGAAGGCCACATAAAATAGCTTCTGCCATATTACCACCACCAATAAATGCGATTATAGGCTTTGATAATTGTTTACTTGAATGATTTAAAAGGGCATTTGTTGTAGTTGATACTACATGTGAGCTAATAGATTGTAATCTTGAAATAGAGGAAGTCAAAGTCATTTTATACCAGCAAATATGGATAAATGTAATATTATCCAGTTTTTTTTTTTTTTTTTTTTTTTTTTTTATGTTTATATACGTGTATATTTATATAAAATACCTTTCAACATACTAATACAAATATAGCAATGTTATATTATAGCCCACATAAACATAGTTAACTTCTTCACGTGATACACACACATATACACAGGTACAACAAGTGATTTAAAAAAGAAGATTAAATAAGCTTATATTTATGTATATATGAATACACATCTATATTATTAATTATGTATGTATGTATTTATTTATATAATATGTCATTGTCCTTTTATATATCATAATCGTCATCACTGTCTTCCTTTATTTGTGTTTGTTCTTCATATAGATCATTTTCTGATAAGGCACCATGTCTGTAATAGATGAATATATACATATCATATTTGTATATAAAGTTTAATTTATATAAATTTATAAATCGATGACGTAGATTACCTTAATAAAATATCCTCTATTGATTCTACATCAAATCGGGTACCTATTTCATCAATGATTCTAACTAAATTTGCAATTAAAATACCACCTTGATAGGCTAAAATAGCAGGGGAACCCACTAAATCAAAGTCAAGATCAATAGCAGATACACGAATAAATTTTGCTAATACATATTTCCTTGCTAATTCACTCAAATAAGAATCTAACAGTGTACATTGTGGTATTTTCTATGATAGAACGAAAGCTTAAATACTATGGATATGCGTAATCTTTTTTAATACTTTACTTCATCATATAAATGAACAATAACGGATATAGTTTTCCATTCATGATCAATATGCTTTACGTAATCATTCATATTCACTGTGATTAAAGATCCAAATACTTTTTGTTGTTGTCGAATAGAATGATTATTTTCTTTTATTTGTTTTAGTTCCTGTAACCTTTTCTCTCTATAATCTTTTAAATCATCATCATCATCTTCTTCTTCCTCTTCTCGTCCTAATATTAATAATTCTTCCTTTATATCTTCTTGATAAGTTGTTGTTGTTGGTGCTTTGGCCAAGATACGTGCGTTATATTCTGCATAGGCTTTTGTTTTTGCTGCTAACTGTTTTTGTTGATAATAATCGTGATCTGCTTTTACTCCTTTTGGACCCGTTTTAGGCCCCGATATCCTTTCTTCTTGCTATATACATAAATATAGGAATATACAAATACATGAATATACGGATATATAAATACACATATAAATACACATATAAATAAATATATAAATAAATATATATTGATATATAATGAAGGCAACTTGCCATGATGTGTTGTTGCTTATCATTTTGTTCGTCATCATCAGTTTCAGATTCAATTCTATTTCCCTCATTATATACTTTTGCTGAATTATTTTGAAATTGATACCATAAAGCATCTTCCATTCTATCTGTATTTTACTTGTTTTACTAATAAAAAAATAACAAAAAAAAAAAGAATAAGAAAAAAAAAAGCTGTCAAAACGATAGTTATCTTTTGTTTAAGGAGAAATGATGCTTTTACGGTCTTTCAATTTTTTTTTTTCTTTTTATTATTAATAATTCATACTTGAAAGGATATTCCTATCAATAGTTTCCTCATTCCTTTAACAGCATAAGAAGTAACAGTTTGTTTTTTTCCCCCCATAAAATATATATATACACACATATATATTTATAAAAGAAGAAGGATACAACAGATATAATCAAACTATCCCTTATCTACACTAATGTCCACTCAACCTTCTTTATATTCTTCTTCTTCTTCTGCTTTCTTTAATTTATAGATCCGTCAGCCATTCACTTTAATGCTCCCTCTTTTTTTTTTTCAACTTAACAACTAAATGTCTTAAATTTCCCTTCAAAGTGAATTTGGAACTCATTATTGGAGTTTGTGTATAAGATTTAATATAACCCTGATTAATTGACGAGACAACATCCTATTTTACACTTTAAATTCAGATAATGTTAGTTTTTTTTTTTCTGGACGAACTCAGACAGGGAAAAAAAAAGGAAAAAAAAAAAAAAAAGAATAAAGTTTTATCTGTAATAACCTAGAGCCTTCTAGAAGGTATCCATTTTTTTTTTTTTTTTTTTTTTTTTTTTTTTTTTTTTTTTGCTGTGGCAATTGGATTATTGCGGACCTTGATGTACCTTGATATCATTTGAAGCGATCCGTCTCAACACTTTAACCGTAAAACGCGAGAGTAATATGTCAAGATTTGTAAACGCAGTAATCGATATATACTCTTGGTACATGAGAGGGGAGGGGTAAAGGGATATTGCTCTCTACTGATTTGATTCCTGACCGTACTTTTTCTGTAATTCAACTTGCTTGGTATATCCTGTTATATGTTAAGTACTCTTTCATCGTACATTCTTTTGATTTACTTGTTGAATTCTAAACTAATGCTTGCGGTAAACACAGATTTTCGTACAGGATCCTGTAAAATATATATATATAGATATATATAACCCCAACTGATCTTGGTATCCACAAGATAATGGAAGCTTTGAAAAAAAAAAAAAAAAAAAAAACTGTGAATAACTGACTTTGATGCTTTGGTAAGACAATCAGCCGTTGATCATTCAAGATTTTTTTTTTCACATATATAAATGGATAGTAGTAGTTGCAAGAGATCAAAGTCAATTACAGAGCTTTGTCTGTCGTTTTATTTTATTTATTTTCTTAAAGAATATCATGAGGTAGAGCTCTACTTGTATCTAGCTAAAAGCATAATAATTTACAAAGAGCTTTGCTTTAATGATAATTTTGCACATTTTTGTTATTATTCTTTGTTTCACCTGTAGATAATTCTTCCTGATACAATTATCGTATGATACATTTCTTCTTCTTCTTCTCCTATTGCTGCTGCTGACACTGCCGTAATAGAAGGGAGATATGTAGTTTGACGAATTCTCAAATGGTATCATGCATGCATGCATGCATTCATATCTAATATCTCTTTTGATATTTTAATAAACCTTAAGGGTGAAAAATTAAATCCATATATAATACTTTAATAATACAGACATCCTATTTTAATAAATGTTCATATCATAAAATACCTACTCGAGCCTGCACAAAATAATGCCCCTTGTGTTGGCATACCTTCATCTAGAGTCAGATAAGAACTACAAGATCCTTTTAGTACATTTCCTTCTAATTGAATTATAGCTACTCAATAGAGTATTTTTGTCACTTTTTTTTTTTTTTTTTTTTTTTTTTTTTTTTTTTTAGGAGAGGCATTATCTATAGAGTAGTTGAGGCAATATCACCCATCAAGCTGATATATCAGGTTAAAGCCAAAACGTTCTTTGTCCTTTAATAGGAAATAACGTTTAATTATTGAGTTATTCATGAACAAAAAAAAAGAAGAGATTAAAGAAAAAGAAAACGATTTTAGGCTTATTATGAGTGTGATTTATTACGTAAACATAGACATAATAATTTGCCTTTTTTTTTTTTTTTTTTTTTTTAATAATGCATAATTTTTTATTTATTTATTTTTTATTCTTTATTTATTTTAAATGGAAAATTTTACTACAACAACAAAACGTAGAGCAAGTGAATCAAAAGCAAGTGAAGCATTAGCATTAATTAGGAATACTGATCAACAAGGTCGAGTACCTCCTCCTTTACCTTATTTACCAGCTGATTATAGACCTTCTCCTGACAGTCCGCGCCATTTTCTCGTTTCCTCAACTCATCCTGCATCTGTCCTTTTTGACATTAATAGTCAAACTGGCAGTAGTAATAGAAGGCAACGTTCTCATTCTATTGGATATCCTTTAGCTATTGAAAATACAGTTAATAGTTCCTCTTCCGTAACAAATAATACTAGTTCTTCAAATATAGAACATTATGAACTTGTTCCCTATCATGAATGGACCATCATTGCGTAATTCTTAGACTTTAAACAATATAAATGAACAGGAAAAAAAAAAAAAGACTAAAACTCTTGATTTATCTAGACGGAACCAGGAAAAAGGACAACTTGTATTATATAATCAAGATAACCAATCTATTACTGTTCAAAATTATTTACCAAATCATTTTGGAGATATAAATACAGACAGGCCACTTCATGTAAGTATACAATCCTACTCTTTTCAAGAATTATCTATTAAGATTCTATTTGAACAAAGTTCAAGTCAAATGAAAAATTTTGTCCATATTGTCATCAGCCTATCCTATCTCCTTCAGGTCCAGAAAGAAGACTCAAGGTATATATTTATCAAAGAAAACGAATTTATTTAAAAAAAAAAAAAATTAACCATGGCCTTTATATATAATAAATGATAGACAGATGAGCCTGATTATATGGATCGTAATTATTTTAGATTATTAGCTTCTTCACAAGCTAATACTGCATCCAAGTAATTATTATTACTATCATCATCATTATCATTATAAAAAAAAAAAAAAAAAAAAAAAAAAGATAAATTAATTGATTTATATGTCTATAGTTCACCTACTCGCTCAAGGTCAAATACTCTAAGCTCAGAATCAAATAAATCAGAGTCATTCAATAATCAAAACTTGAACGCAAATGCTTTTAATCAAGGTTATTATTCAAAGTTTTTTGTTGAAATAAACAAGTTGGGAAAGGGATTTCGTGGTAGCGTGTTTTTATGTGAGGTAAACGAAAAAAAAATAAAAAATAAAAATCAATGACTACTTTTTGGAGTAAACTTGATACATATATACACATACATATTAAATTCTAAATATTATATTATTTAGCATGTCTTGGATGGGGTCAAATTAGGAAAATATGCTGTGAAAAAAGTAGCTATTGGAAATAATCATCCATGGCTTGTAAAAATGCTTCGTGAAGTTCATTTATTAGAAAGATTACGCCATCCAAATGTTGTAAGTTACAAGCACTCTTGGCTCGAGTATTGTCGCTTAACACCATTTGGTCCTGAAGTGCCTTGTCTTTTTATCTTGATGGAGTGTGCAAATGGAGGAAACCTTGAGGAATACTTTGAAAGAACAAAGACGGATAAGAAATCAGAGAATCCAATGGAACCACAAAGGAGAAAAAAATCATCGAGTGAATTAAAAAGAGAAAGGATTAGAAAACAATATCAAGAACAAGCATCATTTGAACAAGAACAAGAAATATCTGCTCCTATAAGCCATATTACTCGACGTTTATTAACAATGTCCGAGATTTGGTCATTATTTTTAGATATCGTACAAGGATTAGCACACTTGCATCAACATAATATAGTTCATCGTGATTTGAAGCCACCCAACTTATTATTAAAATATGATGACCATAAAAGATATAATAGTTATCAGGGAATGTAATGTATCTAGAATAGATAGAATAGATGTATATGTAGTGTATTGACTTGCCTTATTAGTCCTAGAGTATTAATATCTGATTTTGGTGAATGCGAAGATTTAGATGAAAATTATGTAAATGATGATAATAGAACGGGTGCAACGGGTACATTAGAATTTATGGCACCTGAGCATGTTTGTTTAGATCTAAAAGGTCGAAATACGGTGGAGTATGCTCCTGAAGCAGATATGTGGTCTTTGGGTATGGTTCTCTATTTTCTTTGTTATTCAAGGCTTCCGTATAATGTGATTGATGATGTTGACTTGTTAAGATCAGAAATTCTTTCATTCAAAGAGTAATGTAAAAAAAGAAAAGAAATTATGTGCAATGATTTTGTTTCTAATGTATGAACGTATTTTTTTTTGTAGAGTTCAATTTCCTGGTTCAAGATATGATATCTATAAAGATAATTCTAGTTTATATACAGAAGCAGTCAATGATCCAAATATAGTATCTGATATACCCAATGAACTCAAATTATTAATTCGTATGTTACTTTCAACGGATCCCTCTAAACGACCTTCGTGTAATGAAATTTTATCAAAACTTCGTGCCTTTCGAATCGACAAGTCAACACCTCTTTATGAAGATATTCAACATAAATGGAACAATATCACCACAACAGCTCCTTCAACATCTTATGCTCGACCCTCAGCCTCCTCATTTACTTATCATCCAACTACTACTACTACTTCAAGGAAACCCTCTTTACCTTCAGTTCTATCTACTGATACTACTTCCTCCTCTATCATTTTTGATACAGAAGATTCAAAAGAAACACAGGATTATTATCATTCTATAAAAAGGCCTATTAAGCATCGACTTTCATCATCTACTCATTCTACACCTCCTATTTCAGAGGATAAAGAGATGTATAGAGAAGGTATGAATACGACATTAAGAAAAAGACAACGACTATTGGGAGCTGAAGATAAAGAAGGAGAAGAGACAGTGATGAGTGATGCCGATGATATGAGAACCAAAGAAGGACAAAAGAGAGAAGAAGATATGATACATCAAGATTTATTATTAGTGAATAACATGTTAGAAGCATCACAAAGAAACCGTAGATTATTAGACTATCAATCTACTAAAGTGATTAAAACGATTACTGTTCTATTGAAGGTTTAACTAAGAAAAAGAACTTTAATGAATGAATGATTTATTTATTTATTTATTTATTTATTTATTTATTTATTTTAGATTATTTCTTGTACTTATTCATGTTCACCTTATTCTACAAAGCCTAGTCTATTTTACCCAGTCATCTTCTTTGCTATGCTCGATTTCTGGAGTGAATCCAATTCACCAAGTCTTTTATTACTTGTATTGCATATTGTTTTAATTATGGGCACCACTTTAATTTCAGGAGGTTTATGTGAAGCTTATTAATGACTGACTGAGAGAGTGTTTATTATTATTTATTGTCTATAATTTGAATTGAATTAAATATCCTCCATTTATTATTATTATCATGATTTACATACAGAGTATTCAACACTATTATTATATAAGAAATAAGGGGAAAAAGGAGGAAGTTTGTTTTTATCATTTATTTAACGACAATTCATTAGTAGTAGTAGTAGTAGTAGTTGACTCCTCTTGATTTACTATCTCAGAGGCATGACTGGTACCTGAATGATTCATTTTTACTTGAAGTGCAGCACTACAAAGTTCAGTTAAACGATCAAACTTTGTATTATCATCATCATCATCATCATTATTTTCCTTTTGATTTGTGTCCTCTGATGGTGGTAAATAAGAATCAGATACCTCTGCTAAAGAACTATTTTGATGAGAATCATTTACATTCGTTGTGTCAGATATTTCTATCTTTTTACTCTTGTTGTTGTCATTACTACTATTACTACTATTACTACTAGTACTACTACTACCGTTACTATTTGCAGCATTTTGAAGAGCATTGACAACTTCCTGATGAGGGTAAATAGCAGAAAAGATAGGAAGTACACACTATAATTGAAATAGAATAAATGATGTCAATTCTATTTATCATTTTAAATTATGTATATATTTATATATAAAGAAATGATGACATACTGCATAGGTACTATACGAATCATAAGCAGCAGCAGCAGCTTGAGTATATTGACTTAATTGTGAAGGAAAAGTGGTCGTAAAGACATGACTAGCGTTATCAGTTGATGCTTCCTGATCCATAGAAGAAGTTGCATTTGTAGAAGGGGATAAGGAATCTTTATGGGTAGGTTTCATATGTGTAGAATAGTCTATTATACATACATATATGCAAGCTTAAAAATAGTTTACATCTAGTCACCATCATCAAAAAATTCACTTACCGTTCGATTTCTGTCTTTTCTTATAAGGACCACGTTTAATGCCTTTTTTACGTTCCTTTCTTACCGAACTAACACAAGTACCTGCAATACCATATTTAATACATCTAGGACAAGGTCTTGCATCATCACATTTCTTACAAGCCCTTTGACAGTTGGCTAAATAAAAATAAAAAAGTTAAAAAAAAAAGGAGAAAGAGAGAGAGAGAGAGAGAGACATGTCGTCATCAGTTTTTTTTTTTTTTTTTTTTTTCCTCAAAAAATAATATTTACTACAAGCATTTTTTACTTGAGTTCGTTTATTAGTGATAATACTATTTTGTTGACCAAAGGAAGTCATTGATACGTCATTATTATTGGCTGAAGTCTGTATAGGTAATAGAGTTGAAACATTCATGGTAGGAGAAGAAGTGTTTACAGTTGCTGTTGTAGTAGCGGATGGATAGTTTGGTGCGTGATATGTTGGAGCAGACTGCATCTAATAAAATTTACAAATATGTTATTAAGAAAAAAAAACAAAAAAAAGGGCGCCGCTATAAACTGACTCTGAATGATTTCATTTTATTTTATTTTATTTTTTTATCAAAAAAGGGGAGAAGAAGAAGAAGTGGAAAGGTCCTCTTTAAAACAATATTCATTATTTTATATTGTTTTATTCTATTTTTATTTCATAAATCATACCTCTTCTTTCTGTATTTTCTTGTTTTATAAATAAATAAAAAAAAAACGAAAGAAAAAAGAAGAAGAAGAAAAGGACTAAAAAAAAAAAAAAAAAAAAAAAAATAATTACAAAAAAAAAAACAAAACAAAACAAAAAAAAAGTACACGTCTGAGTTTTAAATAATGGTAGCAAAAGCAACTACAGCTTTTTTTAAATTGCAACAATAGCGTACACACACACATGTATATAAATAAATAAATATATACATATATACACCACTTTATGACTATTATTTTTTTTTGTGATATATAAACAGGAAAAAAAAAAGCAAAATAGGGTATTATGAAACTTATACACATGTACATTTGGTTAGGTTTGCTGAACTACTTTTTCATATCGTTTTTGAAGAGATTCAATTACTATTAAAAAAAAAAAAGAAAGGAAAGGTCAATTATTATGTGTAAAAATTTGAATAAAATACAATTACAATCTTGAATAATAAAACGATCTTCTACAGAAATGGTTGTTTCATCAGGTACAATCAATATGGCTTCTAATAATAATATAGATTCTTGATATTTGATTTTACAATGATATAAATCTTCACCAATAAGTTGATTTACAGCCGCAGCTCGACTCTATTTATAATATAAGTTCTCTGTTCTCTCTCTCTCTCTCTCTCTCTTTTTTTTTTTTTTTTTTTTTTTTTTTTTTTTCACCATGTCTATTGCTTTATCATATAGTATCTTTTCAATAATACAAAAATTAGTTTCTACAGAATAGCTTAATATTGAACTTCGATTCGTATAAAGATATAATTTTCTATTTATCCAATCTAAAAAGGCCGCTTCTTTTAATGATCTCTGTTGTTGTTGCAGTTCAATAAATTCCAAAATTCTTTTTAATAAAAAAATAGTTTTTAAAGTAACTAAATAGGCTTCCTCTGTAAAGACTTTATCTAGAGGATGTTGTTTATGTTCTTTATATTTCTCATCTGCAAAATTCATCACTACTTTACTCACATCCATCAGCTTTTTTAATTCATTTCCTGCAAATATATTCATCACTTCAAATGGTGGTTTCATCATCATCATTTCATCTTCTTCTGTCTGTAAGGGTGGTGTATTCATTCTTTCTTCAAATATAGTAGATGATGAAGAAGAAGGAAGTGAGGATGAAGATTTATCATGACTAGTACCACCAAATAATTTGAGAGAAGCCATGGAGATAGCTCTCGTTAAGATGGATCCATTTGAAGAACTTGTACTACTATTTGATCTATTGACTTTGATCGAATGATGATCTCCTCTAGGCTGATCCATTGAGTGACTTCGATGCATCGTGAAGGGTGCCCCTGACAACGGTAGTGATGATGATGATGATGATGGTGGTTGTGATAGTGATGGTGGTGATAGTCCTGATTCTATCACTACATATTCATCTTCTACATTAATTGGATCATTTTCCTTTATCGCTAACATCTCTTCTGTTGCTGCTTCTCTTAATTCATCTTTCTTGAGGATAAGATGAACATAATGGCAAAATGCTTCACAAGAGGCTCTTTCGACTGGATTCTTTTTTAATAACACTTTAACTAGATCCTTTAATTCAATACTAAATACATGCATTGTTTCAACAAAATTGATTTGATCGTCATAACGTTGTACCATATCATAAAGTTCAACATGTGTACTAGCAGGAAATAATGTATGTCCAAACATAAGTTCATAGATGACAACCCCTAAACTCCATAAATCTACTTTTGCATCATAGTGTTGTCTATTCAGTATTTCAGGTGCCATATAAAGTGGTGAACCGCAAACTGAATTCGCTAAACATGTCTTGGGCAAGATTTTAGCAAATCCAAAATCAGCCAATTTGATATCCGGTAATATAGTATGATTTAAAGGTGATACAAGTAATATATTCTGTCAAAATGATGAACACACATACACACATAGGTAGCCCTTTTTTTTTTTATTTTATTTATTTATTTATTTACCTTGGGTTTAATATCACGATGAATTAAGTCATGGTCATGCAAATATTTTAAAGCAGAAGCTATAATCATATTATATCATTTAATTTTATTCTTATTCAATTAATGATAATAATAATAATAATAAAACTTACCAAATTGCTTTAAAAAATGAAGAATAACATCTTCAGACATACCACGACATTGATAGGTTTCCTTTATTAAGTCATGCATGTCTCCCATTGAACAATATTCCATAATAAGATATGCATGGCTGTCTGTTCTCTGTGTTTTAAAAAAAATAAAATAAAATAAAATTTAATTCCATTGTATTAACTCAGTGTTCTATATAAGCATACAATATAGTCATCATAACCAATAATATAAGGATGTTGAATTGATCTCATAATGTTGATTTCCATTTCAATGTAACGTAATTGATTCTTATTTACTTTCTTTTGACTGATTGCTTTAATAGCTACAATCTTTTTTGTATACTTTTTTTTTTTTTTAATATGCAAAAGTATTTATTCAATTATTATTATTTTCACCTTATGCTTTGCTTTATAAACAACAGCAAAGGAACCTTTTCCAAGCTTTTCTTTTATTTCATAAAATCCTATTGTTTTAGAATGACTCATTGTTAAAATGTAAAGAAAGATAAATATGAATTTATTTAATTTTTTTTTCTCAAAAATAAAATAAAGGAACATAAAAATAAGGGCATCATGTGAGTGCATATATAAATATATTTATTTGGGTTCTCTTATCATCCATTTCAAGTCATTTGATAAATGTAAATTGTTACTAGGACAACGACTAAATAATAATTGAAATTAAAAGTCAGTTGTTCATTGATAAATTAGGATAATTGAATATGACAAAAGGCTTCTTGATAGTCCACAGAATTAAAAGCCCAAGCAACGCAATAGTGAGCAGATAATAAATGCCATTCTTCAAGTTCATCCAGCATCTCTAATTTTGATATTCTATGGTTCTATAAATTAAATACTTCAATATTCATTTTTTTTTTATACAAGTTCATTTTACCTTGACATTTCAGCTCTACTCAAATATGTATCATGAATGGTATTCATATCGACTGCCTTTGCATTCTGCCAGCCCAAGTCTTTAAAACGTCTTTCTTGATGAGTTAAATCAGGAAATGCATAGATCCCCTTTAATTCAATATTTCGATTTCTTAGGTTTCGAATCATTATTTTACCAAACGCATCCTCGGGTCGAATTTGCTCATATAAAGTAAACATTGTATTTTTCATGTAATCTGTAATCCACTTTAGAATATGTGTTGAGTCTTCAGGGGGAAGATAAATAAAGACGCATTCAGATAAAAATAAGGTAGGTGCTCTAATTAATTAAAATGATAAGACTTTTGTCGCATATATATATATATTGTGTGTGTGTGTATATATATGTGTGTGTATGTGTTTTTTTAACCTACTGAAAATCTAATCCAGCATCTATTAATCTCTTTGAACACGTTGTCCATTCTCTTAAATCACCACCTAATAGACAATAATCTGGACTTTTTAAATCCATTCCTCCTCTTTCAATTTTTACTTGATTGACATTGTCTAAAAGATGAAGTAATTCTTTATGCTTTTTTATCATCATTGCCTTTTTCATTGTAATTTCAGGAAAGTCAACTTCAAAATAGCGCAATAACTGATCTGACAGTTGCATATTGTCTTTATCTAAATAACCTGACTATATAATCTTTTTAATATGTATGTCTTTTCTTCATCATCATCTTCTCCTCCTCCTCTCCCTCTCCCTTCCTCTTTTTTTTTTTTTCTTTCCGTTATAATCTTACTTTGATATTAAAGTATCTTGTATCAAATCCTGCGCCTAATGTTACAATTTGCTTTTTAGGTCCTTGCATACTTAAAAATTGAGATATAATTGAATCAATAGAATAACAACGAAGAAAAGTTCCTTTTTATATATATAATAAATAAGTCTAATATTGCTCTAGTAAATGCACTCTCTTCTCATTCCTTTGCTCGTGGAGATTTTCTCGTCCTCGATCTCTTTCTATCATTCCCTCTTTTTATTATTATTATATTATTCTTTTACCTCTATTGATAATAGGTAAACGTCGAGTAGCGCGTTTAACAAAGAAATGAACAAAAGGATCCTTAATATATCCTAAATTAACAGCTGATCTGATGAAGAATATATATTTATAAATGTATATTTATATAAAAAGAAAGTAAATAAATGGATTCAAGTTCTTTTTTTTTTTTTCTTATAAATTAAATAATTACAATCTACTGACTGTAGCATCATCATTAGTCCCTTTTACAATATCGTCATTTGTTTTAACCTCATCATGAAACATGTTCAAGTTTTTTTATTTTTTAATGTATAAATGTGAAAAATATATATTATACATTCCAAGGTTTTATATATATACCACGAGTTTGTTTAAATAATATATAAATGGTTGTCTATTTTTACCCAATAAAAATGAAAGGATGATCGTTTATTAGTTGGTTCGCTACATGAAAAAATAAATAAAATAAAACACTCCCCCCCTCCACCCTAACCGTCCTGCTGCTTCCCTATTGTTGTAATCCCCTCTTCTTCTTCCCTCCCCCCCTTAATTTCTTTTTTAGCTTGATCTTATGCGTGTAATCATAAAACGATCATTTCAATCTATTACAAGATCAATACGACATTACAGTACTTTCGAGGTTGGTGATTTTTGTATGTTACGAAAAGTACGTTCAGATAAAAAGATGTTTATTGGACCTTTAGAACATGAAGGTAAAAGAGATGTTCAAAGAGGTATCATTACCCATGACGCTATTATTGGAAAAAAACCAAGGACAGTTATAAAGACACATAATGGTAATAAAAAATGGTTATATCCTTTCTTTTTTTTTTTTTCTGTAGACATTAATCATACATTTATTCTAGATGCTGCTGCTTATATGGTACATTTTCCTACATTAGAAGAGTAAAAAAAAAAAAAAAAAAAAAAAAAGCAAACACATAAAAAGCTTTCCTTTTTAAGAAATTCACTAGAGTTTATAAATATATATTATAGCTATGTATTAAATGTACCTAGAGAATGCACACCTATTTATCCAAAAGATGCTTCAGCTATTGTATGAATATAAACTGCATACTATTTTTTTTTATTTTTTTTTAAAAAAAAAGTAGAGGGAATCAAAAGCTAAACCAAATTATACAAAATAGGTACAAATGCTAGATTTAGAACCAGGACATAGAGTCCTTGAAGCAGGTACTGGGAATGGATCATTGACATTATATTTAGCAAAGGCAATTGCAGGAGGAGAGGGAGGTCAAGTTGATACTTTTGATATTCGAGAATCCCATTCCAATTTAGCTAGAAAAAATGTCAACAGATATTCACGTGGAAAATACAGTTCAATGGTGAGATTTCATTTAGGTTCAGTTGGAGAAGAACTAAGATCAAAGAATAAAGAGGAAGAAATATATGATGGAATGGTATTAGATATGCCAGAACCTCATGAAGAAATTCCTCGTATTTTACCATTTCTTAAAAACGATCGTTTCCTCGTTTGTTATTTACCCAACATGACTCAGGTATTAAAGTTGGCTGAGACTATACTTGATTTACCGTTCATGATGGAAAGTTGTATTGAAGCTGAATGGAAAGAATGGGAAGTCAGAGCGACTCAGATAAGAAATAAAATAAAACAAGATCAGGAAGAAAAAGAGGATGAAAAGCCAGTAGCACCCATGAATGCTGCTTGGATTTGTAGACCAAAGAACTTTGATGTGAAAGGTCACACTGCATTTCTTGTCAAGTTGAGGAAATCAGTCACCGTTATTACATAAAATGCTAGACTTTATAAGTAGAAGAAGTTACCTATAAATACCAGTAATTTTTTTATTATTATTAAATTTTATTATTATCTACTTTTTTTTTTTTTCTTCTTCCCTTATGCAACTCACTTATTCAACAAAAAGAATAAATATAGCAAAGCATATGAAAAGTGTTGCTGTGGATGAAGAATCTCCTTTACCATTTAATAACAATAAAAAACATATGTTACAACCTATTACAGATTATTCACAGCGTATAGGGAAATCCCTACCTTATATTTCCTCCAAGGTATAAATAGTACACTGATTTTTTTGTAAGGAAAAGTAATTTGACATTTATGTAGCAAAATAGAAGACGAGTAAATGAAAAAGAGCCTTTTTTAAATAATAGCAAATCAAAATCAAGTATTTTAGTATAAAGTTTTCTTTTTCTTTTCTTTTCTTTTTTTTTTTTCTTCTTCTTTTTTATACACATATACGATAAATAAACTATGGTTATCCAATCTGTTGCTAAGCAAAACTTTTCACAGTTAGCAGAGGATGCTTTAAACCAACAAATACAAATGTATCAATTATCTCAACACACCTATTTAGCTGCCTCTGCTTATTTCGATCAAGCAGACATTTCTTTACCAGTAAAAACTTTTTCTTTCTTTTTTCCTGATAGAATATGACAACTTGTAGATAATAATAAATAATAAATGTAGGGTTTTGCTAAATTCTTTCATGAACGAGCTGAGCACGAGGGACGAAAGGCACGAAAACTGATTGATTATCAAATGACACGTGGTGGTCTTTGTATGATTCAAACCATACCCCAGCCTATAGTAAGTCATTATTAATTATTATCATAAAATATACAAAACGCATGCTTATCATAGACACAAGTATGAATGGAAATCAGCTATGAATGCTATCGAATCCTGCTTAGCACTTGAAAAAGATTTGAATAACTCTTTGCTGAGGTTAACTGCTTTAGCTATTAAACAAACAGATGATGCGCATTTACGTAACTTTTTAAAGTAATAATGATGACTCTGGCTAAAGAATATTCCATTTTATTTATTCATTTATACCCTCTTTAATGATAGGAGAGAACATTTAAAATACAAGGTTGAAACGATTGACCATTTCGTCAAGGGCTATACTCAGCTTAAACGAGTTGGAGGAGAAGGTCTTGGATTACATTTATTAGACCAAAGCTTGTATCAATACGAGAAATTTACAGTTTAATAAATAAAAATAACTAAATGAGAGCATATTTGTGTGTTTTTTTTAAATGTATATAAACGACGCCATTATCATTATTATCACAAGTATAACTATTGGCGTCTAAAATAGTTAGCACTCTTGTTGTTGAGAGGATCTTTATTTATGACGGCATTTTGATTCACAAAAAAAAAAAAAAAAAAAAAAAAACCATTTTTAGTTTAGTTGCTGCTGCTTTTTTTTTCTTTTTCCTTTTTTTTTATCTTCTTTTTCTTTTTTATTTATTTATTTATTATTAAAAAAAAAAAAATGCCAAATAGTTTAACAAATTTAGCAGATAGTATTGAACCAGGGAGCATATCACATACGATTGGGAATTTGGCTCGTGTAGCGACAACACGCCACCATCACTCAGCTCATTTAAGTAGTACAGCTTTACCTGTACCACAACCACCTCAACATACAAATGTCGCCGTCCATTCTCATGAGCATGCTCATTCAGTAGAGTTATCCTCGAGTGCTCCTAATCATTACTCTCAATCCATCACCAATACTTTTCTCATCTCGATAATAGACGTAATTCACAAGTGAGTCTAAGTGCTGTGGATGGTTCTTCTAATAATATGGTAATCGAATTTGATAGTGGTGCTCATGTCATCGTAAGACCTAATCGAATCATTCGAGGTAATAATGCCACTCATATTATAAGAAAAGTCATTATTATTATTATTAATATGCATACATGCATGCATATAGGGAAGGTTATTTTGACAGCTGTTGAACGCTTATACGTAACGAAAATTAGAATTAAGGTAAAAAATGAAGTATACAAATATATAAAAAGACAAGAGGAGTTTAATTTTTGTTTTATATATAGTTTCGTGCAGAAGAAATTGCTATTGTAAGAATTGATGAAGGAGGAGGAGAAATTAGAGGATTTGATAGATTACATGAAAAAATTACAACCTTTTTTGAAGTGGAATGGAAACTATGGGGAAATGATAGTACAGGTAATAAAATACATTACAAATCTATAGGCATAATCATTAATGGGTAATTCTTATAGATTATTCACAAGCTGCTTGGGATGAATTAGAACCGGGGAAATATGAATTTCCTTTTGCTTTAAAGGTAATGAGCATTTATATAATATAAATGACAAAATAGATTAATTTTTTTTTTCTATTTTATTTTAAAAGTTTCCAAATGTGAATTACCCACCTTCCATGGAAGAACCAAAAGGATTTAGTATTCGTTATGTTTGGACAGCACAAGTAAATGGACCTGGTCTTCAATCAGGACTTAAAAGTAGAGAATATTTAACACCTTATAGACCTATTATTGTATCTACTCCAGGTATGTCAATGTAGATTTAGAATCCAGCAACTACTTTGATCTTGATTGTAATTTTTTTTTTTTTATAGATCGTGAGTGGGAATATAAAAAGACATTAATGAACGATAAAAAGACAGCAATAGCGGAAGTAGTTGCAAAATTAATTAAACAATCTTATTGTCCTGGTAATATTCATATATACTTGCGTGTGTGTGTGTGTGTGTGTATGTGTGTGTGTGTACATGTATATGCATATGTTTATAGATCGACTTATACTGCGTATAGATGAACCATTTATAATGCATTTGAAAATAGTACCAAGTCAAACAGATTCTAAAATTACTTCAGTGATATTTAAATTCCGTAAGCACCATGAAGGTAAAATGCTTGTATTAAGGGGAACTGCTTTTAGAGAACATATTCGAGTTGTATTACAAGGACATGCACCAGTTTCTAGCACAGATTCTAAATTTGAAGACGATATTGCATTTGATGTTCCTACACGACTTGTGTCCCCTTCTTTCATATCTCATCATACAAGAGTATATTACGATTTACAATTTCAAGTATCGATTGAACATGGAGGAGGACTATTTAGATCCACTCATATTGCCGAGTTTTCAATTCCAATTACTATTGCTAATTTACCTTATGATCAATTACTACGTATTCCCAGATTAACCTCTATTGAAACATACAAGACTAGTAAAGAATGTCCCCAATTCTTTGATCCTACTTTAGATGAACCGCCTAATCAAACAGGCTTGCCAAGTGAACTCTATGGTACCATCCAAGCTGCCTTAATGACCTCTACTCCTAGAGACGATCCACCCAATTACTTTAGTATTCCTACTTTACCACCACAATTTGAAATACGTAAAGAACGTAAAGAGAGATCCATCTATTTAACACGTTCAATAAAAAGTAGTGCACAAGGATCTGAATTAGTAGAAGCCATGGTCATTCCAGGTTTATTTGATGAAAGCTGGTAGAATATACACATATCATTTAACCTATTTTAATCTGCATGCATCTATCTATATGCCTTTATATATATATGTGTGTATGTATATTCATATATACATCTATTTTTTGTAAGTCTTATGTTGCCAAGTTGACCACATCCTTTATGTATATAAATATAAATTTATATAAAAAAAAAAAAGAGTTTTATTACTATTACTATTACCTTTATTCGTATTATATATAAGAATGGAAAAACAAATACCAACAGAATTCGTATATGATGTTTTATACATGATACCTAGTACAAAATATCAATATGAACAAGACGGTGAAAAAGTAATGCTTGACAAAGAAGAAAAGGACTCGACATTCAAATCGATCACAGCCTACTCTCATTCTAATAGTGATGATAGTTTAATACCTACCATGATATTGGCTGAAAAAGAAGATCTATCTAAATTCTCTATTCATCATCAACAACCACCTACTTTAAAACGCTTCATGGATGTGCCGCCACTTACAGAAAGAATAAGACCATTTTCATATCAAGAAGAAGATTTAAAAAACGAAGAAAGAAAGAAAAAAAAGTTGCTACAAATATTAAAAAAGATTCTATCTTTTTATTATAAAAAGAGAAAGACGTAGTTAGTTTCTACAACCCCTTTATTTTACAATCAATACAGGACAGTGGACATGAGATTGCACATAGTCACTGAAACTACCCATAAAAAACCTTTTTATATGTGTACAAAATAAAATAAATAACATGAAACCATTTTTATTATTAACATAAAGACCTTACTTTTTCCAGCCAGATAAATTTCGACTCCCCATAATTAAACAATCCATTGCATGTGTATCGAGATAATCAATCAAGACGTTACATGCATGTGTTGAATCTGTCTTGAATACATGTGATTTTACTTGAAATCCATTCTGTTTAATTTTATCTACCATTTTCTCCATTGCTTTCATTTTCTCTAGTGTTAACTAAAAATAATAATAGTAAGTTGAACACTATTGCTAGTACTACTACTGCTAGTACTACTACTACTACTACTACTACTACATTCTTATTCTTATTTGACTTACTTCTTTTTCAATTGTTTCAAGTGAGTCTGTAGGTGGTAACTCAATTGATTCTATCGAAAAAAAAAGGGGGGAGGAAGGAAGGAAGGAGAATTTGATTACTACTATTACTATTTTTTCTTTTTTATTTCTAATAATAGTGTTGTTGTAATAGTAGTTGTAGTAGTACCTTGCTCTCCAAATTCACAGTCCAAAACCATGATCATGATTGCATGAATTTCATCCGTAGTTCTTAATATGTTATCCATGGCCCATTCAATTGTTTTATTGGCTTCCTCAGATAATGGATCAATCGCAATAGCAATTTGACGTGATTTTTTATCATCACTTGACATTACTTTAATAAAACAAATAAAAAAGTTAAGAAAAAGAAGGCGATAATAAAATAATAATAATAAAAAAAAATCAAACAAATATTTTCCCCTCGCCTATTTTTAGTTTATTTACACAGAATAGAAAAATTATGCACGGCCTTGTTTTTTTTTCCTCTTTTAATTCCGCTGAATAAAATCAAAATTCATTCTCAAAGTAGTAGGATAAAATTAGGGAAGGTTTCCTTTTTTTTTTTTTTATTTTACATTATGCTATTAAATGATAATTTAATTAGCAGCTTCGAAAGCAGCCTTAGCTTCCTTAATCTTGTTAAGACGTTGCTTTCTGTTAAGGGGAGTAGATCTACGATAAGGCTTAGCAGGCTTACCCTTCTTTTCAGTAGGCTTAGGAGAAGGATCAGCACGGATAGCTTCATGAGCTTCAGCATACATATCTTCAACCTTATCAGAAGTAATACCATTCTTGAGGAAGGTAGCGAATTGCTTCTTGTAACGTTCTTCATCTTCTTCTTCGAGGTATTCCATGTATTCAGCAACGTGAACACCATAGATGTAGTTACGGAGAAGTTCATCATCATTGGTCTTGGTTTCGATATCGAAACCAGGGAAACGGTTACCATTGTGAGGAATGAAGATACCACCATCAGAGGCACCCTTCATGGCACCAAAGACACGGGCACCAGTAGAGGTACGGGCAAGACCGACATCAAGGAAGGCCTTGAAAGGACGAGGAGCATCTTCAGCGGCTTCAATCATTTGAACAGAACCATCAGGTTCAGTGAAACCTTCGTACTTATCAGCAAGACCGAGCTTAGTAAGAGTACGACGAGCAAGGAGAAGACCAGTAGCATAGGCAGCAGCCCAGTTGGTCAAACCACCCTTAATACCGTAACGAGGGAGTTCGTGAGAGTAAGCAGCAGAGAGAACGAAATCACCTTGGAGCTTAGCATAAACAATTTGACAGATGATGTCCTTGTTGGTGAAACGAACAACCAATCTATACTTGGGAGAATTGTACTTGTTCTTGGCTTGAACAACAAGTCTCTTACGAGCATAGTAATCAGTCTTACCCTCTATATTTAAAATACAAATGCTTGTTATTCATTTTATTCAATTCAATTCAACTCAAAAATAATACTGCAAACACTCCATATGCATATATTTATGTTCACTTATATACCTCTTCTTCTACGGTACTTGACTTGGTAACGCTTGAAGTAGGCCTTGTTCTTCTGTTGCTTGACAAAGGGCTAAAACAAACATGGAATGGAAAAAAAAAAAAAATAGATGATTAATTAAAATGGCCATGATGCTAATTTGTAAAATTGAATTGTCATTCATCATCAGAAAATAAGCAATAGTCAACAATTATATCCACTTATATCAACCCATCCATCCATCTTGAATAAATCATTGTATCTATGCTCCTTATAACTGACTATAGCTTATTCTTTCATATATTGATAATACATACCATTTGTGATACTCAACAAAATAAGGAAAATGAAAAGCTCAAAGTATTAGTCTATACCCCCCTTCTTTCCCCTCTTTTTTTTTTTTTTTTTTTTTTTTTTTTTTTTTTTTTTTTGCTTCATAAGAAAAAAAAAGGCGGACAATAAATTTATTTTATTTTATTTATTTTGCTGATCACAATTTCATGTTCATTCATCATTGTTTTTTATAAAGTCATCATAATCAATGGAAAAATCACTATAATAAGCTTCCTTATTTGACTCGGCAACTTCAAGCTGCTTAATTTTGTCAGCCAATTTATTGTTTTCGTCTGTCGCGTCTTCTATTTTCTTGATATTATCGGTTATAGATTCTTTTTCGTCAGTGAAAGGGTTCGAGTGACTTTTGTCCTCCTCAAAAGAAGTATTAGGGTTATCTTTATCTTCTTCAGCAGAATTATTTAAAAGATCTGTAACATTTTCAGCAGAAGCATTTAAAAGATCTTTATCTTCTTCAGAGGAAGTATTTAAAAGATCTTTATCTTCTTCAGAGGAAGTATTTAAAAGATCCTTATCTTCTTCAACAGAAGCACTTGAAATATTCTTATTTTCCTCAGTATCACTATCTGAATGTTCTTCAACATCGTGAGTAGAAGGATTTGAACCATTTTTACTTTCATCAGCATCGTTATTTGATTGCTGCAGCTTATCTTCTTTATTGTCATCGCTTGACGGTTCGTTACTGTCTTTAATACTACAATTTGACTGATGCAGGTTTTCTTCTTCATCATCATTATTTGATTTTTCAATTAAAATATATTTTTTGCTTGGTTTATTTTCATCCATCATTTTAAACCATTCGTATTTTTCTTTCTCTCGTAACATTTTTTTTTCAGTCTTTTTTGCGTCTGTGGTTTTAATTTTTTGTTTGTTTTTCTTTGAATTCTTTTGATAGATAACATAATCAGATATCTCAATGTCTTCATTGTAAATGATCGTCTCTTCTCCGTCTTCACCGACCAATTCCCTGACGATGCGACCATTTAAATCAATATCCGTTACTTCCATACATGAATACCCTAAACGTATACATTTACCGCATAAGGAAGAATCATGCGGTAAAGCAGTTTGTCTATTCTCGTTTCCCCTTTTATTAGGCGCTTGATATTTATAGCTTCTTGGATAGCACTTTTCGTGGCATCTTTTACATATTTGAAAATCATTCAAACTTCCTGCTGCGCTTCTCCATCGTCTACCACAATTTTCACAACCAAAGTAAATGATTCGCACATGAAAGGGTGCCTTTGAATATCCTTTTGTTGCGTTTTTCATTTATTAACTAAATGAAGGGGAAGGAAGGAGAAGATAAAATAAGCTTTATATCAGGAAACTTTATGTATATAAATCGCATAAGAAAAAAATGATAAATAAAATTTGATTTGATTCTTTTTTTTTTTCTCACATAATAAAGCAAGTAAATAGACAATTTGTTTGTTATGGATAAAAGTTGTCAATACTAACCATTTTTTAGCAAATTAAACTGTATTCTTATTTATGGATTCCTTTGTTGACATCACCAATATAAATGTGGATGAGTGTAATGACTTTCTTTACGCGTTTATATCTTTAATAACTGAAAAGAATCATGCAAATTGGTCAATAAAGAAAAGGAAGAAGAAGAATAACTCTTTATTTATTTGTTGATTGTCTTTGTGTTACTTAATAATCGACCCTAAAAGTAACTTTATTTCTTTCTCTCTCTCTCTCTTTTTTTTTTTTTTTTTTTTTTTTTTTTTTTTTTTTTAATTTTTTTTTTTAAAAAAAAATTGTCTTCATCTCTAAAATCAATTGGAAAGTGTCTTCCTATAATATAAATTATTAAATGTAAGCCTATTACACAATATAAACATGAATCAAATTAAATCTTACAATTAGAATGTATAGAAAAGAATACTTTGAGTTATATCAATCGTTTATATATTTTATTGAATGATGACTGATCGTAAAAATGGTATGGTACAAGCATATGGATACCCTAGCAATTCAGGGACAAGTCAAATAGTATCAAGAGCAGTGGCTGCTGCTGCTGCTAATAATCATCATTCCAGTCGTAATAAATCAGCTCGAAATTCTAAACGATATTCTGTCTCTGCATTTTATTCTATGGCTGCAGAACAAGATAATGAAGTAGAAGATGAATTAGCTAAAGGTATTTAAAATAATAATAAAAAATTCTATTATTTATTTATATACATAACAAATAGCTCAGAGAAGTTTAAGAGAATTGAAAACCAAGATTTCTAGTCAATCAAAAAAAAACTTTGTATTAGAAAGAGATGTGAGATATCTTGATTCTCGTATTGCTTTATTAATTCAAAATAGAATTGCTCTAGATGAGGTATTTACTAAATAAATAGAAAAAAAAAAAAAAAACTTGTCATTAAAACTTGGTTACTTCTTTTATTATTCTCTCATCAACTTTCATATAGCAACATGAAATGGCATCTCATCTTGAAGAACATGGTATTGAAAATGGTGACTCTTTTCCAGATGATCGGCGATTACAATTATATGGAAATTTTTTCTTTATTCTTCAAAGCGAACCAAGACATATTGCTACTTTATGTAGACTTGTAAATTTATCCGAAATTGATACATTACTTCAAACTGTCATGTTTACTTTATATGGAAATCAATATGAAAGTAGAGAAGAACATTTATTGTTAACTATGTTTCAAGTAAGTGTATTTGTTCTTGTTATCGTTATTTTAGACTCTTATGTATATAATGTGAAAAAAAAAAGAATGTTTTAGCAGCTCAGTTTGAAACATCAACAGAGTTTGGTTCTTTATTAAGAGCTAATACGCCTGTTTCTCGTATGATGACAACCTACACTAGAAGAAGTCCTGGACAAAGTTATATAAAATCAGTTTTATCTCAAAAATTAAAGACCTTGTTGAGGATCAAGAACTGAATCTTGAAATTAATCCTCTTAAAGTATATGAACAAATGATAGCACAGATAGAAAGTGAAAAGGGATATTTACCGTCTGATTTACCTCGAAGTGTCACTCCAGAGATAGCTGCCAGTAATGAACATGTGCAACACATAATTCAACCTCGTTTAATTCAACTAATGGACATTGCAGAAAGCTTTTTAAATACCATTATTTCATCTACAAGCTCTGTTCCTTATGGTATTCGTTGGATATGTAAACAGATTCGTTCTCTTACAAGAAGAAAGAATCCAACTGCATCTGAATATTCTGTCTGTTCAATGATTGGAGGTTTCTTCTTTTTAAGATTTATTAATCCTGCTATCGTTACTCCAAGAGCATATATGTTATTAGATACTGTACCCTCTAGTGCACCTAGAAGAACTCTCACTTTGGTAATCTTAGATAAATAATTTAGAGATTGATCAGATTAGATTTACATATCATATTTAGGTTGCAAAAATGTTACAAAATTTGGCAAATAGGCCCTCTTATGCAAAGGAAACATATATGCTGCCAACAAATCCATTTGTAGAAAAAAACAAACAGAGAATTAATAAATTCTTAAATGAATTATGTGAAGTAGGCGATTTTTATGAAAAATTAGAGATGGATCAATACATGGCACTTTCAAAAAAGGATATCGAAATTCATATTACTTTAAATGAAATATATAGTACATATAGTCTTGTTCAACGTCATTTAGATATCATTGCACCTAAAGAGAAAGATTATCTTCGTATTCTTATAAATGATCTAGCGCCTGTACCTAATCAAGTATCTCGAAAAGAAAATAAAACCATTGAATTACCTTTATTTAGTCGATGGGAAATACCTATTCAAGGTAGCATTATTAAAATAATAGCAGTACACGCATTCTCTATTTCTATTTCTTTTTTTTTTTTTTTTTTTTTTTTGCTTTTTTTTTTTGCTTTTTTTTTTGCTTTTTTTTTGCTTTTTTTTTTGTTTTTTTCTTTTAATGATTTTAATCATATTATCTATGTAGATCTTACGACTGCACTCATGTCAGAAAATAATATTACACAAAATGATATTCTCTACATGGAGACTAAGGCAATCTACGTTCAATTGATTCGTTCCCTTCCTCATCTTGCGTCTGAACCTCTTGATTTGGATTATATAGCAGAAACAGCAGCTACTATGAAAGATGTACAGTTGGTAAGAAAAGGAATTAAAGTGAAAGACATGTTACGGGAATTAGAAGACGCAGGCGTCATCGACCATAAAGATCATTACAAGTTATTAGTAGAAGAAATTACTCAAGAATTAAATCATTTAGGGAATCTAAGAGAAAAAATAGTACAAGAGATAACTTCTTTAGAAAGTGTCTATAGAATCATTCTGGATCATAATAATTATTTAAAAAGTCAATTAGAGAGTTACAAAGCTTATTTACAGAACGTAAGGATTCAGAGTGGAGGTGAAAAGACAACCAAGAATTCAGTTGGTATTGGGGTTGAAGTTGAAGGAGGGAAAACTAGAAAGACACCTAAAAGTGCCTCTAAAGGTCCCTTTAAATTTTCACATCATCATTTAGAGAAAGAAGGTGTTATTACTGAAAGTACTGTTCCTGAAAACAGGTAATATACATATAAACATACATGCATGCATATATAATATTCTAACTTATTTATCTTAGACGTCCCAATATCTACTTTTCAATTATATCACCTTTACCAAGTACATTTATTATTGCTATGCACTTTAAAGGACGAGATAAAGCTATATTAGAAATGGACTTGAAGCTTGATGATTTGCTTGAAAAGGTATAATCTAATTTTTTTTGTCTTGCTCTAAATTAATACACAACTATATGCATATATATTTATATTTTTTTATACAGCAACAAGATAATGTAGAATTACTGGATCTTGAATATGTTCGCTTAAACGTGACAAAGACTCTTTATCTTTTAAACAAAACGTTTGTGACTAGGCATAAATAACGACGTTATATACACTCTTATTATTACTATTATTACCCTTTTGCTACGCTCTTTACTTTATTGTCTAATCCATTATTTTAATCATGTAACAAATACAGCACTTTTTTTTTTTTCATTTTTATTTTTTTTTTGCGGAGTTGATGAAATCATCTTACTACAAAGCATGCACTTGTTATTATTTAGTATTCTTTCACCTCTATTTATCCATTTTAAAATGGTAATGAAATACTATAATTATAAACAAATACACGTAGATTGATAATGAATGTCCTTGCTGTATTAGAGTGGTACTTCAACTTGTGAAATTGATGATGAATTAGTACAAAAGATTAAAAACTTTCGTCTTGCAAAATATGAAACAGGAAATACAGCCTTTATTTGTAGGTACATTACTTGAATCATCAATGCTTAGTTTTTTTTTAACACTTTTCCTCTTCTTCTTCGTCTCTTTTCATTGTATATGTATATATATATATATATTTTTTCTTTTACAAGTAAAAATTGACCGCCAAAGTTTAAAGATTGTTGAAGATGAAGTTTACGAGGAAAACATTTCTCTAGAAGACTTGGTGGAAGGTAACAAAAACACACACACACACACATATATATAGATATATAGAAAGTGACAGTCGAATATAATGACATGAAACTCATTTAATTTTCTTAAAAAAAAAAAAAGAATTACCCGAGAATACACCTCGTTTCATCATCTTAAGTTATGAGGTAGGATAGAAAATTGAATTCATACTTTGGTATTAACCGGTTTTTTTTTTTTTTTTCTAGTTGAAACATGATGATGGAAGAAAGAACTTTCCTTTACTCTTCATTTATTGGTCACCCTCAACTTGTAAAGCAGAAGTAAATATGCTGGTAAGTAATTAATAAAGATGATGTTAATCCAATGTAATGTTAATTATATATATATATATATTTTTTACAGTATGCATCAGCAAAGACCTATCTTCAAAATAAAATTGACGTTAACAGAGTAAGTATTAAATCATCCTTACTAAACAATAATAACCATTTATGATAGGGATTTGACATTTATGAACCTGAAACTTTAACTGATGAATATATTTCAAAGCAACTTGTTTAATATTTTTATTTTTTTATTTTTATATATATAAATTTTCATTTATTTCTTTTTTCTTTCCCAAATCTAGTATGAAAGAAATATAAGTGATTTGATGAATAAATACATAGAATCAGTTACTTACTTGAATATAGCTTTCAGACATGAAAATCATTTGGGGCATAATTTCTTCTACAATTAAATCTTGAATTTGATACCATTGACCTGTACCACGGTGACGAACATGAACTTTATATGTTCCTTGTCCTGGATCAGGTTTACCTTCATGACAAATATTAGCTACCAAGTCATAATGATCTTCTAATGTTTCTTCATTTGGATTAGTTGTAACTTTTTTTTTCAAAAAAAAAAAAATAAAATAAATAAATAAATAAATAAGAAAAGGGTTAGCAACACTGTCACCATCGCAACTGATTGATTATCTTACAATTTGACATATTCAAGTTTTTAATAGGAAAGTTAACGATAGTGGGGTTCTTTTCACTTGACCAATTGTTTTTATGAAATCGTTTAATATGAAAGATAAGTAATTCTGGAAGTCGAACGATGCTATATTTTCTCCTTTGATTGGCAATCTCTTGTATCTTTTTACCATCAAATTTGCCAAGGATAGTTGTTAAGGGAACTTGTGGAATAATGTCTTTCTCTTTCTCATCTTGATATAAGGGTGCAGGTGGCAAATCTAATGCCAAGAACAAAAATGGTGAAACAACTGACTTAAAGGGTGTATCCAATGTTACTATGAATTTATCTCCATTCGCATTTATACTGCTTAAATCCTGTGATTCAATTTTTACTTCACCTTGAAACTGTTTATAAATAATACCTAAAATATAAAAAAAAAAAAAACGACATCAATTTTTATGGTATTGCATTTCACACTATAGAATCACTTTACTGCTATTCTTTTTCTTTGTTCCTCCCAAATCTTTATGTAATGTATTCAAAAACCATGATAAAAAGTCAATAGCATTACTTTGCTCCGTTAGTTTGAATTTTTTTTGACTTGCATTTGAAATTTCTTGTAATAGTTCGTGAGGACTCACTTGGCCCTTAAATGCCTTTGGATTCCACATTTTTCTAATTAACGCACCAAATCTACATACTTTATACATATACATATATATATTAGTATACATGTATATACATATATATATTAGTATACATGTATATACATATATATATATATTCTTTTGAATTACAATAACAATACCTAATTGAGGATATCCTTTCTTTTCAAATTCTTCAAGAATAAAATAATCTCGAATAGAAGGGATATGTGCAAGAGCTTGAATGACGACATTAACATAATCATTGGCTTTAATATTATTTAAACCCACAAATCCAGGCAAATACTTTTTGTTATTCAAATCATAAGACATTTTCAAATTCTGGTCGAGTTGATGAACTTGTTCTTTTGTCAAGATTGGATTAAGTACATACTATGGAAACTTGAGATGACTACAGGTAATTTTAATAAAACTAAGCATGCTATAGCCTACCTTAATATCATTCAAAGAAGGATTATCAACTTCATAACCATCAGGAAGAACATAGACCTAAAACAAAATAATGAAATGTTTAAACATGTAATTTATTATTATTATTATTATTATTATTTTACCTTTAATGTCTTCAAATTAATAAAGACATGGTGATCCTTATCCATACTATGAAAATAAGCATGAGATGACTTTCCACGACCTTGATAGTACTTTCCACAAGTTAAACAAGCATAAACATTGATTTGAGAGAGGGAGACTGAACACACTTTCTCGAAATCAAAATCTAACATGTGTCTATCGATTGTATCTAAATAAAGATCAGTCGTATCTTCATTTTTTTTTGTTTGTGTTGTTTCTTCTGGTAGAGAATCTAAACGTGCTCTTTTTGCAGATGGTTCTTCCATTATTGCGATTTATGAACTAAAAAGAGAAAGGACTTGGAAAAAAAAAAGAGGCCTTTTTTTTTTTTTTTTTTTTTTTTTTTTTTTAAATAAAAAAAATTGAGAGAATTTTTTTTTTTTTTAAAAAAAATACTAACTTATGCAATAAGAGTTTTGCAAAGGATAATGTAGATATTAAAAGTCTTGATTAACTTTAGTATAGCAGTCAACATTATTTTATAGGCTATTTGCCTATATTTAGTCGTTTTTTTTTTTTTTTTTTTTTTTTTTTTTTTTTTGAAGAGTGAATAATACAATTAATAAAATATGTCTTGACGAAAAAGCTAGGGTTTCTTTTTTCGAAACAAGATTTCTGTAAGTTAAGATAACTATGTATTATCTGTACTAGAATTCACTACTTATAATTACAGGAGAAGAAGTCAAAAAAAAACAATTTAAACTAGAGAAGGATTCATGAAAGTCTATTATATAATAAAAGAACATGGATATAATTTAAAACACGTTGATCAAATATGTATAGTGGCCAAGTTTGACTTACTCTCTCTCTCTCTCTCTTCTACTAAATAAAGAAATAAGCAACTGGCAAAAGTGTCGGTTTTAAACTAGCATATATGAAACTGAATAATAGCTATACAAGATGAACTAAGTTGGGAATAATTATTCTCTCTCCAAAGTCCACACGTGTATATATATATAGATTAGTAGTATTATACTATCAGCTTATGATATGTTAGTATGTGACAATAGATATTAAATATTTCACCATTTGGAAGATAAAATAGCGTAATTTATTAATAATAATAATAATAAAAAATAAAAGATAATTGTAATAAAATGAAAAGAGAAGCACTTAAAAGTACTTGAAAAAAAAAAAAGTTATCTTCGATGATGTCTTTCAAAGCCTTGGACAATAGACTCAAGTGATCTACCTTTGGTTTCGGGTAAAAATATCAAGGTAAATGTAAAAGCTAGGATAGCAAAGACAGCAAAGATGGCAAATGAGTACCCTGCTATACGTGCAAAGATGACAGGGAAGCATTGACCTATCAAGAAATTCATAGCCCAGTTCACACAAGTAGCCACAGAGCCAACTGAGGAAGAAGCATAGGTAGGAGTAAGCTCAGAGGTTAATAACCAAGGGATGGGACCAATACCGATAGCAAAGGAGGCTACATACAAAAAGACAGAGACAACTAAAAGTGCGGGGATGGTATAGACATAGCCAATGACTAAGAGGATTGAAAAGAGACAAGCACCAAAATCACCAATAAGAAGCAAAGGACGACGACCCATGCGGTCAATTAAGATGACAGCCACAATTGTCATAACAAAGTTGACGACTGTAGTAACGATGGCCATATACTTGGACATATTAGCATCAAAGGCAAGGGTGAAAATAGCAGCAGAGTAATACATCACGGCATTGATACCAACAAGTTGCTGAAAGGCATGTAAAAGAATAACAGTAAACGAAATACGACGGATGACAGGATCAACAAAGATTTGAATGATGTTCATTGTATCACGTTGTGAGATTGGGGCCATTATAGCATCATCCTCAGCTGCATTATCAAAGGTACTTTCATCACTTACAGTATGAACTTTAACCGTTTCAGCAGTGGCTAAATGATCCATCTCCGTATCAGCCCTGGTATCTTCAATAGGTTTATCCTTTTTAATATCAACATCTTCTACTTTAGCCTTTTCAATATCAGACGATTGAGGTTCGTAACGAGTTAAAGATTGAGCAGCAGCAGTACCAAAGTGTCCCTCTACCATATCATAGAATTCATGTTCAACGTCACAGTCACCTCTTAACTTTTGTAGTGAGTGTCTAGCATCTTCAATTCGATTCACAGAGACAAGATAGCGAGGAGTTTCAACACATGTACTCATTAAAAAGAATTGAGCAATAGCAGGAATACAGACAATAGCAAAATTAATACGCCAAAGTGGTACAGTAGCCAAGGGTAAGCCGATAATTGATGATAAAAGAATACCGATAACAATAAAGAATTGATTACAGGTGCCCATAGCACCACGAGCCTTAATCGTCGATACTTCACCAATGTAGGTAGGAATAGATAAGGAGCCCATACCACAACCAATACCACATAAAATGCGACCCAAGATAAACATAGATTGATGAACAGCCGTGCCAATCAAAATGCCACCAATAATATATCCAAGATTATTAACAATAATGGCCTTTTTACGTCCAATCCTAGTCTGAATACTACCAGCCGTTAAACCTCCTATGAGTCCACCGACGCAAAAAGAAGCGACAGCAAATCCCCTATTAAAAGAAGAAGAAAAAAAAAAGAGAAAGAGAGAGAGAAAGAAAGTAATGAGTAAGTATATTGTAAAAAAAAAAAATGCATATATATTACATACCAAAGTGCATTATCCATAGGTATACAATCAGGAAAGGCTTTATTAAAGATATGAGCATTACCATTGGGGCAGTTATGAGTAATCTCACCGGGTACATTAGGTGATCCAATAACCCAGCCATTACTAAATGATCCTAAGCAAGCAACAAATACACAGTATACCATGTATTTCGGAAACCTTACAATATATGAATCCATAATAATACTTTATAAATATAAAATATGTAATGATGAGGAAAAAAAAAAAAAGATCAAAAATAAGGCATAAGACATCAAATATTTTTAAAAAAAAAAAAAAAAATATTAAAAAATTTAATAATGGTCTATCGCTAAACCCTAGGAATTAATTGACTTTATTTTCACGGTTCCATTTTATGACGGGAATTATGCAAATCAAAATATATGAAATTATTATAAAACTACTAATGAGAAAAAAAAAAAAAAGAAGAAGAATGCCAGCATAGTATACATTTTACATATACGAAAAAAAAAAGAAAAGTAAGTAATAATAACAAAAGTGAGTAAAATAGATAAATGTATCAATGTGAATATATGTTTTGTTGTATATATATAAATAATAAGCATTAATAAATAAAAACTTAAAATCAAAAATTAGTAGTAGTAGTAGTAGAATTAGCAGTTGTAATTGTTTCTCTTTTACTAAATGCACTCATCAATGGATAGCTATTGTTATTTACTGTATTTTGGCGTACACCCTAAATTATATTGATGAGTATATATATATATATATATATGTATATAATAGTTTAATATTTCAATTTTACCAAAGGATTTTTACTAAAAGATAGTCGAATACCACCCTTAATAGAATTGCTTAATGGATTACCATGTAACTCTTGTAATGCTTGTGCAGCATAAATTGCATCTTCAAATTCTACAAAACACATGGGACCATTTGATTTATTTCGAAATGATAACCTTTTGTATCCAGAACATTTGGAAAACATAGCTCTTAACTCATCTTCATTTGTATTTGGAGGTAAATTGCCGACATAGAGTGTATTACATGGAGGATTTTGATCTGCAGGATTTGAGCTACCAACTAGAATACCACCTAAACTACGATAACTAGATGTAGGAGATAAGATACTAGGTGATGACGATGGTAGTGGTAGTGGTAGTGGTAATGATGTTGTTGATGATGATGATTTTGGAGGTGTAGAGGAGGATGAATGGAGAGGATGAAAACGAGTATTTGTAAAGCTAGAATATTCATTATGATATGTTGATTGATGTTGAGTATAATAGTTATGATTATCATCCATGACTCTAGTCATTCCTGTTGATATGGAAGCTGAAAGAGGAGGTGGAGATGATGAACTATTGATGTTATGAAAAAAGGCATTTATACTTTGAAAGGTACGATCTGTAGTAGGTGTTGACTTGGAAAGATAGTCTAATCCATCCGTGAAATTAACTGAAGATGTGAATCGATTATTATTGGTCGTATTAAATCGACTTGTAGAAATAGAGGGTGTAACAAATAAATCCATTGATCTAGCATCCAGAGATTGAGAACGAGAAATATAGGCCGAATCAGATTGAGTTGACATTAAATCGGAATAAATATCGGAGTAACTTTCATTGGGTGAAATAAGTTCATTAGGCACAGGTTGTTGTGGAACAGAATGAAATGCTTCATAAACAGCAGAAGAGGTATTAGTAGTAGTAGTAGTGGTAGTAGTAGTAGTATTAAAAGGATTTTGATATTGCTTTTGCTGTAAAAAATGAAATGATTGATTATTTTGAACTTGTTGTTGTTGAGTTTCATTTAATAATCCTCGTTTAGTATGTAAATTCTTTTTGGCCATTTCTGCCTTTAATAAACATCCTTTTTCAGCATCTATTCTACGTCCATTCAATATATCTCGAGCATCTATGGCTTCTTTACGAGTACGGAACTTTGCAAATCCAATCTTGAATTCAATAAATAAATAAAAAATGATTAGTCAATTTTTTTTTCATTTATTTGATTTACTTACTATTTGTTTCTTATTATGATTGTTAAATAGGAAATTTTCATCTTCTCCTCCTCCTCCTCCTCCTTCTTTTGTCGTTGGTATTTTTAAAGTTGCAGCTTCAAAACCAGGAGAAAACATAAACATATTTTGAAATTCACGTTCTTGCATATCTTCAGGGAAACCAACTACGAAAATAGTCGAAATTTCATCTTTTATATGTGAAGTAAGACTGTCTTGTTGTTGTGTGAAATAAGAGTTATTGTTTATGAATCCATTAAAAAATGAAGTATGTAAAGGAGTGGGTGAAATAGGCGACGTTGGTGTTTGAGTCATAACTGCAATTTGGAATTAATTATATATATATATATACATACATATATATATGTGTGTGTATATGTGATTCTCCTTTTGAACCTAAAATGCATGGGGGAAAGAAAGAAAGAGGAGGGTAGGATAATTAGCAAAAAAAAAAAAAAAAAAAAAAAAAAAAAAAAAAAAAAAAAAGAAAAAAAAAGAGAGAATATACGTATAAGTAAAAACTTAAATTTCTTACCAAGAAAAACTTTACAAATTAACCTTCCTCTTTTTCTTTGTATAAGACTATATATTTATGTTATAGACACTCTATAGGAAAAGAAATTGTGGGGGAGAAAGATAAAAAAATAAAATAAAATAAAAAATAAAATAAAAGAAAGAAGAAAGAGAAAAACTAATTACGAAAATCGTACTTCGAATTATAAAAAGCACGAGGCAGAAGTCTACTACTGCTATTATAAATCTGGGAGGACAAAGTTACAGGATTTTTTTTTTTAAATACAACGATTTTGTCCGTCAATATTTAGAATAGTAGTAACAATAGTAGTACAAGTAGCAATGGATAAAAGTATTGTTCTTAGCAGTAAGCAAATACTATTATAATATATTACATAATGCAATAAAAAAAACCTTATACAGTAGTATTGTTAACTACTATAGATATACGTAATTAATTATAATTGAGTATACCACTGATAAATTAGATGCAACATTCTTACCTTTTTTTTTCTGTTGTACTTATACAAAGTTGGATTTTTATTTTCCTTGAATATATAAATGATGCCCACATTCATATTTCAATATAAACGTGCTTTAAATAATGAAGTGCTATTGAAGAATTATTATCACACCATACATTTTATCTAGCATTCCACGACTTTATTATACACACAATAAAGCACGTGACCTAAGGTATATATATGCTAAATAAAGCAAGGAGAACTAAATTATAAATGCCATTATATAATTGACAGTTTCTCATATTAATTTAATACGCTTTATTCTACTATTATGTAATTATGTAATACCTAAATGAAAAGGTATGTATTTGTATATATATGAAGTATATAATACTCAATAATTTATGTAATATTTTTATTTTCGAAAAAAAAAAAAAGAATGTACATTTAAAGTAAAAACATGTATACATGTACACTCTAAAATAAAGGGTCAAAAATATGTAAAATGAAATTCAAAGGGGTTAGACTTTTCGAAAATTAGCATAAATCAAAAGTCAAAAAAAAAAGCATTTATTTGATCTCCCTCTCTCTTTTTTTTTCTTTATCCTATTCTTACTATTAAATATCAAGAATAAACTAATGTATACTGCACAGTCAAAGCCCACTTCATCTTTTAATAATGTAAAGATTAAATGTGTAAACATACTTATTGAACAAAATGAAGATATAATAAATTATTATTTTATTTTATTTATATATTATTCAGGGTCCAGGTTTCATAGATATCGATTTAGCTGAACATAATGAGATACAAATCAATGAAGGTAATATAAATTATATGTGTATACTTTTTTTATTTATTTATTTATTTATTTTCTTACCGATATAAATGATAAAGGTGTTGGTAGACTACATCATCAAGTAATTACTATGGAGACTAAACCAAATATATCCATCTGGAAAGCAGCTGAACTAGGAAATATGGCAGCATTGACTTATTTCATTAATCACCATGCTTCCTTTTTTCAACATGAAGATAACGACGATAAAGAAGATACTAATAGAGTTGCTCAACTTTTAAATTCTCGAGATCCAAAAACGGAATGTACCTTAATCTACTTGATTGTGGCAAATAATCCAAACCCAATTGAGCCTTTACGGTTATTACTCGAACAAGGTGCGGATGCTACAGCCCGCAATATATATAACGTACAAGCCGTTCATGCCCTCTTCCTTTATTGTCCAGAACCCATAGAGGCGTTAAAACTTTTATTAGAGCATGACGCTGACCCTAATGCACAAGATGGTGATGGCTGGACAGCTGTTCACTATGCTGCACGATTTTGTAAATCACCAGGGCCCGTTTTAAAATTACTAGTTCAAGTTGGAGCTGATATCAATGCTGTAGATACTAGTAAAAAATCTGCTTTATTTGGACTCTTGGCTAACGGAGACCATAGTGATACTTTAGATTGGCTTATTCATACAGCAAAGGCAAACCTTAGAGTTAAGGGGGATTTTTTGGATGGTCAAACGAGGCGTACAAAACAGGGAACGTTGATTTTACAAGCTGCTAAATATGGACGATTATCATGCTTACGAATCTTAATCAGTTCCTCCTCAGCTATGGAAAGCTTAGTGTCTATTATCACAAAGGAAGAATTAGTATTAGCCATTGACTTTGTGAGGCAGCAATTAGTGAAGGTCATAGAAAGAGATGATATAGAACGCTTAGGATTGATGATTATGATATTGGAAAATTTAATACAAAAGATGTATCCAACAGAGAATAAAAGTATGATTCTAGAAAGTAAAGAAGATAAACATGGGTTAATCAAAAGAAAGCCGAGTTTACTTAAGAGAATAAAAAAAGAGCTTTACTAATTTAAAAAAGATGTGTATTAACCAATAAAATATAAAAAAATAAAAGTCATAAAACTTAATGAACTGCGGCGGCGGGTATAATTTTTAGAAACAATTATTCATAAAAAAAAAAAAAAAAAAAAACCGAGACCAATACTCGTTGTATTTTAACTTCTTTTCTTCTTCTTCTTTTTTTTTTTCCTATTTTTAAATAAATAAAAAAAAAGCAACATATATGACAGACCCATCATTAGCACCACATAATCATTCTTCAACAAGTTGTTATTCAGTATTTGAAGGTGGAAATGAAAGAAGAAGAAGCAGTTGCTGCACATTTTGTGACACTATAATCCCGCCTTTAAATCCACTTGAGTATCAAACAATGTCATTAACACCTCCTCTTGATACTGTTTATTATGAATCGGATGAAAACCAGCCCTTTTCATGTATATACCTCTTAAACTTATTCTTAGCCCCAGATATGTCTCGATACTTTACGGAAACAAGTATTTCAGATGATGTGTATAGTTTACCTGTTCACCTTCAAAGATTAATTTGTGAAGCAAGAATGGAAGCTTTGGTATCTAATGAAAATAAAGAACGTCCAGCATTAAAAAGATTAGAAAAAGTAAGAGCTTATATACAAACTGTTGCTCATCATGATACAGAGGCTATTATCAAAACTTTGCATGAGCTTATTCAAAATGAAGATGAACTATCAAATATCTTGGGTGAATAAGTTATAATAACACACAGAATATTTTTTCTCTCTGTAATATAATATATCTATGCACATATATACACACGCACGCACACACACAGTATATATACGTTTATTGTAACAGCAGTCAGTTACTTGTAAAATAAAGCCATAATTTTGTTATGTAATGTAAAAAAAAAAAAAAAAAAAAAAAAAAAAAAAAAAAAAAAAGAAATGCTCTCTTCATACTATTTTTCTTTATCCATAAGAATTGCTGCCAGTTATTATTTGCATCTTATAAAGTTCAACTCCTTTTCTTTTCATCAATTTTTCGTCATTAATTTTATATGATGTATCTGCTACTTTATCTATCTGTAAATTTATACTCCTCTTTAGATATCATAGATTGTAATTGGTTATTTGTTCAATTAATTGCATAAAATTGACCTTTTTATATATATATATTTGTATGTTCTTTTGTATACATATTCTGTGCTGCTGTCGTCTATTTATTATTGATGTAGAATATCATGATTCTCCTATAACAGACAGTAGTCATCATTATCATTCTACTTGCCTTATATATGTAAGTTTAATATTATCTTGATAAAATTGACCTGCTTATAGTAATGAATACTACTACGAATTGGGAAGAACTAAAAAAAAAAAAAAAAAAAAAACTATATGATTGATTTAAGGTCTTTTGTATGTGTGTGTGTATTTTATCAATAAAATACTACAATGTATTACAGAACATTTATTCTGCCTTAAAACAACTACCTATTCATTATTTTTTTTTTTTTTTTTTAAAAAAAAACATCAACTTACTAGATAGAAATAAGAATGTAATTATTTTTTCTTCTTCTTTTATGTAAAAACTCATTTTGAGTTACTACTTGTAATAATAATTTTCTTTTTCTTCTCTTTTTATTATAAATAAAGTTGCAAACATGGTCAGATAAAGTTATACAAGAGTAGTACAGAGTAATACAAACTCAAGCTTTATTGCTGAGTTTATTTACACAAATAATTATTGTTATCATAATTGAAGAGAGAGTTTTCCGTTACTCTGTATCTAAATTTAACTCTCCCCCCTTTTTTTAGTAAAACATTACATTACATTGTTAACATAAATTGAATTACTGAGAAAAGGCTTTTTTTTTGTGATTATGTTTATTAAGTAAATAAAATATATAAGAATAATAAATGGTACTGTCCGACTGTATTGTGTGTGTTTTTTTTTATTGAACAGTATTGCTTACAATTTGCTCGTTTTCAATCATTTTATTATCAAGACCAAGCTGCTTATCAGTCCACATAGGAGTAGATTCAATAGCATTTTCAACACCTACACCAGCACAACCACCTTGAGCAGTCCAATCTTCAACACGCTTGAAATTATAACGAGACCAAATTTTATCCAGAGAATAAACAAGTTCATCAATCATGGGACTAGTATGACCGGGAGTAGGAGTGATACGAAGACGTTCCTCACCTACAGGAACTGTAGGATAATTAATGCTTTGAACATAAATATCATGTTCTGATAAGAGTTCATCAGAGGCTAACTTTGCAGCCTCAGCATCACCCAAAAGGACAGGAACGATATGTGAAGGATTAGGAATAACAGGAATACCAATGTCACTTAAACGAGCCTTAACAGTACGTGTATTCAATTGTTGCATATGACGTTCAACACTGGAATTTTTAAGGTATTTGACAGACTCCATAGCACCTGAAACAACAGCAGGTGGAAGTGAAGTGGTAAAGATAAAACCAGGTGCATAAGAACGAATCATGTCAACCAAAGAAGCGGAACCAGCAATATAACCACCAACAACACCGTAAGCTTTACCTAAGGTGCCAGTAAAGATATCAATTTCATCTAAAATACTACCATTACCCATTGTAGGATTTGTAGCATTCAAGTCATAATCAAGATGTTCAGCTACACCAGCGCCACGAGGACCATACATACCAACGGCGTGTACTTCATCTAAAAAGGTAATAGCACCATATTTTTTCGCTAAATTAACAATCTCGCGAATGGGACCAATAGAACCACACATAGAGTAAACAGATTCAAAAGCAATAATTTTTGGGACACTAGGATCGACAGACTGTAATAGATCTTCAAGATGAGCCATATCATTATGGCGGAAAATTTTCTTGGCTGCACCAGAATGACGAATTCCCTGGATCATAGAAGCATGATTTAATGCATCAGAGAAAATAACACATCCAGGTAATTTAGAAGCAAGTGTAGAGAGAGTAGCATCATTAGCTACATAACAAGAAGAGAACACAAGTGCTCCTTCTGTATGATGAAGATCAGCTAGTTCAGACTCAAGACGCAAATGAAGATCAGCATTTCCTGCGATATTACGAGTACCACCAGCACCAGCACCATATCTATCTAAAGTGCGCCTAAAATCATTGTAATAAAAAAAAAAAAGAAAAAAAATTAGTTTGCTTTCCTTTCTCTCACTTTATACACGTACTTCATTGTATCAGTTAAGACAGGACTCCTTCCCATACCTAAATAATCATTTGCACACCAAACAGTAACCTCATCCGTAACACGAGCAGTATGAGCGCGAGGGAACTTTTGAGCTAAACGATTGATATTATTAAAGTAACGGTAACTTTTGTCTCTATGTTTCTTATCCAATTCCTCTTGGTAAAAGCTTTCATAGTCAAAATGTTTTTTTGTCTGATGTGAAACAGGAATAGCGGAGATGGGTCCCTGGCTATGGTTGTTCACTATAAAAGGATTAGGGGGAAAAAAATGGTATTTAGTTTAAACACCGAAAATGAAAACAAACACTATTTATACAAGTCTATGTGTATTATATTTATATATTTTACCAGCAGTTGCTCTTAAAGGCTTTGAAGGATTTTGGGATACAGTTTGAGTAGTTGAAAGAGATCGACGTTGAATAGCCTTACTCATAACAGGACATTGTTTAGCCTTTAACATTAAAGGATTTGCAGATCGACTGGTACCCGCAGTAGTAAGTTGACGGAGAGAGGATGCAGAAGCCACGTGAATAAATGGGCAGGATTTTTTAGCTTGTAATAAAGCAATCTCCATTTTGAATATTAAAATAAAATTTAAAAAAAAAAAGAAGCTGACAAGTGTTTAGAAATAAAGAGGGGTGTTTTATTATTGAACTTTTCTTTTCTTCTTTTTTTATATATAAATTAAAAAAAAAGAAGAAAGTAGAAAATAAATGTAAGAAATAGTTAAAGAAAAGGAAAAGAGAGAAAGGGAAAAAAAAAGTTTTTTTTTATGTGTGGGGAAGAATTTTTTTTATTGATTGTAAAAGTATTTAATTTCAGACAAGTTTAAGCCAATCATTTTATTTTTAATAATTCATTTTTGATACGAATTAAAATGAATTTATTTGTGAAAAAAAAAAATTAATAAGCACAAAGTAGGCTTGTAACACTTAGATATGCTGTTGTATTGTCCTAGTCAGTTCACTTTCCTAAAAAAAAATATAAGGTAATACGACAACCATTTTATTAGTTGAGAACTAGGAAAAGAAAACATACCATCTATTTCGTAAAAAAAAAAAAAAAAAAAAAAAAAAATGATATAGGCAGTAGATCAACGGATACACTAATAAAAAAGCTACTTCTTGATAGGTCTTAGGTTTCTTGAAGGAAAAGTGCATTCAAGATATAAGTGATAGGATGAATATTTGAATATTTTTTTTTCAAGAACAGAACTTAGGTTTATGACCGGGTGATCAACTAATGAATTAATGTAAAGCACAATCTCACTTGCTGGGGAAGTATAAGAAGATAAATATATTTATAGGAATTGGCTTACAAGCAAAGAAGACTTTAGATCAAGGACTTGAGCAAAGTTTTTATTTTATTTTCAAATGTATTAGCAAGAACTTGTTTAAACAAATACCTATCAGACAAAACAAAAAAGCATAAATATCGGAAGCATTGAGTTGCGAAAGAAGCGTTTTGATAATTTATACAATACATTTATAAATTGACAAAAGTTAATTAGATATAAGATGTGTATTTACATGTGATAATTGAAGAGCTTAGAATAAGAACTGTTGTACTAACTGGATATAAACAAATTCTTGTCTTATAGGATGTATGACCAAATAGGTTGAAGATTGAGAAGAGCACTAAAGGAAAATAAAAATAAAAATTGACGAAGAATGCAATTATTTTGACATGCCTTTGATTGCTAAAGAGTTTCATCATTTAAACAAGTGATGACTGAGTTATATTTCATCTGATACTGAACCATTTATGTGTACTAACAATAGACTGTAAGTATACAACAATAGAATCCACCTCCATTAACTTCTATTATAGATATGATATGTTTTATGGTAGAATTCTATGATATCCTAAAAAAAAAAACAGCTATTAGAAATTGTGTTATTCCTGTTGATAACCAGATTTAACTGTTCTTATCTTTTCGGTTAAAAAAAAATAGTCAAGGTCAAAATTAATCAAGATATATGACAAGAGATAGAAATAAAAATTATACTATCAAATTCAGTTATCGAACCAATCAATTATTATTTTTTTTTTTTTTTTTTTGATAGGGTGAAGAAGTGGAGGAGGTATCCTATCATGTACCAAATAAACAATTCATTTTTATGAAGGATGATACCGATAATTAGCAAACAGTAAATCCAAGTAGATGCATTCTTGGGGGATCTCTAAGCTTACGTTGAGATAAAAGGTTCAAAAGAAGGAAGAGTGGATCCTCAATTGATCTAGACAAGTTCAATGAATGTGTATGTGTATGTAGACATTCAGTGACATGAGATCGACTAAGATAAGTGTACGGATGACAAAAATAATAATATGGCTATACTTACCCTACCACCAGGTAATCAGTCAAAACGTCATCAAATGATACAGTCATGTACACTATAGAGCATAGGCAGCCAAAGTGTTGAATTAATGATAAGGGAAGGTCGGCAAGTGCTAACTAGTTTCAAGTTGTAACTATTTCGTAGTTGTATAAGTCTCTGTTCAAGAATTTTCGACAATTACTTTCAAGTGTTTGTTTAAAATAGTTGTAGATTCTGTAGCACAAAGTCGCTAATTTATGATATATAAACTTATACCATTGGGTGTTCATATATTTGTTATATTTGCACATAATAGTAAATAATTTCATAACATATGAAATAAAGTTAAAAGCTAGAGTCAAACTATTCATAGAGTTGGTATTAATACAAATACAGTTATAAATAATTTTAGAGCTAAATCTAAGGTATCACTAATCTTAATTTAGCTGTCAAATCAAATATAAATAAGTATTATATAAGTTTAACTTGATATAAAATAAATTAACAAATATAATAAAAATCAATGTAAATCTTTTTAAGCCTTTTTCAATCAACCTAATCCCTTCTTCTGCATGCTATCTTTCTTTTACTTTTTTTTTTTTTTTAATTTGTTACTATCTTGACAAAAGTCATTTTTATCAAGGATTATTCCAAATTTTCTTTTAGCTTTTACCAATTGGTATACTAGATTACTTTTTGAGACTTTGTGCACTTTTTCTTTAATAAAATTTCTCCCTGAAATGGAGTATAGCATCACTAGAGTTAGATCAGTTTGTGTGTGCGTGCGTGCGTGTGTGTTATAATGGCATTAGGTAGGGTGTATGTGTGATTAGTGATGAAATATTCTAATGCAATCATGAGATCTAATGTTGGTTGATTGAGATAATTTACTGCAGAGTTTTCAGACAAAAAGAAAATGACATTGTTTGACAGCTTGCTTCCCAACAGAAACCCCTTTACTATTATCGTTGAACTCTCTTCAGAATAAAATATTTGAAAATCCTTTTTAGTGATAGTAACGAGGACAAGAGGAAGCAATGTCTCTGTAAGGATTGTAGAGCAGAATATGCATACTGTATGAGTCTTCTTGGCATAGAACCCCTTGATAAACTTCAATTAAAACTGGAGGCATTGTTTCAGCTAATTTCGTTTGTGATGCGTAATAAAGGATGTCTGATCCGCCATTCAGCTTACACTACAGTGTAACTATTTTCTGGATCAGTTTTCATTTACAAAGGAAATATAATGTAATAGTAGAAGGCAAGTACAATATCTTTATATAAACAGTAAACTGACATTACCAACTAAAGAGCGAACAATCAAATTTATGATGGCAATCTCATTTAGCAAGAGGCTTACTCATATAATCTATTCCAGGTTTCCATTATCAAAGATAAAGTAACATGGTCAGTATTCTCATCTATAATTGAATAAATTTATTAAATAATATTGATTTGTATACAACCAAAACTAATTCTATACATTATTATGCTAAGGAGACGTTTTTTTTTTTCTAGATTCAAAATCTTTAGTTACATTATGCATATATATGTTGGATAGATAGATTCTCTATTAAGACAGACTTTGACCTTTTGTCAAACAAGGACAAAAACACTTCCAAATCAATAAAGAAAAAGATTCTTCTCAAAATCATCTGTATAAGAATATAATTTACACATAAACTATATGTCATTACTTGTAGAGTTAAAACAAAAAAGAAAAATTTATATATGCAGCTATTTCTGTTATACGTTGTAATAACAACGAATGTACAAGTCAAGCTTATTAGGCTATCAAGTCATGTTTATCAATTACTATTATGAATGAATTATTATTACCAAAAAAAAAATAACTGGATTTATACGTATACTTCTTATAACTATTATTGATATACATATATAAGCAGATTGTTTAAATGATTATGCATTTACGATTGCTGGAGATACAGTTTCAATAAGGAATTCAATAGGTGAAACAGTAGCGGTAGCATCCAACAAGACTGTTTGTGTTGATTGAAATAATGAAGTAGTCGTTTTCGTTACTAAACGCTCTTTCGATTTACTAATGGTTTCAGTCTTAACAGTTGTGATTAAAGAGGATGTAACTGTATAAATTTTAGTTGCAATCTTTCTATTCTTCTTTCTTTGAGTCAACCATGAAATCCAGGAGATTCCAACATCCCAAGTGCGTTTTTTAATAATATAAAACACTACGGAACAAAAGAATATTAAACCAAATAAAAGTAAAAGTCGATCAAACCAGTCTGAATTCTCTAATTGAGTAATGACTCTTTTGGAAATATGAACTAAAGAACCTAAATTTTGATATTCGTTATAAGTGGAAGATAGAGTCTTTGATGATTCAGCTAAAATAAAAATAAAGCCATTGTATGACATATTAGAATGGCTATTTTTGATTTGTTATAATTTATTACCCAGCATGCCGGCTGAAATTGAACTTTTTTCTAATTCTTGCTGCATAAGAGCACTTGTTCTTTTTAATGCTTCTGTCACATCAGAAGAGGCGCGTAACAATGCATCATCATGTTGGCTAATTTATGTTATTAATTATAAAGAAGCTTTAAGTTTAAATGAGATTCTTGTACCTCTTTCGAATTCCTCTCTGCTTTAATTCATATTGTTCTGTGAAAGTTTTACCATTTGCTCTATTTCCTATACCAAATAATTCTTCTCGATTTCTCTTTTCCTGATCATTTACTCTTTTCCTAGAACTTAATATTGCTTGACGTGAAGTAATTTGCAATCTAATAATAATAATAAAATATAAATAACAATATACTAAAGTCTTGACATAATTTGTATTTACTGTTTTAACTGGTTCTCATATTCACCTAATCTGTTTAAAATATTCATTTTTGAAGCTTCTGTATCCTCTTCTTCTGCTATTTGTTTAATATACTGTTATACGTATATATTTAATTAAAACTGTTTTTTTTTTTATTTTTTCTGCACGAAATTATTTAATTTATATGTATACATGAATACCTCAGTTTCCTGTTCTAAGTCTCTAATAGTTGACTTGACAAGTTCTGCTAATTCTTTTTGAACTAGTATGGAATCAACATGTTGTAATCTTTCGATTTGTCTTTGACATTCAGCTGTAAATCGACTAAGGGATCTGAATTTAGTCTCAACTGTGTTCATTTCTAGTTTAATACTGGAGGGAAAAAAAATAAAATAAAAAATAAATATGAAGTCATCTCGTGGGGGGGAGAATTTTTTTTTTTTTTTGATATTTCGAGTTCAGTTGTTGGACACCTTTATTATTATTATTATTAAGAAAGAAAAAGAAATAATACTCTTTTATAACAATAAAAAAAAAGGATATAAAATAAACTAAACCATTCTTTTTATTAACACAAAAAAATGGAATTCTTTTATTTTTTTTTCCTTTCAAGTATTCTATTTTATAGTTAATAAATGTGTTGTGAATATCCATTATTTAATGATTTTTATATTTTATAATAAAATTACAAATCATAGTGGCTTAGAAAAAAAATTTGATAGAATTGCATATGAGGCTGTAGTTAGAATATGATTATAGTTTTTTTTTTTTTTTTTTTTTTCCTTCCTACATTTTAACACTTCATTAATTACTACCACCCCCCATTCTATTCAATGAGTGATAAACTTACCCGTATTGCTATTGTCAGTGCTGACAAGTGTAAGCCTAAGAAGTGTAGACAAGAATGGTAGCTATATATATATATTAGTCGTTGGATTTAATTAGTTGATTATTATTAACATCTTTTTTTTTTGTACTGTATAGTAAACGTTCTTGTCCCGTTAATCGTATGGGTATGTAATAGATTAGTAACAGTTTTATCCTCTAGTTTTTTTTTTCTATAACTAAATTAAACATTGTTTATTTCTATAGGTAAGCTTTGTATCGAAGTTGAACCCACTTCCAAGATTGCTTTCATCTCTGAAGAACTCTGTATTGGTTGTGGTATTTGTGTAAAGAAATGCCCCTTTGGCGCTATTCATATTATCAATTTACCTACCAATCTCGAAGGCGAAGTCACACATCGTTACTCTGCTAATTCTTTCAAACTTCATCGTTTACCTGTTCCTCGTCCTGGTCAAGTATTGGGTTTAGTAGGAACTAACGGTATTGGTAAATCAACTGCTTTAAAAATTCTTTCCGGTAAGATGAAACCCAATTTGGGTAAATTCGACGCACCTCCTGATTGGCAAGATATTTTAAAGTATTTCCGTGGTTCTGAATTGCAAAATTATTTCACAAAGATTTTGGAAGATAATTTGAAGGCGATTATTAAACCTCAATATGTAGATCATATTCCTAAGGTTGTTAGCGGTAAAGTACACCAACTCTTGACAGATAAGCATGAACGCAACAACTTTGAAGAAATGATTGATATGTTGGATTTGAAGGACGTTTTGAATCGTGAAGTAGGACAACTTTCTGGTGGTGAATTGCAAAGATTTGCTATTGCTGTCGTTGCTGTTCAAAAGGCAGATGTTTATATGTTTGATGAACCTTCTTCTTACTTGGATGTAAAGCAACGTTTGAATGCTGCTCGTGTCATTCGTTCTCTTCTTTCTTCAGATACTTACATTATTTGTGTTGAACACGATTTGTCTGTTTTAGATTATCTTTCAGATTATGTATGTATTCTTTATGGTAGACCTTCTGCTTATGGTGTCGTCACTCTTCCTTACTCTGTGCGTGAAGGTATCAATATCTTCTTGGATGGTAACATTCCTACAGAAAATTTGCGTTTCCGTGAAGAATCCTTAACCTTTAAGATTGCTGAAACTGCAACTGAAGGATCAGTCGCAAAGGCAAATTCATACAAGTATCCTAAAATGCAAAAGGTCCTTGGTGATTTCAAATTGGATGTTGAAGCAGGTGAATTCCAAGATTCAGAAATTATTGTCATGTTGGGTCAAAATGGTACTGGTAAATCTACATTTATTCGTCTTTTAGCTGGTCTTTTGAAACCTGATGGTGAAGGTCAAGTTCCTACTCTTAATGTTTCTTATAAACCTCAAAAGATTTCTCCTAAATTTAAGGGTACCGTTCGTATGTTATTCTTGAAGAAGATTAAGGGCGCTTTCTTGAACCCTCAATTCAACACTGATGTTATTAAACCATTGAATATTGAAAACATCATTGATCAAGAAGTGATGCATTTGTCTGGTGGTGAATTGCAACGTGTTGCCATCATTCTTGCTTTGGGTCAACCTGCAGATATTTATCTTATTGATGAACCTTCTGCCTATCTTGATTCCGAACAACGTATTATCGCTGCTAAAGTAATTAAACGTTTCATTATTCACTTTAAGAGAACTGCTTTCATTGTAGAACACGATTTTATTATGGCTACTTATCTTGCTGATCGTGTTGTTGTCTATGACGGTACTCCTTCTGTTCATGCCACTGCTAATACTCCTCAATCTTTGTTGACCGGTATGAATAAATTCTTGGCTTCTCTTGAAATTACCTTCCGTCGTGATCCTTCCAACTATAGACCTAGAATCAACAAGCTTGATTCTCAACTTGATCAAGAACAAAAGGCTTCTGGTAATTACTTTTTCATGGAAAACTAATTTAGACCTTCATTTCTACCTTTTTACCATTTCTTTTTATATATATAATTTCTGTTTTTTTTATTGACTTTAATTCCAATTCGTTGCCCCTTCTTTTTTATTAAAAAAATAAAATGAAATAAATGATACTTTGTAATACAACGCATTTTTGACAACTGTGTTAATATGAAAGTGTTTCACTTTTTTGAGAAATAAAATAAAATTTCCCTGTGTTTATGTCAAAAATTATTTCTGCTCTTTTTTTTTTTTTTTTTCATTTATTTAGTAAATGAAGATGGCACAATCAAATCCCACTAATGTAATTCGTTTTCTACATGTTATTGAAAACTTGAAAGTAAGAAATGAAGTTTTTATTATTATTATAAAAGATTAATTTTGTTATAGAGAACTAAACGAACTGGATGGTTGGATAATGGCATTCAACAAGCTGAATCTATTTCTGATCACATGCATCGCATGGGTGTTATGGCCATGCTTGTCAATGATCCATCTATTAATAGAGAAAAGTAATTATATATAAAAGAGGGAAGAGGAAATGGTCATTTATTTATTTTATGATTTAGATGTATAAAAATGGCTATTGTTCATGATCTTGCTGAAGCTGTTGTGGTATGGATTCATTTGAAAACGAACATTATCTACATGTATTCTTATTATTATATATTGACTCCAATATAGGGTGATATTACACCTCATGCTGGTGTCAGTAAAGAAGAAAAATTCAGGTTGGAAAAGGTACATCTCAATATATATATATATATATAACGTAGCATATAAATAATGTAATATGACGTTAGAATGCTATGGATGGTTTCAAAGAATCTTTAGGAAATACAGAGACCGCAAAAGAAATTGTTGATTTATGGCTTGAATATGAGGATGCAAAGACACCGGAAGCATTATTTGTTAAAGATTTGGATAAATTTGAAATGATTGTACAAGCTTTGGAATATGAAAAATGTATGTTTTTTTTTTACATATTATACACGTGTGCAAGATTCAAGTGTCTTATTAAATCCTTTATTTTTTTTTAGCGGATAAGAAAAAGTTGCAAGGCTTTTTTGATTCCACCAAGGGTAAATTTCAACATCCTGCTGTTAAGGCTTGGGCTGAAGCATTATATAAAGAAAGAGAAGAAGTATTGAAACAATTAGATTAAATAAAAAAAAAGTAAAATTAAAAAGCAAATATTTAATATGTAAACACTATAAAGAAAACAAAAAGGGGAGGGGGAAGAAGGAATGGGAGATATAGTATTTATCTACATGAATTGGAATAAATGTTTATTTATTTTTTTTTTTTCATTCAAAAAAAAAATTAAATTAGATCTTTTGCATAGCAGCAATATCTACAGATTGAACATAATCTTCCAAATCTTGAATGGCATCAGTCAAGTCATCCATCATAACCTTATCATCTTCAACAACACAGTTGATTTGAAGCTTCTTGATACCATAACCAATGGCAACAAGTTGGTGACCACCCCAAAGGAGACCATCCATGTTGATAGCCTTGACAGCAGCAGTCAATTCATCCATGTTGGTTTCATCATCCCAAGGCTTAACTTCGAGGGTGACGGTGGTCTTAGCAATAGGCTTAGGCTTAGCGGCCTTCTTGGCATTGTATTCAGCAAGACGTTGAGCCTTGAGCTTTTCAGCTTCTTCATCAACTTCTTCATCATCAGAACCGAAAAGATCAATATCATCTTCTTCTTCAGCAGCAGGTGCAGCTTCCTTAGCAGCGGGCCTAAAAACAAAAAAAATACTTAGTTTTTTTTATTCTTTAGAAAAAAAAACAAATAACTTACTTGACTTCAGCGAACCACTTGTTGACATTAACGAATTCAGCAGCAGGAGCAGAACCTAAAGCAGCAGCAACAGTGGAATCGGCATCAGTAGCCTTATCGTTACTATGAAAAAAGAATAATTAGTGCTAAGCCACAAAGATTGAAAAGAGGCCAACTTTGTTTTCATTGTTGACATTGAAAGACGGTTTCTTTTTTTTAAAAAAAAATAAAATAAAAAATAATAACATACGAAGCAATATATTTGTTTTCAGCAAGAACAGCTTCGAGGATGTGAAGGGCCAAAGGAAGTTCCAAAGTAACAGACATTGTTAAAGATGTATATAGATGCAAAAGGAAGAAATTTTTGATGAAGTTTCTTCTATTAAAATTTTTTTATTATTTTTTTTTTGTTAAATTTAAACCAATCAAATTCTTAGAAAATTCAAAGTGAATAAAATGTAATCTCTTTAATACAACTCAATAATGGAACCATTATAATACACACAACAGTTTTTTATTTTTATTTTTCTGCTGAATTATTCCGTGGAACCTAAATTAGTGTCTATGATTCTAACGATATATACATTTAATACATAAAGATGTATATAGTGTAGACCATTGTCAGTCAAATCATAAGCCACAATTTTAAACGCGTTCATCAGAAAGTAACTATTTTAATACAGAATAATGCAGCTATGGACAAAGATATTTATTAAGCCCAAATAAGAAAAAAAGAAAAAGGCAAGGAAGAGATAGTTGGATCTACACAAGATTAAAATGTGAATGTACTTATTAAACTAAGAGAAGAAAGTTAAACATATTATTATGATTTTTATTGATCTATCTGTTTTCACTGTTAGCCGCAATCATCTCTATACATGTTTTAGTTTGATTTAATTGGCTACTTGAAGAATCTATAATATGACAAATAAGACGAGTTAGTTTGCAATTGTTACATTTTATATATTATATTAAAATAATATTACATAATAATGTAACCTTTTTTTTTTTTTTTGATAAAAGATATTATACGAGTGAGCTCCCCCCTCCGTTAAACAGAAATGGATTTAGATTACAAATCTATTTTTATTAGCCTTTCATTGTACCTTTTTTTTTTGTATTCACTGGAAAGCATTACAGCCTATTTTAAACAACAGTCAATGTAAGTTTGGAGGAGCAAAGTAAAGTTAGTGATACATTATTGGAAACTATAAATTTGCCTACCAATAATACTACGCATCACACAATTTAGACTATGATCAGTAGCAATCGTGTTTATAATAAAATCCACATTCTATTTTACGCTATTTGCCAACTTGAAGTAGTACTACTCAGCTTGCTTAATAATAAAGTCAAGCCACATTCAAAAGAAAATTACCTTACTGTGTAACTTACTATCTATCCTTATGTAATTTTTCATTACTTGAAGTTAGTTGTAGCAAATATGAAACCAACAAACTAGATTGATTTTAATTTCTTCTTTTACCAATTGTTCAAAGAGAAGAGGATAAACCTAACGATGATGTCATTACATTCAATACCTTTTACATTATATCTATCGAGTATCTACAGTAAATGCCAAATATGAATAAAATCGTATATCTTTGTTTACTGCTAAATATTTTTATTTTATTTTATTTTGCAGATTGCATTTTCGCGTAAAACAAAACAAAAAAAAAAAACCTTTTATCTAAAAGAAGAACAATTCAATGCTATAAAAAGAATTTTCTAAAAATAATTTTTTTAAAGAAAAAAAAATTGCATTAAATTTTTCAAGTGTTTTTTTTTTTCAGGAAAAAATAAATCATATCTGATATGATTGCTCATCCTTTTTTTTTATATATATATACTTTATTAAAAAAGCTTAAAAAAAAAAAAAAAAAAAAAAAGAATAAAAAAAAATCATTATTTTGCAATTGCAATTGCTTTCAACAAAAAGAAATAAAACTCGTAAAAATTCAGTTCTTTATTTTTTTTAAAAAAAAAAACTATTTTTAGATTTGTTAAACCTTTTTTCAAAAAAATAAAAAAAAACCTGCAGACTGTCAAAGAATAAAGTATATTAGTTTCACATCTAACAATGAAATATAAGAAAGGGGAGGAAAGTTAATCAAAATAAAAAATAAAAAAAAAATTGATTCAAAGAGATTTATTTTATAAATTCCTTTTTATTACTTGCAAAAAAAAAAAAAAAAAAAAAAAAAAAAAAAAAAAAAAAAAGATTATTAAATAGAAGGGTGAAAGAAAGAAAATAGTTTACAGTGAAAACTCAATACAAAAATATGATTGGACAGATTCTCTTTACCCTCCCCCCCTTTTACATACATATTTATTTATAAATTAAATCTTTTTTGTACCTGGTTTACTATCTAAAACGTGCTTTACTAAAATATTTTATTTTACCAGATATATAAATTATTATGGTTGCGGGGAATTATTTTTTTTTTATTAAACATATACCAACGCTAACACTTGTATCTAAAGCATATGATGTTGTATTTGAGTTTTGCATACCGACTTTGAGCTACCGATTTTATGTAAATATTTATTTTTAAACTTTTTTTTTTTTTTTTTTTTTTTTTGTTTTATATATTTAACATGAAAAGATTTTTTTATTTATTTTTTTATTTATTTATATAGATGCTACTTCTTTTTCCTTTTCTTATTTCTTTTTAGCTCTATTTACTTTCATATATATTATTATTAAAAGAAGAAAACAAAAAAAAAAGAAAAGAAAAATAGAGGATAGAAATAGAGACTTGTTTAAATAGATATAATAAAAGTAATTCATCCTCAATTGGCTTAAATACCTTAAGTGTCGTGCATGCATCGATTTTTTTTATAATAATTCATGTTTCCTAAACAACCAAATGAAACTTTGGATAGTATCACTACTGATATCGATAAGTTTGAATTGAATCAGAATAATGATGATAATGATAACTTTTATCCAAGAAAGTTAACTCAGCCGAATCCTGTTACAGGCCTATCGGTAGATGAAATTTTGATAAAATATCAAAATAACCCACAGTTGTTAAATCAGATACTTGCTGCAAAAGCTCAAGAAGATCAGGTAAACTAAATAAATGATGCATTCATTTAGATATTTTTTTTAGTAAATTATAATAGAGGAAAGCTTCTGAAAAATGGTATCAAGCTGAACAAGCCCGTTTACAAACAAAATTTATTGAATATGAATTAAATCGACATCAAGAGAACATTCAAGGCCAACCATTAAGTAAATATTCCTCTCTTTTATATAGTATATCCAGTCTAAACTTTATAGTCATAGATCATCCTTTTATGAACACTCAGAAACAAGATTATTCTCCTTTTATCTTAACTGGGCCATATTATCATCATCATCAATTAAATTCTCCTCCAACTCATACTTCTTCTTCCTTTCATACCAATCGTACTGTCTCTTCCTTACCAATAACTAACTTTTCTTATGGAAATGACTTGCAGCAACCACAACCACAACCACAACAAGACTCTGTTAGTATTGCTTCTTCTTCTCCTTCTATTGGCTTTATGTCTCCTCCTAGCTTTGGCTTATATAATCAAGATCAACATGGGATACTTTCTTCTTCTTCAAAAGAGATAAATCAACCCTTCTGTTCATTTACTAATATTGTGTCTGCTCCTATTGTTCCTTCTAACGTATCTGATACCAATAAGAGTCAAACAACATCTGAATTAGCTACACCTATCTCTATTAATAACACCAAATCAGTAAAGAGAAGGAAATCAGGAAAGACAGGTCATATTCATCGAACTTTATCATACGAAAGTGTAATGAGTCTAACAGATTTTAATGTAAATATAAATACGAAACGAAACAATTCTCTCTCTCCTACGCTCCCTTCTCCACTTCCCCGTTCTCTACCTTCTCAACCTTTGGATCATGATAAAGTAATGGAAGCACTCAGAGCTAAATTACGAAAATCGTCGTCGCCATCTCAAGCACACAAATCAAAGCCATCTCTAGAGTCGACTCCACCACCACCACCACTACCGCCTCCTCCTCCAAACACAAATCCAACAACGGGCATCTTACTCTTAAATTTAAAGAATCGACGCCGTAAAGTGTCTATTACAAAACGTGGTAATAATGATTATGGTAGCAGTAGTAAGCCATAAACATGTATATATGTATATATATGTATATATGTGTATATACATGTATACATGTATATAATTCTCCTTTCCACTCATTCATTCTTTTTTTTTTTTTTTTTTTTTTTTTTTTTTTTTTTTATTTCTGTATACCTTATACACTCCTTATCCTACTATATATATATATATATATATATATATACATACATACATATACACGTATATATTCCCAAATTTTATTATGTATGATATATAAATGAATTATATACACTATTTTATTTATTTATTTATTTATTTATTTTTTCAAATTCTTTATATGTCTTATATGGGAAGGACGAGTACCACAACAACCACCTACTATGATACGTGGACCGTATTGTTTTATAAAGGTAGCCATCATAGAGCCAAAGGATGCCTCAGGTAATTTTGTAGTAGGATCCCAACTCTTTGTGATCATATCCCATTCTTCACCTCCGTCGGGATAAGCCAGGATGGCCTTTTGATGATGCTGAAGTGGTTGTGCAATCGTATGTAATAAAGCTGGAACAAATTTGGGTTTAGTACAATTAAAACCTAGAGCAAAGACGAGTTCCAAGTCAATTAAATCTTCAAGAGCCCTCAGCATAGGTGTTCCATCCGCTATGTCTTCACCTGAACGACATTGAAAGGAGACAGCGATAGGGGGTAGTAAGATTTTATCATCATCATCATCATCTGCTTCTTGACACGAGTAGTCCAAAATCAACTTTCGAATGGCTTGAACTTCTAAATAGGAAGGGATTGTTTCAAAAAGAATAAAGTCAACCATGGATGATGATGATGAGGATAAAAAGATGGCTAATCTATCTTTATGAAATTGAACAAGTCGGTTCAAAATGGTAGTAGTAGTAGTAGTAGTAGTAATATCATCTTCACTACCATAATAATCACCTGTATATTCAGCTCCATTAGCCAAGACTGCGCCATAACATCCAATCGATAGAGCTACAAGTCTTGGTTCAGTATCATGAGGATGAGCCTGTTGAAATTCTTTACGCGCTTCACATGCTAGTTCAATGCTCTTGCGCATTAATTCCTTTGCATCTTCTTCACTATAGTTTTCACTTAAAAATCCCTCCATAGAAGCTTGATAACTACAAGTTGTAATTATATTTGCACCTGCTTCATAATATGATTTATGGACAGACTTCACCTTAAATCGTTAGATGTATTTTTCTGTCTGTCTGTTTGTCTGTCTGTTATTCATTTTACTTTTATGTTACCTTAATTGCTTCAGGGTCTTCCTCAAGACACTTTGCTGACCATAACTTTCCTTTCATTGTTGTAAGACAAGCCTTAAAACGAATAAAAAAAAAAAGAAAAAGAAATACACATTTACCTGATAAATCTTTTCCAAAACCTCTTTCAAGTTGTGTGGCCAAACCACCATCTAATAATAACGGAAAAGGGAACTGAATAGAAGACATTAATAATAATGATCGCGATATATTCTCCAAAAACAAAACAAAAAAGAAAAAATAAAAATAAAACAAGAAATGAGTACAAATAGAAATTTAGTTATTAGAAAGATTTTAAAAGTTTATTAAAAGATGAAGCATTTTATGATCATAGTGCATCAACTTAAACCATCAGGGTCCCCTTCCCATATACACACCCTTGTCCCTTAAAAATGAAATAATAGCCTTTTCTCCCTTTTTTTTTTTTGGAGAAAAAAACAAAACACCATATATAAAAAATTACTTTATTCATTAATAAAATAATTCATGAAAGGAGTAGATAAAGGTTTGATTTATTTTATTTTTATTTTTTTTTGTACAAAGATATTTGTAATCAGCATCCAAAGTAACATGTTTTCGGTCATGAAAGAGCTCCGGGTTAGCATGGAATGTAGTATGCTCATCATATAACAAATATGTGTACAAAAAAAATAAAAATAAAATGTCAAACTTTCTTACCATTTCATATTACGGGAAATAGAAAACTTAAAATATATACAAATATGTATATAACAAAAAGATAAAAAAAGACTTCAGTAAAAAAGAGAAAGGTACGATTTTATTAGCAACATGAATAAATGTACATAAGGACTACTCTTCTATCCTTCAACATCATAAATAATGAATCCTATTAAAGAATAAGGGTTAATTTGATTACAACAAAAAAAAAGGAATAAAATTGTAACAAGTACAAAGGAAATGAATTTAAATTGTAGATTATCAGACAAAGGGTAAAGAGCTGCATGGTTTATCGACATATCATTCTTTTCCGCCTGGGGCGGCAAAAGCATTCATCACGATACATTTATAAACATTCCTTTGTACTATGTCCTTTTTTAAAGAAAAAATATTTACCTTGAAAGAAAAGTAGAGAATAAAGAGAAAAGAATTATTAAGAAACAAAATGAATTTATTGAAAAGAAGGAAAAAAAAATTTTTTTTTTTCGAGATGAAAGTGACAGCTAAATTTGATTATGTAAAAAAAATAAGAAAAAAAATTTAATGAATTACTACTCGGTGACTGTGAAATTATTGTTATGCTGTAATTCGACGATATGGATTGATTATTACAACAATATACAATTCCTAACTCCTTTCTCTCTTTTTGTATTGTTATTGTTATTATTGTTATTATTGTTATTATTATTGTTATTATTATTGTTATTATTATTATTGTTATTAATACTATTACTATTACTATAACTGCTACTATCACTATCACTATTACTATTATTTTTTAATAAATGAGTGATATATGATTTAGTAGTAGCAATTAATTTATTTAAATAAAATAAATATGCATTAAAATAGATTGAAGATATGAGAGGGTACAATGAAGACTGCAAACGCATTTTATAAGATAAATAAGGAAAGGAGGCGTATGATAGTATTTACATATAAAGGTTATACCTACAGTACATAATTTATATTACTAAAAGTCATTAATAAAATAAGCTCGGTAGTTTTGTTATTTAAAAAGTTCTATTCCATTTTATTAGTTATAAATAAAGGAATATTCCTTTATAAAAAAGTATATAACTTTAGATCAACTTTATCTTCTTCGGAATATCTCCCGATTCATTTCTTTCTTTCTTTTTTTTTTTTCCTGCAGCAGTAATGAAATTTAGGAGATTGATTCTTATTAAGCAAATATATGGTATATAATAATAACTACTTTATTCTCAGGAGGTGTAGTATGTATGTATGTATGTATGTATATGATTATATACATAACATTATAAATATACACATATATATTTATTAAAAGCACAAACAGAATAAAATGATATGACTTGGTTAGTTGTAATTGTAGTGGTAGTGGTAGTGGTAGTGGTAGTGGTAGTGGCAGTGGTAGTGGTAGTGGTAGTGGTAGTGGTAGTGGTAGTGGTAGTGGTAGTGGTAGTGGTAGTGGTAGTGGTAGTGGTAGTGGTAGTGGTAGTGGTAGTGGTTATTGGTTAGTGATAGTGATAGTGATAGTGATAGTGATAGTGATAGTGATAGTGATAGTGATAGTGATAGTGGTAGTGATAGTGGTAGTGATAGTGGTAGTGATAGTGGTAGTGATAGTGGTAGTGATAGTAATAGTAATAGTGGTAGTAGTGGTAGTAGTGGTAGTGGTATATACATCATAAATAGACATATATACTACATCTTTTTGTCTGCATAATAAGTGGGAGTATATTTATTATTTTAACATGAGTGGCTCCATTCCGAGTTCCGGACCGTTCTGCGTATCGTCGTACATGGACGATGATGATTGTGGAAGAGTCATTCCGTTTCGAAACAATGGAACAATAGTGCTAGTAGAAGAAGAATGGGTATTTGTTAAAGGCTGTTGTTGTTGTTGTTGTTGTTGTTGTAATTGCTGTTGTCTTTGAAAATAATAATTCCCGCCATAAAAATGATGATGATTATTATTGTTATTATTAGGGTGTTGTTGAATTAAATTAGGATCGTTATTTAACTTATTCGTCGTTGTATTAGCACCGCTATGAGGATAATGATGATGGGTTGGCATTCCCATAGGTTGAAAAAAATGTGGAGTATTTGTATTTGTATTTGTGTTTGTAGTGGTAGTGGTAGTAGGACCACCACCACCACTACTACTACTACTACTAGTAGCAGAAGCAGAAGCAGAAGAAGTAGTAGTAGTAGTAGCAGAAGTAGCAGAAGTAGGTGCAGTTATGGTAGTCATAGCTTTAGTTGCTGCTGTATCATTGGCATCTTGTTTTATTATACTTGTGTTTAAGGGATGTACTGGATTTAAAAGTTGACCTATATTTGGACTACTAGAAGAAAAGACTTGTGTAGTAGTAGAATCGTTTATCTCAGTCTTTATGCGATCGTCATTTCCATAAATGTTAACTTCGGGAATCATATGAGGATGAATAGAAGTCGTTGGAGTTCTATTGTCGGTCATTGTATGATTTGACATCATATCAAAACTATTACGACCATATCTGGGAATAGAACCTGATGAACTAGATGACAGAGAATAGTGTCGTGATTGCTGAGAGAATGAATGTCGAACAGGTGATAACATGGGTGTATTTGGCGATGAACTCATACTAGAAGGGGAAGGTAAAGGAGGGAATCCAGTAGGATTGTTATTAGCTGTCGTATGTTGATTATACATAGTAGGTATAGTTTGACTGCTATAATAGGCAGCAGATAAACTATTCGAATATTTGTTGGGGTTATTCGTATCTTCTATATCGAGACGTTGAGCAAGGGATGAAGCAGGTGTTGTATAAATAAATTGTTGAGAAGAACTATCAGGTCGACCTAAAGCAGTAGTAGGATAGCTATTATTAGGAGCACGAAGTGAACTCATTGACATACTGCGAAGAGGATGAATACGTCTATCATCTATTATCAACAAAATCTAATTAATACATATCAACTTTTTAATTGTATATAAATATATACCAGCTGTCAAAGTAGTTTCATTTTGATCAAAAGAAGGTTCAACCATTGGAGGTATTCTAAAGTTTTGTTTGACGAGTAAATCTGGAGAAATTTCAAGACTTGCTAATTCTGGAACAGAAGAAGGAGTACGTAACTTATTTGCAATAATATCACTAGGAAGATAATAAGAAATTAAATGCTGTGGTACGCCATTGACGATGATAGACATTGTCTTCTTTATTAAACCGTCTTTTCGAAAACGATAAGAATCGGAAAGACTACCGACCAATCTACGTTCACGACTACGATCAGTTGATATACCACCCATTGCTGATTGATCTGCACTATAACTTCTTTGTCTTGCATCATGACTTGAAATAGATAATTTTTTATCTCCTGGAACTCGTTTATCAAGTTCTCGATAAATTAAAAAATTACCAAGAATACGAGAAGGACTCCAAACAAGTCCATCTGTCCATCGTTTAATACCTAAAATAAAGAATATTCATTATTTCTTTCTTTCTTGACTCCTTATCCTGACTCCTTTTTTTTTTTATTTTTTTTTTTCACAAATTAGTATTCAGCTTGTTTCGCATTTTTTTTTTTTTTTTTTTTTTTTTTTTTTTTTTTTTTTAAAAAAAGAAAATTATGTTGCTGTCATAAATATGGAAACTTTTCCCCTTATCTATAACTCATTTCTTTTTATTACCTTTCCTCATTCTCCTCTCTCTCTCTCTCCCCCCACTACCATTTTTTTTTATTGTTTTTTCTCCTTCTAACTCCCCCACTCACACAAGCACTCACACACACACACACTTGGAACATACATGTATATATATACATACATACATCAACCCCGCTTTCACTATTACTACTAACACACACACACGCATAATAATATGAAAACCCTTGTCTTTTAAGGAAAAAAAAAAGATAGAAATTTACCTGATTCTCGTTCGTCAAATACAAAGACTGAGCCAGATCGTATCATTCGTCTTTCCTTTTCTTGTAATCTTCTACAAACTCGTGGAATTAAACCTCTTCTACAGCCTTCAAAAATAAGTAAAACATCTTGTGTAGTTTCTATGTAACCATGGAAAGTCTCTGTCATTTTTTATTTTATTTTATTTATTTTCTTGTTATCAATTATTAGCTCCTTATTTATTTTTTATGCTACCAAAAAAATAAATAAAAAACAATCTAAACTATTATTTTTTTCTTAAGTTATCAAACCTTTAATATTTTCTAGTAATAAAAGAACAAGTTCGAATATTTATTTAAAAAAAAAAAAAAAAAAACTTCAAGAATAATATATATACTTGAAAGGAAAAAAAAAAAAAAAAAAAAAAAAAAAAAAAAAAAAAAAAAAAAAAAAAAAAAGAACGAAAATAAAAAAGAAAATAAATAAAGGAAAAAAAAAATAAAAAAAAATTATGTTTGGTTGTACATACGTAAATAGACGCATTTACACTAAAAATTCTTCTATTTTTCCTTCACTATCTTTTATTATCTTTCCTTCTTTTTTTTTTAAAGTTAAATTAGGAAATATAATTTTTAATGTATACACCATGCCCTAAAAATCAATTATATTGTATTGAAACAACAACAATATAGCATGATAATTAAAAGGAATAATCTTTATGAGAATGACTCTCTTTTCCTTTCAAATTCAAACTCGGCGCAGGGGTTAGTTGCGGGAGATCTAACACACACAATACACACACAATACACAACAACACACACAAACGGCATATATACTGTATATTATATTTATATAACACTGAGCTTGAAAAAAAAAAACGATGATGCATATACAAATAAATGTGTATATATAAAAAAAAATAGAAAATATAATTACATATCTTTGGTTGATAATAATAAGCTTCAATTGTGTAAATGAAGAAGGAATTTATTTTAACTTAAAGTTTTCTACTATTGTTATAGTTTACCTTTTTTTTTTATAGCTGTCAACTTTATTATGTACAACAACTTTATTGAAATGAACATATTACTACTACTACTGCGATGTTGTTGTTGTTGTACATGAATATACAGCCTTGTTGTTGTAGTATCTCACGATAAGATAAACTGGTGAAACATGTATATTCATATTTATAGCATAATATATTTCCTATTTTTTTTTAACGAATAGAAACAATAAGATATAAAAATAAATTATGATAAACATTCATTTATTTATTTTTTATATGTATATTATTTTTTTATTGCTGTTGCCTTGTGTTAACAAATAACTCATCTTTTTGTTGTTGTACAAGCAGCAGTATTTTTTTTTTTTTTTTTTTTCCTGGCTGAATAATAATTTGAGTCCTAATAAAGAAAAAAAGCTTTTTTTAGTAAGGGAATTTATTAATATTTATGCATAAATAATGACAGTAACAAAAGAATTCAAAGGACTAAAAGGACTAAAAAGGTGAACTTTATTAAAGTAAAGACATTTTAGATTACATGACAGGCTGTTACACTTGTCCATTCTCTTTAACAATAAAGTTTGATTTGTATTTTTTTTTTTTTAATTCTTTTTATTAAGCTTTTTATTTTATTTATTTATTGTAAAAAATGGTAAAAAAAAATATTTATATATTTATATGATGATACAAAGTAAAGAAATTATTACAGCTTTGCTTGTCCGTCTTTCTTTCTCATTCTTTCTTTCTCTTATTATTATTACATCATGCCACCCATGCCACCCATACCACCCATAGGAGGCATGGCGGATTCCTTCTTGGGAGCATCAACAATCATACATTCAGTTGTGGTCAAAAGAGAAGCTACACCGGCAGCATCAACAAGAGCAGTACGAACAACCTTGGTAGGATCAATGATACCACGTTCAATCATATCAACATATTCATTTGTAGAGGCATCATAACCCCAGTTGATGTTACCTGATTTGTCTTCCAAGATCTTACCCGCTACAACAGATCCTTCACCACCTGCATTATCAACAATCGTTCTACAAGGTCGTTGAATGGCTTGACGAATGATGTTAATACCCAATTGTTGATCAAAGTTAGCTGCCTTCAAGTTATCAAGTGAATTGGCCGCCTTCAAGAGCGCAACACCACCACCGGGGACAATACCTTCTTCAACAGCGGCACGTGTAGCACAAAGTGCATCATCAAATCGATCCTTCTTTTCTCCTACCTCTACTTCAGATGCTCCACCCACACGAATCACCGCTACACCTCCAGAGAGTTTAGCAAGTCGTTCTTGAAGTTTCTCTCTTTCATAATCAGATGTACTAGGGTCTTCAATAGCTCCACGGATTTGTTCACATCGTTGTGCGATTGCATCCTTTGTTCCTGCTCCATTCAAAATCACCGTATCTTCTTTTGTGATCGTGACGGATCCGGTCGTACCAAAGAGATCTGGCGTAGCCTTATCTAATTTACTATCTAATTCATCTGAGAACACTGTAGATTCAGTCAACACCGCGAGATCTCCCAAGATGGACTTGCGATTATCACCAAAGCCTGGTGCCTTCACGGCAGCTACTTGGATTTGTCCACGTAACTTGTTCAAGATACAGGCTGCAAGGGCTTCACCATCTAAATCTTCTGCTACAATCAAGAGGGGTCGTCGTTGAGTAGCTGCGGCTTCAAGGGCGGGTAAGATATCATGAAGCATAGAAATCTTTTTCTCTGATAACAAAATCAAGGGCTTTTCAAATTCAACTTTTTGTGTCTTGGTATCTGTGATGAAATAAGGTGAAATGAAACCACGGTCAAAACGCATACCTTCTGTCACTTCCAATTCATCATCGATTGTCTTTCCTGCCTTGACCGTGATGACACCTTCCTTACCAACACGTTCCATAGCTTGTGCAATCATATTACCAACATGTTTATCACCATTAGCAGAGATGGTAGCAACCTATAAATGCATAAGAAGATATAAGTTTTTTTTTTATCAACAATGAATAAATATAGATCCATCCTATTTTATACCTGGGCAATTTCAGCAGAAGTAGTAATCACTTTGCTATGTGTCTTCAAAAAGTCAAGAACATGATCAACAGCAAGTTGAGCACCACGACGAAGATCTAATGGATTACAACCAGCTGCAACATTCTTGACACCTTCAGTAAAAATGGAACGAGCCAAAACAGTAGCAGTAGTTGTACCATCACCTGCAAGTTCATTTGTCTTACTAGCAACGTCTTGAACAAGTCTTTAGAAAACAAAACAAAAAAGTATAGATAACTATGTTAATAGGAATGTATTCATTTGTGTGTGTATTTTGCCTTTCCCCTTTCTCTCTCTCCCTCCCTCCCTCTCTCTCTCTCCCTCTCTCTCTTCGTCAACCATCCCATTCATATCTATAAAGTATTACCTAGCACCTAAATTTTCAAATTTATCTTCCAAAACAATAGACTTGGCAACAGTAACACCATCCTTAGTAATCTTGGGAGAACCATAAGGTTGCTCAATAAGAACGTTGCGACCCTTAGGACCGAGGGTAACGGCAACAGCTTTGGCAAGAACATCAACACCCTTTAAAAGAGCAGCACGACCTTCAACGCCAAATTTAATTTCTTTATGAGTAGAATAAAGACGGCTAAGAATGCCAGTAGTACTGCGAGTACGAGTGGTTGTTTGAAGTGCCTTTGTGAAAAGTCTATTCATATTCTATTATGTAAAAAAAGAAAGAAAGAAAAGCAAAGAAAAGAAAAGAAAAAGAAAAAGAAAATGAGTTTTATTTTATTTTTTTTATTTTGAATAGATGGGAGGGGGCCTGAAAAATAAATTTGACATCCAAAATCGCTCTTTTTTTTTTTTTTTTTTTTTTTTTTTTTTAGATTTCCTTTTTTTTTTTTTTTTTTTTTTTTACTTTTGAAATAGAGATGCAACAGTCACAGATGATAATACCTTTTTGGTTAAAGCAAACTTATGTGTAAGCCAATTAGACCAATAAGAAATAGTTTTAATCATGTTTTGGAATCAACTGGAAATTTCCTTCTTTCAGCAGCAACCTGATTCTGTCACAAAAGAAAGAAAAAAAAAACAAAAAAAAAAAAAGATAGATAGATAGATATTCTTTATTGTAAAAGGCCTTATTAATCAATTTGAACTTATTTTTTTTTTATTTTCTAATATATATCTGTTGTTTTATTATTATTTTTTGTAATGTTGTCAATTGGAACTAGTTCTTAATTTGGAATCGTCAAATTTATTATCTCTTCAATAATTGAACATGTTTCGCATAATTTTGTTTTTGTTTTTGACATAAAAAAAAAAGAGGTTTCTGTTTTAATTAGTTCTAATAAAGCCCATGCCATAACTCAATTCTGGAGATTTATAAAGAAAGGACTACGAACTTGAACTATTTTTTATTTTATATACAAATATATTATTTTTTTTTTTACATTTAATATAATGCAAAAAAAGAAAATGTCAGTTAGAGATTGGTCATTTTCGTCACCCGTTTTAAATAACACACAAAATAGTGAACTGTAAGTTGATAAAATTGAATAAAGGGGGTCAACTAAAAAAAAAAAAACATACTACTCGTTTATTCAATGTGTATCTTATCCTATCTTGTATAATATACATGGATGATTATAATTAGAATAAGGCCCCCAAGTCCTTTCTCAAGAATAGATAGCTTTGATCATCAACAAAAATTAGAAAAAGATTTTTGCAAGGACTTTCTTTGTTGTGGTTTATGTCTGGATAATTTACACGAATTGCTTGAACATTATGAAGGCCATCACCTTCCACGAAATAACAATACAAATACTACTGAGATAGTTGAAGAAGGTAAAGAGGCAGTAGTGCCTATCCATCAAGGTCTTTTAAATACCTCCTTTTCTTCATTATTACCTTTACCACTTAAACAACGCTCAACGATTGCTGGTTTAAATATGTTGGAAAATACGAATAAGCATAATAGTTCGTTAGATCTAAAAAACGAGCTAACGACAACGTTAAATTCTTTGGCTGATATCGTTCATAGTCCATCCTCTAGTCTAAAATTAAATAATAATAATGTTAGTGATGATGACGACATAAGTATGTCCTTACTTGCCGACAATTCAACACTAAGTCAACAATCAAATTCACCTCTAAGTGAATTATCTGTCTTTGAAGGTAAGAAAAGAAAATGATATTCATAGCCATATATTATCCTTCTTTTGTAAATTTAGATACGACTGATAGACCTTATCGTTGTCATATTGAAAATTGTGACAAGGCTTACAAGAATGCAAATGGGCTCAAATATCATCGTATACATGGTCATTGTCAATCCTCTGATAGTAATGATCTTTTAGGGAAGCCTTTTATTTGTTTTGTAAGCAGTTGCAGAAAAGGATATAAAAATTTAAACGGTCTTAAATATCATATGGAACACGCACATATGATGAAAGTCGCTAACTTGACTTCTGACTTATTTTTGGGGAACAATAGATCACCACAAGGTACTAAAAGGAGAACTACTTGATTATTATGTAATCCAGTCATATATATACGTATGCATATATCTATATAAATATATCTGTATATATAAAGCCTTGTATATAATAAACATAACTATTTCATTATAAATGAAAAACAAAAACAAACGCTATTGGTTGACCAACAATCCTATTCTCTCAACTGCTACCCAGCATAAAGCCTTTCTTACTATTACTACGGTATATAACTCGAATAGTGTTTATTTTTAATATAATCAACGTGTTGATTTCCTTTATCATGGTGACTATCCAATCATGTTGCATAAAAGCCAATTTTTTATAAATAAAACCAATATTTTACAGTTGTTGCTGTTGTCGTCTAGCTTCTCTTTCGTCAATCTTTTTTTGTCTTGCTCGTAAGACCAAGTCTTTTAAAGTTTTTCCATTTTGTGCTCGTGGATTATCTCTTTCATTCAAAAAATAAGCTAATGTACCGACTGTAAAAGAAAATATAACATCACCCGATCTATATATAAAATGTATGAAACCCTTAAGAATCTATACAATTTTCAAAAAATTAAAAAAAAAATAATATGAAATAAAGGTTATTACCTTGAAATGAGATAATCAAACTTAACAGGTGCTGACATTTTGTAATCTCCAAGTTTAAGTAAGAATTGATAGCCCTGCTGTAACGAAAACAAAATAATAATAAATAAATAAATAAATAAAAAAACCAGACATCGGAAATTAAATTATTTAGCATTACTGTTGCTACAGTTGTATTGTGGGTGGAGACAGATCATCAATAGTCAATAGTAACTGGCACATTACTAATCAATGATGCATAGGCTAATTCGTTGTGATGCATCATAAGTATAACATCTTGGCGTTATGTAGAATAATATACGAGAAATGAAATTGGTCAATTTCACATTTTTCTTCACTTTTATGCCCCTCTTCACACCGTATATTCTTTATCATGACTACATTAATAAACAATTCAAGTAAATGCATTCATACTTTCAAGATAGATATACAAATAGAAAAAAAGTTTTTTTTTCCTTTTACAACACCACTATGATCATCAATGTTCTTGAATCGTAGTCAATTCATCATGACCTAGCATTGTGACTGTTAAACGTTCGGTGGCTCTTTTTTTTTATGATTTTTTCTTTTCTTTTTTTTTTTTTTTTTTTTTTTTTTTTTTTTTTTTTTTTAAAAAATACAATTAAAAACTAAATCATCCAATAACAAAATGTCTGATCAAGAACAAGTGACTCCTTCTTCTGGACTTTATACCTGTCTTGCTTGTCAAGTAGCTTTTCAATCAGCTGAGGGGCAAAGAAATCATTATAGATCTGACTGGCATAGATATAATTTAAAAAGAAAAGTAGTTAATCTTCCTCCTGTCACTTTAGATCAATTCAAGTCCAAATCAGAAGGTAAAAAAAAAAAAAGGAAGTAAATGATATCCATAATCATCATATTTACTTTGAAATACTCATTCTTACTCTTTCTCTCTCTTATATATATATGTATATAAAGCTCGAACTACTACTACTACTACTGAAGTAAAGAAACCTGTCGAAAATAAAAATTTTTGTAGTGCATGCCGTAAATCGTTTGGATCGACTAATCAATATGATAATCACATTCAGTCCAAAAAACATAAAGAAGTTGTTGCAAAACAAGCTGCTAAAGAAACCAGTAAAAAAACTGAAACAGCTAGCAAGGGAAAGACAACGACTGTAAAGGACAGTCCCTTGGATTTGAGAATTACAGATGCAACTACTGAAGAAGAAATAAATGCCATTATTGATGAAAAGATCAAGTCTGCACCTCGTCTTGAAGAAACAGATTGTCTCTTTTGTACACATAAATCAGATAACTTTGAAGATAATATGCAACACATGACAATCACTCATAGTTTTTTCATTCCTGATATTGAGTACCTTGTTGACTTGAAAGGTTTAATCCGATACTTGGGTGAAAAGATTACTGTCGGTAACGTTTGTATTTTCTGTAATGGTAAAGGAAGAGGTATGCGATCAGTGGATGCTGTTAGAAAGCACATGGTAAAAAAGAAAAAAAAATCTATATTCATATTTATAATTTTTATTTTTAACTTGTATATATATATTTTTTATAGAACGATAAAGGACATTGTAAAATTGCATATGACGATGATGATGATGCAGCAGAATTAGTTGATTTTTATGATTTCTCATCATCTTATCCTCAATTAGAAGGTGAAGATGTTGATATTGATGCAGAATTAGAAAATATCACATCATCCTTAACCTTAGCTGATGATGAATTATCTTTGGTATTACCTAATGGATCTATTGTAGGACATCGATATATGAAGCGTTACTATGATCAAAGATTAAAGCCTGAAGAGGTATATATAAAAAAAAAGATTTTTATCTTTGGAAATGATAGTTTAACCATAAGGATATACATATACATCTATTTTTTTAGACTCGAGATTCTATCTTAATTAACAAACTAATTGGTCAATATTCTGAATCCCCTATTTATGAATCTATGCGTAAATCATCAAATAACCCATTATTAATTACAGATGGCGGTAGACATGGTATGCGTCCAACAGAGGCCTTTAAAGATCTTCGTACAAAACATGAATATACAACAAAGGTTGGAATGAACCAAAACAGATTACAAAAGCATTTCAGAATTCAAATTATCTAGATAAACTTTGCATCATTTTGTTGTGTTATATATCATAAACTCTCCCTTTTCTTCTCTTGACTATTTATTGTAGTAATGAATAAGCAATAAAATAAATACCTATCTATTTTAGACTAGACTTAAAAGAGAATCGAAATAAAAGAAAAAAGAAGAAAGCCAGATCATGATAGACATTAAGAATAGTCTTGCATATCTTTTTTTATTCTCTTTTAAAGGGAAAAGAAAAAAATTGTGCATATTCGTTTTTTTTTTTGTATGAGAATTACTCTGCTATCTTCTTGTATTACTCTGTTTATCATAGTTCTGACAGTTCATGCAGCTCTTAGTAGAAGAATATGATCAATCACTTTAAAAAAGAATAGTAAATATCAGCCCAATACTTTAGCGGTCGGTTGCCAAAGCTATGGCCATGTATAGCCGGCATCATATACAACCGCTGAAGACTACAGTCATTAAAACCATGATAAAGTCTACAGCGGATGCCATTGTTGGCATAGTACCTGTTATTGATTATTCTTATGATATTGAGTACTATGGTACTATTCAAATTGGTACCCCCGCCCTGGCCAAAGTCTTGAAGTTGCTTTTTTTTTTTTTTTGATACTGGTTCCTTTGATTTGTGGTTCGGTAAATGAGTTGATAATGTAATGTAAAAAAACCATCCATCCTACACACACATACACACACACTCTCTCTTCTTTTTTTTCCCCCCATTATTACTATTGATAATAATAGCTTCTACTTTATGTGCATCTTGTACCCATCTTACACATTTTAATTCTAGTAAGTCTAATACTTACATTACTGATGATCGTCCATGGTCTATCTTGTATGCTGACCATTCTAGGGCTAGCGGTATTTTAGGTATAGATACTGTTTCAATTAGGTGGCCTTGTTATCAAGAATCAAAATATTAGTTTAGCAGCCATCAGTGAATCTAGCACTTTCGCTGCCAGAGATCCTATGGATGATGTTCTGGGTCTTGGTTTTTAATTTCCATTACATTTGTTCCTGGTATTAAAGACACCCATCAATAGTCTGAATCAGCCAAGCATTAATTTCCTCTTCCATCTTTGATAAGTACAACAAAGAGAGGTAGAGGAGAATATGTCTTTGGTGGCTATGATACTACTAAATATAGGGGGTATAGTTTAAAGACAGTACCTATCGATCACAGACAGGGATACTGGGGAAGGGGAAAGGTGTAACCGTTATTTCCCTCTCTTTTGGGCAACGCTTCTACTTATTGTAGCAGGTTCCTTTGATGGTATTCTTGATACCGGGTACTACACTCTTACTCTTCACTAACTCCATTGCTACTAAGACTGCCTCTGTTTATGGTGCAAAAAGATAATGATGATGGTACGTTTACTATCGATTGTGATACTTCTAATCTTCAACCTCTTCATCTTTACAATCAAATCATAACACCTTTGAAGTTCCCGTCGATTCTCTTATCTATGTTCAATCTGGATCTATCCGTTACGCTAGTTTTGATTATGGTCACTTTGACCTTGCTATCTTGGGTGATGTCTATTTCAAAGAATAACTATACTGTCTTTAATCAACAAACATCTCCTTTAGTTCCTATTACTCCCTATTGCTATTTAATTCTTGTCCTGTATATTCTCCAAATCATTTATAAGTAATAATAATAAAACTATTTATTATATGTAATTGGAATAAATAATAATAATAAAAAAGTAGTAAAATATCAGTGTTTCATAAAGTTATTTACAAAGAGAAAGAAATCAATTATCAACATATAGATATAGATATACATATATGTATATAAAAGATGGAGATACTAGTATAGTAATGTAATGGTATTTTTTTTTTCTTTTTAACGAAATTCGAAATTCGCAAATCCATGGTCAGAAACGTGATTTAAATTTAATTCTTGAAACCAATCCTTATGATGACGATAAAAGTAGTAACCCTTAATGATGTTTGTTGATCTTTGATAACATATATAATAAAAGCCATCGAAACTTGCTCCATGAATAGAACTAACATGATGATTTGGAACTAGGAATATTTCCTTCCAACGCATATAAATAAAATCATCATCTTCTTTGCTATCAAATACAAAATCATCTTGACTGAACGTATCAATATAAGGTTTAAAAGAAGAGAATTTTTTCTAATACATATACATATAATATGTGTAAATTCACTTTTAAAGATCTATCCTAGTTTTTTCTTTTCTTTTTCTTTAAAAAAAATATTACCCAATGTAAAAGATCACTTTGTTGATCTGCTTGCCATTTCCTAGTCAGGAAAGAATATTTTGGACCAATCACCTCTGCTTGAAAAAATGTCTAAATTATTACATAAGTCATTATTTAAATTAAATTCACCAAATTCCTTCAACTTTACTGTAAGTTCTGGAAATTCACTTGTTAGCCCTTTAATATTCAAATAACCACATAATGTACTTTCTTTCATATCTACATTCTATAATGTAAAAAAAAAAAAAAAAATCAGTTACAAATGTGTATAAACTAACGAATTTATCATTTTTTTTTATACCAGTAATTCAACATTCACTTCATAACTTGCACTACCACATTTCTGTGTACCATAAAACATGGAGCCAGCATATAGACCACCTATACTTATTGAACGAATTCTCTCTTCAGATATATTTACTGTTTTATCATCACCTTCACGTCTAGCATGGAGTAGTACTATTTTTCTTTTTTGGTTTGTTTTTACCAGTAATTGTAAGTTATTCTCATCCATGTCGTTGTCATGACCATCATTACCATTATCTTCATCTTGTAGACTAATAGTACTAACACCCGTCTCCATGACATTTCTATTATTACTTTTGTTGCTTTCTAGTAATGCCTTTGAGGTTAATAAAAAAGGTGATTTGTTATTCCATTTTCCATCTTCATTGAGTCCATTATTATTTGTATGAATAATAGATGAAGAAGCTATTGAAGGTATTGGCATATTCAATTAGTTTTTTTTTTTTTTTTAAAAAAAAAGAATTAAAATATATATATGTGTATGTAAAAAAAAGGTATGTTCATAAATATGTGTTTTTTTATTTAATTTTCTACCTCTCTCTCCCTATTATATATCATAAGAGCAACTTTCTCATTGGTCAGGCGGGTACCCCACGTACAATCATATTTATATGCAACTTTATTTATTCAACAAATCAAAAGCCACGGAAAAAATTTTTCTGTTTTATTCTTCTTCTCTCTCTATCTCTCTTTTTTTTTTTAAAAAAAAAAAAAAATAAAATAAAATAAAAAAATAGATATTATGGAAGAAGACAATCAGGAACAGAAAAAAGTAAATGGAGAGAGAGAGAAAAAAAAGAACCCAGTTATAAAAGTAATCTGTTGAGAGAGAGAGATTAATAATGTCTTCTTTTTAGCAATTATTATTTGCTGTTTGGAATTCAGTGAACAAGATTACAAAGCAAGAAGGTATATCATCATAATAAACTGGGAAGAACGCTGAATCTAAAAAAAAAAAAAAAAATAAGAATGATTTATTTTTTATTTTCTTGGGCAGCACATGCACTGGGAAAAGAAGTTTCAGAGAATTTTGTTACATCTTTAGCAGAAGTTGTTTTTGATCAAATGCGTAAATGCTAAACTGATGTAGATTTGTTTCAACAATTTGTTTATTAATCTCATCATTAGAAACCATGGCAATAGATCTAGAAGCTTTTGCAGGGTAAAATATATATATATATATGCCTCCATGTTTAATAAATATATTAAATAATGCTTTACAGACATAGTAAAAGGTCAGTTATTTCTATGGAAGATGTAAAGGTAAATGTTGCATTTTTATATACATTTGGATTATGCACACATAATTAATTTTATTCATTTATAGTTATGTGCACGACGTAATGATTCGTTGGTATGAAATCTTTAATAGAAAAAGAAAAAAAAATATTAGCCTCAGAACTAAAATGAATACATGTAGCATCAGCTCATATCGGAAACAGCTAAAGATATTACAGAAGAAATCAATAGTAGACGAAAAAGAAAATAATAGTTAGTTATTATTATTAAAAAATAAGAGAAAAAAAATTGGGAGGTTTTTTTTTTTTTTTTTTTTTTTTTTTTTAATAGATAAAATACTTTACAGATATAATATAAGCTTGTCTTTTTATTTTATTTTATTTTATTTTATTTTTTTATATATACACATGTGTATTCATATATAATTTCTTCTTTATAAAAGCTTGTTGTTATTGTGACTGTGTTGTTCATTCATCTGCATCATTTGATTACGAAGTTCTTCAGCATGAGTGCAGCCTGTTGTATGAGTAGTAGTTGTATTTGTTTGAACTACACCTGGAAATAAACTGGTAACTGCATCAGCCAAAGGAGATGAGGGTGTTTGCTGTTCTACAGAACTGGATCTTCGTCTTTGTACTCTTTCTTTATCTTCTTCATTAAAGGGTGATGATGAACGCCTTTCAGTAGTAGAACTTATAGAGGAAGTAGAATTTCTTCGAGCAATCGTAGTTTTCCTTTCCCGTCGTTCATGTACTACATCTTTCACAAATCCAGCAACATCCTTTATATATCCAACTACACCTAATTTCTCTGGTGAAAGACTATGTTTAGCCAACTTGTTTTCATCTACTGATTGTTCATGATTTGTGTGAATAACATGTGTGTGTTCATAGGGCTTTAAATCAGGTACAAATGCCATATCAACTGGCATATGATTTGGGAGTAACTCATCTTGTTGATAATTGTCCATACTTTAATATATTGCGTAATAATAATAAATAAATAAAATAAATAAAAGAAAAGATGCTTTTATTAATTAAATCTCCCCCCCCTCCCCCGAGCTTTCTAAATAAAAAAAACATTGGAAATTTATGCAGCAGATAAAAAATGCTAAAATGATTAAATATTTAACCGTAACGTGATGATGTATCTTCTTCTTCTTCTTCTACTAGTGCCCATATAATTCCTCTTTTTCGTCTTTTTCTTCCTTCCTTCCTTCCTTTTTTTTTTTTTTTTTTTTTGAAATCAATGTATGACATCGCTGCTACTAGATTTGAACCTCTTTAACATAATATAGTGTTACTGTCTCATCCTTTGAGTTTTATAGAAAGAAGAATTCAGAATAGTCGAGTACGATACACTTTAATAACTAAACATTTGATTTGCAATCTTATAACGATGAAAATAAAATAAAATAAATAAAAAAATAAAAAAAGAGTATCTGTTTATTACTTCAAATTATTTTGTTTATCCATATTAAAGTTTTAGATAAATAATTGCCTTTCCTGATTTTGACAGGTTATCCCTTCTGTAATTTCTGTCATGTGCGCATGCATATAAATTTTAACTACTATTATAAAGCATTTATAAACATAAAAAATGAAACAAAAGAAATGGGCAAGGATAGGGATCAATAAAGGTATTGGATAAGTCAATGCTTTAGAAGATAAGGCAGTGTTTGTAACAGATTTTTTTCTTTTTAAGTGTATTAAAAGCCAATTACTGGTTATCTAAGGAATTAACAGAAAGAGTCAGGTTGAAAGTCTATTGTTCATCGATTTGATAAGGCTTTAAATAGACAATAATTTGCGGTCTATATCAAGAACTTTAGAGGATGAGTAAGTAGCTAAATAAGATAAAATCTAAATTTAATTCCTCCACTAGACAGCCAGCTAACCAAATACGCCAATGTATACATTCAGTACTGACCAAGGAAAGCCTGGGGATTCGTTCTATAATTATGATTGAGTGAAAAAAAAACGTATGATCAATAGTTTAGAGTTAACCGTGTTTTTTTTTTATTGTAAACAATTAGGAGAGCAATATAGACAAGATAAAGGAAAGGCAAGCAAGACATTAGAAGAGAGAATTGATAATTATAAAAGGTACTGTGCTTATAGGAGATAGATATATTCTCACATTGTAGATCATTTAGTTAAATATGAGAAAGAAACAGAGCCTTTTCTCTTTATGTAAGACCACATTCAAATTGAGTATAAATTATTCATTGTAACTTAGATTTTGCTTTATATTACTGAATGAGTTCACTGTATATAGATATCAATCTTAACTAAATAGGTATGTCCACTTAGTAGCTAAAGTGACGTTTTATATTATTAAATCATTACTTGTATAAGGTTATGCAGCCAATACGTTTTTTTTTTTTTTTTTTTTTTTTTTTTTTTTTTTTTTGGTCTCCTATATCAAGTTTGAGATGCAATAGATCTATATACTGTGGTTCTGGTTAGTCACCTGATAGAAAGCCTTAATTGCATCAGAGCTATCCCTACTATGTTCTCATAAAATAAGGCATATCATTTATTGCCTCCTTATGTATAGCTGTTTACAAACGTCTCAGAGTATATACATATGCATATACATACATATATATATGTATATATCACTACATGTAGTAAATTGTCTTCTAATATGTTAATAGTACATAATTATATGAATTAATCTATTTATCTCATCATGAGTTCTCTTCCTTTTTCTTTCTCCCTCATTCCAATTCCTATTCTCTGGCTATTAATTACTGTTTCAAATAGATTATTCCTAATTAAAACCATTTAACCTTTATATACTTCTCTTTTTGATTCATTTTTTTTCTTTTCTTTTTTGTAAAAAGGAAGAATGGTTTTAGTTGCTTTTATCAAGTCAGCTCAATATATTTAAGATATGACATACTGAGCATGTTATTTAATATTTAACTATATACATATATATATATGTATAAACCTAAAGCTATGAATTGTATTCTTAGACTTTTAGAAAAAAAAAGATATACATAGATGATATAGCTTGTAATGCATAGATTGTTATTTTTTTCCCCATATCTCTTAAAGGTATATTTTTTCATTATTCACCTTATTCTTTCATTTATATAAAGAAATATTATATCTATAATTTATAATAATAATAATAATAAAAAGGGAGGAGAGAGATTAAAATTATGCTTTACAATGGTTGTTACTATATCATTGTTATATATATTTTTTTTCTGCTTTTTTTTTTTTTTTTTTTTTTTTTTTTTTTTTTTTTTTTTTTTACATAGAAAAGAAAATCATACGCCCGCATGTATATGTGTATCTTTTAGATCAAACAGAAAGTAAGACCGAATGCGACAATCGATACAAGAAAAGCAGATAAAGATGTATGGACAAGTATATGATTAGCAGCACTACTAAGTTCAGAAGGTTTCTGTTTTTGCTCAGTATGAGTAGCAGAAGATGTAGTAGAGATAGATAAAGTAGATGAAGCCATAGTGGAAGAAGATATAGCTGATGTTGTAGTATTAACTGGTTTAGTAACATTTCCTTCCTTATAGGAGGAGAGACCAGCACATTCGCCAACGGTAACTACCTTATAAGCTTTCTAAAAGAAACAATAAGTACCATATATATATAAAGGCTAAATCTAGTATTATACAACATACTTGAAGTCCTGGTAAATTCTTAATGGCAGCATCAACTGTTACTTTTTGAATATCATGCTCCAAAGATAAACCACCTGTTGTAGCAGTGGCAGCTTCAGCAATCCATTCAGTAAAATTACCATCGATCCATTCGGCTTTAAAACCAGGAGCATTCTCACCAAGCTATATTTTAAATTTATTATTTAATATTATCAGATCCATGCCCGAGGGGGAGGGGAAATTTATATTTATCTATTTACCATCCAGTCATTTGTGTCATGATCCCAAATGACAGCTAGTTTAAAAAGAAAAATTAGTATATCAATGTGTAACAGATATCAATTAGCTTACACTTAAACCCAAGAGCAGTAGCAATATCTCTAACACGATTATCGATATCACCATAAGGCTACATTTTAAAAAAGCAAAACAAAACAAAAAAACAAGATCAAGTTAGAAAATCTATCTGTATACATATATGTATATACATTTATACATACTGGTCTAAAAAATCGAGGAGAAAAGCCGGTAACCTCTTTAATAGCCAGCTCTGTCCATTTAAGTTCAGCAACAATTTGCTCATTAGTTAGTGTAGTCATAAAATTATGAGACCAGGTATGGATGGCAAGTTCATGACCTTCATCAAAGGCACGTTTTACAATTTCGGGATATTTAACAACGTTAGCACCAATCATGAAAAGAGTTGCTTTTTGGTTTGTTGTTTTGAGGAAATCATATAAAATAGGGGATACATCAGAGGGTCCATCATCATAAGTAAGACCCCATATGCCTTTAGGACAATCGCTGATACTATCCCCTAAGCATCCACTTTTAGACCAATTACAGTAGTTATCAACACCATCTGTGCTAGGGCCTATGAAGAATATATATTTATAAACTTTTAAATGAGAAATGATAATCATCTAAAATATGAAAAGTTTTTTTTTTTTTCATTACCATCATCACCGTTACTTTTCAATACAGGTGCATTCGTAATATTCTGATTCTTGATTAATTCCAACCATTCAGGTTTAGCAGTTGGTATTGAACCACTAGCAGGATAAGTTTCTGTTAATTTACCAGGAGTTGAAAAAGTACTACTGACAGTTGGTACATTATTATTATTAGTATTGACGGTAGCTGTTAATATATTTACAGTCGAGCTTTGTGCCTGAATAACTGAGAAAAGAGTAGTAAAAATAGTAGTAGTAATAGAGATATATTTCATTTTTTTTTCTTGTTTTGTTTTGTCTACTAACAAAAATCAAGATGGAAAATAGTATACGAAAAAAAAAGGAGAAAATCCAAAAAAGACACTTGCAATGTTTCTTTTATATTGATAGGAGAGAAAAAATAAATAAATAAGGGGAAACAAGAAAATTATATGTTTGTATAAAAATATATATATTTGTTATAAACGTAGCTTGATAGTATAACAACAAAATATAAGGGGAAATATTATTCAATAAGGTGACAGCTGTACAACCAACCAAGCACATACTTGAATGATCAAGGAAAAAAAAATTAGTTATTTATATACAACTTATATCCATATTTGGCCTAATATCCAATCCTGGTGGTGATACCAGCAAAGCCTTATTTTATATGTATTTCTCCCCCCCCCAAAAAAAAAAAAAAATAGAAAACTATTACCGAAACAAACGGTATATATTAATCATTTTCATGTAGTTTATTATAGATATATTCTATATGCTTAAACAAATTTACATAATTAAAATTCAATATATCCGAACAATAAGTATTAAAAGTATATGAACATGTATCCAACAAGTTACCACTTTGGATAAAATAAGGGGAACAAAAAAAGAAAAGAAAAGAAAAAAAAAAAAGAAAAAGAAAAAAACAGGAACAAAAATTGCACAGATTTGGATAATTCTATCTTTAAGACCTTTATTGCCACATGTACTACCGAAAAGAAAAAAAAATGTCTCTAAACATATATTTCTAAAAATAATTTCAAGAAATTCTAATAAATGTAGGTGAGGGCAATATAATTCTTAATGTATAATATTGTAGATAAAGAAAAGGGTTTTTAAAAAAAATGAATGGCAAACAAAAATATAAATGAGGAGGTAAAGATACAAAGGAGGAGTGAAATAAATAAGAAGGAATATACATTGATAGATCATCATTATAAGCTAAAAAAAAAAAAAGACATAGTTCTTCTAATAATGCAAGACTAACTCAGTCTTTTGTCATATCTATTTGTATATAATGTATATGTACTTTTATTTGTACAGACATACATTACATATACCATAGAACCTAACATGTAAGTAATATTAGTATGTAATGTATTATTACTATGCTTTAGTTTCTCTGTTATGTATTAATGAGTAATTTAAAACTTATTTCTGCATGTAATACACTATTTCCGGAAATTATTCGTTCATAAAAAAATAAAAATTTCGTTCACAAAAGAAAAAAAAATGCATTAAAAAAAAAATAAAAAATCGTTCACAAAAAAATTAAAAAATAGTTCACAAAAAGATTTTAAAGTTGATTACTCGCAGGAAATAATCTCGTTCATTTTTCGAAAATAATTTTTTTTTAACAATGGACCAATTTATACATGAAGATGGTAAAGGAAACCTTCGCAATGAAGAAGGCGAACCAGTTGCAGTTCTTGAGATGGAAGTTGATGAATTAGAATATCCTCTTGAGGATGTTACTAATTACAACACGTACTTGGACTTGAAGCCACCTGAAAAACCTGCCAAGATTGAACAAGTGGTTACGAAGGACGAAGAAAAAAAAGATAACAATGAAAATAAAAGAACATATCGAACTTATAAGCCTGAAGTCAAAAACTACTTTTTTTACCTTATTTATGAGAAAGGGATGAGTGTACGTGCCGCTGCTGAGGAAATAAAAGTGCCTCAAAGTACGGCACAAACTTGGAAAAAGAAAGCAGAGCTTGCTGGGGATGAAGAAATGAGTCTGAGACAAACTGGAAGTGGTAGAAAAGCTGGTAGACCTCCTATTCTTACAGAGAAACATAAACAGTTTCTGATCAATTTCATTGACGAAAAGTCATCTTCTACATTGGAAGAAATGATAGAAGGTCTCACTAGTCAATTCCCCGGTATTGAAATAAAAAAATCAGCAGTTCATAACTTTGTAACCAAGAAATGCAATATCACCCTTAAACGAGCTCATTTCCACTCAATAGAAAGAAATAGTCCTGAAAAAATTGAGGAGCGGTGCCACTGGGTGAAAAAGATACTTGAAACTGATATGGATTATTTCAGCAATTGCGTTTTCATAGATGAAGCTGCGTTTCATATTAACATGAAGAGATCAGTAGCTTGGTCTAGAAAAGGAAAAAGGGCTGTAGTTGTTGTACCTAAAACTAGGGCAAAAACAACAACTATACTAGGAGCCATATGTGCACATGGCGTAATTAATATTAGAGTAAGACGACCAAAAATTCAGGCTCCAAATAAAAAAAGAAAAGCAGAGGGAAGTAAACCTGTTCCTAAACAAGCAACGAAAGGGGGCACAGTTACTGGTCATTATTTTAACTTCATTGCTAGCTGTTTGGATGTCATGGATTTACATCCAAAATTTAAGGACTATTATCTGGTAATGGATAACGCCCCCATTCATAAACACGAAGATATACAGAAGTATATTGAAGGTCGTGGATATCGTTGCATATATCTTCCTTCTTACTCACCTGAATTGAACCCTATTGAACAATTTTGGTCAGTAGTCAAAAGTAAACTTAAGCGAGAAAGGTTATTGGAGGAAGAGACAATGACATCAAGAATCCGAGATTCATGCAACAATATTTTGCTCAGTGACCTTCAAGGTTTCTGCCGCTACTCTGTTGATAAGTTTAATGATTGCTTGAATCGAAAGCCAGTTTAATATTTCGCTTATTTCGTTCATTAAAAACGAATGAATTTTAAAATCTTTTTGTGAACTATTTTTTAATTTTTTTGTGAACGAAATTTTTATTTTTTATGAACGAATAATTTCCGGAAATAGTGTACATATCTTCTAGGTAATTATATTCTCTACAGAATAACTTATTTTTAAGCATGTGTTTCTATGCTTAACTAAAACTTCAAGGCACTTGTTACGTCGTAAACTTATAACAATAATAAAACAACCTAATAATAGAAAGAAGACATGGAACCTTTGTATTTATAATTAGAACGTGTAACACTTGGTATTGTTTACATGAATAAGCATATAAAACAGTACAGAGTTTGATATTTTATTTTATTTTATTCAAGTAGGAATTATCTAAAGGAGAGCTCTAGAACATTAGAAGTCTAGAGAGCCGCTTTACATAAGAAATAGACCAAAACTTACCATAATACGTATATATGAAGCATTTATTAAGCCTTATATATATATATATATATATATATATATGATAGTAATCACTTTAGAACATTCAAAGCACAAGTCATCACTTAATCATGCCAAAAAAAACACCTTGTTGTAACCTATTCAGTTAAGACAACATTATTCAAAGTAAACTGTAAAATGATGTGTATCATTTAACGATTAAATAAAATAAGATAGAGAAGAAGTTTGTCCTAATAGGTCCCTAGTCAAGGGTGCTCTTTTGCTTAACAGCTATTTTAACGATGACTCCGATAAATTACTTTTAAAAAAGATAGTTTTCTGCCTGTACAATTACTATAGAAGCATCAGCTTTCTATTAGCAATATAATGAAATATACTTAAATTTAGTCTCAAGTTTTGGATAGAAACTATAAACGATACATCTTAAAAAAAAAAGAAAGTAATCTATACTTATAGCAAGAAGTATCTAGTGATCATTTATTGCATAACGAGTGAATAATATTTTATTTTATTTTTAAGCAAAAGCTTCCGTTCTTCATCAAATATACGTGATATCATTAGCTAGGACTAATATGTACTTTGATAATATTATCCAAAGGAGATTGTGTAATAGTCAATCTAGCCTTACATTTGACAATAAAAAGAGAAACAAAAAAATAAAAATAATAAATATTGTCTGGAAAGGCTTATTAATCATACTCAAGTCAGCAGTTACTAGAGTATTCAGCAAGCTTAAAAAAGACGACTACATATATTGATGTAGCCATTAATGAAATACTGCTCAAAAGAAATGGGACTAATTACGAAATAATGACTTTGTAGCAAAGGTAGAAGTTTTACAAGAAAGGCTTTTTTTTTCTATTATATCTATTAAAATAACATTACTGTCATTCTGTACTGTTTTATGAGAACTAGTGATAAACATCTTTAATCTTCGTTTTAAATAGTTCTTGGCTGCAATTTGCATAATCAATTGAAAACGATTATTACGTTTGTTTATCTGTCCTATGTATTCCTTCAGTGAGAAAACATATGAACCTATTTTAAGCAATAATCGGTAGATCAAAGAAACAGAAACCAAAAATTAATCTTTAATATCTTATTTTATGCTCAATTCAAATCAGTTTATAGGGATAAGTGTAAATTCTTCAAAGAAAAGAACTTCTTGAAAAGATGAACATATTAAAAATGCTTAAATGTAACTTCAATGAAAATCATAGCAACTATTCATCAAAATAGATATGTCGTTAAATTTTTTACAATATAACTCTAGCACTAAGCCTTTTAGTTGTTGTTGCGCTATTATTATCAGACTAATATGAATTCTACTTTGTTAATTCTATATATTATTGCATAAAGGAATACGTTATATAGATCATAATGAAAGCCTTTGATACCTGTCATTGAACTGTAGCTTCTTTTTTTTTCTTTATTTGTAGTTTGTAGAATTTACTCAGCGATAAAAACTGCTTTGCTATACTCAACTGCATTAAAAAAAAAAAAAAAAGCTTAATCTTAAAATAATTATGAAATAGTGCTATATTAATAACTTGAATAATTAGTATCCATATTTTAGTTCTTTACTTTTACGCAAGCTATCTAATTTATTGCTGTTAAACATGAATGATACGTCTATGTGTAATTCGATATAATACTAAATTCATGAATACGATTCTCTACATCATATAACGTTATAAATAAAATATTATGCACATTATTACAGCATTTATATATAATATGTACAAAAGAGAAAGATTTAATAAATCTGTTAATTAGGATATGGGTCTTTGCATTTCATAAAAAAAAAAAAAAATTTAATATGTTTTAGAGGCATCGTTTATATTTTTTTCATAAATAGAGTATCTATGTATCAAAGGGTTTCATTTATTACTTCTTGATTAAATCTGGTAACATTAAATGCTTATTTAAGGGATAAACTATACATGTATTTAAATATATAAATATATATATATGTATATATAGAGAATAAAAAGGGATTAAAGATATACAAAAAAAATACATTTATAATAGTAATAGTAATAGTAATAAAAAGATGGCCAATTGCATATAATATACCAATGGTAAAAAGAAAAAAAAGCCATTCTAGTAAATACTCTATATTAATTATATAAACAAATAAAACACACACACACACACACACAGAACAAAACAAAACAAAAAAAAACGAATGTGTAATTGATATGTAAAGGATCTACAGAATTTAAAGGTAAAAGGGGTATATATTATAAATGTATTATATCATCTAAACCCTAGGAATGAAACTTGAATAGTTTACATTCATGGCAGATGCAGCAGCAGCAGTCGCCACTGTAGCTGCAGCAGGATGATTTAAAGAAGAAGACCGACTAAATATAGGATTCCACATGGCCATTGTTTGTTGCTGCTGATATTTATTAGTAAGAGGAAGTATCGGCCTTTTTTTTATTGAAATAGTTATATTATTCTCTATTGAAAAATGATCAGCGGAACGTTTATTATTATTATTATTAGTTTGTCTCATCATTCTAGTAGTGCATATCGGCGTATTTGGAGATGTTACTGAATCTAAAATTGGCGATTGCAGTTGCAGCGATTGTAGTGAAGTTATTACGAATTGAGCCATCCACTGTTGACATTGTATTGCCCATGAAGCAAACTGATTGTGGTGAACACAAATTTTATACTGTAAAGCAGTTAAAAATTCTATTTCCATAATATTTAATTCTTTTAAAGATATACCAGATACTTCAGACCAAGTCTATTAATAATATATTAAGATAAGAAATATGAACTCATTATTCTATCTTTATACCTTATTTGTAAATGTATTATCATCTAAATACTTATTTGATAAAATAAGTGCTGTTGTAAATAGTCTCACTTCAGACCCCATAGATGCTTGTATAGAAGGATAAGTATATCGTAATCGATATATGTAGAATAAAGCGACGAGAATACATGAGTTAGAAATTTGAGTAGTTTTAAATATATTTTGACAGTAGAATCGAAATGCATTTGAATAACTAGTTGATAATTGCACTGTATTACCCGACCATATTTTTGGTACCATTTGTATTACAAGTTCTGACATTTGAGGGATAATTTTAGAAAGAAATAGAGTGGGATAAGCCATTGTAGATAGATAAATATGTATATAAATATGTATATTAATATATATATGTATATAAATAAATGTATATATATAAGCAGAAGAAGAAAAAGATAAGGAATATTGAAAAAAAAATATATATTTTTTTTATATAATTTAGTCACTATGTATTTATACATAAATCTATAATATCGTACAAAAAAATGCGTGAATGCATATTAAAATTACTTTTTTTTTCTAATAAAAATAATATGTTGTTATATTTATAATTTTTGTTGTGTAAAATAGTTCCGAAAATTTTATTATATGTGCGTTGACTTTCTTAATCCTCCTATTCTACCCCTCATCATTACTATAAAAATAAAGGATAATTTCCCCTTTTCATTCCCATGAGTTGGAAGTATTTTGACGGATGTTTTTTATTTTTATTTTCTGGTAGCGTATCATGATTAGCTTTAGTTAGCGCATTCTAAAATTTTTCTTTTTTTTTTTTTTTTTTTTTTTTTTCATTTATATAATCTAATACTATCGTTTAACAAAAGATGAGTATCTTCATCAATCTTTTATCAAGTGCTATTATCGTCTCTATTAACTAAGGTATAATTGCATAAAATACTTGCTGCCTTGCTTGCTATATTTTTCTGCTTTTTTTTTTTAGTTATATATAAATAAAACTTGTAGTGTTAGCTGATAATGCCCAAATTTATTCTTTAACATGATGCATTTCTCAAAACACATTTAGATTTTATGTTCGTTTATATAACTATATCTTGTATTCTTATAAATAATGCTGATGCATTTAATCACATAATTTTAAATAAACTTGATTGTACGATACTCTCTGATTACATATACTTTTTTTTTCATTTTACTTGATCCAGATGCGTGATTATTCCTATCTGTACTTACATTATGAAGAAGAAATATTAAAAAGTAAAGCTATTCTGTAATATATCAAAATTCATATCTTTTCATCCTATTGAATAATGGACAAGTTATAGATAACTGATACTATACATCTAGTTGCATATCAGATGGTTCATATCTCTCATTGCATTAGAGTATATATGTATATCCTCATTAGTACAGTTACAGAAAGAGATTTTATTAAAATAATATTCAAACATATCTATGACATGTTGCAAACTAAAATTATACATGCTATATAGACATAATGACATATACTCTTATTCATGAGAAATAGAAGGGAACATAATTATGTTTTATGGAGCTGACTTGATCCGTTTAAGACAGTGTAATTCCCAACATATGCTTATTTATCTATACTCTAGTTTATAGTATATCCTGATACATGATGTACAGTAAAAAAAAAAAAAAAAAAAAAAAAAAATTTAGAATGCGCTGCTACAAAAAAAAAAAAAAAAAAAAAAAAAAAAAAAATACAAATTATCCGCTAGATTGATTTGACGGTTTTTCTCATTTTGACAAAGTAAAAATGTGGAATTCTATTCCAAATGTCGAATCTGAAATTGTCAAAGCTACCTTAAAAAATATAAAGAACTAACAAAGCAAGGGAAACCTCTTGTACATGAGGAAAAAGCAGAATGGACAGTTTTAGCGTCAATTGTTATGATTCGTTGTTGTAATACTTTTTTTAATAGCAAAAAAAAAAAAAAAAAGCATATAAATTAATATATTTTGAATATAGCAAATAAAGATGACTATTCAATTCAAGTAATATCTTTAGGGTAAACAAAAAAAAAGGAGAGAAATGAAAGGAAAAAAAAATAACTTAATATATGCAGGACGGGCCTAAAATGTTTGCCATTCAGTAAACTTTGTAAGACAGGAGATATACTAAATGATAGTCATGCAGAGATTATTGCTCGTAGAGGATTTATAAAGTATGGATACAAATAAACAAAGCAGAATTTTTTTTTAGTTTTAATACGTGCACGTTTAGATATTTGCTTGATCAAATCAAACAACAACAAAATGGCTCAGGACCTTTTATTTTAAAAAATAATACTTTAGTTCAACACTCTGATTATTCCTTTCACATGTACATTAGTCAATCACCATGTAAATTCTATCATTTTATTTAATATACTTTATATTAATATATACTTATCTAGGTGGAGATGCTTCAATGAATGCTTTAGCTAGTTTACAAACGACAGAATCCTTTGAATTATTTGAAGCTGGAAAAAAGCGAAAGAGAACGACAGTAGAAGACTATCCCTTCTTAATAGAGAATATTTATAAAAATAAGAAGAGATTGAAAACATCTGAAATAAATGAAAAGGAGCAATTTCAAAGAGGCAGATTTGGCTTTAATCAACTTGGGATCTTACGAACAAAGCCAGGTGAGCATGGAATTCACGTCTAAATATTTAACTACTATTTATTTATTTATTTATTTATTTTTATTAAGGTCGACTTGATTCTGAACCTACTCTTTGTATGTCTTGTAGGTATGTGTTGGCGATTTTCACTTTAATTTTTTCTTTTTTCTTACATTTTTTATAGTGACAAGTTGGCAAGATGGAATGTTTTAGGTTTACAATCTGCACTACTTTCAAAGTTCTATGATCCTATTTATTTAAGCTCGATCATTGTTGGTGATATGTTTGATAAAGACGCTTTAGAAAGAGCATTATTCAAAAGAATTAAAGATATTAAAGGTACAAAAAAAGAACAATTATATTATAGATTATTTGTTTAACTTCTTTTTATGAATAAGGTTTGCCTGTACCTTATAGATTAAATAAGCCGGCTATTTTCTCAACTGAAATTCAATATGAAGCATCAAAATTGAATTTGGAATCCACTGGAAAATATAAAGCAGTGATCCCTTGTGGGACTGCTATATCTTGGGTAATTGGAATGCCAAAATCTGAAGTATTCGTGAATGGTAGTAAACAAGGTGCCCCAAAGAATAAGCCTTTAAATTCCAAAACAAGACCTTCTATCTGCAAAAGAGGCTTATACCAAAAGTTAAGTGAGATTGAAAATGATATACCAAATATAAGTTATTTAAATTGGAAAATGAATCATTCAGGAGAATATCAAAAAGCAAAATATTGTCTTTTAGATCAAGTCTTTGACACTTGGGTACAAAAACCTTCAGAGTATGATGATTTTACAATATAAAAGCATTATTGAAATGTGTCATTATATTTCTTATTAGTTAACGTTTCTCTACTGCTAAAGATAACGTTATTTTCTCCTTTTCACCCCCCCTTTTTTTTACCGCCTTTTTTTTTCTCCTTTTTATTATTATTATTATTTGTTTATATGTGTATACATACATATATACTGCTTATATACATTAATTGGCTCTCTCTCCCCCTTTTTTTTTGTTTATATGTTTATCTTATTTTATTTCTTGCTTTTCCTTTTCCTTTTTTTTTTCTTTTTATCTTTTTCTTCTTTTTTTTTATAATAAATAAAAATTAAAAGGGTTAAAGAATAATCAATAAATTCATTCCGTTCGTTATTCATATTTTGTATCAAAGATATTTAAAATAAAATGAATCATAATTTGGAATTTGAAGGACAAACTGCTCCTGAATCTACGCGTGGACTGTTTGAGTCAGAGGTAAATTTTTAAATCTTTTTTTTTCTTTTGCATAAAAAAACACCAAGTAATAATTTTAGAATTATTACAAGAAAAGAGACATTGAATGGTTAGATAAACGAAAAACTATTGAGTTAAATCCGCGTGGTAATAAATGGCTTAATAAAACAGTAATACAACAACAAGGTCGTAATAGTGGGCTACAGATAGTAAATGAAGGAAATAAGAATAATCAGAAAAAGAGTAATCTAGAAGACGATTATTCACAAATAAAACAACAACGAGGTTCATCTTCCTCTTTATCGTTCTCAAGAAGACAAACTACTTCAGTAGCACATTTCAATAATTTTCCTTTTTTATCAAAACCATGTGAGGATATAGAAGAAGAGGATTCAAATCATTTGTCTCGGGCTGATGTACTGGCAGAGACAGAAGCAAAATTAAATGGACAAAGTAATCATACTTCTCGTTTTAATAACAGCACTTCTAGTACATACTTTTTCCACACGACAAGAGATAAGCAAAGTAGGCGTCTATCTGAACCAAACACACCTATTAAACAGTATTATAATAACTACTCTCAACATTCTGATTCTGTTAGGGATTTTAATAATACTAATCATCGACCTTTATTCAATAATTTGACTAACAAAAAAATGTCCTTTCAATACACATCATCAAATTCTTTCCAACAAGAAGAATATATCACAAGACGTTTATCTAGATCAGAATTTAACAAACGAAGTAGTCGTGATTGGAGATCAAGCTGTCAACCTACAATCATCGTCTCACCTTCTTCATCAAGACCTCATTCAATGGTGAGTATGATGAATAAGCATAGACTATCAACAGGCTCTATAGGCGTCTCTGACAATGGAAATCAACGTAAACCCTTATTTGTATCCCATCTTCCATTTTCTTCCGCTTTGCCATATTTAAAATCAAATCAGCTGGTAAGTGGTTTACTTCGTGTAAATAAAAGAAATCGGTCAGATGCCTACGTCTTTTGTGAAGAAATCAACTCTGATATTTATATTTGTGGTTCAAGAGATCGTAATCGTGCACTAGATGGAGATTTAGTAGCAGTTAAATTGATCGATACAGAGCAAGTCATGATGGAAAAACATGAAAAAGAAGAGGCAAAAGTAGCAAGAAACAATGGAAATCCTATCATAAGAACCCCTGATGAAGAAGATGAGAAGGAAATCATATTTGGTGGTGAGGAAGATGTGGACTTGGTTACACCAAGGTTTTGTGGTGTCATCGTTGCTATCTTGGAACGCACACAAAACCAAGTATTTTCTGGGTAAATTATCTTATTTTATTTTGTTTATATTGTTTTTTTTTTAATGTATGTGTGTGTATGCATGTGTTTTTCTTTTCAAATATAAAGAACATTAGGGTTGACTCGTCCAAGTAATAAACGGATAAAAGGTGTAAACGATGACTCGCAACAACAGCATCGTGATAGTTCTGTACCACGTATCATTTGGTTTAAGCCAACCGATAAAAGAGTACCTTTGATAGCTATTCCCGTAGAACAAGCGCCTCCTGGTTTTATTGAGAACAGTGAATTATTTGAAAATAAACTCTTTTTAGTAAGTAAATTAGTTGAAAAAAACAACAACAACAACAACAACAATAGTATTATATATATATATATATATGTATGTATGTATAACGTATAATCTGGTAAAACTTTAGGGATCAATAAAAAGATGGCCTATCACTTCTTTACATCCCTTTGGTGTTCTGGAGGGTGAGTTAGGGCACGTACAAGATGTGACTGTACAAATCAAAGCAATTTTAGCAGATAATAACCTTGCTGCACAAGCATATTCGGAATTGTTATTAAATCAGACAATAAATGTCAAGACCTTAGATGAAAAGATGATTGAAGTAGAGATTCAAAATGGATCACGTCGTGACATGCGTCAATATAGATGTATCACAGTTATGGATGAAGAAGGAGATTTCTTAGAGAATGCGCTTTCTATTCATTCTATGAATGATGGAAAAGAATTTGAAATAGGATTACATGTGTCTGATATTACTGCTTTTGTTGACTTTAATTCGGCTTTGGATAAAGAAGCACAATATAGATATGTAGATGTGTATCATACAATCTTAGAGAAGGTGCCCCTTTGGCCAAAAGAATTGAAGGAAAATACAAGCTTTATTGAGAGCAAAGATCGGGTTGCCTTTTCTGTCATTTGGACTATGAATGATATGGGTGATATAATGCATACTTGGTATGGTAAAACCGTTATAAAGTAAGTTTCATCCTTTTTTCTTTTTTTTTCAGACATAATTCTTACATGAGAAAAATAAACCTTATTTTTTTTTTTTTTTTTTTTACACAGTTCGGACATAGTTTTAACAACTAAAGACTTGCAAAATATACTCAACAATGAAGATGATAAATATAAAGAGTTAAATGAAGATGTCTTAACATTGTACAAAATTTCAAGGCAACTTATTGAGCATCGAGAAGCATTGTATATTACATTTCCTCAGATTGACATACAATTCCATGAAAATCATACCGTTATTTTACCAAAAAGATATTTGGATTCTCGTATTATTTTACAAGAATTCCAAGTATTAGCCAACACACTTGTTGCACAAAAGATAGGTAGCCATTTCCCTGATCACGCATTACTTCAATCTCAAGCAAAGCCAAGTAAAAGAAAGATACAAGATTTAGAACAATATTTAAACAGTCTCGGTTATGAAATTCAAACAGAGAGTCCTAAAAGTTTACAAAAATCAATCAATGCTATTAAAGATGAAGATGCAAAAAATGTAATAACTAATTTAGTTATGAAAACTATGAATCAAAAAAAATACTTTTGTACTGGTGCTTTTGACATTAGCAAATATTATCATTATTCAACAAATACACCGCTATATACACATTTTACTTCTCCTACCAAGTGTTATGCTGATGTTATCGTTCATCGTCAACTTGACGCTTGTCTGAAAAATGAGACCTATTTTTCTATGGAATCAGAAACTATTCAAAAGATAGCCTTTCGTTGCAATGTAAAAAATCGAGCTATCAGCAATGCCTGTGAGCAGATTCAGCTTGTATTTTTATCTTATTATTTAACTAATAATACACGTATTCCTACTAGTCGAATTTTAGATGCTATTATCGTTGACGTCCAAGAAGGCTCTTTTGATGTTATTCTCCCTGGTTTGTGTCTTGAAAGAAGAATTCACACTATTAATCTGCCTTTAAGATCTGAATCATATAGCCCCTCAGAGAATGTATTACATTTAATTTGGATTCAAGGAAAGGCGACTGTAAATGCTAATATAGAAGGAGCAGCTATATCTAATATTGAAGAAGAATTTAATGATCAACTAATTGATCATTCTAGTGTATCTGAGGGAAACTATTTATTGAAAGAGAATAGTATAGAAGACGAAACAGAATCTATTTCAAAACGATTATCTAATAAATCCTCTAATACTACATCCGTTTCCGAACACAATGTAAAAATAAAAACACATAGAAAATCAACATCAATTCGTGCTGTTAAGGGTGAAGATGCCTGTTCAACTCAAAAAGAATGTCTTTTTCCTAATGAGTGTCGACAATCAATACGTCCCTTCGATTTTATTAAAGTTATTGTTTCTGCAGATCCTATTCGTAGCCCTCCTCTGGTACGAGTCTTGGCTGCAAATCCGTTTGTAACAATGCAGAAAAATTTATAACAATTCATGTATAACCAATAAATATATTTTATAAAATAAAATAAAAGCATGAAGACAATTTATGTTGAATATAAATTCTGTTTTTTTCTTTTTTTTTCTTTTTTGTTTTGTTTTGTTTTTTTTATTCATCAAGTAAAGATTTTAAAAATGATATATAGAAGCATCTAAATCTAAATATGAGAGATATATAATACAAAACAGAATTTACCCGTTCTAGTAGAATTTATAATGAACAATAATATAGAAGGGTTCAATGAATGTTTGTCCTTAACTATTTTCAAGATAGTTTGATATGATTATTGTATAGAGATATAATATGTAATTAATAAAGTGTTTGAAAGCATTTTATATTTCATTTCATTTATTCCATGGAAAAATATAAGATATACAAGTAGAGAAAGGAAGTTTTAAATAAGAATAGTGTCTTCCTTAAAAAGTTGAAACAGTAGATTTTCTTCTGAATAAAAGCTCATAAAACCCAAGCAACAGTATGATAGGTGAATAAATAATATACCAACATATTTGATGCATCTTTTCAAGCCAAATGATAGGAGTCTGACATTTAAATATAACTCGTGCTATATATTTGGTAAAAGTGAATATTAAATCAATCAAGATACTTGGAATAAATGCATTCAAAGCAGGCTTGACTCTCAGAGAACGATTGATAATCCATTCTTTTTCGATAATTTCCAAACGGCTATTTACATCTATCATTGTACTTAAAAATGAAGCGGTCAAAAGTGATCCCAAGAAAACTACGGTCAAAAAGAGATATATAGAAAGCAAGAAAGCTGCTACATCTGGTTGATAGTGCAACGTGTCACCGATCTCAGGGGTACTATGATAAAAGAAAAAAAAAAGTATGAGTATTATATTGACGGTCTACAAAAAATAAATAAATAAATAAATAAAAATACATACTGTAATGCACCTAATATTAATAAACGTAGCATTGCCAGGGGGCTAACATCATTGTATTGCAAAGCTCCAAGTGCAGCCCAGAAACCGAGAATGGTGATCGTACCGAGAATAAATACCCAAATACTATTTATGAAACATTCACGTATAATATAAGTTGCCTTGGCTGTACTCCAGAAAAGCTCACTGATTGGAGAAACAGTACGGAAAAACATAAGGGGTGTAGCCAAGATCAAGAGTGTATATGAGATATTAAGAAGATGGAATTCTTCTTCAATATTATCCACAGCATACAAAGTCCAAACTCTAATTGATAAAGAAGATACTAATAGAGAAATAACAACTAGAGAAATGTAAAAGGATACCTTTTTAAGGTATATACGTGGCTGAGTTAATAGATTAAAAACAAATAAAAGAAAGTCTGAAACAACAAAGGTATAGTAAGCAAATTCATAAGGTAGTATGATATCTGAAATATACTCTTGATTCATAACTGTGCTTATATGAAGACCCAGATATATTAAAAAGGAGAACAAGGAAATCAAACTTTGATATTTTGCACTAGGCCAACGTGCCAAATAATTTGCGAGAATTCTAGAAAGAGCCAACCAAATAAAATACTTTGGTGTTTCCTCTTTATTTTGGCTATTAATCCTATCATTATGAACCCAAACATGACTAGGATGACTTGAATCTTGACGCCAGTTAGGGCATGATTCCCAAAGTTCCTTTTTAAATTAAAATACAAAAAAAAATGTTATACATAATGTTGTCTTTACAAAATTAACCTGATTACATACCTCGATTACTAGCTGAACTCTAGCATCATTCAATATTATTTGATTATTATTCTCAATAGCCCAGTCCAATGCTTTATATTATATATGTATTTATATATATATGTGTATGTGTGTTTTAGGTTGATTAAATAATATACGTTGAAAAAAAAAAAGAATATGCATGTTATGTACCTGATTTTCCATTTATCCATTTGTTGGTTAACATTTCACATAATATGACATGAGAAACGGAAGTATCCTGTAACTTCAAACCTAAATCAAGTGTTGACAAAGCTAAAGTCTGCAAAGATAAATCCGTCTCTGTAGAATGACCAGATGACTGTCGTCGTTCGTGTAACAAAGCTAAAACTGCACAAACAGATGCATTTTTGGCGACTTCAAAAACACTTTCAGCAGGAGAAGAAGTGAACTTTTCTTGACTCTTTTGTTGTTGTTGTTGTTGTTGTACAACTGTTGTTCCGTTTTGATGATTATTGTTGCCTTCCAACTTTGTTGTAGTAGTAGTTGTGATCGTTGTAGTCGTTGTTTCGTTATTGTGACTGGATAAATTTGTAGTAGAGCTACTTGTTGCCCAGCCATGCTTTTCTTTCCATTTGTCTGTAGCAAACTTAATTGCATCCACTGCAAAATCGCGTTTTCTTAAACGAGTAGATGATTTACTACTGCCATCAATGGACCATTCACTGAGCTTTTTTTTTAGAGCAAGTCGTTTACAGTCTGTTTCATTATCACTATCACTATCACTACTACTACTACTGCTACTACTACTGCTACTTGAAGATACAGCGATTTGTTTTTCCTTTTTTTTCTTATTTTGCTCCTCTTCCATAGCCCTTTCTTGTTGTTTCCTTTTAATTTCACTAAACACAAGAATATCCTGAATTTTTTCTGTCAACTGGTTCGCAGGAATAGTAGGATGTCCCTTCAATATAATACTATGAATTTGGTTTGCTGTTGCAAGATTAGTATTTTTATTTAAAATACGATGATAACCATTTTCTAGAGTAGAGCTGCCCATGGTAATTACAGTTTGACTAGTAGAAGAAGTTTCTTTACGTATCTCTTGACGAGTACTATAGGATGTTGCTGTTGTATTCAACAATCGAGTACGTTCTGTAGTAGTGATTGGTATGTCCCCAATTACTACAGAAGAATCAGCAGTACTATCATGCATACTGATTCAATTTAACAAAAAAAAAAAGAAAACAAAAAAAAAAAAGGAAAGTGCACACTTTTATTTGTTTTAAATAATATTAGACTTTCATATTGTGTAACTAATTAATCGGCGTTATTTACATTTTTATACTTAGTTTTAGAAGCCAATTGTTTTTCTTTTTAATTTAGGTAACTGTTTCAAAGTGAGTGCTTTGCTACTTTAATGTATTTGTTTTAATGAAATTTAGTTATCAATATTTATTTTTCTGAGTATACATTTTAATATCAATGTATGATTTATTTACGTAAAGGTATAATTATGAAGTCAATTATTATCATCCTATATTGTAGTAGGAAATACAAATATATACACATATATATAGGTGTATATAAAGGCTACTAATATAACATTGTATTTCGTGCATATACTTATGTATATATTAAAAAAATTGAATTTTGCTAGTCGATAATGAAAGTTCAAATGAGTTGCAAGTATTATATATATCAAATTTTACCTAAACTAGTTTACAATACATAGAATAAAAAAAAAAACCTTGTAGGCTGGAGAAAAAATATGTAAATAGAGAAAAGGAAGGAAAAAGAAGTGTGTATATTATATCTATTGTTTTTGAATCCAATAAATGAAAGGGGAATTTGTAAATAATGTTGGCAGTAATGATTGAGGCTCGAAAGATATACTAATGCTGTATCAAATCTACAAGTTATAAGGTTTGCTGACGAAGGACCCAATGAGCTTTCCAGTATGATAGTTTAGAAAGTGGGGCCGAGAAGTCATTAAGGTAGCATATTAAGGATATACGAAATAGGATCAACAATAGTTGTAGGGACATGTAAACTGGAGTGTATATAGAAGCATTGTATGATATGAGTCTTAGTGAGTTTGCGTTGTCGATATAAACAGAGTTTGAGTTTTCCAGTTGGTAGATATCCTTAACACCATAGTATAAGATAATTACATTCAATAGGATCAGGATGCATAGGCAGCTAGAGAATTGGAATCAAGGACATAGTTTGGTGACGCATGAATAATAACTTGCTATGCTTGTATTGAAGAATCTGGTGAAAATTTCTTCAAAGAAAATCGCGCTAATATTTATAAAATAATACTATTGAATGAGTTAGGAAGAATCTTGGTAAAGAGTGTATTTGTAGGTTTTATGTCATTGACTTGATCTGAGGTTAGTAATACATAGTAGTAAGTATGCGAGAAACGCACTAATAGGAAGTGAAAATCAACATAGAATAAATTCGGCTTACAATATGTGGCACCGTTCTTGTATGGAAGATACTTGATTCATATATCGCTTTACTTTTGTTGAAAAGTAGGTGAATCCATCGAAAATTGCATGTAAGTAAATATTCCCAGTTTATTCTAATTGTTTATATTGAGTGATTGTAGATTTAAAGATAACTTATATAGTTGCATCGGTAGTAATTTGGAAAAACCAATCGCATTGATACCAATACCTTTTGACAACTTGCATAGTGACATGAACTTTTGTTGTATTATGCTAGATAAGATTCTTAGCACTCAGAACGCCAAGAGCTTTGAAATGAATACTAGGGACAAGTTTTGTTGACCAATAAAATCATGGAGTTATGTGTTGACTCGAGAATGGATGTTATGGCTTGTTGTGGAAGTCCAGTAGCATCGAATAAAGTTATGTAACTTTGACTCATTATTAGTGGTTTTGGAGAAATAGGTCCCTATTCTTATTCAGTAGTGTTATGAATGTTAGTGTCAGTAGTTTGAAATACAGAAGCAAATGTTTCTGTAGAGTTAGGACTGCTAGAAGTCTTAGAAGAGTTATCATCGTTCATGTTTAAAATATCTTGAGGATCCTGTATTGAGATCTATTTTTGTGCATAAAAATAACGGGTAACTGCATTTATGACGAGGAGATAACTAACTTGTGGGGCTTTTTGTATGTATTCGTATTAGTTTTCAATATCCATGACAGTATGTTTATCTTGTAAATAATTGTTATATTTAGGATCTTAAAGATCCTATGGATCACAGGGGGGCCAAAATTATACATTATAGTAATTTGAAATTTCGATCTGTTGATTTTTAAGTTCAGCTGCAAAATCTTTGTGTATTATAGTAAAGCAACAATGTTTCAAATAGAGGAATGGATATCTAGGGTGTGACCATCGTTGATATTAGGTTTGCGAATGTGTGATTGGAACTGGCTGATGGTATATAAGCTTTGATTGGCAAAAATATGTATTGGAAATCCCGCATATATGGAGGTGGTTGCAAAGCTTTGATAGCAGCAGCCTGGATAAGTTTACATTGTACTGATGGGATGTTAGTGGTAGTGGTATTGCTAATGGGTGCCTGAGGCCGAGTGGTGAATAGTGTAGGTAATCGTGAGACAACCTTAAACGCCTACTGACTAGTATGTTTGTGTTAAGGTTGGTGCGGATTGGCGAGAAGTGGCAATTTGTTGGGCTTCAAGGCGGTTATTTTTCTCTAGGAATTTAGCTAATCCGCTTTTAGTGACTTGGAGTTCATTTTTAGCTGCTGCAAATCTCTCATAGAGATACATGAGTCGTTCAACAACACGATCTTGTGCTGTCATTTTTCGTTGCATGTAAGAAAAATCTTTATGTAAATTGACATTGAGATTGAAAAGTGGAGTTATGTCGACAAGATCATTAAGCACGGCCAGGGACATTTCGACATTCATCGTAGATACTTCATCCTTATCAAGGAAAGTTATGAGAGTAATGGAATTAAAAGTTTTGTTCGATATAAGCAGTATGCAGACGTGGTAGAGTAAGATCCATAGCAACTAGTTACTCCCTATTTGAAACAAAATGCGCATGATGTACTGCTACGGTTCTCGTCGAAATAATCTGCTAGTAGTTGCGACTCTTTTAAATCAAGTGGTTACTGGTGAGGTCTAGCAGGATGACCCAGACTACGGGTAGAAATATTGAAACGTAGGAATGAATTAGTTGATGGAGATTGTTGTTGATTGTTATAGATATTTAAATTTCTAATTTGCGTATCAAATCTTTTTTTATTATTATTATTTTCGTATGCTGTTTGATTATTTAGACATGAAAATATAAAATTATAAGTATGATCCCTTTCTCCTCTCACTAGACTAATCTCCTCTCGCTTATCAAATCAAAGAAAATATAAATGATCATGGACCAACATTTTATATTAAAAAAATATATTTATTAACTTTATTAATAAAAAAAAAGATTAAAAGATATAAAATAAAAATTTATATACAATGGAATATATAGTAACATGTATAAAACACTTATCTTCTACATCACAGAAAATAAAGAGCCAGTCATTTTAACTTTTAAGGCTACACAAAGAAGTGAACCGAAAATATATACAGCGCCAGCAAACATTTGAACGCCGATGTAACCTGCATTAGGAGTAGCTTGTTGAATAGCAGAAGCAATTGGTGGGCCTGTTCCAGCAATTGCACTGGCAACAAACATAATAGAAAGACCAGAAGAGATATTATCAATGCCAACAACAGTGGCTGTGATAGGTGAAGCAAGAGCATAATAAATACCACATGTAAAACCAAAGAGAACAGCAAATGCCATTAATGAGCCGTATGTTTTAGCAAAGGGCCAAATAAGCATACAGAAAAGGCCAGACAAAATAGACGAGATTACATACATATTTAAACGTCCAACACGATCTGCAATATAGCCAAGTATTAGACGACCAATGGCGTTCATTGCACATGCAACACCTACAATAGCTGATGAATTTGTTGCATTAATACCATATGTTGCACAATATTCTAAAAAGATAAAATAAATAAATTAAGCATTCTTAGAAAAAAAAATAAAATAAAATAAAAGCTTACTTGGCAAATAAAAAAGAGGAACTAAATAGCCTGTGAGAGATATAACTAAACCGCATAATAGTAAAACAAAGTTGAAGTCCTTTAACATAGAAAGTTTAATAGGCGAACGTATAGGTTGTTTCTTGTGATCTGGTGGCAGACGGGTACGAATCAACATTGATGCAACCGCACAAATACCAAATGCCATCAAACCTATAATGCGATGAGTCCAAGGAAGACCATATTTCTCAACTAATGAGCTTACCATTGGACTCAAAGCCAATCCACCAAATCCTGAACCAGCAGAACTAATACCCATAGCAGTACCGCGTCTTGTAGTAAACCATTGAGGAATTACAGCAACAATAGACATATAAACTAAAGATGCTCCAATACCAAAAAGAACACCCTGTGTTAAATATAAATGCCATATTTGTGTACTGAAACCAGCCAAAATAATACCAAGTGACATTAAAATACTTCCTAACATCATTGTAATACGGGCACCTAAACGAGCTAACAAAGGACTTATAGGAGTGAAGATATTTAAGCAAACAACAAGCGTTGTACCAACGCCCATAAGCTGAACAGTAGTAGCCCTATCTTTAAGAATAGTTGTAGCCCAAGCATGTGAAAAGACACCTATTGAAGTCAAAAGAAAATTTAAGAGCTGTAATGAATGACAAAAAAAAATTTTTTTTACCCCAAATAGAAGCTGTGCCAAACATAACAAAGTTAATAAGAAACCCTATAAACGCAATAACCCTATGCAGATCAAATAAATGTGTATATATAAGTTTTTCTTCTTATTTTTTCTATCTAGAGTAATTTATATTAAATTATAGTTACCATCCATATCCACCGTCTGGAATAGTATCATAAAAAGAATCCTTTGGCATTTCAACAATACTCGCAATAGTAACATCTAAAAACAGCAAATAGTGAAAACAAATAAGTCTGACTGATTACTTTTAAAAAAGAAAAAAACGATAAAAAAGTATTTACTTGTCTTCTGAGGCATTATAGTAGTCCCTAATCCGCCTACTTCTACATCATATTTTTCTGTTTTGACAGTTGAAATCTTTTCCAGATCAATAGGCTGTGAAGACGTCAAAGTTAGACCATTTAATTCATTTATATTTATGGAAGATCTTTGAGATATCATGTTAACATCTTCCTTAAATATCTCATGTTGATCTTCACTTGCTGATTTTTCCATACGTTTATTTTAGTTCCTGATAGAAAAAAATAAAAAAAAAAATAAATAAAAAGTTTTTTTCTGATTTTTTAAATAAACAAATTATTCAATTCCGCACTTGGTTTCATTATTCATAATAGGAAATTTAACGGAAAAAAAATATGCATACAATTGAATCAAAATAATTATTAATAAGTTCTATAATCCACTTTTCTCAAAATTATTGGAGCACTTTTCTTAAAATTATTGGAGCACTTTCCTGGAAAACAAAATAAAATTAATTGATCCAAATGTATCAAATCTAATTTTTAATACAAATAAGCTTATACTCCAAATAATCATAGACTATTTGCAAGAAAAAAAAAACTTTGTAGATCGCTTAAAGGCATATTATTACAAGCATATCTGACATGTGAAGTCAAAGTTTTTGCCTCTAAAAGTCCTTCTCCTCTTTCGAGTTTACTTTTACAAACCAGATCAACACTGTTCAAATTGGGTTTAGTTCTGGAGATTAGGGAGACAAGTACAAACAATGATATTCACAGCTTTCAATATAATATTTAATATCTATATGATTATGAATAAGTGCACTACCCCATCACAATAGAATACCCTTTGAATTGTTTATATTTATCTAATGTATTAGCGATGCAAATGAAGTAATAACCAGTAATAGTACCGCCTTTACATTTTTTTTCTCTTTTATTTGTAGTTGCTTTGTTACTTTTTAACTTTCTTTTCATTAAGAAAACTATCATTTTTGGGATTTAATTTCGACTTTTACAATGTAATATGGTGAAATAACATAAAGAATAGTGATCATTTTCGTCTTTCTTTTAGGTGTGGCTACAACATCAGAAGTTCCCCTTAATGATCATACAAAAAAACGCTTCAGATTGACATAAAAACCTACTTTTTCTTCTATGAACACGCAATTGTATTTGTAATATATATCAGTCTCTTACCAGAACTTCACCCATTTGTATCTATCCTTATTCTTTTTTTTTATCGTGTTATCTTTTGTACAGTCTTTGAAAAATATATTTCTTTCTTCTCTTTAGAACCATTATTCCTTTCAAACTAATCAAAATCTAAAGAACCTTGTTATCATGATCATCGTAAAAAACAGTTCGATTGCCATAATACAGTAATAAGAAAGCTTACAGCCTAACTATCTAAAATGCATAAACCGCGAAGAATATCTTATGTAATTGAAAAAAAAAGCGTTCCACGACAAAGTTAAAAGGGAACATCTTGTAAAACTGTAAGAAAAAAAAAGCGTCTAGGTTGTGTGTGTGTTTAAAAATAAAAATAAAACTGCTGTATAAAATGTCATTTTTTATATTATTGATAGCTTATCTACTTTTATTTTTTTTATTTTTATTTTTTTTTTTTTGGAGAATGTATGAGCATCATGATCTGTTGTGTAACTGCATTTGACTAGTTTTGACTTAATTTCTTTACAAGAATGCTCAATATATTCACATGAATATATATAACAAACTTCTTTTCTTTTTTCTTACTTTCTTACTTTCTTGCTTACTTTCAAAGAAGATAGTAATGCTTTACTACATTCAAATAAAAGGCAAAACTTATCTCTAAAGTATTAAAAAGAAAAGAGAAAAAAAAAAGAAAAGGGGAAAAGCAGGAGAGAAGATTTAACGCAAAGTAAATTAAAAACAAAAAAAAATACGCTAAGATTAAACTTTAATAACTTCTTCTTTTCGTTTATTTTTTTTTCTCCTGAATTTTACTATAAAAAAAAAAGTACATTTTTTCGTTTTTTTTTCCCTTTTTTTCTCTTTTCTTTTCTTTAGCTTTTTTTTATTTTTCCTATTCTTCTTTATTTTTACTTGAAACTATGGGTAGACATTGTCAGGGTTATGAAGTGTGCTCAAGTCACATAGCTTGGCTTACTTGAGAGTGTAGAACTGTCCGTTTATAACATGGCTAAAGGAGAGGGCCTAGACTCTCTTTTGGTTACTACATGCATATCCGCCTTCACCTTGGGTTATTGCAACCTTAGATAATTGATGGGACCTTATCGAATTTTGACTGCTCAAGTTTGATTTATTTCCAAAGGAGGAGGGAAATAAAAAGGATACTTGGGGTTGGAAATTGTAAACCTGTTCCTTTTTTAGGGAGATTAGCGTACTCTTTGTCTGCACCATTGAAAGGGCTTATCTCAAGGTTTAGTTTTTCTGTTTTTCTTTTTGGAGGTTTTTCCTTCTTTTTATTTTTATCTAGTTGCTGTTTATAAAATAAAAATAGATAAGGATGCACAGCTTACGTTTCTGACCGTGGTTTTTTCATCTATTTATTTAGTTGAAGAATCCCAGCTTGTATTTACTGTTAAGTCAAAAGTAGATGCTAGGGGTCAAAGAAGGGACATTCTCAAGTAAACAATAGTCAAGTCGTGCACTTCATGTATCTGGATTCCTTCCACTTCGCCACGCTACAGGTCAGAATGTTTAGCCCGGCTTCCAATGAAACTTACATCCAACTGTATTTTTTATTGGGGTAGGAAGTGAGGAATCCTATCTTTTTCTTCTAGCAAGGCTTGGGCCAGGTTGGACTTTGCCAAGTGTCTACTAGTTGAAATTGGACGTTTATTTTTCAAGTAGAAATTTAGAGGGAGAAGAAAAAATTACAGCTCATATCAATTTGTTTGTATGGGTTGTAATATTATTTTTGGGATTAGATATGCTTTCACCTTCTCGTGGTTAATCCTGTTAGTATCAAGTCTCTTCTAAAGAGATTTGAGAACTAAGAAAAGCATCTTTTTTTATAATGTCAATAAAAATGAAAAAAAAAATAATTTAATAAAATCGTGTTCTATAATAAAGTTGCTTCTCTAATAATATTTAATAATTAAGCGTATAATTCTTTCATTAACAAAAGTGGTGAAAGACTATAATAGCACAATGTATAAATATTAAAAAGATTATTGTATATTTTCCCTAAAGTTTCTTTCCTCTCGAGGTAAGTTATGTACGGTTGAATAAATTCAGCATCACTAGAATGTACATTGTCAGAATAAGACTAAAACTAGTCAACATTCATAATGAGCATTCATAATCTAATTGCTGTACAAAAGACTGTTCATCTTTAGGGTATAACTTGAAGTTGTTTCAAGCCTTGCCATCATTATTTTATCTGGAAACAAACTAACTTTGGTTTTCCAACTAGTGATTTTTTTTTCAACAAGGAGAATTTACTTCGGGTATTAATTATTGAGTAGTTATATATATATATAAAGACTGAAGGGAGGCTTGACCAATTCATCGAAAAGAAATTGTTGAAATATCTCAGCCTTTGCAAAGGAATTTTATTTTTTTTATTACAAAATTTTCCACAAAAACAATCCCTTTACTCCTCAGTATCGTATCTACGGATGGTATAATGACACTTAATACAAGAAACGTATCCTTGAAGTCTATTATGAAAACAAAAAGGTGACCATTTGACATCACTAGTAAAACGTAACAACACGTTTTTTGGAAAACGATACTGTTAGATACAGTCTTTTAGTGCGATATTAATAAAGGTCATCATTATTTTGAGGTTTTTGTCAGTTATACATTGCTCTTGGATGAACATTGACTTCATCATAAAGAATATAAAGGGTAATTGCTCCTTCAGTGAATTTGTCTCATTACATGGATTAATTAAAGGAAATTCTATAAAATAACCAAAGTTGATGCGCACGATATGAACATACATTTAATAAGAAACTACTGTTATCTTTTATTATGTACGGTGCTTCTTGCTATTCGATAACTTTTTCTCATAATTTATATGTTGATGCACTCATTATATATTGCTAGCTTAAACCCTCCTACAATGCTTACCTTTTTCTTTTTTACTTATATTATAGAGTAAATTGTCTTAATGTTATCTTATTCACCTTAAATTACACTATAATAAACTTCTTCTAAAGATTGTCTTAAAGAAAGAAAGAAACAAAAAAATAAGAAAATAAAAATCACAAAAGTTTCTGGGGGCGTCGTGGAGGAAACCTTCGTCGACGCTAATTCGATTACACGACCTCATGGTTGTTATAGAACAAGCTCTGGATATAAGCATAAGCAATATTAGAAAGGATGAATTACATATTACAGGATAAACTATAAGTCTGAATATAAAATAAAGCTCTGTATATAACATTTTGTTGATAATATAAAACTTATTAACATCCAATCATCTAAATGTGTCAACTAAATAAGATATTGTATCATTTCTTAATATTTATTTTTATAACCTTGATAAAGGAATCAGGTCGTCTTTGATCCACTGAAATAGATGTCAGGAACCTATGCTTAGATCAAACAATCAAATTGTATATTTAAAACCTTTATCAGATCATTATAACATCCAATAGATAACCCATAGAAATCAGTCTCTTGAGTCAACACAATGTATATCTGAATACTAACACTGTTTTATAACTCATGTTCTTTGACAGCTATTTTTATTTCTTTGATTCAGAATTCATTAGTATAAATACAGACAGTTGTGTAGACACAAAATAATCTTTAATCTTTATTTCTTTTATTTCATTTTTCTTTATATTGAAAAAATGAGTCTCAAACTATACTTCTTTTATCTTTTTCTTTTTATTTTCCTTTCTTTTATTACATACCATCACAAACTTTACTCTTTGATGACATAACAAAGCCTTCAAGGTCGCTTGCGTATACCAGATTGCAAGCATTAGCAATTCTGCCAGACAAATTTTCCTCGGTCATAAAACGACTGCGCTTCAACTTTCCTTTCACTAATGACTTAAACTGCCTGATAGGGTTGAGATCGGGCGAGTATGAAGGCAAGAGTATGATTTTGTATCCTCTACTTTCGATTTTCAGTCTCATTAGATGACTCTTATAAATAGTACAATTATCCAAAACTAGGTAGTTGCCCTTTAAATTTGGATCGAGATCCATAATATCCAGAAGTTCATTGACAAATTTGATGAAATGAAGGGTGGTTATGCCTTTAGATATTGGAGGGGGCGTCTTCATAAGTTGCTTCTATTACTTCCTCTTCGTTATTGTCGTGAGTGGCCCTCTTCCTACCTTTATTATCCTTTCTGCTTTTCTTAGGTTTGGCAAGCGTATTTTTTTTTTTTTTTACATGACTGTGATATCGTTATGGATACTGCACCCAATTCACAAAAGTGATTTATTGAAGGGATTTACTCATTAAAGAGACGACTACCAAGTACGTTTATTTATCACCTTGTTCCCCTTTCTTAAACCTGATCAGGGAATATTTATGCAAGATAAAGACTACTTTTTTTGTAGCAATAAACTTGCTAAAAAACAGAATAGTGCAAGATAGAATAATTGAGGTATCTAAAACAGTCAGTTAGAGAAAGAAAGAAAGAAAAAAACCCCCTCTATGACTTTGTTGATGCTGATTATGTCACCTATGAATATCAAAGAAGACGAATTATTTAAGTTTACAGTCTTCGACAGCAATAAAGTTAATAGTTTCAATTGCCTTTGTAATTGCTTGTAAAAAAATTTATATCTATTCTATTTATGTGAGTCAAGTAACTTATACAAATAAATATAACAGATTGTAATTACATAAGATAACTTTAGTTTTTTACTATAAATATTTATGCAGGTAAAATGAGTTCTAAAAAAGGAAATGCACTATTTTTTTTTTCTTGTTACAAAGTCATTGTGTTTGCTTTTTTTTTTCCATTTATGCATCATGTCTTTCAATGATTTAGAACAAGGCCTTAATATAACTAATACATTACATAATACATCTCTTTCGATAACAGGTATAATTTTAAACTATTTACTTGTTCATAATTACTAACAAATCTTGAAGACGATGATAGAGAATATAAAGAATTAACTCAAAGAATTGCTCAACAAATCTTTCATATCAACGGAAATATAAGTAGTATTGAACGACTTGTTAATTTCCTTGGGACACCTAAAGATACAATTGAAATTAGAGGAAAGCTGTAAGTAAGCTATTCATTGTTATGATAAATTAATCTTTACAATCTCACATTGTAAAATTTATAGTCATGATGTCACCAATGCTACTAGAGATCTCGTTAAGCTCTCAACTCAAGATTTAAAGTCACTTTCTTCTTTTCAAATACAGGATCCCAAGAAAAATGTATGTAACCTAATATCTCCAAGTATTTATCATAAATAATAATAATAATAATACCTATATAGCGTCAAAGACGGCTAGAACAACAAAAGCTATCAAAGGATTTTCAGAAAGTTGTATCCAATTTTCAAAATGTTCAAAGAAATTCAGCTAGCAGACAGCGTGAATATGTTGACAAAGCCAAGGCAACAACTGTTATGTTACAATCTCAAGCTGAGTAAGTATCTATGGCAATCATGGATCAAAGTGGTTAAATAAATTTAGTGTAGAGCAACTGAAGATAGTGAAGAACAAGACACAATGCTTATTCATAGTCAACGTCAAGCTCAGTTAGAAGCATTAGATAATGAAATTGAATATAATGAGTTATTAATAAATGAAAGAGAAAGTGAAATACAAAATATAGAGCAAGGTATTACCGAATTAAACGAAATTTTTCGTGACATGGGAATGTTAGTGAATGAACAAGAAAGCGGTATTCGTAAGTATGAACAAGTATTTATTTAAGGGATAATTATAGTAAAACAGGCTCTTTTTTTTTTTCTTTTTTTATCTTTTAGAAAGTATCTATGGCAATGTATTAAATATTGCACAAAATACAAGACAAGCAGCTGATGAGCTTGTAGTTGCTAATCGTTATCAAAAAAAGTCAAGGAGAACTATGTGTTGTTTCTTACTGATTATTACTATTGTCGGATGTATTTTATCTCTTATTATTGTAATTGCAAAATAAAAAAAAAATCGTTTTATTGTTCAGAGACTGAAAGAGATTTCTCCATCATTTGATGAAGATACTTTTTCTTAGATTCAATATCTGGCACTTTTAAATCTTCTTCTTCTTCTTCTTCATTCTCTTCTTCTTCGAATCCAGTTAATAGAGGATCGTTTTCATAGGTTGGAATAAGAAATCGAGGATCTTTCCAAAAAGGAGCATCCATTGGAACAAATTTCGTAATGCAGCTTCCTTCCTTATAATGATCAGCAAGCTCTGTTTCATTATCAAAGACCTTTTCACAAGAGAAGCATGTTAGGTTAGATGATTGATGACGAATATAATTGATCAAAACAATAACTTGGTAAAAATCAAGGCCTATAAATTTCCAATATATAAGTCCCTTTTTCCAATCAAATCAATTTTTTTTTTCACTCATTCACCTTTAGTCTTTCTTAATTCAGATAAATTAAAATGATGTACTTTCTTCATATGATCTAATGCTTCTTTTGGTGAAGGCAATACTTGTGTATCAAATAAACACATGGTTGATTCTTGAACATCTTCCTCCCAATCAGCCCATGAACTATAATACATATATATATTTTAATATTCGTTTTCTCTTCTTATTTCATATATATATATATAACTTACTCGTCCTGCTTGTCATCATCACTGTCATAAGTATCATGTTCAAAGCTTTCCCAGTTTTTTCCCGGTTCTAAATAGTTGATAACATAAAATCTATCATATTGTCTATTCTTGGCTGCAATCTTAAAATGCTTCTTTTTTCTCATATGTTTACGTAATACAGCAGGACTAGTAAATGTCTTTTCACAATAAAGACATTGAAGTCTATAACAATAAAAAAAAAGTTAAACTAATAATAATAAAAAGACGCAATAAGAAAGACTTACTTTGATAATTTGCCTTCCAAAGTATCAAGAAATTCATTTACATAAACTAAATTATCTGGTAAACCAATATTGAAATTATGTTCCGAAAACATATGTTTAAAAAGAGTAGTTCTAAACAATAAAAGTAGCTTTAATATAGAGTGAATAGTTTAAATAAGCCAAATATATACCTATTTTCGCCAATAATTTTACAAAAGAGACATTTCCTGGGCACTTTGGAGTCATTTTCTCGTTCATTTTGTTGAGTCTTTAAGACCTCATTCTAATATTTCAATACAGTTAGTCTTGTATGCATGCATATACATATATATATTGGAGGGAGGGGGTCTGTGTATATAATTACCAATTTGGCTCGTTGCATGTCTTCTCGGATTTTTTTATCCAAGGCACATTTTTCGGGATTAATGACATAAACTAATAATAGAGTGTGTTATTACATACTATTTATTTATATTTGTCTATAAAATTGGTTACTTGCCATTATTATTAGTATCTAATTCACCAATTTCACTAATAGACTTATTCTCAAATTCTTTTGCCCAACGTGATAAATAAGTATCCAAAGCCATATACATGTGATGAAGATTCTTAAATACAAGTTGGTGATCATCTTTCAAGTGCTTAACAAGTGAAGTTGTATCCACAAAAGGAATGGGAGAATTACATCCTTGAAAAGGACAAGAAATGACAATGGTTGTATGGTAAGGTGGAACAGGTAAATCGATAGGATCAATCTGTTCGTCATTTTCTTCTTCTTCATCAGAATCATCGTCATCAGCAGCATGAAAAGGATTACTTGTTGGATGGTTTACAGCATGATGACGACGATGATTTGAGGATGAATGAGGATGGGTCTTTTTGTCTTTATGTGATTTTGAAGTAGCATGTTGTTTCTGCGGTTGTTGTTGTTGTTGTTGCTTAACAATAGGTATTTTATGTTTTGACTTGCGTCTTGTATTTGAAGAAGGCGAAGAATTGGCTTGCGAGTTAGGGTGTGTGGTCTTGTGACTTGTCACTGTATGCCATTCGTTATCTTCAATCATATTTTTATTTTTTAACTATTGACAAAAAAAAAAAAAAAGGAAGAAAAAAGAAAGATATTTGGAACAGCATGGAAAATGATGATATTGTTAAACAAAACAATTAGATTCCCGATAAATTTTCCCGAATAATAAAGACAAATGGGCAATTCTTCTCCAACCACTTTTTATTATCAACAGCATATTTTTTATAATAATAATAATAATAATAAAAAGGGACTGGTATAATACAAAATAAAATAAAATAAATAAATGATCTTCTTATTATTAAATCGAGCTTATTCAACGTCATCAAAAAATTGGTTGTCTCGACAAGCGAAAGATCCCTATTGTAAACTTGCAAAGGCAAATCAATATAGAGCAAGGAGCGCTTTCAAACTAATACAAATAAATGATAAATATCGTATTCTGCGACGCAATGATGTAGTTATTGATTGCGGTGCTGCTCCCGGTGGTTGGACTCAAGTAGCTGTCGAAAAAGTCTCTAAAAAAGGATTAGTGATCGGCATCGATCTTTTACATGTAGATCCCATTCCCCATGCTCATCTCATTCAAGGGAATTTTATGCAAACTAAAACTCAAGACGAGATTCATCATATCCTTCAAGGTCGATCAGTGAATTTAGTATGTTCAGATATGGCTCCTAGTTTTTCTGGTAATCATATAGCAGATCATGCTCATTCAATGGAACTTTGTGAATCAGCCTTGTCATTTGCCGAAAAAGTATTATCACCGGGTGGTTCATTTGTAGCCAAGGTAATAGAAGATGATATAAAAAAAATAGATATTATATATAGAAATAGATGTATATTTTATGTGTTAACTCTATTATTATTTAGTTTTTAATGGGCGGTACAGAGCATGAATTTCGTAAAAAGTTAAAAAGCTTATTTGCTAAAGTGAAAACAGAAAAGCCAGATGCATCGAGAAAACAATCAACAGAAGGCTTTTTTGTGGCACTTGGATATAAAGGATAAGTCTTTTTTTAAGGGAGGAAATTGATTACTGTTATTCCAATAGAGAAAACCACTTCTTATTCTCTATTGTGTATACATTTTATTTATTACCAGTAGTACTGTTGTTGTATTAAATTCTTTAATGGTGACAAAAGCATTTTTTTGTTGTTGCTAGGATTTGACTTTATTCCTTAATTTAACCGAAGTGGCTTAGAAAATGCACTATTAAAAAATGATATCGTAAATTATTATTGTTCCTGCTCAATCCCATTTATTTATATTTATTAAAAAAAAAAAAGTAATGTCAAAACGAAGAAGAAATAATAAAAGGAATAAAAAGGACGAACGTAATTACATTGAAATATCTGATGATGATGATGATGACAATCAATCCATCGATTATGGTAAAAAAATAAAATAAAATAAAATAAATTGGGAGAAAATACATTTCATTTTAATTATAATTAACATATATTTGCAGATCACATCTCCATCGATTCTACCCTACCTTCTTCTCCTTCTTCATCATCAGACCAACATCAACCCGAAACGAATACAGAATCTTCACATGTACATTTTACAGAAGACATGATTCCTGAAAGTGATAGAGAAGAGGATTTCATTTCTTTAAATACTGAAGTCAATACACGTAGTAGGCAAGAGAAACGTAGAGATGAAAGAGCAGAATTAAAGCGTAAACGAGAAGATTCAAATGAAGAAAACAAGTCAGATGACATTGATATATGTTATCCTTGGATGAATTTAATGTCTTATTATCGTATAAAGCAACCTCTTTCTGCTAGAAAATTGTAAGCCGATTATAGTTATAAAAAAAAAAAAAAAAAAAAAAAAAAAAAAAAAAAAAAAAAAAAAAAAAAAACTAATTGAGATTAATGGTAGATTACAACATGAGGTAGCTTGTTTTTTGCAATACATTGAACCAACAGAAATAGAGATTAAATTAAGAGAATATTTAATACATCGCATAAGAACAGCAATTCAAGCGAATATACCTGAAGCCAAAGTAACTGTATTTGGTAGCTATTCTACCCAATTATATTTGCCCAATAGGTAAAATATAAAACCTGAATTAATTCAAGACACTACTGACATGTAGATATATTTTAAAGCGATATTGATCTTGTTGTTCAATTTCCTCCCTCAGTACAAGTAAGACTTCGACGAATAGCTCATATATTAGAATCAGAAGAAATATGTCGAGAACCGCATATTATTGAGCAAGCAACGGTAAGAATAGAAAGTGTGAATAAAAAAAATACACATATGCAGTTGTCATTTATTATAGTCTATTCTAGGTTCCTGTAATTAAACTTCAAGATATAATGACAAAGCTTAAAGTAGATATTATCTTGAACTCAACCTCAGGAGTTGATAGTGCACGAAGGATTAATAAATTCGTAAAGAAATATCCAGCTGTTCGACCTTTGACATTAATTGTAAAGTATCTTTTATCACTTCGTCAGTTAAATGAAGTATATACAGGAGGATTAGGTGGTTATGCTATTGTGTGTCTTGTTGTTAGCTTTTTACAGGTAAGAAGATAATAACTAAATAGTGAGTATACTAATGTATATGTATATTATTATATAGATGCATCCTAAAGTAGCTTCGAAAGCAATCGACCCTATGCAAAATATAAGCTCATTATTATTAGACTTTTTTCAATTATATGGAATTATGTTCAATGTAGATCAAGTTGGTATTGATGTAAATGGCAATGGTTCTTATTATGACAAAAGTGGTATTGTTTGTAGGAATGGAAGAACTGTTTTCTCTATTCATGATCCTGAAGATCCTTCTAACGATATCGGTATCAAATCATACAATGCTATAGCTATTATTCGAACATTCAGATATGCATATGTATCCATGACAAGGAAAGCATTCATATTGGAAGAAGAATTAGAGGAGAATAATTATAAAAAACTATATAGAGAAACCATAGAGAACCCTAAAAGTGGTTCTATTCTTAGCTCTTTCCTCTATATATCCGCTGAATTCATAAATCAAAGACAATTAATGAATGATGTATATGATGAAAAACGATGGGAAGGACAAACAGCAGCCAAAACATTTTCATTTTAAGAATAAGAATTTAAAAAAAATAAAAAAAATAAAAATAAATGTATATATTTTATGTAAATACAAAGCTTGAAAGAGGAAAAAAGGTACGAGATCTACAAGGAAGGATTTTATTGGATAACCGAACAAAAACAAAGAATAAAATATACTGTTACACTACTGATACATTTTTTTTTCACAAATATGTTGAAATAAAGAAGGGAGATGAAATGAAATGAAATGAAATAAAAATGCATAATAAAAGAAAAAGACAAAGAGACCATTTACAGAACAAAAAAAAAGAAAGAAAAAGAAAAGGAAGTGTGTATCTATGTATAGTGAATATTTGAGTATGTGCAAAAAAAAAACTTTTTTTTTTCAAGTATTTAATCGCTTCCTGCAAAGAATAAAGGGGCATCAGGAAGTTCAGCAACAATAGCATTTCTACGACGTAAAGCATAAACAGGTAATTCGATACTTGTATCATCATCAAACATGACAAGTGTTGCTCTTGCCCTTGGACTCTTTTGAAGCCACTCATTAATCGATGCTGTAGATAAGATTTCAGAGTTTGCTTCTTCTAAAACAGTATCACCATCTTGAATAGAATGAATATAAGAGCATGTTGGGTGAACAAAGACTTCGAGAAAATCAGACATATTTTGCTTTTAAAGAAAAATTAATAGCGACAAATAAAAAGAAAAGGATTTGAAAGGAAAAAAAAAACAATTTTAGTATTTATATATAAAATTTGTATTCGCACCACCAGCTTCATTTTGTATATACACAACGACTTTTCAGCCACGTGGTTGGCCTTTTTGTCTGTATAACCATTTAAAATAGACTAGTTTTTGTTTTGTTTAGTTTTATTTCTTTTTTGCTTACAAGTAAATTATTTTATACTTGAATATAATTCTGATAGTTTATTTTCCCCTAATATAATTTGGGTTGGATCGGGGAGTTTGTTTAAAGCAAGATATTCACTTGTATATGACTGGATATAACTTTTGTATATATCCTGATTTTTTTTTTTTTCAGGAAAAAAAACAAAAAAAATAAATAAATATAAAAAAAGAGCACCACCTATTTAACAAATATAGTTGAATTAGGAAAAATTACTAAAATACAGGGTTAATAAAAATATACTTTCTACTATTAATAGGCTGTCATTTTTTTTTCACTAAAATCTTAACAATGATGAATTTTTGTCTCATGCCACTTTTTTTTTCCCCTCCTTCACTTTAAAATAACGGGTTTATTGTTCCACATATTCGTGCACAAAGTTTCTGGTAAACAAAGGACAGCAGCGTATGTTAGCTTGTTGCACGAGACTTTTTTTTATTGAGACTCAATTTCTGGATGTAACAAAAATCATTAGCGTCTCTTATTCATTCATTGCGTCAATGATAGTTTATCTTTCAGCATTAAAACAAATATACATTAAAGTTTACTCAAATTTTGAGCACTTTACCTCAATTACACTATTATTTAATATTGATAGTCGTTCGATTTCTAGAGTAAAAGATCGAGGAAATATACCATAGTCAATGGTTCTAATTTAAAACATTAGTTTCACAAGCTTTATCTTTGAGAGATAGTTTTTTTTTTTGGTACTTTGTAGTACTTTTATTCTAATCATCATAATGATTCTTCTTGTTGTTATCATTATTAACTTCTATAAAAGTGGTAGAGATTCCTATACTTTAATAGATAGTGGAATTAAACTTGTTTTAATGAAAGCTAATTTCTAAAATAAAGAGTAATATGTACCTTTTAAAAGTAGGAACGCTCTTTATACTCGCTATTACTTCTCAATTAAAGTGATTAATAATATTATTGCCAATAACTATTAAATAGTACGATTTCTAGTTTAATATTGAAGGCTTCGTAATGGCTTTACAATTACATTAAGAAAATATGTAATTTATTATTCTTATACTGTCTATATTAAACAAATATAAAAAAAAAACTTGATCAAGCCAGCTTGGATATGTTGAGCATATATGCAGAACTTGCATCCTATAATATACGTGCGTATGTATATATTCTAGATGAATAAAACAGATTCCTTTTTAATACTAACATATAGAATCTTACAAAGAAAGTATTAAACTTTTTATTGGATTTGATTGGCTTACACGATTTTTTTTTTTAAAAAAAACACAATCTGAACTTCAATTTATTAATACTGTTTTCTGGCGTCTTTTCGTGATTTGATGCAAAGCACATAGTTCTTTTTTTTTTTTTTTTTTTTTTTTTTTAGTCAGCATAAAATTAAACAACATAATACACAATATTATGGAAATTGAAGATTTTATTAGACAAAGTATTGATGAAGGCGATCTTATTGAAGGTACAAAGAGTATATTGAAAATAAAATTTCATTTATTTTTTTATTGAACTAATGGCTGAAATTGTCAAAATTAAAATTATAGCCATTAGCGATGCATTACCGGGTTATTTTGAAGCTGGAATTTCACCTGAAGTATGTGCGTTATTATTTCAACCCTTAGTAGTTCATGCGCTTAAAAGTGCGCAATTAGATCAAAGCATAGCTATATATAGTAGAGTCATGGCAGACATTTATGCATATATTATTACCAAAGATGTCACAAATAATAGATCCATATTTCAAGAATCTATTCAATTAATAAAAGGTATATTCAACTTTTTGTATTGCACCCTCTACACTTCTTCTTTTCTTACAGCAAAATCCTCTCATTTATTTATTTTTAGATATTATGGATGTTCAGCGTAAAAAAACAATTCAAGTAAGTTAGTGTACTGTGGGTATAACATGTATTAACTTCAAATGTATATGATAGACAAATTATGAATTTGATTTGCAGAAACTTGAAATGAAAGAATTATTGAATTTAGTGGCTATTAGTGTTAATACTTGTTCTTTAATTTTATCAACTGAAGAATATCCAGAATTTGATTCTTATTTATATATTTTATGGGATAATTTGTCTAATATCTTGAAGTTCACTCTATTTGAAATAAATGATACCACAATAATTATAATCAAAGTAAATATATTGCACAAATAATAGTTTTTTTTTTAAGATTACTGAAAAAAATGAAATAAAAATAGGCTGTAGCAGGCATTTCTAAAATATGTATTAGTGAATGCTTAACTGAAACAGATGAACTAACAATTTCCAACTTACTTGCAAGTATTTTGCGTGTCATGAATCATCAAAATATATTAGAAGATTTATTAGTTGATCTAAGCAATACAGTTTCACATATTATTCAATCTTATCCCGACCTGACTATCCATGATACATCCTATTTGGCCTTATTAACTAATTTGTATTCACAAAAGATAAAAAAAAATCCCGATCTAGTCAAGGTAAAGATGATGATATTGAGTTTTTTTTTATGGTAATGTGCATTCGAATAGCCTCACTCATAGAATAAATTTTAGATAAGAGCTATATTAAACTTATCGTGCTTGTTAGTTCAGAATTATACAAAAGCACCTTGGATTCCGGATATTTTACTTTTAGTGAATGAAATAGAAAGAGACCAGGAAGTTCAATCCATTAATATATTAAAAGAAAAATATACTCTACTTTTAAAAGAGATAGAAGAACCAGATGATCTAACTAATCATTTAGAGGCAATGGATATTGATGACGAGCTATCAATGTAAGATTAAAATTTCAAAAAAAAAGCAACTGACTCATATATGCATAACATTTTTATTATTATTATTATTATTTTATTTTAATTTTAGGTATTTATCTCAGAATTTAATGGTAACATCTGATGAGACTCATAAAGTACTTTTAAGTAAGGTGAAGGATATTATATATGAATTAACAAGCCAGAACCAAGATAGTAACCGTAGTCGAATTTTATTATCTCAAGTAAGCATATAGTAAATTAAACTGGAAGAAAAAAAAAAGTAATGAAATGATACTCATCTTATTTAAAGTTAAGAGATATTTCTATCTATACGCGAACAATTGATATGTCGGTTATTTGTAAAGCTTATATGAAAGACATTGTACAGTTTGTAACTCGTATGCTTGTAATTGACCCTGCTCTTACAGAAAATGTAACACAGCTTTTCGGCTATCAAATTCCTAACTTTCTTTCCACTTATTTGAATATTGCTCTCCCGTTTGCTGTTGCTTATACAGAAGATGATGATGCTCTTTCCGGTATTGCTGCTTCATTAGAGCTATCCATTCTTAGCCTTTGTAAGAGTGGTGCTCACTATATTCTTGTCTCTTTGTTAATGGAAAAGGATGCAAACATTAAAGCTTATGGTTACAAACGTTTGCAGACTATCTTTGCAAACAAATCGATTGTAAAAACTTTAATAAGCGAAAACTTAACCAAAATAACAACTACACTTGCCATGAGTCTTGGTGTCCCAGGTTTACAGGAATCTTCAATGAATGCATTAAACGAATTAAAGACACTGACGGGAAATACAAAAGAAAATTTGTCTGATTATCTGTCTTCTTACTTCATTGCCATATTAGAAAGAGTTTCACGATTTATTTCAGAGAAAAGAAACCAGGTTCTAAAAATTCAGGACCCTTATGCACTCGAAGCACTTTCGGTAATTATGTCCTTATTAGACTCAAATATTAGCAACCATACACTCCATGTAAGTGCAACAACTCTATATATACTTATTCAAGTGTATATTACAATTAAAGAAGGAAAAAAAAAAAGAAAAAAAAAGAAATAGAATACTAAATGATTAGTTCATATATGTATATAGTTAATGAAAGTATTCCACACTTTAAAGGAACTGCCAAATATGCAATTTCAAGTTTGTTCTCTATGGGAAAAATTTATTTCACTTTTAGATACTGATACTATCCTGTCTCATGTAAATGGAATTGTTAAAAATTTAATTGATATAATGCCTATAGCAACAAAAGAAATTCGAGTCACCATTGCAAAATTATTATACAATTTATTGGTAGAAAAAAATAATTTGGAACCAGGACATTATACGAATTTGCCAATACTTCCAGATTACGAAGAGTTTCAGGAATTAAAAGAATATATTGCTTCTAATAAGCAAACAAAGAAGCCGTCTAATTATGAGTTTAAACAAATTATTGCAACATTTTCTAATGCGAATTCAGATGATGTTCAAGTTCTTTTAGGATTGCAACGATTAAGAATATTACTCGAAAACTATCCTGAATGTGAGGTTTATCGTAATCAAATCTTCTCAAATCTATTTTATTTATTACGCAAATATGCTAGTCATAAACAAATAACATATCTTGCAGCCTTGTGTCTTGGTAAATTAGGTGCTGTTGATCCTAGTACCGTTAATATGCCTATTATAGAAGACACCGTCTTTATTATGAATAATTTCCATCGTCAGGATGAAAATCTAGACTTTATAAGTGATCTTATTATCAATCATATCTATCCAGCTTATAATGCTATAAATGATGAACAAGTACGAAAGTGCACGGAATTCACAATACAAACCTTATTGCATCAAGCTGGTTATCATCCAGTTCATGAGATGAAGAAGAGACCTTCATTGATTGCTATCTTTCATCATTGGCGCAGGTTACCGACCTCTATTCAAGAATTTTTAACCCCATTTTTACAATCTGCTTATCAAGGTACATGGTCAGAACATGCTAGTAAATATCCTATTTTCCCTAATGCGAAAAGCTTTGAGGAATGGGCTCAAGACTGGTATTGTGTAATGGCCAACAGTGCGCATGATACAGCGAAACAGATATTTGCTGCCTGTATTCCAATTGTTCGATCAAGTATTCTTGAAGTTACATTACATCTGTTACCTTATCTTGTACTGCATCTCCTTTTATCTGGTACGCCCTCTGATATCCGTCATATTGTAGATGAACTTATGATTGTCTTTAGTATGAATTCAAAACCTCATGGTAATCATTCTAGTCAAGATAAGATGAACGTTTACTCGCTTCAAGTTGCTGTAGCTGTAACGGAATATTGTCGAAAGTGGCTAAATCGGGTTGGCCCTTATGATGCAGAGAAACGTAATCAAGTGAGTCGTGTGAATTCTTTCTTGGAGCTAATACCAAATAAAGTGATGGGTATTGCTGCATTCTATACTAAAGCTTACCCACAAGCATTAATGGAATTCGAAACACACTTTAAGAAACAAAAGACGAAAATTGTAGGAGATCATGAGATGCTTGATTATTTGCGTCAAATCTATATTCAAATTGATGATCCTGTTGATTTACAAGCTTTAATGGATATGTATACCTCTGTTTTAAGTCGAGATGAAGAGATTACAAGATTTGAGGCTTTAGGTAAATGGGATGAAGCCGAAGCTCTGTATAAGAGTAAAATATCCGACAATCCTTATGAATTGGCACCCTATATTGGTTATATGGAGTGTTTAAGAAAATGCAATAATTATGGTAGATTATTAAAGAAAGGAACTAGAGAAAGGCTCTTTTATTTTATTAACTTTTTTTTTTTTTTTTTTTTTTTTTTGATGAAAGAAAAATTATTATATGTCACTGAAAAGGTATTCAAAGATATTCCAAAATGGTCACCACAGATTAATTCTTTTCGAATTGATTCTGCCTGGAGAGTACAGGATTGGGATACCTTAGAGACTGCAGTAAACCAACCTATGGAACGAAATTCGCAAGCTCTAATCGGCTGTATATTAAGTAAGATGCTTCAGAAACAAAATCTTGAAGCAGCTAGTTTGATAGAAGAGGCAAGACATAATATTATAGAACAATTAACCATGAGTAATACATCAAAATCATACCGAAAGTCCTATCCATTACTTTTCTCTCTTCAATTACTTCAAGAACTAGAAGATTCCCAGAAAGTCTGGGACTCAGATAAGCCTTTTGAATATTTAGAATGGCTTGATGGAGTATGGAAATCGAGCTCTAGACGAGTTAGACCTCGAACGCAGTATAATCTTCATTTATTAGAATTAAGAAAAACAGCATTTTATGATATAAGGTATTTTTTTTTAATTATGATGTATAAGGGGGGTAGAGGATGAATAATAACAAATAATAACAACCCATACAATATAGGCTTGAAAACAAAGATAAAGCAATTGGATCAAAATTATGGTTAAATCTCGCAAAGGCAGATCGAAAAATGGGGAACATGGCAGCCTCTTTCAACGCTATATTGCAAGCAGAAAAATTAAGTGACGGGAGTCTTCATCGTGAAAGAGCCAAATGGTACTGGAAGAATGGCAATATTGAAAAGGCTATCAATATTCTTCTTTCTAAAGCACAAGTTTCAAAAAAGTGCGAAGACATCTCAAAGTTAAGTCCAGAGGTAATTATAAATGAATTATATATATAAAAAAAAATAGTAAATTAAATATACATGGTTTAGGATATTTTATTATGGACAGATATTGCTCGCGAAAAACCATCAGTTTTACCCTTCTTCAAATCTAGAGCCATATTTGCTATTTTGTATAGCTCTAATGCATCCATGTAGGTTATTAGAATATACTTAAATAATATTGAGTTTATGTAACGTTTTTTTTTTCATTCTAGTAGGTTAGAGAAAGCAAATTACAACGTTTGTGCATATTATTCTCATCACGCTTCTGAAACTTCTGGAAATAGTGAATCCAAGTAAATGACTATACTATGATATTCTAATCCTTTTTAGAGCGGAATATATTAAAGAGCTATTATTATTATTATAGATTAAAAATACAAATATATGTAATTAAAACCGCAGCAAGGGCTTTAGAGACTGGTTCAAAATATTATTATATATCTATGTCCAATATGATCAATACTTATTTGGATGTAGTAAAACAAACCCTATTAGCTAATTCTAGCAAGTAAGTTAATTATATCTCAAAACAAAATTTGATAATTAATAGATGTATATGTTTTTGCTGTATATAGATCCACCTATATAAAAAATGTATTAAAGATTTATGCACCTAAAGTCGATCAGGCTTTTAAAAAGGCTATTGACGATATTCCTGCCTATCAAGTAAATAGATGCATATTACTTTATTTATTAACATTATCTTATTAGTATTATTATCAGTTTAGTTTATTTTTAACTAGATTAATTTCACATCTTTCAATTGACCTTACTCAACCTGCGGAATTGATACAGAATTTAATCTCAAAAGTTTTTGAAGCATATCCTAGAAATACAATTTGGCATATGTTGAGCGCAATTGACTCAGAATCTCGTAATGTTTCTCGTAGAATGAATGTTATCTTTGATAAAGCAAAGGTATTTTATTATAGTAGAATCTATTATACAAATTAGATATATATATATATATATATATGTATATGTATGTATGTATATCTTATGTAAAGCAAATATATTGTAGAGTAAACATAGTAATACGCAGATCCCTACTATTATAAATGTAATGTTTGTATATAACTATAAAATAATGACTTTACTTACTAACACATATTTATATAGCAAGCTATTGCGTTAAAAAACGCATTAGACATCTTATCAGAGCTTAAAACTGATAAGACAATGGCAGGGCAATTAAGCTTATCACAAATGGATAACCCATTACTAAAGCTAAAAGATCTTGAGCTGTACATGCCAAATGAGGCTTGCTTAATTCCAAAGCTACCAGAAATTATCAGGAAAGGCGCTAAAAATGAAGTATTTGCAAATGATTCACCTACTATTCGCAGTAAGTTTATATAAATATGTGTATATTACTTTTTTTTTTCTTTTCCTTTTTTTTAACAAATTCTGTAGGCTTTGGAAACAAAATAACGGTTATGAAGTCGCTACAAAAACCTAAGAAAATTACAGTTTACGGTTCAGATGGGCAAACATATGCATTTCTTTTAAAACGTGAAGATGATTTACGTAAAGATGCTCGAACAATGGAGTTTAATTATATGATTAATAGCTTTATGAAAAGAGACCCTGAATCGAGAGACAAAGGATTATGTAATTTTTTTTTCTTTTTTTTTTTTTTTTTTTTTTTTTTTAGAATGCCCTTTTTTTATATAGTATTTTTTTTTTCATATTATTATATAGATATTCGAACCTATGCCGTTGTCCCTTTGGGAACTCGTTGGGGTTTAATAGAATGGATTAATGATCTTAATTCATTAAAGAATATTGTAAATGATATTTGGGAATCCCAAGGTCTACCTTCTGTAACAGTAAGTATCTTTCGTTTCCGGATATAACTAAATATATCCAACTCATATAAATCTTTTATAGAGCATTTCAATCAAATTAACAAACGCTAAATTAAGTCTTGGAGCAGAAAAAGTTCGATATTTTGTTGAAAAAGTCTTACCGATGTGAGTAATGTTACTCTTTATTTCTTTCTTTTTCTTTTTTTTTTCTTAACTAAAGTTTCTTCTCTTTTCATAATTTTAAAGGTGTCCTCCAGTTTTTTATAAATGGTTTTTGAAAAATTTTCCCGAGCCAAATTATTGGCTTGCTAGTAGAACTAGATATGTGAAAACATTAGCTGTTATGTCTATTGTAGGACATTTAATAGGGTAAGTTAATTTATGACTTATTATGGTTTATGCAATCTAATAAAAAATGTATCTGTATCCAAACAATTAGGCTTGGTGATAGACATGCTGAAAATATTCTTTTCGATGAGAAAAGTGGTGACTGTGTACATGTGGATCTTAATATGTTATTTGGAAAGGGACAAAAGCTGCCAGTTCCAGAGCTTGTTCCTTTCCGTTTAACACATAACCTTGTTGATGCTATGGGCGTTTTAGGTCATAAGGGACTTTTTCAAAATATTTGTGAAGCAACTTATTCAGTTCTTTTAGAAAATAAGGAGTCTCTATTAAGCGTTTTTCGAACTTTTCTAAGTGAAGTAGATGCCACGACTGTTGTTGTAAGTATACAAAGTACAAACTTATTAAGTGAATTTAAAAACTAAAATACTGATAAATTCTTGATATTAGCATTCAAAATCGACACGTTCTACACAGACATCTAGAGAGGATTTTTTTACAGAGGTTGAACAAAAGTTTAATGTACAACCTAGCCATATTAAAACAGAAGTCCAAAATCTTATCCAGAAAGCTACAGATACAGCAAACCTGTCTCAAATGTTTCCTGGTAAGTTTTTTTTTTGAAATACTATGTAATGACTATAATTCAATTAAACTATGGAAATTTTCTTTTATGATAGGATGGGCACCCTTTGTTTAATAGACATCTTTTTTTTTTCTTTTTAGCAATTAATAGAATATATCCATTTTTTTTTCTTTTTTGTTTATTACATGCATATACTCTCATATCAACTTTATAGATTATTTTTTTTCAATGTAATCTAACTGGAGAAACAGCGTCTTGTTCTATAATAATAATGCTTGAAATAAAACTCTCTTTATAACGATTGCCTTTGCTTTTTTTTTTCTTCTTCTTCTTCTAGTTTTACCAATATGTTATGACTATTGATATATAAATATTAAAAAATTATAGAAAACCCAAAAGTCCAAACCTTCCTATACAAACAATACTTTGTATGTTAATGATTAGAAACAAGGAAGAGTTATTTTTCTTTCTATGTAGCCAACGATAAAATTGTACTAGAAGTCATAGTGTCATTAGCACCAGATATATTAATTAAAGACTATCAGAAATTTGAAGTTATTTTTTTTTCTTATGATACTGATTTTACTATCATCATTTGATTTATAAGATTGTAGATAAGAGCCCTATTTCTATCAATGAGATAGTACAACATAATTGATTTTAACTATCTGATCACAATTATTCTTAGATCAAGGTTCAGTAAAATGAAACTTTTTTTTTTATTTAAAAAAAAAATAAAATAAAATAAAAAAAAAAGGTGTAATAGACCGAGTAAAGAACTCTTTATGATTATTGAACAATGAAGTGAGTCTTATATGAAGTACATAGTGAAAAAGAAAAAATTACAGTAAAATCTTTAAGGAGGTTTTTCTAATAAAGCTTGTATAACCACCATCTTTATTTATAATAATAAATATACAACAGTAGATATAAATAAACCAGCATAATAGGTAAAAATATATATATATAAATGTATACATATTCAAATTGAACTAAACTCTGTTATATTTATGATATGCAATAATAGTAGTATATAGGTATTTATTATATTTACAATGGTTATATTTATATGAATGAATATGATAAATAAAAAAAAAATAGTGAATAAAGGAAAATAGGAAAGATATCTTTATCTATCTATCCAAATAAAGAACGGATAGAAGGTAAATGAATTTCAGTAGATCTCTTTGGTAAGAAAGTGGGGTAAGATAGTTTGAATGATGAATTACGTTCCTCAGGAGATGGGAAAATTGGGGGGAAAGACACATGACATCCAAATTGTTGAGGCTTACGTATTAAAAGGGGAGGTAATGTCAAATTTGATTTATTAAAGGGACCGAGAGTAGGAGAACTATCAGGTGTACGAATATGGTCACTTTCAGAGTCTGATAAATAAGACGATTGCTGTGGCTGATAATCTAATTTATATTTTGTCATAATAGGACTTGAAGGTAATGATGCTGTTTGAAAATGATGCCTTTGATGATATACCGAATATTTAGTTGATCTAATAGGAAATACAACTGGATAAATTGGTATATTATGGTCTCGTTTCTCTGTACTACGTTTTGATGGTAAGATATGAATACGCATATGACGGGTTAATTCATCAGAACGAGAAAACCGTTTTTCACAATTAGGATAGGAACAAGCGTGTGGTTTTTCACCTGTATGTATTCTTATGTGACGAGTTCTATGTTCTAACCTTACAAACGCTTTAGGACACATTGGACATTGATAAGGACGTGGTTTATCTTCCATTTTTTCATTACTACACTTTGTGAGACAAGAAAAATTTGTTGCAGTCATTGTGGAAGAAAGAAAAGATATATAAAAAAAATGAATTCCCGAAATACTTTATATGAATCTTTATATAATGGGAAAAAAAAAGGAGAATTAAAGAAAAGGGGGGGGAAAGTGCTAATATACAGTGAACAAACGGAACGAGTTAAAAGAAAAAGAAAGGAAATAAGTAAAACGGAAGAAAAAGGAGGCAATATTCTAAATGGCTTTGATAATAATTTTAATAGTAGTAGAAAAGAAAAATTAAATAAAAAAAAATCCAAATAATTTATATTCATGTCAAATATGCTAGATTTTTTTTTTTTTTTTTTTTAATTTCACTTAAAAGGTTATTAAGACAAAGAAACTTTCAAATCCGAATTAAGTTATTTTGGGTAATTAACTAGCGAACATTAGCAGCCGATGTAATAGTGGTGGGTTATGCGGTATATGAAAAATATTTAAGAAAACGCAGTTAAGAAATAAAGATTTTTTTTTTTTCGTCGGTTTCTGTTTTGAGGAGGGGAAAAAAAAAAAAAGAGATGAGTAAAGGAGAAAAAAGGATTGTTTGACATATTTAATATAAAGACTGAAAAAAGTATAGAAAATTTTACTGGAGATAAAGGGATATTGTAAGGAGAAGAAGGGTGAAGAAAAAAGATGCGTTTAATGCCATGTGAGTTATATATATATATATAAAAAAAAGGCTCCCTTTCTCAAATATAATACAAATCATGATAAATTTACTTTTATACATACATAGCACGCCAAGTGTATATGCTATAATAGTAAGCGAGATAAACGTACAAAATAAAAGTATTAAGCGTAAATTTAATTGTGCAATATAAATCCGTTATTTTATTTTATTTTCAATTATTCTCCTCCTTTTTCCCTCCCACAATTTCCCTCCTCCATTAATTTTAAATTATTACATAATTCATAATATAGTTTTCTTTTTTAACTTATTATATATAAATTAGATGCACATTTATAGTTAGTTATTAAAGTAGTTTCGAATTCCCTTACAATAGGAATTACAAGAAATTAAAAAAAAAAGAAAGAAACGAAACAAAACGAAAAGAAAGCGAATGCATATTACAAAGACCCTGTTTTTTTTTCATTGTGTGTATATTGTCAACTGCGGGATTACAATATTGTATCTTAGCAACCACTTCCCATGCTTATATAATGGGTTTCGAAAATTAATTCTGAACAAATTTTCACGTTATAAATGTAACAATTAACTATTTTTGAGAATAAACAAATTAAACCCTTTATTTGTTGAGAGATGAATTTAAATATATTTTTGATATAGAAAGAAGCAGGAAAAAATTCCTTCGTAGTCATTGTTGTTGAAGTTCAAAATGTAGATAATCATGCCATAATTCCCGGAAAAAAGAAAATAAAAAAAGTACAGCAGTTGCTTATTATAAAATTATATACTTTTTTTGATCGAACTACAGTATAACTTATACATTCTTCTGTAGATAAAATGAAAGCCTTTCATCAAACAAGAAAGTTTATTATAAGGCTCCTCTTAATAAGAAGCTATAAATGTGTATAAGCATATTGAAATGATAGCAAATGATCACAATTTAATTATATAGGTTGTATTTTATTTTTTTTCTTAGGAAAAAAAAAAAGGTTTATGTACATACTCCACATACAATTCTATATTCGGTAACTATTTATCTTCGCAGTTTATATTTATCATAAAAAAAGAGGGTTTGAAACAAACACAGCTGTATTTTTTCAATATTTAATTAGAGACAGATTATGTAAAAAAAAAAAAAAAAAAAAAAAAAAAAAAAGAAACCTTGTTTCTAAAACCAAAAATAAAAGAAAGAGGGGGGGGAGAGAGAAAAAGAGAAAAGGTTTCAAACGCGTATATCATTGCTGTCAGTCTATTTCTAAAAAAATAAATAATAATTCACATAAATATATTTTTGTACTTGTTTATGAACAATGTTCCTAGTATAAACACTTTTTACTTTTATATAATTGATTATTAAAGTTTTGGGATAAGTTACAGAATATATAGTTTAATGCAGTAGTGGTATATATGAAGTAAAATTTAACATTTGTTGAAAGTTTTAGATATTTCACATATATAGCAATATAATTTAGTTCGAAACAATTAGAAGTTTTAGGCAGAAATGTATGTAACTTTCTTTTTTGTCGTTGTGTATGAGTACAATACAAATCTTCTTCATCTGTGTGGAAGAAAAAAAATCAATACTGCTTATTTATAAACATGTTAGTCAACTAGGCTTTGGCACAGCAATGTAAGCATTTAAATATATTAAAAGCAAATTCGAAACATAATCTTTATTTAAATATATTAAATAAAAAGGATATATAAATATATAGCTTTAGCACATGGATGAATTGTTAACTATCATTGCAAATATATAAATAAGCGTTTAATACCATTATGAACACATTAGAATGAAACTAATAAGGCCTTTTTCAGTTACTAATTGTAATTTGTGATTTACCACTATGATTGATTGACAATATAATAGAAATGATAAAGATAAGTTAGGGATAATGCTAGGTTTGTCTAAGCTACAGACAACGTGTATATCCATTCTTGTGTTTTTATCATTACTATTAGAATAAAATATAAATATCTATTTTTTTTAAAAAAAACCTGTCCTTTAATAGTAGAAGTAATACAGAATCTATCATGAATGTAACGAAAGAGTATTTGAATTGTACAAGCTATATTATATATATTTCTTTATTTCAAATTTTGAATGTGTAGTTTGTAAACTGTAAAAAGATGTTACAATTTTTTTTTTATAGAGAAATTTAGATTTTTTATTGTTTAAGATTGATTTCAATTGTCCAAATAATAGGTGAATCTGTCACTATTTCAACTAACTCATCATCTACATGGTTTGATGTACTAACCATACCGCCAAATTCACATTTTACATTATCTTAAATATCAAAGTATCAATGAATAACGGTTAATTTACATTTTTATTTTTCTTATTATTACTTACCCAAATTCCATTTTAATCCTTTCGTACTAATGATGGCAGGGAATCCAATAGGCATTATACCACAGGTAGGACCTATACTTTCTTTTTTTTAGTATTTATCCACATTACTTTTATTTCCTTGTTACCTTCCAAATCCAGTTGACAATGTATTTGGTGAGCACCCTTTAAAGAAATTGTTATTGATAAGCTTTTTGATAATAATATATAAAAAGTAAATGCTCATTACCTTATCTAATAACATGGTTAGATTCTCATCGCTGACTAAAATAACCCTTCTTTCGATTTCATTTTTAAGCATATAAAGTAAATTAATACTTGCTATTGTCTGATCAAATCTACCACCTAATGCAGGTGTAGCAACTATATCATACTAATAACCAAAAAAAAATAAGATTAATTCAAATGTAATCATGTCTCTCCTTTAACATACAGTTTGCCCTGATTCTTTTTCCTTTTCCTTTAATAATGCAACACATTTCATAAAATCAGTTGAGTCTTGATCATTAATTTTTGTTATTTTGACATTCTATTAAAATATGAATTAAAATCTTTTCAAATATCCTTGAATAATCATTGTTAAGATATGTATGTGTATATATATATATATTTAATACTAACTTTAGATTCGTAATAAGCTCGAACTTCAGGCCTTATAGAATCTAAATCCCCTCTTATTTCATCAGGGATATATCTGATATAACGTTATATATATATACAAATATGTATTTTTTCTAGAATAGACTTTCTCCCGAAAAAGAAAAAAAATGGAAGTGCCACTTACTGTGATAATAGTTGCTGATCGTGTTTAAAAACATCATAAAGTCTATTTGATCCTCCATCAGCTACAAATTTAAGAGAAGCTAACTTATGATTGTTAATTTAACTCAAGATCGCTCAAATAAATTTACAATAAGCAAAATGAGTTACCATTTGTCCATAATCGATGAAATGCATCTACATGATTAATTGGCTGGTTTAATACTATTAAGCAAAACTTTTTCGGTTTCTCATCTTTTGCTAGAATGCTTGAAGGGCACCAGTGAGTAATCATATTTAGTATTTTATATATCTTTATATTAAATAATCCAAAAAAAAAAAAATAAAATAAAAAATAAAAAAATAAAAAGGAATTTTTAATATAATATTTCATCGGAACTTTAAAAGAACTGTCTGTGCTTTCATAAAGTACGTGTTAATGTAATAATATGCTTATTAGCCTTAAATTCACATAAATACGTGACAATAAACTTGCTAAGATATAAAAATATATGTATATTTTTGATATGCATAAATTCAAATAGTAACCGAATGGAATAATGAATCGCAACACATAAAATTAGTTGCCATAACAAACAGTAAAAAGAAGGATGGGTTTATTTTATTATATTATATTTTATTTTTTTTTACTTGCATCTCTTTTAAATCTGATTGGTCAACCCTGGAAGCTACAAAAATATAATTTGACAACCATGAGAAATAGCCTTTTTTTTTTCCTTTTTTTTTCGAATTCTTTTTTTATATTTTACTTGTGAATCATTGAACATGGTAAGTAATTGTACATTAATTCTCAAAATTTTCTGTAAAGAATTGTTGTTGCTGATGTTCTAAATTCACATTTCTTTAAATATATATTATAGTCTGCTGCTAATAAACTTAAGAGTATTGTTCCTCTTCTTGATCGTGTTTTAGTTCAACGTATCAAGTCTCAACAGGTAATTCGTATTTCCCTAGTACATTTTTGGAACATGACAACTCACTTAGTCTAAAATTTGTAAAAAAAAAAAAAAAAAAAATAGAAAACTTCTGCTGGTATTCTCATTCCCGAAAAGTCACAAGAAGTCTTGAATGAAGGTTATGTTGTTGCAGTTGGTAAGGGAGCTCTTAACAAGGAAGGTAAGCATATTCCTCTTCAAGTCAATGCTGGTGATAAAGTGATCCTTCCTCCTTATGGTGGCAGTGCCGTCAAGGTTCAAGGCGAAGTAAGTTATTTATTAAAATATCATATATATTGGGTGGGGAAAGGCATCTTTTAATATTTTATTGTTAAAATAGGAATATCTCTTGTTCCGTGATTCTGAAATCCTTGCCAAAGTTGTAGAATAAATTAGTGTACATTAAAAATATTCACCATATTACGACTCCCATACACACATATATCTTATACACACATTTAAAAAAAAAAAGTCAAATATAATATAATGAAATAAAATCATACAAATTAATCGTAATAAAATGAGTTTTAGTAATCATCGTAATTCTTTTTTCTAGAATATTCGGCCATTTTATTCATCTTAGATAACAGAATTATTTACTTGAAGATATCTACCAATTTAAGGGTGTTCCATTGAAATCAAAAAAGCCTCCATTATCATTTGATGTTGCGCTTTCAATTTTAGCGATTTGACCATGAACAGAGTCTTCTACTTCAACTGGGGCACTTTCCCCTCCAAGATCTGTCTTAACCCAGCCAGGATGAGAAGCATAAACAATAAAGTTTTCCTTGGCGAGATAAGTGGCTGTCATTTTTGTAAGCATGTTTAATGCTGCTTTAGAGGTATGATAGGCAACAACAGTGCCTGAAGGATTCACTTGATGTACTTCAGAAATAGATCCCATGATAGAAGAGATGTTGACAATTTTCTTGACCTGTTCTTGTCCACGCTTTCGAAGTAAAGGTAAAAAGGCCTGGGTTGTATCGGAAACACCACAAACATTTGTTTCAAAAAGTTTCAAGAATTCAGCTTTTGAACTGTCAACATAAACGCAATAAATTATCTATCCTTCTTTTATAATCACTACTACTACTTACACAGTTTCAATATTCATTGATTTTGAACTTCCGATACCTGCATTATTAATTAAGACATCAATACCTTCTGGAGCATTCTGTTCAATCTCTTTTACAGCAGCCTATATTTATTATGACACATGCCAATAGATAAGAATACTAATAATAATAAAAACGTTGAAGTATTATATGCTATACCCACCTTGATAGATTCTTCTGAGGTTGTATCTAATTTAACAGCAAATACATGCTTGTTATCAGCAACTAATTTTTGAAGTTGCTCAGACTTGTCAGGATTACGAGCGCATGCAAATACTTTATTTCCTTTGGCAGCAAGCTGGTTAACAAACTCAAACCCAATACCACGAGATGCACCAGTAACAACGTAGGTGGATGTAGTAGAAGAAGCCATTTTTATTTTATTAAGAAAAAAGAAGAAAAAAAGGATACTATTTTTACATTATGCATGAACATCCTTTATATAGAAAATAAAGTGACAGCTTTATAAAATAATAATAAAAAAAAAAAAAAGAAAAAAAGTTTAGCTGATTAATAAGCATTTTAACACATGATGACGATAACAGCCTTTCTTTTTTTTTATTATTATAATTCCGAAAACACACACACACACACACACATTCTTCTAATCTCATCAACTACTATTACAATTATACATTCTTCTTCTTACGGTGGAAACTAGTGTTATTAGTCCATTCTTGCTGCTCTATTGAACAATCATCTAAGAAAATTCTTTTAGCTGATTGACAATGAAGATCGATATAACCAAAGCATAAATCGTCTAACCATTCATCCTTAGTATGATAGTATGCCTTGCTTGGGCTCAAATCTTCTATTGAGTGTTGCAATTCATGATATGAATGCTGTCGTTGTACTATATTGATCATTTCAGGATTCGTTATAGATATTGCTTTACAAGTACCTGCTTCTTCAATTATATGAGACCATATTGTATTATTTAGACAAATGAAACGTGCACCCGGTGTATGACTATGTGCAAATTGAAATGGATGTCTTACTTGATATAATACAATCAGGTCTAGAGCAAGTTGATTTAAATGAATCGTTATCTTTGTTTCTACTCTATTTGATAAGGTATTTAGTGCTGTTTGCTGACAGTCATACAGAATAAGTCGTTTTAAATTTGAGCAGTGAGCAGATAGATAGTCCATGATATCGGATGAGAAAAAGATTCTATGTAATGCAAGTTCTTCTAATCTCAATACTAATGGTGATGATTGAAGAACAACAACGCCGTCTTCTTTGTTTCTTTTACTCTTTGATAGTTGTACAGAGGAACCACTTAATTTTATACTCTTCAAATTCATGAATTGCTCAAGTAATGTATCTAATTCAAACCCATCCTCTTGATTACCTTCTGTAAAGGCCATACTAACAGCATCTAATTCTAAATGACTCAAATTATTAAATATACTTAGACGTCGTATTATCTCTCGCCAATTAGTTGCAGTAGTAACTTGTCCATGTCCATTGACCATTTTATTTTTCCAAATAGGTAAACGTATACTCAATAAATTCAAACTTTGTTGATCAGGAACGTTAGATGATGCTCTGTGATGATTAGTAGTAGTAATAAGAGCTACTGATCTATCTACTCCATCACTATCCAGTCCATAAAACTGGACTTCCATATGGGTCATTCTAGACTTTTGACTTTGAATAGTGATGAATTGAGGTGTGAGCCAAAGTGGAGTACTTAATCCTCGAATACGAATAAAAGAGAGTTGATGACATCGTTCTGCTATCATCTGAAAGGCTTCCTTGATTTTATAGTTAAGATATTGCATGGGTACAATTTCCATTATTGAAGGGTTACTATAAGGAGAATGAACGAGGTCCAAACTGATGTGTTCCAGAGAAGGATATGCCTTTGAGATATATTGAATCCATTGATAAGATTGAAGGGTACCTTCTAATGTCAAGCATTTTAACTGAGGCCTAGAAGGGATAATGGCTATTATGCTATCTGAATGATGTAAATAGAAAGTAGAGATACCAAAGTTAAAATGATTTAGGAATTGTAAATCTTGTAAAGAGGGTAAATGAGTATGGATTAATTCTAAATGTTCCAAGGTCAAGATAGGAGCTTTATATTTGCTTTGTAAATTATCACTTTCAAACACAAGCGTTGTTAAATGAGGTATATATGAAAGCAATTGTAAAAAGGATTCAAGGTCTTTGAATATATCTGTATTACCACGAATACAAAGTTGATTTAAATGACTAAATACATTATAACTTTGCCCTTCAGTTCTGGTTGATTTCGTCATGAATACACGCAGATCTTTAAAGTTGAATGTAGGTAATCGCTTCAAACGAAATAATAAATGCAAAGGGAAACTATTCAATGTAACCCATTGACTTTGATCAAAATCAAGCTCTTCAATATAAGGACATCTTTTATCGATCATATCTAATAATTCCTGTGTTATTTTAATAGCCTTCACTTCCTTTAATTCGATACCCGTGCCAAAGTGAAGTATTTTCTCTTTTCCTAACGAAATAGTCCGTACTAAAGGACCAACATGACTATTTTCTTTTAAAGCATAATAAAATTCATTCACTTGTTTATTTGTTGAAATATAAATACATCGATAAAGTAAATAGATAAAAGGGGAATACCAAGCCTGACAAACGGTTGCACATTCGTACCTATCTTTCGTTGATACATATTCTACTATTTGTTCGAGTATTTCTCTAGGTAAAGCCATGACTGAATAAAATAAAACAAAATGAATAATAATAATGAAAAAGAAGACGTATGAAATGATTCTAGTTACTCATTGCTATTTTGTTATGTTTAGTACAAATGAATACATCTGCAATAATAGATAACCAATTATATGAAACTATTATGCAACTCTAATCGTATTTACCTTACGCTTCGTTTATTATAGAAAATCGAAAGATGATTTTGCAATAGTTCGTTATTTACTCGAATTCTCCATGTTAGTTTTGTTATATAAATAATACAATTTTTTTTTCTCTTCTTTTTATTCGTGTCTTTTCCTTATACAAAAAAAGATAAAAAACTACAAATATTTGAAGACAATAGTATTTCTTATATATTTTATACATGGAAAACTTTACGCTGCTGCTACTACTACTATAAAATACATGTTTATGTATGCATTTTAAAAAATAGGCGGCAATTAAATAAATTCTGAAAATGCCCCTCCTTCTTATTTTGCATAACATTTTTTTATTCTTTTTTTTTTTTTTTTTTTTTTTCTTTTTTTACCAAAATCTATAACATAATGGCTGATCCTTTTGATTTGTTTCAAACAATGACAACGACACCAAGAACTTTTCCTCATATGATTGACCTATATGATGTTCAAGTAAAAAAAAAAGAAAGAATTAAAAAAAAAAAAAAAAAATAGAAAAAAAGAAAGAAAAATCATACTAATAACGGTAAATTCTTGTTAATTGGAAATGATTTATGTTCTGTTTGAAAGGGATCTCCAATTGACATTGTTAAGCTTTCATCTCAATACCATTTAATTTTAATTACACTTAAAAGTACAACATGCCCTGTATGTCCTCAGTTACTAAGAATTTTGAATGCATATGGCTTAGATCTCGAATGCAATCATTATATTGATCCATTCACAAATGAAATGCGAGAAATTGATCCAATAGAAAAAAAGGTACAATATTCTATCATATCCTTTTTCCTTTACAAGTAATATGTATTGAGCTAATGAATCATTTCTTACATGATAGTTCTATAGATTACTTTTAAAACAGGATGCATATTATGTCATCCTTTGCCCTGGTACAGATGAAGAAGTGAGAGAAATTCAAGAAAGAACACCATTTTTAAATTATCCCTTCATTTCTTCTGAAGGTAACGGGAAAAGTTTAGCAAAGGCGTTAAAAGTACAACTATCTGAACATGAATTTATGCCTGCAATTTTGGAAATTGAAAACGAGACATTGTCGGTCAACACAATCTATATTGGTCGTGGTCCAGGCCTCTACTTTCATCGTTATTTATTTAAAAGATTAATTGATGCAAGATATCATCAGGAATCAAATGGTATTTGTTCACTTAGAGATGCACATGAAATCGTCAATTTGCTTAAACGCAGAGCAGTCAAATGTCAAGAAAAAAGACTTGTACCACCACCCAACTGGATAAATCATAGTACTTGTAATAACAATGATAAGACCAAGTTATCTACGAGCATAAACACGCTTGTAAAAGAAGAAATACAAACGATTGATGAAGGCACTACTACTATTCATTCAAGTAGTGAAAAGAGACTAACATCATCGTCAAGTATAAATGATTTACCTCCAGAATTATTTGAAATTATTTTCTCTTTTTTTGAAGATGACATAAGTTCTTTAGTAAAAGCTTCAGGTACTTGTCGAACATTTTATATAGCTATATGTCATAGTATGATAACATGTTTAAGAGCGCATGTTGCACTTTTAAAACCTGCTTTACCTCAATTGAATGGTCATGTTATTTGGGATGAAACAGAGGTCTCTGATCAAAGCCTTGATCGCTGGGAAGGCAATCCCGAAGGTATCCCTTATCGAGAATTATGCAAACGTGTATCTAAATTGAGATGTCTACTGTTTAATATTACTGAATGGACAAGCTATTGGAGTCCGCGTAGATTTTTTAGAAGCAAATAGATTTTTTTTTTCGTTCAAATCTTTCATTAAAAAAAAAAAAAAAGGTACAAACTACATTGTTTAATTTTTTAGTTTAGTTTAATATATAGAATAAGGGAGTTTTTCTTCTTTAAGACCAGCCAATATATTTTCAAGTGTCATATTTGCCATATTTTCTCTTGTTTCCATAGTTGCACTACCCACATGAGGTAAAATTAAACAATTGGGAAACGAATATAATTTATGAGTAGGTGGTAAAGGTTCAGGAGTAGTAACATCCAAGCCAACTGCGCCAATTAAATTCTCCTCAAGGGCCCGAACTATATGACAACCCTATCAGTATACATACACACACACACATATATATATATGTAAATCTTCAAATAATAAATACCTAAATCATCTTGTAAAACAATACCACCTCGAGCAGAATTAACAAAGACCTAAGTATTTAATAACGATGATGAGTTTAAATATGAATTATATACACATATATACATATAAATACATTACAACTGTTCTTTTCATCTTAGAAAAGGCTTTATAATCAAATAAATTCTCTGTTTCCTTCGTTAATGCACAACATACAACAATAACATCAGATTCAGTTAATAAAGTATCAAAGGGGACATATTTAGCATTCAGTCTTGCCTCTACTTGTTCGCTCTTTTTAGTTCGACCGCTATAGATAACACGAGAGATACCAAATGCTTGTAATCTCTTAGCAACTGCTTCACCAATACGGCCTAAACCAACAACGCCTAATGTTTTATTTGTAAATTGAGTTCCACATAACCATGTAGGGCCCCATTTACCCCACTACTTGCGTATATTATAAAATTAGTATATAAAGAGGGGGAGGGGAATATATCTGTTACAATAACAACATACCAAACCATTCTCAGCAGCTTGAATACATTCTTTAATTCTACGTGATGCTCCTAAAGCTAATAAGACAGTTAAATCTGCGGTTGAATCAGTCAAGACATCAGGTGTATATCCTAGCTTGATATTTCTCGATTTAACAGCATCCACATTGATATGATCATAACCTACACTCATTGTAGCAACCACTTTTAACTGAGGACCTATATATATATATATATTTGGAAGGAAGAAGAAGAAGAAGAAGGGATGCTCATTAAATAATCATCATAATCACTTAATAACTAAGAATATGTATCAAACCTGCTCTATCTAATAATTCATTATCAATTTTCTCTGTTAATAAGCAAAATAATGCATCTACGCCTAAATAAAATACATATAATCATATATACAATTATAATAAGTCATTGTTTTACTAGTCAATATAGACACACACACATATATATATATACATATATATATACATATATCTTTATATATACACATATAAATGTATATTTGTATTTATTTATATTTATAAACTTGCCCTGAATTTTTTCAAGTAAAACATCTCGAGGAATTGAAGAGTTTTCTTTCCATTGAATTAATTCAAAGTTTTGTTCTAACAAACGAGCTTGAGTTTTAGGAGGTAATAAACGAGTGACTAATACTTTAGGTGCCATGTCTATTTTGGATGTTTAGAATTAGCTAAAAAGTAAGTAATGAGAAATCTCGAGAGAGGGAAAAAAAAAAAACGGGATAAAATAAATTCTCTTAATTTAAAAGAACGCGAATTTTATAATTGGAATTCATTCCATTTTTATTATCAATTATTACGAGTAATATATTATTCTGTTTTCTATATGTTTTATGTTAAAAGCAAATATTAAAGTGAAACTAAGGTTGATTCGAACCAGATTTTGTTTGATCTGTTTCATATTTAATATGCATTTGTGGCGAAGGTTGTTGAGTTGTGGTAGCTTGTTGAGAAGGCTGTTGTTGAGCAAATTGTTGCAGATGCATTTGATATTGTTGAACTTGATCGTTAGTAAACTAATAAACAAAAAAAAAATTAGAATACGAAAGAATGTACCCCCTTATTTATCTTACTTGATGAGGTAATGCAGAGTAATAAGTTTGAGGATTCATTTGTCCAGCAGGATGAGATTGTGGTACGACAGGATTCGTATACTGAGATTGATAATAGGAAGTGGCAGCAGCAGCAGCAGTAGCAGTAGCACTGGGATTACCAGCACCTGCTGCATAAGCTGTAGTTTGATCATAAATAGCATGGCTTGTTTTTTGTGCTTCTTCCCTTGGCACAATATCAATTAAAAAATCACACATATCCGTTTTTGCAATGGCGGTTGCGATATCTGATCTTTGTAACGTACGTCTTTTATTCTCTTCAGCATGAACCCTAAACAAAATATATTCATAGTTAATCATACATTGTATCTATTTTACCTCTTTTTCTTACCATGCTCTTTTAGTTAGCTCAGTGATGAATATTTCACAACCTTTAGCAAATAAAATAGGAGCCTATCATTTTTATTTTATTTATTGTATAAGCCAATAATATTCAAATATAATGCAAAAATGAATATTTCAACTTACTTCTGCACTAATCATCTAATATAAAAGGAATCAAAAAAAATAAAATAAAAATAAAGTCATTATCAACCCTTGTTAATCTTTAGTCTTTTAAGAAATACCTTGACTTCTTGATCCGTTTTCATAACTTTTTTAATGCGAGCTAATGGTAAAGCGTGGTTTTTGAAATCAGAATTATAAGCTTCCGCTTTTTGCATTTCGTCTAACCAAAACTTTCCTAAATCAAACATGGGTTGTGCGGTAGATGTAGACACTGTCGTATTTAATTGTTGATAAACTTGATGATGTGGAGGCAGCGGAGGTTGAACATGTTGTTGCTGTTGGTGTTCTTCTTGAAGGTGTTGTTGGCTTGTCATTAAAATAAATAGAAAAACAAAATATTTTTTTTTCTCTCTTATTTCCTATTTTAGTGTAAAAAAAAAAGCAAACTATTTAGTTGATAATCTGTTTATATTATTATTGTAGGTGTATAAAAAATAATAATAATAATAATAATAGTGAAAAAATTACGATAAAAAAAAATGACGTAGAAAAAAAAACAGCTGTCACATAAAATTTGATTGGATTAAATATTATTCTTTTTAGCAAACAAACTGCTGTGTTAGTAGTTGTTATTGAATGCATAAATACATGTTTTCTATCAGTCTTTCTATTTTTATATAAAAAAAAATAATGTAGCTAAACTATTCGAAGTTTGCTTATAATCATTGATCTTTCTTTTGTTTCTTTCTATCTTTTTTTTATTATTTCATGATTGCTTACTTTTTTTCTTTACTTGTTGCTTATATTATTGGTGGAGTTACACTTATTCCATTGACGTTTATCTTATTTTATCATTGTCATTCAATATCATCCGAAAAGACACCTTCAGAATGGACTTCAGATAGTCTGGAAAAGGAATTTCATAAGACTGACCCAGTTAAAGGAAATCAACTTTACAAAACGGGCTTGCTACATGTTACTTTGGGTCAACAAACGATAGCTAAGACGGCATCCATTGGAGGTATTGTAAAATCCTGTTTATTACTAACAACAAGTAATAGCGGGAAACTTAACTCACCAAGGACAGTAGCAGCAACAGGCGATGAACAAAGTTCATCAATTAATAACGATAATTCTCTTAATCATTCTTTATTACCTCATCATTATTTTGCAGTTTTGAAATTGAATACACTTTATTTATACGATTCTGAATTACAATCAGAATGTAAAGGTATTATCCCAATCCATCATTATACAGTACAAATGTACCCGTTGGGTCTTAAGGACTATGAACTCTTTTCAAAGTCAACTAAAATTCAACTAAAAAACAAAAATAAAAAGAATATTGAAGAAGAAGATTATTTTATAAATTGTAGTCAGTGTATTGCTAAAGAGGATTGGTATTTTGCATTATTAAGGGCCAGTCAATTGGATGTATCTGTTTTACAAGAAAGCAGTAAAGATTCAACACGTTTTGATCAAAATGCTATGAATCACTTGATTTCAACTATTTATAGTTCTCCAAGTTATTTTGAGATGCAATGGTTTAATGCTTTATTAGGTCGTCTCTTTCTAGGAATCTATAAGACCGAACAAACAAAATCATTCTTTTATAATAAAATCTTGTCAAAAGTGAAAAAACTGAATGCAAGGAGACCCCCGTTTTTAGAAGAAATCAATTTAAGGTCTGTTGATAGTGGACATGGCGTACCTCAGATTAGTCAACCACGATTGATCTATCTAAGTCCACAAGGTGAATATACAGGTGATATGTATTTATTTTATGATGGACATTTTCGTGTTGAATTAGAGACAGTTCTAAAATGGAAATATTCAGAAAGGCTTCCACCTATTCGAGTTGATCTTGTTTTGGCCATTACGTTGAAATTGATTGAAGGAAAGATGATGATCAAAATTAAAGAGCCACCTACCAATCGTATTTGGTTAGGGTTTTATGAAAAGCCAAAAATGGAATGGCTTGTAGAGCCTGTTGTCTGGGAAAAAAGAATAGGATATTCTGTAGTGAGTAAGGCTATTCAATCCAAAATAGAAGAGATTTTAATAGAGACGATCGTATTACCGAATATGGATGATACCGTTTTCTTTCAAACAGCAGGTGTAGGTGGAATATTTGGTAAAGAAGAAGAAGAAGAAGAAGAAGGTATAGAAACAATAGTAGAGAAGTCGTCCTCATTATCTTCTCGTGGCGATGAAAGTATAACGAGTCCATCTTATCAATCTTTACCCGAACTTTATTCAACCCCATCTGAATTAATTGTAACGGCTGATTCTGTCTCTTTGCTTAGTAGTGATCATGTTACACCTGTAAAGAAGAAATGGTTTAAAAGAAAATCATCATTTACTGCAGCCTCTCCTCCATCTTCTTCATTATCTGTGGCTACCACATCAACATCACAGATGTTACCAGAAGAAGAAAATGTAAATACTGCATCGTACCAATCACTCAAGTCAGTTATGACACATACACAAAAAAAATCAACCTCGATGAGAGCAAGAAGTAAAACGCTTTCAACTCATGTCGATCATTCACTTGTTAATAGTAGTATTAATAGCAGTAATAGTAGCAGCAGCAGTAGTAGTAGTAGTAGTAGTAGTAATAATAGTAGTAATAGTAATAGTAGTACAATAACAGATACAAATAAGGTTTTCCCACGAAAGATATCAAATCAAACAAGTAATGAAGATGAAGAAGATATGAATAATGTAGCGTTTCATTCAGTTAGATTAAGTAAAAAGATGTTATCAATATCAGTCGAGAAACAATATCAACCTACTTCTTCAAGACTAAGGTCAAAGTCTTTACCAAGCACAGGTTTATCCGAGATTAATATCATACAACAACAAAAATGACATATTTTATTCTATATTTTCCAACGTGACAAAAAAAAAAAAAAAAAAAAAAAAGAAAAAAACTGTAATATACAAACAAATAAAGGGGAAAAATGAGAGTGAGTGAGAATGAGTGAGTGAGAATGAGTGAGTGAATGAGTGAGTGAGTGAGTGAGTGAGTGAGTGAGTGAGTGAATGAGTGAGTGAATGAGTGAGTAAGTGAATGTGTGTTGTGTTATGTATTTGCGTGTGTGTGTGTGTGGGAAAATAGATGTATACATACATGTTTATATGTATACATATTGTATGTATGTGTATGGTGTGTATATGTAATACACACATGTAGTTTAAATAGCTGTGGAAGGATAAGCTGCTTCAGCAGTTTGTTCAACAGTTTCAACAACTGAATTTGGAAGAGGAGGAGGAACGAAACCTGATTTCTTCTTGGTTTGAATTAAATCAGTTGCAATTTCTATAAAGTCATCAATAGCCTCTTCTGTAATTTGATAATGAAGTACAATACGAGTTGTTGTACCATGATTACTAAAGATCTTTATATTCTTTACTTTAAGAGCTTCGGCTAAATCAGATATAATGATACCAGTACGAACAGTATCAATAAAAATCATATTTGTTTCTACAGGTAATAAAATGTTCACACCAAGGCTTTCAAGATGCTGACTAAGCTTTCGAGCAAGAGCGTGAGTCTCTTTCATGGTGGGGACAACTGTATTAATACAATGACGAGCTGCTACTGCTAACATACCAGCTTGTCTCCAACCTCCACCCATCATCTTACGTATATGACGAGCACGAGTAATTAATTCCTTTGGACCCGTTAAGATGGAGCCAATAGGCGCACCTACACCCTTTGATAAACAAAGTGAAATAGTATCGAAATATTGACCGTATTCATTCAAGGGTGTTCCTGATGCTTCACTTGCATTCCAGAGACGAGCACCGTCCAAATGCATCTTGATATCATGCGCACGAGCGACATCATGAATTTTACGAATTTCTTCAATAGGCATAATGGTACCATTTAAGGTATTTTCAAGAGAGATCACTTTAGTAATAGCACCACATAAAGTATCTTTATTAATACGACTTTCTACTTCATCAGCTGTCATATAGGTGCCCTTAGCAAAGACAGGTACAACATTTGCTTGAGAATGATAGGCAATTCCACCACATTCATAATTAAAAACATGAGAACGAGAATCACATAAGACTGAATGAGGAGGTTGAAATAATAAAGAACGAAGACCTAATTGATTTGAAAGAGTACCACTTGTACAAAATAAGCCTGCTTCATGGCCCACTAATTTAGCAACATAATCTTCAAGTAGTTGACAATCTTCATCTGTCTATATAATATATGTAGATTAGATATAAGTATACAAGTGTATAAATATATATATATATATATAAAGCAGTATTCGGATATAGTATTTACTTGGTATACATCATCACCACGAGAGGCTGCCTTCATGATATCAAACATTTCATCTGTAGGAATTGTTGCTGTATCACTTATCATATCAAAAATAAATGATTTATCTGTGTTTCGATTTATACTAAGTGGTGACATCTTTGACTCTATAATGGAAAATAGCTCTACTTCTTCGTTCTTTTTCTTTCTTAGTGTGTATATGTGTAAAAAAAAAAAGAAAAAGAAAGAAAACAAAAAAAAAAGGGAAAAACTGCGGTAGATGCCGGGAATAAATATATATCTTTTTTTTTTTTTTTTTGATTTAATATTAGCCACAAAAAGAAAAAAAAAGTGTCTTGAATTTTTAGGATACATGTCTTATTGGACATCTTTAGAAGTTGTGTTACTTTTCTTTTAACCTCTTATTTATCGTTTTTTCTCACGTTTGTTGTTTTTTATTGGAGACTGATAATTTTCCTTATTTTGGGATTTGTCAGTTTCAGATTATTTAACCAATCATTTTGATCTTCGAATAAGGGTCCATTCTTCCTCTAGCCAATTTAGATTTGAATCACATAATACGACGATGGGTTTTATTAATATAACTGAAGGAATGGTCATCACCATTATCGTCGTAAGTTCTACATAATTATTCTGGGATTAATAATTTGGAAAAGGAAAGAAAAATGCTATAATAATCCTTTAAATAGATAAAAAGGGTAGTCATAGATTAGTATGTTATTACCAAGTCACTAACCAACAACCGTTGCCCTATTTTCTAAGAACGAGAAGAAAAATTTTATTATATCATACTAATTATTCCATTTACCCTTGAAGAATAAAGTGCAGTTAGTAAAACTAGCGATGCAATTATCAAGAAGAAGAACAAGCTTAATGAGTATTATTTTATTTTTTATTGAGTTGGTAGTGTGTTGTTGAGGAGAAAATATACAAGTATAGGGCAGGTATATATAAATGTTTATGTATATAAGTACCCAGTGACATGGATTTCTTTTTTCTTTCCCATCAGACTAAAGAGGCTTTGAACTGCAAAGTTTATACCAATGTGGGGTCTATGACAGAATATCAGAGATGAAGTAGTAATTTGTTGAGAAGTAAAATAAAATAAAATAAAATAAAAATCAAGCTTGTAGAATGGATATCCATTCTTGCATTGATTCAAATAGAATGTCATTCCTCTCGTTTTGACAAGCCTGCCATTAGTCAATTGCTTAGCTAAGTTATACTACTCTAGTTATGCACAAACAATTCAAGTATACAAATAAACAATCGAGAATTGTTAGGCGGATGCTGATGAACATAAGTTGATTTATAGTTTAAAAATGCTTTGGTTGGCACTATCTTGTACAGACTTTGCTGTATTTATACATCCTTCAGACATTATGGATATTTTGTCGAGATATTATAGAAAGGGATAGGATTACTATACAATAATATTGGATGTATTAAGGAGATATGATTTCAGCTGTAGTCTAAATTTTAGCTCTATTTTTTGTCAAATGGAACTAAAATAAAAATAATAATGCCTTAATTTACTATTCATACTAACCAATATAAATTGTTTATTTATTTTTTTAACCCTCAAATTATAGATAAAATCAATCAATCAATTATCAGCACTACTTTGAGCGCGCCTGACCGATATGATATTATCTTCTGATATAACAAGGTCTGTTGGGTCTGTGTGCTGCTGTCTTTACCCTGAAGATATAATACGGATTGCCTCGCATAAAGAAATGCCATGTTTGTAACCATATTGTAAAGATGATAATCTTAAATAAAGGTTATCGCTCCTGTGATTGATATTTAAACTTGATTTATCCAGATGGTACTCTATTACTTCCATTTAATACCATGGTATATCTTTCTAAAACCCAACTGCTCTGGCACAACAACGTAATGCTAATATGGGTAAAAAGATCATAATAGAATAAATGACTAGTATTGGTGTCAATTTTACTTGTTTTAATCAGTTACTCTCAGTTCATTTCTATGTTCGTTCAAATAGTACAGGAATCAATTAGATGATGATCTAGTAATTAGTGTTCTTAATTTAGATCACATAAAGAAGCTTAAGGTTTGTTAAAATGAATATATCCGATGCATCTTGCATGGTTCGGTCAAAGTGATGCTCTACCTTGTTCAACAATTATCAATGATTGATCATATTGCTATTTTGCAAGGTAAGTTCCTTTAGGTTTACCTGAAACTATTTTGCTGTCTTTGCTGCTGCCCTACCTTCAGACATCTGTTAGTCGTTCTTGCTAGCTGATGATGACCAAACGAAGAGCTCTCTCGGACAATATACTATTCTATCTTTGGATATAAACTTGATCATGTAACAATTTCAGGCAACCCATCTACAACTCCCCTATGATGATCTTTGTGAAAATCCTACTTTTTAAATTGTTTCCTATTCTAACTATTCAAGTTTCAATTTCCTAATTACTAATTATCCTTATTGAATGTAGGTACACCTCTTTGTTGGCATCTTGGCTGATTATTAGATGGTAAATATAAACGTCCTATATATTATCCTATTCTCACTCTCGCTTCACTTGTGTTCATTCTCTTGAGTGTCCTTCTCCTCCTCCCTCAATATGCATAATCAATATATTATTTACCTATCCTTCTTCATTTCTGAATCGGCTATCTCTCCAAAAGTCTCAATTTTCACAGGATGCTCTCTTATTTTTTTTTGTCCGTTTATTGGCTAGCCATTTTCTGTATAATGATACTGAATAAAGTAAATTATTTATTTCATGTTTTAGTTCTACCTTCTCAAGGTGCCCAACTGATAAAATGATCGTATTGACAGTAGTGGTAACTATTTCAATTCCTGTTTCTGATTTCCCTTTATTGACTTTTTTTTTTCCTTTTTGATGCTTAAGAGGGAAAATGATCTGAGCAATATAGCATTATATAAAGCTGCTAGGCAATCAATAATTATTTTATTTTTTGATCCGAACAATCTATTGATTTATTTATTTTCGTTTTTGTTTGTTTGATAAAAAAAAAAAAAAAAAAAAAAAAAAAAAAAAAAAAAAAAAAAAAAAAAAAAAAAAAAAACTGAAAATAGTAATAAAATCAAGTAAAACTTGGAAAGAAAGAAAAAAAAAAGCTTGGAAATCGAAAATATCCAAAAATTAATATATTTATATATTTTTAGTAACTAAAACCATGGTTAAGGTTTTATTACATAAATTTACCAATAGATAATAAGACTTCCTGTCATCTATTTTTATCAGTTTTCTATGTAATTAAGGAAATTATTGTTGTCCTGGAAACAACTAAATTTAAATCATCATTTATGCCGCGGAAAATGAATTTCCATTCTTTTGAAAAAAAAAAATGCTGCAAAGTAACAATAAAATGAAACACTATGCATGTACAAAATAAAAAAAAAAAAAATCAAGATATTTAGAAGCTAGATTTGCTTGAAGCAATAGTGCCATTCACTATAGATATTAACTCGTGCAAGAAGAAGAAGAATAGTAAGCTGAGCTTTGTTTTAAATAAATATAACAATAATTAAGTGAAACCTGGAATATTGAATAGCAGTAAAGGACGAAAGAAGAAGAATAAACTTGTCATAAAAGTAATAAAGCTATTGTCTTCTTCTTATTATCACTAATTTCTTTATCTATTGTTGTTTAAATAGAGAGCATATATATTAAAGTCTAACTAGAAGACGATGTTGTATGTAATCTATTTTATCTTCTTCTTTTAATGAGTTCTACCTATTTTAATCTATTTTTAATGTACACAAGAAAAAGGCGGAGTCTAAGCCAACATAGCCATTGCTGCCGTTATCTTTTTTTTCTTTTCTCTTTTTTTTTTTTTTTTTTTTTTTTCTCTGGTTACATGATATATATATATATTCTGCATGGCTCGTTGATCTTCTTCTTCTTCTTCTTTATATATTTTATATCCATATTTAACTATGCTTTTATTTAACATTGTTTTATTCTTTTCTTTTATTGTGATATCTATTATTGCTATGCCTATTTCTTCACCACAGCAAATACAATTTAATAAAAAGATATCATCGTCAAGCTATTTAAATGAATTAGAATTGTATTATAGTAAAATAGTCAACAATGTCATTGACTCAACTTTAAACGATATATTTGAATCAGCTCCAGAAACGTATTTAACAATTCATGAATTACAGTTTATTGGAAAAGGTAGTATTTATAAATAAGAATGAATTAGAACTTTATCTTTAAACTATTTCCTCTCTGCTTCTGCTTCCTTTTGATAGATCAATGTCAAACCTCACTACAAGGTTTTATGCAAACCCTTCAATATTATCTCAATAATAATAAGGTGAAGAATGATTTATTACCTTCAATTCGACCTTTACTACTTGACCATGATGATAAAGAAAGCCTACAAGAATTCAATGTGTATTTAAGTAAACAACTCAGCTCAATACTTGATCCAGAAAACTTATCTCGTCAAATTATTCAAAGCTTTTATCAATACTCAAAAAATGAGGATAATAAATGGATTCTTTTATCTAAAATTTGGAAATTAATAACAGATAAGAAATCGATAAAATCAATCCATCATGAAAGAAATGAATCATTAGCGCTGAAAGCTTGGTTAAACTCATGGTTAATGAATATTCAATTCATCTTGAACAATGAATTTGATTCTCAAATTAACTCTTTATTATTATAATCCTTGTATTATTATTATTGTTAATTTTTGTATAAAAGTCAGTTTCTTTTTCTTTATTATCATGTCTTTTCTTTCAACTCGAGCTGAATTTGAGGCTTGTCTTTTACAATTCTTTAATGAATCCAATGCATGTTCTTCAGAAATAATAAAATGGCACTGGCAAGAATCTCAATCTATTGTATATTGTGTTCATTATTAAATATGACTCATTACAAACTCATCACTCAAACATCTTTCTTTCTATTAGTTAAAGCAGACGTATCTAAAAAGAAATACAATTGTTTTATTAAATAAACCAACCATTGATTATACTTCTTTCAACTTGAATGAGAATCAACTGATTGAAGAAGAAAATGATCCTTCAATTATTGATCAACACATGACAGATAATAGTATTCAACTTGAACATCACATTGTCTATTCTACAAGTTATCAAGTGCCTGTACTTTATTTTAAAGCCAATTATAATAACGGGACGCCCTTGAGTCACGCAGAAATATATAAATATATTATATCTGAAGTTTATCAGCACATTGCCCTGTCTCAGAACGAACATCCCATTTTACTTGAACCTTTTTGGTACATTCATCCTTGTGATACGCGTACTTTAATGAAAACCTTTGAATTCAAGTCTTTAGATTATATAAAAGTTTGGTTATCTGTATATGGTCCGATGGTGAAATGTTCAATGTCAACAGACATGTTTAAATAATAGTAATAATAATAATAATAAAAAGGAGGGGAAATAAAGCAAAGACATACACATATACATACATGCATACACACATATATACACACATGCATACACACATACATACACACATACATACACACATATATATATTACTATAGAAGATTATTGTTGAAATGATAAAAATAAAGAAAATGCTAATAGTTGATTAAGGTGTTTGTTAACAGATATCATTATTTCTAAGTGATAAAGTAACGTCTGTAGTAGTGATTTCATTATTAAAGTTTTTGTTTTTCACAAATCGACCCACAAGTCCCGCCTAAGATAATAAAAAAGTTAAGAAACAATAAAAAAACCGTATTCTTTCCCCCCCCCGGAAAGATGGTTTTTCTTTTCTTTCTTTTTTTTTTTTTTTTTACCTTTAATTTCCCATGTAAAGGCTTTTTATTCATTAAATAATCAACTAAGCTCGGTCTTCTTTTATTTGTTGTTTGAGGAAGGTCTGTGGCTGTTATTGGAGAAGGCTGTAAAGATGAATTTAAAATACCATCACTGCTACTATCTTTTGAATAAATAATAATATCTGGAGCTTCATCGTCATTATTATCTTCTTCTTCTTCTGTCTCAATTGTTATTGTTTTAGGCTCGTTTGTATTTAATAATGATTCATTTTCTTGTTGCATAATAAGTCCTTTTGATACCCAAGGTTTACTTAGAATTGAAGCATTAGACGCCACCTCAGAGTGTTCTGACCTTGTTGTTCCATGATGAACAAGGATAGAAGAAGGTGAAAGAATGGATTCATTATAAGAGTAAAGTGTAAAAATGGAAGCATTTTCATCTGCTCCATGATTAACTATCATAGAAGATAAATCATGGTTATCATTGATTAATGAACTTGGATTTTCTTCTCTTGTTGTTGTTGATGATGATTTTCTCCACCACCATTTTGACACAGAATTTTTATTCATGATTGAAATAGATTAAAGAAGAAGAAAAAATAACGCTTTTTTTTTTCCCTATTTTTATATTATTTTATTTTAAAAAAAAAATTATGCAGTTGTTAAAAAATTCTAACCTTATTTATCATTGAATTAAAGAAAATGACAATGTTATTTCGGTAGAGATAATACAAGAAAAATAAAGAATAAATAGTATGCTATACAGCAACCTATTAAATAATCCAACTAGGTAAATTCGGTAGTCTACATATCATCACTTCTATTACTGCAACCCATCTATTACATTCTTCTAGTGATTCACAATTAAACTGAATCTGTTCTCCGTTATTAAATATTAGTTGAAATCCATATCTTAATTCATCTTGGCTTGAATTCTCTTCATTCTCTTCTTCTTTATTCATCATGATCACAGTTTCAAGTCGATCAAGTAAAGAAGTTGTCTTTGCTCTACGTTGCTTAGACCTTTCTACAATAATAAAATTATCACGCACCAATTTATTGACCTGCGAAATAGGTATTTTATAAAGTGCTTGTTGATGCTCAGATGTATTATTATTTGGATAAGCAAATAAATATCCTCCTGTCAATTTAAAATATCGTCTCTTAAATATCTAACCAATTTTTTTTTGTCTGTAAGAATATATACATATATATATAGGCATGTTTCATATAAATATATATGCATTCTTTTTTTTTTTGTTTTTTTTTTTGTTTTACCTTTGTATCTTCATTTAATTGGAATAAATAGCCTGTTTGCCAATCTGTTTGATAAAAACGTTTTGCATTCAAAGCATCTATGACTTCTTCTATATCTCGAGGAATATAATCACCATGGGTTGTAATATAAAGGCATTCGATATATAATTTTCCTACAGCCTTCTCTCTGACTAGGGTCGAATGAACTGATTTAGTTGACTTCTTTCGTGTAATTGAAGATGTACGTCCCAAGAGTGAAGAGGACGATGATGAAGTGGTTGATATTGAATAAGGCTTATACCAATTATTAATAAGCATCAACGCTGCAGTCTGATCTATCCCTTCATGAGTCATAAATCGACTAGCTGAAAACACAGTTTGACAAATGGAACCCTCTTTTTCATGCACATAACGATCCAAATCGGATATTGATTTTGACTTGTGATACCAACTACTCTGACCATGTGCTTGATTTGTCTTTTTGTAATTTGTAGCGACATGAATTGTAATTACTATTTGTTCATCAGGATCTATATTTTCACTAAAAAAATGTATATATTTTTTTTAGAAAGACTTATACTTGAAAGTATATAAAAAATTAAATTTACATTTTCATTTCATGATTCATATTGATTGTATGTGCCATTTTTTTGTCAAGCGATTTACTTTCTATATTTTTATATCGAATGCTACAATAAACATTGGTATAATCTATTTGAAATAAAAAAAAAATAGGTATGTATATATGAGTTTTAGTTTAATTTCTCTTTCTTTCTTTCTTTCTTTCTTACCATTATCAATTGGAAAATCTAAATTCTCAGCTTTCAAGACTTTAACAAAAAAGAATTGCCTTTTTTGACGATTGTGAAGATGTAATGATGAATTAGAAAAAGAGAGGGGTACGATGGTCTGCTGTTCTTTTAGAGTTGTAATGACATGTTCATCCTTATTAGAGATAGAAAGGTATTTTTGTTCAAAGGGAAAGGTTAATTGAGGTGGTTGGTATTCGGTATAGGGTATAATCTCTTGGTTATAACGTCTTGCAAGTTCACTATAAACTGATTTTTCAAAATCAGTTTCAAGCTCTACCATATTCTGTTTAAAGATGGCGTCTAAAGAAGGCTCTGGTGAAGTAGTAGTTGTAAAAGAGGTATCACTATCTTCACTTGGATTATCAATTATATAAATGGATGAAAAGGAAGGGTCAGTAGATTCAGGCCCATGCTCGTTGCTCTGATTTTCAGGAATACTTTCTTGTCTTTCTTTCATATCATTTAATTCAGGAGCAACAACACTAAATATCTCTTCATCTTCTGAATCACTGATGACTTTATGTGGATTTGTTTCTGTAGAGGGGTTAAAGGGCGTCGACATCATGGAAGACTCTGTTTTCATAGTATGAGGGAAAGAGGGAGTGTAGTTTGATAAGTGAGGGTTTAAAGCCATCTCCCTTTGTATTGTTTCATGAATCAAATGCTCAGCTAATTCTAACGAGGGAGAGTTTTCGGTATGTTGAAGCATATCATTCGAAGATACTTCTTCTCGAGAAGATGGATTTAAAGAGTACCAATAAGCTGGTTTTATGGTTGATACATGATGATGATCATGCCTCCTTTGCTGAAGTGAATCATGACTTGTATTCTTTGATATCTTTTCTGATATGGGTGGCACATGGAATGAACATGATGATGATATTCCTTCTTCTTCCTCAGAACTTTCTAATAATAAATCGGATAAAAAAGAGAGAGATGATGATGATGATGATAATGAAGAAGAAGAAGAATAAACAGGTATAGTTCGTACTTGAATATCATCCAGGTTAAAAGTGACATGACGTTTTATTTTCTTTTCATTAACTTTCTGAATATCTGGTTCACTTGTAGTTGGTTTTTCGTAAGTATTAGATTGAATAGCGAGGTCAGTAATATGTATGCTAGATATAAACCCTTGTCCTATGATAGGTTGTCCATAACTACTATGCTTACTGTTACTATAAGCGCTATTACTACTACTACTACTACTACTACTACTACTATTACTACTACTATTACTAGTACTACTATTATGTGAAGACAGACTGTTTCTTGTTAGAAACTCATTAGACATTCGCAATGTTGGAAATTATAAAATACAAAACTTGTAAATAGAAAATAAAAAAGATAATTATTAAAGAAAAAAAAACAGATGAATTTATACAACAGCTTTGAAACCATTATTATTACTACAATTACGAAAAGCATGAAACATCAAAGGTACAATCTACTTCATTTTATTTATCTTTTTTTTTTTTGTCTTTTTTTTTTTTCTTTTTTTTGTCTTTTTTTTCTCTTTTTATTATTATTATTATTATTCAATTATCAACGTATATTTGCACATAGTTAAAACGAGTCATTTTCCTTTATTTTATTTTATTTTATTTTTTTCACCTTGAACATGGACTGCACTGTTGTTAAAATTAAAAAAACGAGTGGTAGATTTCCTAATTTGTAATGCATCCAAAACATGAATTTAATTTAAAGTTACTGGCATCGCCTCGGAGTAATTTCCACTCATAAATATTATATTTAGCGCTGTCTATAAATTAATAAAATACACAGGTGAAATAGAACATTACCAGGTAGTGATAGTACTGGACCATCAATGAATATGAAAGATGACTAAGATAAAAAAAAATTTTCTTCTTTTAGAATCAAAGGGAGGAAAAAAAAAGGTACTGCTATGACACAACTAGTTTTAATGGGAGGAATCTTCTATGTCCTGGTTGTAGTAGCAGCGAATTTTTATGATAAAAGCAAGCAAGCAAGTTGGTGAAGGATTGTACAAATGATTCGTCAAAGAAAGTATAAATGTGAACTATTCATGTTAATACTGCCAAAAAATATTCATTATTATCTTGCTAATCAAAGCAGAGCAGCTATATTCAAAAAAAAATTTTTTTTATCATATAACTTCTTGTAACGCTTTTGATGTTATAAAAAGAAAACCTCTCTCTCTCTCTCTCTAGATTTAAAACGAAAATACTAGTAATACAAGTAACACATCTAGAAATATAATATACTCGATACTTTCAAAAATATGTAATATATCTTCCCAAGAACGAATGGTGTTTATCAAGTAAATAACGTTTAACATGTAAAAGTAATTGTAGGATACTTTCATTTTGAATAATAAGAAAATAAACGTCGAGTAAATGATCCAAAACCAGAGGAAAGTAAAACTACTATTTTGACTAAATCTTATATATAAAATGAAGAACCTTCTAGTAGACAGTAATAATACTAATAAAGAAATATCACTTTCTTCATTTGTAACAACAAGTGCCAAATTGAAAAAAAAAGGAAATAGTCCTCAGGAATGCAACTATACAGTTCTTTATCTATGTAATAGACTCTAACTAGATAAACAATAACTAAATTGTTGATGCAATAAATTCAAGACCTATATAAAGTATGCTATCATAGGAGGGGGGTTTTTTTTAGCATTTAGTAGCAATATATTCTTACTTTATTGACACAATTAGAAAAAAAAAGTTAGAATAGTTAATTGATACCTAAATTAAGGTAGCCATAATAAAGACAAACTTCTATCATGCCATAACATAATAATTCAGTAGCTTTTGAATAAAGCATGTTAAATCAGTATGTCTAATCTTTGGCTGGAAAGAAACTCTTTGATTATAATAAGATATACCCTATTTATACTTTAATGTGCAAGCGAATTAAATTAACCTATATGATTACATTATGCATAAATTATGCAAAAAAAAAGAAGAAAAAAAAAAAAAGAAAAAAAAAATCAACATTATATTACATAAACATTGTTAGTAGACTTGTATGTAAAATAAAATAAATTACAACAGCACGTATATAAGACAATTAAATAGCATTCATATTAAAATATAAATCTGGATTTTAGCATTTTAAGGAGACACCATGAATGTTTATTTCCGGAGATTTAACGAAAGAGCATAATGTAAAGTTTTTTTTTTTTTTCTTGTTGAAAATGAAATTAAATTTTTCTTTTTTCTTCTCTTCTGATTGAAGCAAATAAAAGCATATTCAATTTAGCAGCAGAGAAAAAAAAAATGGCATATAATTCAATAGGTGAAGGATCTTCATCATCAGCAAGAAAACCGCTTATAGATAAAAAAGGCAAAGATAAATATACAGCGGATCAAACTTATCCTTCGCATGAAGAAGGAGAAGAAGAAGAAGAAGCAATAAATACATCGTTATCATATGGTGCAATATCATCTAATTCTTATCAAAATAATAATAATATTAATAACAGTCGTTCACAAAAAACATGCACATATATAACCATTATAACTACAGCTTGCTGTATTCTTGTTTTATTCTGTTTATTATGGTTTGCACCTAAATTTGCAGAAAGATCAGTAAAGGATGGCATAGGATTCAATTTTCAAAAGGCATCCATTCTCAATGTAACTGATGACAATATAATTACTATGCATGTCATGGGAAAAATTGAATTAACACCGACATTATTTAATCTACAAAAAAAGATCAATACCTTATTTGGAAAAATCGGTATTCAAGATAGTACACTTCAAGTTCATTACGAACAAGAGTCTAAAAGTAATAAACAGCAAGAAGATATTAGTCTTGATGCTTCTTCTTTATCAATAGGCTTCATTGACCTACCTGCTTTAAATTTAAATAGTACATCACATGTGACGGCTTTTGATTTTATCACTCAATTTATGATTGATGATACAGACGCATTAATGGAATTTTGTAAAGACGCTGTAATTGCAAAGACAATTATGTGGCGAGTAACTGGTCCGTTATCAGTAGGATTAGGCTGGTTACCGTTTCATTCAAATATTATTCTAGACAAGACAGTTGGATTAGAAGGTAATATATATATATATATATATATACATATATACAACATAATAGGAGTATATTTAGTATTATGCTTTGATAGGTATGGATGGTTTGAAGAAAACAAATTTACAATCCATCTTATTTCCTGGGCCACATCCTTTGGGAGGAATTGAAGTTTCAGGTCAAGTGGGTATCTATAATCCTTCAAGTGTATTAAGTTTATCTCTTGGAAATATGGACTTTGGTATCTTTTTACCTGCATTAACTCCAGAAGAGAAGGATTTACAAATCGCTGTAGTTCAAGCAAAGAATGCAGATCTTCAAGGTCATCACATGAATTACTTTGAAGTCTCTGGTCGTACAATGCCAATTCCGTCTAATGATTCTAAAAGTCAGCAATTAATGGATCTATTTTTAACAAACTATCTTCATGGTAATTCAACTAAAGTACATGTATGTGGTAGTGAATTTGGGCCTAATGATAAGATATCCATCAGTACTACCACTACTACTACTACTACTACACCACGTTGGCTACGAAAGGCTTTACAATCCATTGTCTTGTCAGTTCCTTTTCCAGGTGCTTCTGAAACAGATTTGATTCAATCCCTTGAATTATCAAATATCAAGATTGATTTTTCGAGATCGGGTAGATTACTTATATCCGGTGATGCCCTTGCTATTCTTAAAAAGCCTGAAGAAATGCAATTTCATATGGACGTTACTCAGATTCATCCGACTGTATTTTTATTTTTAAATAAAAATTCTACTAAACCATTCGCAACAGTTAAACCTGAAGAACCTTGTCCAGCTAAAACTGAAGAAGGGAATGGAATTAATTTACCTTTAGGAAAGATGAAAGTGATCTCAACCTTATCTCGAGCTCCATTTAAAGTTTTACCCAATGGTCAAAAGGATTTTGAAGAGTTCTTGGATCGAGTCTTTCATCAAAGGAAAGGGAGAGTTTATATCAAAGGTACATCAGATGCGACAGTAGAAAGCGCCTTTGGGCACTTGAATGTCCATGATCTTGCGTTTAATGGAGAGATTGAAACTCAAGGTTTAGAAGGCATGCAGCATCCTCCTCCAAAAGTGAAATCTTTATCTATCATTGCAGGCTATAATGAAGCATTACTTGCCAACACAGAAATTGAAATTTATAGTCCATCTAATGTAAATATAAATTTAGGTGAACTTAACTTGTATTTACTTTTTAATGGTCACATTATTGGAAATACAACTATTCCAGACTTTATCTTGGCCCCTCATGTTTATAACAATTTGACTGTTTCTGCTTGGCTTTTCGGTAATGATGAACATGTTATTGATTTTATTGGTCAATATATTTCGAATGGTAATTATCAAGTATATAAAAATGTATATGTATATATATTATAACTAACTGAATTTATTATACGTATCAAGGTATTCACAGCCTCAATAATGCCACTCTCACTATTTCAGGTCAACATCCAAATGCTACAAAGTCAAGATTTTTAAATAATTTCATAAAACACTTGACCTTTGATGTACAAATACCACCATTTGATAAAGATCCTTTGTTAGCAGACTGTCAAATGAATATCTTATCCTCAACGGTAGTGATGAGTTTAAGGAACCCCTTTCCGGGAGTTCTCATGACGATTAATAAAATTAATGCCTCTGCAACGTATCAAGTATATGAAATTGGTAGGATGGAAGCTAATTTTGAAGATCGTGGAGAAGGCTGGAAAGGTCCTGTTTTATTACCACCACCTCATTGTGATGATGATCATTGTAAAGGAGTTATCATAAACTCAGAAAAGATACCCGTCATGACAAAGAAACTAGGCTATGATGCTATCAAAAAGGCCTTGGGTGGTTCCATTATAGTTTCAGTTGAAAGCCAAGTTAGTGTCATGATTGATGATTTTAAACTAAATGATTTACAATACCATCAAAGCAATATCACTACTAAAGTGAGAAAACGGTTTTAGAAATAAATATCCATGTATTTCTTTTATTACGTTATGTAGTAGTAATATCAGGCGTATATCTTTTTATTTTACAGTATACATACATATAATATGTATTTTATTATTACAAGTCATTTTTTTTTATATGGTCATCTAAGAACTCTTTTCTATTTCTTTGTTATCTACTTTCTTTTCCTTTTTTAATGCAAGGCGTTTTCGTTTCTTGGAAGCCTCAATCATTTCCCTGAAAATAAACAAAAAAAAAAAAAAAAAAAGCTCCCATTAATATGTATGTGATATTATATATATGTGTCTACTTGGATCTTACTTCTTTCTTTTTGTTGACGTTTGTCATATTTAGGTGTACTATCAATCGTTTCACGCTCAAGTCCCTTTTTCAATTTTCGTTTTTGACTATAAGTTGCACCCTTAAGATTTAACATCCAATCAGGAACATCACAGCCAGACTCTTTCATCACATTCACAACACCCTTCATATACGGTATATCTTCTTGTGTATAATATGTAATAGCTTCACCCTCACGTCCTGCACGACCTGTACGACCAATTCTATGGATATAGCTGGCAATAGTTTGAGGGAAGTCATAATTGATAACTAAATTTACACCCTTAAAATCTAAACCACGAGCCATTAATTCTGTTGCAATTAAAACCCATATTTTACCCACACGGAATTGATTGATAATAGTGTCACGTTGTGCCTTTGTTCTATCTGAGTGAATCACTTCGACATTGATACCATCAAAAATTAATTCATGGAAAAGTTCCTTAGCTCGTTCAATAGATTGAACAAAGATCAAAATAGGTGGCTTAATGCCTCTTTGAATTAATTGACGTAAAGCAATCATCTTTCCTGCTTCAGTACCAGTGAATAAGAGTTGTTGTTTAATTGTGTCTGTAGCAGCATTTCTAAAGAAAAAGAAAAGTTTTTTTCTTTGAGTATCAGCTTATCCTAAAGCTTATATATAAAATAACCTTACCTTGCACCAATAACAATGCGAAGGGGATTTTTCATTACTGAGTTTGCAAGATCTTCTACATGAGATGAAAATGTAGCACTAAACATACATTTTTGAATTGTAGTGGATGAACAGGCAGCAAAAATCTCATCCGTTTGTTCTAAAAATCCTCGTTCTAATAATTTATCTGCTTCATCAAGTACAAGATGTTTAACAGAACTTAAATCAACTTCCTTTTCTTTAATGGCATAAACTAATCTTAAAGGTGTAGTGATCAACATATCTAAAAGAAAGAAAGAATAAATAAATCTATATATCTTTTCTTTTCTTCCATATTTTACTTACCATATTTTTGCTTAGAATCAGCTCTTTGGGATTTATCTGCTGCTGTTGCCTTTGTCAAAACATGAATACGAAGTTTAGTGCCTTGACTTAAATAATTAGCTTCACGTGCAATTTGTTGAGCTAATTCTCTAGTAGGAGCAATAATTAATGCACGGTAACTTATTTTCTTTACCGGCTCCTTTAAATCTTGTAAAATGGGCAATAAGTAAGCTAAAGTTTTACCGGAACCGGTAGGTGCGCAAGACATTAAATCACGGCCCTTTAACATGATTGGAATAGATTGCATCTGAACAGGTGTAGGTGTTAAATATTTAGCATTCATCAAATTATTATAAAGAATAGGATTCAAATTATATGCTGGAGAAGCAAGATCTTCAAATGTTCTAAACGGATTAGGTGTATCTGTACCATAGACTTTTATTCTTTGTTGCTTTCTAAATTCTTTAGCTTCTTTTACAGTGCTAAAAATAGTATTTGATTCATTTGCTATAATAGAAAAATAAGTATATTAGTATAAATACGTTTACTTTCTTTTACAGACGTTTTATTTTATTTTTTATTTTTATTTTTTTTTCCTCTTACTTTTATTTTGAACTTCATCAACGCTTTCATCATCATCAGTTTCTTCTTTGTCTTCTTCAACTTCTTCTTTTTCCTTTGTTGATTTCTTATCTTGCTTTTGATTAACAACGGTATGTGTGGTTTTGAAAAAATCGATTTCATCAAGTAACTGAGAACGAACGTTGGGATCAACAGCTGCTGCGTTTTTTTGTTTTGATTGTTTTTGATTAGTTTCTTTTTCTCCTTCAAATATTTTGACATCATTTTTGAATCGATTTTTATCAAATCGAGATCCACTACTTAATAAATGAAAAAGATCCATTGCTTTTATTATATATAGTAAAGTACAAAAAATAAGCAAATGTGAATACAGCAAGGAAAAAAAAAAAAAAAAAAAAAAATGCAATATTTGTATGAATATGAATATTCAGTTAAATAAATTCCTACAAGCCACAATTATGTAATAAACGACAGTAATAGAGTAAAAATAGTCATTTGTTTATAATTATTTTGCATTATTGTATACTCCTTCCTATTTAGTTGTAAGCTTAACATGTATAGTGTTATGAATATGTAAATCTAGTTATTTGTGTTACGGAAATGATAGGATAAAGAAGAAACAAGATCTCCATTAGCAATTGCCTTTTTAAGTCTTCTAGGCTTTGATAATTTAGTATTATTAGGAAGCAAATTGCTATTGTGATGACCAAGAAGGTTAGCATGATTATCGTACTGCTGACGAAGATTTAGATTAGATGTATTTATGCCTAGTTGTTGCTGTAAATTTTGAATTTTATGTATAGCCCTGGATCTACCTTCATAGTGCCCTTCTCCATCTTCTCTTTCTTTTTCTTTTTTAACTTGTATCATTGATTGTCCTTCTTCCAAAATTTGACTATTATTATTATTCAATGCTATTATTCGATGACGAGGCAAGTGAGTTGATCGTGCTTGTGGGTGATATGAACTTTCATATGTATGAATAGAAAATGTATTAGATGAAATTGATAAGATAGATGAACGGTCCTGCAGCAGCTCATCTCTAATATGCTGCTTTTGTTGTTGTTGCTGCTGCTGCTCATCTATTAAAATCGGTTCTAAAAAGGATAGTCTATTAGATTTTAACAATTCTATTCTATTGTTATCTTGTTGACTATCTGTTAAATAGACGGAATTTTTTATAAATCCATTATTACTTGGTAAAGTAGAATCATCGATCCTATCATTAGGAGAACTGAGGTTGATATTACCATTCGTAAGCACACTCGCGTATGTAAAATGAGAAGATTCAGAATAACTTGTTTTATGGTGTTGTTGTTGATGTTGTTTTTCGCCTATATATTCAGCTTGTCCCTTATAAAGAAGTGGATAGTGGTAGTAGGGGTGGTTATTATCAGAAAGATAGATAGTGCTGTCTTTATTATTATAGTGATGATGGCTCATAATCGAGGACTCCATCAAGTCATCATCTTTACTATTAGGATATGAATGATTCATCTTTTTCCATAGAGTCGGTGAATTATAATATAAATCTGTACTAGATGGTTTATAATTAGGAATTATTCGAGTAGAATGAACACCATCTCTTAATTGAACCATAGGTGGTGGTGTTGTAATAGTCATGTATCTGTCAGTCTCATAATAAGGAGGAACTCTAGTAGGAGAGGGCAGCAGCATATGATGATCGTCATCAGTAAACCCAGTAAAGCCGACAAAGTTGGAGTCCAAGGCTGCCTCTGCAGCTAAATGTAATCGTCTTATCTCTGCTGTTTCATAATCAGCTAACATTAATCTTGGAACTGAAGAAATAGTGTCGACATGATCAATAGTAGAATTAAAATCATCTTCATCATTACGTTGAGCTCGTTGTAAAGTTTGATTGACGAGTTCTTTCGATAGATTTTTCCTTACACTACTATGGATTTCTTTCTTTGAAATACAGTCATGATTAGGATCTATGATACCATGTAAACGTGTACGACCACCCGTCATGGTTGGCCAGATATTATACCAATGATGTGCATCATTACTTTTCCAGATAGCTAGTACTGGAAACCAGACATTAAACAATGGCAATGAGAGTACACAATAGAGAATAAACCAAAAGATATATCTATACTGTCTTCTTAATAGAAAGAACAAGATGTGAAGTGCAATGAGAGCTGTAAAAGAGCAGGTGATAATCATATAGGCCATACCATATTGCTTGACTGAACGCCCAAGTATACTATACAGATAGCAAATAATCGGCATAGAGAACATCATGTCAAGCAACTCAATGGTTGACAGTATCCAATAAGTATAACCTAATTGCCAAGATACACGTTGCATTTCAAGTTGTGTATGGAATTTAGCACGGATGCTACGAATTTGAAGCTCCTGTAAGGAAAAGAAATGGGTAGGTAACGTTGCATATCCAATAGCATCTGGTTCAAAACCAAGTCGGTGATTTGGATTAGATTTTAAAAGTACAATCGATAATAATTTATCTTCGCCTTGAAGTAAGACATTTTGCATATGCATGGTGTCAGCTTGAGGTATAGAAATTCCTCTTAAAACAGTTGGATGCACACAACAAAGTCGAATATTAGTAGTAGTACGTGTAGGAAGAGATAAACGTGATTCTGAGTTTGCTAATGCTGGTTCATGTTGATTTTTTCTTTCTGAAAATATAGATTCTATACTTGTTTGACGATTATTTGTAGTAGTAGTAGTAGTAGTTGCTGTTGTGGTTGAGGTTGTCATAGTAGTCGTACTCTCGCCAGAGGGCTTTCTACGAACAACAGGATCCTGAAATGGATTTGTCACTATAATATCATCACTCAATTTAGGCAAATCAATAGTGGGCCCCTCCTGTAAGTTTTCCCATTTCTGAAAGGAAGACGGCCTTTCATGTTGTTGAGTTGTATTCTCTGTCCAAATTTTATACATGACAAGACCTCCATTGATGGTCATGACACTTTTTAAACATGCTTCAAAGGATAAAACAGAATAAAAGGATATATATAAAGGGAAGACTTGAAGCATCGTCGTCAGATTTTCTTCTGGGTTTGCAGGACGTACATGACCACTTACAGCAAGCATTCTCTGATCCTGCTCTAGGCGCAATACTAATTTTTGCACAACATCATTTTGTACTTGTATATTTGCATCTGTAACCATGATATATTTGAAGCACCTTGGATCAATACCCAATACATTATAACATTGATTAAAGATTTCATATTCCAAGGGAGTGATTCGATTGCTGGCTAAATTCATACAACGTTCAAGAAAACCGAATACGAATACAACTGAATCTCGTTTCCCCCGATTTCCAGGAGGTGCAGTCATCAGATGACTTTCGTAATAATCCAACTCTTCTTTAGGCTGACCTACTTTGACGATAACAAGATAGGGTACCCTATAGCGCCCAGTTTCGTAAAACCCAGAATAGACACGAGCATAATTAATACGTTTATGATGCTGTCCTAAAGAATGATAGGCTCGTAATTGCGGCTCTTCTGTACGACTGTAGCCGAGATATTCTAATAATAACGTATGCGTCTCTCGTTGTTCTGTTTTATCTTTAATAACACCATCGCATACAAACAATAAAAGTTTCCTTGAATCATCATAGGTTGAACGAGATAATGAATCCAATGTTTGCTTTAAAGTGTCTGCAGGTTCTGCAAAACAGGGGATCATGAGGATCGTATGTGGCCACTGAGATGGATGGAATGAAGAGGGAACTTTAGTAGAATACGACGCAGGTGCAGAGGAGGAAAAAGGGGGGCAGAGCCAAGATTTTTGTAAGAAGGAAACACGAGAGAGGTAGACAAGACTCATTTTAGTTAGAAAATAGACGAAACCAACACCCATAGTAGCCCAAAGAGCAGGATTAATGCGTCGACAATCAGATGAGATATAGGAGGGGGTAATACCCTTTCGGAATAAATAGATAAGGCAGTTTCGATAAAGAGAAGGGTTTTCTGTTACATTTCCTTCAAAGTAATTTGTAATATCTTTTCCGAGGTTAATATATAAAAATATAGTTAAATCTAATGGTAAAAACATGCGATTAAGCGCAAATGAACGTGAGCTATGTGCAGACGAAAGTGGAATAATATTTGTTACGCCGCTAAGGTAAGTCGTAACATCAAGCACATAACCATCTAAAATAACGTAGGCTTGTCTTGTTGAATTATCTGCAGATGGTAATGCATCATATAGTTTTGCAACATCGTCCGGATCATATTGAATATCTTAACAAAAAAAAAAAAAAAAAAAAAAAAAAAAAAAAAAAAAGGAAGGGATATAATTAAATATTCACATATATTTGCATTTTTTTTAATGTGCACATATTTATTTATAAAAAAAACTATGTCTATTTACCTCCTTTGATAGGTAATATACTCATATGAGTATTATGCTCTGGGCCATAAAAGCAAGGAGCTCCAGTAACATTGTATTGATTTGGAAGTGGACACAAAGATAAATGGTCTTTTTTAGACTTATCATATTTATAACCTGGATTGGTTAATAATAGATGGTCTAGCCAAGCATCAGCTTCTATGCTTTTATTTTGATAATAAATACACTCATTTATTATATTATCCTGATATTGATCTTCAGTAGATGAGCGACTTAACATCATAAATCTGGGAAAATTGGCTGATAAATCATGGTGAGGATATTTATTTACCCAGTTGACTATAGAGCTATTTACATTTATATGTCTCCAATCAATTACTTTCCCATGAATTGCAGACATTTTTGATTCATTTCTGAATACTTCTTCATATTCAAACGTTTTTTCTGGATCACAAAAATAACTAGATAAAAACTCTAGCGAGAAGCAAAAAAAGGCAGCCAAAATCAAATATAAAAATAAGAATGCTATCTTTTCACGCCATAATTTACGAGATACTATAAGTTAAAGGATAACAAAGAGTTAAAATATCTGTAAAAAAGTATATACATGTACATGTATGCAAATATATTTATATTATTTACCGGTCGTCTTCAATCTTCCTACATACGTTAGTATAAAGTTGGGTATAAAAAAAGTTAAAATTTGAGAAAATTGAATCCAAATTAATCGTCTACAGGTAGGACGACGTAGATTTGAGTAGTTTTTAACACTCATGTACTAAAAGAAACTAGTTTCACCATAGATTAATAAGAAAAGAAGAAAGAAAAATAAAGTATATTAATAATGATAAAAAAAAGGCTATTTAAAAAATAAAAAAAAAGGGGGGGAACCACAAAATAAGGGGTGTATGTGTGTATAGAAAGAATAAAAGGAAAAAGAGAAAAAAAAATAAATAATATTCGAACCTAAAATATCTTTTTTGCACGCCCTAAAAAATAAAAGAGCGTGCTTGTTAAATAGTAGTCTTTTTTTATTATTTAAAATCAAAGCAAGCTAATTTGAGTAGATTTATTCATCCCCGAAAATAGTCTCACAGCCGTGTAAGTTGATGTATTACTAGTTTTCCTTTGATTTTTACGGTCTTTGCCACTTAATTTGCGGCCATTGATATCCTTTGATCTTCAAGTTTCCCGTCATTGACAAACAATATACAGTAATGTATAATAAGTGTAAGCCATTTTGCTTATTATTATTGCAATATAAAATATCATGGAAAGAAATAAAAATTTCATTTTGTCATAATGGATAAAGCATATGAAAAAAAAAATCCAACAATAAAGTAAAAAGTAAAGGAAAAGTAGCAGAAGAAAAGGAGAATTAACGATAAGAAAAAGATTTGAAAAGAGCCTTTCATGTTGCGATAAGGAAATGGAACACTTGATCGTTGTGTCTTAATATGATTTATCTGAGTTAGCTTACAGAAAATAAAATTAATAGATTTTCCTGCTATGTTTGTCAGATTATTTGATATCAAATGGATAATTTTATTTGAAATTGTGCACCCATGAAGAGCAAAGATTTCCAAAACTTAAAGAATGTGGTTTTCAATATTGAATGGCTGGTAAAAAATAAATAAATATATCAAACAACGTACTTGAACTAAAACACCTAACCTGAAGGTTTCGGGATCTTGAGATCTTGAGACCTTACTAGGTATATAACAAGATTGAGCCAGGAATTTGAGATTTTTTTTTTTTTTTTTATGAACGCATTGTTCTCAATTCACAGCATGATTGTGACTACGTTTTTATATTATTTGGGTTTTTATTATGCATATTTTTTTTTCTATAAGAGAAATTAACACCCTGTTAAGTTTTATGATCGACAAGGTGTACTAATAGAAACTAGATTTTTTTTTTCGAATATAGCAATAACCTTACAGCTCTCGTAGTATTAGACAGTACTGTATATCATAATTACGATAATCATTAAGAACTAAAAAATGTATGTTATATAGAGGGAATTTCTATTATTTTATGCTTTTATATTAGGTTTTATATGTCAAGTATAATCAAGAGAATGATTGTAATGAAACTTTGATAGGTACATCCCATAGTCAAGAAGGTCTAAACTATAGAGTTTTATTAATGCAGGTACACATGATTCTTTTGAAATAGAATAGATTTAATTTTTTTACAGTGGATACTGCCATAGAGTTAAGATTTGCCAGAGCTATATTATAGAGTAATAATAATATATTGTACTGCATCATGGTATATACGATCTGGTTAAGACAATTCATTACTTAAAGCTTATTTCAAAATGTATAATATTTAACTATGACTTATCAGATATATAGATTCACTTTGCTACATGTAAAATAACACTAATAGAGATAAAAATAGAATGTTTTGATTACTTGAGCACCAACATCTTTCATCATAACGGATAAAAGGTAATCTTCTTTGACATCTTTGTTTTACGTTTGCAAATAATCAAATGATGATCATAATTTTATTAGAATGTCTCTTTTATGTTATTTTTATCTAAAATATATAAATGTGTATTTCGCTACTATTATATCATATGTATTCTCATGATTTCTTATATGCTAAATAAATAAATAAAAAAAGTATTCAAAGGGTTATCATTATACTATAAGATACTTATCAAGTAATAGTAAAAATATATATGAAGTATATATGTGCGTGTGTATATGTTTCTACTATTACTTGAAGGTAAATATGAAAAGCTCTAAAAGATACAAAAAAAGTACATTGTAATTATGACGATAAAGAGAACTCTTATTTGCAAATAAAACTATCTACACAGAATAATTTACACAAAAATAAACTCCAAACAGAGTAAGACTGGATATTTGATCGTTTTTAGTATTTTGATATGATGTTAAGAATTTAGTCAATAAGAACAATTATCTCTGAATACAAGTGTAAAAGGTATTTTATTACTACACAATTATCTTTAGATGGAAAAAACTGTACATAAGATATACCTCTACAACAATATGAAGCTTTATTATTGTATAAAGAGCATTACCATATTAAACTACAAAGAAGCTTCCTTCTTTTTGAACCATTTTAATATAGTTAGTAAGTTTAAATAGGATTACACTTTTGGTCTTCAATCCTATATTTATTCAATCATATTAAGAAGTTAAATTCTGAATTGTTTAACCAATTGTGTAGTAGTAGTATAATAAGAAGACTCGATCGCTAGACAAAAAAATAAAATAAATCAACTGTCTTATTTTAGGTATTACAGTGATGTAGTAGTACGTTTATAGTCTGATCGAGATACAGTAATAATTCTTCTGAGTTAATTTTTTTTCCTCCCTCCTTTACTATTTCTTGAGTGGTTCTTTTACTGTACAAATGATATGATGTATAACCATCAGCAGTAGCACTTTATAATAGATGGGAAGAGGGGAGTTTTTTTTTTTCTCTTATAAATTCGGCATTTCTTTAGAAATGTGTGTGTATGTTTTCTCGTATTAAAATAATACTTAAATATGATAATATCAGTTAACATGTATGAGTTTGTAAATTTGAAGAGTCTCTTCTTTGCTATATTTTAAAAAATAATATATTTATATAGTTTACCATTTTAAGATGATTTATAGTACTACATTTGTCCCGCTTTTAATTAATGCAAATAAATATGAGTACTGTTATATTCTTGTCATAATGGTTTATAATACAAAGTAAAATAGAGAAAAAGAAAAGTGGGTTTATTTTTATAGTTTTCATAGTGATGATATGTACGCATAAATATACATAAATATATATAAATATACATATACAAATATAAATATAAATATATGCTTAATAATAGCATCTATTCTACTTTGAGGAGGGAGAATAGATTACATACAAAAAGCAAATTTTGAGATATACATATATATAAAAGAATAATAACTACATATGGTAATAAAGTACTAGTACATACATATAAATATAAATGTCATATGTTACTGCCAGAATCTACAATGTTTTTTGTCCGATAAAGTAATGTGTTCTTTACTATCATGTTTTCGTTTTATACGAACGGGTGATACTTGAATAGGAGTTTTAGCAGGTGAAGAGGAAATTGAATTGGGAAGTGAAATAGATAAGGCAGGAGGCACTGAAATAGGTGAGCATTGAGAACCGATATTAGAAGAGATTGAAGAAGAAGGTGATGGGGATAATAAAGGAGGTGTGGACAAAAGTGAAGAAGAGGAGGATAGATCATTATAAGAATGAGTGGGTGAAGGTGGGTATGAAAGTGGTGCAAAAGATAGAAAGGAAAAATCACGTAAAGAAGTTGGTATATTGTGCATCCTAGCTTGTGTACGAACATGTAAAAGACAATGCCAACGATCAAAGGTTGCTTGATCGATATAAAGTCGATAATTTAAAAGATTCAATAAATAACGTTCTGCTGTATTGATCTCTGTTACAGACAAACCTGCAATCTTTGCCCAAGCTGAATTGCGATAAGTCTTGTCTTGAACAAATTTAGATGCTACAACCAGACTAGCTAGAAACATCCGTCTTCCACAGCTGATATATGCATTATGCTGCCAATTTGTTTTATTATCACATATTCTTTGCTGTTGTTGTAAATGCTGAATAATACTTGGTCGAGCACGAAACAAATAGAATAATGCTGTTTGTAAAGTTGAATAGGTAGTTCGAGATCTTTTAAGTACTTCTTGGATAAAAGTCCGCAGTGGTACGACCGGCGATACTCGGGACTCTTTTGGTATGGTAGGATACCAAATATACTCAATTACAACTGCAGTAATATCTAAATAAGATAGATAGATATTTATATTATTAATAAGTTTTTTTTTTTTTTTTTTTTTTTTTTTTTTTTTTTTTTCAATTTAACATATTATCAATTTATTACCAACTAAAGCTTCAACGTAAGCTAATCTATTTGTCGATAAAAGATGATTAGCATGTGCCATTTCTTGTTGCTGCTGCTGCTGCTGCTGCTGCTGCTGCTGCTGAAGAAAAGGCCCATTCATAGTATACAAAGGCTTTATTCTTGAATTACATTTTTTCATTCGTAAAGCATATAAATTAGGATCAGTCTGAAGTGAAAAATTGTTAACAGCAGAATTGATATCTAATGTATAGTGATGATCGACATTATAAGTAGTATTCATTATATAGGAATGATAGTTACTATTTAACTATGTCGAAAGTTAGAGTGTGAATAAGATAATAAATATTAGATAATAATAAAAAAAAAAGAGAAAAAGGGAGAAGAAAGAAAGAGAGAAGAAAGAAAGAAAGAAGAAAGAAAAGGAAAGGAAAGGACGGGAGGAGGAGAGGAGAGAGAAAAGAGAGGAGAAGTGATTGAAGTTATTTAACAAGAGAGGGATTCGAAATAAGGGAGAAAATATGTAAATAAAAAGCGTGCTATGAGAGAATAAGTTTGTACACATTAACCAGTAATATCGGGATATTAAATAGAAAAGCCTCATGAAATTGAAAAAAAAAAAAAAAAAAATTCAATCTAAGCCCAACACAGCTTTTTTTTTTTACTTTAAAATATACAAAAAAAAGACAAGAGTTTTACTTAATAGATTATATTTATTTCTAGTATTCTAACATTTTAAGCTTATTGGCCACAAGGAGAGTAAAAGGAATATATGTATATATATGCTAGAGCAAAAAAAAAAAAAAAAAAAAAAAAAGAAAAAAAAAAAGAGAAATATTTTTGTTTTGTTTTTTTGGGTTAAAATCAAACACTTCATTTACCTTAAAAAGGCAATTCATGCTTTTATATGAAAAATTACCTAACATTTATTTCACGTGTATAAATATAGTATTATGCTAAAAATGGTATTATATTTTTAACATAAACGTTTACCATGAGGAGTTATCTAATACATATAAACAAACAAATAAACAAATAAAGATTGTCGTCATATACACACACACAGAATAATATTTTATTAGTTTCAGTTAATTATAGTGAGATCTTCTAGGAGAACGTGAACGAGATCTACGAGATGAAGTATCATTATAATCTCGACGAGATCTTCTGCTGTATCTATCTATTTCACCAGCAAAATCATCATCATTCATAATATTACTATTACCACTTAAACTATTATCACGTCTGTCACGACTACGATGACGTTGTTCTCTACTATAACGAGGATAATCTCTATGCCTACCTCTATCTCGGCGATCATTATAGTCATATCGTTGACGAGAATAATTACTATGTCTATAATCATTATTATTACCATTACTACTACTACCATGATAACGATCACCACTACTGCTACGAGCATGTTGACGATTTTGCTAAATTATCCATTATATGTCAATCATAGACACTTACTCTAGTTGCATTTATTTTAACTTACTCTCATCTTTTCAATAGTGTCACGAATTTTCAAATAGCCTTGGTGTTGTTTACCTTGATAATGTGCTTCTAATCTATCAGAAGAATCATTTGTTACCAAAAAAGCACCACAAACATCGCATACCTATTTTAATTAAATAGACACTTGAGTATTTATTTTGTTATATCTTAACCACTATCTCTTACCTCCATACGTTTCTCAGGCTTTCCAGTAAAATCTACATTCTTTGAAAATATAAAGGTAAATATCTACTTTATAAATATCTGTATACAAACTTATATATTACATTTTTCAAATCTTTTAATTCCTTCTGAAGTCTATCAACTTCTGCTTGCAAATCAGTTGCTTCCTGTACACGACCTTCTTCACCAGCTTCCTCAACTTTTTGTAATAATTCTTTAATCTTGATATCCAATAATACCATTTTTTCTTCTCTTTCTTCTTTACGAACCTCTGAAGCCTAGTTACCACTTTTTAATTTTTTTTTCTATTTATTTTTTTTTCTTTTTTTATGTTACCTTATCATCAGCTTGAACGTTTAATCTACCATTACCTTGACGAATCTTTCGTGAAAGATCTGAAATAAGTTTGTTGAGATAGTCATAAAAATCTGCTTCATATGGATACTTATGCTTGTCAGAAGACTTTTGATAACGCTCTTTCAAACGAGAATTATGAATCTTGTCACATGCACCTAAATAATTAAAAAAAATAGTTGTCATTATTTAGTTAATTCACGCATCTTTCATTAATATGCATATATGTATATATATATATATATATACCAAGATCGGATTTTGTATTTGTAAAAAGTTGAGAAGGGCAAAAGGCAACGAGGTAATGTTTACAAACCTATTTAATTAAATAAAGTTACAGAAAATCTATTATTTTTATTTTCATTTTTTTTAAAAAAAAACTTACACTATCATCCCAAAAATCTTTATGATCTACATCGACGTATTGAGACATGAGCTCTTCTAGCATTGCCTTTTGATAATCTATTAAATGACTAGAGTGAATATGTGATGTAGTGTCAATTTTAAATTATAACATTACCCATTTTAATAAATTGTTGTTAATCAGAATTCAAAGTAAAGTTAAAAAAAAAAAAAAAAAAAAAGGACAAAAATTAATTCAAACGAGTGATGACGCAGTAACAGGCTTTTTTCATCCAATCAAAACCAAGCCAAGAATAGTAATTACTTTTAAGCATGAAAGATATTGACTTTAGTTTTCCTTTTTCTTCTTCAAATCGTAGCCTTTTTTTTTTCTTATTCTGATCTCTATTCTTCTTTTCAAAGGTGTTTAAATATGACTATTCAAAATCCCCTGATAAATTATGATGATCAAAAATGGGCTTTGATCCCGTCTGATCCAGGTAGTTTAGAAATTACAATTAAGAAAAACAAAAGTTCATCTAAATTTATTTATATCTTGTTTTTTTTCCCCACTTTTTTTTTTCATAGCTATTTTCAATGATATGATTCAACAGTATGGTGTTAAAGATATTAATGTTGAAGAAATTTGCTCACTTGATTTTGAGGAGTTTAAGAAAGAAGGGTTAATATAACTTTTTTAACTAATAAAATAATATATATTTATAATAACTTGTTTTTTTTAATATTTCTATAGAAAAGCTGTACATGGCTTAATGTTCATATCAAAATATATTGAAGAAGAATTACATCCTTATTTTGACCATGTTGATTCTGATGTTGTTGATGTTGTATTCACCGCTCAAGTAATGATCACCTTAACAAAAAAAAAAAAAAAAAAAGGCCCTTATTTTTCTTTACTATATTAGGTTGTAACAAATGTTTGCGCTACCTTAGCTTTACTCGCTATTTTATTTAATTCTAATATAGAAAAGGGGGATATTTTAACTAATTTCCTGAAGTTCACTGAAGGATTTTCTCCTATAGTAAGTTTGCTTTGTCTTCTTTTTCCTCCCCACTTTTTTTTTTTTTTTTTGTTCTAAATTTAATAATTTATTTATTTTTTTGAAATAAACAAACAACAATATTTATAGGATAGAGGCTTATGTTTAGGCAGCAGTAAAGAGATTCGAGAAATTCATAATGCCTATGCTTGGTAAGTTATCTATGTTTATATACAGCATATAAATTTTAATATGTTTTTGTATACATACAATTTATTTCCGTTAGCAATGCTAATCAATTAGCTGAAACTGCCCTACTGGATTCATATGCCGACACATCTAGTAATAGTCAGTTAGAATATGTTGATGCTGAGAATTTTCATTATATTTCCTACATTTTCAAGAATGGCTTTCTTTGGGAACTTGATGGTTTGAAGTATTATCCAGTAAAATTAGCTGAATGCACTGAAGAGAATTGGCTCACAGTTTTAAGGCCAATACTAGAAAAGAAAATGAACTCCTCGTAAGTTCGTTGTTGTGTGCTATTTGTTGACAGTACAATTAACACTTTTCTTTTTTTTTATCAGAAATCATAATGATATTCAATTCAGCTTACTGGCTATAACACATGATAGTTACTCTCTTCTGAAAAAGCAAAATGAAGTGTACACTTTCTGTCTTGATATTATTAACAAAATTATTGACAGGGATCCGCCTTTCAAAAAGAGTACAGTCTATTATCATAAGAAGCGGTTCTTTGAAAAATTCCCAGATGCAACTATCCCGCTCTATGATCATATAGTTAAGCTTTGGGAAAATGTACGTCGTGGTGATTACGAAGCAGCAGCTCCACAGATGCATATATTACAAGAAAGATTAAATGAATTAGATAGTAAACTAAAATATAGTCAAGAAGAAAAAGAGATAGCACATGCTGAAGTGACGCGACAAAAGTTTGATTATTTCCCCTTTTTGGCAAGTCTTTTTAAAAAAGGATATAAATATAAGCTTGTGCAGGCTCAACCTACGAAAAAGGTAGGCAAAAAGAAGACTTCTTTACGAGGTACAAAACGCGCTACAAGGAAGCGAAAAATAGTATCCTAACTCTTTATTACTATTATTATTATTATTTTTTGAGATACATGTAAATATGTAAATAAGAAATACCATTATCAAAAGGTGTATACTATAATAAAATGTTAGGATTATTATAATTATTTATTATATACCAATAGATTTATATATATGCATGTACACATACACATATATGTATTATAAATTATTCTATTATAATCAAATGTAAAAAAAAAGGTATAAATATAATACATGTAGTAGCTATAAGATAAATGGATAAAAAAAAACCAGCTGTCATATACTAAATAAATAATCAAAATAAGATAATAAACGTGTAAATAGGATGAATATAAACAGAATATAGCTTATACTGTTAGATCAGCAGGAGCATCACGAGAATATGAATTGGCCGGATCAGGATTACAATAGACATGAGATGGTATCTTCAGAACTTCTAAATCAGCTTTAGCTCGTTCAGTCCATTCTATACGATCTGCAGGCATAAAGGCATATTTACCAAGATTAGCCCAATAGTATGCCTTCAAGAAACGAATCTCTTGAATAAACCGCATCTCTAATACACCATGTTGTAGAACCATAAATCCTTCTACCGTTCTACCTGTACTGATATAAGGTAATGCTCTAGCCAAGTATAAACAAGGCTGTGTAAATTCCCAAAATTTAACTTGTTGAAAAGCATGATTGATTCTTGATACTCCAAGAATAAAACGATCATAATTCTTTGAGTCGCCTGTGGATACCAAATCCACTTGTTCATCTTCAATCATACAATATAAGCCCATTGTGGCAAATATTAATCCAAAAATTGGAAAGATATTGGCTATAAACAATAATAAAGTAGATAAGGGGGGGGAGGAGGGGTAAATGTTAATATCTATATATTTATAAATGTATATATGTATATATATATATGTATACAAATCACTTACGTGTAACGGTTAGAAGTGGCAATATGGCTACAAGGCTTCGAGTATGTCGTCGAGCATTTTCATAATTTCTTGTTCTTGCATAATAACAAAGTAATGTTCCATGAATAGCAATTCGATTGTATTCAGCCGATTTTTTTAAATGAGTCTCTAATAATGCCACAAAGGGCTCACATTCACGTAATCTATCCATAATAAGGGCATTACCGACATGATAGACGGATAACCAGATTTCAGCTTCAAAATCACAGTTGCTATGCGCTGTATTAGCCATTTCCTTTAACAGAAACAAATCATCAGGGGAATTATCTAAGGTGCCCTCAAAGATACGCATCGTGATGATCAAGCTAACGGACCGATAAAAGGCCTGACAATCAGTGATGATGCCTAATGTTTTAACTACATCGATGGATTGATACAACAACTCTCTTGCATTTTTAAACTTTCCAGCAGCAAAACAGAGGAGAGCGCAGATGGTTAAGGTATCTGCATCGTTTTTATCATCCATATACCTTAATGCCCTTGTAATATAAAAGATACTCTGTTCTTTTTCATCATTGAGCCAGCTCAGTAATGAATTTCTAGCCAAGAAAAGGGTATAATGAGGACCTACTTCATTCAGACGTTCACAAGCATTCAGACCCACAAGACAGGTATAAACAAACGAACGCCCCTTCCCAGTGTAAAAGTAGATGTTAGAGAGTTGGACCATGATCTCAACCACACGTTTTACAATCTCCTTCTTTAAATCTTTCTCACGTTTATGAAGGTTAGGGAATTTACGATGTCTGTATTGTACTAGACAATTAACCCAATACTTGAAAACAAATTCTGGTTCACTTTGGGGCCAGGGTTCACCCAGACACTCTAACGCTTGAAATAAGTAATGTTCACCTTCTTTTAGTTTGGTTCGCATCGCGAAACACATACCAAGCCGACGATAGATATCACTACGATGAAGACGACCAAATTGTGCAGCTAAGGAGCGATTTTCATCAAGTATCTTTACGATGCGTTCTAAATTTCCTGTGGCCTCTGGTAATAAATATGATTTAATGTTAATATCCGCGAGTGCCTCTAGGTAATAGAGCTGCTTATCAAGCCAATCTGTTTGAAGGTAATGACGTGTCACTTTTCCTAATAGGTCTGCATAATTTTCTCGTGTCAATTCACTTTCGTAATATTTGGCTAGAAGACGATGCAATAAAATGCGAGTCTCATATGAAACCATATCATAGATACATTGTGGAATCGTGATATGTGTAAAGGTATACAAAGGACTGCTACCATTTTCAAGAATACTATCATCTACTTTTTGGATGAAATGGTATACATCATATTTTTCTATGCTTCGTTGTGCCTCTTCACAGTTGGCATATTTAAATTCTGTATTACTCTCTTTAATAACTGATTGTACTTCTGCAATAGTAAAATATTGATCTAAACAACTCGCAACCATAAGGAATTCTTGATAACTTCCTTCTAAACGATCAAACTGCATCTTGATAGTACGTTTATAATCAAAGTTACCTAACAAGTCTTCTAAATCAAACTGATTACTACTAGGGACCAGCACATTCTCGATTACAGAAACATGATTAAAGTCTTTCAATACAATAGCCATGTTTCTAATATATATAATTATTATCTTTTGATATAAAGAAAAAAAACACGCATACACACACACACACACACACACACACACTTACTTGACATAAAGTGGATTGCCAGCTGTACGCTTTTGAATCACTTGAACAATTTCTGGACTTACACTTGTTACACCGGCAGTTTGAAATGTTTGTAAAATAATTTCACCTATTTCAGTTGCACCTAAACCATTTAATTCAATGCCTTCGAAAGAACCAGTCTCTTGAAAATTATTAATAAATGTCACATTATAATCTTTTACTGGACGAGTTGCAAATACAAGTAGAACTTTTTGACAATGTTCATGTATGTGTTGTAATAAACGAATAGATGCAGAATCAGCCCCTGAATAAAATGATCATAACGTTAATATTTTATATCAATTAATCTATCTATCTATTTATCTATCTATTTATCTATCTATTTATCTATCTATTTATCTATCTATCTATCTATCTATCTATCTATCTATATAGAACTTACATTGTACATCATCAGAAATAAATACAAGACCAACATGTTCTGAAACATATTTTACCATACGATTAATGGTCCCTGTCAGCAAGATATCTCGACCACGACCATCTAAACGTTGAATATATTTATTATCTTTTAGATCAGCCAATGGAGCAAAAATAACTTTAAATAAGGGAAGTAGTTTTTCTTCTTCTCCGCATATACGAAGACAACGCGTAATTAGATCGACTAAATCATTAGCATTTTCCATATGCTCTTCATTATCATCTGTGACGGAGGAACCTGAGGTATTTGAAGTTGGTAATGATTGACGAAGGATGTTAAGAGGATGGTTGTTATGATTATCCTTAGGTGATATCGTTGTAGGCGAATGTGCTAGAGAAGAATGAGAAGAACCAACTGAATTTTCACTATTTGAAAAATAATGTGAAGTAGAATCATTTGTGTAAGCTCCACTTGATCCAGCTATACAAGAGACCCTTCTTTTCATATTTTGAGGTATCTGACCTGATTCAATAATATCAAAAAGTGCCAACAAAATATTCTTTACTAGATAATATTTAGAACTTTTCTCCACTGTCATCATAAGAAGTATATGTATATATTTATATAAAAAAAAAAGATTACTAATTTGATTCATTGTATATTTATATATTGTTTACCTTCTGTAGAAGATGACCAACAACAGATTGTATTGAAAGAACTAATTTGTCTACTTAGAGTATGACAAAAGAAGCTTTTACCAGCACCAGAAGGACCAGAGATGACCAACAAATGATAATTAGGGGATTCCCCCCATTCCTCCACAAAATCAGTAGCAAGTCTCATTTCAGATTTATAGCCAATAAAATCCGAATTTTTCTCTTGATATTGAGCAGAGATACGTTTTGTTTTGGCAGGTGCAAATTGAAGGATGCTGTAAATATGTATCGGCTTTACTTTACCTTTCACAAACTTTTCTCCATAATCTTCAAATTCACATATTCTTCCTATCTGCTGTTTTGTAGCAAAATCACAAATAATATTTTTTTTAGAAAATGGAAATTTAAGCATTCGTACAGCTAAAACAATTGTATCGCCCGCAATCGCAGGGTCTCTACGATAAGGGTTCCCCTGTGGTAAGACAGCACTAAATATAATACCTGTGGATAAAGAGATTGCAAAATCATCCAAGATGGTTAAAAAACTCTCGCGAAGTTCAATTGCTGTTTTTGCTGCAAATACAGCTTCCCTTTCATGAGAAAGAGGTGGAAGACCAAATACAGCTAATAAGGTTGCACCTTTTTTTTTAAAAAAAAAGAAAAAAAATAAAAGAAAGATTAAATTCATGTGTATAAAAAAGTGAATTATTATCTTAAATTACCTTTGTCATCTACTGCAAACTGTTGTAAAATACCTGGTTGTTTTTTTTTAAAAAAAAATGGGGGGGTGAAAGAGAGTTAAGATGATATAATAATGTATGTAAAAGTAAAGATAAGAACTTTTACCTTCATATTTTATTATTGTTTGAATAGCTGTATTGACAGCATTTTGGGCGATTTGTAGACCCTCAGGAGTATCTACAATTAATTTACCTAGACTTATAAACATGATTGTAACTTCTCTGAATTGAGCTGTAAAGTCATCTTCAGGACTATGTTGGAGTCGATATAAGGCACTACGGTTAATATGTTTCAAATAATTAGAATTAGGGTCAAAAGATAATTCCAAAAATGAATTGTCTCTAGTACGAGGGATAAGTGGTTCAATATTCAGTGTAGCAGCACGATTCATTAATTCTGGTCGATCAGCAAGATAAGATGCATTTGATTTCGATAAAGCCTTTGCATGTGATGGATAGTGACGAGTGGCCTTCTTTGATGAGGATTCATATGAAGTATTTTTAACAATATAAAACTGATTTCTCTTTTCATAAGTTAAATTCATTGTTTGATTTTGAAACAATTCATATGCCTCTGGAGTGATACTCATTTCTCCTGCATTTGCTACCATCAATGCTTCCTCTAATGCCTCTACAGCTGGTCCACAGATAGCATACTCTAATCGACCAACATAATCTATATTATAATCAAGAGGTGGGTCATGTATATCAGTACCAATATAAGAAAACCTCCTCTTTCTTTCATTGGGCTCATAGATCGAATTCTTTACATCACCCAAGATGACATTCGAGATCTTCCCGCAGGACAAGGCGATATGTAACTCTAAATAGATAGCATCTGGTACACGTCGAGCGACTTCACTTGTATAACTTGATCTACGAGCAGCAAATGTATGACTATTATTTCTTCCCTTTCCAAATAAAGCTGATATATAATTCCAAAAATGAAAAGAAGTTGAATACTCCTCTGTATAATTTTGATGTGTATCCAATGCAGAGAACATATGAAAACTTTCTCCTGAACTTGAACCTTCACTCTCTGATGATGAATTCGTACCACTAGCATCAAATAAGAAGAAATGTTGATTTTTATCTGGTTTTGATCGACGATCTATTTCACCTGTGAGTGAAGATCGATGCTTTGTACGTTCCTCTGCCGTTAAATAGACACGATAATGAGATAATCTAGCTAAAAGTTGTAATCCGCATTCTACTGCTCTTCGTACAAGTACATTCTTTTGTCTTGCTTCTTTTTCTTTTGATATCTCTCCTGATTCAAAGTCATCATTATCGTCAAAATGATTTGGCTGAAAGCTAACGAGGACAGCATCACCTAAAAACTATACATAATATATAAATATATAATTTAAATATATATTATTATAAAAGAACTTGCTTTAACAACATCTCCTCCAAAATGTTCAATAATTTCAATACACTAAATAAAAAAAATTAAAAAAAAGAAGGGAAAAGTTATTATAAAATTTATGCAAGTACTTCTCCCATATATGAGCCAATTTCAAGAGCAACAGCTTCAGCACCAGAATCACCTTTCTCGGTAGCTTTTGTAGTTAACTATAAAATCAAAAAGAGAAAAAAAAAAAAAAGAAATGAAAATAAATGAAAATTATTAAATACAAATATAATAAATCTTACAGAACTAAAGCCTATAAAAATAAAATAAAAAAATAAAAAAAAAGAGAAAGAAAAAAAAATATATTTGTATTTTATTAATAGACTGTTTACTGTTGTTGTTATTTGACAAGAAGCCTCTTACCAACAACATCCACCATAAGTACCACTCCAAATTGTGAATGATTATAAGGGATTTCCAAATGCTCATTGTGAGCATATAATGATCTTACATACTAAAGATTTAATTTAGCGATTAGATTTTAGAAGTTGAAATTAAACGAATCTTCGAAAAAAAATCGATTTTTTACTTTTGGAATGTAAGGTGCAATATTTAGCATTAATAAGGTACCTCAAATAAATAAGGTCTGTATATATTTAAATATATGTATATAAATATATATATGTCTTTTTTTTTGTCACTGTTTGTAAATAGATAGCTATTATATAATTATTCGTTGACAATTATAAAATCAAAAAGAACTATAGACAATACAATGATAAATCTCTTGTGTCAGTGAAATGAAATTTTAATAATAAAAAGAGAAAGAAAAGAAAGAAAGAAAATGTAAAGAGCAGAAAGAAAATGGTACTCTTAGTTTATAGGCGACGTGCAGTAACGTGTAAAAATGTCTCACTTTTTTTTTTTTTTGAATATTATATGAATGACGATAAACAGTAGTTTTGTTTCTGAATAGTAATTAAATGACAGATACGATTACATAATTTAAATAAAGATTATATTAATAAAGAAAAGAAAGTATGATATGAAAAGAAAGATGAATTTCTAGATGTATACAAGGCTTTATATATGCTTACTCGCTGCTGTTTTATTATTATTATTAAAAGAAAAAAAAAATCTATATTTTTTAAAAAAAATACACCTTTAAAAATTGAAACAGGAACACTCTTCTGTGAAAAAAATAGATTATTTCATTTAAAAGAACGAGACGCACCGGTGTAAATGATGACGAATGTCCGATGCTTTTTTGTAAAATAACAATCTTTCCCGCCAGAAACTATTTTTTCCCGTTTTATTAATTTTTTTTTTTTTCGTCTACAACAATAATAGGGGTATTATTATTGTTAGTAGTAGTAGTAGTAGTAGTAGTCATAGTAGTAGTTGTTGTCATAGTAGTAGTTGCCATAGTAATATTATGATAAAAAGAAACAATACATTAAATCTATATGTTTTAAAAAATAAAAGGGGAGGGAGGAAGGAGAGAGAGAGGAAAAGATAATATTAAATCCACTTGTCTGTATTATACAGAATTATAAATATTCCAAAAATGGTTATTTTCAAATATTATATACAAATAAGCTCTCTTATATACATCGTTTATGTATAAAAAAAAGATCGTCGATATTTTCTAAATTTGTTAGACTTTTATTACTACTGTCTTACAAGATCAGTTCTTATTCTCAAATACTTAAAACATACTCCTTTGCGGCAAAGCCTGCTCTTTGTTCTTTGCTAATATTGACTATAATAATAAAAAAAGGACTGTTATTTGTCAAAAAAATATGTACATGTATAATGATGCAAACATTCTAGATATCATGTTAAAAATAAGCTTCTGTTGGCTCCTTTTAGAAGAGTGTATGCTCTTTGTTAAATATTAGATATTAACCAAGTTGAAACAAACATTATTATTATTATTTTATCTCAGAAGGTAGTGCTCGTCCTTCTTTAAATAAAAATGAGTATAGTAATAAAAATACTCTTTTTCTTTTTTCTTTTTTTTTTACGACTAAAGAAATTCTAAACTATAATTGTTAAAATAATAATTTTTATAAACTCGTTTAATTCTAGAATATAAAAAATGACGGAGCTTATTAATTCTACAAAAAAAAAAAAGAAAAAATACATGCCTCCCCTCATATTAATACCGCCTGTTGAAAAAAAAAAAATAAAAAAAAATAAAGCTTCATTATTATATCATGTTGCTATTGAAATCAAGGCAAATAATACCAAGATTAGGAATCACATGTCAATTGTTAAAATATTCAACTTTACCTAAAAAAGCCTCGGGACCATTTACAAGTAATAAATTAATTAGTCAGTCTGTAAATGAATCTTCAGATGAGATTAGAAAGACACTTGTCTATATAGGTATACATTCGTAATAAATAAGAAATGAGTATGAATTATGTTATATCTTTTATAGCATGGAAAGTATGAATAAGATATGATGATTCATATTTAAATTATTATAGGACCATTTGCAGAAACGATGAAAAGATATAAAATGACAGCTTCATTTTTTGGTTTATGTGGTATAATTTCGGTACCTGCTTTATTGAGTTCAGGGCAAGTGCCTGTTTTAAGTGCTGCTATAGGTAGGATGATTAGAGGGGTGAAATGATATACATATATGTATATAAAGCTTATTGAATTGACATAAAAGGAGAATAGCTGGTATATCAGCAGTTTCCCCTGCATTATTTGTTCATTTTTATACTAGTGGATATGTTTCTAAACTAATTGTATATGATGATGTAAAAAAGGTCGAAAAGGAACGAAAACAATCTAAAAATATGAAAGATAAATTTATTGGTATAGAAACCATATCATTTTGGGGTCGTTTTAAAGAAGAGACAATGTGGTTATCCCAGTTACATTATAAACCTACATCTAAAGGTTTAGTATGGCAGCAAAAAACAGGTGCTAAACATACATTTACATTAGAAAGAGAAATCATGGATGCAGATCCTTATTTAAAGGCTTTAGCAGACCGTGTTCAAAGAAAAGAAGTATGATATCATATTAAGTAAAATGATTGGTTCCTTGATACCACTATCATTAATAAATAAATCTCCTCCCCCTTATCCTTATAAATATATAAAAAAGTATTTCTCTCTTTTTTTTTTAAAGAAAAAAAAACGAACTATTCCTTTTTCTATTTTTCATTTTCTCTTTTTTTTTTATTTTCTAAAGAAAAAAAAATACTTCATACATGCCTTTGTCTTTAAGCAGTAGTACATCATCTATGAAAGCAAAAAGTAGTAGGCCTTCTTATATTAATTTATCAAATATACCTAATGATTATATTAACAGCAATAATCATTCATCATCAATTAAAAATGATATTCTATCTCCTCGTACACCACATTTCATTACAAAGCCAAAGCGTTCCTCCTTTGTAACTGAGCAAGTAGTTCAAGATATTCTTCTTCACCAAGCCGAATCTCCAGCACTACCACGAAGAAAGAGCGTTTCAATGCATACTGTGGAACCTTGTTTCATGTCTGATACTACAGCCTCCTATTTCTGCCATGATTCACAACAAAAGAACGAGATTGTTCCGCCAGAGAGGTCTACAACAGTGAAAACAAATGATAATTTAAAAATACATGATCTGTCAATCACAGAAGATGACCAGGAGAGTAGTAGTAGTAGTAGTAGTATCAATCACATCGTCAGTCCTATTACGACTACTGCATTCATAAAGGGTCGTTGTACTACTCAATCATTTTCGAGTACAACTGCCTTGATCTCACCTCATGTGCTACTACCCAGTTTCGATGTCCATACCCTTTACAAATTAAAAACGACACGTTCATCCAAAAAATTAGATGATTTTTTTGGTGAATATGCACCACATGATATTTGTATTAAAGAGATTCAAAAGGAAGGATTAAAGGCCATCTTACAGTCAAAGACACCATTATGTTACTTTTTATATCATTTACTACAAGAATATTGTAGTGAAAATCTTGTATGTATAAATATATAAATATAAGAATATAACATATAACTCACAAAGAAAAAACCTTTCTCTCTCTCTCTCTCTCTCTCTCTCTCTTTATATATATATTACACGTGTTTAGTTTTTCTTTATCGAATTAGAACAATATGAATCATTCACGTATACATCTACGAGTCAGCAAATGACATCAGCACAACATATCTTTAATACTTATTTAACTAAAAACAGTTATTTCGAAGTTAATTTAGATGAAAAAGATCGTAGAAAGATAATTCAGGCGTTAGGTGAAAAGGATGTAAAAAACTGTTTTGATTCTGCAAAGAGGGCAGTGTATTCACTTTTAGAATCCAGTTATATGCAATTTCAAAATACAGACATATTTCAAGAAATGATTCAAAACTGTGGTATGTGTGTGTGTGTATGTATTTAATTATCATTATTTACCACAAGTACATAATAGGTGAATTAACAACTTATTATGACGATAAAGCAAAGGCGGCAGCTGTAAATAAGCTTTTAAACTATATCGAAAGTCAATATGATAAAATATATTTAAATTTGAATAATAATAACACACCAACCAGTACGACTACGCTTCAACATCTAACGAAAAAACGATATGAATTATTAAAATCAATGATTCATGAATTCTGTCGAACACTAGTAAAAGTAGAATTTCACTATTATGTTTCCAATAAAACCATCATGAATGGCTCTAAGAGTACTCATGATCATGGAAAGGGTTCTTCTTCATCCAGCCTTCATCAAAGAACAAAGCTTCGAAGAATTGTCTTCCCACCTTTTAATAATAATAAGAAATGTAAATAATAAACATAGACCACTTTGTATGACTCTAATTTATTACAACACTCTATTTTTTTTTTTTTTTTTTTTTGTACAAATTGCTTCTTAAGAGGTACAACTTGATTTAAATAGCTCATTTGTATCATAGATTTCAACAGGATTGGGTGGTGGGAAATAAGGTTGAATTATTGAAGTCTCTGTCCTTCCCTAGTAGTGGAGTCAAATTAAAAAATAAAATACATTTTACTCCTAAACTTCATTAATTGACTTACAAAACGAAAAGGTGCACTTGCTGATACAGATTTTTCTATTTGATCCAAGTTTTCAGCTACTTTATTGTATGTGTCTTTTACTGTTTTGACAATTATCTAAAGAAGAAGAAAACAAAACAAAAAAAAAAAAAAAAAAAAAAAAAGTAAATGTGAATGTCCATGTAATTTAAATTAATATTTACTTCTATTTCATCAATTTGTTTGAATATTGATTGTAATTCTTTATTTTTATTTTTTAATAATTCTAAATTATTCCTAATGATGTCATCATCTTTTCTCATCTAATTTAAAATGAAATGAGCATTAAATTCTCAAGATGATTTTAAAGTTTACTTTTGTTGTTAATTCAGATATTTCTTGGATGCGATTCGAACATGTTTCTGTTTCTTTATTCAATTCTTCAATCTATTCTTATATAGTTAAAATTATCTTTTTTTTTTCTTGAATAAAGAAAGTAAGGTTAATATTTACAGTTAAGGAAGAAATAGAATCAATTGAAAGTCGTTGAGCTAATTCCTCAGAACTTTTACTAATAAGTGTTTCCATCAAGTTCGACAAAGAAGAACGTATTAAAAGAAAAAAAATTTAAAGCTGCTTTTTTTTTTATTATTATTATTGCTATTGTTATGCTGTTTTACATGAAAAAAAAGAAGAAAAGAAGAAAAAAAAAAAAAAAAAAAAAAACGAAAACGAAAACAAAAAATAGTACAAAAATTGGAACATACATAGGAGAAATAAATAAAACAAAATAAAATAAAAAAAGCTTATATATGGCATAAAAGGGGAAGATTTTACAATGCAATTTAGGATATTATTGCTTGTTCATATAATAAGTTTGCTCAACTAATTGAATAGGTCTTCGTTCCTTTTTCTGTAGTGTAACAGTATCTAAAGAAGAAGAAGAAGAAGGAGTATTCCGATGAGCCGATGATGTTTGTAGTTGTTTCTTCATATGAATAGATTTAATATGTTTTCTTAAAGATCTAGAATGAAAATAAGCTTTTTCACAACCAGGCATTGAACATGAGTAAGGTCGAATATCAGAATGAGTCTTTATATGGGTACTCAGTGAATCAGGTCTAGAAAAGGTCTTGTTACAACCTATGTAAATACGTTTAACTTGTTTAGTATACATTTAAATATATACTATAGAATTTGCAATTTCATCTTACCTATCACGGTACATATAAATGGCCTTTCACCAGTATGTGTTCTCATATGATTATGCATTTTATGTCTCTTCATAAATGGCTTTTTGTTTCTAGAACACTCTTTCCATTCACAAAAATAAGTAGCCTATAGAGAATAATGAGTTGATTTGTATTAACAAATATACATGATCTTAACTTACTTTGCCGCTTCCAATATGACTTTCACATATGTGAGCCATTAGTTTTGCTAAAGTAGGTTCTTTTGCTGTACAAGAAATCCAATGACAAGAATACATTTTATTTTCATTTTTACCAACTAATTGTTTCTTTTTACATACTATTCAATAAGAATTTATAAGCCATGAGTAATGACTATACATACATATATACATATATATTATAGAGTACATACATTCTACTGTTTCTTTTTCTTCTTTGTCTTCTTCTTCTTGTTCTTGATGATGATGAGGTACAACTACTGATGTCTTTTCCATTTCTAATTGTACAACACGTTCTATAAGTTGCTCTCGTGATAATTGATTTAAAAAAATATCTTCGTCATTCGTAGTGTCAAAATTAAATAAAGACGCGGAAGTTGTTGGTAAGATAGGTATATCATATTGAGGTTGACTTGTCAATAATAAGTCTACATCATTCTTTTTTGATTGTAAAAGCATCATATGATCTTCTTCATTCTAATATATATGTATATATATATATATAAAAATATATCATGATATTTATTGTCAGTGCACGATACTTTATAAATACATATATATATGTATACATATACACATATATAAATGGTTACATATTCTTACAGTTAAGGAAAGGGAAGAAATAGTGAAAGTATCTTGTTGCTGTTGTACATGATTGGTATAACTGTCATCTGATAATGGATAATAGTAATAATAATTTGTCACTGAGGATAAATCTTCTTCGAGAGGGGGCATAGATTGGCATAAAAGTGAAGTGTAATAATGTGGGTGATCTAAAGGTAATAAGGAATGTGAGGGATTCAGTTCAATATCGGGGGTGCGAATGCCTAAAGAGGATACCTCTGAGACAGAGTTGCATTCGGACATGAGAGTGTTGTGTTGACTGCTGTTATATAATAGAGAGTTATCTAAATTCTGTTGCACTGCATTAAACCATTCTTCTTCTGGTGAATGCAATTTATACATGTAACTTTCATTTGTTAAAGGAGATTGAGGGGAAGGAAATATGGCATTCGAAAGGTAAGCAAAGGGAGAAGTTTGAATATTTAATTCTTCACTAATAGGATAATGAGACATCTTCTATAATATCTCAGTGAGGTGTAAATAACAAATGAAAGGTTCAAACAGAACAGAAAAAGGGGAGAGGGAGAGGGAGAAAGAAAGAAAGAAAGAAAGAAAGAAAACTGTCAAAAATTATACAAGTAAATTTATGTTCAGTATATCTGTATGTAATATACAAAGTCTATATATAAGTCTATATATAAATAAAAGTAAGAGATGAAGTAAGGTTAAATAGGAAAATATTTAAGAAAAAAAAAGAAGAAAAAAGAAGTAAAGATATGAGGTAAATATCATCATATACATATTTATATATTTATAAATATATACATAAAAGCTTAATTTATAAGGATAATAGTAATTATAAAAAAGAACCTGCTTTTTTTTCTTAAAAAAAAAAAAAAAAAAAAAAAAAAAGCTGTATACATAGTAGAATGGGCTGAGAATTATAAGGACCATTCAAATAAAAAGAGGTCATTGCTGAATTACATAAAAAGAACTCGTTTGTATGTAAATTTAATTTCTTATTAGAATCTTTAATAAATGGGGAAATTATGTGCTATGAAGACACATGGAATAAGCTTCTCTTTTGGTCTCAATATGTAACCAAGAAAAAAAAAAAAAACTCACCAGAGATTTATATATCGGACCACATCGGATTTTTTTTTTCCTTCTCCTCACTCACCTTATGTATTCTACTTCACATGGAGCACAAACAAAAAAAATAGGGAGAGAGTGTGTGTAGTAGAAGAAGAGCTATTTTAACATTTAAAGCCTTTTTTTTATTATCTTTTAATAGATTCGTATGATGCATGTATATATTAGAAGAGATAGTAGTGATAAAAGTTGTATACATAAACACGTTTCTTTTCTTTTTTTTTGTTTATTATTATTTAATTTGACAAATGCATATTTTCTCTTTCTTTATCCCCTCTTTCGTGACATGTAAATTTATATATTAGGTAAAGAGCCGAAGTAATGAATTGTAAATAAGCAAGTATTATTTATTGGTTGCTGTTGTTGACGTGTGATCATCATTCCTAATAGGTCCTGGTGATGATTTATCCTTCTTTTCTGCCTATAAATAAAATACAGCATATATCATATGATAATAGTAGTTAATAATTTAATTAATAATAATAATAAAAAGCAGGAGAGAAAAGAAAATATTTACAGCTATTCTTTTGGCTTCTTCATGAACATTAGATACTTTATTAGCTATTTTAGAAGCGAATCCTTGAAATTTTAAACTTGCTCGAGAATTCATCAAGTTTTGCATGCTACTATTGGTGAATGCACGTCTATTGTTACTGTTATCATCTTTTTCTTTCGCACTATAACCTTGATGCCATTTTTGATTTAAATTATCTAAATTGATGCCCATTTTATTCAAATAACCATTGACTCGAGTAGATGTATGATGCTTCTCATCAAACTCAGCTCCTTTGGCAATAACAGAGTCTGTTAAAACATAACCATATGCTAATAATTCAGCCATTATGCGAGAAGCTGATTTATTTTCTTGCTCACTTAAAGCTGTTTCTTTAGTTATTTCCGTAGAAGTAGTAGTAGTAGTAGTAGCAGTAGTAGTAGTGGTATCTGCAGCTTCCATAGCCGTATTAAAATAAGGCTCAACTTCTATTGAGCTATCATCCACGACAGCTATATATATTTATATATACAGGTTTATATATATTTTTCATCTTTACTATCATGTTCATTATTTACCTTGACTTAATAGGGTTGCTGTTTTAGCAGCTGACTCTTTTTCAAAATAAACAATGGCTACTTGATGATCATCATCCTTACTCTTCTTCATTTCAAAAGTCTTAATAACACCACAAAAAGAAAAAAAGTCTTTAATAGTACTTTCTTGTGTTTTTGATGATATATTCTTAACAAGCACAAGGCATGGTGTAGGCTCTATAGGAATCTTCATATTCCAGTCATTGTCATTGTCTGCTAAAGCCATTTCAATGAGTTATAACGTTTATCAGAATAAGAAAATTGAAATATACTTTTCTATTTATAATAATAGCGTGTACAAGAATCTCCGCTTATGTAAGCCCAAAAAAGAAAAAATAAATTAATAAAAAAAAAAAAAATGAATAAAAGAAAAATAAATAAATAAATAGTGAAAGCAAGCTGTCATTTACAGAAAGAGTTTGTTGTAACTTCAGCATAATTCACGTGCTACAATAAATACAACCAAACAAAAGAATAATATGTTTGTTTCGACAAGAATACATGCAAACCAAGCAGGAGATAGTATTTAATAAACGTAAATGCCAAGAACTATTATAATAATAAATGCTTGACTTCTAGTAGCTGCTTTAGACTAAGTCTTGGACATATCACATTATTGCAAAAATGATGGATAAAGAAGAGAAAGCTGATTATGTTATGAATAGATTTACTGCAATATTTGGTTTGGTTAAAAGGTCTTTAATGATATCGATAATAATAATAATAATAACTTCACTGAAATAAATATACATGGTTTACGACTGCCTATCGAGTAACAAATGATAGTTTATTTTGGCATAGGTCATTTTTAATATACAAACTCAAGTCGTGAAGATTCGACTATTCTTTATCGTCTGCAATTAGATCAATTTTATGCGGTAATAATTGGGTTATATGAATTTATTAAGATGCTTTAGTCTTATCTATCATCAAATTATGTATTGAATAATATTATAATAATCTTTTGATAATGGGTTTATTTCTCTTCACTTGGCCATATAGCCTTAAATCATTTGATTATTTTTGCACCTAATACATCTTTCTTCTTCTTCTTCTTCTTCTGGGCTTTCTTCTTACTATTAAATATATTTTACAGTTGAGATATTTAATACAAGTCGCCAGTTTCAATTTCTATTGAGCTGCTTGGAATATATCTCACTTGCTACATTAAAACATGTCCTATACTCAATTGATAATAAGAAAAAAAAACAAAAGAACTTGTTGATTTATTATCTCCTATGTGCTAATTCATTTTGAGAATCTTTAATATTTATTTTATTTTATTGAGACAAAAAAAAAAAAAAATACAGAGAATTGAAATAATAATAATTATCATCTTTCTCTTTTCTTTTCTTTTTATATACGTGTAAATAAATTAAGAGAGAGAGAGAGAGAGAGAGAACTCGAAATTATAACGTTTAAAGAGCAGAAGCACCAGTAATGATATCAATCAATTCGTTTGTAATGACAGCTTGACGACCACGATTGAAAGTCATAGTTAATTTTTGAATCATTTCACCAGCATTCTTAGTGGCATTTTCCATAGCAGCACGCTTAGCACACATTTCAGCAGCATGACCTTCTACCATAGCCCAATAAAGGGTATTGGCAAAAGCGAATTCTTGAAGGTTGGCAAGAACATCATCCTCGATTTCATAAATGGCAAAATTGGGAGAAGCTTTGAAGGAAGATTCAGAATAGACAGGAAGAATATTGGCTTCATAAGAAACAACAGAATTAAACTTGTTGTAAACAATATTGGCCGTATCAAATTCAATTTCAGAAGATTTAACAAGATCAACAATAGATGAAGCTTCTTCAAAAGTAGGAGTATCTTTACCAATTTGATTAAAAGTAAGAGCAATGTTCTTACGTAAAACACGACCTAATTGTGCCTTAGGCTTATCACCAAGAACAACAATTTGAGCTTCAGGTTGTTCTGCAACGGCTCTACGTGTAGCCTTGGATACACTTGAGTGAATACCACCACAAAGACCACGATCAGAAGATGAAGCGATATAAAGAGCTTTACCTTCTTCAGCAGTCTTGGTTTCAGCATTAGTGAAAAGAGCTATAAGGTCAAATAATAAATTAGTTTTTTTTTTCCACATATTTATGTTTTAACTCCATATCATTCCCGTTCTGTATATACTCAAATACATATAATCTGTCTATTCTCAATCTCTCTCTTTTTTTTTTCCTAAATTTATGATACTTTACAGTTGGAGGCTTCGCCATAAACTCGAGCTGCTTCCATACCACGTTGAGCTTTAGTGACCTTGGTAGAAGCAATCATTTTCATAGACTTGGTAATCTTTTCAATATTTTGAACAGACTTCAAACGTTGTTGAACTGTAAAATAAAATAAAAAAAAAAACGAGTAAGTAAAAGTTGAATTAACAATGTTGTTGATTTAATTTTTTTTTTCGAGATCATTTACTTTCTTTCAAGGTAGCCATGTTACGTGCTTGAACAACTTTGCTAGATATTTTGTATTAATGATCATTTGTAACATGTTATAATCATTTTTTTTTTCTTTTTACCTGACAGGTACAGCGGTAGGACGTGCAATGCGAGAAACAGTGAACAACATTGCTATATTCTTTTTTTTTTCTAAAATTCGAAAATAAAGAGAGAAACAATAGTAAGAAATAAAAAAATATGCCCTCCTTTTTTTTTTTTTTTTTTTTTTTTTTTTTTTTTTTGACTGAAGGGCCCTTATTGAGCTTGAATTTTACTATAAAAAAATGATTCAATAGGTTATAGTGGAGCTAATATGCAATATATTTCTATTATGTGGGGCTATCCCCCGGACTTTCGAATATTTGTTTACGTCACAACATTTCATAATAATCTAGTATCAATACAGGTTTTAAAAATTTAAGGTACGAAATCATTTTCGATTCTTGTGAACAGGTAGTATCTAAATGAGACTGGATTGCCCAGATTAACAGCTCAATGAAAATCCCCCTTGTAAGAAACACACGGTAAAAAGGGGATGAACAGAATGTATAGTATTTTTTGGGTTAGGTTTTTTCTTTTCAGACGAGACAGGATTAATAAATATTAAGACTATTTGAAGTCAATCACTTTGCATCGACATCTGTGTTAATCATAATTATTTTTACCAACTTGGTACTAAACAATCCTTAGAAATAGTAGTTGTATACGCTCTCCAATACATAGTGTACTTTCATTATTGGCTTCTTAATGTATTAACATATTATTCATATTGCTATTCTTTTTCTTTTTTTCTTTTCTTTTTTTTAAAAAAAGTCTCTGGTAGAAAAAGAGTCGTTTTTCAGTATAAATCGTTTAAAAATGGATATTATTAATTTATGCGGAATATTACAATTTTTTGCGTTATGTTTAATTTCACCTGGTTGTTATGAATAATCATGTAGGAAATCAGTGGAAGAATAGAGCACTAAATAACCCTATTTTTTAACGATTTTTTTTAAGGCTTCAAAGTATATCTTTGGTAATTGTTAATCCATATCCTTCAGAAAATTAAATAGGAATGAACTACCTCCCCCTTTTTTTTTTCTTCTGTGGAATATTTTGTCAACGTGATTGCAATGCTACGAAAGATATTCATCGAATCTCCAATGAGATACTGACTAATCGAGATCACCTCTCTGTATTTTCTTGACATGAATAATAATAATAGTGCCGCCTCGAATATACAGGTGTGATGGAGAGGGGTTTCCTAGCGGAAAATGTTGATTTTTACAGGTAGATGTGTCTAAAAAGTGATTTCTATTTCGTCTAAAATAAACATGGTATCTCTTATCAGAGATTTTTTTTTTTTGCTGTTATTTTATTGACCTGGTCTGGGCAAGCCAGTAGTATTATATAGATACTGAAACGTGCTCTTAAAGATTCAAAAAAAAAAAAGGATTATATAATAAAATTTTATTTAATCGCAAGATAAACATGATTACTTTTGTCTTTACTTTTTTTTATCTTTTGTCCCAAAAGGGTTTTCAGTTATTTTTTATCGCTATTTTTGAGCTGAGTAGGGTAATTTTATAAACTATGTTGCTCATTGGTTATTCAAATATGTATATGTGTATAGATTTATAAATAAAATTTTTCTTAATCGTAAGACAAGCCATTTAGAGCAAAATATTTATTTATTTATTTATTTATATATAAATATAAATATGTATATATATTAATAAATACTATTAATGTTTAATATATGATATAGTAGACCCATAAATATAAAAAAATAGATAGTAATACATGTTTGTTATTAAGTGGAAGCCAGTTTAGTAGAAGCATGAGCTAAACCAAGGTATTCCAAAGGAAATTTCAAATTAGCTTTTTGACGAACTCTATCCGAATAATGATTCAACTGAGATTGAATATGTTGAAGAAGAGGTAAGACTTGATTCTGAAGAGCTTGAACTACATTCTTTGTCTTTTCAAAGGATGAAACATCTTTGCGAGCAAATTCAGTACGAACCAATTCAATATGTTTATTCGTGACCTGAATAAAGGAATGAACCTGCATCTTTAACCATTCAGGGGTTTCATTCGATTGAAGTTTAACAAAGTCAACCACTTGTTGAAGTTGATGAGAGACTTGTTGAGTTAAAACCTGAAGTCTCTCCTGAGTTATATTCTGAAGTGATTGAAGTTGATCTGTAACCGTGGTTGGAAGATGTCTTTGAGCTATTTGAGCATAAAGCGTAATAGATTGCACCAAAGCCTCTTGTAACAATTGAATGTTAGATGTCGTCTTTTGAATCAATGCCGATGTTTCTGTGATACGAGCTAATTCATCACGTGTAATCATAATAAGAGGAATGTAGGAAGCGGAATTCTTAAGTTGGTCTGATACATGCCTACTTAAACGAATCGAAACATGACTTAGTAGAGAAAGGATGCGTACTGCTGAGTTCATTTCACGATTTTCATCTACCGCCGCTTTTAAATCTTGTTGTTGTTGTTGTTGTTCATCATTAGTAGTAGTAGGAAAATAGTGTTCAATAGTAGCTTCTACATTATCAACCATATTTCCAAATTGTTGATTGGCTTTTTTGAGCACTTGACTAGCATGTTCTTTAAAAGAAGAATCCAGTTTTATCTTCATACCATCTACAATATGAGGAGTTGAAACTACTTTAATAATCTCTGAAGTAGGCTGGTTGACAACAGGAAACTTATTTTGAATAACATCTAAAGAACGACATCCAAACGCATCTGCCTTTTCAACATGAGGTAGAATATAATTTTCATAATAAGTTTGAAGATATTGATGATTCCCTTGTATTGTATATTTTGTAATTGAATTAGCTGTAGAAAGAGCGAATCTACCTAGACTTGTCTTGTTGACCATATTTTGTGCTGTTGAAAAGCCATCTTGTACGATAGGGATAGAACTAACACGTGAAACGAAATTTTTACTTACTCTTTCTTCTTCCTCCAAAGAAGAAGATTTAATTGTGGGCGTATCTGATAAGCCTTCATCTTCTGTCATATTATTCTGAATTTCGATATTATTTTCTTTCATTGTTTAAAAAAAAAAAAAGAGAGATGAAGAAGGAAAGAAGAAGGAGAAAAGTAAAGAAATCAAAACAAATAAAATCTCTTTCTTTCTTTTTTTTTTTTTTTATTTTCCGGGAAGAAATAGAGTAACAAGATAAGAGTTATTTGTAACCCCCAAATCGTAATTTAATAACGTGTTTAAGTCTTTGTTATTTACAACTAAAAATAAAACCTCTCTTTTTTTTTCTTTTTATTATAGTTGTTTATCATGTGAAAAAAAAAAGAGACAGAGAGATTATCAGGATAATATTATCTTTAAATCAAATATAAAATAAGCTTGCACTTATCATGTGATTCAATATCCTTTTTGCTTTTCGTTTTTTTATATTCTTTTATATGCTTCTGTTGGAATGAATTGAATATCTCATTCTATTAAGGATGAAAATAATCTAGTTTGTCTTGCTAATCGTTCTATAATACATGATATACAAAACCAAGTAGTTTTAGGGTGATGCCATCGATAAGATGTGTAACAATATAAAACTTATTTTAAGTGGTCAGTGCTTGACATATGAGAATATAATATAAGGTTACCCACTCCTTTTTTTCTTCTTCTTCTTTACGAGAAGACAATTCTTTTATGTGTGTGTATTTCTTTCTTTATTTATTCATTCATTCTAATTTTAAAAAATATTATAACACTGTATAACAGATAGCTTACAGTAATATATATATATAGATGTATGTATATATATGTTTATATTTATGTTTATATGTATGTATCTGTGTATGTATATATGTGTGTATGTAATGAGAGAGGAAAAAAAGAGCTATAATGTATAAGAGAAACAAAATAAACTTTAACTGGACGTTTGAGTAAAATTCCTAAATGCAGTAGCAATTGTGTAAGCTTCTGTAGGCCTAAAAATATATAAATATTCATATAAAAATTAAAAATGATGATAGAACATAGATTTGTTTATATATCTATATTTACTCTCTAAACGTATGCCACGCTGCTGCTATATGCTGATTCTTTTCAGCGATAGTCATACGTTCTGCTAATTTATGCTTGCGTGTCTTGGTAGGTACTAATTTGGCTGTCATTTCAAAATTCCATGCACGTAAGATACAAACTTTAACAATATCTAGGATCATAAAATAAACTAAGGAGATGCCAAGGACAGAGAGACCCCAACCATAACCACAAGGTGCAACTCCTTCATGTTCACCAAATACACCATAAACAGAAAAGAATAAGGCAATAACTTGGGTTCCAAGAATACACAGAGTAAATATCCAATTAGGCATATTCCTCCACCAATATCCGGGAACACGAGTTGAAAAGATGACAAAATGAGGTGCTAAAGTTTCATAAAACAAAATATTCAGTTTTCCTTCTCCTTTTTATACAGATAGATTGTAGTTTTTTTTTTTTTTTTTTTTTTTTTTTTTTTTTTTTTTTTTTTTTTTTTTTTTTTTTTTTTTTTTACCTGAGGAAATATGCAAGTACATGATTGAGTTCAATTCATGTTCGGTTACGTAAAATACATATCTAGCAATATAAAAGGTTGCAAAAGACAAAATAGATAATAAAATAGCAAGAATAAAGGACAAAGTAAGTAATTGACCAATACGCCATTTATCTGGCTTTTGAGAGATTTCTGTATTATCAACTGAAATAACTAAAGTAGCAAGATCATTCTATAATTTTTTTTTTTTTAAAAAAAAAAAAGAAAGAAATAAATTAATTAAATAGATTAAACAAAAGTCAATTATTATTATTTTTTTTTTCTTTTCTTACCAATACACAAATCATAATCAAGAGTACAGCAGGCATTGACCAATCCTCAACTAAAGTTACAATAAACATAAAGAATAAAAAGTGAATGGTTGATGTGATACGATAAAGAGCATAAGAACGAAGACGTTGAAAAATGGAACGAGAAGTGATGATACCATCTGTAATGGTAGAAAGGCCTGGAGCCAATAATACGATATCAGCAGCAGAACGAGCAGCATCCGTACAACCTTCAACAGCGATACCTACATCTGCCTTTTTAAGAGCGGGGGCATCATTTACACCGTCACCTGTCATGCCTACTAATAAACCTTTATTCTGAAGTAATTCAACCACACGATACTTGTGTTCAGGAACAACTTGTGCAAAACCGTCAGCACGAATACAGTGTTCTGTAATTTCACTCTCAGATTTATCAGGGTCTATCAGGTATTGAGAATCAAGGATGACACGACCCATTCCAAGACGAGCAGCGACTTCCTTTGCAATAATGAGTTGATCACCTGTAATCATCTTCACATACACACCGAGGGCATTGCATTGGGCGATAGTGGATTGAGAATCAGGACGTGGAGGATCAAGAAGGGAGATCATTCCGATCATTTCATACTCTTCTTCTTCTTCCTCTTTTTCTTCATGACTACTGACCTTTATTGATTTAGCCACCCCTAAAGCACGTAATCCACGACGAGCAAGGGAGTTGACGGCATGAACGGCTTCATCATCACCTCCTACTAACTTTGTAATGACTTGAGGGGCACCCTTGACGATAGACCATGTTTCATTACTTGTCAGATCCACGACGGTCGCCTTTGTCATTTTCGTAACAGGATCGAAAGGAATAAACTGAATGACCTTATAACCAGGTATATCACGATTATTTTTGCGATTTTGAAGAATGTCGAGTTGAGATTCAGCAGCGCGACGTATAGCGGATTCAATAGGGTCATTTGTGCCAGGTTCAGCACCCAGGTAAGAGTAAAGCAAGATATCTTCCTCACTGTAATCGTTTTTCAACCAGGGCTTGTCAAATGTCAACTCATTCAAAGTCAAGGTTCCAGTCTTATCGGAACAAAGAATAGAAACCGAAGCTAATTCTTCTACAGCTGTTAACCGTTTTACAATGACCTTTTTTGCAGCTAATTGTTTAGCACCTATAGCCATCGTGACGGACATGACGGTAGGGAGACCGACCGGGATAGCAGCCACAGTTAAAACCAGACAGTTCTCTAGCACAAGCTTCCAATTCCCCTTATCAGTACCACGGAAATGAATCATTTGATAGACAAAGACAATCAGTACTAACAGGATAGTAGACCAAATTAGAAAATTTCCAATCTTGGCTATCGTCTTCTGAAAGTGGCCTTCCTCTGTGGTAATAGCAATTAAATTAGCAGCACGTCCAATAAACGTATCTATACCCGTTTTTGTTACAATTGCAAGCTGTTGACCTTGTTTAATTACACTAGAGGAATAAACTGTGTTTCCTTTCCTCTTGGGGACAGGAAGAGACTCACCAGTTAAACCTGATTGATCAATGAAAAGCTCAGTATTATTTTCTTCACCATTGATGCCTAAACCTAGGAGACGAGCATCTGCAGGGACGATATCACCAATACGAAGAATAATGATATCACCGGGGACAAGTTCATGAACACCAACCTCTATTAATTCATTATTACGATAGGTGCGAGTCTTTAAAGCCAATGTTTGTCTTAAAGCATCTAAAGCAGACTCTGCTTTTGATTCTTCAAAGAAACCTATAACTGCATTCAAGATTAATAAAGCTAAAATGATCCCAAAGTCAATCCAATCACCCACTACAGCAGCAATGACACAAGATATTTCAATCAAATAGGATATAGGGCCCGTAAAATAACCAAAGAACTTGAAGAATGGGTTTGTTCTCTTTTCAGGAAGCTTATTTATTCCAAATTTCATTTGTCGTTCTTGTACCTCAGAAAGAGTTAAGCCATGATGAGGATCTGTTTGTAAATAGGCTTCGAGTTCAGGCGAGATTTCATCTTCATGTTCAGTATGAATATGTTCTTCAAACTCAATTGCTTGATCTTCTTTAGCATCATAACCTAAGTCACCTTTAACTGGTGACTTGATTTCAGTCATTGATAAATTACAGGGAATAAATAAAGATCTACTTTTGTTCTATTTTATAAATGTATATAATTAAATCTATATGCTTTATTAAAATCTTCAAGAAGCTGATGCCTTTTTTTTTTTATTGATTATTTGAAATAAAAAAAAAAAAAAAAAGGAAAAGAGAGAGGAAAAAAAAAGAAATGAGCAATCAATAACTGCCTATGGATTTATTGATTTCTGATCCGATATATTCACAATAAATATAAATCTAAGGGAATCTCTCTCTCTCTCTCTCTCTTTTTTTTTTTTTTTTTTTTTTGACCATTATTTTAAGGGCACATATTATATACTAATTATGTCAGATTTATGTATTCTCCTATAGTAAAGTACCCTGCATCGATGTATAATAGCTATGCTATCTTTTATATGACTTGAACAAAGCCTCTTAATAATTAAGACAAGACTAAAATATTTTAAATATGAATATAGTATAAGTTTTTTTTTCCTAGGAGTGACTATATTCCATTATATTAAATAATTAAAATAAAAAAAAAGTCAAGATAATATCTAAGTAATATATGCAATAAAATGGTAAAATAAATATAAGAATTGTGTTCTCTCTTATCTTTTTTTTTATATTTATTTTAGGGATCTTACATGCAAATATTAACAAATTAGTACACGTGCATATAAGATAGCTTTATGCGTTTATATGGGTTCAAGACTACATTATACAACATGGATAAATTTGTTGAAATACATATATTGCATTTATTCAAAAAAAAAATATCTTATAACTGTCATTATGACTACCACTTTTTATTAAATACGATTAAGGATTTCTTCTTTTAAGAAAAATTAAGAATAGAAAAGAATATGGTTTCATTTCTTTCTTTATACCCCTCTCCCCTCCCCCTTTTTTTTAATTTTGACTAGGAAAAAAAAGGCAATATTATCTGATCAAATAGATCCTCATTTTTTCTCTCTGTCTCTCTCCTTGCTAGTTTTTTATATAAATATTTGATATGACAATACAGAATATCCCCTACTATAAACTAAAATCAAAATTCAGAATGTATTAAAAAAGGAACGAGTCATATTTTATAATAAGTTTTGAAAAAAAAAAAAAAAGAAAATAGCTAATATAAAATAAAGATCTAATATCTACTCTTTATATACTTTAGGCATTCTATTTTAACTAAAGGAGAAGAGATTTGCATAAAAGTACATTAATGAATAAGGAATTCGGCCAATATATCGAATCAACAATTAAAGATCTTTGCTATATTTAACTCATTAATTGATGATTTGGCTTTTGATAGTTGATATTAAAGACATATAAATTATATAAATGGTTCATTTTCTATTTGACATGAAAATGCTCATCAACATGAAACGCATTCTATGTTTTTATTTATCCTTTTTTTTTAATGAATATCAACAGAGCTTGTTTGTGTTGATTTTACCTTGATTGAAGAAAATAAAACTCTATTTTGATTTATACTTTTTCATACAAAAAGATAACGCTTATAGATGGAAAAAAATAAATTTAGGTTTCTTTTTTTTTTTTTACAAGTAAAAAAAAAAAAATAAACAGTTAGAATGCTTTACTTATGTTTTCTTTACACCTTTTTTGAGACTCTTTTGTTTGTTATAATTGAATGATTTCCAAATGAAGTAATTAAAACAAAGCGAAAAAATGTATCGGCGATTCAATTTTGAAAGATCCGATTTAGTATATAAAATTTTTAATGGCTCAAATATGCAGACAGCGTCCTTTTCATTATTATTCTTCAATGGATACAATTACTACTACAGTTGATACATTTTATAATACTTTTCCTTCTGCTCCTTGTGATATGATATATCCTATCTTACCAATGACAGATCCTTTCCTAACCTATTCAACTTTCACTTCACCACCACCACCAACGACGACAACGACAACGACCCCACATCTATATAATAATAGCTTTAATCCTGTCTATACTCATCATGACGAACTCTTAAATTATAATTCAAAAAGAAAGACAATGAATGATCAAACAGATCCTGCTTCTTGGTCTCCTCTATCAAGTACATCTTACTCTTCCTCTTCTTCATTTCCTGAAGAAAAAACAAGAGCGCCTCCTATAAAAAGACCAAGAAAATCAAAAGAATCCAAATTATCGACATCGAATGGAGATGAATCTGAATCAGCAGAAGATGAAGAAGAATTAAGGCAAAAGAGTCTCGAAAGGAATAGATTAGCAGGTATAAAATAAATCATCTTTTTTTTTATTATTGTTATTGTTATTCTAAAACCAATAACACATTGCAAACACCTTTAGCTTATAAATGTAGACAGCGTAAGAAGGAATGGATTGAAGAATTGGCACATAAAGCTGAAAGAATGACTAAAGAAAATGAGAATCTGAAGCAATTATTATTTCAACTTAAAGAAGAAGCAGTTTATATCAAATCCCAGTTAATTATGCACAAAGAGTAAGTGATCATAAAGTCTGACATTATATCCAAATTCTGTTTTTATTTATTGACTTTTATTTATCTAGGAATGACTATGATTCGTGCAAAAATAAAGCCTTTTTAAATGTTTATTAAGAGGATGTCTCTTCTTTAATAATGAAATGTATTATAATGTATTATAGACTACTAATCTTGTAAATACAATAAACTTAAATGCTCCTATTAAATAGATTTCTCAGCTACTGATTTGTGACAATGAATTTATTGTCTGACTTTTAATTATTTACACTGAAATCATTTTTTTTTTTTTTTTTTTTTTTTTTTTAAATAGGGTATAATGAATGTAGTCTTCGCCACTACTCCAGAGCTGTTATTTTAATTTAATTTAATTTAATTTAATTTTATTTTATTTTCTCTTCAATCTATATCTATAAACAGATAAATGCTATGTATTTAAAGAAAATGAAAATGAAAAAAAAGAAAAAGTAGTCAATAAATATAATCAACAGTCCAAGACATGTATACACGTATCGTTAAATACGCCCTCCACGTAGTAAAAAAAATAACAAATAAAAATAAATAATAACAAATAAACTCAGTACTGCATTAATAAGCAGACAATTCGATTATTCGCTTAGTCTTTTTCTTTTCTTTTTTTTTTTCTTTTTTCTTTTGTGAAGAAATTAGATTTTACAAAAATAAAAATGCATTCTTTAAAATTACTATTATATACGCTTGGTTTAAGTTTACTATCGATTTCACCTAGTTTACAAAATTCAGTAAAAGGTCCACGTCGTCCTTTACAAGAGCCTGAACCCATTAACTTTGTTGAAGATGTTTTATTAGATAACAATCCAAACAGTTATTGTAAAGTAAGTATAGTCAAATTGGTATTGTAATCATCTTTATACTAATAAACTATATATTTAGCCTCAAGGACAGATTAGAGATGCTTGTTGTGATTATCAAAGTATTGAAAGTGTTCAATCAGATGTATTCGATAAGATTCAAGATTTAGTTCATACTAAATTCTTCAGACACTATAGAGTATGTATAAAAGTGCATACATATACATGTGTATTTATTACATTATTTTTAACTTTATTTTATTTATTTTCTTTACTAGGCAAATCTTTGGAAAGAATGTCCTTTTTGGAATGAAGAAGCTCTTTGTACGAATCGAGACTGTTCAGTAGCTACGACAGATGAGGTAAATTAATATACAATATTATATTACATCTATTTATCAGTAAAACAATTAAAAAAAACAACAACAACTATAGAATACTTTACCAGTAGATTGGCGCAAAGATGCATTAAGTGCTGTTCAATTATCACCTAAAGGATCCGTAAGTAATACTAAAATTATCTAAATTCCCTTCTTTATATTCATCTTATAGAGTTAGCTTTTTCAACCTTTTGAGAAATGTACATATAAAGATCAGGATTTCTGTTTAGTAGACGATCAATTAGATTCAGATAGTGTTGTGTATATTGATTTAACTCAAAATCCTGAACGCTTTACTGGATATGCAGGTCCATCATCCGGACAAGTATGGAGGGCCATTTACGAAGAAAATTGTTTTGATATTGTTCATCAAATGACAGAAGGCTGTGAAACTTGTAACAATATTATGAATTTAGGTACAAAGTTAAATTCAGAAAAGACAAGTAAAAGTCAACAATCTGGCTTTGCTCATGTTCCTGATAATAAGGGTGAATTACATCAATTCCTTAATAACTTGGCTGAAGAATTAGATGGTGGAGATGATAATGAAGTTTGTTTAGAAAAGCGTGTTTATTATCGCTTAATTTCTGGCTTACACTCGTCTATCTCTATTCATATCTGTAATGAATGGTTTGATAGAAATACTGGAGTTTGGGTATAGTAAACCAATAAAAAAAAAAAAAAAAAGGCAGGATACTCATATTTTTTTCTTTCTTCTTTTATGTTAGGGTCCTAATTTGGATTGTTTTGTTAATCGAATTGGCTCTCATCCTGAACGCTTACAAAATATTTATTTCTCTTATGCTCTTCTTTTAAGAGCAATTAATAAAATGGGTCCTTATCTTGATAAATATGAATATCGTACTGGTAGCATAGAAGAAGACAAGAAGACACAATCTATGGTTCAAGATCTTATCAAGAGTACTATTTCATGTTCTCCTACTTTTAATGAACATTCGATGTTTAAGGGTCCTAAAGCTCAAACACTTAAGATTGACTTTAGAGATCACTTCCGTAATGTGTCTAGAATTATGGACTGTGTAGGCTGTGAAAAATGTAGACTTTGGGGTAAACTTCAAACTGTTGGATTAGGAACAGCATTAAAAATCTTGTTTTCATATGAAGATAAATCATTAGAGTAAGTTTTGTTCTTATTGTTTTGCCCTTGTTTATTTTAATGTTTACTTTCTTTTAGTCCCGTAAAAAACCCTGATCTTTTTGAAAGAGGAGAAATTGTTGCTTTATTTAACACATTTAACCGATTTTCTGAAAGTATTCATGCCATCAAAACATTTAGAGCAATGTATGCGAATAAAATGTCAGCAAAGGTAACAAAAAAAAAAAAAAAAAAAAAAAAAAAAAAAAAAAAAAAAAGCGTATTATAAAAGTGTTAAACTAACTAATTATGTTTTTTTTAGGAGTTAACATCTTCTGAAAAGATCATTCAACACATTCAAAATGTGCTAGCTAGATTGCTTGTGCAGCTTAAAAATTGGAATATACCTGTCCCTTATTTTATTGAGGCTTTCATTTCAAGAAAAATTTAATATTATTTTGTTTTAAATAATCTTGGTAGAATAAAGTCTATCTTTTCTAATCCTTGTTCTGTAGGTCGGATTCCTCCCTTATCTGCCCATTCTATAACAAGTTCCTTTGGAATATAGTTTGGCATCTCTTTATCCATTATATTATCTTCATTAATGAGTAAATTTAATTGAATAAAAAGATCAAGTGCTTCTTTATCCAAAACCTATTTTTTATATAAATCTATATATTCTGCGTATAAATTATGCTGCCTATTTTCTTTTACCTCATCAAGCTCTCTATCATGAATGAATGTCGAAAATCTTGATCTTGGAATACCCATGCGTGTACGCATACCAAAAACAATAAGTTCCTACGTATATATATAAATGTATGTATTAACCATCAGTATATTCTTAACACATACACACACACACACAAAACGGCTACTTTTCTTTCCAGCTTACATTACCTCAATCATATCATTCATTGAAATAGGAATAACTTTACGGATTCTACATACATTTGTATATGAATATCATACTAGTTTTAAATAATATCCTATTTTAAGTGTATAAATTTACCCTTCGCCTTCTGCTTCACATAGCGCCATATATTTATTTGGATGAAATTCCTATATTTTTATATAACATTTATTTAATACAGTATAACACCTTTTTTTTTTCTTTTCTTTTTTTTTACACCAAATGTCCTGACTCGATTATTATCCTTATAGTTTGTTAATCTTCCATGAGCACCAGGTCCTATACCTTTTATAAACACATTTCTATATTATTTAAAGGAAGATAAGGTAAAAACAAAAAAAAAATAATAATATACAGATAACTAACCTAGAAAATCCATTCCCTGCCAATATGAAAAATTGTGCCGACTTATTGCTTGTTGATTTCTAGCAAAATTGGATACTTCATAATGATAATAACCATATTCTTTTGTTAACTTGATTGTTTCTTCGTACATATCAGCAGCTGTATCTGAATCAGGTATAGAAGGAAGAAGTCCCTTTAAGACCTGTTTATGAAGTCTTGTATTTGAAATTGATGAGAGAATTATTATTGGTGTAATCAAAATAACTTACGGTGTACTTCGTTCTAATGTGAGTTGATAAATAGATAAATGATCTCCTGCAATATCTAATGCTTGCTGAACATGTATAAAATTTAATAAAAAAAATAAAGTTGCTTATTACATTTATATACCTTTAATTCCTTTTTCCAGCCTATATATACATATATACATGTATATAAATATATGTATGTATAATATTTATATAAAATACATGTATGTAGATAGATATTTGTATTTTACCTTGTACTGTTTGTCCAGGTCGAGCAAAGATCATGTCAAAGGAAACTTTTTCTTTATGAAATATATCTTTTGCTAATGTTAATGCTTTTAACGCCTCTTTCCCTGAATGATCTCGACCTAATATTTTTAAATCTTGATCATAAAATGATTGTATGCCTAATGATAATCTATTGATTCCTGCTTGTTTAAACTCAATAAGCTTTAATTGTTCTATAGACTTGAAAAAGAGAGAGAGAGAGAGAAAATGTATTCATGTCATTTACATATATGTATGTGTATGTGTATCTTTATATTTACAGTAGGGTTTGCTTCCATGCTTATTTCTATATTTTTACTTAATCCTACATACTTGTCGATGGTATTCAACAGAGATTCAATTGCTTTTGGCTGAGTAAATAAATTATAAAAATAAGACAGGAAAGAGAAGGTTTCATTCATCTATTTTTTTTTGTCGCTACCCACCTTTGCTAAACCTATAAATAATACTAATAAATAGACTTGTTCAGTATCATCTTTAACAATTTCTTACTCGGTGTCCCTCCACCAAAATAAACAGAATGAACTTTTTTATTCTTTAACCGATAGTGAGGATGATTTAAAAAATATTTTAATTCAGTCATCATGGCATGAACAAGTCGATCGTGAGGGGGATCCATCTTAGGATTCACATATTTATTAAAATTACAATAAGTACATTTACTATGTATATCATTATTATTAATGAAATATGATAATTAGGCTTTTATATCTATAGAAAAAAAAAGGGGGGGTACCTTTCACAGAATGGCCAGTGTATGTAAATGGAAAAAGACTCATTTGTTGAAAAATCTAACAATGTATTTTACAAAAGCTTAAATTATTTTATTTTATTTTATTTTATTTTTTTTCACTTCATTATTTATATGTTGACAAAAACCTCTTCTTTGAATATGTAAAAATGATTGATAAAATTGTTTCGTTAAAATCTTTTGTAGTATCATTTTCCTTTACTATGTATATGACAGCTTATAAAAGAAAGTACAATAAGAGCGAGGAAGAAACTAAAAACAAAAAAAAAAAAAAAAAAAAAATAAACATGTCACCCTAGATTTATAGATGCGACTGTGCAGCAAATACAAAAGAAGAGAAGAATCTCAACAACCACTGTTGTTAAGTTGAAAATTTAAGATCCGATTTGTGGAGTTGTTGTTGTTTCCATGTCTACCATATCCTGTCTGCATAGATATAATAATGTAAATTTTGTTATACTTACTTTTTTATTGCTAGTAATAAAGTGTCTGATGTACATGATCAAAATAACACAGTGGGAAAAACAAAGTATAAAAGTATATGCACGTATTAGATAGAAATATGCTAAAACCAGCATATTGACTTTTATTTACATTCTCGGACTGTATTTTAGTTTAGAACTATAATTTGTAATGATAAGGATAAAGAAGTGATAGCAAAAGAAAGAGGCTATAACGATTTTGAACATTCAAATTTATTTCAAAGAGTGAAAAAACAATTATTATTAAAAGGTTTTAATGATTCTGGTTGCGTTCACAAGCTTGCTGTACATGAACGGTAAAATAAACATGATAAAAGAGAGTTATCGTCAAGTATTAAAAAAACGGTTATTATCACACAAGGCAATATATGAGTTTGAGTGGTCTATTCCAGACTTGAGCATGCAAGATAATAATAACAAGGTTTGGTTACAATTAGACGAACAAACTTCAAATGGTGTTGAACATGTTCGCCCGCTTAGGATTTATCAATCTTGATATAAGAATAGACGATGACTTGACAAATTACATTAACTCTTCTACTCCTTCTGGAGATTTGTCAAAGCCAACTAATATATTAGTTCAAGTGTTTTTTCAACAATAAAATTAAAAATGAAGAGAAAGACGATGTGTATGATTCATTGTTGATCAATTTAGGAAATTACCAACACAATACAAGTTATATGAAGGAACAAGATAAAGAAATACATTTGTTGCGTATGCGTCGGATTCATTAGTGGACAAAGAGCTATAATATAGCTTGTACAGATACGCCTTGCACAAATTAATTTGCATGCATTCATTGTTTTATATTCATCTACATCCTATCTCTCTCTCTTCTCCCATCTCAATCATACTTACTTATACTGCAATAGAATCTTTTACAAGAGCTAAACTAATTTTGCATATAATAGATCGTTCTTGTGTAAGTCATTTTTTTTCCTCAGTACATAAAACCCTGCATACCTTAATCTTTTATTTTCGAATAGAATAAAAAAAAAAAGGAGGTATTCATTGAAGATTTTGACGGATTATTTTTTTTAGACAGGATTTCTCAATACAATTCTACAGTTTATATATACATTTATACATATATATATATATTATATGTATATAGAGCTTAAACCTATAATTTATATATATATATACATACATACATTATCTAATTAAACTAAGTTATAGATCATAACCATGATAATAATATTTTGTTCAATTATGTAAAAACTACTTTGTCTTCTACGAAGAGTCTATCTTTAGAACAACATTTAGCACAAGACCATTTTATTACCATGTATATGGCCACTATGTGGGGGGACAAGATCTGATATTGGCCGGTGGCAATAAGTGCATATTGTTCTGAAGACATACAATCCAGGGTTAAGTGTTCGTATTCATTTAGCAACTTCAAAAGAAGCTCAGATCAAATCAAATCAAATCAAATCAATTATCTTTGGTCAAAACAGTATTTGAATTCATCAAAAACACTACGTTAATCCGACAAGGTTTACTGGATGATTATACTTTATTATTCCTATCATTTCTGGGCTCTTAAAAGCACTCTACATCGGTTGGATTAGCAACTGTAGCAAATTGGATCGAATCAGCAATCAAAGGTGTCAGGAATTGAAAACCGAATAGCTTTCAAATGCTTATTTTTTTTTCTTTTTTACGAGCAGCATCAAGTACAAAAGCTATAGAATTAGGATATTCTATGAAAGACATCAAGAAACATACAAATTGGATTTTAAATTGAAAAAATTTTATTCCAAGCAACCCTCATTATAATCATTATCAAGTATAACCATAAACAACTGGATCTTTTTTTTTTTAAAAAAATATATTGACTAAAGATCTTTATATCAGTTGCACCAAAAATCATATTTTCAAACGTAAAGCGCTGTATAAATAGAAAAGAAAAATAAATTGCCTCAAAGAGTGTGTATTATTTTTTCAGTCTTTGCCTTATTAATTACGGTATCTGCGAGTGTTTCTTTTACTTTTTTTCATATCCTTTTTGTCAAAAACTGTAAATTATATATCAATGACTGCGATAATTATACGGGCAAAAAAAAAAAAAAAAAAAAAAAAAAAAAAAAGAAAAAAAAAATGGTTGGCTGGTTATAATGGGGGGTTTTTTTTTTATTTTTTATTTTCCTGCCCTGATTTTTTATTTATTTATTTGGAACATAGTCATAAACTCTAAATTCACCTAATCTTTTACATGTGTAAAAAAAAAAAAAAAAAAAAAAAAAAAAGGAAAAGAAAAGAAAAAAAAAAAAGTAATTGTCACTACTACTAATTCTATAAATTTGTTTTTTGAGCATTTACTTAGATATATTATATATTCATATAAATATATATTTTTCATTATACCAAAACTTTTTATTATTTATATGGTAAATACAAAATCATTGTGTAATGTTATGATCCTTTTATTTTGCCCGGACTGTAACAAAATACAAATATTTACTTTTTATAGTCGTATTTTCGTTTTTTAATTATTTCTTTTCTTCTTTCTTTCTTCCTTTTGTAATATTTACATAAAATGCCTTCATCACCAGGCCAAATATATTTAAACAAGAATTCGCTTCAAGTTCCTGAAGGACCACCATCGCCAGCTCTATCAACTACTTCATTTATGTCTTCAGTTTCATGGATGGCCGAAAAAACATCTACTGAACTCATTCCTATGCTAAAAAATGCTTACAATGCTTTAAAAGACAAAGAAAAAGGTAGGTAATAAAGTTAGAAATATAAGGCCCAAAAAAAAAAGATATCATATAGAATAGTCTGCGTATACATGTGTGTGTGTGTGTGTGTGTGTGTGTTTAGGCTTTATAGATGTGGAAATTGACCACTTACAATCTTCTTTCATGTGATATTAAAACTTACTCGTTGATTAGACTTAGTACTTGCAGCTGAATTAGGAAAATCGTTATTAGAGCACAATTTACAATTAAAAACGAAATATGATTCTTTATTAAATACAGTTACTCCACCTATTACGCCTTCGTCATCAACAGTACCTATCCAAGAGAAGCAAGTCAATATAGACAATTTTAATACTGATTTGGAAGATGAAGAAAATACTATACGCTTTATACCTTCTCGAGGAACCCGCGAAGCAATGATTGAAGTGCTTGAACGCAAGAATATGGAATTAACAGCAAAACTAGAACAAGCTATAAATGAACAAGATAGCCAATCTCGATTAAGCTTGAAAAAGACCCGTCAACTAGAAAATGAAATTAGCTTGCTTAAAAGTGATCTTCATATAGCAACCGTTAAAATCCAAGAATTACAAGAAATGAATGAGCGACAGAAAATGATAGAGGCAACCATGAATCATGTTGTTTCCAAAAGGAATAAAGATGAAGAAAGGCTTATAGATGAACTCTATATTGAGATAAATAAAATGAAGCAAGAAAGAAACAATATTATTCAATCCAAAAAGGAATTGGAGGTAAAATTAGCTGCCTCTTTAAAAGATCTTGGGGAGCTTAAAGCACAATTTGAAAAAATTGAATTCACACAGCAAGACTTTGATAGACTCAAGGAAGCATATGAACGTCAATTTACCCATATTGATGAGCTTAACCACAGTATAGAAGAACACCGTGCTATCCTTCAGAAGCTTAAAGATAAGGGCATTTATCTTTATTCAGCTTTTTCAACTCCTACTTCGAGCTCTTATAATGACCAGAATTACACAAATGAAATACATGACCCGCTCCAAAGTACATTGCTAAGTGAACTCAAAACATTAGATTGGCTCAAGTTGAATGAAAGTAACATGAGTTCATACAATGAAGATATATTTAGCCATAGATCTTCACCCTATGTTTCAAAAACGTCACCGGAATCTTCTTCAATGCTATTCAACATTTTGGAATTTAAAGAAAAGTCATTGGCAGCAATTTATAATGCACCTTCTATTGACTTTGAAAGTGTTCTGTCTAGAGCTACAGGTATTGATAAAGACATATTAGATGATACAATAAGTTTTATAGACAAGATTGAAAGACAACATTATAAGGAGAAAGCTATGGTTCTTCGTAGTCATTATGAAGACGATGACGTTGAAAGATATGATTTCTCGTGCTTTGATGATCAATATCCATCATCTGATTTGTATCCGCAGACATCAGACATAGAACGGATACAATTTAAGCCAGTTACTATTGATAAGCCCAAAACTTTTGTAGAGCGACTTCGTAATTATATTAAGCAGCTTTTTGATATTATCTGGAAATGGTGTCGATTTACTATGGTTCTTTCTATTGCTCTTTTAATTAATGCATGGCAAGGACCTGAGATTTTATATGCTAAATCGTAACTTTTACTTTACTACATATCCACTTGAATTTATTTCATATTTACAGTCCTTTTCTATTATACATATGCCATATAACTATATGTAAGCCTATACACAACCATTTGATATTTTGTAACTTCAGTATATCCGTTATTACGGACATATATATGTGTATATATGTATACATTTATATTTTTTACATTTATTATTATACTCATATTATATATTATTATACATAATTTTAAGTATGGCCGTATATCTTTTGTTGTCGTCTTTAGTAGAGAGTACTGAATAATAGATACACATTGTCATTTTTTTTTAAAAGCAATTATCAATTATCCAAAATGGCTTTTCTGCTGTTTTCCGCATTTTTGAAAACAAATTTCTTAGAGATTTTAATCTCTTTTTATTCTTGTGTGAAATTTTACTCGTTTGAATATTATTCCTCGTTGTTTGACGACATGGAGAAGCCACTTTGTCCAATGTATCACCATCTTTACTTTTTACCTTAGTGTTAATTGTTATTCCCCCCTTGATATGATTGTTTCTATTATTAGGGGCTGCAACTTTTATGAATGAACTTTCATCCTCTACTGTGGGTCTAGATACATAACTTTGCTGCTCTTTATAAATCCTGAATACATTATTCATTCTATTACAGTCTGTTGAAGATGTAGTGAATGTATTACATATATCAGTATCAGTATCAGTATCATTATCATTGTTGCTTGTACATATTTCTGTTGTACTAATATCATGTGATGACAATGAAGTAATATTGTTATTTGTGTTTGTCTTGTCTGTATAAATCGAGCTAGTAGCGCGTCCAGAAAATTTTTCGCATTGAAAGTCTGGCTGCTGTGTATGATGGGTGGGGTTGTTATTATTAATACATGTATTCAATTTTTTATTATCGTTGTTCATCTTATTGTGTGACATGTAAGGAATGTGCTTTAGATTGACTAATAAATCCAAACTATTCTTGTTCATCAATGATTCATGGTGATATCCTGTAGCAAAAGATGCGTCTTGAATCATTTCCATGTAGGATTGCTGTATCCAGTCAACTGGGCTTGGAGGCTTTTTGAGTAATTTACTGCTTAATTTAGATGAAAGAGTGCTTGGTGGGAAATCGATTGTTATATCGTTCATTTAAAATATCTCACAGTCTGCAGTATGCTTATGTAAAAAAAAAAAAAAATTATAAAAGCAAGAAAAAAAAAAAGGAGAGAGAGAAGAGAGAAGAAGAAAAAAATGTGAAATAAAAGCAAAAGAAAGCTTATAACCTTTATTATTGTTATTGTTTTGTTTTTTTTTTTTGGCTTAATTTTCCTGATTTAGTTATGTTGTCCTTCGTAAGAAGAAGGGAAAAAAAACTAGCTTGTAATACATATTATTGTGTTTTGCTTATGTAAATAGAATCATTAGGTCTTCTAGTAAAATAATCATCATCTTGATATATTTAAAGACTAATCCACCTATATATGATCAAATGTATAATAAAATATGAGGTGAATCATTCTTATATACTCGTAACAGATAAATAAAAAGTTAATAATAATAATAATAATAGACTTATTAATAACTACAAAAATAAATGCTAATTGTTTATTTTAAATATCAAAATATTCTTCATTACAATGGTCACATTTAGGAACCTCTAAAAATTCGTAAAATCTAGGTTTCTCTAAAGGTGGTAATTTTCCAACTGCAGGTATATGACTCTTAACAGTTTCTTCATTATCTGTATCTATCTCTCTTTCATCATCTGTATTGGACCACTCAAAACCATTTTCACTTACAGGACTGAGACCATTGGTCATTAATTTGACTTGTGCTGCATCTAAAGCAGAGCGTCCTAAGCTTAAATCATGCTCATGGTGATTTCGAACCATTTCATATTGTTTCCACATTCTTTCCAGATTTATTTCATATTCTGATCTTAAGCGTTGAATGGTTATCTCTAATTCTTTCTTCTCTCGTTCAATATCACTTTTATCTTTGTTTAATTTAGTTTCGGCATTAAATTGTCTCTCTCGTTGTGCTGTAATTTCATTACGAAGTGTATTAAATGCCTCGTATTGTCTTTCTAATTTTCTTTTTAATTCTTCAGTCTCAGGTGTATCTACTAATCTAGCTTCTAATTTTCGTACTTGTTCACGAAGTTCCTGAATTCTGATTTCACTTTCGTTAGCGTTTAAGCCTTTGTCCTTAGCATCTTCTGCAGCTTCTCTTTTTGTCTTTTCAAGTTCAAATTCTAATTGAGATATATGTTTTCCCTTTTTATCTAAATCATCTTTTAACTGTTGATATTCTTTTTCTACACTATGAAGCCCCTTTACTTGTTGATTTAATTGATCTATTCTTCGATCACGATTTTGTAGTTGTCTTTTAAGATCGTTTAATTGGACTTCTGCTCTTCTGTCATCAGCAGACTTAGGTGTAGTTATAGTATTTTCTTCGTTTATTGCTGCAAGCTTTTTGTGATGTTCTTCTAACTCTGCTTCTTTGGCTTTCAAAACAGACTCAAGCTTCTTATACTGAACATTATTTTGGTTTTTTATTAGCTTCAATTGTCCTCGAAGCTTCTTTGTTTCTTTATCTCGTTCAGCTAATTTTATTTCTAATGCATCAACCTTATCTTGCATTTCTTCTTGAGCAGTGCCGCTAGAGTTATTTTTATAATCATCTGCTTTTCTATTTTCCTTTCTGAGTTCCTCTACTTCTTTTGACTTTTCTTCTAATAAATTCTGTAACTCATTGATACGTAACGTTAACTTGCTTGATTCTTCCTCTTCAGCAGTAATTAATTTTTCATGATTTTGCTTTGTATTAGAGAGTTCTTCATTTAAGGTTTGTACTTGCTTCTTATAATTTTCTAATGAGGATTTTAAATCTGTAATTTCCTCAGAATGAGCCTTTAAAATAGTTGTATTATCTTTCATAGCATCATTCGTCAGTTTCTTCTGATCTTCTAATTGGTTACTCATTTGTTCTAATCTATTCTCAACTTCAGCATGCTTTTGTTTGAGTTCTTTATATCTCTCTAATTCCTCTTGCATTTGAATTTGGTCATTTTCAAGTTTTTGTCTAATTTGTGCTTCCTGCTGTATCTGTTTTTGATATTCAGTAATCTGGGTAGATTGTTGTTCACTTTGTTCTTGAACCTCTGATAATTGGCCCTGCAATAGTTCAAAATCTTTTATTTGTTCCTTTAGTTGCATAGATTCGAATAAAAGCTTTTCCTGTTCAATACTTTGGTCTTTTATTTTTTGATTCAAGGCTTCTAGCTGCTCATGAAGCTGGTTGGACTCAATTTCTTTATTCTTAAACTTTTCTTCAAATTGAGTTTTTATCATATTCAGTTCTTCTGTATGACGTTCTTGCTGTTCTTTAAACTGATCAAGGACACCTGCGTTGTTGGCAATTTGTTCATTACGTTTTTGCAAGTCAAGTTTTACTGAATTTATTTCGGTCATACTTGTTTCCAACTTATTTTCTAGTTCTTTATTTAATCTTTCAGCTTCTGCTAATTTGGTATTTAGTTGATTATATTCATCCTCTTTTTTACTTAATTCGTTTTTTGTAGATTTTAATTCTTCAGTTTCACGTCTTAGTAAGGGAACCACCTTTTCTAATTTGGTTATTTGTTGCTGATAAGTTGTTATTTGGTCTTGGACTTTAACAAGATCGTCCTCTTTGGTGCTCAATTGACTTTTCAAGTCTTCTATTTCTTGATTTGATTTTTCAAGTTCAAGAGACTTCTTTTGTAATACACTCTGATTATCTTTTTCCTGATCTTCTAATTGCTTTTGAAGCCTATTTAAATTCTCCTCAATTTCAAGTACTTTCTTACGTTCAATACTTAATTCTTTGGCACTTGATTCAAGTTGTCTGGATTTCTCTTGCACATCGTTAATGTGTTCATCTTTGAGACGCTTAAGTTCTTCGATAGTTTGCTCTAAATTATTTGCATTCATACGTTCAGTCTTCAGTTGTTCATCAAGAGAGACAATATCCTTTTCTAATTTTTCCACATTAAGAGCATAAGATTTGATCTCATTCTGCTTCATCATATCCAAGTTTTCAAGTTTAGTTTGAAGATCATTTGCTTTTGTACATTCAGCTTGAAGCTCTGATTTTACAGTAGATAATTCATCATTAAGGGAAGAAACTACACTTTTATGTTTATTCAATTGTTGATTTCTAGATTGCTCAATTTCCTCAATTTGATGTAGTAATGTATCAGCTTTAGCACGCTCAGACTCTAAATCATTCTTCGTGTTCGTCACTGTCTCTTCAAGCTTAGTGATAGTCATTTTAAATTCCTCTGTATCCTTTTTCTTTTGTATGTCTAAATCCTCAAGTTTACTTTGCAATTCACCGCTCTTGGTGTGCTCTAACTGAAGATCAGATTCAAGTTTAGAAAACTCTTTTTGAAGTGTATTGTAATTTTCATTCTGCTTTTCTTTTAACTGTGTGAGCTCTTCAATTTGTTTTTGCAAACTATGAGTCTTATTGCGTTCACTATCAAGTTCAGCTTGCAAAGTTGAAGCTGAGTTTATCTGTTTCTCTCTTTCATCCTTTAAACTATTTATTTCAGTCTCTAGCTCTACTAGTCTTGTAGATTTTGATTTTAATTCTGCTTTTAAATTCGTCAATTCTTCTTTTGATTTTTCTAATATTTCAATTTTATCATGTAGTTCTTTATTTGTATCCTCTTTTTCTGATAATTGGTTTTGCAAAGACTCTATTGTAACTGTATCCTCTTTGACAGTTGCTTCCAATTCATTCAGTTTTGTAGATTGTTCATTCATTTTAAGAGTCTGCTGTTCGAATTCATTTTCAAGCTTTGATTTTTGGATTTTGATCTCATCAAATTTGGCATTTTGATCTTCTAATTTAGCTTGAATATCATTCAAAGTATTATTTTGTTCCTTGTATAAAGCTTCAGATTTTATTAGGTTTTGTTGCAATTCAGCAGCCTTAGATTGCTCTGTTTTAAGGGCATCTTCAGTCTTTGATAATTGTTTTTTTAACTTGGAGATGGATTCTTCATGTTCTTGATTCTCCTTTTCTTTAGTTGATTTTAATTCATCTAATTGGGACTCTAAATTTTTAGTTGAAGAGCGCTCAGATTGTAATTCGGTTTTGATGGATGTAATCTCTTGTTCCAATGATACTTTATTTTCTTCAAACTCTTTAATTTTTGCTTTTAATTCATCCATCTTCTTTGTTTGCACAACTAATTTCTCCTTTGTAGTAAACATCTTCTTTTGAAGTTTACTCATTGCTGTAGCATGTGCTTCATCATTCTTTTGCTTAGAATCAGTTAATTCATCAACCTGAGATTGCAGATTATTCACCTTAGCACGTTCAGATTCAAGCTCTTGCTTTGCTTCAGAAATACTACTTTCGAGATCACTTGTGCTGGATTTCAATTGTACTACCTTAGCATTTAGTTCATCAATTTCCTTATTTTTAGATTGCAATTCATTGTCCAGCTTGGAGCGTTCATTTTCTAACTCTTGCTTTAACTCTTCTGACTCTTTCTCAAAGTCAGCAATTTTAGAAGCAAAATGGTCAGCCTCCTTCTTTTGTAGTATATTTAAGTTTTCAATCTGGGTCTGTAAATTATCTGCTTTGCTGCGTTCATCTATAAGTTGTTGCTTCGTTAAAGACAATTCCTCCATTGTTGTTTGATTACTTTGTTTGTGCTCGTTAAATTCTAGCTGGAGAGCTTCGGCCTTTGAGCGATGCTCTTGAAGTTCGTCTTTTGCTTGAGATAATTTCTCTTGAAGTTCAGTCACAAATAGTGTATGCTCATCTGTTGATTTTTTCTTCCAAAATTCTAATCTTTCAATCTCGGCTTGTAGTTCACCTATTTTTGTACGTTCTGCGGTTAAAGTATCATTTGTAGTAGACCATTTAGTTTCCATCTCTTTTATTTGATCTTCAAGTTTCTTTTCTACTACTTTAAGCTCATTCGATTTTGTACGTTCAGATTCAAGTTCTTCCTTCATAGTCACTAGTTCCTCTTCCAGCTCTTTAACATTCTTTGCATGGTCTTCAGCATCTTTCTGTTTCATCTCATTTAATTCTTCAATTTTACTCTGTAAATCTGCTGTTTTTGAACACTCAGTTTCAAGCTGCTCTTTTACAGATATCAAGTCCTTTTGTGCATTTGTTGATGATGCTTTATATTTTTCTAGTTCTACTTTTAAAGCATCAGCTTCATCTATCTTCGTTTGAAGTTCATTAGCCTTTGTTTGTTCAATTTGAAGTTCAGACTTGATAGAAGCTATCTCTGCTTCTAATTTAGTTTTAGATAATGCAAATGAATCTTCTTCTTGTTTCTTCAATTCATCCATGGTTTTTAATTTAGATTGTAAATCATTTACATTTTTTCGTTCATTTTCTAGCGACTCCTTAATAAAAGATAATTCCTTTCGAAGAACATCTGCAGAGTCTTTGTGTTGTTCAATTTCTTCCTGCTTACATTTTTCCAAAGTTTCCAACTTGGATTGCAAATCAACTACTTTTGCATGTTCACTGTCCAGTTTCTCCTGTGCAGACGTTCTTTCTTTCTGGTAGGACTCTTCCATTTCCTTTATTTTTACTTGCAATTCGTCATATTTTTTATTTTCATTTTCAAGCTTGGACTGGACATCATTTAGGGAGCTTTTTAAATCATTTGTAGTTGATTCAAATTCAGTCTTTTCTTTATTCTGTTGATTAATTTTTGTTTGCAATTCTTCTATTGTCGTATTAGAAGATTTTTCTAGCTCCAATAACTTTGTATGTTCTTCTTCTAGCAAAGACTTTGCTGTCATCAGCTCTTCTTGAGCTTTTGTTGAAGCAAGCCTTTGTTGATTCAAAGCTTCATCTTTTTCTAACTTTAATTGCTCAACTTGCGCCTCTAACTGATTTACCTTTTCAAGCTCTGATTTTAAAGACTCATGGGTTGATTTCAGTTCATGTTCATGGTCCTCAATAAGTGATAATTTCTGTTTATTTAATTCCTCCAACTTTTCTTCCAAGTCTTCATTTTTACTCTTTTCAGCTAAAAGCTTCTCTTTTATAGAAGATAATTCAGTTTCAAGAGTAGATGCTTGACTATTGTTATTTTCTTTTAATTCTTCTATTTCAGACTGATATTTTTTTAAAGTTTGCTTTAAATTCGTTAGTTCTTTTTCATAGCTATCTGTTTTAGCTTTGCTTTCAGTCGTCATGCCTTCTAATTCCTGTTTATGTGTAGTAGCCTAATATGGGAGGAGGGGGGGGAGAAATTAATAGTGGGATTAGTTTTTTTTTTCTTTTGTTCTTTTTAGGCTACATTTAAAATTTAATTTCTATATTCTGTATATACAAGAGTTTGATTTTCCAATTCAAGCTTCTTAATTTGTTCTTTCAAATTATCAATTTCATGTTTATTGTTATTTTGGTCTAAATTTTGCATAATCTGTTGTTCAGAGGTTCCTAATTCAGGTGTTGTAACTGGTTCATTACTAGTGAACGAATCCTCTTGTGGTGAATCTTTGGTTATACTTTTTTCACTTGTTATGCTTGAAGTCTCTGCATTATGCTCTGCTTTTTTATCTTGGAATTTTTTCAACTACAAAACGTGTTAATTAGGAAACCAAAAAGGGAGATGGTATTTCTGAAAAGAAGCAATATTTTGTACCCTTTTTTTAGCAGCAGCCAGCTTTGCCTTTCGTGCCTGGTCCTCTTCAGTAGACATGTAAGTTGGTTTTAATTTTTAATACAGAGAAAGGTTTGTCACCTCTTTTTTTTTTTTTTTTTCTAAAAATAAATCTTTATTTGAAATTTTTGTTTCCCCTTCCCAATGGATAAAATAAAAATTATTGTGAAAGTTTATTTTTTTTCCTAGTGAAGAAAAAAAAAAATAGCCTGATTCAATTTAATACAACAATTGAACCTTGCGTTATATAGTAACTTATTTTATATACTTGCATATTATTATTACAGCAACTGCTTGGGTGAAATATAGTTATTCACTACTTTACTTGTTTTTAGAAAATAGGGACACGCTGAGTGTAATATGATGCTTCTATTATAACGTTTGTCTTCTTAATAATAATAATAAAAAAAAATCTATATATGTACAGTATACTACTCTATAGGATATCATTCTCTATTAGAGCTTCTTTCTTTCATTTACTATTAAATCACGTCTAATTTCTTTATTTTTAAGTTTGCCTCTTAAACAAAATAAATAAATAAATGAAATGGTAGAATTGAAACTATTATTGACAGATACTTTAATGTTATCGTAAGTTAACCTTGATATCTCAACACATCTTTTCCCTTTCCCCTCTCTTTCTTCTTGCAATTTAAATCAGGCTTTGTAGCAGTTAATGACACTTGACTTGTTGTAATATAATTGACCGCAGTAGAATTGACCGCAGTATAATAATCTACCGCAGTGATAATCGACAGATTTGCTTGAATTATCTAACAGCCAATAATAAGGCACTTTATATATTTATATTTATATAGAAGGAGAATGCATAATTTTTTTTTTCCTTTTTTTTTGATTTTTTAAAGAAAAAAAAAACAAATATAGAATCAGATGCCTTACACATTTATTCGAAAAGTAGCCTATAGTGGAAAAAAGAAAAGACAGCAGTTAAAAGAAAAAAATGCAAGGAAATTAGAAAAAGGTATGTTGACTATTATAGTTAATGTGATTCCTTTTTTTTTTGACATTGCTAATGTGTGTTCATTTCGGTATAGCAAATCTTATGGATACTAGTTCTTTTGATTATTTGGCAAAGAATAATAAAGAACTACCTTCTTTATCCAATAACTTTGTACCAGCATCCTTAGAGCCAAGTGAAAACTCGGTTGAGACTCATTTCAATACTGATAATAATGGCAGGTAAAAAAAAAAAAAAAAAAAAATAGAACTAAATGTTTTAAAAATAAAGTCACTTACTTTTATCTTCAAAGCAAAAGACTCGTTTCAGTATTTGAAAAATTAAGTAAACAACAAATCGAAAAGGAAAAGTTAAAAAGTATGCAACCTTTAAATCGATTACCTAAGGTATTATGAATTGATACAAGTGACATGAACAAAAATTACTTAAATACTATATCTAGGATTGCCTCGAAATAAAAGTAGATGAGTTTGATAGATATATTGATTTTCCTAAACGACCTGCTTGGAATTATGACATGACAAAAGAAGAAATTGACAAACAAGAACAAGACTACTTTAATAACTGGCTGAAAGCTACAGAAGAAAAGTATGATGGAAAAGAACTAAGTTGGTTTGAACGTAACCTTGAAGTATGGCGTCAACTGTAAGTAAGATAGCATCCTTACAAATACAAAATTGACTTACCTAACTTCACAATGTAGATGGCGAGTACTTGAAATAAGTGATGTTTTAATTATTATCATGGATATTCGAAATCCTTTGTTGCATTTTCCTCGTTCCTTATATGAATATATCACCCACATATTAAAGAGACCCATTATTGGTATATTTAACAAAGTAGATCTTGTCTCTGAATTCACTGTATTCTGTTGGAGAAAGTATTTCGAAGAAAAGTATCCAAATTTACGAATTACAACCTTTAGCTGCTATCCTCGAGATCCTAAACTAATTAATGACACAGCCATATGTAAGGACTTGATAGTACTCAAACGATGTATGTTACTTACGTATATAATTTAGATGCTTTAAAAAAGCAAACTAAGCGACCTAAAAAACGTTACTATCATGCACAAGGTGTTCAAGATATGTTATCTGTTTGTAAAGATATTGTTCATAAATCAGAAGTTGCAGTAGATTGGAAATCACTTATAGATTCTTACGATGAAAATAATATGGATAAAAGTGAAGAGAGTAGTGACAGTGACACGGATAGTATGGATGGTCTAGGTAAACCTAGTTATACAAATATATATGTATGTATGTATGTATTAACTTTATGTGTGTTAATGAAGATGATGAGTTTGGTGCTATCTTTGATATTACAGTTCGTGAAGTTCATCCTCATAAAAACTATATTACCTTGGGTTTGATTGGACAACCTAATGTTGGTAAAAGTAGTTTGATCAACAGTATAATGAAGAAAACCGTAGTCAGCACGAGTCGTACTCCTGGTCATACAAAGCATTTTCAAACAATTCATATCACTGATCATGTTAGACTTTGTGATTCACCTGGTTTAGTTTTCCCAGCATTCATTCCTAAATCTCTTCAAGTAATTATGACCTAACTATTAAAAAAAAAAATGGTATCATTAACATTTTCTTTATTGTATAGATTCTGTCTGGTATTTATCCAATTTCTCAGGTGCAAGAACCTTATAGCTCTATACGCTATCTTGTAAATTTCGTATTGATATTATTACAAAATGAATCATACTAATATGTATCTTCAATTAGGCGGAACATATTCCCTTGGAAAAAATACTTTCACTTATTCCTCCTGTCGATTTGGATGAATTAGAAGAATTTCAATGGTCTGCATGGTCTATATGTGAAGGTAGGATGATAAGTAAAGATCAAAATTTATATTCTTTGCTAACGAATCGTCACTTCTTAATAGCCTTTGCCATACAAAGAGGATTTCATATTGCAAGAACAGCTGATCCAGATATCTATAGAGGTAACTTTCTTGACTTTTCTCTTCTCCTTTGTTAATAACAAAAATATATGTATATGCATATATATATTTTATAGCTGCCAATACTATTTTACGCCTAACCACAGAAGGTAGAATTCTTCTTTCTTTTAAACCACCCGGGTTCTTTTCAAGTACCAAATATGAAAGATTAAGGGTAAAAGAAGCAGATATGAAGGAAAAAGAAGAGAGTGAGAAAGAGTTGAAGAATTTTAATTCAGAGGATATAGAATATAATTCTGGAAAACAAGATTTATTATTGATTTCAAGAGGTGCTTTTGGTGCTTTACTATCTGATTCTGAATGATGACTGAATTTAAAAAAAAAAATCACCATCTATGTATTACATAACCTAACATAATAAATACCCATTTTTATCGATGGATATCTCTCTCCCTTTCTCTTTCTATTCTGTATATAAATAAATATCATAAATAATTACAAGCATCTACATATCTATTTATTTATACATATATAAAAGAAAAAAGTAAAATAAATATGGGTCTCTTTAATGATGATATTCAAAAGACCTCTATTTCTTTATACATCGGTAAGGACTTTTTTTGTTTGTCTTTTGAGAGAGTATTAAAATAGACTGACTGACTGATTGATTGATTTATCTATTTTATTTTATTTTATTTTTAAGAGAGATTATCTAATCTTGATGAAATCGATTGGTACCTTTTAGAACAATTAAGCGAATGTATTCAAATGCAAGAAAATGGGCCAAGAGAAGCTATTGAAACAATCAGAAAAAAGCTTAAACATGGCGATACTCAACAAAAGTTAAGGGTTCTTGAGGTAAAAAAAAAATCATGTATGTTTAAGGATGAATTTGTATTGATATTCTTAATGTGTAGGTTCTCAAGTTACTTATGGAAAACAGTAATCAACAATTTCGTAGTAAGTTAAAAATTTAGAATAAAACAAAAAAAATATACATATACAGATATATGTGTATTTTTATATATATAAAAGGGGCTATATTATTTATAAAAGAGAATAGGACAATTTATTGCCAATGAAAAGATGAAAGAAAGATTTGAACTTATTCTTGTATCCCCAGTAAGTGTGTTTATTATGAAACCAACAATGAAATAACGAAGAATCATTGATAGGGTGAAAATGCTGCAGTTAAAAAAGAACTTGTTTCACTTTTAGGCGCATGGTTAATCAAATACAAGAATGAAGCAAGTATGAAATCTTTAAGGGATTTATATGAAATGGGGATAGGTAGACGACATGTAAGTCATATCAAGTGAACAAACAAACTAGAATAGAACCATGTTTTAATTATTCATATAAACTAGAGTCGACCTAGAGCTAATACAGATACAGTAAATCATCAAAGACCTTCCATACAACCACCCAGTCATAGACAAACTGACACATCTCCTTCACCTCCTTCAACTATCAATGACAATAGACGTGCACTATTACCTGTTTCAGGGCCTAGTGAAACAGTTGAAAAACCGAAAAATACAAAACCACGTAGTCATAGTTCAGCCCCTAGAATAAATCATTCATCTTCAACGACACCTACGAGAGTTTTTAATTTTGAGAAGGCTAAATCAAAGATCCTTGAAGAGATCGCAGTTGCCAATAGTAATTCAAATAATTTAATAAATGCACTCAAGTTGATAAACACGAATGAGGATAGATGGGAGATTGAGTTACAACATGATAAACGTCTACAAGAATATCATGAAAAATGTGAAGAATCAAGACGAATTATTGTGAGATATGCACGATTAGTAGAAGATGAAGAATGGATTGGAACATTATTAAGCACAAACGAAGAACTTTTAAAGGCTTTGGATATGTATGATATTATGTTAACTGGTGAAATACCTGCTGTTTGGTTGAATCAACAACAACAACAAAGTCTATTCTACTGTGAACCACTAAAAGCAATTCGTGCTCCTCCACCACCGCCACCTCCCACAACTTTACAAATTGAAACCTCTTTTTCAAATATGCAATTAACAAAAAGAAAAGAGAAGGAAGAAGAAGAAGAAGAACGCGACCCTTTTGCAGATCCAGATACACCTATTGATGAGGATGAGAATCGAAGGTAATATTAAAAGAAGAGAGAGAGAAAAGGAAGATATTCAACTTGAATAGCTGCTAACATGACTTTTTTTTTATACAGAGATTATTTATATTAAAGGGATCTACATTATGTAATAATAAAGACAAATTATACGCGAAAAAAAAAAAAAAAAATTATGATACAGACTGAGATAATTATTTAATATAGCTGGGGAAAGGGAAAACATCCATTATTAAGATAAAAAGTCGGAGTCACTTCTGAAATATTGAGACTTCATATCTTTGTTGTTTTAAAGCAATAAACTGCAGTGAAAAGAATTGAAACATGACAATTTTAAGACAAAATATTGGTATATGAAATCATACATGCTTCTTTTTATTTTATTTTTCGATAATGAGATATTGAAAGTCACTTTATTTTAAATATAAAAATTGAAGGCTTATAATTCAAAATCCGCTTTTGGTTGTTTTACTATTTTTATATTACAAACATACATAACACACACAATCAACACAACAAAAATTCACGCTTATTAAAAGCTTAAATCCCACACGACGTAAACGTACATATAAAACTTTTTTTTTTTTTTTCGTTTCTTTTTTTTTTTTTCTTTTTTATATACTTCATACTTTCTTTTTCTATTTTTTTTTTCTCTCTCTCTTTTTTTTTTCATTTTTTTTTCTCCATTCCTTTTATTATTTTTTTTTTATTTCCTTTTTACTTGATGGATACCGAATCTAGTAAAGACACACCAATAAAGAGTTGGTGGAGAAAGGTCACACATAATTCAAACAATAAGCCAACTTCTTCTCAAAAGCAAGGTAAAATGAGAGAGAGAGAGAGGAAGGATTAATATACATGTGTATGTTATGTGTTTATTAATCGATAGAATTTATAAAGAGGATCAAATCTTTGGTGTCCCCTTGCAAGATAGTTTACGTTGTGCTCGAGCTGCTATTGCTTATGTCGATAATGATATTCAATATGTTGGTTTTATTCCTGTCATTGTTGCTAAATGCGGCTCTTTTCTTAAAGACCAAGGTAAATTAAATGTCACTTTTTTTTTTTTTTTTTTTTATGGAACCCAAAAAAAAAAAAAATTAATCTCGGCTGTCTTTTTTATTATTGTTAAATAGGTCTTTATACTGAAGGTGTGTTCCGTATGAGCGGCAGGTAAATGTCTTTCTTTTTATTTATTTATATATAGAATAAAAAAAAAATAGCAGTTATTTATATCTATTGTATATGTAAATCTTCTCTTATTAATGTATCTCTCTCTTTTTTAAATATAATTAGTGCTAAAAGAATTGGTCAACTACAACATATATTCAATACACCACCTGATTATGGAAGACAATTAGATTGGAAAGGCTTTTCAGTACACGACGCTGCTAATGTTCTTCGACGTTATTTAAACTATTTGCCTGAACCAGTCATTGTACATCAACTTTATCAACCTTTTCGCGATGTTATTTTAACAGATAATACAAGTGATGAGGAAAAAGTGTCTCAGTTTCAGAGTTTGATAGAACAATTACCAGAACATCATCAGTATCTTTTGTTTTATTTGTTGGATTTGATTTCACTTTTTAGTCAAAATGTGCAAATTACGAAAATGGATACATTTAATCTTGCTTCAGTTTTTACACCTGGTATGCTTTTGAATCCAGAACATGCATTAAATCCAGCTCAATATAAAACATCACAAAGGGTAGTTCAATTTTTAGTAGAACATCAACATTGTTTTAAGATGCCTCGATCTTCTCGTTTCACTATGCTTAATCAACAACAAAAAGAAACAGAAACTGAAACAAAGGATCAGCATAATGAAATCTCAAATACAACTGAAACTGTCACAAATAACATAACCATCACAACATCACCTCTTTCTGCACCTCATCGTCATAATAGTCATCCCACGTCATATAACACTACTCATACTTTCAACACTACTAATACTAATAATAATACTAATAATAATACTATTAATAATACCTCTAATCACCCTTATCATCATCACCATCATCATCATCATCATCAGAAATCAGTGGATTGGACAGGTATCTTGGCATCTTCATCAAACTCATCAAGACCTTTGTCTGTTATCATGTCATCCGGTAAAGAACAAAGAGTAAAGAGAGCAAAGACAATGCCTTCAAGGAGATCAAGATATGGTCCTAATGATCCCTTACAAATCGTTCAACTTAACAGATCCATCATTGAAGCTGGCCATAATAAATAATCATATTAGTATAGTCCTTTATATAGTTTTTTTTTTCTCTCTTTTATACGCTTACATTTATAGTTAAATCTTTCAATTATATACACATACAAATATATTAAAATAAAGAAAAAAAATTTGCAATTGAAGCAAAAAGAAAAGAAAAGTTTATTTTGATAATTGATAGTAGTAGTATAAAAATGACATAAATAGGACTAGGTTTATTTGATAAAATACATAATGCACATATGAACTATACAATAAAGTAATAATAACAGAAAGAACATGCTACCATACAATTATTCATCCACTTGAACACACATGTCCTTATACGCGAATGTAATAGATTTAATATTGAGGTTCAATACAAGTCTCTTACTTGAAAACAGCATGATACTTTATTAACTGGATGACACCACCATACGTTTTTTTTTTGCACATTATGTAATTATAAAAGTGAGCCTTATAAAGAAACGTATAGAATACATTCACTGTTGAATAATAAAGTATATATAAATATATATGTATATCTATATTACTTTAATACATAATAGTGTACGTTACTTGAGGTGGGTTCTGTATGTATGTATAGCTGCTCTCTTAAAAAAATAAAAGAGAGAGAGAGAGAGAGAAGGTCACAAAAGCCTCTTAAGAGTCAAGAAGGAATCAGAGACAGTATGAATATACTAGTCTATTACGAAGATAACCAATTACATCAACTTTGAAACCAGGATGAATAGGAGGAAGAAGCGTTTGATGAAACAGATAATTTATTTTATGTAGAATGAATGATACAGATAGTTGCGGCGACTTTGGGTTTCTTTAGAGGCAATTGATGAAGGATAAAGGGAATCGGATCATAAATGGTTAGTGACATATTATAAACCGACAGAGCATATGGAGACATTGAGTAGAGCATTCACGAGTAAAACTCTCATATGGACGGTAAGGACATAACCGAGGAACATCACCTGGAAGCCAACACAAGATGCCAACAAAGGGCTTGACTATGCTCATTGTGGGTCATTGGTAACCCTAGTTATTGGGATTCTGTTTCAAAGAAAGGGCGGCAAAGATAATCAAACCTATTTTCTAAGAATTGTCGGTGAAGCTGCTTAAAAGTACGATAATTTTGGGGTATTTAATACAAAAAAAAAAAAAAAAAAAAAAAAAAAAAAAAAAAAAAAGAGAGAGACGCGTTAGGATATTAAGAATAATGTTGTTTTGATGATCCCTTTTTTTTTTTTTTTTCTCTTTTTAAAAAAAGGGAATGAGTAATAGAATACTAATGTTTAAAAAGAAGATATGCAATATCATTAGAGTGAAATCAATCAAAATAATTGTGAGTCTTCAGTTGTGCACAAACAAGTGAGCATTAAAATTAATGTTTCATATCAGCTACTAAATGCAAAGATTGTGAGCAAAGATGACATTTTTCAAAACGTAGTAAAAAAAAAAAAATGTGAAAAAGGTTGAATCTTCTTCATTTATTCAAGGTATTTCATTCCCCTTTTATTAGACAAATTATTATTTAAATTAGTTGGTTTTAAAAGAACAAAAATGAGCGAATTAGAAACAAGCATATTGAAGCAGCAAAAGAAAAGAGCCAAAATAGAGAATAGTACTGAAAAGCAAGTCTGCACTAGTTGTCATAAGAATGGATATAATAGATCCAAGTCTCCTTTATGCCCTAACCATAAATATAACAAAAAAAAACGAAGAATTAAAAAAGTTGCTTGGAGATTATGCAATGGTAACAAGAAAGATAAAACTAGGAAACCATTCTACGGCCACAACACAAGAATATCATTACAATCAAAATCTTGAAGGTGTTAGAGGATATCCCATTCTTGAATGCTTGTAAATCATTATATAATTAACATATCCAAACCAAATCGATAGATGATAAAACCTATAATATGATTGATAAGAGAGCCCTTACACACAATTTTTGGTATTTCGTTTCTCTTTTGGTACCAAAAAATTCCAACGCTATTCCTAGCGACTTACTGGAAGAATGGAATAATAAAAGAGACAAGGTAAAATGAATACATGTATTTTGTAAGTGATAATATACTTATTGTGTAGTGAACGATAAAGGAGTATATGCTGGACACTAAAAACCCTTAATCAAGATGAAAACTTCAGTTATAGCATTTGAGCATGGAATATTCAATGAAAATACCGTCAAGTTTAAAGGTGTTCAAACAGGAGCCACCAGCATAGGGTGGAAAAAAAATTGTTGAATAGACAAAAATAGGGTACCTTTTGTGGATGAATTTAGAACTTCCAAAGCAATAAATTATTACACCTTTAGTTAACTCCAATTTAACATGTTTGCTTTTATATAAATTTAGACTTGTCATTCATACTTTAAAAGAAATCTTATGTCTTCAATAATAGGCTATCATGGTGTCTTAGCTTCCAAAAGCTGCGGGATACTGTGGCAACATAAATGCAATGCCGCAAAATATATATACATAAATATATATTTATCGAATCTCTAATGAGATACTAACTGTTCAAGAATATCTCTCTGTATTCTCTTACCGCCTCGAACATGGAGGGTTTTCTTGATAGGAAATTTAAATTCTTACAGGTAAACATGTTTAAAAACTAGTTTTATATTGTCTAAATCTAAAAATATTGAAACTAGTCTACACTTCATTCGAAAATACTATAATTAAATGTAGCTAGATTTATACTATTTCATATTCCTTTTCTTTTTTTCCTCTTGACTCTTAAGAGGTTTTATTACCTTCTCTCTTTTTTTGTTTTAAAAAAAAAAACTGTAACTACACCTTAACAAAAAAAAAAAAAAAAAAAAAGCTGACGTCATCATTCACTTGTATTTTTTTTTTTCCTTTTTTTGATTCGAATCTTAAAAAGGGGCGACTAGGTTATTTTATTGTTTTTTTTAAAAAAAAAATAATAATAAAAAATAATAACAATCTCATTTTAAACAAAAAACAGAATTTTATAATTAGCAATGCCTGTTTCTAGAATCGTTAGTTCTCCTCATTTTTCTGTCATTTCAGTCGAGAAAGTCTTTAAAGTGTAAAATAAACAATATCAATTTTCTAAATAAATCATAAATTTATATGTATCTATGTAGTTTCCCTAACCTTGCCACATGGGGTGTTGCTGCAGGAAGTGCTGTACTTCTTTTAGGTTCTGATGTTCCTTTAGTTAAAAAGGATCTTTTAAGTAAAATTCCTATTGCTGGTAGCTATTGGGCCATTGCTGAAGAACAATAGATTTATCTGCAGTCATAGTGTTTTATAATGATTAATAAACGGCTTGCATATTTATTTGTATAATAGAATTTTTGTTTTTATATAAATATGGATTATATTGAAAGGCAAGTAAGTTGTGTAGAATGAAATGAAACGAAAACATACAAGGGCAAGGAGAAAATGTGAGGCTGAATTATTTTAAATTATAACTTCTTTACTTTATTTCTCCTTGTCTGTCCTTTTTCTTTTTTTTTTTTTTTCTTTCACTTCTCCCTCTTTCATCTATTCAAAAAAAAAATTTAAATTCATTGATCTTACCTAAAATTAGATTAAGAATCAAAGGACTCCTTTCTACTTTTCTCCTGAAATACATAAACAAGTTTCTTTATAATGAAGTTCCCCTTGAATGTGTTCTAATATAAATATATAAATGGATTGTCTTTTGTTGTATACTCTTCTTTTTTTTTCTTTAACACATACACGCATATATATATTTATATATAAAAAGGAGGGGCAATAATAATGTTATTACCTTTGATTTCAATTGGCTCTTTAATAGCTCTGTCAACGTTAAGAGTTCAAGCATATTATGTTCAGCCTAAGCCATCATTCATTCGTCGTGATATGCCATCATGTACAGATATGAATTCTGATTTTACCAACTCAATAGATGGTTGGGTCTTACAATCAGGATCTACTAAAGAGAATTACGAAATTACTTCTGAAGGTCTTCAATTAAAGCTTCTACCGCCTTCCGAATATATTCGTTTAAAAGACGAAGAAGGTGAGTAGTAGATGAATAGCAATCCTAGATAGAGTGAATTAAATATACATATTTATTAGGACTTCCGTATAACAAGTATGAGGGATCAGGTTGTACATTCAATGCAACTACTTATATGCAATATGGAAAATTCTCTGCCACTGTAAAGGCTGCAAAGGTACCAGGAGCTGTTACTGCTGTCATTTTAATTGCTGATAATGGTGATGAAATTGATTTTGAATTATTAGCTAATCCCAAAAATCAAATTACGTAAGTATTATAGATATACATACATAACACACATCTATGTATATGTGTATATAAATAAAAAAAAAATATTCATTGTTAGATCAAATTACTTTTATGGTCCTAATATTGTATACGGGAAAAATGGAAAAGAAATAAATGCACCTAATGGAAGCGTCTTCAATGAATTCTATAAATATACAATTGAATGGTAAAGACGATTAAATTCTTCACTTCATTCATTTTGATTTATTTATATACATGTTCATTTGTTGTGTACAATACAGGTCTCCCTCAGAGATTAAATGGTTTATTAATGATAAAGAAATTCGTACAAAAACTCGCTTGTCAACTAAAAATGGAGATACTTATGAATACCCCACCCATCCTGCGTAAAGTATCCAAACATTTACTTTTATTCTGCAGATCACTAATTTATATATATATCTTAAACATGTATATAAATGTATACATATACATATATATATATATATACAGCCGTGTTCAATTTGGTCTTTGGGATGGTAGTAGTTCAAGTGGAACTGCTCAGTGGGCTCATGGGCCTATTGATGTAAGTGATATATATATATATATATATATATATGTATTCAATAATCTAATATCCTCTATTATAGTGGAATAAACAGAAAGAGCCCATTACAGCATATATTAAGAATGTTCAAATTACTTGTAATCCAAAGTATAATAATATTAAAAATTAATATATTCTGATAGTATCTATACATCTATACATCTATACATCTATACATATATATGTGTGTATGCTTATTTTGCTATCTATGTTAATATATCCATTTATACATATATAAACATAATTTCATCTCTCTTCATAAACGTTTATTTTATTTTATTTTATTCATATAAAAATGGCTAAATTCTGTTGTATATTGCTATGGCTCTTTTAATATCTTGTTCTAGGTTTAATAATATTATTATTATTTTTCTTTTACAATTGGATTGGACTTCTGAATAATAAGGATATTAATGTATTGTTCAGATTTTGAAGAAAAAAATGGTTATTTTATTCTATCCTATTTGTGCTCTATATATAGACACTCATGTTCATATAAAATCAGCAATTCTTTCAGATTTTACCTGCACAAGGCCATTTGAGACTATTTCTCTATAGCTTTCCCTACTGAGGAAATGAAAAAAAAAAATAAAAAAATAAATTCTCTTTAAAGTCTCTTTATTAATATCAACAATAATAATATACTTTGATTATCATTTATACAAGAGAATATTATTTATATATGCATGTATATAGATAGATCTTTGCTATAAATCGCAATAGTAAAAATGGAGCCTATACAACGATTACTGTCATCATAATAGTGTATGTGTACTTTTATTTTTTTTTTTTTTAAAAAAAAACAAGTGTAATCTAATTTGATATATTGAAAGAGTAAGGCTAAATGCAAATATCAAATCTGATTTGTAGCTTATCTTGTAAAAAAACCTTTTCTGCAATTTATAAACCCAACTTTTCTATAGATCTTTTAACATAATTTTTGTTTGTTCTTTTCATATTATCGTTTTCTCCTTCACATAACTGATAAATAAACATATTTTTAGTTAAGAATTAGATCATGTACCTGATCATATCAAAGCCTTTTACAATTTCAAAACACATACACACACACACACACAAATATATATATACATATACAGTAATATAAATAAAAATTTGATTACAAGTAGTTTATCATATGCAGATCATTTCAATTACGTTCATAATAACTTAATTTTTGTTATATATGCATTTCATTCCTTTCTTTTAAATTTACACATATTTTAGTATGGAAATAGTATTATATTTAAAGGTAGCTAATGGTTATATATTTATATTGAATAATAGAAATATTGAAGACTTTTGTCTTTCACTTCTTATGCCAAAAAAAGAAGAAGAAGAAAAAGAAAAAGTCTTTATTTTATTTATATTTATTTACTTTTTTTTTTTTTTTTTTTTTTTTTTTGGTTTCAAGCTTTAAGGAACGTTCCTGGGGACAAATAACAATTTAAATAAAATACAAAAAAAAATATGCGCATACTTCATTCATTGCTTCTTCTTTTATTATTATTTTGAACCTTTTCTTTTATTTATTTATTTATATATATAATAAGAATAACACAGAATGATAAGTAATATTTATCAACAGCCCCATCAAAACGATTATAATATTGCTCGCTATTCTTATCATAATTGGACTAATTCACTTTATAAATTGAAAACACATATTTATTCTAAACACATTCTTCCTTTACGATCGTTTTCAATTAGAAAGGATTCGTCGACTGTTGTTCCCCAACCACAGAGTAATAAATTAAATAGCACAGAGAATGGAAGTCTATTTTTGAATCCTTCTACAGCATCCTATAGTAGTGATGGATATTCAAGTGACCATGATCAAGACCAATCTAAAGGATATATCACTGCTGCTAAAGGTAACCATAGATATAGTAACGATTTCAAGGCACATTATGTATTGGGTGATGATACGGCAAAAATAACACCACAGAAAAAGAGTCAAACATGTCCTAATCTTTCCACTATGATGACGATGATGGCCACAGATATTAGTCAACGCCCTTTACCTCCCTTGCCCTTAGAGGATGAAACCGTCTTTAACAGTGCTTTAAGTCTTAAACTGGATGATAGTTTCCCTACTGCAAGTGGATTAAAAAGACCAACAACAACAATGGATCTAGCATCCAAAGGTCAAGTTCATATTAAGCGTGCGACTACATGGCTAGAATTAGCTAGTCAAAGAGTACTGTCATCATCTCATCAAATAAAGAACAATATTGGTCAAATGCTAAGTCAGAAATACCAAACTGCTTCAGAGAATGTACTCCTCCAATTGAAAAACCATAAGAAAAACAAAGTTTTAACTATCTCATCACAACGATATACCTCTGACATTCAATCCACTGATTTTATTATGAGTGATAGTGATAGTAGTGACGAATATTCTTCTTCTGAAATGGGGGAAAATCATGATATCTACAGAGAAGCTGATCAACAATTAACAACAGCAGCAAATAAGAACAAATTACAACAAAAATGCATATCTACTAATGAAACAGACACTGTTCATTTTGCTTTTTTAAGGTATAAAACAAAAAAAAAATCTGTTTGAATAACAGTATGCGATGTTTAACAATCATGATTTCAAAATTTGAACAAAACCTTTTGTTTTTATTTAGAAACCAATTAGAACAAAAAATTAAAGATTCGAAACAAAAACAAGCTAATAGTGATATTGAAAAGAGCAAAGCTATTATCGCACCAAAAAGGATAATGTATTGCAGAGGTAAAGATAACAATAACAACAGCAACCAAAAAAAAAAAAAAAAAAAAAAAAAAAACTTTTCTTTGTAATTTAATAAAATACTCTTTTTCATTCAGTTTTGCAAATAAATAATCTAGCTTCAGTTCGTGGTAGGCATCTCTTTTGAAAATAAATAATGTTATACTAATTTATATAAATATGTATATATATTTTTTTAATAGATTGTGATTATGAAATATGTATCCGGCTTAATGATGAAATTATATCCACTAAGAGAGGTATATTACGTAAAGTTCAAAACACTGCAGTTTCAGATAGATCGTACGATGATCCGTTAGTCATGTAAATTTTAATATATTTTTATTAATACGTTATAAAAAAAAACTGTCTTAACTTGTTTTATTATTATTATTAAAGTGAAGCTGAAGAACCATTTTTACTTAACTTTACAGTTGCTGCACGCCATACAAACACACTTATTCGTGATAAGTTATTAAAGATGGGCTTCTGGCGATCCAATAGACGAAGAACAACAGAGATTATACATACCAAGCTTCCTCTTATTGGATATGCATGTTTAAACTTTGAGAATAAAATGGATGTATTAGAGCAAGGAATTTCACGTTTTAGATTGAAAAAGTTTGACGGCAATTCATCTAATCGTTGGATCAATATTGAATTACTTATCGATATTAGAGTAACAGAAACTGTATCTACTGTTCCTTGTCGTCGTTTCCCTTGGTCTTTTGAGTCTCAAGAGAGTTCTTTCTCTTTTCATGAAAGCTCAGAGGATACAAAACAGATTTCAGAAGAGCTATTAAAATCTCAGAAACACTGTCTAAAGGGTGATTATTTAACTGTCTATACAAGAGGCAAGGCTTATCCTGTAAGTATATTGACATGCGAAAAAAGAGAAAGAATGAGTATACGATTGATATCATTATTATTATTATAGACATGGAAGCGTTATTGGGTCATTGCAAAGGAAGACCAACTCATTTTATACGATTTCACATATAAGGTTAGATATTGTATATATGATAAAAATTAAAATAATATTCATAAATATAAATATATATAAATGTATACAGGATAGCAAGGAACCATTAGGTGTTATACCTTTAACATATTTACTATCAGTTAATAAACCTTCATTGGATGATTGTGAAAACACTGGAATCGCTAGAACGACTGGATTTGTATTGCAATTCAGTAAAAGTAATCCACTCGTGTTTAAAACAGTTCGTCTAGACCAAGAAGAAGAACTGGAAGGAAAAATTTTCATCTATGGTGATAACGAACTGAATACAAATTATTGGCGTAAAGCACTTGTTAGTCTCCAAGACTCAAATGAAACTGTTCATGGTAACAGAATTGAAGCCCTTATGGATTTGCGCTATCTATGGTAATGAAGGAAAAAATAAATAAATAAATAACTCCATTGTTATATAATTAAAACAGGTAATATTATCACTTAAATATTCCTTTACTCTCCCCTAAAAAAAAAAAAAGAGAGAGAAAGAAAGAATTGTTTAATTTATTAAGAATTAATAAAGTATATAAATATATATATATTTTTTTTTGTCTAAGCATAATTCATATTTATTAATATTATTTTATTACCCTTTCTTTGTGAGTTTGAGAAAAAAAAAGGGGGGAAATAGAGCTATACTATTTATTTACAGCATATATATAAAAAAAAAAAAAAATGAATATGTACAATACATATGTAAATGTATATATAATAACAAGATGAAATAAAATAATATATAAATATATATAACTATATAAATATATACATATATACATATATATATTATGACTTCTTAAAATCAGCAACCAAGGCTTCAATAGAAGAAATAGTACCAAAAACAAGACCAACAACGCCCATCAACATGGTTAATCCACACCAAGCAAGCTCGTAAATAGGTTTATTACGGAAACCTGTCAATTTAAAGTAGAAAATGATGGGAAAGATCAAAATCAAAGCACAGTTTGCAAAGGAACCAATCAAGGACATTAAATCATCAAAATGAGGAATAACAGCACCAATGACGCCAACAAAAACAACAGTCAAGATACGAAGACATGCACGGATCAAAAACTCTTTTACGACACCAAAACGTTCAACAGTAATATTGAGCATTTCTTCAACGTCTAAAGCGAATGAAGTAAGCAAGATAGGTGCAGCTGTGATAACATGGAAAGTCATAATACTGATGGCAATCATTTTTGGGACACCATTTGAGATTGAATTATAGACAGGAGATTGCACTGTATCACCGTAGACATAATAACCAGGTACGGCAGTAGCAAAATATAAAATAACACATGTAGTTAAACCACCAGCAACTACTTTAGGCCAATCACGAGGCTTTTTCATAGAGGCTTCGACATGAGGATAGACAACATTACCACCAAAACTAAAACAAATTGTACTTAAAGCGATAGGGAATTTAGGCCAGATAACAGTATCATGATGAATATTTTGAAGAGTTTTGTGATCAATACCAGCAACAACGATAACAATGATAACAACAACAGCAGTAGCAGCAGCACCTAAAGCACTCATGAAAGCTACTTCTTTCATTGATTTGACCAAAATAAAAGGAATGGCAACGATAACACAAGAAATAATACTCCAGGGTAAAACACCAAGTTCAGCCTTTGTGCCTGCACAAAGCTCATTCAAGTTAGAACCAGAAAGCACCATATACAAAATAGGAGCACCAAGTAAAATCCAAGAATTAAAGAAAAAAGTTACCCAGCCGCCTACAGCACCAAAGCATGTTGTTGCAATTTCCTTATAGGTTGATAAACGTTGCTTGCCATTCGCATATAAACATCGAATAAGTAAAACAGCTGTATACATAGACATTGTCCAAGATAAAAATAAAATAAGAAGACCGATCCAACCGCCTAAACGAAGGGCATAGGGAAGACCAAGAGTACCAGTACCTGCTACAACACAGACAACATTAAAATATGCAAGAAATGAAGAGCCAGCATGTTCACGATTAACGTCAATAATGCCATTTTCATTATATTCTACTTCTGCCTCTATAATTTATTTATTATTATTCACTTTATTTTTTCTTATCGCTATTTCTATACTTGTGTTCAACATACCACTATAAGCATCAAATGTAACGGATCCTTCTTGGAAATCCCCTGCTCTCTTTTTATCTAGATCTGATAATTCAAATGACATTTATATATGTATATATATATGTGTATATATATTTTTAGAATTCTTTTCTCTCTTTGTATATAAAAAAAATAGACGCTTCTTAGAAATTATAAAAAAAGAAAGAAAAAAAAAAGTTAAAGAAAAGAATAAAAATGGGGAAATCATATAAAAACCGACCCTTTTTATACATGCATTTCGTGAGTTTCAAATAGAGGTCTAATTATTGAACATGTTTTAAATGCCAAAAAAAAATTGATTCCATGTTCCAATCAAATTCGATTATTCGTGTTTTTTTGATAACCGTATTTGAATTTCAGTCCGAAGTCTTCCTAAAAATCAGAAATTCGAGCATAACAAAAATTAATTACAATGGTTACTATTGACGTAATTTTTAAGGTTGAGGAAACACAAATGTATTCCTTATTATAGTATGAGTTAGGTATAAACACCCAAGAAGCCTGATTTAATTTTACAGTTCATTTTATCCCTTATGTCTACGCGCATTTTGATTGGCTTTGAAGCCATGACTCAACTTTTTTTTTTTTTTTTTTTTTTTACATTACACAAGAATAAGATTAAATTCCGTCTTCTTTTATAGTTTAATTTTCTAATTATAAAAAGAAGAGGAAAGGTATACTAGGATCATTTACATTATTGGAGCAAAATAAGAACATAGTAAAAACATAGTAAAAACATAAGAAAACCATTTCTATGTTACATTACATTATATATCAAGCATGTAATTTTTTTTCACTTCTCTTTTTAAAAAAAAAAATTAAATGATCCGTACTTTGATTTATTCTATCGAAAATAAAAAATATATATGGAATTTTATGTTTCATAGATGTAATATAAGCATTATTTTTATGACAAATAAGCATATTTTTTCTATAAATGAGTTGTTACGTTCAATGATTATTGCTTTATTAGGATAATTAAATTAAAACATTTTAAAGTAGATAAAAAGATTGCTCTTTTACTTAAAATAATAAAGGACCAACTACTTATAGCCAAGAACAAAAATTTAAAATGCCCTCACTATTAACGAATATAATGTAAAGGCAATCTTAACTAATATGTCTTTTTTTTTTTTTTTTGAATGCAAAAAGTAAATATACACACATATTTATTTCTTTTATCATGAATATTAGCCAAGGATAATAATTGCACATCTTCAACATTTATGCATGTATGTATTTTTTTTTTTTTTTGCTGTATAAGGATATTATTTGTCGATTTATAATGATAATAATTATCCGCATGTTTCACCAATAACATAGCAAGTTTCTCTTAGTGTTATTTTTTTTTCCCTTGAACTTTACGGTTATAATAATACGGATACAATTTCTTTTTATTGTGAAGATTTAATATTCTATGTTATAGAACTGACGTCTCTATTTTATATGTGAAAGCATGTAATTAAAAAATAGACTACATAATAAATATTTGCCGCATCACAGGCACTAAGCAGGATTATCACAATATATGACTTCACATTATTATATTATTTATACGAAACTATAACTCAGGGCCATACTATGGATTTATTAACCGATAAAAGTATAGGTTAACCACTTGTTTATTATTTCGAAATATACGTTTCTTTTTAGAAAAAAAAAATCAACTGAAACATTTTTTTTCTTTTTTAAACATTTTGTTAGGAATAAAACAAGTTTTGAGAACGCTTTTTTTTTTTTTTATAAGCAATCGCCCTTTAAATACAACAAGCATCGTCAAAAAAGGACTTATTATTCAACTACACAAGTAGGCTTATTTATGCTATATAATATCTATCTAAATGTATATATTTAGCTTATGAAACCTAAAATAGACAATAAACAAAATGCGCTTATCAGTAAGCAATTAAACAATATATGTATATCCTATACTTGTTTTAGATAAACTACTTTTGGGAGATGAATTTTTTTTAAAAGCGTAGAGGAAGTTAAAATAGAATTGTACACACGTTAAATGAAATTAATTACTTATCAGCTAATTTAACAATATTTTGTCTGAAGACTTTATATCTAATGAAGATAGTCTGTTGATTCCAAGGTATAGAAAAGTCATTGATCAAGAATATAGTACAAATCTTAAAACGCCCAAGCTGGGTTACTACTGTTCACAGATCAAATTAATAACTTGAGTAGAAAAATATCTATATTTAAATGTCAATTCTGCTGTCTATCTTATTTGATTCAGGATTCATTTTTATCGATATAAGACACTATTATGTTTATTTTCTGTACTGTTAAAATAAATAACACCATTTTCAATCTATCTTTTATCTTAACACACTTATTACTAGACAAACGACTTAATGACATGTGGGATTGATGCGTATTGATCAGCCTTTCTATTTCTCTTTTCTACTTCTGCTATTATAGTAAGAAGCAGTCATTTTGCTTAGTCTTTATAATTTAATTTTCTCAAATGCTTATCTAGAATAGTCGATCATTGTTGGGTTATAGTGTATGACAAACGTTTCAAAATTATGATTATTCTTTATCGATTACGTTTTATTATCATTGCTATTCCTGACTACTTCTCATAAATTATATACTCACTAGGTTACCCTTTCATTTTCTCCCTTTTCACTGAGATCCTCTTTAGAATATAATTTTCTACCTTTTTACAAACAAAAAAAAGAAAAGATAGTGTTATTAAATTAACCGTAAATGGATAATTACTATCAGACCATTAACCTGAATATCAATGCAAAGTAAAAGAAGATAAATTGGATATGATATTGAAAACTTTATTGGAAAAAAATAGCTTTGAACATACATACATGCATGATAGAAAAAAAAAAAAAAAAGAGTGGAACATCCAAAGATTTTGTCTTCCCCACATAAGACAGATTAATACGGGTAAAGACTGTATAGAATCGTGTGAAATTTACACTCTTACGAACAAAAAGAAAATTATATTATATCTAATCATTATACAGCCTTGTATGAGATTATGTATTAATCAGCAAAATTTACAAGAGAAAATCCAGAACAATACTTACTTAATCATCTGAATCTATTCTAACTGATAGTTTACATATAAAGAACCCTTAAAATAATAATATCTATCGAAAGTATATACTGGAATCATTATGTTTTACGTGTTTCTGTAATTATAAATAACCGTGCAGTCAAGTATATGAATGCATGTACGCTATATAGTAACTTATTTCTTTTGTTTATTTAAAAAATTATCAAAGCACGAATATGAATAAAATAAGGTGATCGCATTATTCTTGGTAGCGCAAAGTCATATTATGCAATAATTACATTTAGAAAAAAAAAGAAAATACACTTGGAAGGCATTTAATAGCTTTATTTTCTTTTGAACATTTATGATATTTGTCATACATTATTTGCATTCTGCTATAACACAGTAAATCAAGAAAGGACTATGAAACTTGGTTAAAAATAATTCCCTATCTACCAACTAATTTTTGTAATATTATATAGTATAAAACAAAACAAAAAATACCTTCTTTTTTTGGAATATAAGAAAGCATTTAATTATAATATCTTTTCTGTTAGCTAAGATTTTCAGATACAAAGTCTTTCTTTTTTTATATATATATATTTGTATAAATATATATAAAAATTCCGCATAAATCTACAAAGGAAACTAATTTTCCGTAATATTCATTTTCTCACATAAAAATCCTACCTTTCATTTGTCAGTTATGAGCTCTTTGAAGATTATGAAATATGAACTATTTTTTATGAATTAAAGCGTCCACTCTTTTTTTTTTTAGGAAAAAATTATAATAGTTATTTTTGATATTATCACTAGGAAAAAATTAGCATATTCAACAACATGAAAGAGTATGGTTACATACATAATTACAATACAATGAATGATTTTACTTTGAGTTGGGAGAATGCTGAAAATGAAAAAATATATTCCATCATGTGAAGTTTAATATAGTGTAAATCTCCCTGGGAAGAAAGGCAATTTTTGAAAGATATTCTCTTTTTATCTATTTTTTTTTCTAGCATTTAGGAGAATTATATAAACTTAAAAAAAAAGGATCATAAAAATGCTTTAAATAAGTGTTACTTGACACTTGAAAGAAAATATTTAGACGCACAAAAAAATAATTTATCTCACAAAACAAAACAAAACAAAAAAAAAAAGGCCCTTATTTTAGTTCCTGTATAAAAGTGCAATTAAAATTATATTTTCTCCATTCAATATTTAAATTTGCTTTTATTTTAAAAAGGTTTATTATAACCAAAAAAAAAATGTATTTTTCTTCACTTTCTTCTATAGCTTTATCTCTTTTGGCTACTATTTATGCTACAAATATAATTGTTGAAGCTAAAGTAGACATTCTTTCTTGGGATGATGCTTATACAAAAGCTAAAACTCTAGTAGATCAAATGTCTCTCGAACATAAGGTCAACATTACTACTGGTGTAGGTTGGATGGTAGATATTTGCGTAGGTAATACTTATGCTACCACAAATCCCGATTTCCCTTCTCTTTGTCTACAGGATGCGCCTCTTGGAATACGTTTTGCTGATAACGTTACATCTGGCGTTTCTGGCATTAATGCTGCTGCTTCATTTGATAGAAAGGCTATTCTTGATCGTGGTTGCTATATTGGTAAGGAATTCTATAATAAAGGTATTCATGTTGCTTTGGGACCCGCTATGAACTTTATGAGAAGTCCAGAAGGTGGTAGGGGTTGGGAGTCTGGAGGTGAAGACCCCTATCTGCAAGGTGTCATGGCTTCAGAGATGGTGAAAGGCATTCAAAGAGAAGGTGTCATTGCTACTGCAAAGCATTATATTTTAAACGACCAAGAACTTAATCGAACTACAGGCTCATCTGATGTTGATCAAAGAGCATTGCATGAGATTTATGTATGGCCCTTTGCACGTGCTGTTGAAGCTGGTGTAGGCTCTATCATGTGCTCATATAATAAACTAAATGGTACTTACGCTTGTGAAGACGATTACACATTAAATACTGTCTTAAAGGGCGAACTTGGTTTCAAGGGCTTTGTTCAATCCGACTGGGCAGCTACTATGTCTACAGTCCCCTCTGCAAATGCAGGCCTTGATATGACTATGCCTGGCGATATTACCTTCCAATCCGGAGACTCCTATTTTGGTGCTAATCTAACAGATGCTGTCAAAAGGAAAGATGTTGCTGAAGAACGCGTTACTGATATGGCTACACGTATTGTTGCTTCATGGTACAAAATGCGTCAAGATACTAATTTCCCAAAGACAACTATTAATGCTTTTGTTCGTGATAAAGCCGCTTATAACAATGTTCAAGCAGACCATGGAAAATTAGTTCGTGAAATGGGTGCTGCTTCCTGTGTTCTTCTCAAGAATTCGGGTATTCTCCCTATTAGCAATAAAGTTAAGAAAATCGCCCTAATTGGTAGTGATAGCAAAGTTAATCCAGAGTAAATGTTATACTCCTTAATTACTAAAATAGGGTGCATTTGAATGCTAAAAAATCTATTTTTTTTTCTATCCTATAGTGGTCCTAACGGTTGTGTTGATCATGGTTGTAATATTGGCCATCTTGCTCAGGGTTGGGGATCTGGTACATCTGACTTCCCCTACCTGATTGATGTAAGCATATATATATATATATATATATATATACAAGAAAAGAAAGGCTTATATCATATGCTGATGTTTTTCTCCCATCCCTCCTCCTTAATTTAGCCTTATACTGGTATCTCTAATGCATTAAGTAAGAGCGTAAAGATTTCATTAGCTACTGATGATTATGATCTTAAAGCAGCAGCTTCAGCTGCTAAGGATGCGGACATTGCATTTGTCTTTTCTAGTGCTGATTCTGGTGAAGGCTACATTGATGTTGATGGTAATATTGGTGATCGTAAGAATCTTACTTTATGGCACAATGGTGATAACCTGGTAATAATGAAGCAATATATATATATGTATATATGTATATTTTTATATATATTTAGTAATATTTAAACAATTCAACTTATTATGCATTCATTATAGATTCAAGCTGTTGCAAATATTAATAAAAACACTGTTGTTATTATTAATTCTGTGGGGGCTGTCCTTATGCCCTGGATTAATCATCCTAATATTAAAGCTGTTGTTTGGCCTGGTCTTTCTGGTCAAGAATCTGGTAATTCTTTAGCAGACATTCTTACAGGTAAAGTTAATCCTTCTGGTCGTCTTCCTTATACTATCGCCAAAAAAGCTTCTGATTATAACGCTGCGATTGACCCTGCTGATACTGTTGTCTATAAGGAGTCACTTTTAGTTGGTTACAGATGGTTTGATCATGCTAATATTGAGCCACTCTTCCCATTCGGTCATGGCTTGTCTTATACTACATTTAAATACAGCAGTTTGGGGGTTAAGGTTTCTGGTAAGAGCGATTCAATTAAAGTTACTACAACTCTTTCAGTTAGGAATACTGGTAAATATAATGGTGCTGAAGTTGTTCAAGCTTATATTTCATTCCCTATGGATGCTGGTGAACCCCCTAAAGTCCTCCGTGGCTTTGAAAAAATTTTCCTTAAGAAGGGCAAAAGTAAAACTATTACTATAGAATTCACCAAGACTGAGCTTAGTATTTGGGATACATCCTCTAATTCTTGGGTAATCCCATCTGGTAAATTCACTGTTCATATTGGTGCTTCTAGTCGTGATATTCGTCAAACTGCTACCTTTCATCTTTAATTTTGGCCTATATATATTATTACAGTATCTAGAAAATAAAAAGGATGCTAATGACTGTATTTCCAATATATCATAGAAATAAACTGATGCATATTAGTTCATTTATCTTTAAAACTATTACATAAGAAAACATGAGGTTGGCTTTACTTTTTGAATTTATCGAAGCATAAGTCATTTTATATTTCTTTCTAAATATGCATAATAAAATCCTATTTCGAAATGCGAAAAAAAAAAAGCTTGGATTATAAATCTAAGGAGTGCACTCATAATATAGCTAATTATTTATTGTCTTTAAATGAAACCGTTAACAAAAGGAGAATGAGTCTGAGGAGCTATATTAAAATAATTTGAAGAGGCAAGAGATTGATGATATTGTTGAATTTGAATATGCTAGTAAGTACTAACCATGCAATATTTACACAAGACACTAAACTACGTTCATTTTAAGTCTGAAACTGATAATGTGCAATTAAGTAATAATAACCTATCTATCAGTAAAATCATGAAAAGAAAAGCTGTTAGTTCATTCAATGATGGAGCTCTTATAAATTCCAAAGACTCTAAAACTTTGACGTTCATAACATTGATAAAAAGTTTTGATTTACACTCTATTATTGATCCTCTTTGATATTATAGGAACGTTCAATCTTTTATTCTCCTAGAGATCTGTGATACTACTAAAAGCTCAAAAATTTTTATTTATAGATAGCGAATAAGAATTTCTTCTTAAATTGTATACTGAAAAAGAAAATACAATATTATACTGTAATTTTATTTATGTAGAAAATTATAACTAATGTAAATAAATAGCAACTAAATGGTATGCATAATAATTGGTCTCATTTTTTTTTTAGAAGTTTGTAAATATGAGAAATACTAAAATATCTTTCCCGAATATTTCTTAATCACCTTAAAAAATGAATAGTTCTTTTGTTTGAAATTATGTGAACATTTGCATGTCTTTGAACAGAAAAGAAAATAATAATAATTATTTAACAAGTAACTTGATTTGCCTGAACTAAATATCGAACAATTTTCGTCTATTGTTGAGAACAGAGTTAAGCCTGATATATTTAGTGATAAAGAAGATTTACATACAAGGATTTCTGAGGTGTATAAGAGTATTCCTTGGTGCATGCTAAAAAAAAAAATCAATCTAACACTCTGATGATACTTCTTCCAAATGTTTAAATAAAGAGCCTCTCTATCCGTATTAAAAGCCTAAGTGTCATTCATTTATAAAAAAATTGCTGATTAGATGATTTCTGGCATGTTCGTTGGTGTTTTTTTTTTTATCAAATAGTCTACTAATTGAATGATCAAATCTGTTAATATGGGCCATACGTACTATAAATGCAAGACTATATACATATAAGAACTTTTCAATTATTTGTTAAACATTCATTTGATAACAATACACATGATATGGCAGAATTCTATTAATAATGTATGTTTTATAGTCAAATGACACAATATAACAGTAAACATATTTAGTGAAAAACAATTATGTGTTCGAATATTCTAACTGATATAACCTCAATTATATTTCTTTGGTAGTGTTATAGTCTTGTTTATATATATACATATATAATATCAGTATTTGATTACACATACATACATACATACATATGCATATGGTAGAGACCCAATACAATTATATACATATATATATATCTATATACATATATTATTACAAAAAAACACATATAGTATATGACTAATGTTTATCATAATGATTACATAACGTGTAAATAAGCCAATTATTTGAATAGACTGATGTAATAATCCAATCAAATTGCTTCATTAGCGTTTCTTATCGTGTGAAATTTAAACAATACAACATGATTGATCTTGTTTCTATTAGTCTTTTTATCTCTAATTTATTTATTTTTTTTTTCCACTACTAAGTTATATCTCTAATTCTTCTTTTATACATACATACATAAAACACGTACACACATATATGTTAAATCTTTCTACTGAGCTAATTGAATTGATAGCACATTACTGTTTATCTTCCAAAGATAAGGCATTACTTTGTCAAGTAAATCACCTATTTCACTCAGTTATAGTTTGCTTACTGTATAAGAATGTCATGATAACCTCCCCTAGACAATACCTATCATTCAAAGAATCAATGAAAAATGAATTTCTTAGTAGGCATGTACGTTGTTTAGATCTATCTAGTTATACAGCAAGAGGATCACGTTGGACGGAGGACCAGGCAAAGTCTATCATTATAGCCGATGAAATTTCGACTTTAATTAATAGCTGTTATCAATTAAGAGAGCTGTATATAGGCGAAGAAATAATGCATGTATTTGCATCACCTAAAGTAATCCAAATTATCTTTAGTCAACAAAACAGATTGAATACAATCGACTTGACTGGATTTTGTGATAGGAACTGTACACAAACGATAGCAGATTTCTTTAAGCCAAAAACAAAAAAAAGAAAACTAGTAGTGGTAGAGAAATTAGCAATTGAAGAACTAGATAATGATGAGTTAGAAGATGCAGTAAATGATCACTGGTCAATTCCAAGAGAGCTTGAAAATATTTCATTTTATATGTGTATGGCTCTTTCACAAGAACATTTCTTTATACCCTTTTTTAAAAAGCTGTCTACTGTTGATCAAGAACTTAGGAAGCTAGACCTAGCATATACCCAAATAACAAGTGAGCTCTTCTTGCATCTTAAAAATATGACCAAGTTGACGCATTTAAACTTACAAGGATGTCATTCACTTTCCTGCTGCTCCCCTTTAATATGTTTCTTACAAAACAACTGCAGAGAGCTAAAAGAACTGAACATCAACATGGACTTTAATGGTATCGGTGGTTCTCAATTTTGTAGTAAATGTATTTCAAAGATAATCAGATTTGGATTACATACAACTCAGTCCTTAGATATGAGTGGCCATACCCATCTAGACGATTCAATATTAAATCAAATATTAATAACTGCAGAGCAACAGGACCATTATTTTACAAATTTAAGATATTTCTCGATTGCTTATTGTCAGAACATTAGTTTAAGAACTTTAAAGCGATTTTTAGTTCGTTTGCCTAATGTAGTTTACCTAAACTTGGCGCACACTCCTCTTACTACTGATGCTAACTATTTAACTTATGTATTAAAGATAATATCGAGTATTACTGAGAAAATTAGGGTTATTGAATTTAGTCCATTTTCATCAAGGAAATACCCTATTCAAATAGAAAATTGGAGGCTTATTAACCAAGGCAGAAGAACATATTATGCACTGGAAGATATTGGCTCTCCTTTTTTTCATTCTAGGAAAATAATCCTGTCTAATGATAAAACTTTATCACCCATGAATAAATATTGGAGTTATTCTTATTAAAATAAAATAATGAAAATAATATTATCATATATTTCCATATGCATGCTCTCCACATAGACAGATGTGTAGGACGTGGAAAGGAACTGGAAAGAAGAAATCAGAAAACATATATGCTGTTACCAGATATGTATATATAAATATATAAATATCTATATTCGTCCATTCACTTTAGAATCAAAGTAGTGAACAGATACTTGTCTACAATTTGGGGTACTGAAAATGATACAACAGAGAAAACGAACTAAAAAAAAATAAGATAACAAGATAAATTATATGAAGGTTAGCTATACAACCGTTACCAGTTAATGAAATGTATGAAAATAGGTAAGAAAAGTATTCCAGCGAATAATTTAGGGAAGATTATTCAATTGCAAGTATTTATTATTATTATTATTATTAAGAACGACCTACTAGGAGATAGTTTAAATTATCATAGATAGACAGACCAAAGAGGACAGTTTGAGAGGATCTTCAAGTTAATATTTCCAAAAGTAAAAAAAACAGGTAGGGATATTGTTATAAACTATTCAATGCCATATAGAACGGACTTGAAGGAATAATACCTTCTGACAAATGGAATTTGAGAAAGCTCAAAGAGTGTCCTCTCACATTTTTCAAGAGATAGTCATATAGATGGTATGTTCATGAAAAATAACTTTATCAGGATTCAGAAGATCTTTTGACTTATTGGACAAAGGGATACTCATATTATAAGAATAATTCTAAAGGTATAACTCTATTGTTATCCATAAATTTAATATAGGAAAGGTTGTGATTTTTGCTGTCTTATATATCATATTATCGCTATAGAGTTGATTTAATTGCGAAGACAATTGCTTATATTCGAATATAACTCAACTCCTTACAAGTGTATTCACAATATCACTTTTATGTATATATATATATATATAAAAGACTGGTCTAAGAATTCAGTATACCATTACAACTAAAATTATTAGGAAATGATAAGAACGCATTAGTTAAAGGCATCAAGCACAACTAATTTAATTATTGGTTGCTGTCAAATTCAATCAAAAACTATTAACTAAATTAGGGAAGGGGTTAACTAGTGGTGGCTGATGCAAAATTAGTGACTTTTATTTTTTTTTCTTTTTCTTTTTCTTTTTCTCACCAGAACAGTTTCTCTTTGTTTAATCTTTTTGATCATCAATTAAATAAACATGAGCATTCAAGGTTTTTGGGGATTAGCTTGTAATCCTGGAAAGACTTATAGTCAAGTTGTATCTGCACCTTTTCGTATTGCCATGGTATGTTAAACGTTTTCTTGTATTTTTTTTTTTTTTTGCGTGACGATTCTATTTCTTTTAACCATGTTTTACTAACTATTTTTATATTTATTTCATTAGGCTTCTCTTACTGAAGAAGTAAAAGATAATAAGCGTACAACCATTTCTGTTGTTGTAGATAATAAAGAATTTGTTCTTTGTACATTAATTCCTAACAAGGTAAACTAAAATTAACAATCTTGCAAATTATTTGCATAATACCGTATAAATTGCTCATCATATATTTATTTATATAAAAAGATTGAACAACAAGCTTTGGATATTACTTTTGTCGAAGGTGAAGAAGTTACCTTTTCTGTCAAGGGCGCCAATGTTGTTCATTTAACTGGTAACTACGTTTTCAACGATGAAGATGAAGAGTTAGACTCCGAAAATAATTCTGAATCTGATGACGAAGAATTTGATGCCGAAGAATTTTTGAAGCAATTCCCCCCTGGTACAAAACCCGAAGATATCCAAGCCTTATTAAATGAACAAGGTGATTCTGATGAAGAAATTGATAGTGATGAAGTTGTTTCTGCTGAAGAAGTTGATTCAAATGATGAAGAAGAGGAAGAAGAAGAAGAAGAAGAAGAGGAAGAGGAAGAAGAAAAACCTGTTGTTAATAAGAAGCGTCCTGCAGAAACTGCTGGTAAAGAACAAGCTTCTAAAAAACAAAAGCCTGAACCCAAAAAGGCTGAACCTAAGGTAAAGAAGGAAGAACCCAAGAAGGAAGAGCCCAAGAAGGCTGAACCTAAGAAGGCTGAACCTAAGAAGGCTGAACCTAAGAAAGAAGAGCCTAAGAAGGAAGAACCTAAGAAGAAGGAGGAACCTAAGAAGAAGGAGGAACCTAAGAAGAAGGTTACTAAGCTTCCTAATGGTCTTATAATTGAAGATGTAAAGATCGGTGAGGGTGTTTCTTGTAAAGCTGGTCAGAGAGTTGGCATGCGTTATATCGGTAAACTTACTACCGGTAAGGTCTTTGATAAGAATATCTCAGGCAAGCCTTTCTCTTTCCTTTTGGGTCGCGGTGAAGTTATTAAGGGTTGGGATATTGGTGTTGCTGGTATGAAGGTTGGAGGTGAACGTAGATTGACCATTCCCGCTCCTTTGGCTTATGGTAAGCGTGGCGCACCTCCTGATATTCCTAAGAATGCTACTCTCGTTTTTGACGTCAAATTAGTTTCTATGAAATAAACTTATTTAATTATATAAGTTAAAAAATTATTATTGTATATATTCTTATAATAACAATTAAAGAAATTTTTAAATAAATAAAAAAAAACAGATTATAAAATGGTACTTTTATTTAAAATTTAAGCATCCCAAGAGGAAGTAGCGGGGGCTTCAGTCTCTTCAGCCCAGTCAGTAGGTTGAGCAGACCAGTCAGCGGCAGCAGCAATACCGGCAACACCTTCAGCATCACCTTCAACGGCCCATTCACCAGCAGCAGCTTCAGCAGTGGCAGCAAAGTCACCACCTTCAGCGGCTTCAGCTTCAGCATTCTCCTTCTCAATTTCCTCAGGATCACGGTAGAAGAACATATCGACCATGACGTCCCAAGGGGTGTTGTAGTCGAGAGTACCACGGAGACGGAGGACAGCACGAGCCAAGAGCCAGTAGATCAAACCAATAGCGTGCTTAGCCTTGTTGTTGGTGGGAATGGCAACATCAACAAACTTGAGAGAGGCATCGGTATCAGCAAGAGAGATGACGGGGATGTTGACATAAGAAGCTTCCAAGATAGCTTGGAAATCAGAACGAGGATCAGTACAGATGACCAAACGAGGTTCACGGAAAGAACGGGTGATGTAGTTAGTGAAAGTACCGGGAGTGAAACGACCGACGATGGCTTCAGCACCAATGTACTTGGCGAACTTAAGGGCAGCACGATGACCATAAGGACGAGCAGAAATAACAACAATGTCCTGAGGCTATATATATCATATGCATACAATACATTCAGTTTTCTCATTCTTTAGAATATAAATGATTGCATAACTTATAACTTACGTTTTCAATAGCAGCAATGACACGAGCAGCAAAGATGAGCTTTTCCCAAGTCTTACCAATATTGATCAAATTAATACCTAAAAAAAAGAATCCACAAAAATAATAAGCTCTTCCTGTCCAAAAAGGAAAAAAAAACACACACAAAAGAATTACTCTGCATTTCGACAATTCTTACCATCAGCACGACGCTTATAGATATAAGGAGCCATACGAATGTTGGCATTCTTGGTACCGATGTGACATTGAGCACTCAACAAAAGTTGAATATCTTCCTCAGTGGCGTTAAGAACTAAGAATAGGTTGATTGTTGAATTAATGAAATGGATATCTGATAGCTCACACTTTTACTTACGGGTAGGAACACGGGACATCGTGATAATCTGCTTTTATCTACAAATATAAAAGTGGATGGTTATTAAAGATGGTTATTGTTGGATGGATGCTTATACATACAAGGTTGGCAGGGAAAGAGAGGGTTTCTTAATTTGATACACGCAGGTTAATTGGTAATAAAATGAAAAAGGTATAAATTGTCCGGCAATTGTCCGAGCCAACTAAACACAAATTTGACAGCTTAACAAACACACTTTATTGTTATATGCAATATTATGTAATTTTATTTTTAATTTTTTTATTTATTTAGAAAAATGGTTGTACATCAAATAACTTAGAATCTAAGCTTGCTGAAGAACCACTTGTTCTTGCCAGTTTGATAACGTTCTTCAAAGAGCTTCTTGATGACCTAAAATAATAATAAAACTATGAGATAAACATGCGCAACAAAATTTAAAGTAAAAAAAAAAAATTACCTTCTTAGATTCTTCACGTTGAGTGGGTTCCTTGAAAGTATCAGCGGAAATAGTACCCTTGATTTGCTCCAATTCCAAACCGTAACTAATACAAACAAACAATTAATAAACAAATACAAATAATTTTGTGTTTTGTATTTACTTACCGAGTGGGCATCATGTGGTTGTAGTTGATAATCTTAATGAAGGGCTTAACCTTGGAACGCTTAGCAACCTTCTTCTTACCCATAGCCTTGGTAACCTTAAGAGGAGTACGTTCGATACCAGCAACAACGGCATAACCGTAAGGTCTGTCTTTGGTACCTTCATCATGGTCTACATAGAAAAAATAAATAAAATAAAATAAACAAAATACGTCAATTGAATTCTGTCATTTCTTCTCCTCATTTCTAATTATTAAAAACTGATGCTTACTACGAACAACGACAGCCTTCTTGCCGGCGTAACGACCTTGCAAAATAACAACAACCTAATAAACAGAGCTTATATTAATTCCAGTTTCCTCATTTGAATTGGATGAAATGAAAATTTGATGTATTTTTCAGCAAAAAAAAAAAAAAAAAAAAAAAAAATGTATCGATCCATCCATTATTGATATATTTCCATTCATCCATAACGTATTTTAATTCTTTTTTAATATAGTTGATACATACTTTACCAGCCTTGATGAACTTGACCATTATGGGTAGTAGTATGTAAAGGAAGAGGAAGAATCTGAGTTTCGACAGGTACTTTGTGAGCTATATCGTCTCTGCACATCAAAGTATCCGCTTTCTGAGTTTAAATATTAGTCAGAAAAAAAAAAGAGTTTGATGAAAAAGAGTTAACAAGCTCCTTTTTTTTTTTGTAATTAACATTAACATGAGCAAATTAGTTCATTATGCTTTTGATGCTATTTTAATAACAACTATTTTAGCTGGTATTAAACGTTCTACTGGTCTACAGTTAAGTTTTATTGTATTTCTCTTTTTACATGTAAAATATCTAATTTTTTTATCGCTTAAAGACCAGCAACGTCTAAGATTGAAAGCAGTACTATTCGTAACTATGTTGATAAGTATCTTAATGTAGGCGAATGGATATTTGACATGACCATTGCATATTTGAAACATTCGTCTTATTTTACAAAGGAGAAATACAATAATAAAGAATGACAAGAATATACATCACTAAATACCCCTCTTTCTCAGTTTATAATAAAGCCTTTATAATACTACTTTTTAAGCTTATTTGTCGTAACGTTTTTTTTTTATATTCGACTTCATACTTCCTCCCCTTTTTTTTTCTTCTTTTTTTCTTTTGATACATGCTGTTATAATGACCTGTCACAAGACCGTAAAAATAATACATTGTATACATAGTTTGATATTGCTAATACTAGTCTAATTTTATACAGGTACAAGATCATTTTAAGGCATTCTAAAAAAAATGAAACAGTTTATTGAATACTACAAATCTAAGATATAATACTACGTTTGTAAAAGAAATACGTATATGTGTACGCATGTTCAATGATACAAGTAATAAAACCAATGTGAAAATATGTAGATCGAATTCTAAAAAAGTATGTGCACATTAGCACTAATACTATTACACCTTTCCCCCCCTACCTCACTTTCGCTTTCTTAACATTGTCTTTTGCAGTGACGGTCTACGAACACAGTTGTTACAATATGTAAATGTATTTACTTATTTACTAAAGAATCCAGATGAATGTTGTAGATATAGTAAATTCTCACTCAAATTAAAAGGATCAAGGTATAGTTAAGGATAAAGAGAACGTTATTGTAGCTAATAGTGTATTTAAGTTTAAAAAAGGTTTGCCAGATCATTTTCTATTCTATTAATTCTTCGGTAAATCTATCATCGTAAAGAAAAAAAAAAGTCCTGCTTTGAAACAATTCAACTCTGAAGCAGACAAAAGTGTGTTTAAACTAGTATTTTCTCTGCCTAATAAGAGCAACTCTTGGCATTTTTAAAAAAAAAACTTGACATGTGTTCCTGATGACGAAAGAGAAGAATGTATAATTTTATTGTTGAATGCAACTATATTCAGTAAGCAAAATGAAGATTAATTCTAGACCCTTTTTTTTTCATTTTAGTTCTTTAGTGATCAAGTTTAGTGTTGATAATGAATGGTATTGTTTGTGAAATAAATTGAGAGAAAGTTTAATAAAATAGTAGTAAGGTTATTTCTCTTTTTAGTTATTATTAAACTATGTGGAGAAATACCAATTCAGTATATACGAGTATGTTGAAAAAATAAAATAAAATAAACTATACTCATAGCATAAAATATCTACTTGCTTGGTAGTTTATAGAAGTGGCATCTACTACTTTAATATATTTCCTAGAGGATGCCAAGCATCATGCATCAATTGTCAAAAGTTGATAATCTGCAACTGTTGTAAGCATGCCTAAATATTCAATTTTTAAGAAATCTCAAGTTATTACTACACAGTATAATGATACAAAATATAGCAATAAAATTTATTTTTGTACATGTGGAAAGCACTGTGAATTTTGCAGTGAAGAATAGTGTGAGGAAGCTGCTTATCAACTGACGAGATTTTCACTGAATAAACACCATTTATGCTAGTGCTGACAGCATTGTAAACCAACTGTTCTGAAGATATTAAAAAATGACTTTAAAGATAGTAGTCTGAAGTCGTCTTTGATTTGATTAATGAATATCAAATCATACCTTCTCAGTTGATCATAGCTTAGTTCTGATGAATAGAGAGTCTAGCAATAAATAGTCTGTAAATGGCAGGGTACATACACATCTGTATTAGTTTCTTCATGAGGTTAAAATGGAAACTTCAAGACAACAGTTATAATTATTTGTGCGGGCCTTTAATAATAATAATAATAAAAAATGGTAACATGCTAATCGCAGGTCTCTCTCCGCCCCTTCTATTTTGTTTATTTTATTTTATTTTATTTTATTTTATTTTATTTTATTTTATTTTATTTTATTTTTATTCTTTCAAGATGGAAGTTGATCAAATAACAACTAATAGTACCGAGTCTATAGTAAATACAGATACACCATCATCTATTGTGGAAACTTCAAACAATAATCCGGGTATGGCTAGTAGAAGGACAAGTGAAGAACAAGAGCTTTATCCTATTGCTGTCTTGGTTGATGAATTAAAAAATGAAGATGTCCAATTACGTTTAAATGCTATTGAAAACTTGGGGACTATCGCTATGGCTTTAGGTCCTCAAAGAACACGAGATGAGCTAATACCCTTTCTTAATGGTATACATTTATATACATGTAATGAATTCGAAATTAACTTTTTAATATTCAGAAACTGTTGACGATGAAGATGAAGTCCTCTTAGCAGTTGCAGAACAACTTGCTAACTTTTCTGAATATGTTGGTGGTCCTGAATTTGCACATTATTTATTAAGCCCTCTGGAGAATTTAGCAACTGTTGAAGAAGTTCTTGTTAGAGATAAAGTAAGCGTATACATACACAAATATATTTATATCGTGTATTTAAAGGAACCTTTTTTTTTTTAAAAAAAAAATTGACATCATTAGGCTGTAGAATCAATGAATAAAATTGTCAAATTACTTAATTCATCACAGATATCACATTATTTTCTTCCTTTACTGAAACGTTTAACTTCAGCAGATTGGTTTACAGGGCGTATTTCAGCATGCGGTTTATATGCAACTGTATATTCTAAATGCACAACAGAAGAACAGAACGAACTAAGAAGTTCATTTGCTCAACTCATCCAAGATGATACACCTATGGTTAAGAGAGCTGCTGCAAAAGCACTTGCTGTATGTGTGTTGAATCTTTGATATTAGCTTTTCTCATATAATATTATTTTTAATTTTATAGGATTTTTCGAAAGAATTAACGAAACAACAACTTATTAATCAAATACTTCCCTTATTCCTTAGACTTACAACGGATGATCAAGACACTGTCAGACTATTGACTGTAGAAGATTTAATACAGATTGCAAAGATATTTAACCCTGATGAATGTAAGCAATATTTGTTAGCTACACTTAAAGCTTTAGGACAAGACAGATCATGGAGAGTGAGATATATGGTAGCAAAACATTTTGCAGAGGTGATATATATATATATATGTATGTGTGTGTGTTTGTGTATATATATTTATATTATACTAGCTTTGTAAAGCCTTAGGTGACTCTATTACGCGCGAAGAAATGGTCTCATTATTTGTGAGTCTTATCAAGGACAGTGAAGGGGAAGTTAAAATTTTGGCTGTTGGGCAAGCACCAGGTAACAAAAAAAAAAAAAAGTCTCTATTCATTTTGAACAAAAACTCAATTATTATAATTTATTAGCATTTTCAAAATTGATCGACCAATCAGTTACCATCGAAAAAATTCTTCCCTGTATTAAGGATCTTGTTATTGATACAAACCAGCATGTTCGTGCTGCTGTAGCTTTAAATATCAAGGGATTCGCTCCTATCTTAGGGAAAGAATTGTATGTGAATATTATATTATATTATGTTATGTTATTTACCTTTTAATACTTAGGACTATTGAATATCTTTTGCCCTTATTTCTTCAATTGCTTAAAGATGACTTTCCAGATGTTAGACTTAATATTATATCTAAGCTTGAAGACGTAAATGAAGGTAATTGATTGTTAATATGAATAGACAAATTATAAACTGAACCTTTTTCTTTGATAGTTATTGGTGTAGATCGTCTTTCTCAATCACTCTTACCTGCTATTGTTGAATTAGCTGAAGACAAACAGTGGAGAGTCAGGCTTGCGATTATAGAGTATATTCCATTATTAGCATCACAAATAGGTGTAGACTTCTTTGATGAGAAGCTTCTTAATTTATGTTTATCATGGTTGGTTGATGCTGTCTTTTCCATTCGTGATGCAGCAACTACCAATTTAAAGAAATTAGTTGGAATATTTGGCTATGACTGGGCTAAAGATACCGTTTTACCTAAGGTTATGCAGATGGCTCAGAAGGAAAATTATCTTTATAGAATGACAACTCTTTTCACCTTATCGGTAAGTATATGGCTATTAAGCTATTATGAATAACATATTTATTGTTATCTATATATTTATATGTATATGTATGTATGTATTTAGACAATGGCAGTATCTCTTACACCTGATATTATCAAAGAAAAGGTTCTTCCTACTGTAATTGGGCTTGTTGATGATCCTATTCCAAATGTTAGATTTAATGTCGCTAAAGCCTTAGAGGTTCTTATACCTATTTTGAAACAAGATCCAACTACAACTGAACTTATTTCTACTGAAGTTATGGATGCGCTTAAGAAGCTTTGTGGAGATTTAGATGTTGATGTTAGATTCTTTGCAGAAAAAGCATTAATAACAGGTACCAAAAAATAAAAATTTGTTACTATTTACTTTACGCTCATACATACTTTCTATCTCTTTTTCTCTTTCTCTCTTTCTTTCTTTCTTTCTTTTTTTTTTTTTTTTTTTTTTTTTTTATTATTATCACTAGCACAAAGCAATTAATAAATTTCGCTTTTCGTCTGTTTATTATTTCCCCTCTTTTTTTTTTTTTTTTTTTTTTTTTTTTTTTTTTGTTTTTTTTGTTTTGTTTTGCAAATAAAAAGAAAAAGTAAATATGAATACATATTATTATAAAACAATGAAACAAGGGCTTTACTAGACAGAAAAAAAGACTATTCAAGTATTGTACGCACATACATTTATCTAGTAGGATATATATGTATTTATGGCTTCAACCTAACCATGGCTTATTCTTTCATTATTGTTAACAATCATTTTAATGTACACAGATTATATAAATATTATTTTATTATTATATACAAATAACGAGGGAAAAAAAAAGCTTGGGAGGTGTGTGTGTGTGTGGGGAAGTCTATCAACTAGGCAATATATAATGGTAATATTTACTTTAATAATAATAATAATAATAAAAAAAGGGGGGGGGTACCTTATTGCGTTTCAATATTAGGCAAAGAATTTTTAGAGGGATACTGTATCTCCTGAATAGCTTCATCTGAATGGTTATCATAATTATACTTTTTCATTTTATCCTCGTCTGGTTGTTGAATAGTCGTGTCCATGCTACTACCATTTGTCTTATTTCCAGGATGTGAAGACCTACCATTATGCAACACTAACTCTTGCTCACGTACGATATCATTATCATACGGATAATATTGATGTAGAAAATGTTTAGCAGACATACGAGGGATATAGCAGGTAACGATGGTGAGAATAAGAAGTAACCAATAGTATCCTGTGCCAAATAAGACATAATGACCAGAGAAGATAAAGGTATTAAATTGGGCATAGATACAGACAAATGCATAATAGACTAGAATAGATAAACCAATAATAGTGAGTTGAATCCATGTAAAGCTATTCAAGGAAGTCAAGACAAAGGAGTTTGCAACGATAACAGCAATACTGGATACAATCGTACCAAATTCATACATGCTATTCTGGTCACGTCCTGCAGGATCAATAGGGCCATCTAATAAGAGTGTATATGGGAAAAAGAAACAAACGGCGGATTGGAAGATGGAATCGAATACTGTCAAATAGAATCGCCAAGGCTTAAATCTATCATTACGAAGACCCATTCGGTATAATTCAGGATAAAATAATGATACCTTTGCATTCACATCTTGATCCCAAATACCCAAGAATATAATGGGTAATGACGTAAAAATAAGATTGTAAAGTGCAACAAGAGCATATTCATACATCATAGAACCGTTAAATCTAATAATAATAATAATAATAATTAAATTTTGCTGCTATTTTATAAAAAAAAAAAATAGATAATCCACTTACTGACAAAAGATTTGATACCAAAATAATACAAATGTCCATACAATATTCTTAAAAAAGAATCCCATAATCATTTCAGACGTTCTAAGATAAGACCATCTACCATGAACCAACAATAACTTTTTCAAGAAACGGAATTGAGCAATTGCATAATCAGAGGCCATAACCGCTTGTCTACCTTCTACACCAGAGATACCAATACCTACATTGGCTTCTTGAATCATAGATACATCATTCGCACCATCTCCTATAGCCAATGTCATGACTTTTAAACCCTTTTTAACCAGACGAACGACCTGTGCCTTTTGCTTAGGACTGACACGACAACAGATGACACTCGAACAACGAATACCAAGCTCTAACAGTAAATCCTTTGTCTTTGGCTCTAATGCATATTTTAAAGTGGTACCATCAATGACAAGGGCACATCGTTTATCATTTTCTACTTCATTTATCCTTTTAAGGGCATTCTTTAATTGATTGATCGTCTCTTCTCTATCATCTGCTCTAACAATCACAAGCTCCATATCAAGAGTAATCAGATTACAGGAGAAACCAATGTTGATGGCTGTCTCTGTTTTATCACCCGTAAGAACCCAGAGCTTAATACCTGATTGTGCTAACTCTGCAATTGTCTCGGGCACACCATCCTGAAGTCTATCTTCGATGGCCGTTCCACCCATTAACAACATATTATTCTCAATCTCCTCGTAAACTGCGTCTAACTTCTCTTCACGGTTATAAATCGCTGCACTTGCCTCTTGATATTGACGATTCCATCTTTTATATTCTTGTGAGGAAATGAATCGGTAGGCTAAGCAAAGTGTACGTAAACCTTCATTAGCAAATTCCTCAAGATGTTCTGTTGTAATACGTTGCAACTCCATCTGTGCGTTTTGTAATTCATGTTGGTCACCAAAATCAGAACAGAGACGTTCATAAATAACAGAGTCAGCGCCCTTACAGAGCAAGACAATTTTATCACTATCATGAGGCTTGATGATCACACTCATACGTTTACGAGTGGAATTAAATTCTAGTACATTCAGTAGTTCAAATTTCTTTTTAACCCCCATGATCTCTGCCGTCAGCGTAGTCGCCTCACGTCCAAGGAAAACGAAACCTAGATCACGCGCTGCAGCCACTAACGCAGCTTCATCGGGGGACTGAGCCTTATATTCGATCTGATGAAGATTTGATTTATCAGGTCGCTCTGCAATGGCTGTATGGCAGAGTGCAAGCGTTGTAAAGAAATGAATCATGGATGTTGAATGGGAATTTTGCTGTCCCAAATCATCGAATAATTTTGGATCAATAAATGTTGGATTAGATCCAACGTATTTATTTTCAAAGAGTTCTTGTTGCTTTTGATACATTTGGTATCGTGCCATATCCATGTCCTGAAAATTTTCATCACCCAGCTCTTTACCGGAATAAATAGAACCTCGTCGGATCTCTGCTCCTATTGATGTCTCTGTCTTTCCAATACCATATGAAACACCATTAATTGTACCTTTTCTGGCTTCCATTATATTTTGTGTAAGTGTACCCGTTTTATCAGAAAAGATGTATTCAATTTGTCCAAGGTCATCTGATATATTCCATGTCTTTGGAATACAAGGTGTATCTGTTGGTTCATGATACATGTCAATATCTGCATAGATGAAATAAGCCTATCAAAAAAAAAAAAAATTAACAAAAACCCCTTGTGTATCCAATTACTACAAAAAAAAAAAAAAATACATACTGCAAATGTTTTAACGATTTCAATTGAAATATACAATGAAATTGGAACAATATTCTGATATAAAATTAAAGTGACCCTATAAATAAATATATATGATATAAATACAAGCTTCCAAAATTAATATTTACAGTTATTTTAAATTTACCAAAATGTAATAAAACCTAAATAAGAGCCACTGTTTCCTTCAATACCAAAATTAAAGTATTGGGCTGAACCAAGATCACCAAATTGTACGCTTGCCATGACTGAACTTACAATACTCATAATAGCCAAGATAACGAAATTGGCAATAACCTAATGCAATATATATATATACATATATATGTATGTATATACGTTAACACTATAGATTATATATATATATATATAGATTAAAAAAAAACTACTACTTACAAATGGGTTTGTTCCCTTTGCCATTTTACTACGTTTTGAAGGAGTTTTACCAGAATTCAACATAATCTTTGTTTCATTACCAGTAAATATAACTATACCAATTGCCCATTTTGTATTTCTTAATACACAGCCACGTAATAATAGATTATTATAAGTAACTGCCTCTGTCTTTTGATGACTAACAGAATTATTATCTTCATCTGGTTGCTCAATATCCCAACGCATGACGCCATTATATTGATACAAATTAGCATGTGGAGGTTCGCTTTCAAAATAAAAAAAGGCACGTTCACAATCATGAACTGAACGTAATTCACTCGTTGCCTTGAGACCCTGTCGTACCTTTAGATTTGTTTCACCATCCAAGTTTTGTGTTTCGACGTAACACAGATTGTCTTTCTCGGATGTAGATAAAATGACAATATCGGCCGGAATATCTTCATTGTTTCTAATCATGACATAATCACCCACTTGAATATCTTGCCATTGTACCTCTTGCCACCCTACTTTGCAATGTTCAACAGGAGGATCACCTGCAGGTAAATCAGAACATTTTAAAGCACCAGGATGAATAGAAGAAGAACGACGTCGAATACTCGGTGTAGGAGCACGTTGAAGAACATTATGAGGAATAGTACCGGGACGATAAAATTTCTTCCGAGCAGCAGAGGATGGCATAAAGTATTGGCTTAAATTACTAATCTCTGAGCGAATCGTGCCTGAACGTTGTCGCACCTTTGAATAAAATGTTTTTGGACCAGAAGAGAAAGCAGGAGGAGGTGGGGTAAGAAAGTCAGATGGAGTTGTTGCTTGTAATGGTGTTGGAGAAAGTTCTTCATTTTGAATTGATAAAGAAGAAGAAGAGGAAGAAGAAGAATGATTTTCAGCAATTTCATTTAAAGGTGATTCATCGTCATCAAAATTCAAATCTGCTTTTAAAATAGGTTTATCCTTTATGAGTGACATACGATAAGTATGCGTAAATTGATTATCCACACCTGCCAACATGCAAAAGAAACCTAAAGTGACATGCAGAAAATGAAGCGAGCTCTTTTGTTCTTCTGGAATGTTGACATTCCTCCAGTGACTTAGAGTTAATGTTTTTGCACAATTTACTTTTTGGTCACTTTGATTTCTTTTCAAATCTTCAATACCATCTTTAATGGCAGTAATGACAAGAATACAAATAAGTGGAATAGCGGACACTCCTGGCTCTGTTACACCAAAAAGAGGAATACATTGTAAAATGACAAGAAACAAGAAATAAAGATTAGCTACATTTCTAAATTGCTCAAATAGATTCTTCGGCACAAATGATAGAGGTGTATATTTTGCAGTTCGAACTCGATTAGGAACATATGTCTGATTGATAATTTTACCATTTTCATCTATTTCTGAAGCTGGAGGTGTCATGTTGACAAATATTTTTCGCCTCTTTTGCATGTAAGACGAAGTTGATTCTGTTCTATGAATTTCTTTTTCAGCAATGTCATCGTCTAATTTTTCTTTTGCCTTTCGAGAAAATAATGCTTTCAATCGTAATCGGTGACTCATTTTATTTTATTTTTAATAATGTGTAAATGTATATAGACCAATTATATACATGTAAATTTATAAATAAATATGATATAATACAAAGACTAAATAAAGTAAAGAGAATGAATAAAACTACTATTGCTTATAAAAAAAAATAATAAAAATAATAAAAAAGGAAAAAAAAAAAAAAAAAAGGTTAAACAATCAATAATTCTTTTCACGCTACAAGCCGCTGTTATTATTCATGGCCTATAATAAATAATCCCTAAAAAAGAAAAAAAAAATTGAGCTGTTTTCAAATATATTATTATGATTTGCTGTTGTATGGACAATAAACCATTTAAAATAAATATATTTTTTTTCTTTTCTTTTCTTTTCTTTCATTTGATAATAGTAGTAGGTAGGAATAGTAAGAATAATAAATATTAGTCTTTCTTATGTAATGTAAAAAAAAAAAAAAAAAAAAAAAGTATCAACAAATCATTTATAGTGTCGGAGTTTAAATATTATAAAAAATGCCATTTATCACTAATTTATTATTTTATTTTTCTTCTTTTAGAATTTCTCTTTCCATATTAGCCTCAATAATTATTTGTCCATTTTATACTTTGAAATGAATCTAATAAGAATCGAAAGTTTCTTTTCTTTTTATTCTTTTGTTTGTTTTTTTTTACATATAAATATAAACTTTTATTATTATAAATATAACATTATACACGTGCCATTTTAGAGGCTTAGTGATGACTACATAACGTGTAAAAGAAAGATATAAAAGAAGTCCGACGTGTATCAAAATCATTGTCATCATTTTCCCCACCGCAGCAGTAGTAGTGATTATTACTTTCTCCTTTTTTTTTTGATATAAATTTATACAGTAAAAAAAAAAGATTTATACAAGATTTAGACATGATTGTCGTCTATAATAGTTTTTTTTTTGTTGTATTCTATATTTGTATATACTTTATTTCAGTCAAATTTAAAGACCAACGTAATAAGCTTGTCCATCAACGTTATGAATAGGTAAAACAGTCATTTCTTCTCCATGTTGACCTTTAATACTTACAGTCCATTCATACCATACTTTAGTGGCATCAGTTAAACGCCAAAATTCAAGAGATACAGTAGATCCTTTAGGTATTTGAACTGGGGAACGAATAGGAAAATAAATTGGAAACCAGCTAAGCATATCGGGTGAGTGAGTTTCAGGACGAATAGAAATCATGACATCTTTATAGAGTACGCATTCAAAGTAACCTGCAATACCATGCATGACTGTATCATGGTGAATAGTAAATTCAACACGACTATATCGCTTATTATGGAGATTATTTAATGGATTGCCACCATGAGATTCGATATTTCCTTTCTTAGTAGGATGTTCAAAGGTCCAAAGTGCCTTAGAAGGTGCTAACTCACATACTTGTTGGAATAAAACAACATAAGGTATCTCAAATCTTTCCAATTCTTTGTAAGCGCCTACATTATTGAATAATCGTGTAGATGCTAATGGAGAAGCATAACTTGTATAAGAAGCAGGGATAGAGATGCCTCCATCTATTGTATTTTCATAAGGTACAAGTCATTCATAAATTTAAATATCAAAAAAAAAAAATACCTTTAATAAACTTTTGAGCACCATCTAAACATTCAGGAGATAATTCATTATCACCAAATGAACCTAATAATTCACTTACTAAAATATCACACTAATTATAGACCATATGCATATATAAGTGAACAAAAAAAATATATATAAAATCATATATCCTTTCTTTACCTTTGTAGGAGGGTTCCATTTCCTCATATCTGCAAAGACTAATGTTACTTTATCTCCCCATTTTTCTGCTTTTACATTTTGTAGACTATATAAAATATCCATATATATTAAATCATCTTCTTATTTAAATAGATTACAAAGTAATATACTTACGTTACATATGCATTCGGATTCTTTTCAAGAGCAAAGATATGTACTTTTCTCTCGGATTTTTCAGAAGCACGTAAACAACAATTCACTAAAGGTCCTCTACCAGCTCCAACAACCATAATAGTCCTATATACCATGATTTAGTAAATATATATCTATGTATATAATAGTAAAGAAAATATGTATATACATATAATTATATACATATACATATATATTTATATTTATATGCTTTACGTGACATAATCTGATCCATGTTCAACACGGTCTAATAAGGCTTTATAAACAGCTTTCTCATATTGTTGGTATTTAACAGGATCTTTTTCAAATACTTCATATGTTTGATTTTCTAAATTATCCATTAAAGGCTGTAAAGGCGCTTGAAGATAATCATGATATCCTATTGTACTCTGTTCTAATTCTGTCCAACGAGGTAATCTACGGTTAAGATAACGAATATATTCAAGATAAGAAGTAGGATTTGCTAATTTATGAAGTTGTATTTTTGGATAAGTAACAATAATATCAGGTTTCATTTTATCCATTAACTTTTGAATAAAAAGTTGATGAGCTTTTGGTAATACGGGATATCCCTTTGTATTAGCTACAAATATTTCAGCAGGGACGATCACTTCTTTTACAGGCTCTGCTAGCCATAAATCAAGTAATTGTTCATCAGCAGGTAACTCTGAAGTAATTTCAAGCGCAACATAAATTTTAGGATTAGTTTCTGTTAATGTTCTAAACCGATTCCATCGCTTCCAAGAAATATTGCCTTGAACGTCTTGTCTATCTGTAAGTGGTACTCTTACCATAAACTAAAAAGAAAAAAAAAAGAAAAAGAGATATATATGAATGATATATATATATATATATATATACATTGACTAAGCTTATTTTTATATATAATTACAACAGGAAAAGTCATTGTCTTCACAAGGCTATTAATGGTTCTAGCTGTATTGCTTAAACATCCCTTTGGTAAAAAAGGGAAAATAACACCTGATAAACTAATATGACAGGCCCAATCAATTTCTTGTTTCAAGGCTAATTCTGAACAAAGTCTAATTTCTGGATCGGCTGAATCAAGCTGAATCCAACTAGCTAATAAACCAATCATTTTATGTGACCATTCTATTCATAATTTCAAAGAAAAAAAAAAAGGATCTTTTAATATACAATGTTTTCATTCAATGTCATTTGAAATAATTACCTGCAGAGTTTATGATCAAGTCTTTACGATCAAAAAAAGGTCGATCTTTCCAAATGTCATGATCAAAGTCACTAATGATTCCTTCTTCATTTAATACACTTTTGAAAGAAGGTTGTGAAATAGGTGTGACTACAAAATCATAACCCGTGTCGTTTGCTTGGATATTAAAACTATCGAGGTCATGAAGAGGCTCGGTTGCTAAAAGACCCACACTACACACGCGAGATGATTCAATATGATCACTCATACTAGTTATACAAATACAAAAAAAATAAAATAAAGGAAAATAAAATAAAGGAAAACAAAGGTTCAATCCTTAAACAACTAGTAATTCATGAAAAAAAAAAATACATCGTTTAGCTGAAGTTTAAAAATTACATTTTACGCCCCTTATTGGAGTATAAAAACACTCATTCAGCTTGATAGAAAGTTAGATTTTTCCTCCCTCTTTTACAATTAGAAAAAAAAAAGCATACGGATAATAGTATTATTGACAACAAAAGGGAGAAAGCAAAGTAAATGAATGAATTAGTAAAAGATGGCGTAAATGATTGGACAGGATATTATATGTAAGACGTGCATTCAATTATTTCTGACAGGTACATTTGAAGATAATTGATAATTGGATAGTGTGCTTTGTATAGTAGATCGAATGATGTACATACACCATGTAGACAGCTAGTTAATATAGTTACTGCAATTTCACTGATGACATCATAGATAACAGGAAAGTCGAATGATATAAACGAGTAAATAGTTTTAATTGGTTAGAATCATTTAATGATTTGAGGTTTGATACTTTAATTCAATTTTTTTTAGCATATATTCCCAAGCTGATTGAAATTGGGACTGTTAAATCTTGCAAAGACGATAAAAAGAGCTTGTTTAGGTGAAAATGTGAGTTGACATGATATGAGTTATACATAGAGCATAGGCCATCTTTCACGCTTCATCCATCCTATAAATTTAACAGAATGATGTTGAGAAGGGGAAGTCACAAAATAGCATTCTAATAAAAGTCTATCTTCTTTTTTTTTTTTATTATAGACCTTAAACTATTCCAAGTAGCAATGATAGTTAAGGTATCACATTAAACAATTTTATTTTATACTTTTATGTCAATTACTTTTTTTTTTCATGGTCAAAGTGCTAATGCTTTAAACAATGATCGTAAGCTTTATTAGTTTTAATTGTGGTGTTTTACATGAACGATAGTCTATCTGCAAGTTGATATCATTGTTACTCAATTTGACTTTAGATCACAGTGAGGACAAATGCGTTATTCCATTAAATAATACTAACCAATGACTGAGACAATCAAAGCTGCTAAGGGGATTTTGCTATATATCCAGTATAAAAATGATTTTTTTTTTTTTTTAGCCCTTATAATAAAAATTATGTTACTCGAAATGTAGTTAATGTAGTCATACTCAATACAATAAAAAACATAGGCAAAAAATATATTATATTATTTTTATTATATAATAACTGTTTATACAAAAGAGAAATAAATTTCTGTAAGTCCGTCGTTTCTCTCTTTTTTTTTTTACATGATTATAAATAATTTAGTTTTCCAAAGTGAAGGCAATACCGAGCTTGTGAGCGTTTTCATTGAAACGAGTGGTATCAACTGAAGCACCAAGATTAACTTTAACACCAGGACGAAGAGATTGAGTATAACTAAAATACATTCAAAATTAAAATCGGATCATATAAACTTTCGATTTATGTGTGTAACTTACGCAAGACCGAGGACACCAGAATTAGAGATCTTGGCTTTAACGAAAGCAGAGCTGTCTAATTGAAGCTTGGCACCCACTTCAAGTGCAACAGCATTAGAACCCTTAGCATCCCAAGAAGCCTTACCAGAAGCTTCAAGGTCACTGTTGACACGATGATAGTAAGAGGCAGAGTAGTTGGATAAATTATTAGTGGCATTAACAGCAACACCATATTCGACAGCAGTATAGCCGACAGCAAAGTTATAGCGTCCAATCTATATTAAAATTAAATTAGCTGAATCTCTTTATTATATTTTATTTTTTATTTACCTTGCCATCTAAAACATTGTAAGCAACTTCAGCACCAGTAAGGAAACCTTGTTGACCAAAAACAGTGTTGATATTGAAATTAGTCTAAAAGAAAGAAAAAAAAACACACACACACAAAAGATTCTTTAGTCTTTATTCTATATATTCCATATTTCTTTTCTTTTTTTTTTTTTACCTTGAATACATCAAGAGTAGCAACAGTGTGGAAGTTGGGCTTCTTATAAGTAGCGTTGATTTTAGCAGCCTTTTCATTAACAGAAGGAAGAAGAGAAGTTAAAAGTTCAAGCTTGAGGCCCTCTAAAAAGACAAAGATATATTAATGACGCGAACCATTATGTATATATAGATAGATAGATAGATAGATAGATAGATAACTTACTGGCAAGGTTGTTTTCAAGTTCAACCTTTCCGTTAAGGTGATTAGAAGTGGTCCAAGCTTCGGTAAAGGTAAGACCACTCTTCTTGTCAGCATACTTAGTCTCGATATCACCAACAATGATACCAGACTTATTATCACGTTGACCATTCACTTTGAATGTCTATTCACAAAATAGAAAGAATAAATAAATATCTTCCCACTTTATCTTTTTTGTTTTAAATTATCTAATTCTCCTATACTTACAACTCCATTGGGGGCAGTGGTCTTAACTTCAAGCTTAACACCACCTACAGGGAAGTCCTTTGTTAAAAGGTCCTTGGCGGGTTTACCAATATCATTGAAAGCAACTATATTTTTTTTTTTAAAAAAAAAAAATAGATCAAAATGAGTAAAGCGCGAATACTTTAAATGAACGATCAATATTTACCAGGTACAGACATCTATTAATAATAAAAATAAGTTTATTAGTTCTTGGTTAAATGTAAATTGCTTTAATGAGTCAACATATACCTTTTTATATAATTTGTATTAATAAAAATAAAAAAAGAAAAAAAAAAAAAATAAAATAAAATAAAATAAAAGGTTTCTTTCTCTGTTAATAAAACGTAACTTTCTTTCGGTTATTTAATTTAACAAGGGTTAATCTTCACACTGAAATAATAAAAAATAACTGGGGTAAATTTTTAAAGGACCCCACACGTATGCACACGAAAAAAAAAAATCATGTCATACAGTTGTCATCATTGAACCCTTTTATTTATTATTACGTAATAAAGCAATCTACATCAGAGACTTTCTTCTTCTTTCGCTTCCCTCCCCCCTTTTTTTTTCGATTACTATTATCCAGTATTTCCTCCGCTAAAAGAGATATTTTTCTTTTTTTTTTTTTTGTTTAGCCTATTCAAATTTGCATTAATCTGCAAAAAAAAAAAAAAAAAAAAAGTAAAAAATAAAAAAAAAAATTCTATCATGCAATTTATTTTTTGTACGCATAATCATTCGTTTTTTCAGATAAAAAGAACATTCTTCTGTAAGGAAGAAAAAAAAATAGACAGACTTTTATTCTTATGATCTACAGTGTGGTAAGAGTCAAATATTAGGTAAAAAGTCTTTGATATTGTTCTAATTAATAAGGATTTAGAATTCATGATTACATATATATATTTGCAGTTATCTTTTTTTTTTTTAGGATAATGTTTTCTCTTTCTTTCTCTTCTAATAAAAAAAAACAACAGAAGGCTATACTTCGTAGGACAGCAGTAATAAAGTGCTATATTATGACATATATAAAAGTAATAAAGCAAATATTTATTTCATGTATCATACATAAAAAAAGAAAAGAAAAGAGAATATTTATACAGAGTAGGAAATACAAATATATTATTCTAATGTTTAAGTCGTTTTTGCTTTTGAATAGCAGCTCGTAGTGACTTTTGCTTCTCAAATAAACTACGTTTAGATTTAGAGAGTACAGATTGTTTGTGGGCAATCATCATAAAGTTCTTATTTCTTGCCTTTTCACGATTAGTAGTACTACCTCTTTCCTTTTTACCCTTATTAGAACCAAATTTCTCGCGTCCTTCACGACCTTCTTGAATAGATGCTATTCTTTGTTCATAATCTTGTTTAGCCTTCTTACGAGGACCAAGAATGGTCATTTCATCCACCTCACCATCACGTTGTGTATCATCAGCATTACGTTTCTGACCTTGTGATACTTCAAGTTCCTTATTCATTCGAAGTTCATTCAAACGTGCAAAATCTGCAGGTGTAAGGATACGGGTTGTAGCCAACTTGAGTGCTGCTTCACGTTTAGCTTGTTCTTCTGCACGACGTGCTTTCACAGCTGCTAATAATTTCTCTCGTTGTTCTTCAGTAATCTCATTTTGCTCCTCTGCTTCCATCATTTTCTTTAACTTTCGTTTACCAATACGACGTGTCTTGATAATTTCACCATCAGATCCTATCTTATATTGAAGCTTCTTACTCTTTTCATCATTATTTGGATCTGTCTCATCATCGCTAAGGTTAACGTTGACATATTCCTCATCATCACTAGGAACATTAATCCATCCTCCTCCTCCTTCTTCTTCATCACTATCATCACTATCATCATCCACTTCCCAATCTCCCCAATCTTCTTCATCCCTTTCAGCTTCATCAAGTAATTCAAGACCTTCAAGGCCATCCATGTTATTCATATCCTCACCATATTGTACAGTACGAATAGAGCCGTCCTTCAACTTGATACTAGCTGTCTTACCGCGATCTTTACGAGCCAACATCTCAGGATTGATTTCACGGAAGAGAGCAATAAGAGAACGAGCCGCCATAAGAACACTTTTATCACGATGTTGTTTATATTGGGTTAAATCTTGCAACAAGGTAGCATCGATAGCCAATGGTTGTCGTGCACATATTTCACGAATACCATTGATACCCACAGCCATCACTTCATTCGCTACACGATCTGTAACAAAGTTATTAGCAATCGCCTTCAAAACTGGTTCTAAAGCATCAGGGGGAACAAGAGCATGTGAGGCTTGTGCAGCACACACCAACACCATCGTCACATCACGTTGAGTAGGTTGAAGATATTTGATCAATAAAGGATAAAAGCCTAAAATGGTCAATTGATGGATACCAATCACACGAGAAACTAGATTCATCTTCATCAAACGAACTTCCCAACGATCATCCTTTGATGTTAATTTGGAATACAACTTTTCAGCAAATCCTTGAGGATCATTCAAGAGATGAAGAGCCGAGAAATTGAAGCTTTCAGCTCTATTCTTACTTTTACTCTTCTTTTTAATCTTCTTTTTAGCAGCTTCCAATTTTCGATCCTTTGATTTAGTCTTCTTACTATGTAAATGAGCCATTTGCATCTTTTTAAGATCTGGAATCTATTATATATAAAAAGATAGATAAGTTATCCCTATTGCTAACTGTAAATAAACAACTCATATTTACTTACATCTTCATCGTCTTCTTCTTCTTCTTGTGCATCGTTACTATTTAAAAAAAATTTGACAGCTGTTACAGAGATTTTGGTAATAGGTGAAAAACAAGCTTCAGCAATAACATTTACAGTTTTAGCATCATTCCAAACATTTTTATGGTATAAATCAACGCAAACATCAATACTCTTTTTAGCAGCAATCGCATTTTCCTCACTATTACCCACTGTAGCTGACTCTAACATAGTAAACATGAATGATTGAAGTGTTTTATTCAATTTGTTATTCTTCACTTTAGAGTTAGCATTCTTGATATCGTTTACAATATGACTATATAGCATTTCACGAAGTTGTTTGTCTTTGCATTTAAAGAGAGTGAAAAATAAGGGTAAAAGACTAACCAAAGTAAAAAAAAAAAAAAAAAAAAAAAAGAAAAAAAAATTAGATACACATATATAAATATAAATGACTACCTCTTTCTCTCTCTCTCTCTCTCTATCTATATATATATATACCTGGTATTATCAATATGGCCTTTGTTTCGAAGAAGAATAAGAGCTTGAACTAAACTTTTTCTAACTTCAGGATGAAGAACCATACAATGCTCCTTTAAAAGATCAATAATTTTTTGAGAAAAATCTTTTGTAACTTCAGGATAATAGTAAGCTACTTGACTCATAAAAGTGACAAGTTCACACAACTCCTTTGATTCTTCATCAGGTTTTAAACAAAAGATGGACAATGTTGATTCAAAGTGTCGCCATTGTTGAAGAAATTCTGCTTCATATGATTTGGAATCACGTTTAATCAAGTTTTGAAGTTGAGGCAAGTGAGTAGGCAATAAGGCAGCTCTATTACGTTTACCCATTGTAGATCTGATCTAATGATTTAAAATATATCTATAAATTAAAAAAAAAAAAAAAAAAAAAAAAAAAAAAAAAATAAAATAAAATAAATATAACTTTTTTTTTTACACCTTAAATTTGACATAAATGGCAAGTTAAAATTTAAGCCACGATCAACAATGAAAAGTAGTCACTAGAAGCTTAAAAATGAATGATGATGGCAATTATTTATTTATTTATTTTTATGCATGTCTATTATCTATTTTACAATAATAAATCTACACCAACACTTTGTAACGCATTAATAGCCCATTGTGGATATTTTGTTTTATCACCACCAAAATAGTTATGGAAAAATGACTTGATCCATGCAGGGAATTCATCCTTTTTAATAGCCTCTCTCATATTACGCATTAATCGAAGTTGGAATGCAATATTATGGATAGAAACAAGATGACAGCCGACTGTATCCTTTGTAATTATGTTAAGATGCACAAAAGATCTTGTGTAATTCTTACAAGTAGAACAATCACAGTCTTCTTCAATAGGTCCAAAATCAGCCGCATATTTACCTGACTTTAAAGATAATGTGCCATGCATTGTAAGAGCATTGCCGAATCTCTATATAAAAGCATGTTATGAGAAGCTTTGTAATATATATATATATAAAAGAAGAAAAGATCTTATTATTTTTTTGAGATACCTACAGCTGTTCTAGTAGGGAAAACACAATCGAACATATCTACGCCTAATGCAACACAAACAACAAGATCCTCAGCATAACTAAGGCAAAATATAAATATATAAAAGAAAATATCCTTTCAATAAATAAACTACTATTTTTTTGTTTGTTTGTTAATCTCTTTACCCAACACCCATACAATAAATAGGTTTAGTCTTTGGCAATAAGTCTGTACATAATGTAACACTTGAAGGAAGAAAAATCATTATTTTTGTACATGTTAAAAAAAAAAGCCCTATAATTTTTCCTGACTTACATTCTCCAGAATTGATCTTTTTCTTCACCACCACTTAAACCACCAACAGCATAACCGGGAGTATCTCTTTTAACCATTTCTTCTATACATTTCTTTCGGAGATCAGGATTAAGGCCACCTTGAATAATAGCAAATAAATTCTGAGTTTCTGGTTTACTATGTGCTTTAATACATCTGTCTAACCAACGAATGGATCTCCACATTGCCTCTTCTACACGTGGTCCTGTTGTTAAAGAAGAAACAACATCATCCAGTTGCATCATAATATCAGCCCCAATCGTATTTTGTAATTCAATAGAATGTTCAGGCGTTAACATCATAAGTGAACCATCATGAGGTGAAGCAAACTGAACACCTTCTTCTGTAATCTCGGCTAGTTTTAAAAGTGATACCATTTGAAATCCTCCACTGTCCTAATAGGCATATTACTATTATATACATATATTATCTTCATTATCCATTCAACTATTAACTTACTGTTAAGAGATTACGTCTCCAACTTTGGAACTGATGCGCACCACCAACAAGATCTAAAGTTTCTTTACCGGGCTTCAATCCCTTATATTATATATATATATATATATTTATATATAAAAAGTTAATTAACCCACTTGGGTTTACTTTTTTTTTTCTTTCTATGACTTATAAATAAATAACCTTACAAGATGATATGTATTGTTTAACATAATTTGACAATTTAATTCTTCCAACTGATCTGGTAATATACCTTTCATTGTGCCTTGAGTACCTACTGGCATAAAGACAGGTGTATCTACAGGACCATGAGGTAAAGTCATAACAGAAACTTTGGCTTTAGTAGTTGAGCATTTTGCTATAGTCTCAAAAGTAAGTGCACTTTTCATCTTGGACAATAATAAACTGGTTCCTAATTTTGACGATGCCACTTTTGAAAAAAAAAAAATATATTATTTTATTGGTAGTTACAAAACAAAACAAAAAAAAAAAAAAAAAAAAAAAAAATAGAAAAAAAAACCAGTGAGGGATACACTTCATTTGTTCTATCTGGCCCAACTTACCGTCACATAATAACAGTCACGGTTTTCTTTTACAATTATTTGATTTATTCAAAAAAAAAAAAAAAAAAAAAAGTTTTGTTACTTTGCAATTTCAATTTATACTAAAAGATGGTAAAAATGCTACTTGTTATCTATAAGTACATCAAGATCTAATTCCTATATTTACGCTAAATGTATGTTATTTTAGGCTAAAGCTAAGAAAACAAGAAAGTTTGCTCAAATGAAGCGAATGATCAGTGCACATGATACTCGATTGTAACTAAATAAAATAAAATAAAAGATCTTGATGTTTTACTAAAAAAAATATATTTATATAATATTTACATATAGAAAAGAAAATAAAGAAAAACAAAAAAAGAAAGAAGAGAAAAAAGAAGAAAAGGCAGTTCGACATGTGTAAATATTCATTAAATAGTATTGAATTATATGATTATTATGACTAAATTTCGAACTTTTATTTGAATAGTACTCAAGTTGCTTCATCAATGTTCTTTCAGTATAATTCAGCTCTTGGACCACCCTATCATGTTTTAGTAGATACCAATTTTATTAATTTTTCAATTCAAAATAAGCTTGAGCTTGTCAAGTCAATGATGGATTGTCTCTATGCAAAATGTAAATGCAATTATATTTATATATATATATATATTGTATAACTAACCAAGTAGTTTAGCTGTTCCTTGTATTACTGACTGTGTCTTGGCAGAATTAGAAAAGTTAGGTCCTAAATATCGTATTGCGTTAAAGTAAGTGAATGAAATTATAATTTTTTTTTATAGGTTAGTTCTAAGTAATATATTCATATACATATATAGAATTGCACGTGATCCTCGTTTTGAAAGACTCCCTTGTTCTCATAAAGGTACTTATGCAGATGACTGTTTAGTTAATCGAGTTATGCAACACAAGTGCTATATTGTTGCTACTTGTGATAGAGATTTAAAGCGACGAATTCGTAAAATACCTGGCATCCCTATTATGTGTATTTCTAATCATAAATATGTTATCGAAAGACTTCCTGAACTTGGTGTTAATCCTAAATAAAAGTAGATATTACAAATTGTAAATAAAGTAATTGTAGTTTTTATTACTCTTATTATCCTTTGTGTATTATCAATACGATAAAGAACATGTTTTATAGCAAACAACGTTTTTAACTGGATTCGACATTTCCTTGTTAAAGAAGGAAAATTTGCAGTAGTAACAATTGGCGGGGTTTGATAAGAAAAAAGGGATAATAATCATTGTTTTTTTTTTTTTTTTTTTTTTTCTTTTTCATTACTTTTTCTCCTTATTTTTAATAAAAATATAAGTGAATCTTTCAATGAGTAAAACGGCTATGATATTTGGCGCCACAGGTAAAATAGATAATTCCTTCTGTTCCAAATAGATTCTTAAATAATAATATAGGCGCTGTTGGCAAACAACTTTTGAAGGACATATTAAAGAATGGAACATATGCAAAAGTGATTAGTGTCGGTAGACGTCCAGTCGAAATAGAAGACAACACGATTCCTCAAGATAAACTGGTAAGTACACTATAAATCTCTTGCTTTTTGCTGTATTTGTTATAGACAAACCCCATTGTTTGATTGATTTTAGGTACAAAAAACGATTGATTTTAATAATTTGGAAGCCTATCGAAATGATTTTAAAGGCGTATCGTAAATACATGCAATATGACATAGATATACGTAATAGAAAATTAATCATATAATAGTGATGTATTTTGCTGTCTTGGCACAACTAGAGCTGATGCTGGAAGCGCTGAGAATTTCATTAAAATTGATCAAACCTATGTCTTGGACTCTGCTAGATTAATTGCTGAAGAAAATAAAACAGACAAAGCTTTATCTCCTGTACATTTTCTGTATTGTTCTGCTTCAGTAAGTCAAGCATGTATTTATGTATTTATTTATTTATTTATTTTTTTCTATTTAGAATTCAAATAAGAATTCAATGTTTTTATATCCAAAGACAAAAGGTGAGACTGAAGCTGCACTTGAAGAAATAGGATTTGAAAAGGTATCCATCTTTCGTCCTGGATTCTTGGAAACTGTTGAGCCTCGTACACGTCCTCGAATGAGTGAATCTATTGCATTTTCTATTTTTAAACCAATCAATCAACTCTTCAATTTAAACATGGTTATCTCGGTTGAAACTGTTGGTAAAGCAATGCATAAAGTAGCTGCAAATGCTTCTATTAAACCAACTGAAGAAAAGAATATGAAACAATCTTCAATTGGATCAACTATCTTTTCCTTTTCTAACGCTGATATTGAAGAAATCGGCCATCCAAACCACTAAAATTTTACAATTATTTTTTACAATTATTTTTTATTTTATTTTATTTTATTTTTTTTTTTTTATTTTATCTCTTTTCGTATATCGACTCTTGAATTATAAAATGAAGGAATTAGATCCTCTTACTGTTAGTGGAATATTTGAGTTGAAATAATAAAAATAAGTAGTATTTTAACTTGCTCTTTTATCGTTGTTATTTGATATAGTTTACAGTTGAACTCGGTCAATTTTATGAAAAGTCAAAAACATCAGGCAATGTTTACGTTACAATGAAAAGAAGTAATGTTGAAATTATACATAAATATTCACTTCATGTTGATTTATTTTACATTTTAATTAAATACAGTGACTGAAGAGAAATTAATAAAGGTAGCTAAAATGAAAAAGGAAATACCTAGAGGAGGTGATGCAGTAATTGGAAACTTAGACATAGATAATGTTCAATACCCATGTCTCGTTCGTGCAACTTATAAAAAGAACAAGATTAGTACTATTGTAGTGTATAACATTATTTTATTTTTTTGCATGTATGAATATATGGACCTAATATCTTAATTTGAACTCTCCATTATAGATTGCACCTGATGATTTTAATAGATTTCAAAATGCGTATAGTACAATTATTAGAGCTTATATGGATACATTGAAAAAGAGAGATCGTTCCAAGAAGATAAAGAAAGTCTCAAAATAATGATTACAATAATAAAATAGATGTTGTAAAAAGAAAGGAGTTAAAGAAGATACTTTAATTTGTAATATGTTTTCTTGTTTATTCTTTCAAGACTATAATTTAGTAAAGTTATTCGATTCACGACCATTATTCTTCAAATCGTTAAGATGGAACCATTTACAATTAAATTTGTATTTTTTTTTTTTGTTAATGCTTAGCTTCTAAAGATACAAATATATCGTCAAGTCAAAGCAAATGACTTGATAATAGCCTTCATTTTCTTTTTTTTATTCACATTATCATGGTACAGTCATATTTACAGTATTTAAACTTGAGATTCAGATGATTTTTCAGGAAATTAAGGACAAATTTGTAAAGCAAATTCAGAAAAAGTTAATATCCATTTTAGAAAGAATAAAACAACTTGGCAAATCGTTTTTTTTTTCTACATGGTAAAAATCTAAATACTTCTTCCTGACAGAGAAAGGGAACAGTGTTAGATACGGCGATATATACATATTAAAAAAAAAAGTGTTTTTCTTGACATAAAGCAAAAGGACGACTATAGCTATATTAATCAAAAAAAAAAAAAAAAAAAAAAAAAAAAAAAAAAGAAAAAGAAATTAATCTATGCCATAGTATCAAGTCATTAGCTTACCTTTGATGTATGAAACTCATGCATACCGATAAGAATCAACTTCCTATTTTTCTGCCGATATTTTAAAGTTTCCCATAAAACTTCTGTTACTCCAATGTGAAGTCCTTCGGAATGAACTGCATTTCTACCCCTTCATTACAGGTACCAAAAGCAATAACAGGTGGCTTGCTTTTATTAGACTTAACTTTCTTGGGTTCTCAATATCATCAGTTTTTTTTTTTTTTTTTTTGACTTCCATTTGTACATTTAAAATAAAATAAAATAAAACTTCTCTTGACGATTTTGATATACAATTATCAACGTACTACTCATTGGATTTAAATTTTAAACGTATTATAGTCTTTATCATGACAAAATTTTATTTTTTTTAAAGAAAAAAAAAAAGAATGATCGTAAAAAAAGAAGTTTTTTATTTTTCATTTTTGTTAATATTATAAAAAAAATGCTTTTCTTAGTTCTCAAATCTCTTTAAAAGAAACTTGATACTAACAGGATTAACCACGAGAAGGTGAAAGCATATCTAATCCCAAAAATAAAACTATAAACCAACACCAATACTAAAGCTGGTTATTTTTTTCTTTTTTCTCTTCAAGACAGATAGACCAATTTCGACTAGTAGACACTTGGCAAAGTACCAACCTGACCCAAGCCTTGCTAGAAGAAAAAGATAGAATTCCTCACTTCCTACCCCAATAAAAAATACAGTTGGATGTAAGTTTCACTGGAAGCCGGGCTAAACATTCTGACCTGTAGCGTGGCGAAGTGGAAGGAATCCAGATACATGAAGTGCACGACCTGACTATTGTTTACCTGAGAATGTCCCTTCTTTGACCCCTAGCATCTACTTTTGACTTAACAGTAAATACAAGCTGGGATTCTTCACCTAAATGAATAGATGAAAAAACCACGGTCAGAAACGTAAGCTGTGCATCCTTATCTATTTTTATTTTATAAACAGCAACTAGATAAAAATAAAAAGAAGGAAAAACCTCCAAAAAGAAAAACAGAAAAACTAAACCTTGAGATAAGCCCTTTCAATGGTGCAGACAAAGAGTACGCTAATCTCCCTAAAAAAGGAACAGGTTTACAATTTCCAACCCCAAGTATCCTTTTTATTTCCCTCCTCCTTTGGAAATAAATCAAACTTGAGCAGTCAAAATTCGATAAGGTCCCATCAATTATCTAAGGTTGCAATAATCCAAGGTGAAGGCGGATATGCATGTAGTAACCAAAAGAGAGTCTAGGCCCTCCCCTTTAGCCATGTTATAAACGGACAGTTCTACAAACTCAAGTAAGCCAAGCTATGTGACTTGAGCACACTTCATAATCCTGACTTTCTCTGACTTTAGGAAAAAAAAGAAAAAAAAGGGTAGCAATGTATTATTATTCTTATGCTTTAAAAAAACTAAAGAAAAAGAAAAGAAAAAAAAAAGGCAAAAAGAAATTTACTCTTATTTATTATGAAGCATGTGAAAAAAAAAAAGAAAAAGGAGAAAAGAAGGAGAACATACTAGACCTTTTCTTTTGTTTTTTTTTTTTGTTTTGTTTTTTCTTTTTTTTTGCACATGTACATCACATTATTTATGAAACTTTAATACATGTGTATGCAAATAAATTTACAACTTTTTCTTTTCTTTGCCCATAAAATACTTTTTACCAAGTATTTATTTAGGAGTTTACACATTATATATTAAAATATAAAAATGAAGACTTACTAAGAAAAAAAAAAGGAAGGAAGGAAGGGAAACACAAATAATTTAGATAATGCATTTGAATGCTTGGCGAAAAGTTAATTAAACGAGTAACCAAAAAGAGTTAGAAAATGTTACACGATAGATTCTATTTTTGCATGTAGATCGTATGTGTTGGTTATTAAAAAAAAAGAAGAAAAAAGGACAAGAGAGAGAGAGAGTAAAAAGTTGTAAAAGCTACTTCTATAAACAAGTTTTATCGATTTGATAATATATAGTAAAATTAAAAAAAAAAAAAATAGGGAATCCGCTTTAAAATTTATTCAATATACAATTACACTAAAAGTATGCAGTCAATTGATCTACATTCGTTTTGAACTAGAAAAGGCTTAGGCTTAATACATGTGTGTAAAAAAAGGAGGAAACTATAACAAAGGAAAAAAAAAGCTGGTGAAACCAAGGGGTAACAAAAAAAAAGTGAAGCTAAAGGAACTGAAAAAGTTAATTTATAACCTAAGGTGGTGCTAAAGATAAACATCTGTTACACTATATATAACAATCTATCGTTCTATATCCCTTAAATTATTATCAACTGAGGGGTGTAGGGAGGTACTGCTGACGGTGGAATGCAGTGGGATAGACATAAAATCTGTAAATTACTGATTTATAGGTATTTTGTAAAGTAGAACATTGTTTTGGCTGAAGGTATAATGTAAAATATCAACATTATTGCAGAGGTATCTAGCTGTAGTTATAATAAAAACATGAATACATTTAATTGATCTAACCCTTAAATCTAGACAAATTAATTAGTCACAGTCACTAATAATAAACTTTTTTTTTTTCTTTGAAGAATATTATGACTATACTTCCAGATCAAAATATATAAAAGCAATACTTATTGGAACAGTATTCTATTATTCAAATATCTTTAATAGACAAAAACGCATATAAGGATTTGCATTGATAGCAATAACTTAAAGAAGTATCATTCCTTGAGCAATGATATTTAAAGACATATTTAGTAGTTTTTTTTTTCTCCACCCTTTTTTTTTTCTTTAGGTTATACAAATGAATATCTAATGATGTAGAGTCGATATACATCAAAATGCTGTGTACAAAAAGCTATATGCAGTATGATCTGTCATTATTAGTTCTACACAATGTAGTTTCCTCCTTTACAACTAAAAACATCATTATTGTATACAATCATACAAATATAATTCCATATGATACGCAAACACAACAAATTATAATGTATACTACCTTTTTCTCTCTCTTTCTATAATACTATATATTTGAAGAGTTTAAAAAAGAAAAATGAGATCTTTAGGATTGTCTATACAAAAAAAAAAAAAAAGAACCCCCTTTTCTTTTGTTTATACTATACTATGGCTAAATATGTATATTTTTGAAGGCATTGTTCAGTTAAGCATATCCTCGAAACATTTCTTTAAATATTCATAGAAATCCTCTGTCTCGAGTGTTATACAATATTTGAGTTGAAACCTGATTAAAAAAAAAAAAAATGCGGATAAAAGATGTGAAACCATCGATTATATTTACTATATTTAGGATATTATCACCAGTAGCAGCGTTTAATTAATTCTATCTATGCAAGCGCAAAGGATACCATTATTCATGTTTGTATTATCTGACTTATTTCTTGTGAAGCAATTGTTATATCCAATATATTTATAATGGTAGTTCTTCTCACCTGTTTAGCTATCATTGTATTATTCCTTGTCTTGTTAATTCTAATACAAAAAAAAAAAGTCTTGTATATAATTACTGACATGATGATATCTTATATGAGTAACAGTCTGATTAAATCATATTCTTATTGAATACTCTTGCCATTGATAATATTTTAATATATATTTATCAATGATACTGATTCATATATTTGATTTTATATGTATGTTTGTATATAAAGTATTGTATATATTTAGTATTTCTTTTGATAATTTGCTTCTTCTACCTCGTGTTAGTTCTTTTTCAAAATATATATATATATATATATATGCTCGTAAGATTTACATCATAATTAGTAGTTGATATGATATTATTAAAAAAATACGATATACATATATGAATATATGTGCATTTAAGCATTGTTACTATTAGGCTAGAATACAAGTCGACAACGATGTGCTTAACTTGACATTTATATTTTGCTATTCTGAAGAAATCTACATTTTCGTACCGAAAGGACATGCAAAACCTCAAATAGATATGATTGTCATAATTCTGACAATTAAAACCCCCCTTTTTTTTTGCATACATTTAATAACGTCTTTTTCAAGTTGATGTAAAGAAAAAAATGATTGTTAATAATGAATAACAAACTAAAGGCTATTCATAATCAAATTAATAATTGATTATTCTTTAACATAGAATTTATATACTATGATCATTTCAGAAAATAGACCATTTATTATTATAAACTTTCTTCTTCAGAGTCTACAGAAGTAGTAGTGATGGTGATAAAAAGTTAATTTTATTTACAAAGAATATTATACAATAATATAGATAGATTATTTTCAAGAAAAAAAAAAGGATTTAAATAGAAATTCTTATATGTACATAATATTACTTTATATGATTAAGACATTAAACAGCAGCAGCAGCAGTAGTAGTAGTAGTGCTTGTATTAGATGAGGAAGGTGGTAATAGGACTGAATTTCCGTTGGATCTTTTTGTAGATATTAACGCAGAAATAGTATTGTCAAGCATAGATGAAACAACGGACAAGTCTGTTCTAGAACGAGAGGATCTTTCTAATAAGATAACTACTTTAGTGAGATCTAAAAAGATTTCTATTTGAAATTCAATTTCCTCGAACCACATTTGCCAGCAATAATGGGTTGCATTCTTTTTGAGTGACTCATATAATGTTAATGAATGGTTTCTCTTTTGTAATTGATTTAACTTGACTCTCTTCCTTTCATGTTGTCTTTCTTTTTCTTCTTCCTTTCTTTGATTGTCATTTAAAAAGAAAAATTGAATACGTTGACGAGTGATGGTATTCAAGTCATTCGCTGATAATAAATCATTTTTGACTAATGTTCCAATAAATCGAATAAGGATACAAAAGTTTAAACGTAAAAATCGACTATGTTGTTGAAGAGTCATGATGGTTGAAGCTCGAGGAGACGTTGTTGAAGATGTGACTAACAAAAGACGTCGATTGTAATGACTGTGATAACGAGTGGCTAAACTATCTAAATGACGATGAATATGATTTAATAAAAGTCTATGATGGATTTCAGTGATTGGTTCAATTTCGAACAATGCAGTTAGTGTTGGATAAAAGGTAGTTAAAAAACTAGTGATTAATCTTCCCATACGAGTTGGATAAAAATCAGTCATCAAAAGGGGTCGATAATAGTGTTTGATATTTGATGTATCCTGTTCAAGGATGGAAGAAGTGGCTTTATTATGTGTAGTTGTATCAATATGCTTGGGCACTACATCTAAGAGTGGGTCAAGTAGCATATGATCGACTATGATACCAAGGGATTTATCAAGAAAAAAATCTAAACATGGTTCCCAATTTTTAAGAGGTGACTTATCGTAAATTTCGACTGCTAATCTATTAGATACGCTTTGTAAAATGGTGTAATCAATCGTATCTGTATCCAATTTATAACCATGTCTACTAACATAAGCTAATGCAGCATGAACCATATGATTAAAGGCATTTAACTGAGGCTTAGAGAGATCTATATGATATCGATACCAGATAATTTGATGTGCAATCGCTCTACAATAACGGGAACAAGTTGCTAAATACCACACATCTGCAAAGCTTAAATATTCTGATATTCTTAATAATAATTCAAGTGGCAAATGTAATAGATTGGTTGAATGTTGAAGAGATCGATATTGATGATCCACCATAATAAACTATATAATGTTAACACAAAAAAAAAAAAAAGTATTTTATATGGATATAAAGAAGAAGAAAAAAAAAGGGAAAAAGAAAGAAAGAAAAAAAGAGATAAACTAATGGAAGAGAAGTCGATCATATTCGAGACCCTAAATTCTGGACTTTTTTTTATTATTATTATTAGCTTTATTTTTATTTATTTTTTTTTTTTTTTTTTTGGATTCTTAAGAGAAAACAAATGTTGATATCTTATATGAATACATCAATTTTCATCGCCAGACAAAGCTTTAATTGGTAACTAATCCTGGGGGGTCCAGAACATTTTTTTTTTTTTTTTTTTTTTATCAAGCTGTTGTACGAAATTATGAATTTATCAACTAAAATTAATTTCAGAAAATGTATTTTACTAGGCTATATAAAAAAAAACAGTATTTTGTTTTAATAGTAAAATATAAAGACATGTTATATATAAAATAGTTTTATTATTAGAGAAGAATAAATACATTATTAAGAGGGTAAATGATTATTAAGTGTGTAAAATTAATTATTTAGAGTGATATATGGTTACGTTAAACATTTGTGATGATTAATAAATAGATGTATATGATGAGTACATAAATATATAATGTATAATCTAATAGTGACTACTATTATCGTATTAGCTTTTACTTATTATATCCTACATATACACATTGATTACTTGGTATATTTAAACTAGATGTATTTATAATGACTTACCATACAGTCCATCGTTCATATATTAAATAATAGGTGTAGTAATAGAAGGTAGTTGCGAAGAAGAATAAATATCGGATGAGGTTAAATAATCTATAGTAGTAGTTGTAGTAGTAGTAATAGTAGGTTTAATTGTATTCATATTATGTTGTATTTCTTTTTCCATCACGTCAACTAAAGTACGTGCCATTTCAAAGTCATAAGTATACGAGATAGACGATTTTGAGATATCTAAACAATGAAGTAGACCCATTCTACCAATTTCATAGTAATCCTTATTGGTATTATAACTCATAAGTTTTCTATATACAATATTAGCAAATAATAAAACCATAATTGGAATATGACAATTTTCACGTTGTTGAACCATGGCTTCAATAATTTGAGTAATATTATTTGCTGCATTAAGACTAGTTTTTAAACTTTGTACAGATAAAGGTGTACTGGGTACACGATCCATAGGTGCAAAAGGTTGGTATAATAAGATTCGGTTTATGTTGTAACAGAGACTAACCATATTAATACAATAGTGTGAAAATGATTTGACGTCAATACTAAAATACGTTTTCTCGTTATCATCTGTCTTTTGTATGTCTTGTTGACCAACTTCGGAACAAGGTGATTGTGGAGAGCAGCAAGAAGAAGATGAAGAAAATGAAAATGGTGACCCACTATGATTGAATAAGTTAGCATTGTTAAATAAATCCAAGTCAAGTGATTGCCATTCTTCTGGAAGACTTTGATTAAATTCTTCAAGCTTCTTCTGCATAGCTAATAGTTCTTTAGGTTGATTCATTGAATCAGTATTGCCAGTCATAAGAACAGACATTGTTTGCTCACGAAGGATTTGTAAATGAATAATGTATACCCATGAATTCCATGCATAATAATCAATAATGGCTGCATCAGATTCTTTATTATCTGTTTCAGTTAAACCAGTTTCTGGAATAGATAAAGTACAAGGAATAGATTCAAGAGGAGGTCTACATTGGCTCAATCCAGCAGAACCAGTACCTTTATTCCCTTGGAGTACTTTATACCAAGCATTGAAGTAATAAATACACCAGATAAGCATAGATTCATAACGCGTTAAAACACGATTTGTATCATAAAGGCCTAATTCTTGAGCCATATTATAAGCTATCCATTCATAAAAATAAATAACATTGGGATAACCATTTTGATAATTACAATACGATAATAAAAATGCGGCTTGACAATGTTCTAAAGTAGGTTCATCAAAGCATTCAGATAACAGTTCACGACCACGAAGACAATAAGCGACTGATAAGGCCTTACCCATATTATAATGGGGTACATCACTTGAAGGTTGTTTGCTCCAAACATGTAACTGAAACGCATTTCTAGCAGCCATAGAACAGATTGCATAAATTAAAACTTTAGCTGGCCTTTTTTCAGGATTAGGATCTCGATAACGAAGTAAGAAATTAGATGTATCTATAATCGGAAGACGAACAGTGGAACAGCAATGTGCGCGACAATATAAATCCACTAAATTATCTGTTAATTCTGGTGAAATATCAATAGGATAGCCTTGAGGTATGGTATAATTGGAATGAGCCCATGAATCCCATATAGCAAATCCAGAAGAAGCAGTACGAATAGATTGAGTATCATCAAATTCTATTGCAATTTCCTCTTCCTTTCCTTTATGAGTATTTAATAAAGAAGAGTTATTTGATGATAGTGTCGACATTGAACATTGAAATTGATCCACAAGAGTAGATAAATCATTATAAGAGCTAACATTACTTTCAACTGATAAACCCTTTTTTGTACTAATAATTTTCCACACTGTTTGTTGCTGTATTGGTTTTATTTTTAGAGATTGATTGGTTCTTGTAGAAAAATCCTTTGTCTTTTGAGCAAAATCTTTTGCCATACGATCAAGTGAATCCTGCCATTGATCCATCATTTTATTCATTGTATGTAATACTTGGGATATATGATTTGCTTTAGGTTCAGACTTCTTGAATTCACAGTCGAAATTGTTCATCTTACAACGACTACACTTTGGAAATGTCAAATCACATTGCTGTAAATCTTTAAAGCATTTTGTACAAGGATATACAGAAAAATTACTTGTAGATGCTACTTTTGTATTAAGTCTTATCTTTCTTTTATAAGGTGGTTCCTCTAATAGATCATCATTATCTAAACTTGATGTATTATTCCCCAAGTCTATTTTACATCTTGTAGTTGAATGTTGTTGTTGTTGCTGCTGCTGCTGATAACACAACATAGGGGCTACAATCTCTGTTGACTTGAGTCGATCATTTAACTTTTTAATTCTATCTCCTAAAGTTTCTGTTGCCTTTTGTAATTTTTTGAGAGTTGGAGCTGCTTCCGGATAAACACAATTAATTCCTCTTCTTTGACAACGTGTACAATTAGGTTTCTTTCGATCACAAGCATGTCTATTTCATATATAAATATAATGCTTATCTGGGATAATTTGTATCTATTTATTTTTCATTATTATTTTACACACCTAAATCCTCTGCATCTAAAACAGGCAGCACCCAAATTTACTTGTTTTTCTTTGTCACCTGTTTTATTAGCATTAGACATTTTTTCTTTTTGTTAGATGATGAGATGAGATTAGAGACGAAAAAGATATAATATAAAAAAAGGGACACATTCATATCATTATTATTACTATGATATTGAAACTCAATTTTTTTTTTTTTTTTTTTTTTTTTTTTTTTTTTTTTTTTTTTTTTTACACATTTTGCCGAGAATAAAATTAATTGTTGGGCAGATTTACGAATAAATTAATTGTTTTCATTAAATTCTATTCAGAATATAAAATTTATTTATAAACAAATAAACATGTAAGAACAGTTTTTTTTTCTAAAAAAAAAAGCAAATACAAGAAAAATTAGTAAAATTATACTGTATGCAATACAAAAGAACTATTTAAAAGAACAACATTATGTATTACGTAATTTATATGTATGAAAGATTGTATTTTAATAATAAAATGATACGACTTTGCTTTGTGTCAATTTTATTTTACATAACTTTTTTTTTTTTTTTTTTTTTTTTTTTTTTTTTTTTTGCATTTAAGCGTGTATTTTATATTAATCCGATCTACAAATGCGTGTTTAAAAAAAAAAAAAAGTGGTTGATAGGTTTCAAATTCATATCAATTTCTTTAATATCACATGAAGATAACAAAAAAAAAAAAGGTTTTATTTTTTATTTAATAGAATAGGCGTATGAACGTGTTTTACTTTTACTAAAATAGCATTTCTTCAACAATAAAAATAGCAATAAAATAAAATAAAATAGGAAAAGCGGACGGTAGAAAGCTTTATTTAACAAATAAAATAAATATTTACTATGTTGCAAAAGTTTATATAAAATGTTTCATCTAAAAACTAAGATCTCTTTTTTTTTTTCCGTCCACCAAAACATTTTCTTGATTTGATACTCACTGTCGGAGGAACTTCTACTATTCTTCTAAATGCGTAATACTGCTTAATTATCGATAATAAAAGTTTATCGTATTATTATTGTTATTATTGTTATTATTATTATTTTTTTTTTTTTAAAAAAAAGGTTAAATTATTGTCTATATACACCACAGCGCGTTTCTGTAAAATGATGTATCGCCCCTAATGTTTATCTGATAAAAACACGCTTCAAGAGTGGTTTATTAGACTTTTATGCTAAAATCGTTTCGTGTAGCCATAGAAACGTATTAAAACATCCACTTTTAGTTATATTTCTAATAATTAAGGGGTTAAATTTCTCTCTCTGCCTTTTTTTGTTGTTGTTGGATTAAGCATATTGTTAGTTTATATAGAATTGTCTTTTAACTTTGTTTTGAATAGGAAAATGTCATTACTGCTGTTCGCTAATTATTATGTGTGTGCATGAAGTTTGTTCTTTCATATTTCTATTGGTTGATAAATTATATTATTATTTTAAAAGCCATTTATAATTTCCCTTTTTTTTTTTCTCTCTCTCGCTCTTCAATTTCTTTCTTATATGTAACAAAGCCATATTCATATGTCTAATATGGCTCCATTGTTTTCTTTATTTGCAATTATTCCCGTAATATTAGGCGGGTTTTATTTTTATGCACATCAACGTACTTATGGTAACTTGGATATTACAACATCCTCAGTTGCTTATAACCGAACTCAATATCATGACTTGCTTGACTGGGATAAATATGCACTTTCAATTGAAGGTATACCAACTTTAATTCACTCAGGTGAATTCCATTATTGGCGTATTCCTGACAGAGAACGTTGGTCACCTATTTTAAAACAATATCGAGCAGCTGGTTATAATACAATTCGAATTTATTTTCATTGGGGTTACCATTCTCCTGATGAAGGAATCTATCATTTTGATGGCAATCGTGACATTGAATACCTTTTAAATCTTTGTGAAGAATTAAATTTATTCGTGTTAGCTGCTCCTGGACCTTATATTTGTGCTGAAACTCAGGGTGGTGGTTATCCTTCTTGGCTTGTCGCTAAGCGTGAGTTGAATATACGTCATAATTATATTATGCTTTGGCGTAAATATGACCCTCTATTTGCTGACTATGAAGTACAATGGCTTAATCAAATCCTACCTATAATTGCAAGACATCAAATTACAGAAAATAAGAATGGTAAAAAAGGTTGTGTATTGGGTCTTCAAATCGATAATGAATTATTTGAAACGATGGCTAATTTACTACCAATTGGTTTACATGATCAAATGAGAGTTCTTGCTAAAGCTGCTAGAGACGCCGGTATTACTGTGCCCCTATTCACTAATGATGGCTTTGAAGAAGGTGGTTGGGTTCCTCGTTCTTCATTAATAAATCAGAAAGAAAAAAAGAAGTTTTGGAGTAAAGATAAATTTGGTATTGATCTTTATGGTTTCGATAAATATGTTAGTAAGTAGGAAGGAATGAAAGAGAGAAAGAAAGAAAGAAAGGAAGTAGATAGTTAACTTGTGTTTAATAGTTTTTGCGCCTACAAGTTCTCCAAAATCTTGGTTAATTAATAGTGGCGTCTCAGTAGCTTCTTGGGATGAATGGAACCCTAAAAATTTGGAAAATTCAATGGATAAATTGGAAAAGAAAGTACGTGGTTTTGGTGGTGGAGCAAAAGAAGTAAGTTGCTTCTTTTTTTTTATTTATTTATTTATTTGTGCTTTTACTAAAATTTGTAGCAAAGTCACCTATGTTTATTCCAGAACTTCAAGGCGGTTGGTTTAATCATTATCAATTACAACATACTTATGATCAAATTTATGATTATTATGGTGATGAATATACTAAGCTTATATTGGAAACAGCTTTCGCTCAAGGTGTTACCATGTCCAGTATATACATGATTTATGGTGGCACTAATTGGGGAACAATTGGTGATCCGTAAGTTGCATATCTTCGGGAATCTTTTTTTACATATACACTTATTTTTTTATTTTACTTTATAGTGATGTATACACTTCATATGATTATTCAGCATGTATTCGTGAATTTGGTATGCTTTCTGGAAGAGGAAGAAATGTACGTAAATCTCTTCTCCTTACTCGTTCATTTGATCCATATTTTACAAAGACTGAGCGCGTTTCTCATCCAAATGTGAAGTCATCTATTCCTCATACACTTAACCTTCAACGTTATTCTGTTGGTGGAGATCAGGAGGTCACATTTACTTTCTTTAGAAATTTAGATCGTAAGAAACGTGAAACCTTTGATGTCACTATTGAGGAAAAAGGGGATACGCTGACGATGGGATGCTACTTACCTTACAAAACTTCATTTATTGCAGTTGGAAATTATACAAGTCAAAATGATTTGCATCTAATTATGTCTACTATTCCTATTTTGACTCGTATTGTAAATAAAGAAAGCAATGAAGAAGTCTGGATTGTCGAACCCAATGTGATTGGAGCGATGGCTTTTAGAACTAAAGAAGTTAAAGTTACTGGTAATATGCAAGACGATGCCTTACGTACAGATGGACCTGCTATTATTCTCACCTTTGAAAAAGACCATGGCTGGACAAAGATCGAAACTGTTAGTGGCAATCTTTATATTGTAGGTCTTTCAAAATCAGATGCCAGTACATTATTTGCTGAATTCGAGGAGCCTTATTGGAATAATGGAATCAAGAAATACCCAGCTTTCGTAGCTTGGGGCGCTGACCACTTTTTCTATAACAAGAAGAAACAAGCACTCGAAATCAACCATAAACGCTTTGAAAGAACTATTCATATCTTATCTTTCGAACCTATTGTGGATAATCGTGCAATTGTATCTTCTGATAGTTTTAATCTTCCTTTCATTTATACATTGACTTATCCTAATGCACCTCATATTTCGACAGCGATCAAACCTACGCATTGGGAATACCGTACAGTTGATTTTAAGAATTTGCCTTGGAATGATGTAAAAAGACTTGAAGGAAATGCAAGTGTCACATTTGATGCACTTGATTACCATTACACGAGTGGACATATACTCTATCGAGCCAAATTTCAAACACCTAATAAAGAGGATCCTGAAGTCATCTTATCCTTGAACGCACGTAATAGAGCTACAGTCGTAGTAAATGGTCATATCGTAGGTGGTCATACAACCTATTCTCGTCAACTGTTTATGCCTGGAGCTAAAATTGGACCTGATCCCTATTTCTTGGGCTCTCATAAATATAACCTTTCACCTTTCCTCTCTCATACTAGTTCGTTAGAAAATGAGCTTATTATCCTAGTTGAAAGCTTTGGCTTAAATCGTCAAGCATTTATTATGAACGATATTCGTAATCCCAGAGGTATAATTAATGCTAAATTGAAAGGACTAGAAAACGATTCCATATCCTGGGAAATAACAGGTGTTGATGTTCGTACTTTGTCAATTCCTTATAGTTCCACTGGATTCCCTGATGAGAATAAAGTTTCAGGATGGAAAACATACAAAAACATTGAATGTAACGATGCAATTGAATGTACTCTTCCAATTACAGTTGCAATGGGTGTACAATGGTTCCGTTTCCGTTTTGATAATGAATTGAAGAAATCAGTATCTTCTTATCATGTCCCTCTTCGTCTTCATTTGGATGGAGAATGGACTGCAATGGTATTTGTCAATGACGTCTTTATTGCGAGATATTATGGAAATGGTGATGGTCCTCAACATGATTTTTACTTGCCTGATAATTTGATTCGTACCAAAAATAATGAAGTTAAGATTCTTGCTTATACTTGGAAAGATACAGAAGGAAAATTACTTATTGCGGGATGGCCAGTGTTGGCTGATAGTGGAAACTTGATTACACATGAAACGAATGGAAAACCAGCTGAATATGTGATATATAAAGATCAGATTACATTATAAAAAAAAATTGCTACAAAATAAAAAAAGCTTGCTTTATATGGTCATATTCCTTATGTACAAATATAAAGGTATAACAAATAAATTGAAAAAAGACTGTTTTATAACGCACAAATATAACATTGTTATTATGTTTAGTCTTTGTATATTTAGTTTCATCAATACACTATTATATATTGCTATTGTTTCCTTTATATATATATATATATATAAGCAACATCATCTCTTGATTTACATGCTTTTTATGTTTGCTCTCCCTCCCCTTTTTTTTCTCCTCGTTCATAATACTAAATAACATGCTATTATGTATTGAAAAAAAAAAAAAGTTGATGTAACTCAGTTTTCATTGTAACACAATTAAGTCAATTCTAGGATTATTTATGTTAAAAAAAAAAAGTGCGAACATTTGAAAGGGGAACCCTTTCTTTTTTTCTTTTTTGTTTATTGTTATTACTATCTCTCTTTGTTGTTTCCGAATAATAAATTCTTATTCTTGTTTATGTGTATTTCCTTCTTTTCTTTTCACAAACTTATATAATCAGTTATTAAGATACTGATATTAGTTATATCATCAATTAGAGATACTATAATACCTATAAACCTCATATAGAAGAAATGGAAGATCTTTACTCTTCTTTAGCTACTGCATCCCTTCATTTTAATAACGGTCAAATCAAAGTGAGTTCCTCCTTTTTCCTCGAGAAAAACCAAAAATAAAAAAAAAAAAAAGTTAAAGTATACCTCATAAAATGGCTAATAATCTATCATCATTATAAATATATATGTATATAGGATGCTTATACTACTTTTTTACTCACAACGCAGAATGCTTTAAGACCACTATTTGACGTAAAATTTGTTCATTGTTGTAAGTAAGATATGCGTAGATAGTAAATAAATTAAATACATACATTTGTTTCTCTCTTTTTAGCCATTATTTCAAAACTATCACATTCTGACGATCTAATAACTATTTTACATTTATGCATTGATTCTATAGAAAATATTATAAAACAATATTCAACTACCATTCCAACACCAACGAAAACCATACCTCCCCCATTACCCCCAAAACCTTCTCATGTAAACAAGCTGGTCTTGTCTCCAAAATTAATGACTCCTATACCAGCAAAAGATCGAGCTATAACAACAAATAGCAAAAAGGGTAAATTATATATATATATATATATATATATTACGTAATAGATACTTATATAATCGTTTTCATAGTTCATTATAATACGAAAAAACCTACTAGTAGTATTAGTGAATACCAAATGAATATGTTCATGTGTCAACAACATGAGGATGGACCTATCCCCGATGGAGAAATTAACCCAACTCATCTTGTGCCAGCACAAACAAATAATAATAATGACACTTTAACCCCTCCTCCAAGTGAATTAGGAACATTCATAAAAAGAGTCGACCCTATTCCTCATATACCTATACCTCCACTTCTCACGACACACAGGGTATTACAAGCTAAACTTGATAAACTTGAGACAGCCTTAAAGGAATTCCATACACAAAGAAACCAGCTGAGTCAGGATGAGAATCAAATGAGAGACGAGCTTGATATGGCCATTGCAAAGTATACACCTTATATTGCTGAGGCTAAACAGACATTAAATCGAGTTCGTACACTCTATATGAGTGCAGCTACTATCCCTAGTATACTTCAATTTCAACCAGGATTAGTGGCCTATCAACTAACAAGGATTGAATCTGCCATCTTTCTCGCCATTCCTCCACACGCATTACTTACACATTCACCAAAGAATCCTCATCCACGTCTTGTCGCTTCCTCCGATTTTTTCAACTATGTAACTCGAGTTATTGAACATTCGATTCTCTTACCTCAGGAGGCCTCCTCTCGAGCGCAACACATGAATCATTGGATTAAGATAGCCAGTAAATGCCAAGAACTGAACAACTATCAAACCTTGAAGGCCATCGTCTCTGCGTTAGGGACACCGCCTGTACAACGATTAAAGAGGACATGGGCGTATATCCCAAAGAAAAGTATAACTCGATTAGAGGCCATGAACGAACTCATGTCAGAGGCTAATAATTATGGTAAATACCGTGAACATATGGGGATTGTATCTACTTCGGTTTTAAATGGTAAAAGTGTCCATTTGATCCAATCTGAGCATTACAGGAGACCTACGGTGCCGTTTTTAGGCACCTTTATTCATGACATGACTTATTTATTGGCTGCTGTGGGACAGCAATCAACACCACTATCCAATCATCATCATCATCATCATCACCATACAAAGATGACGATACCCATTCGAACTTCTTCTCATAACAATACTCTGTCTAATAGTGACCCACGTATTCAAAAACTTTTGCAAATGCTTGAAAGATTTCAACTTACACCCCCTTATGAGAGGAAACCAAATGCAACATTATCAAAAATAATCATGAATCATAAATCTCAAACAACACGACCTGTCTTTTCTCAGGCTTTTCAACGAAGTAAAACAAGTTTTGGGCGATTAGGAGAAGCAATTGGTTTTGGTAATAATAGTCAACATCATACTACAGAGAATAGTACTCATTCACTATCAGGAGGAGGAGGAGGAGGAGTAGGAGATTTAATCATCCATAGTTCTTTACAGCAAAGCAATCATCATTCTGAAAGTTCTGATATGGAAGAGCAACAAAACTTAGTTACACAGTATTTATTGATGCGTTCATGGGTTAACCAGGCAACTGTGGATGAACTGAGTGTGATACGTGAGCCACCATCTCATCATAAGCATGCCTCTGAAAGAACAAGCAGCATGGGAAGTCACTACACAAGTTCTATCATAAGCAATGCAAGTTCTTTGATACTGCTCAGTAATAATAATAACAGTTCTACTACCAATAGTTGTTTAACATTAGCTTCATCCTCATTGAATGATAGCAGTCGACCTGAAAGTTTAGATGATAATCATTTGTATATTTATGGAAAAGGATCAGCTAATCAAAATGAACCACTTGCAACTTCTTCATCCACTCTAGTGTCATGATTGTAAGATTTGTATCTTAATCTCAATTTAGATAAATAGTCATAATAGAATATATAATGCATTTCTATATTAATTCTGCCAATGTAAATACAAAAATATATTTTTTTTTCCTTGTATAGGAAAATAATTAATAAAAGTCCTACACATCTGAAAATATATCTTCTTTTATTATTGTTCTGCTGATTATACAGTGCTTACGGTCTCAAATGGCCAATTAGTGCCTATGTGATTTCCAATTGGCGATTTTGTAAAAACCAAAAAGCCGATTTTTTTTTTTTAACAATTAGCGTTTCTTAACTTTTTAGCACTTATACAGATGTTTTATTAAGACACTTAGAAAATACATTAACAGAATGTTGAATACGATTAAACAGTAATTTTTATTTAAAAATACATGACCCCATTTGAGCACGAGGTGTTATTAAATACATCAAATTTGTCCGGGACGGATCAGTTTAAAGGGATAAGGAACGAAAAAACCTCTTTAGGAGCAAGAGGAAAAACATAAAGGAAAGGAAGGACGCGATAGGTGTAATGTAAAAATTATACAGGTAGTGTAGGAGAAGGAGGAAGCCAATCTAAGAAACGCTGACTAGGATTGGGTGGGGTAGGAAGAATCGGCTTAGTTTGTTGTAACTGGTCAAGTTCATGAAGGATAAGGCAGATGGAGGGCCATCTAATGTGCCAAGGGGTGACGGAATGAGATGAGGCAGGTTTCTTGGCGGGAAGTTGGTTTAAAAGGAAGGACAGGGGATCTTCTATAGTTTCAGGCATCTGTAACCGACGATGCATTTGGAGACATACAATTGCATATCGTCGAGTGAGGCGTTGAGATGGATGAGTGGGTATTTATGTAAATACAGTGACTCACAAAAGTGTGGCAATGTTTCGGAATTTTAAGTAATTTATGCAAATTCGCAATAACTGACCATCTATTTATTAAGCAAAGTGCTATATAGTATATACTAGAAGAAAGACAGAAGTCTCCTCTTTCTGTTGACACTAATAGCATATATGCACTATATAATGCTTTTATTTCAAAAATAATATTAAAAGGTTCCCAGTAGTTTATGATGCATGGACCTTTAACATAATACAAGCGACAGACACTCATATTGGCACTCATCAAAATCTAGTTCAACACAATCTACAAGAAATTTTTATTGGTACTATTACATTAAAGAGATTCCTTATTAAACGTATCTCCATTCGAATCAGAACAACGACAAAAGCCCTGAAAATCACTCTATACACAGTAAACTACAAAAATTAGAACTGTCTACATGGACTCAGTGTCCGATCTCGTTCATACCTGTGAATTGGGACGACGTAAAAATTCTTGGATTACTCATGCATATCCAAAACATCAAGAGTGCTTGCGATTAAATTAAAATAATGACCGGTGATAGTATTTGTAGTTTTGATTGCTTTAGATGGGCCCGGTAACTTTCGTTTCTTTGAGGGAGCAGCATATGGTCGTCTTACTTTGACATTGATGATCCCAAAATGGGAATATAGAGCTCAGGATTGTTGTAGGTGTCTCCACGATTGCTCTCTCCTTTTTTTTTTTTTTTTTTTTTTTTTTTTTTTTTTTTACAAAGCAACTGTTCTTTTCAAACTGATATGGGACACTGCTTCCTCAATAAAGATTGAAATTTGAAAGGACTTTTATAAGACTTTAATATACACAGAGAACAAACATTCTTTTATTGAATGTGTGCCATGTAATTTCTTGAAACATGCCAGCTTGGCTTGTGTACCGAACAAAATTTAGATGTCTGCCAGTATGGAAAAACTTTCTGTGGGAGAGTGTGCCATATGATTTGAAAAAGAGTGTAAACTACAAAATAAAAATGCCTAGAAGGTTTCTGCTAGTTGTTTATGTCATGTAGCTCACCTTGAGCTTACTATAAGGATCAGACAATAGAGAAGACAAACTCTTTATTCGGTAAATAGTACGAGGCATTCAAAAAATTATAACCCAATGCAATACTATCACCCAAAAAGACTACTATGGTAGATTGGCATTCAGTGAGAATCACTTCACTGAAACCAGAAACTAATATAAAAAATACTACGCGAATTGACCGGATGATTGGATTTTGCAAATGCGCCAATTGGAACGATAAACTCTGTAAATTTATAAAAATAACTTTGTGTCAAGCTGAGGGTAAACTAAGAATAATACAAGTACGTGTAATAATTTATTTCATTCAAAAGTATATGTATTAGTTGTAGAAGTAAATATACAAAAGACATGGACATGTCTATGATAATTCTTAATATTATAATAATTATATCATCAAATACAATTTCGTTCTATTTTCATCTTATTACTACTTATCATCTTTATTCACAAAATATATATATATACTCGCACATTATTTAACACTCACGTTAGAATAGATACTTATCTTATTATTTTTTATTAATAAACATTATTAACATGTGTCAGCGTATTTCCAGTCTTTTCTTTATTCTATACATTTTTTTTCCTATTTTCGATTTTCTTACTGCTTAAACTTATCTGTAAACAACAACACTACCCACTCGGTTCTGTTTTCAACGATTAGATATCTTTTAAGAAACCACAGGAACATTTTAAGAAACTTGGTAAGACTTTTATAACCCTTTCGTAAATTTATACATGTACATTTATATTATTTTATGCAATTTTTAAAAAATTTTCACGCTTAATATATGAGTGTAGCCCTTACTTTTCAACCTCTACTTTTGAACTAAATTAAAGTGGCCTCTACTTTCTAACTGAATTAAAGAGGCCTCTACTTTCTAACTGAATTAAAGAGGCCTCTACTTTCTAACTGAATTAAAGTGGCCTCTACTTTCTAACTGAATTAAAGTGGCCTCTACTTTTCAACTGAATAAGTGGCCTCTACTTTTCAACTCAGACTGAGTTTACAATTTAAGGGGTTTTTTTTATCTAAGATGTCTGGACCAAATTTATTAAATACTCCTTATCTATCTAGCTCTAATATTAGTTATATGAAGCATTCTAACCTTCCAAATATATGATAATGAAAATGAAAGAAAAAAAGGCATTGCGCAATCCTTTCATGATTTATAATTTGAAAGAATTGGTTCTCATATATCATTCATAATACGAACCCCTAATCTAGTGGCACCTTCTTTAGCTTATTTTCTATTGTGTAAGAGAAATAATAATTAACAGTTACGCACAAAGATAAAATTTATGATTGAAGTGGCTAATTGCATTTTGAGCATTTCTTCCTAAAAAAAAAAACGAAAATTCTGTTCATAAAAATGTTTAAGAAACTAACAAAAGGTCAAGCTTCTTGTTTAGTTCTAGATATTATACTGTGACTCACAAAAGTGCGGCAATGTTTTATGGCTTTTGGCTTTTCTTAATGTATAACATAAATGAATAAAGATACATTAATAAAAGTATTTCTAATGGGAAATTCACAACATTTCCATTATTTTTACAAATTCTTAAAATCGTTCAACTTTGATTCAAAGCTTAACAAATCTGCATTGCCATTGACGAATGAGCGTAGATGAAATTGTCTAAAATGGACCAAAGCTCATAGAAAATAGACAGTTGAGGATTGAAAAAAGGTCCTCATTAGTGACAACAAAAATTAATCGCTTGGGTTCAGATGGGAAGCAATAGACATGAAGAAAAAAAGGTGAACGGCTAAAAGACCATAACGTCAACTTTAAGTACAAAGGTGGGAGGGGTGGAAGCTTAATGTTGTGGAGTTGTTTCATGCAATATGTTCCTAGTTTTGTTGCCAATATTGAAGGGTGGGGAATAGTAAAATATAACTCTATGAAGACGCTCAAGGATTATGGGCTTTGTAAGAAAGATGTAATTCTTAAATAGAAATTTGGTGGAGTCTATTGGCCTAACACCAACTTATACCAAGGATACAAATGCAATGGAACCATTGGCAATCGCAGCTACTTTGCAAGAAAAAAATCCATTCAAATATATGGCATATGATGATACTCCCCCATCTTGTCCTTGTGAAAGCAGTATCAAGAGATGTATAAATCATAAAATTTTCTTATATTCTAGAATGTATTCTAAAATATATGATTATCAAGCATGATCAGATATCGTCTTCATCTGGTAAGTTAATTAGCAAAATCAAATGAAATAAACTTTGTATTTAATAACTGACTATACGCTTCATTTTTATTTAACTAGAGTCAACCAACGAGTATAGAGGTAAATATTAGACATATTTATTAATGCTGTTATTATTGTATGAAAAAAAAAACTTCCTTTTCTATTTTAGTTGACATCACGAAGGAGTACATCCTCGATGTAATGAGGGTTCTTCTGGTATTGAAAGATCCCGAAGATAATGAAAAGGTATGAGCGGATCTTTCTCACCAATGAAGATATTTGGAATCTTCTAAAGGATGAAATGAATGAATTTGGTGATTCCTGTACCTCCAAACAGCTAGCCAAGTGGGTAGCAAATGATGGTAATTGGGGCCAGTTGGAAAGACAGCAAGTGGATGGTGCCCGTTTAAGAGGTAGGCGCATGTACCTCCTCAGAAGTCAATACAGAGGTATGTATTATAATTTAGTGAGTCTCTCTCAAAGTCGAAAAAACTTGATAGCTGAATCAAATATGGTGACACGGATTCTATTGAAGTTTTTTCGAATTGAGAGGTCTATAAGTAATTAAATTCTCATTTATCGTCTTACACCATTTTTACTTTAGCAACTGTTATTGACAACGTGAAAAACATCAACTCGTATAGGGCATTTGCTCATGTGGATGCCTAGAAATAGATGATCTTGGGCTATGTCAGAAAGTCCAATTCAAAGGAGGATGACAATGCTCGACGCCGATTATTGACCTCAATGATCACAAAACTGAAGGCAAAGATGCTTTGTCGTAAAGTATTTGTTTCTCCTTTTTCCAATTCAGACACTGAATTTGAAAAAAGAGACAAGAATGTGCAAGCTGCCAAATTCGTAGAAGCACTCAAATGTGATGGCACAACGGAAGGTAACCAAATTATAAACATTATTTTTATTTTTCATAAAATATTAACCAGCTTTATGTAAGACTTGCTGCTATGTTTAGCTTCAGAGACAAGGATGATCCGCTTAGTAGCGATTGACTATGCAGGGCTCACTACCAATTTGGAGGACTTGCGATCATTTGTGAGGTAAAATAAATGAATAAATTTATCTTAATCGGATCTTATTATTTATCGTTAATATTTCTCTGTAGTAAGCACAAGTGTATCAAAGAAATTGTCATCGACAAAGGTCATCTTGTGGAGGTGATTTCAAGAAAGCAACTCCTGAAAGATGATCAGGTTCTTCAATCGTTCTGTTGTCGCGTCATAGCAGTCAATCGTTCAAAGTAAGCCCTTCATTTCCCTATGCAACTACCAATTATTAAGACTTAATCTATTCCATTCATTCAACTATATTTGTTTATATGCGCTATCCATTCTTTTAATATGTTTGTATATTTTTATATGTTTGTATTTGTATTCATTATTACCTTTCCTTTAACATTTATGCTATACATGCCCTTTATGCTCATCTCTTAATTCATAACTAAAGTTCCTTATACCATTTTTTAATTTACGGATTATGTTCTTTATTCTATTTTATTCTTTTCGATGCTTTTTTTTTATTAGTTTATAAGTTATTGAAAATGAAATTTGTCATCTTGTATTTTATATCATTACAATATAGAATGCTTAACTTCTAACAGAATTGATTGTTAATCATAAATGATACTTTTGTATCCAACTTCTGATCTTAAATTTTCCTTTTGATATTTTTCAGTTGGTAGAAAGTAACAGGTATTGAGTTTTCAAAGAATTGTGTGTGTGTGTGTTTTTTATTGAGAAGGCCGACTTTCATTCTCAAGTGACAAAAAGCCATGCATGATCAAAAGTCAGTATCCCAGTAACGCAGAAGTATTGTTTTAATCGAGTTAATCATTCTGAAGCTCATTGGGATAGATGCTTTAAAAAGAGGTGGGTTTGAAATAAACTTTCCTAAAATTCAATGCATTCTTTTTAGGTGGTCCATTTCACTGCTTAATTTTTATTTTAAAATTATAATATCCTTTGAAGAAGCATGTTGTAGGTTTTATTGCCCAAATTACAATGATTCGAATGCCAAGACTTACTTAGAGATGGTAACAAAGATGCCGCACGTTCAAATATGCTACAGGAATGATCCAAACGAGCTAGAACTGATATGTCACGTATTTATGGTGCTCCTAATTTATTTCGCCTCTACAAATTGAAAGAAGAAAGAAATGAAAAAAGAAAGCGTGAAAAAGACGACATCACATTTGATAACTATAAAATAAATCCAAAAAAAAAAATGAAATTGTTACTAAGGGGGCAATTAAAGATATAGAAAATGAAGCCCAAATTGTCTACTTTATAAATTGTACATGAACGTTTTGGATAGTACATACTATAATACAGTCGCTCACAACATATTACAATTGAAGAGAGACGGGTTTAATGTAATTAGCTATTGCAGAAAATCTAAAATCCCAACCAAATATTTAGAAGAAGGTCTTTTGCAACGAATGGTGAGCCTTTTATTTCAAAGATCCCTGGTTGATCGTGTGTTTGTGTCTCCATATTCGAGTGCAAAACGACCACTTACAAAAAAAAATAAGTTGATACAGCTAGGTATACTTGACACACTTGGTATGCACTGATAGTCGTTTAGAATATTAAATCAGGATAATGGTTTCTAAAATAATCAAAACGAGGCAAGAGTTTGCAGCTGCTATTTGATTTTTGGTCTGATCTTGCAATGACTTGTTTCATCAATAGAGTTGTACTACGACGTGATTCTCTTTGAAAAAAAAAATATGATATAATATGATACTAAGAAGTTTATCTTAATAAAATGGGCTCTAATCCATAATGTCATTATTATTTTTATTTTATTTTCGTCAAAGATTTTTCATTGACCATCATCGTAGAAGAAATGATTACTCATTTATGTTTTATTGTTATGTTATAGGAAAAGTATAACTGCCCTTTGAGAAAAGAAAATTCGTTGATTCAAATATCAAAACCCACGTTTTGAGTATAAGAAGGCCGTCTATTGGGAACTGACAAATTGCCTACCAAAAAAAAGAAACTGGATCCTTTGGCACTGTTTTCACTGTATATGTATATGTATCTTGTGGCGAATATCATATAAATAAAAAATATATATTTTACTATTAGAAGCAGCACCTATTGTACCTCCCTGACCTATCAATCCATTGCAACTATTAAATGTTCTTTATATATCAATATAATAACATCTTTTTAAATTAGTCTTATTTTCTTAAAAAAAAAAAAAGGTAAATGACAGCATAAATATAACTTTTAAGTCTTATTATTAAATACTGTATTATATTTTTAGTGATTAAATTCAAATTTTGACGTAATATATAGAAATGGTTAACATAGATGCCAAGTTTTTTTTTAAACAATAAAAACTATTCATAGAATGAGAGGAAGAAATTATTATATAAAAATATAAAAATATAGCTGTATGTTTATTTTTTTATGTATTTTTTTTTAAAGTAAGAATGAATAAAAATGAATTAAAAAGGAGATAATAAAGGAATCATATGATATATAAATTTATTGGAAGCCAATCATGGCCAAGGCAGCTACAGGAATAGCCATGACAAGACCAGATGAAATCAAGTTACGACCAGCGGCATTGACAGCAGTTGATGAGGCATTGTCTATTGAAGAGGGACTCGTAGTAGTAGTAGTAGCAGCAGCAGTAGAGGAAGCCTTTTCAGCAGCTGAGGTAGCGACACTAGCAGCTGAAGAAGCAACTGATGTAGCAGACGAAATAATATCTCCAGCAATCGATGTGGCAGATGAAACAATATTTCCAGCAGCTGATGTGGCCTCGCTAGCAGCTGATGAAGCAGATGAAATGATATTTCCAGCAGCAGCAGCAGTAGTAGTAGCAGCATCAGCAGCAGCATCAGCAGCAGTAGCAGCAGTACTTTCTTCCGGTTCAGCACGCTTGGCAAGTGGAGTCACATCAGTTGTATCTTCATTTGCATCTTCTGTTGTAAGGGGTGATGAACTGGTATTATCTGAAGAAGTAGCATCACTAGTCTGGGATGATGATGCGTTTTCATCGATATTTGAAGAAGAAGTTGTAGTATAAGTATCATCAGAAGCGGCCTCATCAGATGGAGCAGAAGAGGAACTATCTTCAACAACAGGATTATTATCCGAACCAACTTGGTTATTATCATCACCACCACCATCATTATTGTCATTATTAGCATCTAAGAGATCAGTTTGTTCATCATCATCAGCAGTAGTAGTAGAAATCGAAGAGGCATCCTTTTCAGTAGTTGCAGAATCATTAGCAATAGAAGCTTCAGAATTATCATTATCAGCAGCATCAGTACTTGGTACCGTTGCTTCTGAAGCAGAATCAGTAGTAGTATTAGTTGTGTTTTCAGCATTTGATGATTCATCACCATCAGAAATAATTAAACCACCAATATAAGACATTTGACTAGGATCCTTTCCAATTGCTAAAGCATAATCTGAACCCTTTGTAATATTGTTTGGAACATTTACTTCTGTAGAACCTGCAGAGGCATCAATTTCTGTTGCTAGAGCTTGTACCAAAATCAAAGCATTTGGATCACCCTTCATTAAGTTGATAAGAATCTTATCTATACCTTCTTGAACGTTTTGCCATTTTATTGATTCAGTTTGACCTATTTTCCAAGTTGTACCTTGCACTGGTTGTGTAATAGAAAGTGGACCTGTTGTAGCTCCACCAGCACCACCATTATTAGCAGTAGAAGAGGAATCAGTTGAAGGAATAGCAGGAGATGTTGATGAAGAGGAATCTGCTGTATCAGGCGTAGGCTGTTGAGAAGTGGCAGAAATGAGAACAGCAGCAGCAATGATAGTAGAGAGGAATGAAGACTTCATTTTAGAATATATTTGAATAGTTAAAGAAGAAATAAAAAACAGAAATCAAATCTTTATATTTATAGTTTTTTGACAATTGTTTACGGCGATCTTTTTTTTTTTTTTTTTTTTTTTTTTGAAATATATAGAAACTCTATTATTGAATGTTATGACTATATTTCAATTTTAGTTACCAACAACCTTCTTTAGCTCTATTCAATTTTTTTTTTCATGCTAAATAATCGGAGATATCATCATTTATTAGAAGTAAATAACAGAATTATTTTATTGATAAACTATAAATGATCGACCCGCACTAATTATCAAAGCAGTTAGTGTTCATAATAGACTAAAATATTTATATTTTTAGAAAATGTTTATCAATGACGTTTTTGTTAAAATTCTATGTTCTTTTTTATTTTAGCGTAAAAGTAGAGCCAATAAAAAGTGATCGCCAAGATTCTAAGAAAATATTGACGTGAAGTCCAGAATTTTATTGCTGATAACAACGATTAAACATGCGCTTATTACACGAATGACGATAATTAAAATAAATTTAGAATTTGGAATACAATAAATGCTTATTTCCCCTTGAAAAAAAAATATGAGGTAGACTTATTAAAAATACTTGGCATATAAATATACATCATCTTATACTACTTGGCCATCTATATTTACGTACACGCCCATTATTTGGAGATTAAAAAAATGAGAATTTTAGCAAAAAAAAAAAAAATGTATGATTTAAGAATCTATTTGGGTATCTTGTTATTAGCAGTAATTATATCATAAAAGTCTGTATTCTTTGTTTATTCTATTAATATTATTTTTTTACTTATAAAGAAGAGCAGTCATATTAGTAGCTTATTATGTATACATTACTGTATTATATACACATATTTATATAAAGCTATTTATGTATGTACTATATTTTAAACAAATTTCCCAAGAATAGACATATTCTTATATATTAAATCTTTACCAAGCCTTTTAAAATATTTATTCTTCTCTTAAAGCTGAAAAAATTAGGTTGGGCCACGAAAAAAAAAAAAAAAAAAAACTGGGTCACTTGGTTGAAAATGGGACACTCAATTAAAAGTTACAGCAAAATGAAGGTTTTCTTTTCATGATATTGTACTATAAATAATACACAGTTCATTTTGATTTTGATAAAATAAAAATAGAGAGAAGAATAATATCTTTGAGGAAGTTAGAGTGTGAATATTAGTAAAAGGGTCAAGAATAATTATGAAGGGCAAGTGAGATGATAAGTCACTTGCTTCTTCTTCATCGTATCTCATGTCATAGGTTATAGAAGAAGAAAATAATAATAATAATAATAATGGTTTTTATTTAAATAGTTATAAAATGTTTATTACTAAGGAACTTAATTTAGAATACAAATGTCTATCTACCAAAAAAAAAAAAAAAAAAAAAAAAAAAAAAGTCAGTAAAATGTCTATTACTAGGCGTCAATGGTGTGTTAGGCCCTCTACTAACCAAGACTGAGCACATGACCCAGTGTGCTTTTCAAAAACCTAACCACGTTGGAGTTCGGATAATACGAGCACTGGCGCATGAGGAATTTCGCTTACTAACCACGGATGTACACATCAACCATTTTACTAAGTAAGCTATAAAAACTTACCTAAATTAATCCCTGAGAGGAGAAAGATAAAAAGAAAGAAAGAAAGAAAGAGAAAAAAAAGGAGAAAAGGAGAAAAGAAAAAAATAAAATAAATAAAATAAACTATTTTAGTCCCATCAGCAAAATTAAAATACGGTACTGAAATGTGTGACTTTTGGATCGGGCTATGTTTTATGGTTACTTATATTTATATTAAATGCTTACTTTTTGGTACAAGCAATTAAAGCAATTTGCATAACTGTATAAACAATAGACTTTAATTGCCAATAACATGGTTTAGTCATACACAAAAGTTTGAGAAATTTAACTCCCATATATTTCAGCACCATGCCTCATTAGGTATATTAATTGAGATTTAGATAATACATAGGATATGCAAAGCGCCATTGATGCTTTTTATATCATCTTTATGCCTCCATCAAGAAAAAAAAGTTAAAATCATCCATCCCCTGAATCTTACTGGGCTTACAATAATAAGGATCAAATTGATCATCTCACATTCTTCCATCATTTCATTCATTGGAACCGCAGGGATGTCATGACTAGATTTAATAATATCATAAACACTTGTATTTCTGATGAATCAAAGAAAAGAGATATTCAGAAGAAATACAGGGCATGGCAAAAAAGCAATGAAGCAAAAGTATATTGGAACGAACGAGAAGTTAGACAAAAAGAACTTATATTGCAATACCAGTCAGACAATGACGCGTCAGTAACTGATTCTGTTTCTAGAAGTGTTGCACCTTACTCGTCTGATAATACAACATCAGTTAGTATGGACAGTAACGAAGTAATGCAATTAATCAAATACAACATAGTTCCTGTCAACAATGAAAATACGTTTAAAATTAACGATGTAAATGTCCTTCAACTATTCCATGACTTTCAAAACTCTCTTGGAACTAGCCCTTTAACGTATAAAAGCCATATTTATCATATTTTATCAACATCAGGCATACTATTAGTTAAATACCATCAAGATCCTGATTTGACAAAGTTTATTGACAGCGATACAACCGACATAATGTTAAAAAATATCCACGAACAAATTGGTATACACAGCCAAAAATTTTCTAGAAATATGCTTATCGAACTAATGGATATTGTTCAACAATGCGTTACTAAACAGATTACAATGATAAAGGCTGTCCAACAACTATTGGCATTGATTGATGAAGAGGGCAACAGTTACCAAAATAAGGTCATATTATGCTTTAAGGCCCTAATCGAACAATTACCAAAAGACTCTTTTAACACAAAAGAATTTGAATTAACTACACGGTTAATTCAACCATTTTTACTACCACTGTTCGACGATAGAGAAGAAAACATCTATCTCAGATGGACCAATGTACAAACAGAAGAACACAAGAAGGATGAGTCTAATTGTTCTAACAAACGGCCTGACGGTTGTATAACGCTAAAAACATATGAAAAGATAAGTTTGGGCTTCATTGAAGTTAAAGAAGAGAAGTACCGAAATGACAAAAATAAATTAAACAAGGACCTGTACAAACTGGGTGTATTTTCTAAAAATGCAATTGATCAAAATCACCTCCATGGAATGTTAGGTATTCAAACTGTTGGTAAGTTATGGAATACACAAATAGGCATAAATTATTCACTAATAATGGAAATTAATAGGCGAATCTATTTGTTTTTACTTGACCCAGCAACAATGCAAGGGGTTTTATACGATGACAGAAATTGATCAACTGAACGTCCCAAAAAACTTGAAAGAGCTTCCTCAGCTTATTGGATTTGTAGACAACTTGTGTAATATTTTACACATATTTAAAACAAGTTGTCGTCAACAATAAGTAGCCGTTTTCTATTATTTTTATGCTTATTTATAGTCCTGTTTACATTTTATAATAGTAAATTTATTTAAAATGTTTCTTTATACCAAATATTAAATATGCAAGTAAAAAAAAATATATATATAAATATATGAATATATATATATAACAAATAAAGATAAAAACAAACAAGTTAGTGAAACTCTCTTAGGGTATATTTTTTTTATTGAAATACTTGAATTTACAGTTTGAGTCTTTTTTTTTTTTTTTTTTTCGTGGCCCAACCTAATTCCTTCAGCTGTACATGTAAATAGTCCAATTAAAGCGAAGAGAGAAGAAAAAAAAAAGTGACAGTTTATTATTATTATTTTTACCCCTGATTTTATGCATGCATGTATACTATAAAACTTTATTAGTTCTTTACCAAAGAGTGTTGATCTAATGAAGAACAGTTTATATATTTTATTAATAGTTATTCTATTAATAAGAAGAGTGTTATGAAACAAGACAGAATAAATGAATAAACAAAAGCAAATCTATTTAACACAGAGTTATTCTTATTAAGAAGTAAAAAGAAGAGGTGAAACAGCCTACTTGATAACATAATGAAAATGGAAGAAAGAAAGAAAGAAACGTTAGTAAATAAACTCAAAGTTTGTTTAAATAATGAACTTGGTTAATCTCTCTCTTTTTCTTCTTTCCCTCTTTTCTTTGTTTTCCTTTCATTTCTTACTTTGATAGTAAATTGTGAATTGATAGGATGGCCAACGATTCTCTTCTATTAAAGAATAATAATGTAAAAGAAAAAGATAGGTTACCCTCAATTGATAACAACGTGAAGCCACTGGATTTATCGCATGGCCAATGGTATATAACAAAAGATAAAATGATAGTTTGAATATAAATTTTTGTTTTCTTTATCATAGTTCTTGGTGTGGTAAATATGGTCATAATCGTAGTAAATGTCCTTTACTAAAATAAATCAAAATATCTTAAAAATAAAATAAAGCTTCTTAGTTAAATAATAATCTCATCTTCAGAATGATTGTCTTTGTTATGTACAGTAACTATTATAAAATGTTTATGCTACCTAATAAGAAAAATAATAATAATTGGTATTTAAATCATGATTCTTAAAAAGAAGGGGACATTCACCTCTTTTATTATTATTATATTATAAAACTCTGCATTATGTTTCATGAAGAACACTACTTTATAGGTATTGACGCTGGGAACTGGGGTAAAGATAACACTATATACATGTACATACATACATACATACATGCATGCATACATATGAAGGCTAAAATAAATAAATAAAGATATTATATAACTAAAAAAAAAAAAAAAAGTTCGGCTCGTACAGCAATCATCGACACAAAAGGACAATAAAGTAGTTTGTTTAGATGTTCAACCTATTATGACTTATAATCCAAAGAAACATAATATTTATGAACAATCAAGTGAAAAATATCTGGAAGAGCATCATTCAATGGTGTTCATACTATCATGAATAACACCTGAGAAAATAAAAAAGGAATTGGCTTTGATGCTACATGTTTCTTAGTTATGCTTGATCAATAAGGAGCACCTCAATCTGTAGATGAAGCATTTAATTATGAAGATAACAAGTTGAATGTTATATTATGGGCTAATCATCGAGCGACGGATCAAGCAAATCGTATCAATGCAACACACCATTCTGTACTTTGTTATGTAGGGAATACTATCAGTTATGAGATGGAAATACCAAAAAACATCATGGTTAAAAGAAAATTTACCTTCTGAGAAATGGGCTTCCAAAGGTCATTTAATGGATTTACCCGATTTTTTTTTTAATTTTTCGAGCAACGGGTTTATTAGCTCATTCTGCCTGTTCTTTGACCTATAAATGTTCTTATTTACCCTCTCCTGTGGGCCAAGGACAAGATATTGGTTTTTTTTAAAGAAATTGGATGAAGTTGCTTAATTGATGAAAACTTTAATCGTTTAATGAGTCATGAAAAAAGTAAAAAAGTACAAAAGTATTATTAGTTAGTTAGCAGGTGAGCTTGTAAGCTCTGCCGTAATTGATGCTTATGCAGGAGCCATTGCTACCTTGATGTGGGGAAGGCAACACCTGCTATAGAGAATACAAAAGAAAGAGATGAGATGTTACAATCACCTGAGAAAAGTCTTCAAATTCAAGGGTCGAGTCGATTAGCCATTATTTGCGGTACTTTGAGTTGCCATATTACCATGTCTCCTAAATCTATCTTTGTTCCTGGTGTATGAGGGCCTTATTGATCTGTCATGATGCCTAATTGGTGGCATGCTGAAGGAGAACAATGAATTGATTTTATTGTGAATATACATCCTGCTGTAAAAGAAGCGGAAGAGAAAGCAAAAATAGCCAACCAAACGATTTATTCATTTTTATCGAATTCTCTTTCAAGACTTCAAACCCAACAAGGTCTTTCCTATTTAGAAGACTTGACCCAATATCTACATATATGTAGATATATCCTGATTATCATGGTAATCGATCTTCTTTAGCAGATCCTAGTTTACGAGGATCCATGGTGGGTATCTCACTTGATAAAAGTATAGATGACTTGGCCATAAAATATATGGCTACTTTACAAGCTATTTCCTGTCAGACACTTCATATCATTGAAACATTAAATAAAGAAGGATATAAGAGTGATACTCTTTGTATGTATGTCTGGTGGATTATGTAAAAGTTCTTTATTTATACGACTTTTAGCAGACATGACTCAATGTCGAATCTTTATGCCTGAATTAGTAGAGAGTGCTGTTGTTATTAGTACTGCGTTTCTAGGCGCAAAAGCATCTGGATGATTTTTATCATTATCATCAACTGACAATGAATTATGGGATATTCTGATTTGACTTGGAAGAGCAGGTTCTAGTGTGTTACCAAGAACGGATGAAGGAATCAAGAAAATAAATCAACGTTGTTATAAAGTCTTTTTAGCCATGTTCGATGATCAAAAGAAATATCGTCAAATGATGAATGAATAAAATGAATCTTTTTATCTGATTTTAATTACTAATAAAACTTTCATTCTTTATGACAGGAAAAGATGACAGCAGTTATTGTTATAAATAAATATAAAACTGACACATTTAACATTGTTATATTTATTATTAACCCCGGAGAACCTAAAATAAACATAAAATATACTAAAATAAAATAAAAAGGCTTTTTTTTTTCTTTTTTCTTTTTTTGTTATTTATTTAGAGGGTAAAATGAATGAGCAGACGCCTCTTTTAAAAAATACAAAAAATAGTTCTTGTTGTTCTCAAAGTCGTTGTTGTTCAGCAAAGGATGAAATACAAACATGTTGTTCAATAAAAAAAATAAAATCGACAGACAGTGATGGATTACCGCCTGTTAATGATGTTGATTATTGTTTCCTTGCTGATCAAAAATGGGAATATAAGTGTATTGCTTTATTATGTGCATTATTTTTAGCTGGTAAAGAAATTGATAGAATGAAAAGTGATATAAAATTAAAATTAAAAGTAAAAGAATAAATGTATAAATGTAGTTGGAAGTCATTTTGCTGCTCATACATTAGGCGCAATGAAAAATACAATTAAACATGTAAAAAGAAGAAGAAGAAAAAAAAAAAAATGTCCATTAGATTTAAACATCTTGTTAATTATAATTTACGAAAAAAAAAAAAAAACTACTACCACTATTAGGAATTTGGTATTACAAATTCTCAATATGGTGTAATTCAGTCAAGTGTAGCTATTGTAAATACAATTTTACCTGTTGTAGGTGGTATTTTTATTGATGCCTTTGGTACAATACCTGGTGCTCTTTTAACTACTTTGTTGATTACATCTGGTAATATACTTGTAGCACTCGCTGCTTCACCAAAGAGTTTATATGTGATGGTTATGGGCCGTGTTCTCTATGGTATTGGTAGTGGTACAGTAGTTATTGTACAAGAAACAATTCTAAGTCAATGGTTTACTGGTAGAAGTTTAGCTGGCGTTGTCGCTTTAATGTTAACCGTGAGTCGATTGGTAAAACAAAAAAAAACATAAATAAGATAATAAGCGAGATCCCTTTTATAATTACATAACCATATATATTATTATTAGGCTTCATTTTGTGCTCAAGCAACAGTGATTCCTATTGCTAATCGAACTGGATGGTATGGATATAGTTTATGGGTAAAGCATATACATATAAAGACATCTTTTTTTTATTTTATTTTACTTTATTTAAAAAGAAAGACATCATTAAATCCTTCTTTGTGTATGCATAGTTCTCAGCTTTATTGTGTATATTTTCAATGATTATTACCTTTGTATATATTGGATTACTTAAAACAGTGACGAAATCTACAATAACATGTCGCAAACAAATGGAAGTCATTAAACGAAAGAAATCGTTTAGTTGGTCAAAATTAATGTTTTTACCTCACTCTTATTGGCTTATTGCTACTATGGAATTTTTATTAGGTGGTGGATGGAGTTGTTTTTTACATATCAATAGTGAATTTGTTAAACTTAAATTTTCTTATGATGATGCTCATGCAGCGGCAGTAGCGAGTGTTGCACAAGTCTTACCTGTCGTCCTTATGCCCTTTTTAGGTGTTTGTGTAGATCGATTCGGAAAGCGCACCTTAATGAGTAAAGTATTGTCATGATCAAGACTCTATTCTTCCATTTGACTCATTTTTATTTATTTAATTTATAGTGATTGGAAGTGGTTTAGCTATGTTATGCTCTATGCTTCTCTTAGAATTTACATCTATGCCACCTTTATTAGGCATGCTTTTATTTAGTATTAGTTTATCACTTGGGCCTGTTGGACTTGTATCTTCTGTACCCGTTATATTACCATTATCACTTGTGGGTACTGGTATGGGATTAGTGAAATCTGGAACTAACATTGGAGCAGCTATTTTTGATATCACAACTGGCTTATTACAAGATGCAGATCCTCATAAAGGATATGATGGGGTTATTCTCTTCTTTATTACAATTTCATCTTTAGCTATATTAGCAGGATTTACACTTTATATACTTGATTTTACAGTCTACAAATCCATCTTGGATAGATCTGCACATGAAGCTTATCGTATAGATAGAAACAAATTAGGTACTTCTTCTCTCGTTTGTTTAAAGGCAAATTATTTTTATGGATTTATTTATCTCAGCCTATGTTGTTTAAGTTGGCTTTTATTTTTCAAATTTATTTTATCCTAGATGAATGCAAACAAACAAATCATTCTCCCCCCAAACCCCACCCTTGCCTCCTTCTTTCTCTCCCCGCCTCCCCCCCCACACACATATATATATACGCACATTTCTAGTTAGTAAATAAGATGTAGTAGTCATAGAATAGATACTATTACATAATACCACGTATTTTTTATTAATATATAAATAAGAGAAACACACCACATATATAAGAAATTTCTATTTTAGACCTAATAAAAAAACCTAAAATGTCATCGTTTATCTGCAACAATAAATCAAATGCTTTTCTATTTTTTAACTGGTAAAGCATTTTTTAAAATGCCGTTTTTTTTTTTTTTTTTTTTTTTTTTTTTTTTTTTTTAACAATAAAATAGTAAAACTTCATTTTCTTTATTTATTTTTTATTCTATTCTATTTTTTTTATTACACACTAACATGCTTTATTCAAGAAATAATATTTTAACAGTTCAATATGATCAGAATAATAACAACAACATGCTATTATCTTCTTATAGTTCATTAAACAACACCATCATGTCAATGACAACATTGAATGGTGGTAATGAACTGATAAGAAAAAAGACAACAAAGAATGGAAAGGCATTTTTATTACCACCAGAGTTATTATTAGAAGTATTTTATTATCTTAGTGACTGTCAGTCTGCTTTATATGCAGCTTCACTTGTTTGTAAACAATGGTTTTATTGTGTTGCACCTATTCTATACTCTCATCCTCAGATCAAAGATACGTATCATTGGGCAACACTTATTTTAACTCTTACAAGAGAACGTATGTCCTTCTTTTATGGCGATCTTATTCGATCTATTGACCTGTCTTCAGGTAAATCTATAGGTAAATCTATTGTATAGACTACTTTACTTTGATTCAAATTATAATGAATTCTTATAATAGAGGCAATGAAAGATCAGGAGTTTTACCGAAGATTATCAGATATAACAGATCGACATAGACATAGTTTACCTATAAGCCTTATGCATCATCCTAATCTACAAAGAAATAGAAGACAACAACACTATTATTATCTAAGGAATCGAAGGGGTCACTTTGAAGAAGAACACTACTATCATGAATCATCCAATGAACAAGAATATAGTATGAAAGGGTTACCCTTTATCATCGTCTCTACTTCGTCTTTAATTCAGTTATCTCGCACTTGTAAAAATCTTACTTCACTTAATCTCTCTTATACAACTTTATTATATGATAGTCTTATAGCTGAAACTGGCGAATATCTATCTACTTTACAACATTATGCTATTCAACCTGGATTAACTCATATTCAAATACCGATTGAAGAAGCTATTCAAACAATCGGAAATGAATGTCATCAGCTTACAGAAGTTAAAATACAACGTTGTGAATGGGTAACAGCCCATGTTATCTGGATGTTTGCTTATTACTGTACAAATCTAAAGCGATTAGATGCAAGACGTTCAACTAAATGTACTGTAAAAAGACTTATTTCCCATGTTCTAGAAGAACAACCTATCTTACATCATTCACCACCACCACCACATCCTTCTTCTTTTATTGTCTTGCCTGCTTCTTCACTGTCAACTTCAACAGGTTCAAACACAAGTCATGAATTTGAAGAAGAAGAAGAAGAAGATAACACACACATTCAAATAAATGATAGTATGACTGTGCATTTTAGATTTAATGGTAATAAATAAATAAATAAATACATGCAGATAAATTAAATGATTAAATTGAATTAGAAGAATCAGGTTTATATGAACAAATAGAAATGCCAACAGTAAATACAGGACTCATATACCAGAGAGAAGAAGAAGAAGATGATAATGATGAAATAGTAATGGAAGAAGAACTTATTGATAATAATAGTCATTTACGTTTTGTTACTTTGAATGATGAAATGCAACAATCGACTGGACATCATAGACCCACTCAGCCTACTGAAATCACTCATCATTACAAATCACTTAAAGAGATCATTTACAATATTATTGTAGATGCTAGAGAATTAGGTGTTATCGATTTGCATTGGTTACAAGATTATTAATCCATCCATCATTCATAGTGTTCCATGTCATTTTATATTTAAAACCTTGTATATCTGTATATTTCATCCTATAACACACACACAAATAATAATAATAATAAATGTATTTATTGCTGATATCTTTGTGGAAGTTCAAGACGAGATATAACATGTTTTGGCATACAATAAACTGGATCTACAGCCTTTAAACCAGGATAGCCTAACAAGGATAAACCTGCTATACCGAATAGAGTATGAAATACGTCTACCATATCTCCAGGTCGATCTGATATACCTCCATGTTCAGGATCTTGTGCTGATAAGATAAAGTTGGATAATTTTTCTTTATCAATCCAATCTACATTCCCTAATATCGATAACGAGGATAAAACCCACCAAGAATAACACACCTAAATACATGAGGCCATTAATTCTTTCATATGACCCACACATTAAATAAATAAAAATGGTATTATTACATCTTCTAGTTTTTGGGGTCTACCGTTTAAACCCCCATTCTTTAATTGTCTTTCACATAACCACCAACTTAATAAATCACAATCTACGTGATGAAGTGCATCTGTAATAGCTAATGCAGCAACGCAACAAAAGATTTGACCTGCATGTGATTCTGCTCCAGGTCTACTACCAAATCCGCCATCATAATTCTTACATTGTAATATCCATTCAACTGTCTTTTCGACATCAATAGCATCAAGTCGTTTTAAAAGTGATAAACAGTTTAAAGCAATATATGAAAATCGACTATCGACTTCACCCCATTCATCTCCACGAAATGAACCATCTGGGTTTTGTAAACCTTGAATGTCTACATAAATAATAATAATAAAGAAAAAAAAGGGAGGGTTTAGATGTGTGTTAAAGAACAATTTCCCTCATCAATGACTTACATTCAACTACTTTGTCTACTTGAATAGAGTCAATCGCATCCAAAGTAATTAATATTTGGACCGCAGATAAGGTATGCGTAATGTGTGGGTCGTGGTGTTTATTACCACCGAATCCACCATTATCATGTTGAAGACTTTGAACAAAGCTAATGACATCGTTTCTTGGCAAAGCATCCATGTGGTTCATTAAATCGAGAGCTGTTAATCCCCAATAAAGTCCGTTTAAACGTAAATGTTCCGTAAGCCAATATTCCAAGTCGTCTTTTCTAGTATCAAGTGATTGAATATATTTTACATGTAAAGGTATGAATAACTCGTTGATTGCATTTGTTTTTGTCATTTTTTTTTATTTTAAAAAAATAGTTAAAAAAAAAAAAAAAAGGGGGGGGGAGGGCGTGTATTATATAATATTCGCTTGCTGCTTTAAAAATAAATAGTGCAAAAGTCACTTTCAAAGAAGAAAAAAGAAAGAAAAAATCTCTTTCTTTCTTTCTTTCTGTCTCTCTTTCACTTTGTAAAAATGGACGAAAGAAATCACAAGATTGTTAATGTATTAGAAACTTATTTTAGTGATGCATCATTATTATGGGATAAAATCATGTTGAATAAAATAATGTCAAATCCTGAAGGAAGTAAAAGTCAAATAAAATACAATAATGACAATAGTACATTTCATTGATATATATATGTATATGTATATAATTAGTGGTCTCTTTTACTGAACTTGCTCAATTATCAAAATTCAAATCATTAAAAGTTACACCTGAAGAAATTAAAGAGAATGCAGAAAAATATTGTTTAACACGTTTACAGGTAGTTATATACATGTATATAAATGTGCATACACGTTGCTTTTATAATAACTTTCCCCTTTACAGTTAAGCCAAGATAAACAAAAAATAGGACGCATAAAGCCTTTTGTTAAGGATAAAAAGGAGGAATTGGACGAATGGTCTATTTATGTAGAAGGGTTGACGAAACCTTATAACACAGAGACTGCTATTAAAGAATTATTTAATTCACATGTGGGTCATGTTTCCTTCTTTCGTATACCACCCAATAAAAACGCAAGATATCAACCAGCATCTTTTTATGGTTATTGTTTTATTGAATTTGATGATAAAAAAAACGTTGAAAAAGCAATTCAATTATTCAATCGATATGGCAACTCTAATGAAACAAATACTAAATTGATGGATAAACTCAATTTGAGGATCATGTCAAAGTATGATTGAACAAAGTGAAAAGATGAATTGAACTCAATCAATTTTCTTTTTATTTATATAGAATAGAATGGAATAGATTAAAAGAAGAATATGTTGAATTACTTGAAGAACGAAAAGGTTATTTTAAACGAGTTTGGGATGAATATAACGCTGAGGAAAATAAAGAAGAAGAAGAAGAATCAAATAAAAAGGCAGATATAAAAGTGAAGGATCATAGAACAGGTACGATTGTCTTTGTAGATGGACTTCATCCAAAGAGTCCAAAGACAATAGCTATTTCATTACTTGAAACTTCCAATATCAAAATTGAATACATGAGCCCTAAAAAGAAAGGATTAACAAGTGTATATATTCGTTTAAGAAATAATGAAGATGCAACCCAGATTTGTGACTATTTTATGCAACACCATTTCATTATTCAACAAGACGAAAAGGATACAAAGGGTGAAGAGCAAGAGAGTAGAACGAATGAATGTATAAAATTAAGACTTCTTACAGGTTAGATTCCATAAATGAATTCTCTTTTATTATTATTTGAATTTTAACGTGTATATAAATATAGAGTCTGAGGAAAAGATTTATTGGGAGAATGATAAAAGATAATCAATTATTATTCCTTATTATAATATAAACTAAAAGCGTCTAAAGAAGTTGTAATGACAGCTACTAGAATCTCCATACCAATAAGCCAAATAACAATCCACTCTAAATATTCACCTAAGCAAATAAATGAATGAATGAATGAATGAACAAAAATGATTTTTATGTGTTCTATTAGTCAACTTACTATGAGAACTGTTTAAATGATCTTTCAACATTTCTAATAAATCACTAATCACTTCTACTCTTTGATTCAAGAGTTCTACACGTTGAGATATTTCCAAGTAACCTCTTATAGCGCTATATAAAGGCTCTAAAGTAGGTTCTGACCAAAAGATTTCTGGTGTATCCAAGATATTAGAAACTAAATTAACATTAATTCTCATGATGAACAATTGTCCAATCTTTTTAGTAATAGCTGTTCTATTTTAAAGAAAAGAGTGAATATAGCCGTTCCTTTGTGTATATATAACAGTTTCTTCTTTATTCTCTATTTTACCTTGACATTTGAATATTTCCACTTTCTGCCATTACTTGAGGAATATATTTAGTTTCGTTGATTGTATCATCAATTAATCTTTCAAATAAAGTCATTTTGACACTTTGTGCAATAGCATGTGATATTGTTAATTTGATAAGATAATTTGAAGGATGTCTTAATGTAATAATATCATTATAAATACTATAGTAATTGAAAGAAACAAGTAGATTAGATATACATGTATACATACACATATATACACATATACACATATACACATATATACACATATACTTACCGTGGCTGATATGCTTCATTATAATAATAATGAAATTCTTCTGTTTCTACATCATCAAGCTCTATAATAAAACATCTTGATAAGTTATATACACATTTATTTATTTATTTATCTAGTCTTTACCTAACTTTTCTTCTTCAAAGGGTACAAGTAACTTTAATATCCTTTGTTCTTCCTTTAAGGTCATGCCCCAAAAGACGACCACGCCATAGTCAAATAGAAACATTTCAGGTAATTTCTGTGTAGTCAGAGAATGATTCGTATTGGCTGGATGAGGAGGAGAGATAGGATAAGTAAAGGCATAAGGCGTGTAAAGACATTCATCAAATCTCTTTGGAGCTGTTCCGTTTGTCTTTTTTTTGGATTGAAGGTATTTTACAAGTTCATCCATACGATAAGCACTAAAAATAACAACGATTATTATCAACATATATCTATTTATCTATGAGGATCATATTTACGAAGCTGTGCAATAAGCTGTCATTCTCGATAACTCACTTCTATCCATTTTATTTAACATTTCTGCTTCTTCTCTTGCCATACCATGAGGTATCTTGGCTATCTGAGTATAGACATCCGCTTCAGGTTCTTCATTTTCCTCATTAAACCATGGCTCATCCTCTGGAAATAATTTTAATTTTTGTGATATCTTAGTTGTACGCATAGGTAATTTATGCTTATTTGTTCTTGCTTGATTTTTTTGTTGTTGTTGTTGTTCAATAAAGGTATTATAGTTTGAACTTCTCTGAGGATATGAACGAGAGGCATTTTGTTTAGGTGATTTACTTGAAGAATTAGGAATATCTCTTCCACTCATAAGTGGTGCATTCACTTCATCATCTTCTTCTCTTCTTGTAATAAATGCTCTTTGTGGTTGTGACATGTTAATCCGAGAAATGCTCTTTCAAAAAAAAAAAAAAAAAAAAAAAAGAATTCTTTATAGTACAACAAAATAATTGCTTAGAAAAAAAAAAAATAAATAAGAAAAAGAAAAAGAAACAGGAAATAAATTCAAACTCCGTATTTTTCTTTTCTACAAAAGATTTGTTTTACTTTTTTATTTTTTTATTTTTTTTTTTGTTTTGCATAATATTACATGTGTAAAATACAAATAAACAGTTATTTTCCTCTTTAACTTAAAAAAAAATCATACGTACACACAATTTGGAATCATACAAAATATCTTTTAATCTTTATTTTATATTATATTTTCACATTAACAGAAAGAAAAAAAAAAGAAAAAAAAAGATAAAAAAAAATTAAAAAAAAAATAATAAAGGATAAAAAAAAAAAAAAATAATAAAGGATAAAAAAAAAAAAAAAGAACAACAAAAAATCAATGAACCAACAATCTGACCATCAACAAAGCTCAAGTCAAACATTATTTCACATGGAATCAAAGCCAATCAGTACTTTAAAAAAGTTAAGCAAATGTTCAAGAAGTGAATTAATTGATCTTCGAGAACGCAATTTACAAATGTTGAGTAATTCGTAAAGTATATACATAAATATGTATATATTTTTTTATTCATGATTTTATTTTTTTATAAATATTAGATCTGTAATTGATATTTTACCAGATAAAGGGAGAAAATTAAAAGAAACCAATCAAATGATTGAAGAGTTATTATTAACAGTATTTGATGAAGTAACAGTTGAAAGTACGAATCATTTGGATTGTCCATTAACTAGAAAATTAGAAGAAATGTCAGTATTAACCCCTCATCAAGGAGCTAGAAAGAGATCAGTTGATTTAGCCAATCAACAAGCTTATAGTAACTACTCTTCTAATGGACTCTTATTCAGAAAACCAAGAAGAAAAGTTTATTCTTCCTCTACTACTACTTTACCTTCTATATTTCGTATTCATAATCACAATACTCCTCATTATATCCAACAAAATTCAAATACAAGCCAACACAAGTTGCCAGATCAGGTATATTTTTTTATATATGAAAATAATAATAATAATAAAAAAAAAGATAGAAACCTATAGAATAATAAGAAATAATATATAGTCAAAAGTTAGAATGATTAGCTTGGATGAATCAATGACATTACAAACAGAACAGCAGCCCTCAGTGAAAAAGGTATATAATCTAATTTCTTCTTCTTATTATAGACATTAATTATTCTATTAAAAAAGTGTGAAGAATCTTTAGATTTGGAACATCCTAGTCAAAACTTGTTAAAGACGTTAAAGTAAAAAAAAAAAAAATAGAGTCTTTTTCATTATACAACCATAGATAAGCTAAACTTTCTTTCTTTATTTATTTATTTATTTAGCTTATCTGTAGATGTTATTCAAGACGTAAATATTGATAAGATTGAATTCCCTCTATATAATGAAGAAACTGCTGAAGATGATGACTATGAAGATAAAATGATCATTGATTAAAGAACAATAAAATGTATTTAACGGATATATATTTAAGCCATTTTTTTCATTATGTAATAAACCAAACAAGAATTATGATAAGAGATACATACACCTATAAACATGATAATATGCTTATTTACTATTCTTTTTTTTTTTTTTTTTTTTTTTTTTTTTTTGTTTCATTTCTTTTTTTTTTTCTTTTCTCTTTATGAAATAATTAACATGACGGCAGATACGATGACTACTATTTTATTCATAACAAGTTATATATTAATCATTCTTTTGTTTTATTTAGAACATCGATATGAATCTTTACGTACAACAACTACATTACAATTATCGGGTGATGATAGAGGCACAACTCGACTTTTGTTTATTATGAGCATTTTATCACTTGTTATTATTGCTCCTTTATCTACTTTTTTATTCAATAGTAGTAGTGATAGTAGTAGTAATTCAGTAGCCATGAGTTGGATCGGTTTTGTTTTCATGTTAATAAGCATAATTTTATTAAGATGGACAACATTTGTTAATCCTTTTTATTTACGTACAATGGCAACTACAGATGATCATTTTATATGTACAGACGGACCTTATCGAATGATTCGACATCCTGGTTATTTAGCATTTTTATTGGCTTGGATAGGTTTTGGTTTATTAACAATTCATTGGATTTCATTTATTATCATTTCTCTAATCATGACCTATGCTTATTTACGTCGTATTCAAGCTGAAGAACAAATGATGTTGGACCGTTTTGGAGTTGATTATCAACACTACATGAATGAATCATATAGGTAACATAAAAGAAAGAAAGAAAGAAAGAAAAAAGAATACATTCATTGTATTAAATGACTTTACTGATAAATAATAATAGGCTATTACCATTTGTTTATTAAAAATAAAAAAAAAGAAGCATAGAATAATGTGAACTGTTATTATTATTTATTATCTATGACTGATTATGTAATTAGATGTATCTTTTTTTTTTTTTTCCTTCTCTCAAGGGTATCCCTTATCATTCCTGTTAACATTAAGGATAAATTTTGCAACACTCTGAAATAAATCATGAATTGATTGATACAAAGACATAACTTAACAAAACAAAAAAATAGATGGAAAAAGATGTCTACTAAAGCTTATATATTCGATAAACACAATAATAGAGTAATAGTAGTAGTAGTAGCAGTAGCAGTAGCAGCATGGATATCTTATTATAGTAGATACAAGGGAGGGAAAAAAGAATAAGATTAAAGACACTAATAAAATTAATATGTGTCATCATCAAACATGTTTTATTTTTATTAACGTATAAAAAAGCAATTATATAATTAATAACACCACTTAATTGGTTAATAAAGTCTTTTTTTTTTTTATATAGTCTTGGCTCTTCTGTGCCTGAATTTGTAGGTTTAAAAAAAAAAAAATGTCACATATATAAATAGGCCGCGTTATATTAATCTATACTTGCTTTTCTCTTATCTTTGTTAATAATGCTCTCAAAATCATCTTGTATATCTGTTCAACTTCTTGAACCAACTATTTACGTGGATCCTAATTCAGAATTATCCAATGTGATTAGGGGCACTATAAATATTAACTTTTCAAAGACGATGACAGTGAAATCTATTTCAGTTCGATTTGATGGCAAAATGGAAACTAAAAGTTATACATGTGATGTTATCGACAATGCAGGTGACTTTATTCAAAAGAAACCGTTAACACGTCAAAGTTTAATATTATATCCTACATTGGAACAAGAAGATACGAATCGTCCTTTGATCATAAACGCAGGGTTAACTCAGTTTGGTTTTGAGATGCAAGTACCTTCGAAATTACCCGAATCGATTGAATGTTCCGATATTCATGTCTATTATTATGTAACAGCTGTTATTGAATATTATAATAAGGATCATTCATTCTTTTCTCTTCGTTCTTCTGTTATAAAAGAATTGGCTAGACAGCATGTTCAAGTCACTCGTTTACCTTATGAAAGTATTCTTTTAGCAGATGCAATGTCAAGTCCTATCGATTCTCGTACTCATCATTGTGGCTGGCTCAATTATCAAATCGTGATTGATAAAAAGGCGGTTGCGCTTGGTTCTAATTTACCTATCACATTCCGAATAACGCCTACTTGTGATATCGGAGTCTCTATTGATCGTATTCATATTCAAATGCTTGAACGTCGTGACTTACATCGTTTATCAACTCATACAACCCATTCTGTTCACACTATTTTACCCTGTAACACGAATAATAAAGCATCACTTCCAAAGGAACCTTTAAGAGAAGATCAAGTTTGGGAAGATACTATTATGTACAAAATTCCTGGTGATAAAGAACTTGTTCATTCCACTCAAGAATACTCCGATTTTAGTGTCAGTCATACATTACTTATCACCATCACTCTTTCTACGATTCCCAGTAGTAGTAATCACTCTTCAGCTACTAGTCGTCGTTCTCCTCGTACACAAAAGATGGTTACCTTTCAAGCTCATATTGATATTCTTGATGAGACCTTGGGTGAATTAGAATCTCTAAAGTTACCTACTTATGATGCTCCTCCTCCATTTGAAGATATTATCGTCAACCATCATCATCATCATCCTTCTTCAGTAGTAGACTATACCTTTCCTACCACCGACTATGATGATTATCATAAATTACCTGATCCTCCCGCCTATAATGAAATCTTTGCTTAATATTACTTTCAAAAAAAAAAGGGAAATAATCCTTTTCCTTTACGTACACTATTTATACCCTTTCTTTATTCTTATTCACAACACTTAGAATGTATATAATAATATAACAACGATTGTAAATAAATAAAATAGCACATACGTATAAAATAGGCTCTAGTATAGAATTTCTTTTTTTCTTTTTTTTTTTTAAAAAAAAATGATGATGATGATGAATATCCAAAGATAGTAATTATGATGCACTAACTCTTTATGCTGTAGCAGGCTTTTCAAGAAGACACTTTCTATATCAAGTAGTAGTATATACTCTTTGCCATTCATTGGTACAAGCTTATTTTAGTAAGTTTATTCCTCGCAAATTGATTTAATACCATATTTAGTAATAATGAAAAAAAATTTTTTTTGTGCTTCTACTATGATATCAGATTGTGTAATAATAGTTGTCTGCACCTATTCTCATTTACTACTATTATTAGTAAATATAAACTATAACACTAAAGAGGTCAAGTTGAAACGTTTATTTATTTATTTATTTATTTATTTTTAAAAAAATTATTATGCATAATGAATACGCGTTGGGTAACCTAAAATAAAATTTAATATGTACAATGCTATGAAGTATATATCATTAAGCCCTTTTTTTTTTCTTTTACTTTTTTTTTTCTATCATTTAAACTAAAGAATTTCCAGAGTTTTCCCAATATAAGGGGACAGTTGAGTTTAGGATATTACTGAATTCTTTAGCTATTTTCATGAGAGAAGAGGCATTCTCTTCTTGAGTGGCCAAGAAATCTTTGATCGTCCAGGAAGGAGCCTCTCCAATCTTAAGGTTTAAATTTTCTGCAAATCGATCTACCCAAGATTCCTTGTAAAGGGAAACCTTAAAGAGAACACGATGAGGATCGAAAAGTGTTAAATCAACGGGTAATTCACGATCAGGTCTTTCAATACGTCCAATATCCCATATTTCATCTTGACATATTTCAACAATATAACCTTCCTTCCAGCTATAGAGCCATTTTGTCTTTTGTGTCACTAAACGAGGAACATAGTCATTTGAGGTAACCATGATTAAACGACTTGTAGGGCTCACACGAAGACCGTGAGCGAATTTTTCATGAGGTGAATCTATATCCTCATTAGAAAGTATTTGTGCTGATTGTAGTTTCAGATCCCAGGAGTAATGACTTTCTAAATCGGTTGTAGTAATATCCACTACATCCGTACATTCAGTAATCGTACTCCAGAGACCACGCTGTCCATTCTCTGTAAACGAGATTTGCATCACAGTAGGCCACATATCACCTCGAGGTGGATCACGTTGACCAGGAAGAGTAGGGGGAGCTGCAAAGGGATACTGATCAGCCATGATAACAAAGGAGGTACGTGGATTCTCTGAAAAGGCGACTGCATGTTGATCTTCAGAAAGATATTCAAAGAGTCCCTTTAAGCCCTGTTGAGTTCGACTGATACAGGGAGCTAAAGCTGATTTAAATTGAGGCTTATGAAAGATTTTGTCGCTTACTTCTTCAATCGATAAAAATTGTCCATCCTTTTTAGGATAATCAATTAGACATATTTGACCATAACGAATCTTCATACGAATAACCCAATCATTAAGACGAAGACTTTCAAGTCCTTGAACTAAAAGATGTTCAATCATTTTTTCATTACGAGAATTCAATGTTTTTACCCGTTCAGAAAGTTGTTCAGACCTTGTTGCTTCTTCATTAAAAACAATAAGATCGTTGATTTTAGGTATAACACCTGTGTTTACCGTTTCCAACATTCTCTGTCTTTCCAACATATTTTGTTCTCCTGTTGGATCGACATAGCGATAGGTAGTAAAGTTGTTTGGTAGCTTTCGATAAGTAAGTAACCATTGTTGTGTAGGTTGTTGCATTAATCGAAGGACGGCTTTCTTTACTTTACGAGAGTGACGTAGATGCCAATTTCGTACACGTTGTGCAGCTTGCTTTACAGATTCTTCTGTATCAGCTGCAAAACGAACCGAATTTGTAGAAGGTTCATACCAAATGTAACATTTACAATCAGCACGGATTCGATTAAAATAAGATTCATTTTCACCCATTAAACGTAAAAGAGGTAACGTTTGATCAGGTAGTGGAAATACAGCATTATAATTCTGAAGAATAGGTGGTAAACCATGATATCGTTTCTCTTCATCGATTCTTGCCTGTCTACGTTCAGCACGTCGTTTTTCCTTTTCAGTTAGTTCACGTTCAGGTTTACTCCATTTCTTTGTTTTACGTCTTGTACGAGACTCTTTATCAAGTAAGCGAGAGACAATCATATCTAAATAAGATTTTGCTTTTGCAATAGCCTCTGCATCACCCCAAATATCAACTTGGTTGTATTGTTCATTGAATTCAATAAAGGAGCCTGTAGCCTTTTGAATTTCATTGATACGTGATTTATTTCTTTGACCAAGAACATCAAAGGGATTAACATAGGCAGGTAACACCCAATGATCCTCTGCATTTTGGTGATTTGTCCCTGGTACAACTGTATTATCTTTAAATGATTCCGTTGTATCTTGGGCTCTATTAGGAATGATTGAATCTCTATTATCATCCATAACATTACGAAAATTTCTTTGACTTTGACGTTGAATATTAGATGAGCTAGAACCATTGTTGTTTTGAATACTGATCATTGAAGGATCTCTCCAATCTTCATCAGATAATTCTTCATTTACATAACCATAAGGAACTTCAGGTTCAATAGACATGATAGTTTATTTTATTTTATTTTTTTTTATTTTATTTTTTTTTTAAAAAAAAAGGGTAATAGTTGTCAGAAAAAAAATATTTTTCGCCTTTTCAAGTTACATAATAGTAGTCGACAATAGACGTATCTATTATTGTGACAGAAAAAAAAAAAATAATTTTTTTTATACATATAAACAGACTATATGCTGTAATGTAGTAAAGGAGCTTCTTGAGGTATATGAACGCATATATGTATACTCTTTATGTTTTAAAGTCTATATAATTGACAACTTTTAATTCATATACACGGACATATGATAAATTAACAATTATATGCTTAATACGTATACATAGTATAACTCTCTTTCAATATAGCATATTACTCCATCTTTTTCGAATTTATAAAGACGAAAGGATCAAAATTAATGTTGTATAATACAAGAGCAGCTAATATCCTCAGTAGAACAAGAACAAACAGTATTGAAAACAGATGTTTCCTTATTATTAAGCTATTAAATGTTATATCATTGTCATTTTTTTTTAATGCTGTAGAGTTTGTATTTATACTAAATCTTATCAAAGATAATTGTAAAATCCTTTCATCTTGTGTCAATATATAATGTTATTTGACATTATTATTTCGGTTGATTTTCATTTCTTTTCGTTAAAGTTTTTCTCTTTTTCATCTTTAAAAAGATTCTTTGTTTTCCTCTTCTTATAAACTAAACTTGAAATTTCATTGTGCCTGCTGCTCAAAAAGGATAATGATCAAGGAAATTTAATTGACAATAGGAATTATTAGCCCAAGTCACAATTTATAGAGGCTTAGCAGCAGCAGCAGCAGCAACAGCAACTATAATGTACATCAGATAATTAACGCGTATCATATCTCCTCTTTTTTTTTTTTCTGTTTTTTTTCTTGCGCTTTATTGAAATAATAAAATGAGCTTTTTATATACAACGCCTGACATTCATTTTGGAACTGTAGCAGAATTGAATGGAAGTTTGGGTATGAAACCTATTTTAAACAATTATTATTATTTTTTTTTAAAAAAAAGAGAAAAAAACTAAATGCGTAAAATAAATCTTAGTTCACGTGGATAATGCAAACAGTTCAGCTTTGCAAGAAGTTCATGACAACCATGTAATTACTAACTTCATCTTCTTGTATAACATAGTCTCTAATAAATACTATTTTTATTATTTTTACTAATTATTATTACAGACGCCGTTATACCCTTCCATTACAATTCAACCTTTTGAACAACTCACTCCTGATTATATCAATAGTACGGATGAAGAAGCTTCTAGTTATTTAGAAGTTTTACACAACAAAGCCAAATCACTACTTGTTCAACAATGGGAAGAAAAGTAAGTAGGATTAATAAGAAATGAGATAGTTATGATATTAACTATTTTTTTTTGGTAATATAAAGTCGACCTACTATTGAAGCTACAACCGTATATAAAGAAGGAAAACGTATTTACGATTACATTTACAATAAATATTTAAAAACATCGAGTCCTGCATTAGAACATTCCATGTTTCAAACAGAAAGTGGCAATGTGATTCGATCGATTGCCTGGCATCCTCACCAAGATATTTTAGCAGTCGCTTATAAAGATGATCAAGTTTATATATATGAAAAGAAAAATAGTAAATGGACTTGCCAAGTATTATCACATATGAAAATGAAAGACATTACCTGTTTAGAATGGAAGCCTAAAGCATCAGGATTATTGGCAGTTGGATGTAAAGAAGGAGTTTGTGTTTGGACTGTAGAAAAGGTGATTGAAGAAGATGAAGAGCCTCATAAACATCCATCAGCAACAATGACATATTTAAGTTACCCTAAACATGATTATATAAGTGCAATAGCTTGGGACCCTACACCTGGAAGTCATTTATTAGCTGTCGCTTCTGCAGTTACTAGTACACTTGTTATTTATGATTTATTATTAAATAGAACAATTCCTCTAAAGCGTTATGGAAAAGGGGATATTCTCTTACGTTGGAGCCCAAGTGGTGAATGGCTCTTTGAAGGAGGATGGTAAGTAGTGTTGTTTATCTATTTCAAACAAGAAAAGTGTTATATAACGATTTCTTTCCTTGTTTTTTTTGTTAAATCCTAGTGCTGGAGTGTCTCGTTTATGGAATACTCGAGATTGGACATCAAAACAAATCTATAATCCTCCCGGTGTATGGGTACAAACTGCCTGTTGGGCACCCAATAATAGAATTCTATTTTATTCCATGTACGGAGAGAGTGATATTCATGTATTATTCTTGGCGGGACCTTCAGTTCAATCAGTAGTAGATGTTAAAGTCCTGTCTACACCGTCAACACTAGTTGAATCAGCAACGGGCGCCTCGGTAAAAGTAGGTGGTACTATTCGTGATATATCGATTGATATAAGAAACGGACAAAGACTAGCTGTGGCCTTTGAAGACTCAAATTTAATTGCCCTCTATTCTCTTAAACAAGTTTCACCACTTAGTTTAACTGAAGAAGCAATGCTATTCCCTATGTAAGTGTAAATCATAACTATTTACAATATAAACTCACAATGCATCATGTCTTTTTATTCATTTATTTAGCGGCTGCATCCGTGGATTAAAAACTACTTTTGATCATACAACAGGTGCTAATGAAATGACAATACTAAAAGAGGATATAAAGCCTTTACAGATTTCATTTTCTTCTACATATAAAAATGGGGCTTTATTAGCAATTGCTTGGAATAATGGCTCGATTACTTTTGTTACTCATACCTTCTTGACTGATGAAGAAATGCGAAAACGATTTATGTAATAAATTTAAACAACCGATATCATACTTTTTTTTTTTTTCTTTTTTTTTTCTTTTTCTTTTTCTTTTAATCGTCTATTTTGACGTATACAATATAAGCATGAGTGAAGGGTATTCATACATCTATATCCATCTTTACACATCCTAATTCTTTTTAAAAAAAATGAAATAGTTTAAGTCAAGACGATTTCAGACGATTATTAGCTACACCACGTCCATCTACTAATACAGATGAATTACCATCACAAAATAAATTCAAAATGCCAGCACCTCGGACACCGTAATATGATTTAATTCAATTACGAAAAAGGTATAATGTGCTTACATCCTTTTTTTTTTTAAAAAAAAAAATAGAAGAAATACAGGTGCTATTTTTGCTCAACCACGATCTATACGAAAGAAAAAGTAAATTCTATAAAATAGTTCAATTTATATACATTTTTATATTATATTGATCTCAAAATCGTCTTTATTATTATTATTATTCTGTTTCTAGTTTTAAAAAAGGCTTTAAAAAAGATGGTGATGATGATGATGATCAAGAACAACAACAGGAAAAAATAAATTATCGTGATCGAGCAGCTGAAAGAAGACGTCAAGAGATGAGTGGAGTAGACGATTCACAATTAACAACCGAAGAATTACTGAAACGTACCCAAGCCGAAGTAGATGAAGAATTAGATGCGAAAACATTATATGAACAATCGAAATATTTAGGCGGCGATGTTGATCACACTCATCTCGTTAAGGGTCTTGATTATGCATTGTTAAGAAAAGTGAAAAATGATCTTTTAAAACAGCAGCAGCAGCAGCAACAAAAAAAGGATGAAGAGAGTGGAGAACAAGAAGAGGATAATGATGATGAAGCGATGGATGAAGAGCTTGATCAAGTCTTTGAAAGGATTGAGAGAGGGGAAGAGTTTAGAGATGATTCCGTTTCATCATCAAAGGATACAGCACCCAAATTTCATACCTTAATGGCCAAAAATATTTATCTACAGATTGAGCAGCAAATAAATCCTGATAAACAAGATAGAGTAGAATTGTTTGAACCAGGCAAGATGGCCTTTGTATTTGAATTAGCAGATGAAGTAGGACATTATTCAGATGCATTTGCTATACCCACCGCTGTCATTCGAAGCAAGTCAGATATTGCTGCTAGATTGGCAAAATCAGGTTGGTCTGAAGAAAGTCAGGCTGAATCCAGTTTAGTTATTGAAAAGATTTCACAAGTCATGGCTCGTTTAAGGAATAAGAATGAAGACATCTCAGCAGATCAAGAAAAGAAAAGAAATGAATCTACTGTTACAAGTGAGCCAGTAGCGATGGTAGAGGATGGATTTATAGGCGATATCTTTGCTGATGTGGGTCGTGATTATGAATTAAATGAGGGTAATTTGCCAAGGAGCTCTACAGAGGGGAAAAAGGAGGGTTCCTATTTCCAAGGTTTAATCAATGAAAAAGAAGAAGATGAAGATATGGTAGATGTGAACGAGAGTGATAAAGCTGTTAATGCACTTTTAAAGCGAGCAACTAGTTCAAGAATCGATACAACGACAGTTGAAGAAGCAGCAGCAGCAGCAGCAGATTCATTACTAATGACAGATGGAAATTCTCCAAAGCGAAGAAAGCAAAGTAGCAATATAAATATGGAATTAGATACTGATGCTGATGCCGCTGACATTGATATGTTTGGTTTGAGTTCTTCTGCATTACCCACTTCATTTGAAGAACATCATGCAATAAGTTATCAATCAAATGATAATGATGACTCTATTAAATTAAAGGCAAATACACAAATGATAGATCAAGGTACAAATCGCAATAAAAAGGCCCAGCTTACTCGTTGGGACTTTGATACTCAAGAAGAATGGCAAAAATATAAGGACTCAATCGAAATTCATCCAAAGAGCGCTTTCCAGTTTGGTGTCAAATTAGGTGATGGTCGTAAGCGTCATCGAGAACGAAAGGAACTAAATGATAAACAACGTCTAAATCGTGAATATCAACAAGTGAAAAATATTATCTCTCAAAAATATGGAAAATCGTTAGATAAATAGATATTTTTGTATGGTTGTATATATGTAATAAAACAGATAGCCAAACCCTTTCTTTTTTTTTTTTACTATTTCTTTATTAAAAGGTCTCGAATAAAAAGAAGCATGAATAAGAAAAATATTTCGAGTTCATAGTTATAAGAGCTACCTTAGAAATATGACTCGGGTTATACACATCTATATGCATGCAAACTAGCTTTTATATATGTATAAATAAATATTTTTTCTTATATACAAAAGTATATAAATATCCATATTAGTGTAGAATATTATAATCATTTTCTTCCTTCTTTTTTTTATTTTTTATTTTTTTTTTTTTTTTTTTTTTAGTAATGAAAAAAAAAAAAGGATTCCTTATCTTGAACCGTGTTTTCTAGATGATGATTTCATCATCCAAGGATGCTTTAATGCTTCATCTGGTTTCATACGTTGTTCAGGATCCCAGCATAAGCATTTGTTAATAAAATCCACAAAAGTTTCATCGGTAGTCTTTAAAGCATGCTCTAAAGTTTTTGTACCTGGTCTACGTTTTCTTCCTTTTGAATTTGGTTGAATTCGTGGATTTCCTTGTGAATCTACAAAGAAAGCAAGTATTATTATTATTATTATTAAAAATGATCTCATCTTTGTTTACCAAAAAATAACTTTCTACGACTACTCTTTTCAATAATATATGGCTCTGGAACATTTTGAATTTCCATGATACATGCTAATTGTTCTTGCTCGTTTTCTCCAGGAAATAATGGATAGCCTGTATGTAATTCTGCTAATATACAACCTAAACTCCACATATCAATTGCCATACTATAATTCATACCCATAATAACTTCTGGAGAACGATAAAATCGACTCTGAATATATGTATAAACTTATTAACATTTTTTTTTTTTTTTGGTTCTCTATTAGTCAAACATAAGGTAAAGCTAAATCTTGTATTATAATTTTACAAACCTTTTTCACTTTCCAAACAAGAGCTACCGAAATCAATCACTTTAATTGTACTTTTCGTAGGATGCTTCAAAAGAATATTCTATAATTATATCAAAATAAACATAAAAATAAGCTTAGTCGTGATATAATTCTCTACTTCTTATATCTATATACTTCTGGTTTTAAATCACAATGAATTAATTTATGTTTCTGCAAAAGCGTAAGTGAATTAAGTAATTGCATAGCAAATCTAATCCAAAAAAAAAAAATCAATTTTCTGTTTCGCTTCTTTCTTTTTCTTTTTTTTTTCGATAAAAAAACTTACCTTCTAATTAGACCCATACTAAATCCTTGAAAACCATTACTTTTAATAAATTCATACAAGTTAATACTAAGACATTCAAAGGCAATACATAAATGGTTTCGAAATACAAAATGCCCCAACATTCGAACATTATTATGTTTGTCTTCTGCATCCCAAGTAATTAAATTTTCCAATATCTTTACTTCCACTAGCGCCTGCGTGTGGAATCGTTTCTTGTTACGAATTATTTTAACTGCTACTGTCTGACTCGTACGATGATCGAAGCATTTCAGCACCTGGCCAAATGATCCTTTCCCCATTAATTCTAAAACCTCATATCGATAGTCTAAATGGTCACGTATCTGAACAAGATAATCACCTCGTTCATCATCGTAGCCATAATTGCATATAGTTTGACTTGGACTTGTAGGTCGCTTTTTCGCATGATGACCCACAAAATAAATATTTTCATAGTTCATCATTTCTTGTTTCTCATATGATGTTAAATTGAATTGATAAAGCTTGAGAGCTGCTTCTGGTGTCATGGCTACTCGCATCGTGACTCTGGGGTGATTTATAAGTAATTTCTTTACAACAGTATCCTCTGTAGGACTCTCAGTAGGATGGTTACTGTTTAATGATGTACTCATACCTCGACCACGGAGGATAATTTCTGATGTATTATGCATCTCTATTGTTGGTTTATTAATTATTTTATCTCGTTCCATCTGAGCTGTCCATGACTTACTTTCATCAACTAAATTTTGAAGACGTTCATGTAATGTAGACACTTTCCGTTTGGATACAGAATCTTCATTTTTTTTTTTTTGGGAAAGGAGGAGGAAAAGAGAAGTAGGGTCAAAAAACAAATATATGAATGGGTTAAATGAAGTTTAAATTAATTAATTGACAATATACCTGAAATTGTTTTCGAAGATAACGAAGTCATTAATCCATTTCTAGTTGATTTATTTATATTATTTGTAGTCACAGTAGAAGAAGTAGGTGTTATTATAGTAGTAGATACTTTACGCAAGGTATTATCATCTGTACTTTTGTTAGATTTACTTGCTTGAAGCTTTGGTGTTGTAGAGACTGCTGATGTTGATTTTGGTTTACGAAGTTGTCTTTGATATTTAGGTTTAACTCTTGTATTCATAGCCAATCCTTTAGGTTTTTGATGATGACCATCATTATCAGCATTTGTATGATTCTCGGATAAAATGGTATTATTAGTTCGCTTTGCAGCTAGAGCTAATTTTTGTTTAGGTATTGTTGATGTAGGTATATTAGTTGTTGTAGGTAAAGGTATCCGTGTAGGTGTTTTAGCAAGATTCCTTGCAGTTTTTTGAACACTTGGTATATTTAAAGGCTCAACCTTCATAGGTGGTAATGCTATAGGGGCAATAGAGGGCTGTGAATTAAGGTTACCAGGAAGGGTCTTTTAGATATTAAATATATATATGTATATACATATATACACATATAAACATATATACATATATACATATATATATATATATATGTATATACATATACATACACATATAAATATATATAAGTTCTTTTGATTTCATAATGATATCTTTATTACCTTTCCTCTTTTTCTTCTAACAACAGTAGCTACTGTAGAAGAAGATACTGGTGTAGTAGCTTCAAGACTAGAATTTATAGATGTTGATGCTGCTACTGTTGCTGCTGTTGTTGCTGCTGTGACTACTTCTTTAGTTCTACGTACTTGAGTATTTTTTGAAGAACCAGTTGAAGAACTAATATTAGCTGTTGTGATACTTAATTTAACTTTACGTTTATCAGAGAGATGATTAGTTTGATGCAATTTAGTTGATGGCTTCTTAATACTGGTCATATACTCATTTACAATTTTTACATCACTTTCTTTTTTTACTTCTTCATGCTCAACACCCTGCTTAACAGATTTGTATTGTTGTTGCATAGAAGCTAATTCACTTCGCTTTCTAGATCGAATCATTGTAGTCGAATTGTCTTTTTTAGTATAATCAATGAACGAAGAAGAAGAAGAAGAAACCAATGATGAAAGAGGTGTTGCCTCTTGTTGTTGATTATTAAAGCTTCGAGTTGTCTTTTTAAGATGAGTAGAAGGATTAAGACGTGATGCAGTACTTTGACTCATTCTAGCTTCTTCAGTCGTTGCAGTCGAGTTAAAAATACTTGAATTGTCAGATTGTTTAGCTTTTGTTGATGTGTTTGTACTTTGATTCAAGGAAATGGATGGAGAAAGATTTGCTAAAGTTGAATTTTTGGATGATAATAAAGTAGAAGATTCAGATTTCTTAATATATGAACTCCTTTCAAAGATATTTCGAAGTCTTAAATAAGAAGCAGAAGGTTGTTTATCATCAGTTTCTGATGATGAAGGTGTAGTAGTAGTAGTAGTAGTAGTAGTAGTAGTAAAGCTTTGATCATCAAGTAATTCTGAACTATCATTTTTGGTTACTTGATGAATAGTACTACTAGGATTGTTTAAACTATTATGTTCTAAAAGCTCTTTCCATTTTTTGCTTGGAGTTGAAACAAGTGAGACTGAAGAACGAATTGTGTTCTGTGATCGATTTTCATTTTTTTGATTTCTTAAGCGATAACTAGCGAGTCGTTTTGCTGAAGCTGCAATCAAACCTTCAAGTTCCTCTAAGGTAGCATCACCTAAATCAAGCTTATTTATAGTATTACTTGAAGATTGTCGACTACGAGCAATAGTAGTAGATGAAGATGAAGAAGGTGTGGATGAAGTTGAAGTTGAATTAGGGTATAATACTTCCTCTTCTAAAAATAAGGGACGACGAGTAGTAGCTGTTGTGGTAGTAGTGACTAATTCTTTTCTTCTTTGTGCCCAATTTGCGGTTTCAGCTACCTGTTCTTCTAATTCTTTTAATTGACGTTTTCTTTCAGCTTGTATTTGTTTTCTTTTAGCGGCATATGAAGATTGAACTTTATTCCATGGTTCCTGAGATAGTGATGTTGATGTATTTATTGCTGATGTTGAAGATGAATTAGATTGAGGTATTGAGTGTAACAAGTGGAAATCAGAATCAATGCATACATTAGAAGAAGACATACTTTGATGTGTAATAATGAGAGAAATAATAATAATAATAATAATAATAATAATAAAAAAAAAAGGAAAGGAATAAGAAAGGAAAAAAGAAAGTAAAGCGAGATTATTTGTATACAAATGTATTTTTATATACACAATAATCCTATTACAGATACAGGGAAAGGCCAGTTTAGAATAAATAAATAAAATAAAAAATATAAACGAATTTACCCTTTTAGCTATTGTCAATATTATTTTATTACTGTTTGTTTTGTTTTGCTTTGTTTTGTTATTTTTTTTTTTCCAATAAAAAAAGTGAATAAATAAAATAGAACAATACAAAAAAAAAAAAAAAAAAAATTGGATTCATGAAAACAAGCTTTTCCTTCCCTGTACAGTCACATGCATCAAAATCTTTTGAAATGATATCATTCTTGTTTTACACACAACTGTATTCAAAGCAAAATACATACTAATGACATAGATATTTCTTACATTAAACTAAAAAGCGTAGTGCAATACGGGTTAATCCTTCAGACAAAGAAAAGAGTCTCGATTATTATTTAAATAATAGATAATAACATCATCTCCTATGTATGCACATTTATATAAAGACTATCGAACAAGTAAAACAAAGGATAGATCTCTTTCTACCAGGTCAGGTATATTTATTTATAAAATCTTGGTAGAGAAGACTAACTAGAATGAAGTTGCATGTATTCTGTTTGATAAAAGGTACGCTAAGATTGATACTTTGTATTGATTAGAGTATATATAAAAGTTTCTTTAATTTTAACACTTTTTGTTGGTTTTTTTTTTTGATAAAGTTCTTACTGCAACATGAGTAAAGCTTGCTGTTACAGTGTCAATGATAAAAATTTATACATATTTGTATAATTGTGTACATATTCTAATTTCAGCATTTGTATCGTGAACTTCAAATTCAGAATTATTTTTAAAGAAAAATAATACCCCAGGCGCAACTCTGTTAGATTTCTTCTAGGAAATAATAGATGTTTAGACAGGGTAAACAATCATCGTTTCACTTGTATACCATATACACAAATAAATTAAAGTCTTAAAAGTCTTTAAAAGGATTAACCGAATCAGTCATTGTTCTTACTCAACCCAAACAAATGTACCTAATGTTTGGGTTATTACAAATGGTGGACTAGAAAGTACATTACAAGCAATGGCATTAGGAAAGCATTTGGCTGGTTCTAAAGAACTATCAAATACTTTTAAACTGAAAACAATTACTGCTAGTGAACGTAAGATAAAGATTTTTTTTTGAATACATTTTTTTTAACAAATATAAATATAAAGGGCTACAACTGTTTCCTGTTGTTCTTCAGAAATATATAATTAATTGGTATGTTTCTCGATATAAAGGTATATCTATAAATATATTTGTGTATATATGTATAAAATAGCTATAGGGAAATAGCCTTTTAACTTGATTCACTTACAGCAAAACAAGTAAAGAATAAAAAGCTACCATGGTATTTGTCTTCAAAGGAACCTGTAATATCCCAAGATGATTCAATTCCTGATTATATCATTACAAGTGGCCAAGATGCTATACCTGCTTGTTTTCATTTATCCAACATATGCTCAAATCAAAAACCTTTTACAGGTAATCTTTATCTATTTGATAAAAAAAATATATATATCTGCTAATTTATGTATGTCTAAAAATAAAAAGAATGAATTTTATTAGTATATGTTGGGTATCCTGGTATACCTTTTATTAACTTTGACCAAGTTATCTTACCAAAATATGAAGCAAACGCTAAAATGGGTACGAACATGATCATTCATTTAACCATGTATTAATCTAATCTTATTATTAGCTGCACTTGGTCCTTTAGCCAAACAAAAGAATGGTATTATTACGCCTGTAAAATAAAAAAGTCATTGATTCTATTTTATTTTAACTTTCATTTTGCTGACTAACAAATATATTAGGCACCACTCTTGGATTTAGTCACTGATACTCACCATGAATTGGACAGAAGGATACCTATATCGTTTAAACAGAACTTTTCTGTTGTTGTAGTTGGAGGATATTCACCCAACTGTAGATGGTATTCTGAGGATGCTGTCTCTTTGGCTGATAATATTAAAGTAATCTAATACATTTTGTTTGCTAACACATCATAATTAACTATATTAAATGTATAGCGCATGATAACTCGTTTAGGAGACAAAGTGATACTTATATTTACAGATAGAACATCTGAATTAGTCAAGTCTAAAATGTCAAAACGATTATTAGAAGATGACCCGACCCTAAATTCATCCATTTTTATTTGGGATTCAACAAAAGAACAAATATCAACGATAGATAAAATAAAATTGTATGAAAACATGATTTATTATTCAAAACGAGTCGTACTGACAGCAGACTTGGATTATGTTTGTACTCATGCCATATCTAAAAAGTATATAACAGAATTACGAAATAATGAATCACTTGAAACTAATGAGTAATATATTTATAGTAAACCTGTATATGTTACATTCACTGGTTATTGTAGATCCTATCTTTCGCATTTTCACCGCTGGATGCTAGACACTCATTTGACTAGGAAATTAAGATTAGATAGAAACAAGCATGCCTCAACAACAAATGTGAATGATCCTTATAGCTATTTAGGTGAGCATACTATTTGGGGGAATGGAAATAAGGTGTTTCAAACAAAGCAGACAATGTTATTTGTAAAAAATGAAATAGAGAAAGCTAAAGATGAAAAAGTTACTGGCAAACGAAAGAAATAAACTGAATACAAAAAATAGAGTCTATTTTCTTTTTCTTTCTTTAAAATTACATAATAAAATTAATTATATGTGTATTTAAATGAATATAAATAAATACATTTGTTTATTTTTTTTTTTACATGATAAAGCGTGGCTTATAGGATGCAATTCCTCTTTCATCGTTTGATAATGCTATTCTTGAAGATCTTCATGATTATTTGTATTTAATATTTCAAGGAAAACGTTTTTCATAGACTTTTGCTTTAAAGCTTGCTGTAATTGTACAAAGAACTTTTCTTCTTCAATTGTTAACATATCCTCTTCACTTGTAGCTTTTCGAATATTCACATCTGTGGGATATAAGGAACTTTTGTCTTCAAATGACATGTCCACATAAACCAAGCCTATCTTGTCTACTTGTAATTTTATTTCTACTTTATGTAATGGCTCACTTTGGAATTGAATTTTGATGGGATAAGACCTACTGAGGCTTTCTATCTCTTTCAATATTTCTCTTTTTGTCACATAAGCCTGAATTTGGGCATGTACAATACGTATAAATGTCTATTAAAAAGAGAGAAAGAAGCTATTAGTATATAGAATGTAGATATACCAGTCGAACATATTTATACATTAAAATTATGTGGCAAAAACTGAGCTTGTAAATTATCCAAATGAATAAAAGGGGGTATAGTATGATGTTCAATTAAAAGAGGATTACTTCTTGTTACTGAGAAATTGTCAGAATCATTTTGATCTATATCATAAATGATGTAATATGGCTCTTTATATGTCTTGTTATAAAATGTATCAAGTCTAATACAATTGCGTTTTCCTTTAAATTTAAATACTGAGCGACCTGTAAGACGATGATAGCTAATCATCTCATGCACACAGCAAGCTTCTGCAGTGGTCATCATTTTGTCAAAAATCTTTTTTTTTTTGATGATTAATGAATTCACACAAATAGCTTTTGCTATATTGTTTAAATTTACCTCCTTTTGCATCTGTGTCAGCTCATACTCTACTATTCTTGTGGGATCTGAATGTAGAAACAAGTTTAGCTCATTATTATATTCAAATACATGTATTGAAGTTTATTTAAACCTTGTATTAATTTTGTTAAACTAGATACTGTTACATATGAAAGATCCTCCTCTATTAGCTCACGCTTTAATCTTCTTTCTTTTTCTACTGCAGTCGCCACTATTAATCAAGAGGAATTACAATAAGTCTGTATGATTACATGTACAGATTAAAAAATAAAATAATGGACATACATCTTCTCTTTAACTCTTTAATCTGTGCTTTTAATTTGTCATTCTCTTCAGGTAAACTAAAGATCGAAACATTACATAAAATTAACACAAAAACAAGCACTAATTTTTCTTTTTGCCTTTTCTTTACAATGTATCGTCAGATGTCTTGGAAAAAATCATTTCTTAAAAAGACAATATTTAATTTTTTTACGCGTCTAAAATTAAGATGCAAAAAAAAAAAAAAAAAAAAAAAAAAAAAAAAAACGACTTTCATAATTGAAACTCTCTCTCTCTCTTTTTTTTTTTTTTTTTTTTTTTTTTTTTTTTTTTTAATAATCAAGTTATTATAATATGATCAAATTAAATAAAGAATTTCTGGAAACTGAAGAATTTAAAGACAAACTTACGGAGTAAAGCTAAAAAAAAACATGCTTTAATACAATTCGTTTGCTAAAACCATGTTTTGTAATTTATATAGTATCATTGTCAATGGTGACAAAAGGTAGCCATTTGCATATAATGAAGATAGTAGTGTAAAACCTATTCTAATTCCACAAACTTACCATTATCATAGTATCCTTACAGCAAATGAAATCAGACACCAATTGGAGTCTTATTTTGTAATATAATATATATTATAATATGCATCTGTCAAAGCATCAGATTTTAATAATATATACATGAAAATTCTAGGACTTTGATACAGATTCATTAAAACAAAAACCTTATAAAAAAATTATTAACACAATGATCGATGAAATCATGTTGGAGAATAATGATGAGCAAGAAGAAGATAAAATGGGTTCTGATTACGAAGAAAATAATAATAAGAAAGAAGAAATACATTCTACAGATATAAATAAGAAACGTAAAGCCAATTCTATTGAAACGGATGATTTTGAGGAGAGAAAAGAGATGAATGAAAGCGATGAGGAGGAAGAGAAAGTAACTAGACTTAAAAGATCGAAGCCTAATAAATCGAAAAGTAGAATGGATTTGGATAGTGAAGATGAAGATATAGAAGAGTCAACAAATAGAGAAAGAGATAACAAGAAGAGCGTATCAGCTTCTTCATTTTCTACGCATTCAGCAAGTAAAGCCAAAACACCTACTAAAAATGCTTCTACCAAAAGTACAGCTTCAAAAGAATCCTCACCAGGAGTAATAGTTTGAATTTATAAATTAAACAAACTTAAGCATGGATTATTTACCGACTTCTTTTTTTTTCAAATAGGTTCCTGATTCGGAGAAAGTTAAAAGACTTAAACATTTTATTAACAAATGTGGTGTTCGTAAAATTTGGTAAGGACCTTCTCTTCCTTTTTTTTTCTTTGTTCAATTAAACAAAAGTATAATGGTTTTATATATGCTTATATGATTATTGATAAGGTCAAAAGAACTTGCTGATTGCCTAACAGAGGCTGCAAAAGTTAGAAAATTAAAATCAATACTTGAAGAGTTAGGAGTACATGGAAGACCAACGTTAGAGAAATGTGAAGCTATTAAAGCCGAAAGAGAATTAAAAGCTGAATTGGACAGTTTAGATACAAGTTTAATTATAGATACAAACACTAAAGGAAGACCTATCAGATCAACTAGATTAAGGAATAGACATCAAAACACAGTTTCTTACGCTTTAGACGATGAAACTGATAGTGATGATAGTAGTGATAAAAATGAAGATAAATTACAAAAGTCTAAAAAGAAGAGGCGAAAAATGATTGATGATGATGATGATGAAGTAGAAGAACAAAATAATGTAACTGAAGAGGAAGAAAACGAAACGCAAGAAAATGAGGATAAGAAAGAGGAAGATGATGATGAAGAAGAAGAAGAGGAGGAGGCTGAAGAAGAGGAGGATGAAGAAGACTCAGAGGTTAGTTTTACAGTTATAAAATTAAACAGGTCTATATGATTATATCCGTTACTTACGAAAAAAAAAATAACTATAATTAGGATGAATTTAGAGGCTCTTCCGATGAAGATGATTAGTATATGGATTAGAATAATAATTATATAGATTAGATGTATATCTTTATTTACAAATACATAACTAATAAATAAATGCAATTTATCTTCGTTTAAATGTAAGGAACAAACGTTCCAGATAGATAACGAATGTCTATTGTTGGTGATTGAATTGAGGGATCTTCTTCTCTAAAGGAGGAACAATAGATGTTATTCTCAATGGATGAGCTTCTGTATTAAAAACCCATTTATCAAAGGGCAATCGAGGGTTTTCAGGGTCATCAAATATTAGATACAAGTATTTAAGAGTCTCGGCAAAGAAAAAACTATAGATTTAATGATAATAATAAGTCTCAACTTTCAGATATTAGACATATATCATATATACCTTTCTTCACGATCATCCCATGTAGGTGTTGGTATATCCACTCTTCTCACTCCTGAATATCCAGACTTTGATCTACAATATGTGTATAAAGAACTGAAAATATCCCATGCCATATCTTGATAAATAGGATCCTTCGTAAGCACGAAAAAGTAATAAAGAGATTCCAATGTTTCAGGACGCAATATATAACTTGGAACAATTGGATATACTGCAGGTCTATCATTTACATCATAATAAATACCTTTGCTTTGATCGTGATGATTCGTGTCCCAAGAAAAAATTTCTGGTGCTAACCCTGTCTTTGACAAGTCCCAAGCACTGTAACAGCCATGCATTAACCTTTTTGCAATTGATTCAACTTCCTTATGATTAGGAAGAATCCTTGCAGCTAAAAGTAAGGTTCCAGGTGCAAAGCAAGCCTACATAATAAAAGAAAGTTGATATATATACTATATATTCAATGTTATATATATGTATATAACATAAACTAGTTTATACCAATTCGTCCATTTGAAGTATTTGTTTACCATTATCCAAGTTTGCTAAGAAGGAGGCATTTGGATCTGAAGGTGAATCAACTAAAAGCTGCTTTTGGAGTCCAGAAATAAGCTGTGATACCATTTTTGACTTGATTGGGTCTTTCCCTCTCGAGATAACTAGTTGCTTTATTAAATACTATATAATGTGTATTTAATCTTTCATTCATGACAATCATGTAATTTGAAGTGCTTATACCTCATAGAAACTATCTCCCATACCGCCCCATGTAATATGGTCTACACATGTATCATATTCATTGATAATAGTTAACATTAAATAATATTCTTTTTTTTAAAAAAAAAATAAATAAATAAAAAACTTTACCTCCAACTGGCTTTCCTGTATTTACATTAATAAGGTGTGGAAATAAACCAAAATTCTCACTATATTTGTCGATAAATATATCATATACGTGTTGACCCTTTCATATATATAAATATATAAAATAGATAGTAAGCCTCTCTCTCTCTTAATTGAAATATGGATTTAATGTATAGGTCAACTGATTTTTTACCACGTAATGATATTTCCAGTTGCCAGTTATTTCAGACAGTCTTGTAAATTCAATTTGAATTGTACCGATTTCAGCTAAACAAGCAATTGGATTTTTAATAGCTTCTCCTCTATACATAAAGAAAAGTAACCATAAGACAGACATCATCTTTTTTTTTTTTGGCTTTATATATTGAATACTTACGTTGTAAAATTCATATATTGATAAGGTATTCCAGTTGTTGTATCAAAGGCAGGTAATAAACGATTCACTAATTCAATTGCCTTTTTAACAAATATTTTTTCATGAGACAAGTCATAAGCAGACAAAAGCCCACCTACATAACGAATGACTGTTTCAAATAATTGTACAGGCTCATCATTGTCACTCTTATCCCAATTAAGTAATGAAACAAAGTTTTGTGCGTCTTTAAAGTCTTTGTGAAATCCCATAATAAATAAAGTATCTAATGAGTCTATAATAGTCGCTCCCCATCCATTTCTATTTCATGAATCAATATTATCGTATATATTACACCTTACAACATATTGTTTACCTTGTATTTCTAGGACCATTACTTACAGGTCTATTTTCATCAAATCCCCAACTAAAATTTCGATAACCTTGCCATGAAAACATGAAGGCGTCTTTAATGTACTGTTGCTTTTCTTTTGGACTTAATAAATGAGACTCTGGTAGAGTGCCCAACTCTGCTCTGATTTGTTGCCTTGTCTTTTTGACTTGCACTCTATGTTCTTCATCATTGTATGAACTAATAACGTCGAAAATGGGTTTTTGATTAAAATAAAACGAATAAACTATTTTAATAAAAGTAGCCACATATAAGATATAAACTATATTAATTATCATTTTATCTTAAGAGGAGGGAAAGAAAAGAAAGAAAAATAGAAAAGAAAATAATAAAATATTTATGCAAACTCATTTTTCTATTTTTGGAAACTTAAGAAATACAATGCCTCAGACGTCGATTCGTTTCAGTAATGTTCAATTTAAATATTAAACTAGAATTGAGAAGTGAGACGTTCAAATAGAAAGTAAGAGTTATGATCGTGTAATCTTCTTTATTAGTAAAGTCAACGATTTTTATTTTATTTTATTTTATTTTATTTTATTTTATTTTATTTTATTTTATTTTATTTTTGTATATAAAGTGTTGGTTTACACTAATATATTTATTCTTTGATCTTGTTCCTTTTTTTCCGGACAACGATCCAATATTGTATGATTCTCTTCCTTATGTTTTATATTTATCTATGTGTATATCCTTTTGGAATGATAGAAAAAAAAACCAGCTAGTAATCTTGCTAGCAATGTTATCTATAAAGTCATATCTTGGTGACATCTTAATTAAAGGTTTTGCTAGCTGGACTCAATAGGTTATTGTTTAAAGTTTTGTAAATTACTTTCAAACTTTTCTATAAACAAGAGTCTCGACAGATCATTATCAGTTTCATGCTAGTAAGTTTTTTTTTTCAATTCTTCAAGACTTTTACATGAATACAATAGATGGTAGTATAGGCACTTAGTTTTATCACATATTGGAAACCTGTAGTCATTATATGCGTACGTATATAACATATAATGGTCGTTTAAGTATAAAAATTGACTTTATAATTATTTAAATACCGCAATGAATTTATCACCCTCGTTTGAAAAGATTACTCTCTTTTTTTTTATTTTTTTTTATGTGTATTTAACATGAGTGATGAAGAAGATGATTACATGTCTGCAAAGTTTTTAGAAAATGCTGAAGAATTTGAATTGAAAAGAAAAGAAGAAACTTATTCTGAACGTAGAAAGAAACAATTACGTGAACAAGAGAAAAAGTCACACATCAAACCTCGTGCACAATTAGAAGCAGAAGAGAGAGAGAAAGGATTAAAACGATCCTTAGATGAAGACAAAAATAATAAGGGAATGAAAATGCTAACCAAAATGGGTTTTAAGAAAGGAAGTTCGTTAGGATCTGGTAGAGGCATTGTTGAACCGATTAAGATTGATATGAAATTAGGTCGATATGGTATTGGAATGGAATCTGAACTACAGAAAAGAACTCGTGAATTAGAGGAAGAGGAAGAAAGAAAGAGGAAAAAAACAATGGCAAATCCAGATGATTTTAGAGCATTGATGGCTGAGAAAGCAAAAGAGAATCAACTAACAAAATACTTAAACGCTGCAGTATCTATATGTGAAAAATTAGATGAAAACAATGATATTGAGTCAAATATTTTATGGACACTTAAGCCAATACAACCGACTGAAAATAATACGAATGATGAAGAAAATAAGAATGAAGAAATTGAAGAAGTGAAAGAAAAAGAAGCAATAGTATTATACCCAGAAGAAGAATTGAAAAAGCTTGAAACATTCACTTTAGATGAACGATTAGAGCTTGTTATTAAATATTTACGAGACACATATCATTACTGTTTTTGGTGTAGGGCTAAATATAATGATAAGCTTGATTTAGATGACAATTGTCCTGGACCTGATGAAGATTCTCATTAACGTCATTGTAATTCATCATTAATTGTATATTAGCTAAACAAATTGATTAAGTTGGCTGAGAAATATATTGCTGAGTAAAAATAAAATGCGCATTAATTACGCAGGAGCCTTTTAATCCCATGTTATATATGATATAAATCTTTTCTTTTTTATTCTTTTTTCTTTTTTTTCTTTTTTATTTTTTCGTATAACCTTAAGAAATGACTTGTAATTCAAATAGCAAATATTATCGCGTAAAAGCTTTTATATTCGACTTGGATGGAACATTGATTGATACTATTCCTTTGGTAGAACGTTTCTGGCATCAATTTGCTGTTGAGAATGGTTTAGATGGCAATAAAGTAAGTTCAAGTGGTGAAAAAGAAGAAAAAAAAATAACAAGTTTCTCATGAAAAAATAAAATAAGATTCTTGCTACTTCACATGGTGTTCGCACAATTGAGACAATGACTAAATGGACTCCTCATAAAGCCACACTAGAACATGCATTAGATTTTGAAAGAAAATTAGCCGAAGAATCAGAAGGCGTGACTATAATGCCAGGTGTTTCAACCTTATTACAAAAGATTCCTCTTAACAGATGGGGTATCTGTACAGGTGGTAATGAATATATGGCAAGAAAAAGACTAGAACAATGTAATATTGAAGCCCCTGAGGCTATGGTGTGTGGAGATATGGTAATAAATGCACATTTATTTCAACTTAAAAAGATACTAAAAATATACTCTTACTCAGGTTACTCAGGGTAAACCTCATCCTGAAAGTTATCTTCGTATTATTGAAAAGCTTGGATTTAAACCAGAGGAAGTTGTAGTCTTTGAAGATGCGCCTTCAGGTGTACAATCTGCCAAAGCTGCAGGTGCAGTTGTGATTGCTTGTAAAACAACTCATTCAGTTGAACAATTAAAGGAAGCTGGTGCAAACTGTGTTGTTGATTTATTAACAGATGTTGATTTCACAAACCTTCCCGATGGATCTTTTGAAGTAGAAGTCAAAAATACACTCTAGAATAAGATAGATGATTATTGTTTATTAATGGGCTGTATTATTTTATGTAAATAGAAGGGGAGGGGAAGGGGAAAAAAAAAGACATGGATGACCAAGTAAATACTTTGTAACTAGAAGATGTTGTATTTTCTTAGGCAGTTATTTAAAAGAAATAGTTTGAATTTTTGGATAAAAATAAAAATAAATGTTTGACAATCATAAATACTGCTTCTTCAAACTAACTGTGACAGATTGTGCTTTCATTCTTTAAATTCAATTCTTCCCATACCTGCTAGAATTATCTGGAAATACGTCGTTACATAAAATGCTGCCTTAGAAACTTATTAATTCTCTATCATGGTAAAAATGTCTATCAACTACAAATTTTTCTTGATTATTGTACTTGGCAGTTAACTTCTTCAACATATTTGTGAAGGTTCAAATCTTAAACTACTCTCATCCTTCATTTTGGATCCTATTCTTTAGCTTAACGAACCTAGTCCTTGTGTATTATCGTATCTTCCTTTGGCATCTTTGCTACCCTATTTATACTCATACCCTACCCTTACTACTCGTATACTGCTGACTCTAACTGATTAAATTTTATTGAATATTGAATATATAGTATTCTCCTCTACAACTACCTTTAAGTTTGAGAATATTTTATCCTATTATCTTTCAGATCAACTTTCCTACAAGAAGCACAATATCGTTTAACCTTTCTCTCTATTTTAATTACTTGAATATTATATGTATAATTCTTCATAAAATAGAATGTCTATTTCAGTCTACCATTCTTCTTCTTCAGCTCCATCTATGATCTTTCTTGGAACATTTGATTGTCTGCTTAATGCTAATAATTCTCTATACTATTTATGCTTAATTTTCCCTTTAACATCAACTTTTCTTTTTCTTTTTTTTTTTTTTTTTTTTTTAAGACCTGACTAGGGTAACTAAGCATATATTAGATACAATATGCAGGTCTGTTGAACAGTAAAACAAAATTCACAAACAATATTGTGTTTGAAAATGATTATTTTTAAAATTCAGCATATTGTCGTTTTCTGGTCAAGTCGATGACGTTTTTCTTTTTTTTGATTTTTTGTACTTTTTGTTAATAAAAAAATATTTTATAAAAGGAAATGACTCTGGAGTCTTCCTCTTCTGCTTCTTTATATAAAATGGCAACAAGCGGTAAAACTTCAACAGATACCGCTTTATCTGGGTTTTTATGGCAGTCTCCACTTTTATTTAACTGTCATTTTGATGAAACTGCGAAACAAACAATTTTAACACGATGTTATGAATCTCTATGGAGAAACGATGAAAATATTATGCATCAGCACTTTTTCTCTTCAACAGATGAACTAAAAAAAACACTTTCATCACAAATTCAACGTCATGACGGCAAAGAAAAAAACGTTATTATCGATCCGAAGCTATGGCATGCTAATGCTATTTTACCGAACCAAGATGTATCCAACCAAAAAGGACGGCAATGTGGTCACGTATTTCGTAAAGGAGAACCTGTTTATAGATGCAGGTAAAATAAGATTAACTAAATAATTCTACTTTTATACAATGTTTAACAAAAATTTCTCTTTATTTTTATTTTATTTTTTTTTTATTTTATTTTTCTTCTTCTTGTTGTATAGAGACTGTGGTTTAGATGATACATGTGTCTTTTGCTCAAGTTGCTTTCATTCAACTGATCATGATGGACATGACATCCTTTTCTCTGTTAGCCCTGGCTCTGGTGGGTGTTGTGATTGTGGAGACTCGGAAGCTTGGAAAATTCCTTTAAAATGTAAAATTCATTCTAGTGACAAAGAGTCAGATCTTAATGACGGAACAAGTTCAATCGATCCACAATTAATTAATTCAATCAGAACAACGATTGCTTCAGTACTCAACTTTTTACTAGATACTTTTGCTTTAGCCCCTGAAGAAATCACCCTGAATTCCTCTATAGAAGACTTGGTGAAAGAAAATCAAGAGCAACGTAATACTTTAGCTAGAATGGGAATCCCCTCTGAAACAACAAATAACACAACAACTCAGGGCAATGCATATATCGATAATACTACTACTACTACTACTAATATAGAAGAGGATGTTGATATGGATAAAGAAAATATGACCATGTCACAAATAACGGATATCCCGACTAACTCTGATTTATCATCGAATAATATAAACAAAAATAAAGAAGAAGATGGAGAATTATATGCATGTATTGTTTGGAATGATGAGGCACACGCATTTTCACATGTACTTGAGTCTATTATGACAGCTACTGGTTGGGATTGGGAGAAAACAAAACAAATTGTGGATGTAATTCATGTTCATGGACGGGAAATTATTGCGATGTCCAAAAATATTGAAGAACTACGCAAGATTGCAGCTCCTTTATCTGCTATTAATCTTGGAGTCACGATTAGACCTGCTAAAGACACGTTCCGAGAACAAGCATGTGGGCTGTTAGTCGATTGGCTAAATGAATTAATTAAGGGGAAAAAACGTTTCTTTCCTAATGTTGGAAAAGGCGATACAATTATTCGTAATATTTTATGTGAAGAGTTATGTGCTGAATGGGAGTTACGATTACCTTTAGCTCAATTAGCTACTGGTGTACGAGCTGATAATACCATTAATGAATGTGATGATGAAGATGAGAATGGTGTTATGAAAGATGATATGGCAGTGACAAATTCTGATATTGCTGAAGATGTTGAAATGTTCGAGCCTGACTCAGATACACATATTAGTAGTAAACTAGACAGTCCTCTCTCTTTTGCCTCCAGTCCTATTGTCTATCGTAGTCAATGTGATATTGCAAGCATAGATTGGGATCCAGCAGCTATGGTTAGAGAATATCAAAATTTAAGAGATAATGAAGTAGCCTTTGGAGAATCTTTATTCAATAAGAATTCGATACGTCTCAGCGCTAATATGTTAGGAAAACAACCTGCTAATAATACTAGTCTCTTTCACAGGGAAGAAGAAGATACAAACTCAGCTATGAACATTCAAAGAGAATTTGAGGAGAAGTTACGATTAGATTATTTTATGCTTTATGATCTAAAATTATGGAAGGAAGTGCGTATATCTTTACGTGAATTATACATTGCATCACTCGCTTCGAATTCACACTTCAAAAAAATTTTGGGTAAACGGCTTGCACGCAACTATGCTAGATTAGCTGAATCCTTTTTATTACGTGATCGTGAGCCTGAGAATTCTATCATCCTTTTCTCCGTTCAACTATTGACTGTACCTACCGTGTCTGATCTTCTTGTTCATAGCTATTATTTCTTCGGTCTTATTTGCTCTACACTAACTGCATTTTTCTTAACAGATCGCTTATACCTTTTATTACCTTCAGAGCGCATAAAATACCCCTCACGTATTAACTGTGAATCTCGTGCTTTCCGCACACGTCGTTATTTTAATGCCTTTCATGATTTGCGTTATATTATGAATGTAAATATGATCAAACGTGTGCTTGCTCAAGATCCTCTATATCTTCGTCAATACCTTGATTTAATTAGTCTCTTTCAATGTATGAATGCTCAAATATGCCAAAAGGATGCACATGTTGAATATGAATCTGAAATATGGGTGAATGCATTCAACGTTACGCTTCAAATTGCTAAATGCTGTCGTCAATTCTCTGAATGTTTTGCTATGCTTCCTATTGACTCATCAGAAGATCGAGTATCTACAGCTATCACACTAGTTCGAGCCATATTACGTGTATTGCGAATGATACAAGATTGGGGCAAAATGGATGAAGAGGAAGAAGATGCAGAGCAGACCAAGAATTTGACTTCAAGTACAGCAACATCTCAAAAAATATATGGACCTTCAGCGCAAGAATACCACACAATTATATTGCCTTATACTGAAGAATATCAAGTAGTCAAATATAACGTATCTTCTCAGCCTGTTTCATTCCATCATCCTTTGCATTGGTTATTAGCCGGATTACTTGAATATTCCTATTTATTAGATGATAAACTATTAAATGAAGCCGGTTGGGAAGGTGGGTTCAAAAAAGTGATTACGTTGTTTAACGATTCAAAAAATACTACCGACGTTTTATTACCTATCCTCGATTTCTCAATTCGTACAATCGTCTTTTCTTCTCAAATTAGAGCCGGTGTATGGGTTCGAAATGGTTATGGTATTAGAAATCAGGTAAAAATTAAATATATACATATATGTACTTTAAATTTATATAAATAACTTTATAACTACATTCTAGGCACATCATTACCGTGATATTTCTTTACGTGAAAACACATATGATGCTGATGTCTTCCTGTTGCAACTTGGTTTTGCTACTGTACAACCAAATCATTTATTAGTTACACTTTTGGATAGATTTGATCTCATAAACTGGTTTTTAGGCAAAAAAAATCATAATATTTATGATACGCCACAAACTGTGTTTATGGTTGAGGAATTGTTAAATCTTTTAATCGTTATTGTCTGTGAACGAGCAAACCTAACTGGTATGTCTATCTTGGATAAAGCTCGTCGAGAGATTATTCATGGCTTATGTCTTGGTCCTGCTGCTTATTCTGACCTTGCAAAGCGTATTCCTGAACATATTACAGAGCACCCTAAATTTGATCATGTTTTAACGACTATTGCTCATTTTAAAACTCCTGATGGTGTTAATGATCATGGTATATACGAGCTTAAAGAAGAATATTTTACTGAAGTCGATACTTATTTCTGGCATTTCAGTCGTAATAATCGTGAGGAGGCTGAATCGATTATCAAAGCTCGATGGAAGAAAGCTAATCCTGATAAAAAAGAGCAGGATTTCTTTATTTTACCTAAATCAGATCCTATTCCCTCTGGACCTTTTAAGCATTTAGGCTCATTCCTTCAATCAACTTTATTTGTTCAAATGCTATTTTATACTTTGTGGAATACTTATACTGGCAATAATCATAAGAGTGATACTATCTTGGATCAGGCATTATACCTAATTATGTTGGCTCTTGTGGATAATAATTCTGAGGATGTATCTAATTATGGTCAAGGAAAGTTTTATGATTATGTTTGTTCCTTAAGATTTAAATGTGAAGTACAGAATTCCGATGACACTCAAGGATCGCAATCCAATGTAACACGGGAGATGACTTTATTTGATGCTATGTCTACACTTTATAATGATGAGCATTATAATGAAATTACTAGTCGACTTGATTGGATATTTGAACAACTTGGTAATAAAGGTACTAATAATACACGTGCTGAAATTGAGAAGTGGAAGGAGCAGCGTGCTACCAAATCACAAAGAAATGAACAGCAAGGTGAATTATCTGAAGTTGAGAAGAAGAAATTGGCTGCCAAAGAACGACAGATGAGAATCATGGCTCAGTTTGCTCAAGCTCAATCTCAGTTTATGGAAAAAAATGAATTCCTTTATGCAGATGAGGGGGAGGATGCCTTCGTAGATGCTTCAGACAACTTTTCTACAGCAAATGATGAAAGTAATTCTGAAGGTCTTCATCGTTTTTGTGCTTACCCTACAGGTACTTGTATTGTATGTCAAGAAGATGCTAATGAACGATCGTTACCATATGGTTTACTAGGATTGATTCAAGCTTCTAATATTATGTACGAAAAACCTACAGATGATGCTGAGCTTCTTAATAATGTTTATGCCATCGGTCCTAATCTTGATATTGAATGGCAAGATCAACAATGTTTAGCTGATAACGCCCCTAGTATTCCTGGCTTCCCTGCTCAATTTCACAAAACTGGCTTATATGCTTCTACATGTGGACATTTTATGCATATTAAATGTTTTGAAGTATATTGCACTTCAATTGACTCTAGACACTCTGCTCAATTAACAAGAAATCATCCTGAAAATAGATCTCGTAAAGAGTTTATGTGTCCCTTATGTAAATCTTTAGGTAATGCATTACTTCCTGTTTTTTGGAAAGGCAAAAAAGAATCTCATCCAGGAGTCCTCATAAAGTTTGATAATAATAATTTTGCTACTTTCTATAAATCGGACGTTAATCAAATTGTGAACAAGCTAAAGCATGCAATCATTACTACCTCACGTCATGCTCAAATGAAGAAAACAGGAAGAGATGCATCAGCAGCAACCCGTATGAAAAATGTGATGGCTCAACTTTTACCTACATTTCCTGCAATGACTACAGCACCTGGAGCTACCGCTGTCCCTATTATGCCTACAGCAGGTGGGAATACTAATGTTGCTACTACTCGTGATTGGACCCCCATGGGATTCAGAACACGTATTCCTAGCCCTACCCCTTTGGATAATGCGAATAATAACGGTTTAGATCAACTCCAACCTGTTTTACCTCTAGCTGATGCACAGACTCAACAACAAGGACAAGCGGATGGTGATATAGCAAATACTAACACCGATGACGAGGCTGAACGTGCCGTTGAAGCTATGCTAATGCAGAATACATATAACCCAGAGATGATGCCTCTACCAGATGGTAAATTAGGTCCCTTTGATAATGACACTCTACACAGCACAGCTGCTGTGAGTATTCCTTTTATAAAGAAATCATACAATCGATTATTAGATGTTCTTAGTATTATATATCAAGAAATATGTATAGATGAAAATGAACGCGAAATGTCAACAGCTGCAGATAATGTAGACATTTTATGGGGTGTCCTAGGCTATACTATTGCTGGTGTAGAGATTGCTTCCCGTGGAGCTAGTCGATCTGTTACTTCAGAACACGCACTTACACATACTTTATTTGATCAGATACCCTCTCAAATGCAGATGCTACTTCGTATACTTAGTGATACTGTGATGGCTTATACCACTCTTATGTGCTCTTCAACTAACGATATGAAGTCTTCTTCTTCGTCTAGTATATCAATGGCCCGTGTAAATATGTTTGCTTTAGGGCGCATGCGACAAATATTTGAAATTAATGTTGATGACGTTGCTAATTTATCTACCAGTCCCTCTCAAAAGATTATATTATATGATAATGCACCCCTTTTGGAAGATGACCCCTTCATGATTCTAGCTGAGCTATCTCTTCATCTTGTCCCTACAACTCAGGCCGATATATTCCCTTTTATACATGTATTGTTACTGGCTGAGTTTGCTAAAACAGCTGTTGGATTTTTACAAGACCGCCTTATCCGTGATATTGACCAACAACAATCTTGTTCAACAATGCCTAGTGAATCTTCGCAAAATATCGTTGCTGCAAAGAACTTTGCATTTTCATTAATGAATAAGTTGCATTTTACACCTGAAGAAGCCCAATTTGCCTTTCGAAAGTTCAACAGCGAGGCCTCGTTCTGTACTTTACTCAAGTTTTTCGTTTTACCTTTCTTGCGTCGTACTGTTGTTTTAATGATTGTTCGTTTTGGTTTGATTATACCACCTGATGCCAATGGTTTGGAAAGTGACCCAGCTGTTGATGAATTTGATCGTCTCATGAATGTTCTCCATTTACCCAATTTTGCTGATTTCTTGCAACCTACACCCATAACGGAGTCATTACTTCGATATTGGTGCTCACAACATGTACGAGAATCTGAGCGTCGAATTCAACTTGAAGAAGGTCTGTTAAGTTCAATATCCGCAAGTCGTTTAATTCATATTCCCTTGAGTTTACCTACACCACTTTATCTGATACCATTACCAAAACGCCTTGATCGTTTGTTTGATGAGAGTATGAAGCGTGTCTGTCAACGATGTGGTACTGTCCCTAGTGACCCAGCTATATGTTTGTTTTGTGGTACATTTGTTTGTGCTCAAAGCTTTTGTTGTTCTGAAGATGAAGAAGGTGAATGTAATCTTCATACATTAGAGTAAGTTTTTTTTTTATATATATATATGTATATGTATATTGATAATAATATATTATGTATATATTTAGGTGTGGTGGTGACATTGGTATATTCTTATCTGTTAAAAGATGTGTTCTTATATTACTACATAATGGTAACGGATGGTTTATGAATGCACCCTATCTTGATCCACATGGAGAAATTGATCAGGGCCTTAGGTAAATATTTATGGAATAATTGTAAACAAAAGGTTTCTACAACAATATACTTAATTTTATATACATAGACATGGTAGGCCTCAATATTTGAATACTAAGAGATATACAGAAATTCGTAAACTTTGGCTTCAACATAGTATTCCTATTTATGTTGCTCGACAAATCGAAGCAAATTATGATGTTGGTGGATGGACAACCATCTAGCGCAATTTTTATTTACTTTTCTAATCTCTCTCTTTCTTTTACCTTTTATAAAACTACATAAAAATTTTGAAATGTATTTGCTTGTGTAGAACCTTTTATTATTAAATAATGCACATTCATAACACTAGTATTTGTTGTTGTAAATTATACTTGTATATAGATACTATTGGCTTTTTTTGTTCGAGCAACATTTAAAAAAAAAAAAAATGCATATATACCTGTTGTATATAATAGATATATTTACGAAAAAAAAAAAAAAAAATACATAATAATTATAATTTACAAAAATTTCTAAATATTTTCATCGGGTACTTTAGCAACTAGAGGAGATTCACAGGTACCTATAGAACTTTGCGTAGATACAGAAGACAATTTTCGGGATGGCTCAGATGAAAAGGGGGAAAGAGCTTCTCTTGCACGAAGAATCTATGTATTATGAAAGCATGAATATATATATAAAAAGTGACAATTTTATATATGCTTACCCTTTTTGCAAGACGTGATACACACTTATCAGAGGCGACTACCTCCCATACAAACTCAACATGATATGCAAGTTTAATACAGTCAACTAAATGCTTTGATTCCATTTCATTCATTCCAACAAATTCTTCGTCAAATGTTTGAGGTATAACATCCGGATCATTATTCAACGTGTTCTGGACCCATTTCAAAAGTGTAGTTTGTGTGGTTTCGATATCGATGATAGGTGGTATACTTGGTGCCTTGATCTCAAAGGGAATAGAGATAGCCATTACATTATGTTTATTATCATGTTGGTATCTAAACTCATATTTACCCGTCTCCCATGGTAATTTGGATCCACCAAAGGTAACAGTACCATGAGTCACAATCTGAGTCTCAGGAGGGAAGACGATATCTCCAGATTTTGGATCTTTAGAAGCATTTGTCCAGCACCATAATCCACGAGAACTTATGTTGGTAACGTGTCTACTCTTATTTGCATTTACTTTAAAGATGCCAATCCAATCTTGAGCTCCATGATTTTCAGGTGCCTCCCATTCTACCTGAATACTTTCACCCATCTCAAATACATTTTTATTGATGCCCTTATCATCTTTGATTTTGATAGAATATTTTGACAAATCGTACATACCAATATCGTCTGTAGTTAAAGGGATTACACGAGAGCGTGAAGTCGCTAATAACTGCTTTGTCTCCAATAATACCTCTTGCAAACGAGGACGAGCGGCATCAACAATATCGCCAACAGCATCTTTTGTTTCTTCTACTGCCTTTTCTACTATCTCCGCTGCTTCTTTTAGAATACGTTCCACGTTCTTGGTGCTATCCTGATTTTCACGAATAAGCTTTGCAATCTCTTGTTGAAGTCTTTCAGGAATTGTCTTTGGAATAGCAATAGCAGCAGATTTTAATGTTTTTGTTAAACCAGCTTCTTTACGAATCTGATCGCCATATAGTTTACGCATATGAGGACTTTTTTTTTTTTAAGAAAGAAAAAAAAGAAAGAAAAAAGGTGAATACAATCAATTAAGATATATATAACTAAGAAATAAATTTACCTTTCAACATATTGGATAAACCAAACATTACAGAGTTGAGAAAAGAGTGCTAATACAAATATAGTACCACTGTTAGCGATGAGAGTCATACCCCAAAAAGCAGCATGACCCATGATTTTTTCGGGATTATTCAAATATCTATTGGTAAAATAAATAAATAAATAAATACTAACTATTTGTATGTTATCACTGTGAATAATACCTGTAAATTCCAGTATATAATAATTCAGAAGGATGTTCATCAATAAAGAAGTCACCATAGAACCTATTGGTATTCCCAGTTTTAAAATTCAATTCAAAAAAACGTGTGTATAATTATTAATCTCTATTTACCATCCAAAGTCACCAATAACCTCGTATATAGAAACAGATGTCCAGATATGGAGGAAGATAAACACGAATCCAAGAGTATGTCTGAGTAAAGTAGTTCCATAGGCCCAATTATCAGGCAAGGTATAAGTCTTCCAGCAAGCAATGAAAAAAGTTACATAAGTCATACATAAAGTAAGATTATAAATACTAACAATAAATAAATAAATAAATAAATATATCTTGGTGTATTATGCATAACCCAATTCCTTCATCATAATACCTTTTCCAGTTTTGAAAAGCTTCTTGCACATCATCACCCCATTTGATAAAGTGACGCGTAAAAAATTTGCAATTGGATTGCGAACGAAGAATAGATCCATTTCCAAGAGAATGAATAGCACGCCAAAAGAAAGCTTGAATAATAGCAATAGTGATACCAAATTTACCAGGCACAAGAAGAGGAGTAATGATAGCATAAAACATAATTATTACTGCAACAATATCCGTTGTTCTGAATAAGTCAAAATTTTTAAATACAATAAGGTCGCGACGGAAGTACTTTGTATAAAACTCATGACTTGCTTGTTGATCAAAGGTAGTGTTTAAGGTATTTTCATCTGTCAAACTAGACTTATTTCGTTTAATTCTCTGAGGAGGATTATAAGTTTTATCAATATCTATATATTAAAAAGAAAAAAAAAAGTTAATACTTGTTTATAATAATAATAAATAATAATATCTCCAACTTTACGAGGAGTTTCGACAAAAATAAGAAATGCAAATTGAAGAGCATGTGCAGCAATACTGACAAACAATACGACATAGCTTGCACACATAAGCGAGATACCATAATAACCAAAATAACCTATAGAATACATTGGATGAGGAGCCATTTCAAATACACCATCAAATGTGAGAGATTGCTCGATTAAAAAGAAAAAATCACCCCAATCTATTAATAAAATACCAAAATTATATATTACTACTACATGATTGAACTTTACCATTTTAATCATATACTTACACCAAGCGAAATCCTTCACAACTCTCTGAGCATCAAGTTTAACCCAAATATTAAATATAATTAAAAATAGGCCACCAAGCCATCTTAAGGTATTACCCATGAAAATAGATGACTGAGCTGACATATTAATCCAGGACAACGCAAAGCATAAATAGCTGGTGAAATCATTCATTAAAATAAGATCAACGAGTTGTCTATATAACATCCAAGTATTATATTCAACTGGGGTCGTCTATTTGAAGGTAAAAAAAAAATAAAATAAAATAAAAAAAGATAAGTAAATGAATTATAATAATAATTTTTTTTTCTAGTATTTAGTCTTACAGCAAAGTCATAATCATCACCCATATTGATACTTAATTGCTGTTGAAGCCAATTGTAAACTTTTGGGTTTGATTTATGATCAAATAAATGATATTTTTTAGCCATTCGAACTAAACCACGACTATCGCTTTGATATTTTAATAAAATGCCAAGGCCGACATTATACGCCAAACGCCAGAAAAAGAAGATGAACAAGAATAAGATACGTTTATACCAAACAGGTAAAATAAACAAGAGTGAAATTTCGATGGCCATTGTACTTAATGTGATCCAATCGAATACACTTTTCTTTTTCCATGGATTTAATAAGTTCGAAACCATGTCTGTTGTACGAGGAACTCGAAAGACTATTGTAGAATTAAATTTCAAGCTATTCATTATCCAATACATATATATATATATATATTTACATACCCGTGCCATCAGACGTCTTTCCATAAGAATAACGCATATCCTTTTTGATATCACCTTGATAATCATCACTAGAAGATGATGAAGAGAGAGCATCACTATTTATATCATCTATAGTTGTTGTTTTCATATCCCTATGACGTAGTTCTGATTCCATCTTTTTGAGATTTATTTTATTTTTTTTGTTGAAAAAAAAAAAAAAAAAAAAAAAAAAGAAAAGAAAAGAATAAAGAAGAACTAAGAAAGGATTAAAGAAGAAGAAAAGCTCTTCTGTCAGGGACAAAAAAATTATTTATGTAGAATTAGCTATTACAAGGCTCACGTGAAAGAGACAGTCCAAGATGCAAGCCTATAGGGGAGAAGATTCAATAAACTTTACTTTTGTTACACGAATAGTATCGCATCCCCAGCCAATTAATTTGAAACAAGTTTTTTAAGTTTTTTTTTTTTTTCTATTGTATTGTAAAAAGTAGCTCTCAAGACATGTATAGAAGTCAGGATAAATAGTGTGTTTTATTCATGTTTGGTGTTAAAAGTATTTGTATATTCATTTAAATATTATTTCAAGGATAAGTTTTAATAAGCTGTAAAGATGAGGCTGTTGAGTATACAAAGTATGTTTAGTTTGAAGTTGAAATAGACTTTAAAGCAGAGATAATCAAAACTATTTATCCTGTTATATTTAGGGAAGGTATCATATTCTACACGTTTTTGTTATGATTGTAGTTAACTTTATAAAAAGTAGATCTGTATCTAATACATAATAAAGAAGCTATTCCAATATGTATGCGACTTGTTTTATATTTCATATCCATATTATAGCTATTTATACTTCAGGGATAATAGAATAAGACTCTTTCTTCGTTTCATGTATACACATATACATGTATAAAAAGCTATTCTAGAAAATCATACATGGACACTACACTATGTCCTTTATACTTTTGAAAGAAATATGCTTATTTACATAGAATATATTCTTTTTAATTTATACTATGAAAGCCTTCCTTTCATTTATGACCATCCTATGGATATTGAGTCCTTCTGAGGATCTAGAAAATAGACAGCTACATTCTTTCAAAAAGAGTTAAATAGAATACAAAGGAAAAATAAAGACTTTACACATCTAAAGAAGAATCGTTCGTTTTAATTGCTAATACAGTCAAAGAAATGACCTCTTACTTAAACCATGTAAATGATTGTCATACACTACTCTTACTTCTCTTTCCTGACAGAATTTTTTTTTATTTTGATCTGTTTATAAACTGATTGTGAATTTGTTACTTGAATTTAAAGATATATACATAAAGCCTTTTTTTTTTAGTATGTTATCCGATATGTGTTACTGCTTGAATGATTTGGCTTTATTATTCCTTTCTTATTTTCAGCTTGGCTTTCGTATCCTTTTTATGCTGATTCATAATTCAGAGAGTACGCATCCTCTTTTAAACAAACTTAACTGACTACTAGAACAAATCAACATTTATAACTCACTACGTACTTTATTGGGCCATAAATAAATAATAAAAACTAACTTTATGATCTGAATTTTAAATTGAGTAAAAACAAAAAAAAAAAAAAAAAAAAAAAAAAAAAAAAAAAAAAAGACGGTAAATTTTAGAATTGATGCCTGGCAGTAATCCTGTGTGTAGTGCCGGAAAAGCAAATCGGATACAAATGCATCAAAGAAGTTGACAAGCATTCTAATCTTTCCCTCTAATTCACCGGTGTCACCAATGGTAAATATAGACATTCATCCATCTAAATGAAAGAAGCATCCATCCATTAAAAAACAGAGAAGCATGTCCTATTTTGATAAAACACTATGGATTATAAAAGGCAGTAGGCAGTTACATTAAATACAATAACCATAACCAGCAAAAAAAAAAAAGAAAAATTAAAATACAATGTAATTTAGAATGATTAAATTCAAATTGTACGAAAAAAAAGCAAACAAACAAAGATTACATGAATGTTTGAAAGTTTGGACAAGACATAAACAACTTTGAAGAGAGAGATATTATTGCTTAAATAGTACATAGTGTTTTGTTTTTATTGAAGAGCTTCTCTTTTTTTTATGCTTGAATGAAATTATTTTGTTAAAAAAAAAACAATGTCATTAATTTTGTCATGTAAATATACTAGGCTAAAGTTAAGGCTCACGAACTCCGTAACAAGAACAAGGCTGAGCTCTTGAAGATCCTCGAAGAGCAAAAGCAACAACTTTCTAACCTTCGTGTTCAAAAGGTTGCTGGTGGTAGACAACAAGAAATGTAAGTTGTTATTATGAGAAATTAATAAAGCATTATAAAATTGTCAATTCTAATTTATTATTATTATTTATTTTGTTATTCTTGCAGTGGCGAAGCTCGTAAGAACGTTGCCCGTGTCTTGACTGTTATTAACCAAACTCAACGTGAACAACTTCGTCTCTTCTATCAAAAGAAGCGTTTTGTCCCTCTTGATCTCCGTGTTAAGAAGACTCGTGCTATGCGTAGAGCTTTGACTCCTTTCGAAAAGTCCAAGAAGACTCTTCGTCAACAAAAGAAATTGACCCACTTCCCTCTTCGCAAGTATGCTGTTAAGGCTTAAATGTCTCATATAATAATAAAGTGACATTTCTTTTGATCTTTAAATGATTTATTTCTAATTCTAAATAAATGCTATACTTATCATAAGGGCTAACATTTTACTTTTTTTTTTTTTTGTTCCTGAATTGCTACTACTACTACTACTCTTTATGCATTCATAAATATATCAGTTTAGATTTTTATGTACAATAGAAAAATAAGTTGCTTTTTTATTATTATTTATTTATTTATTTATTTCTTATAAAAAATAAAAGCTTTTATTTTTTCAAGAAAAAAAAAGAATTAAAAAGGGTTGCTACAAATAAACAACTAAAGCTGTTCCTCCCTCTCCAATATAAACCAAAAAAAATAATTTATCGGTTAGCTGTAAAAGAAGAATGTTATTAGTATAATTCGATAAATAAGAATCCCATTCAAAAAGAAAAATAACTTACACTTAGCAACACGTTCAAGTTCATCCTTCTTCTTGATGGCATAAGAGTTAGCAGAACCCTTGGCAGCATTGATCAATTCATCAGCAAGGCATTCAGCAACAGTCTTGATGTTACGGAAAGCAGATTCTCTAGTACCAATGGTCAACAAAGAGATGGCTTGGTTGACACGACGAAGAGGAGAGACATCAACAGCTTGACGACGAACAGTACCTTGAGAACCAATACGAGTGGAATCTTCACGAGGACCACAGTTGATGATAGCATCAACAAGGATTTGAAGAGGGTTGGCATCAGTCAAAAGGTGAATGATTTCGAAAGCGTGTTGAACGATACGAGCAGCCATAAGCTTCTTACCGTTGTTACGACCATTCATCATCAAAGCATTAGTCAAACGTTCGACGATGGGACACTAATCCATGACATTTCATATTAACATTTTATATGCTCATTGTCTCTGTGTGCTTTAAAAACAGCTAAAATTTTATACTTACTTGAGCCTTACGGAAACGCTTGACGGCGAAACGGCCAGCAGTGTGAGGTAAGTAGACTTGTTGACGGATTTGAATGTAGTCTTGGAGAGAAATGTCCTTGACTTCAACATCATCATAAGTCCACTTGTTGAACAATCTACGGGTACCGTCAGCAGTGGCACTGACATCGGCGGGCAAACCTAAGGCGGGCATGATAGTCTGTTTGCAAAATAATAGACAAGTTGAATAATAATTCGAATCATATGAATAAGTTGGATAGATGCAAGTTGATGGATGAATGGATGGATGGATGGATGGATATGATGTATCAATAATATTTAAAGACGAAGAAAAAAAATTTGATATTGAATTTCACATATTGTTTAAAAAGAAAAAAAATGGATTAAGTATAGATTAGTCTTTTATTCATTTCTTTATGCCTTTGATGTATGTATCATGATAATTACCTAGTATCTGAAAAAGAGGAGGTTCTATGCAATTCATACTACTGTATGGCCTTTACTCTTGATGATTTCTGTTGTGCGACAAGGCAAGTCACATTTTTGGCATTTCTGAATTTTTGAAAAAAAAAAAAAAAAAAAAAAAAAAGCCCTATGCGGGAAATGGAAGATGGCCCGTAATTAAAAAAAAAAAAAAAATGCATAAAAATTAGTAAGGTCAAATCATATATCAAGAGATATGTAGAGTACAATGATAAAGAGAGACTTCAAGTATAAACACATATGCACTGTATATTATATATAAATAAATGAAAATATATGTGTTACTATAGATCAATTGTTTGTTCATATTAAATTATTAATAAGATGTTAATTTTATATACTTCGCGATCATATATGTATACACATATAAATATATAGATTACTCATTTTAATATTGTTATATTATACATTATCATTTACTTTACCTATGCATATATAGTGTAAAAGAATTGAATTATACTACTAAATGAAAAAAAAAATGAATAAAAGCTAAAGTTACAAATTAATACATTTTCTATAAAAGATATCATACAGCAATTTAGAAAGAACATATCCTTCACAATTATACAAAACATATTAAATACCTCTGTGATGATAAGAAGAAGAAAAGACTAAAGGAAGTATTTAGAGATATGACAGCAGTCAGTGAATATATAACTTTTATTAGTTGTGTCAGAAACGTCTATTAAACAAAAAAAAAAGACATTGATGCCAAGTATTAGATAATTACACAAGTACCAAATCAAACAGACCAAATACATTACTGCTCTTTTCAAATACAATTCTCAAGGAATAGAATAAAATTATACTATATAATTTATCAACAAAAAGAAAAAAAAAACAGTATAAAAATGATAAAAGATGTTCAAGACTTCTTCTATAAAAGAGCTGTATCCTCTATTTTAGTGATAATAACGAGTAAAGATATTTTTATATATACATATTGAGTTATTCCATACACATAGATAATAGTGTATCTTGGTATTCTTTATTTAAAAGTTTACTTCTTGATAGAACTAGCTTTATTGAATAAATATGCCATGCAATCTCTCTCTCTCTCTCTCATTTTGGCCAAGTTAATTAATTTAATCTTTGAAAACTCTATTATATTTGCTTTGTAGCATTCATTATTATTCTAACATCAAACTTTTTATTCGAGAATTTAGTATTTATAAAAGTAGTTTATATTTATTATCGATAATAACTGTTTATTTCCTTTAATCTTTTCGCTGATCACAGTCAACATAATCTTCAAAATGATTTTTTTTTTCCAAGAGTAACTCTAATATCTCCGGTAAAATCTTATCCAATCAGCATTTAATATTTTAACTTTAAGAATAATTATTCTCATAGTTGTCATAAACAATCTTTCTCTTTAAACTTTATATCATTAAAAATGGTAAGGAATGAATGCATATTCATCCATTCATCCATCCATCCATCCAAATATGTAAATGGATTCATTGATAAGTTTATTTATTTGAACTGTAATGAACATTAGGATGCATATATGTATTTAAAGAAGGATTTATGGATGGAAAAAAGATGAAAGACATATACATTATTTTGCGTACTTACCAAAATAAAATTGAAATGATGAATATAGGGTCGCGTTAGAACTAAGACTGTCAAGAAGGCTTCTCGTGTTCTTATCGAAAAGTACTATCCCCGTCTCACTCTTGACTTCCAAGTCAACAAGAAGATCCTTGATGAAGTCTCCATTATCCAATCTAAGCGTCTTCGTAACAAGATTGCTGGTTTCACCACTCACTTGATGAAGCGTATTTCTCGCGGTCCCGTTCGTGGTATCTCCTTCAAGTTGCAAGAAGAGGAACGTGAACGTCGTGATAACTATGTTCCTGAAGTCTCTGCCTTGGATACCGCCAACATTGAAGTTGATCCTGAAACTGAGGTAAGATATCAAAGTTTTTTATCCTTACAAAAGGAAAAAAAAAGCATATACATGCACACCTTTGGAAACAGAAAGTTGGTCGCTCGAGCTTTTTTATTTGTTTTTCTTCTTCAAGACATAATTTGTTCTTGGGGGTGATGTCCTTTTTTTCTTTACCATGTGGAGGGTTTTATTTTATTTGTTCATATTAAAAAGGGAATAAGCTCAATTATTATTTCAAGCAAATTAAAGATGAGGAAGAAAAACATGTAAGGAAGTTCGTGTGTTCAGTGGAGATCTTTCGATGGCCATTTTGTTTCAAAAAAAAAAAAGAGTTTTTTTTTTGGAGGTGTCAAGATCTCTCACAGCACATGAACCTAACGTATTTTCTGTTTTTACCAAAATTATAGGAATTGCTCAAGTCTATGAACTTTGATAACCTTGCTGGTGTTAAGGTTACTCAACCTGTTGCTACTTTCACTCCCCGTACTGCTCGTGGTCCTCGCGCTCCTCGTAAGGCTGTTGATGCCCAAGCCTAACTTTTTTTTTCAAATAAAAAAAAAATAAAAATACTCTAAATATGTATATATGCTTTAAATTTTTTGTTTTTTTTGCTACAACATAAGAGAATTAGACTTCATTTTAATTAAGGATCGGCAGTGATGCATAAAAAATAGGGCTGTAAGGGATCCATTTATAAACCTTGTGTATATTATAAAGTTAAGTTTTATTTGATATGGATAATAATTATATTACAAAAAATAGCATAGAATAGAAAAGATAATATGTGTCTATTATTGTAGTCTTTAAGAAAGCAAAAGATTTTTTATCATTAATAAAAAAAAAGAAAATAAAAGTGAGGATCAAAGAGTAAATTCTATATTTTATTTTATTTTTCCTTTTATATTATCCAAGTGATCAATAATATGGATACCAGGATAAGGAATGGTTCGTTGCTGTTTCATGTGCTAAATATCTACTTTTTATTTTTTTTATTTTATTTTATTTTATTTTTTGTATCGTTCTAGATCGATTTCGTTTTTTAATAATATCTGTTTTTAGACTAAGAGGACGAACAGCTCCATGCAGTTTAAGAAAGAGACCACATGCATTACAAAGAGACTGACCCTCAGAGTTTCTTCGCCAGAGAGATGTATTGAATGTGTGGCAGTTAGTACAATGTATTCTATCTTTATTATTTATAGACTTATTGTTAAAAGATATAGAGTGTCGTTTCTTTCTTTTTGGGATGGGCATTGTCATCATTTCATTTTTGACTTGTCTTTTCTCTTGATGATCGTCAGTTTGATATAAGCTCGAATAAAAGGATGACGGCATAATTGAGGTCTCTTCTAGTGGTATTGGAATACAAGTCTGAAATATGTTATTATTATTATTATTGGTGGTGGTGGTGTTGTAACTGCATAAGGATGGTGAAGGGATATAATGTCTCATTTGGTTAACTGACGAGTTACTATAAAGTGACCCGTTAACGGTAGCTAAGTTTTCCTCTCCTGTTGATATATCAAAATTCATGTACATCATAGTGTTGTTAGTAGGTGGAGATAAGATAGGAGTTTGAGAGTAATAAATACTATTATTATTATTCAACCTTTGAGAAACCGCAGGTATACTAATAATTGAACCTTTTTCATTTAGATGTGAATAAGTATTTTTAACTAATTTAAGCAAAAAGTCAGAAGACGGATTACAAGAATATAAATAATCTAAGGGTAAAGCTGTCAATATGAGAGGCTTCTGTAGCATAGAGAGCTCATTCTGTCGTTTTGTTGGATAGCCATGACTATTTTTATCAGAATAGGAGTGTACCACTTGTTCATTTACTATGTTACTATTGACACTTGTAGATATTGAATAGTAGACAGCAGAATAATTCTGTAAAGTTCCCGAGTTTAAGCATTCAGGTATCTCATGTAAGAAGTTTGGCTGTTGATCTTGCATGATTATTAGAACGAATGGAAAGAAAAAATAAAAGAAAAGGGTCCTATTCTTTATATATGTACTGAATTGTACAATAATTGAAGTTTATTACGAATGGAAAAAAGTTTTGTGTATGTGTGACATTTCGAGATGAATTTTATAAAGTCTTCTTCATTCCATTTTCTTTTCTCTTTTTAAGGGGATAGATCATTAACAAAGTAATGAACCTTCTATATATATATATATATATATATTCGGATCCTTCTCACTATAAATATACATAATTTATTTTTATTAACTGCTAGATTTTATTAGGAGAAACAGATACATCATGTGCATTATGTATTAACTATCGAAAAGCTTAAAAACTGTATGTCTCCCTTTTGTAAGTATTACTTTAAAATAAGTTTATATAAGATAATAACTGGGTTAAACGGACAGATCAGCAAATATATATAATTAGGAGACATCCAATCTATTTTGGCATATTCTATTTATTTGAATTAGTTTAGGATAAAGCCTCCCACTCCCTCCCCTTTTTTTTTATTTTTTCCATTAAGCAGCAAGTATGTTTTATCTGCTTAAATTCATAATAAGGAATTTGAATAGTCTTGATAAGCTTTGATACAATATAAAGTATAGCTTTCAGCTTTTATTTCATTACTCATTATCCGATTTAAGTGTAAACCTTTTTCTTTTCTCTTCAATGAATTAGGAACACACGTATACTAATTTAGTATATTAGCAATACTGACTTTCTCAAAGAAAAATCAATTATTATTATTATCATCATTATACATTTATACAGATATATCTATGTATATATATATATATGTGTGTGTATGCTTGTGTGTATAAAATAGTGTTTACTCATAGAATTTTATATATTTATATACATAAATCTGTAGAGTTGAGATAAAGTTTATATTTATTATATATAAACACATTTGTTTATATGTGTATATAGTTTAGACAAGGATACAAAAGTGTAATAGTCTTGATTTCATTATATTTCTTGACAGTAAATACTTTTATACTTGTGCTAGATAGTAAAATTTATATACATGATTGTTCTCTGTCTTTTATGTTCCTGGTTATATTTTTGTTTAATTGTATACAGCAGATCATGATATGCTTTGTATCTTTATATCACACTTAAGATCGTTTTCTTTTCTTTTTATTATTTATAATTCATAAAAATAATATACATTACACTCAGATGTTATTTTCTTTCTGTATTTCTATTATGCAGGTTAATATTTTTACATTAAAAAGATAAAAAACTTCACCAATCTCAAAGCGTGTATATAACTACACTCTTACGTACTGATACCATGATAGTTAGTACTTTGTATAAATATGCATCTAACATTATTACTGCTATTAAGTTATGTATCCTATAGAACTTTATATCCTTGTCATCATTATAAACTTTGTTATATGCAAAAATTAGCCTTTGTCTATCAGTTATATCAACGTAGCGAAAATTAAAAAATAAAAAAATAAAATAAAAGCTTCTTTCTTAATCGATTTACCGCTCCTAATTGGTTATATGTTAGCTGTTGTAATAAAAGAAACTTGCTTAACTCATGTTAACAGGAAAAAAAAAATAAATAAATTGAAATAAAGGAAAATTACCAATTACGCTGCTGAATGGTAATGATGCATAAACAATATCTATCACTTGATTGCTTTTTTGAAATCATAGTATTATGCATAAATAAGTCATTTAAATTTAGAATAATTTTGTTGCAAAAAAAAAAAAAAAAAAAAAAAAAAAAAAAAAAAAAAAAAACCATCAAATATTACTATTGACTAACCTGTATATCATCTGATCTTGTACATATTCAAATTTCTATTTGTTACTTCTATTGACCTTGATAGTGACTCCGAAAGCATATATAAATAAACGCTGAATAGAATGAATATTTATCTATCTATACTATATACATATTTGTATACATAATTTTTTTTTTTATTCTTTGTATATATTCATATATTAAAGTTGAAAAAATGACTTTTACTTTAGAACCTATCAAACTGTCGCCTAAGCAATCTGGGGTAGATTTCGGTATTATTGTCAATGATCTTGACCTTGAGAAGATTAGCTGTAATATGGATACTAATATTAAGAATAAAAGAATACAACATGATATTAATATGTTGTTTTCTATTTCTTTTTTTTTTTCTTTTTTAATAGCGGAAGATTTTGATAAACTATTTAATGCAGTTTACACTTATCAGGTAGTTGTTGTTCGAAATCAAGGCCATGTCAGTCCACAAACACAATATGAGCTTACAAAGCGGTTTGATCCACAAAATATTGATATTTATGGTCATGGCTCTATGCATCGTGCAAATGAATCTGTTATCTCTCGAGATATCTCTCCTTTACCTAAAGTTCCTCAAGTTCAATTATTGGGTCATGGTCTAGTTAGAAATCATTATGGCTTTGAGGAAAAAAGATTAATTCATCCTAGTCATACCGTCTTCCATAAAGATTGTTTAACAAAGGAAGAAATGGAAGCTGGCCAAACAAGATTTTATCGTTGGCATATGGATGCTGCCCTTTATAAATTAAACCCTCCTAAAGTGACGACCTTATTTAGTCTTAAGAATCCTGTAAGCTTAAAGAGATAAGATGAATTGAATTGAGAGATATTTATACCTAATATTATCATATAATAGGAAGCCAGACGTGAACTAGTTCGTTATGATGATGGTACGGGTGACCAACTTGATGTTCAATTAGGAACGACTGCTTGTAAGTTGTATTGTAGAGAAAATATATATATATATATACACTAATATCTGCTATAATAAAAGTTATCTCTGGCCAAAAGGCGTTTGAGATTTTACCACAAGAACTTAAGGAACTTGCTTTTAAAACCAAAGTTAAATATGCTGCTCATCCTTATTTATGGATCTCTAAAGCTAAAGCTCATTCCACAGGTTTAGGCATGGTATCTGAAGGTAAAGAACTTGGAAAAGATGAATTACCTGAGATTGTAGAAGAAGATATCAAGATATATCCCATGGTAAATACATATATATGTGTATACATATTTACATATATAAAAAAAAAATGTATGCATACACACACTATTTATTTATTTATCTATTTTTCTTGTAGCTGTGGAAGAATCCTGTGACGGATAAAATTCATCTTCAAGTCCACCCAGCTGCAGTTGAAGATCTCATCATTGATGGTAAACCTGTGGGTGACTTGAAAAAAGTAAGAGAATTACTTTACCGCATACAGCGTCCCTCTATTAGTCCTCAGAATGTATATGCTCATGAATGGAAGGATGGTGATTTTGTTATTTTCCATAATCGCGGTTTACTTCATTCTGTAGTTGGCTCTTTAAGAGATACGGATGAAAGACTATTTCATCAATGTAATATCGCAAGTGCTGAAGAACCTATTCCAGTTACTGAGGCTGATTTTGCCCCTTACATCATTCAAACTTCGGTCTAAATAATAGACAGAATTATTTATTTATTGATTGATATATAAGTCATTTATTAAATCAATACACTCGAATCTTCCAAATGTGTAATATAATCAGAATAAAGATATTATTCATTCATTTGTTCTAGTCATATCTACTCTAAGACGACCCTGTAATATAAGCTGATATTAAAGCCCTTTAGGTATTACGACTGTAATACGATCTGCTATTTGTCCCCAAGCAACTCTTTTGTTAACAAATATCGCATACCAAGTTGTAAGTAGAATAAACCATACAATACAGCCAAAAAGTGAAAAATAAACATCTAGGAAGAAAATAAAAGATTAGTATTTTTTTTTTTTTTTTACATTCAATGTAGATGGTTCTCGTCATTACATTTCTTTAATTCTTTTGGCGCATCAGCTTTACGACTTGTATTGAAAAAATACATAAAATTCACTAACCATAATAAGGGCAAAAAAGCAAATCCTCCATAAAACATTTTTTTACATATATTTATACGCTCTTCAGAGCTCATTTTTTCAAGTTTTGGCATTTTTTATATAAAAATAAAATAAAAGACAAAAAGAGAAATTACATATTCTTCTGTCAAATTTATTTGTGTTTAATATATATGAATATATACATATCTGCATGTTAAGAGAATTTTTTTTTTAAGGAAGACAAGATTTAATATGGTTATCATCAATAGTATTATAGCATTGTCCTTCACTTTGTAAAATGTCAATTGTTTCCCTAATTTGAGTTTCTGTATATAAATTTTTTAATTTACTGCAAATTTGTTCAATTGTGGCTCCATCAGGATTATTATCGAACATTTTAATAGCGTCATTAACATGATCTTGAATAGTTAAGGGCTTCATAATGGGATCAACATTCATTGTATTATCCTACATGACCTCAATATGTTAATTTTTTTTATCACTCCCTCTCTATACATATATAAATATATATATAAAAAAAAAAGAATTATTGTACACTTACAGAACCAGTTTTTGTAAATACAAGATGTGTATGAATAGTATCAAGTAAATGATACGTAATTTCGTTAAAATCAGTTACAGGGCGAATAGAATAACCGACAATTGATATACGTCCACTAAATGAATTTAATCTACCGTTTACACGTACATATGTATCGATTCTAAAACAAAACATAAATAACTGCGCATTATAATTAATGTTCAAAAAAAAAAAAAAAAAAAAAAAAAAAAAAAAAATAGAAAACCCAACATACGTTAATTCTCGACGAGCATCAGCTTCTTCCGGTGATTCTTGTTGTTCAATCCATTTTCTAACTTCAATAGCTCCAGTTCCATCTTCAATAGTATACACATAGTTTGTTGCTAATTCTTGAATGTTACGAATAACACCAACAAAAGTAATCTATAAGCATAATAACGTTAGATTGATTTTCATTCTATTTTTTTTTTCTTCTTATCAGTATATGTATATATATATATGTATTCCAAACCTGGCTAGCATCTGCATTATCAATTCTAAATACTCCTTCTTGAGGCATCGTACAAGTTTTGATTTGCTTTATTGTCACAGGTCTTAACGTCTGATCTCCCATTGGTTTCTATAGTTTATTTTTTATTTGCTTAGCAGTGAAATCGATATAAATAAAATAAATCATAAAAGCTTACTCTAGCATAAGCACCATCATTGTTATTTGAATCATTATATGAAGAATTCATATAACCTCCAGAGTTTGAATTTGAATAATCCATCTTGTATTTTTAATAAAATAATAATAAAAAAAAAAAAAGAAAAAGAAAAATTATGTTTACTTGACGCGAATTTTGTACTCCACCACGACACTGTAAGAAAGAAAACTACGCGTTGAATTTAAATGTTTAATTATAACTAGAAGACGCTTTTTAAATTTGATCCGATCCAAGTAAACCCTTTTTTTTTTAACATGGACTATATACATTAGAACCCTTTTATTTTCCTTTTCCTGGTCTTTTCTCTCTTTTTTTATTTTTTTTTTTTGAGGTTAATAAAAATAGGTTTGAAGAAATGGATATCGAAGAAACTGCTCCTGGATACGGCCATTTATTTATTATCGAGCAGATTCAGATCACCAAAAAAGAAAAACAAAAAGGAGAGAGAAAAAAAAAAGCACTTTAGATACACAGGCTTTTGCTTTGAATAGAAAGGCGCAAAAAAGTAGATAAAAGAAAGATTATATAAAGTGATTTGTTTGAATCTTGCAAGATCTGATTGTACCGTGAATTGCAAAAAAAAAAAAAAAAAAAAAAAAAAAAAAAAAAAGAAAAAAATGTTCAGTAATTTTTTTTACATATCCTATATTGAAAAAGTTTAACTCAAAGAGCACAGGATTTTTTTTTCTCAAATAAGCTTTGTTGTTGCTTCCCCTGTGTATATGACCCCTGATAAATATATTTAAAGAATAAAAGACTTTAAACCTTGTATTTCTTCTGATAGTGTTAATAAATAAATACATGGAATACGTACTGATATTAGATTTTACATTATATGTTTTATGGGGCTTTATTATTATTATTATTATTATCTACGTGACACCAAAAGGAGAAATAAAGATCTACAGCCAGTGATTATATTGTTCCCTCTAATATTATTGAGGAGTTAAAAGGTTCTTTAGATGTATATAGTATGTACTCGAACGTGTCTTTTATATACATATAACTATTTATGATGCTTATATGAAGTTAAAAGTAATTGTTATTAAATTTATTTACGTAATAGTATACATGTACTGTATTAACTAGACTTGTAATAACAGTAAACTCACACATACACACAAGGCTATGCTACTCTGTATATACAGCAGAACACTATAAAAAGAAAAGAAAAGCATTATAATAGCTTGCAAAGTCTACTGTACACTCTATCATTACCAGGCCTATATATCAACGAATATACATGATATCGGTATATTAATTAGGAAGCATTTTTTCTATAATTCAACTGTTACATCATTATAACGAAGGCATATACTGTTGAATTATTACTTGCATATTTATCTTGAAATATTTTTTTTTCTCTTTACATATTTGTAGAAATGCTTATTTTTTCTTATATTTTATGAAAAAACAAAAAAAAAAAAAAAAAAAAAAAAAAAAAAAAAAAAAAACTTCTTTCGTACTATACAAGTATCCATTATCATTTTAATTATATCTCTAATAAATTTAGCTATCTTGGTTATTATTACGTGTATTAAGATTCAATTGATTGTTTATATTCTCCTTTTATATGAACTATTGACTTGAAATGATTATAATAATACGTAAATAAATTTTACAGGCTACAATATAAATAATGAGTGGGGGTACATATAAGTCCTTCATTTAGTAATACAAGCCAATAATATTTGAGAACGTTAAATTTTAAGACTAACAACATCAACTCCTTTAAAAAAAAAAAAAAGTATAAAACTCTCTCTTTTTTTTTTCTTTTTCCTTTTTTTTTTTTTGTTTTTCTTTTAAAGTAAACAAACATGGAATCAAGTACAAAAGAACTTGGTTTATACATAGCATATGGTGCTATTTTAACAATGGCAGTTATACCTATCTATTCAGGTTCACTTAGTACTATTAAAACTATGAAACGACCTTCTAATGCACCAAAACTAAAGAAATCAGAAGAGAATCCTTTAGAAGATTCGGATGATGAAGATGAACCAACTATTGAAAGCTTATCTAGTGGTGATGCTTATCTTTTCCCTATTATTGGTTCCATTGTTCTCTTTGGTTTGTATCTCGCTTTTCGATATTTAGATAAAGAATATATTAATTACGTGATGACCCTCTATATTTCCATTACGGGATGCATGGCTATAACCAAGACCTTCCTTATGATGGCTAAAGCCATTATGCCCATGAGTATATTAAAGCATGTTGCTAAATATAAAGTTACACTTTCTAAAAGAACAAAGAGTAAAGTAGGATTCATAAAATAGAATAGATTGACATGTACTAATGAATACTTGTAGATATTTCCCATATCAGTTTTACAGTCATTCATGGTTATCTTTTGTTAGCTTCTATTTTATTGACAGTATATTACAGTTATACAAAGAATTGGATTGCATCCAACATTTTCGGACTTTCTCTTTCTATAAACGCAATTCAGCTTATTTCATTAGACTCCTTCAGGACAGGTATAATTTTATTAACTGGACTCTTCTTTTATGATATCTTTTGGGTCTTTTATACACCTGTGATGGTATCAGTGGCAACCAATTTTGATGCACCTATCAAGCTTTTATGGCCTAGAGATATTATTGAATTTATCATGAATAAGGCAGGGGAAGGACGGTTTACGATGCTTGGTTTAGGTGATATCGTGATTCCTGGTATTTTTGTTGCTCTCTGTCTTCGATTTGATCGTCATATGTCATGGAAACGTAATCCTACTGGCTCATTCAGATCCACTCATTTCCCAAAACCCTATTTTAAGGCTAATTTGACGGCTTATATTCTTGGATTAGCTTTAACAATGACAGTGATGCATTTCTTTAAGGCTGCTCAACCTGCATTATTATATTTAAGTCCTGCTTGTATCTTGTCTGCTTTGATGACTGCCGCTATTCGTGGCGAATTAAAAGATTTATTTGCATATACATCAGAAGATGAAGATGATGAAAAGAAGAAGAAAGAGGGAAAACAATCAAAGACGACTGAAGTTATTATTGAGGAGGAGGAAGAAGTGGTGATTACGACAACCACTACTATTACCGAATCAAATAATAACGAGGAGATTGAATTAGAGGAAGAAGGAGAAGAAGATAGTGAAACAAAAGAGGACACTAAAAAGGTTACTGGAAGTAAAAAGAATACAACTTCTAGTAGAAAAAGAAAGAACAAAAAGAGTAAATAATTAACGCGTGCTTAAATAAAAAATGAGACATCTTTTCTTTTTTTTTGTTTTCTTTTTGTTTTATTATTATTTTAATACAAAAATAGACGATATAATCCAGCAGAAGCAAACACTAGAAAGGGAGTTAATAAATATAAGTGTATATTATGTTATATTCTTGTTACTTACTAACACCTGTAACACCTAAAGCAACTGCTTTATTTGAATTACCTGCTGCTCTTTGAAGTTGCATAGCTTTACGTAATGAAAAGTAGCCAACACCTAAACCAACTGCACCACCACTTAAACGACAAGGTAAACAATCCTCTTTTTGGGCTGTCCCAAGTTCATTAGAAGGTGAATTTACTTTTGTTGAATTCATTCTTATCCTTTTTATTTTTTCGAAAAAAAAAAAAAAAAAAAAAAAAAAAAAAAAAAAAAAAAAAAAGAAAAAAAAAATAGCCTATAGAATAACTGCCATATTATCTGATTACTGTTTATTCAAACTCCACTTATTTTTTTTTTTTTTTGGGTCAAAGTACTCTTTTGTATAATAAACTTTCTTTCTTTTTTTAAATGCACTTATTTCTGTTTTAGTTATGCTTAATAGGAATGTTTGCTACTATTTGATCCAGTTAGTAGAATCAGAAGAAATATAACAGCAATTATGTTATCATTAAAATACAACATGATAAGGCTATGTTGTGTCTGTGTAACTCTGTTCAGTTTAGTGGTTTTTTTTTTTTTTTTTTTTTAAATGTTTATTTCTATGTCTATTTCTATGTGTTATTTACGAGTAAGTTGGTATATATTTACACCCGTGTCTTGACATATATCTGAAAATTCACTCAGGATCCATCCCCTTTGGCTTCTTGAAGAAGATTTCTCTAATAATTTGATATAAAACTTTTCCGAGCAAATATTAAAAAAGCTTTGTTCTATTTGAGGATCAAGTCCGCGCCGTTTATATCCTAAATAAATGTCTGTTTGTTCACTACTAAGCCAATCTAAAGTCTGTACCAATTTTGGAAATGAAGCTGGGTCATAAAGAATATCGGATGCAATAATTGTATTAATAGCTCCATCTTTTAATACTTTTTGTACATCATTATATTCTCCCCATTTTAATACTTTTATCTCTGTATATCTTTCTAAATGGTTATACGCTCGATTTTCATAAATTATTTCTAATGCCTCTTCCAAATCTGTCATTGTAATTTTGGGTATTTTTATCTTTTTTTTTTCTTTTTGCTTAATTTTATACATTGACGCAATTAATAATCCTACGCATCCAGTTCTAAAAAAAAAGTCAATTATATACATGTTAACACAAGGATTATATAAATATATGTATGCACATTTACATATATCGTAACATATATATACGTATACATATACATATATATGTATTTACCCTGCGCTAAGATCTAATAATCGACAACCATTTAAATAGTTTGGATCAGCATTGATCTTATCACAAAATAATTGCGATAATACAAGAGCAGAATCCCACATTTTACCAGGCGTACCCATATTCCAATCCTCTTTTACAATCAAGAATGAATTATCTTGTAGACAATATCCATGAAATATATTTAGTGAAGTTTTAGGCTCTTTCCATTCTTTGTCAATATTTTCAGTTAAAAAAGTAGTCATGGATGGAGTTGTTTCAGTAATAGTGAAAGGGCCGATAATCAAAGGAAGTGCTTTAATTGTTTGTTGAGGATGGTATACAGGATGAATCTGGATATAATATTTTGTTGGTGTAATTTGTGGTGATAACGCTAGACCTTCATCCTGAATAGTTATCATATATTCAAAGTTACCATATGTATCATGATGGAAACCTGCAATGTCTGAAGCATTAGTAAATTCCCAAGCATCGTGTTGTATTGGACGACACGTGATAGAACATTCTTTTGACAGCTGGACTGTTCCTTCTTTTTCAGCTAATAATTGACAATCTATTTCCATTCTACAATGTTTCTTTTCATCGCCTGTTAAGGTCAAGCCAAGCTCATTAACTAGTTTCAAGTCGATTCGATTCCAAGTGTTAAACTTGATTTCTGTGAAATAAGGTCGCGCCAAAAGTATTCTATAAAGCGTTGAATAACGTTGTAAACTGTAATAATAATCATCAGGTCCTGTTTCAATATATAAAGTATTACTTTTATTTCCGTTAACTAAGTTCATGATATTTTATGCTTTGAAATAATTAAAAGAAAGAAGAAAAAATAAAAATAAGAATAAGAATAATAAAATATAAATATAAATATAAATAAAAATATAAATAAAAATAAATAAATAAAAATAAATAAAAAATAAATAAAATAAAAAAAGGAGAAACATATAATTTATTGCTAAAGAATGGATGTGTCAGGAGCAACTCACTCTGGAGTCCAAAATAGCATTGGTTTGTTCTTCTTGGTAATAATTCCCTCTTTTATATATTTGTTCTACATGCTAAATTTCTTTGTTTTATACATTAAACCCCCCCTTTTGATAAACACTTTTTTTTTTTTTTTTTTTTGTATTATTGCAAGATTCAATACTTTTTATAATGGTAAAATTTACAAAATGTATAAAATTAATCAGCATCCCTACTTTAATCTATTGTTGGATGAAGGGAAACAAGTCATTATCGAAATCAGCCATTTGAATTTTATCTTTATTATTAGACTTTATATATATTAATATTGTTTACGATTAAAAAGTTTTCTAGCGTATCGAAATAAAGAAATATGAAGTATACTAGGCTTCTTCAATAAGTTAGACGTAGATAAAGGTATCTTTTCTTTTTTTTCGTTAAATATAAAGATTTCTTTTTCAGCTGTAATTTCACATTCAATAGTACGATCTCCCAAATCAATAAAACTTTTATGTGTCTCGTTACTATTATTTATTTGTCTTTTGTCGGATATCTTCTGTGCCATTAAATTTGCATTCTTTATAAACTCTTCTATTGCTAATTTTTCTGTCAAATAATTATCATAGGATTTGATATACTCTAGTACGCTCAAAGTTATAATTGACAGTAAAACCATGCATGATAATTTATGACGGGTATACAGATAATAGAATCCTTTCCAACAAGGTGCTTTGCCATGGTTTTCTAATAATATTGAATCATATAAAGGGCGTAATGTTGATGAACGTAGAAAATAGGCGACATGATTAGTGATTTCAAATTTCTCTTCTGCACCCATCTCTTTTGATGTTTCTGGGCTATGTAAAATAAATTATGTCATTAAAATTTCATTTATTTTAAATGTAATTTACTGTTACTTACTGTAATTTCATTACAAGTTGTCTATGTGCCTTACTGATATCTGCTAAAGTTGCTGTAGGCTATGGGCATATAAGGAAGAGAAACAAGAAATGTATTATGTATATATTTACATTATATATATATATATATATATTAAATACCTCTATGCCTAACCATGTATAAAAGTCTGTATTGTTATTTTTCATTTCTTCCGAAAGTTCAAAAAGTTTAAATTCATCTATTTAATAAACAAGCAGAATTAATCTTTAATCATTTTAAATAAAAGTTAAATCTTTTATACCTTCTCTCCAATTCCAAGTTCTTATAATAGGTCGTATAATAAAATGAAAGGTTAACACTAAGCATATTATTTTGACTGCATTTGGCATTTTATTTTTTCTAAATAATTAAAAAAAAAAAAAAAAAAAAAAAAAAAAAAAAAAAAATAATAATAATAATAATAATGCATACAAAAAAAAAACTAAAAATGATTGGAAAAGGCCTGTCTATATATTTCTTTTTTTAGAATTTTATTTACAACACTTTTTTTTTCTTTTTTTTTAATTATTTAGAAAAAAATAAAATAAAAAACAAAATGACCTCTTGGGAGTCCAAATTAACACCACAAGAGGTTAATTACTATAAACAATGTTTTCAATTAGCTTCAAAAAGTCAACCTGGTATAGTTAGTGGTATGGAAGCCGTTCAATTTTTTGCTAATTCAGGACTTTCGAATGATATTTTATCTCAAGCAAGTATCCTAAAAGTCTTAACTCGACTTTGCAAATAAAACCTAACTTACTTTTCCCTTTTTTTTTTTTAATCAAGATTTGGGAAACTGCTGACGAAAAAAACCTCGGTTATCTTACTGAAGATACGTTTGCTATTGCACTTAAGCTTATTTCATGCGCTCAAAATAATATTAAAGCAACTGAGCCTTTATTTTCTACTGGTAATGAAAAAAAAAAATACATGTACTTCAATACCAAACTAAATTCTGTTATGTATAAAGTTACACCAGTACCTAATTTTAAAGGCGTCCAGGCAAGAAATTTAACAAATAATAGCATGAATTCTATTTCTGCCAACTCTACTATTTCATCTTCTAGCATATCTGTCATTACATCCAACGAAAAGAAGAAGTATCAGTCTCTTTATCATGCTCAAAAACCTACAGCAAATGGTATTACTGCTGAAACAGCTAAAAATCTGTTTGCCAAGTCACGGTTACCATTTGATCAATTAGCACAAATATGGTATTGCTAGAATAACGATAGAAAGAGGACAAAGCCTCCTATGCTAAACATTTTGTGTATATTATAGGAACTTGGCCGATATACATAAAAATGGGTATTTGGATGAAACAGAATTTATTATCGCTATGCATTATATTGCAAAGCTTATGGATAAATCTATGACCACTTTACCTTCTATTTTACCTTCAGACGTTTATTATTCAGCAATATCCGATAATATGAACCAAAGTGTGTTGGTATCATCCCCTAAACCTATCCATACATCATCTCTTTCACCGCCAAAATCTCAAAAAATCGATGAAATAGGTAGCATTGCGTTCGCCTCTTCTTCTACTGATAAAGCAGCAATAAAGTGGGATATTACAGCAGTAGAAAAGGCACAATATGACACCTATTTTACTAAATTGGATAGAACACAATCGGGTATCATACAGAGTAATGATGCAATGGAGTTTTTCAGAAACTCTAAATTACCTGCATCTGAGCTAGCTCATATTTGTGATTTGGCTGATATTAGTAAACGTGGTGCATTCAATTCAAATGAGTTTGCTATTGCAATGCATTTAATTCGCCAACGATTGACAAAAGGCGAACCATTGCCTCCTATTTTACCTGCATCTTTATTACCACCATCCACACCGCTATTATCTTCAATGACAGGCACATCTATAATAAGCCCTAATATAACAGGTAACTTGGGCTCTCAATCATTAAATATAACTCAAGGTAAGAAAAAATAGATGCGTTTTTTATATTAGGAGTCTCACATTTTATTGTAAATATGTATATATGTATATATATTATACACACATATTTTTCCCTCCTCCCTCCCCTCCCCCCCCCACAACCTTCCTATCTTAATATATACTCTTTTGTTTTGTGAACATAAATGAAGATTTATTGGGTGATTTTAGCAATAATGAGCAATTGACAGAAATGACAAATCAGGTGAATCTTCTTCAAAATCAAATCAATACAACACGCGAGGATACATCAAGTATTAAAACACAATGTCAGGCTGCTGAACAGATATTACAAACATGGCAGGAAAAAAGGCGAGATTTAGAAGAGCAAGTTAAAACTCTTCTTCAACAGATAGAGGTAGCTAAGCAAACTACTCTAAAAGAATTAAAAGAAAAACTTCAACAAGAGGAGCCTGGGTGGAATGCGGTTCGATTAGAGTTAACAACAGTCGAGGCACAGTCAAAGGTAGTACAAGATCAATTAGCTCGGGCTCATCAGGAATTAAAAGATAATCAATTAGAGAATGAGAATATACGCCGTACGATTCATAATATTCAAATGGAATCGATGCAATTAAATAGGGAGTTAGACGAATTGCATATTATTCGTCAAAAGAAGCAGGCTGCTGCTGCTGCTCGTCGTAAGGCTAAAGAAGAGAAGAAAGCTGCTGAATTGAAAAAGAGACAAGAAGAGGAAGCCAGACTTGCTGAAGAAGCTCGTAAAGCTGAAGAAGCTAGACTTGCCGAAGAAGCTAGACTCGCAGAAGAAGCTCGTAAAGCAGAAGAAGCCCGTAAAGCAGAAGAAGCTAGACTCGCAGAGGAAGCCAGACTTGCTGAGGAAGCTCGACTTGCTGAGGAAGCTAGACTCGCTGAAGAAGCTAGACTTGCTGAAGAAGCTAGACTTGCTGAAGAAGCTCGACTTGCTGAAGAAGCTAGACTTGCTGAAGAAGCTCGTAAAGCAGAAGAAGCTAGACTTGCTGAGGAAGCTCGTAAAGCAGAAGAAGCTAGACTTGCTGAAGAAGCTCGACTTGTAGAAGAAGCTAGACTCGCAGAGGAAGCCAGACTTGCTGAGGAAGCTAGACTTGCTGAGGAAGCTAGACTCGCTGAAGAAGCTCGCAAAACTGAAGAAGTTAGACTTGCTGAGGAAACTCGTAAAACTGAAGAAGAAGTATCAAAACCTGAAGACAAAGAAATTACTCATAAAGCAGATGAAGAATCTATTTATTTAGAAGAAGAGCATAAGAAATTTGAAGAGGAAAATAAAGAAAAAGAAGCCGCGTATAAAGAGGAGGAATCTAAGTTTGTTGAAAAGGAGCAAGAAAAAGATGAGGAAGAAAAAAGCACATGTCAGATAGAAAAAACTCATAAACCTGAGGAAGAAAAACAGCCTGAAAATAAAGCTGTAATAGAAGAAAATTCTGAAGCAAACAAGGACTATAGCCAACTTCAAAAAGAAAATAAATTAACGAAACAAGTAGAGCAGGAAGATATTAAAAGTATAAACTCAAACCCTAAGGCTATATTTGATGAAAAGACAGATGATGAGATTAAAACCTCAGAAACTGCTTCTTTATCTTCAGATGATAATAATATAGTTGAAGAAAATATTGAAATTGACAGGCAGGCTAAAGTTAATGATCTAGAAGAAATGTTGAACTCACAACCTCTGGAAAAAACAAAAGATATGACGAGTGATGAAATTCATCAATCTATTAAAGCTAAGGTAGATATACATAAAGAGCGGAAAAGAAGAAAAACAAAATTATTGAATGTGTTTTTAAACAAATATTCTACTCACATAGGAGGCTAAAGATTCATCAGTAAGTGAAACTGATGATTTATCAAAGGAAAAAAGTAGGATCCACGATAATATAACAAACGAAGATAATGAATTAACAGATGAAACTGAAGATAATGATTATTTCTTTGATGCTGTGGAATCTTCATCTTCCATTATTAAAAATACACAACTGAATAAGGAATATGATATGAGTCAAAAACAAGAAAATACTCAGCCTTCTTCTGCAGATGAAAATGAATTTGTTATTATTGATCATCCAAATAAGGTTATTAGTAATATCAACGAAAGAAAATTAGACAAGATTCCTGAAGAGCAAGAAAAGAACAATAAAACAAAGATTGAAGATAATCCTATCATACCACCACAAACTAACCAATTTGAAGCTCCTCGTGTAACAGAAACTGTTGAATATAATCAACCATTCCCATTAGGAAAGAATAAAGCAATTAATCCATTTGATGCCATTTTTGGAGTTGATCATCAAGACCAAAATAAATATCAACAAGAAGATGATGAGCCTATTATGGTTTCACTTTCTAGCTCTGAAATATCAGATCCTTTTACATTAAGTACTAATAGCAGTACACATCGTGTTGCCCCACCTCCTCCGCCTGAGTCAAGACAAGTACATAATACATCGTCTCCTGCTACAGTAAAAACCTACTCGAAGAAACCACCAGCACCTCCACCACAGTCAAAAAACAATATTAAAATAGAAGAACCACAAGATTTTGATAGAGTTTTTGGGACACCAATGCCTACAATCGTTGGAATTTCCGCATCCAACCCGGTAAATGATGTCCCAACTGAGAACAAAACTGAAAGTAAAGAAAATGATGAATTTGAAACTTATTTCTCTGATCCGAAATTTAAAGAAATAACAAAGAAAGAAAAAGGATCTAGTGTTACACAAATGCCAACAATTGAAGTAGATAACGAACAGACGGTAGTAGATTCTGGTACATCTCATCAAATGGATTTAGATAATGCCTTCCATGTTTCTTCAAATAATAATCAAAATCAACAGTTTATGAAAAGCTTCGAAGATTCTTTTACCCAACCGTCTGTAGAGCCTGTGTCTACACCACCACCACCAACAACAACAACAACAAAGGGTGAGAATAAAGGAGTAGGTAATGAAATTAGAGGAGTTGAAGAAAACTTAAAGCTTCCATTAAAGAAGGAAGAATCTTCTCAATCTTCTTCTACAAATAAACTGGATATCGAAACTGATAAGAAAAAGAAGAAAAAGAAGAATATTGTATCATGGGCAAAGAGCTTTGGTGGATTTGACTTCACTGGACATGATTCTGAGAAAAAGAAGAAAAAAGCAGAAAAGAAAAGCTCAAAAAAGAATAGTAAATCAAAATCAGAAAATACTACAAGTAGTAATAATAATTCCTCAGCTCAAAATACTAGCAGTGTTCATCAGCACTCCCCAGCATCTTCGTTGAATCAAGCTCAACAAACTCCTTCTAATAACTTAGCCTATGATTTAGATACTATTCAAGGAAGTCATATTGCTGAGTTAGTTAATATGGGCTTTGATCCAGCAGCTGCCTTAGATGCCTTAGACAGATATGACCAAGATCTAGAGAAAGCAACTAATTACTTATTGGACCAACTATATAAATAATTACATATTTTACCTATTAATAAATAATTCTATCTTTACATACATAAATATATAAAAAGTTCTCAGAAGCGAAAATGAGGGTAGTTTTTTTTTTGTATAACAATATGAAGGGAGATATTTTGACAAAAAAAATGTGTGAATCACATGGATAACAGTTATGGTTAAATACCAAAAACATCAAATCGCTTGTTGAAGCCTTTAAAGTATGGATATTACCAAACTTAGTAGTAATGAAATTAAGGAGATACTGTTATGGTTGCATGCATGCATATATTATATTCAGGTAAACAACACTGTATGTATGCACATACACAGGCAATTATGATGTTTACTGTATTAAATAGTAACGACTTCTATTTCTCCTTTTTTTTTTTTTTTTTTTTTTTTTTTTTGTTTAAACTCTAAATTTCTTTTATTTATTCTGTTCCCTTCTTGCTTTTTTTTTTTTTTCTTTTTCTATTCTTTTAGAAACAAGAAAAAGAAAATGGATTCTAATATATCGCAACAAGCATATACATCTATGATGAAATTCACAATAGATAGTCGTCCTTTTTTAAAGGTTAGAAATAATACTACTTTCTCTTGAAAAAAAAAAATAAATATTTACTTTTTATATGTAGGATTTGCATGATTTATTTGCTGCACTTATAGTTCAAATACCATTGGATACGCATCGATCTTTATTTCGAAATTATTATAATACATTTACATCTGAAGATGCTATTCAAGCTTTAGGCAACTTACGCTTTTCTCATACAGTATGTACACCAGACCCTAATGATCCCTCTCGTCAACAACGAACCACAACAACTACAACTTTTAATATGGCTCGAGAAATGGCAAAATCACTTTGTCAACATTTTCAAAATTGTCGATTAATGGAGAATGCAGTAGATCCTCAAAATAGAACCTTTCGTGATAAAGGCATTTGGCATTTAACTCCTAAGGGTTTATGTATTTTACAAGATTTTTGTTTACGAACAGAGGTTAATATATCTGAACTTCGAAAGCATTTTAGTCATATGGAAGCAATTCAATTAGTTCGTTTAGAACGTAATCTTGATGATGACCAATTGATATTAACAAGAGCTCAAGTTTCAGTTATCTTTCGTGTTATGATGGTTTCTTTACCTCTTGATGGTGAATTATCAAGTTCGGGTAATGCTAGTTCAGTGTCTGTATCATCCAGGCAACAACCTTGTAGTACTCCTGCTTCATCTACTACCTCTTCAGTCTCTTCAGCAACTTCTTCTTCTTCTCCTTCATTGAGTACACCCTTTGCTATGTCTTCTGCTTCATCTATGGGTGATTCACGAGTCCAAATTCTTGGAAATTATCTTCTTACTCTCTCTAAATCAAATCGTACTACTCAAGTTAAAACAGCTAAAACGATGCGAACTGTCTTTTCTTCTCAAATGTGTTATGACTGGCTTATGGATTATACAACTATTTCATGTCGAGAAGAAGCTGAAAGTATTGGTCAAGAATTTATTAAATATAATTGGATAGAATTTCAAGATATGAAACATCAAAGTATACCCTTCAAGGTATCCAAGGTGGTTATGTTTGTCGTTACTGAAAAGGGTAAAAAAGTCGTGTTGGAGACACCAAAGCAACCCATCTCCCTTCCACCCTTGAGTCAGACATTATCTACAGATCGATCGAAATCTCACTCTGAAATAGTGCGTTCGCGTAGTAACACGATTATAGAAGAAGAAGGAGGAGAAGGAGAAGAAGAAGAAGAAGAAAAAGCAACTTTACAAGAGATACTTTCACAGGATCCTGAATCATTATTAATTACACAGTCAACAACTACAATAGTAAATGATGAAGATGCATCAGGGAATGATAACAACCTAGGTCAATCTACTCTATCTTCTAATCGTCCATCTAGTATTGCTATTGATCATCATCATTCTCAACCTGCTGATACAAAAGAAAGTAATTCAGCACGACTGAAAATCATACTTGAAAATGCTAAACTTCGTTCACCTTTCAAAGATTTCTTGAGAGCAAACTTTTGTGAAGAAAATTTGGATTTCTGGATAGATTACAATACACTTCGAAGAAAATGTCGTAATCAAAGCCCAGCGTTACCCACTCAGAATCAAAAGGATTTAATGGAAGAAGTTTATGATATTTGGTCAACTTATTTAGCGCCGGGTTCATCTTGTGAACTCAATGTAGAGCATTCCCTTTGTCAAGAAATGGCAAGAATTATAAACTCTGTAATAACTGTCATCCCTGCCTATCTTGGTCAAGGCAAACCTACAATCGTCATCACTGCTTCCTCTGCTTCACAAAGCTTAAGAATGATGTTGAAATTATTTGATCGAGTCAATGAGCATATTTGTCGTTTAATGGCTTCCGATTCTGTTCCAAAATTTGTAAAAACTGAAAAATACCGTAAAATAATAGACTCAATTGAAAGAAGTGAACGTAAAAAGCAAAGAGGATTAGAGGAACTAACGGACTCTCTTCGTAATATGGATACTACTGATGAATCATATCATGTTGAAATACAAGCGTAAAATTTTAAACTTAAAAGTAACCATTTATTTTTAATAATAATAAAAAAAGAAGGGGAAATAAATTTATTAAAAGGAAAAAAGGAGTGTTTTTTTTTATTAAAACTATTCTTAGACCCTGATTCATGAGTATACAACATCATAAACCTATTGCATTATCCTAGTTAGTTAAACAAAGTTAAATGAGAGTTTGTTAGAACAAATTATAAAAAAAGAAAGAAGCTTAGTGCTTAATGTCCCATTAAGAAAGGTATTCATTTACACAAAACATTTGATATTATTAAAACAAATAGTATTGAAGATTTTATTATATACATATATATAAAAAAAGGAAAAGAGAAAGTAAGTAGAAAGAGGAAAATGGGGCTATGGCATAATTTATGAGTGGTTGAAGAGGAGAGCCAATCGAGGAATATTTATCCTAGTTATGACAGTAATGAAGGCGGATCTTTTATGCTGAAAAATGTGTTCAAGTTCTAGCAGGATTATTCAAATTACTATCTAATGAACAAATCAATAAATAATCTTGAAGTTTATATATGCTTAGAGTGTTAGAATCTGATATAGAAGAAAGGAAAAGATGTTATCAATAATTTCAGGCATTTAGAGATAGCAGATTACATGCTACTTTGTGAACAGTTGCATAGGATTATGTCAAATACCGGAGTACTCTCTTGGAATTTCAAAAGTCACAAAAACAGCAAAAGAATATAAAAAGTGCAGCTTGTCAGTCGGTCCTTTTTAAGCGAAAAGAACTAAATATTAAAGCTGATAAAAAATTAGAGTAATTTGTAATAACAACTTCTTTATATAATATCTGAAATTATGAATTACTGATTATATATACTGTCTTACTTTCAATCTCAGGCTATTGGAAACCTGTACTATGTTCAGGGGATTTCTTTTTTTTTCTTGGTGATAATAAATCATCTTTCATTATTTATTTCTTCTTACAGTAAACACAATCCATTCTCTCTCTCTCCCTTGTTTGAAGCAGTTTCCTTTAGTTCACTATTTAGATTCAAATATGACTCCTTTAACAAAATATTATGCAAAAATTTTCGGTATTGGCTTCGCGTTGGGTGCAGGAATGGAAGTTCTGTTAATTAAAAGTAATTATTGTAAGTTAATTGCTTTTTTTTTCGAAAATATAACAATAAAAAAACAAAATGTCGATTTTTTTTTTTTTTGTTAATGATGTTCGAGATTTATAGATCAAATGCTTGCAGCTTCCGAAGCAAAGCAACGATTAAAAGAAATGCAAAAAGAACAGGAAGATGCTGAACGATTTAAACGTTTAAAGTCAGCGTCAGAATCTTCAGACTAACTTATTCATCATCTGGAATTTTTTGACAAAATTTAAAAGAGACAAAGGAATCAAGTTTATATATTATATTCAACCTATATGTTCGCTAAAAAAAAAAATAGAGGCAATGTAAATAAAAGAGTTCAAAACAACTAATTACTAATTAATGTAAATATTAAAATGTAAGCTGTAATAATAACTTTCAGCGTTTTTCCTCTAAATTCTACCATTTAAATAAAAAAAAATAGCTCTAAGCGCAACAATATGTTTAGATACAGTGCTAATTGTGCTAAATGGTAGTTTTATAAATATTCAGTTAACGTTTTAGTATTTAATACATGGGGTAAAATAATACTCAAATTATTTTTTATAAGGAGTTATGTCAATAATAAATGCTAATGTTTTGGGCATAGCCTTATCAATTACAAATTGTCAATCACATCTTCTAGAGATTGAATAAATAAATCCATGAAGGAGTAATTCCATTTTCTTAATGACTAACATAAGCGTCATTGAAGGTGATCAAAATATGGCTCTTCTTTATTTTATTTTTTAAAGAGCTTGAAATGGGAACCAATAATGGTTAACAAACATTATTAAAAGTAGAGACAATCAAATGATAAATTTAATAGAGCTTAGGACAACAACATCTAAGAGAATAAATTAATTAAAATTTTTTAAATTTGTTTACTTTAAAATTTAGTATAAATGTGAACAGCAATATTAGCAAGAAAGACGCCCAAGGTGTAAAGCAACAACATAAAGTCACCACAATACAGAAGGCATGGTCATAGCAAGGATAGCTATCAAGTCATTCTTAACTAATTAGAGCTACCGAATTGTTTGCCTTTTGAAATCCTTCAGCAAACAGAACCTTGGTCACCTTGCGGTCAAGCTCTATCTTATAATAATGCCAAATAAAAAGTTAAAGGAAAAGAGTAAATATAAAAGTAGCTGACGTAGCTTTTTATTTCACTTTTAGGGAACATAGACATCTTTGATTGGATAAATTAATATTATATTTAAGAGGGGTTATAAATTCTGGTATGTTGCATCATAACAATTATCGCAGCAAATTCGGTGAAGATTTACTAAAATAAAGACAAAGAATTTGATTTTAATTTGGCAGTAAAACTGGTCATGATAATTCGGTAAATAGGACGAGAGTTATAAAGATGAAATGAAAATAAGATGTAAATTTGGCTAGCAGACTTATAAAAAAAAACTTTTTCTTACTGAACTATGTTACTCCATTCCTAAAAATCTACAGACTAAAAAATGCTAGAAATTTAAAGAGTGATAATAGTGAATAATATGAGTAATGATGATGATGGCCATAAAAATTTGTGTATAATTCGCAATCAAATCATGTTTTTTTGAAGGCAAAGAATGAAGGGAGTATCAAATGGTGCAAAGAGGAGAGTCAAATTTAGACTGTATCGCTTCTGTATCACAAAATATCCATAAGCATTTAACTTCCCTCCTTATATTTCCTAATCTTCATCAAATCTTTTTTCACATTAGTTTTCGGTCTAATTCTTTTTCTTCTAACCTATCAATTTACCTTTTGTAATTTTATTTTGAATAATTCTTGTCCCACTTCTCTATTGATGTAAATAAACAAAGCTTCATTTATAAAAGAAAAAAAAAATCCAGATTGCATTATGCAGAAAAGGGATAATTTGCTGAAAACGTTACGGAGTATTAATTGGTAGAGTACATTGCGTCAGATAGTAATGAATAAGTGTGAGAGACCAGAAGCAACACCAATGAGAAATGGGAATACATAGAAGTGTAGTAGAAGGACGAGTGACGTTAGGCATATAATGGCAAAAATGATGAGTTAGCTGTTGTACAATAGACATAGAGAAGTTTGTAGTAGAGAAACAATTGAAGAAAAGAATATCATTATGGACAGTAGTAGATCCGCGTGTAATAGCTAAATAGAAAAGGGGGTAAGATGAGAGATAATCCAGGGATAAGCATGCTTATGAATATAAGAAGCACTTCAATTCTAAAGCATAAAACATATTGAGAACCAAACGAAATATATTGGCGGTGTCCGATATAAAAACAACTTTGGCAAAAAATTTAGAACCAAAACAATTAATAGTGAATAGGCACGAAATGAGAAACTGTAAGTAAAACATGATTAAGAAATGGAGCTGACTATAGGCTTTAGAATGAGAATCCGCAACCTGATAGAGCACGTTAATAGTAAAGAGCCTGTGCATAGACGGAAAGATGAATGGTAGCAGTAGATCGCATACTTGGTTAATATTGAATAACAATAGTTTTCAGGGGAAGAAAGCTAGGAAAGGTAAATATATCGAAGCACGAGGAAGATCCAACGAAAATATAATACTTTTTGTTGATCACAAGGATCTAGGTCTCCTAGTTCTTTGATTGATTTTGGTTGAGTGGAAATATGCGCTAACTCATGAATAGGCTGTCAACCAAAGTGATTCTGGAGATATTTGATTGGGTATGGAAAGACTCGAAGTAAATACCAACATTTAGAAATTATCAAACTAATAAAATCTTTATAATATTTCTATTTTCATAAAATAAAGCCTTCTTTTTTATTTTAATATCTAGCTAATGAAATCAATGAACATATTTGAGTCTTCACTATAATTATTGTTCATAAATGAATCTGTACAGGTGTAGAAGATGGTACATCCTTATTACTTATTACTTAAACTTGAGGAACCTACACCTTTTCTGGCCATCTAAAAAAAGAAATAGGGAGATTTTTTTTGAGACCCGCAACAGTTATCACATGTATTAGGATCATTAACGTAGCGTAAATGCGTTCTTACCCCTTTTTTTTTTCTAACCAGCATGAGCTCTTGTAAAGAAAACAAAGTAGGTTTAGACTTAAACGTCTCGTCCTTTTTCAAGAAGATGACAGACAAAAATTGGAAATTTGAAAATTACTTGGTTTATAAAAACAACAAAGATAATAACTTTGAACCCAATAAAATGAACTATATAAGCGATTTAAATACCATTTCAACTAATACACCAGCATTATCGCGCTTAATTGGTAATTTAATTGAAAATTCCAGGAGCATAAAGGACAAATCACCTAATCAAGCGCAATCATGCTTTAATCTAACGGGAAATAATAACCAAATAATCAGCAACTCACCTCACGCTATTATAAACAAAAAACCGTTGGATGATATGATATTTTCCTCGCTCCTTGCTACGCATCAAAAGACTAGTAAATCATATGAAGAACAGCAATATTGAAGAAGAAGAACAAGAAATGCTGAAAGCCGAATTATTCGATATTAATCATAATTTCGCTGCTGAATGTACATATCATGAACAAGTAGTAATTAATAACGTTAACTATACAAAGCTCTTTAAAAAATTCAAGCTACGTTCATATAATTCTCTTAAAGATGCGCATGAAAATAACGATGTTATGTATATAGAGCAACAATTTTATGTGATATGGTAAGATTATAAGTTAATTCTGTAAGCATGTATGTCTAACTTATAGTTCCCAAAACTCCCTACCATGTAGTTCTATGTCCCATATACTCGTTCTGAAGTCTGGTCAATACCCTGATCAAGCAGCTCAAGCCTTTTCGCTCAAATATCTTGTTTATATTCACAATTATTTAAAGCAAAAATTCTTTGAAAACAGTATCGTTGATATCTCACAGAACATGTTTAACAAAATCAAAAACTTTGTCCAGTCAATATTGTTATGATTGTAGTCGTCCTTACAACTAAGTCAATATAAATAAACCATCATTTATTACATAATAAAGAGGTTATTCAAAAAAAAATTACTGTATTGTACTTCACAGCATAATATTCATTCTACATTCAGTTCTAATAACAGTTATTGTTAAAAATAAGCATATACATTGTATTATGTAACAATAAGATTTCAATAGGATCATGACTCATATAATTATTTATATATGCATCTATAATGTTGAATATTGTTATGTAATAATATCTTAGAGGATGATGATAATATTAGCACATAAATAATTGGTATTGTTATAGCTGGAGTATTCACTGTGAATTAATATTAGCGCGTTGCTTACCCCAGAAATAATGATTGGGTATATTTTTAATAACAGCGACAGTTAAAGGAGAGAAAAGATAAAATAAATATTATTGCATGCAGGATTATTTGGAGACGATATTTACACAGACAACATTTACACAGACAATATTTACACATACATCTATTTTTCTTGAGTATAATGTTTGTATTATTTTTTCTTTTTATAAACTATACAAAGTTTTCACAGACTTGTTTTTTCTGTTTTCTCTTTCCTTATCTTTTGCACTTAAAACAAATACTATCCATTTCAAAAGAAGATATGAAAAATGCCTTTTTCAACTTTGAAAAAGAAAATCGAACCTTTATGACTAAACGTGAAAAGGTTATAACTAAATCATACAAGCAAATGTAAATATATTTTATTTAGTATAATTCATTATAGTCTTCTAACATATTATGTACAGGACACTGGATTTACCAGCAGGCAAATTTATTAAGCCTGTTAACGAAACTGGCAAAAAAGTAAACTACATAGCACCATTTCTTTCAACTTTTGTGAATAAGGATCATTCTTTATTAAAATGGCCCGAAGTAGACCCTCGTGAAAAGACAAACAAGACAAGTCGAAAGAAAAGACCTGATGCAATATTCTATACAATATATCAAGCCATGCTTGGAAACAAAATTGGATTTGGCGAAGTTAAATTAATTGAGTCAAAAAAAGTAAACTAGATCATTATATTTAGACTTGTATCGCCAATTGCATTTTTCTAAAGATGTTGTGGACAAAGGAAATGGATGTACTCAAGTCATAAACTTTCAATCAATTGGAAAAAAAATAACATTTTACCTTTTTACTTTAATTGGTGATTAGGTTTTATGTTATGCCAGAACTATTCGAATTAAAAATGCCAACTAATCTTGATAATATCTCAAATCTAACCCTTAATGACTTCAAGAACCTCTGTAACATCCAACATTTGCTTAAAAACTCACAACAGCCTGTAGTACATGACAGCTGGAAACGTGTATCAATGAAGACCCTTGAGTTTGCTCAATTAGTCGTAAGCAAGACTTGCGGTGATAAACATAATAACACAATATTTTTTTTAGCTTGATTAATGTATATTATACTGTTACAGAAATTATTATACAGAGTCTCATTGTTGGGTACGATACTTTATTATCATTAATAAAAGTGATATTTGATTCTGCAAGTGTGCGACTTTGAAAGTTCAAATGTGCTAATTAAAAATCTCTTATACGCTAAAAATATAATTATAATACGCTAAAAAAAATAAAATGAAATGAAATACGTGAATTCATTTTGAAAAACCTGTATATCATATGCTTACTCTTAGAGTCTAACTTTATCGTCGTGCTTTATGTACTTTTTTTGTGTATTAAAAAGTAAATAAATTAAGCAAAATGGACAAATGATATGTTATTTCGTTTATTTTATTATATTACTTAGAATGCAGTAGGATAAGTAGCATCACACATATGAGGGTTTTGTCCACTATGTAAGTTTAAGATTAGATCATTTGTTTGTTGGTTTGTTTGTTTATATAATCATAGTAGATAACTTACCACCATAAGGGTTGCAGAGCCTCTGTGTTTATTCCTCGTTTCAATAACTTAAATCGCCAGTCAAATATTCTTGGCATTGCATCACCAATATCACGTTTTTTATTTTTTTTATCATATCTTCCAGACCACATTATCTCTGCTGCTGCTGCTGCTCTTGGCCTGAATATAAATAAAATAATATTATTAGTATAATAAAATCATATAATAATGAATAAGAAAAATGTACCATAGTCGGATGTCCAGAGATGTTGAATCTACTTGTTCTGTCCACATTGCTACCTCTCCACCTAAAACATTTTTAGATTCCTTTTCAGTAAGATTATAAGTCATGTCATAACTATATATTCTTTGCCATGACTTAAAAGGACTAAAAATTATACATAAATATAAGACTACTTATTAATATTTGTTATCTTTTATTGTCTTACCTGCACCAATCACCTCCTGCTCCTCCCCAATTTTGAGTCTTGTAATTATCTGCTACATTATTCTTGTCTAAAGCAAGAACAACGTCTTTTGGGATCTCTGGAGCAGCCTGTTCATCGTAGCTAGTATCATTACCACTATTATAAATATGTATATTTTAGTTAGTATTAAAAAAAAATCGTCCTTAGTTAAAAAAGTAATTAGGGCTTACCCCCATCCACCATGTCCACAATCAAGATACCAGAAATTATAATTAGAAGCAATTACTTTATAACCCTTCTTTATTGCATTTTGTACAGGGTTAGTCCAAACCTGTAAAATTACATCTTTCGATATAGGTAAATTATCATTGGTAACAGCATCTATTAGAATTTATAAGTTTAATTATATAATATTATCAATCGTATTTTATACATATTTCTTAATATACCTTCCCACAAAATCGCCGTCTTTTTTGAATTCTTAATAATATTCAATTCTTTTTGTAAAAATAGATGAAGAAGATCGATTCCGGTAACATTGTGAGTCTTCATATAATTTCGAACATTTTTATCCTGTTCCCAGCATTTATATACTGGCTCATCACCTCCTCCATGATACCAGTTATCTAGAAATAAAGAAGCAACCTCAGTAATTACTTTGTCTACTAGGTCATAAGTCTCATTAAGAACTGGATTAAGTTGTCCGGTACCAGGTTCAGCTGCAAGGCGATTACCCCATTCATTACTTTTATCAAGGTAATGAATACCTGTACACGTACTAATAAAAAAAAAAGAGAATTAGCCAAGAGTATCGAGTCAAGATATTGTTCAATTTAATAGAGGATTTATATATCTAAAGTAATATAGATGAAAATAACTTACGTGATCTCCTTATGAGATAACGCCCATGATCCGGTATGTGCAGGCTAAATAATATATACTTGAGACATTGAATATAAATAGATAAGTATGAATAATTACCATGTCAATTTCGGGAATTACTCGTACACCTCTCTTGTATGCATATTTTATTATATGCTTAATATCCTTTTTAGAATAGGTTAATCTTTTTTGTTGCAATACATAAGCGCCTTGATGTGCAAATTCAGGAGCACTTTTAAGTTTTAATGGGAAACTGTGAGAATCAGTTATATGCCAATGGAAAACCTACAACATAGGAAAGACAGTTCCTTATTAAGGAGAATATACTCTCGTTATATATTTATTTACATTCATTTTATTGAAAGCCATTGCATCTATAGTACGAAGAATATCCTTAACTGGGAAAAAGTTCCTTGATGTATCTATTATAGTTTTAAATATAAACTAATCAAAATCATGATAAAAAGAAAAGTTTTTTTTTTTTTTTTTTTTTACCTAACATTAGTCCACGATGTGTATATTTAGGTGAATCCTTGATTTTGATAGGTACATTAGGTATATAAAGACCTTCAAATCCATTATTTTTATTGTCATCATTTTCTTCCTCATCATCGTAATCTATAATGGATTCCTCTCCATCATCACTTCGACTAGGGTAAGATTGAACCAATTGAGAAAAGGTCTCAAGACCACGAAGAGCACCCCATACTGTATTTGCTTTTAATGTAGCTTTCCTTTGATTCACAGGTATATTTAATATGTAGGACTCATCTACACCAAATTCTAATTTTTTATGTTCGTCTTTCAGAATTATATCTAACGATTTTAATGTAGCATCTGAGATATTTGAATTTGAATCATGATTCATATCAAAAGAATTCTGAACCTATAAATAAGATGGATAACAAATAGATAAATAAATGATAATAAAAGTAATATTGCGATCGTTAGTATTACCGGAATCCATCTCTCATAGGTTATAATTCGTGTATAACGTTTGATAGCATGCTTTAAATACTTATTATCAGAACCAGAAATGTAAAATTTTGTCTAAATAATAATAATAATAACCTAGTATTCATTAGTTGAATAAGAAATAAACGACAATAAAATTAATACAAACATCAAGCTGAAGCTCTGTTTCCCCTAATAGAATATTTTGAGGTATGGGCCATAACAGAATTGCTCTAGCGACAGATATTAAGGCAATATATATTACTATAGACAACCAAAATAATTTCATTTTACTCAAGAAAGAAAGAAAGAGGAAGTTCGAATATAATATACATGCATAGTTTTATATCGTCAAAAGAAATTAGATAAAACCCCTTCCCTTAATTTAAGTTTTAAATAAGTTTACAGCATGATTTCCTTCTAGATTAGGTCAAGAAAAATGGAAATAATATATAAAAACTCCTTTTAGAAGAATAAAGATAGTTTGAGAATAGGAAAGGATTTATGTACAAATAGACTGCTATTATTTATTTATTTATTTTTTGTGATCCAAGAATACTGAATATTGTCAAGAGAACAATAATATAATAATTGAAAGTCTTTACACATAGACTTGTTTTGTAGTAATTGTATCTAAATTAACAACAGCTGTTATCTTTTGTAAAATTCTAGATATCTATAATTCGTAGCTTACTCTGTTAATCAATATATGTGAATGTTAAAGGCAAAAAACTGATTTCTTTCTGCTCTAATATCTCACAATTATTATTTTTTTATTATATCTGTTATTTTTTAGCATTTGTTTAGTATGTTCAGTAAACTTAATATATTTTAATAAAGTTAGTAATTGCAGACTTAAAAATAGCATCAATTACTGCGAAGATCTCAATGATCCAAATGATAAAAAAATAATAGTAGGAATATACAACGCTATTAAAGACAGTTAACATTACGATATGGATTATAGGTTTCAAAAGCAAAGGTACAAATAAGAAAGGATGTGGTTAAAATTTGCTATGAAGTTAATATCTACTATTGGTTTTTTCCAGTGAATTTGCGTGTCAGTTTTTACCCCCTATTATCCTCTCCTTTTTTTTAAAAAAAACCAAAAGCACATTGAAAACTAAAACAGTTAATAACACATTCGCCAAATATAACAAGTCAATATGCCTTAATATATGGAGACTATAAGTAAATATGGAGGAAAATGAAAAGTGAAAGAAATTAGTGTGACATTTGCGTTCATATGTTCATTAGCAATAGGAGGACTAAGACCGCTTCCCAATCTCAGTTGGTACAGCTATTGCTGTCAGTAGTTAAGATATTTCTCCGGTATATGGCAGGATTCATATGTAGGTTGCCAGCAAGTTTTTTTTGCCGCAAACTATATACTTATCCTTGGTCGTTATCAATTGTAATCTCACAAAGTAAATATTTTTTTTTTCTTGTGTGCAGTACATCCTTAATTTCCTAAATACTGTTCAGCATTAATCATATACAACTTTATAGCGACTGTGGAAAATAGTATACTACGCGATTCAGATGTGAAATACATAAAGATTGTTCAGACAAAGAAATGGAAAGTTAAAAAAAAAAAAGGAGAGTGTAACAGGGAGTCAAAAAAATAAAACAAAATAAAAATTGACGCATAAATTCATTTGAAAAAATGAATATAAGTCTTAGTCGGTCATTCATTCATATTTATTATATCATATGAATATGATAAAAGCTTTCATCAGATAAGATAATTGTCTTCGAAAAATACGATAGTTATTCAATGTTAATAAGGTAGATGAAATAAGAAGGTAAATGGATATAATAGAGGAAGTAAGACTTAATATCTTGGCAAGAATGAATGGATAAGAAAAGGCAGTATAATTAAAATAAATTATTTTCTATGCTTGATAAATAAACAAATTCTACATTACTTTTTGAAATACAAAAAAAAAAAAAAAAAAAAAAAAAAAAGATCTATTAAATCGTTTGCTTGTAAAGTTATGTTAAAGACTATTTTAGAGAAAACTTCTTTTTTGTTATTATTATTATTATTATTATGTTCATGTTGAAACTTTAGTGGTTTTCCAATGCCTATAACTTTGTTAACAATAAATATGCTACAATTCATATCCAATAAACCTGTTATAATATTGGTGCTTCTCAGGACTCTTTGATAATGTATACATCGACTTATACAGCGCTTCAATAAACTACATTTATAACGATGATATTTGTATTCATATTATAATTGTAATTTGCTAATTTAAAAGGCTTTTTTTTTATCTCCGTCGTCACACCAAAACATAGGTTGTAAAATATTTTCATTTCTTTTTCTACTAAAATACTAAACGAAATGTCTAATGACAAAATTTTGGAAGATTTAGCAGAAATAAGAGAAAGATCTCCTTTTAAAGATTTTAAAATACAAGATGATACAATTTTATACCAAAATACAAGTAGATTAGCTTGTCCAGTTTGTAATAAGCATGTTAAGCATTATTGTTATAATTGTTTTCATGTTATGGGGATGAATAGATCACAAGTGCCGTTTGTAAAATTGCCTGTGACGATGGATATGTAAAGTAAAACCAAGCTTTAATGTAAGGTAATTTAAACTGATCTATATAATTATATAGCATTAAACATGAGGCTGAATCAGATGGTAAAACAACAGCACTCCATGCTAGAATTTTAGCTGATGAAGATGTTAAAGTTTTTTCTTGGAAGCAAATACCAGAATATGAAAACCCAGAACGTATTCTAATGTTATTTCCTGGACCTGTAAATTATTTATATAATTATTAGTTTGTCTTTCTGGCCTTTTTTTTTTTGGTTTTCTTTTATTAATATACATATATAGGATGCTAAAAAATTAAGTGAAATTCCTCGAGATTCATTTGACCATATGATTGTTATTGACGGTACCTGGAAACAAGCTAGCAAAATGGTTAGAGAGACACCAATATTACAAAAAATGCAAAAAGTGACGATTGAGCCTCGTTCAACATATTTTTGGCGTTTCCAGAATATAAGCATCAACTACTTGTCAACAATTGAAGCTATTTATTACTTATATGTAGAATATGCACAAGCCTATGAGCTAAAAACAGAATTGTACGATGGAAGATATGATAATTTGCTATTCTACTATAAGTATTTGTATGATTTGATTCAATACAGTTACCGTAAAGGTCAGCATAAAAATAGAGAGTTTTGTTGGAGACATAGAGCAAATTATATTCAGGATAAAGAGGCTAGTCAAGTGATGAGAGATGCAGCAGGAAAATTTATAAATTCAGAAAAAAAAAGGAGATAGATGAGAATAAGTGAAATGAGAAAACATGTACATAGAAGACTAAGATGCAAGTAATTTGTCCAAAGGCTTTATCTTTTTTTTATAAAAAGAGGTATATCGAGGATATCAAACTAATTTATTAAACCAATAGAAGAATAATATGTTATAAACTACTATTAGAAATAAAACAAGCTTATAATCACTATAAAAAAAATAAAAAGTACAAAAGTCAATTCCAGGAGAGTAATCAAACAAAAATGTCATTGGTAATTTTTAGAGATGGTCTTAAAGACAAGAGTCTTGTTTATTTTCGAAGACATAGATATGGCGTATCGGAAAAAAAAAATATTATAAGCACTTGAAGACGAAGGAAAAGTGTGGAGAGGATTTGTTTTTAAATATAAATGAGCTCAGAACTTCGATAGAACTTGACTATATATTATTTATCTCCTAATAATCATTTTTATAATGGGTTTGTCACTCTTGCTTATCTTGAAATTTAAGGCATTCTAGAACAGAATATAGCACCTATATTCATCATATATTACTCTGCATTGATTATGGTACATATTGGAATAGGGCTATTATGGCTTGTAAAAATATATTTCTCATTTCAACAGAGATATGGGCTAGCTAAGAACGACTCAATATTTTCTTTGTAAACAATGAAATAAAAGCACTGCAACGAACGTGAATAACTCTTCTTTAGAGGAGAAACTCAAAGATTTATACAGCCAAGATGATCATCCTATTACAATAAAGAACATACCAACTTACTAAATTATGTTGCCTTTTTTTTTTTCCTCCCTCCAAACTTTTGAAGGAAATTTCGCTATAATTTTGCAAGCTTCTTGTTGTAATATTATTAAACGATTATTTAGAATATCTCATAGTCAATGTAGTAAACATTGATAAATATCTAGAGGAAAGCACAAAATCGGATTATTTTTATTGACGAAACGAATTAATTTGTTTTCAAATACGTTTTTACAGAAAATTACTGGCGAATTTAAAAATTTCTAAGAAGCGACTTGAAAAACAACAATTTGCGAATTAGAAAAAAACAATTTACGAATTCAGATTTTTTTCACTAAAATAGAAAATATTCTTAAATTGCGCAGTAACATATTCAAATAGTTTTTGATTTCGCTAATAAACAGTTAATGAACTAATAATGTGGCTATGTTAGCTCTAGGCTTATATTTTTTGGATTATTTAGTGGTAGCAAGCTTAATTATTACTCTGATATATTCCATCCTCAAAATGCTCTGTATTTATATGGTTTTAAGGGGAAATTCGGCCTTTTTAGTCACTTTTTCAATCTTAATTCTAACTCCACTCATTCAATAAAAGAAACATTTTTTTTTTCACTCCATTTTTTTTTTTTTTTGTCATTTATAGTAGTCATGGCATTTTCTTCAGCACTTGTATTAACCGATCTAAATGATTATATTGCTCCCTCACAAGCTTGTATTAAACCTGTTGAAGTGAATAAATCAGAAAACAAAGGACCAGTAAGGATCTATCTTTAAAAAGAGGAATCGTCATTATAATGTGATTGTTAATCAAATTTATCTTTAGACCGAGATCAAAGTTGATAATGAAGGCACTTATTATGAAATTACTCAAGACGGTGGAGAAGAAAAACTTGAAAAGGCTACTATCTCTCTTAATGACTGTTTAGCTTGTAGGTAAATTTTTTTAAAAATAAAAAAATAAAAAAAAAATGCAGATATATAATGAGTCATATATGCTGACAAATTATCTAACAAATGTACATAATATATAGCGGATGTATAACTTCTGCTGAAAGTGTATTGATTTCTATGCAATCACAAGATGAATTATTTAAAATATTAGAACAAAACAAACTTGCTATTCAACAAAATCAGCCTCAAAACCATCGTACAATTGTTATTTCTATTAGTCCTCAATCAAGAGCATCCTTCGCTGCTAAATATGGATTAACAACTCTCCAAGTCCACCATAAGCTTGTATATTTTTTTAAAACCATTTTAGGTGCACATCATGTCTTTGATATTGCATTTACTCAAGACTTGTCTCTGGTTGAAACAGCTCGAGAATTTATGGATCGATTTAAGAAATATATGCAGAATGGAGGTGAAGCTTTAGAAGCAGCAATGCAACAAGCAGATGCAGAAAAGGCAGCAATGGAGGAGGAGGGTAAACCCAAGGTTCGTACAAGAAGACGAGGCGCCAAATCTGATAAAGCAGGTGTCAATGCTATTACTAATCAAAATATACCAATGCTTGCATCTTCATGCCCTGGCTGGGTTTGCTATGCTGAGAAAACACATGATGAGGTTTTACCTTTTATCTCAGCTGCTAAATCACCACAACAAATGATGGGATCACTTGTTAAAGACTATTTTGCTAAAAAATTAAACCTAACGTAAGTATATAATATACTTATTGAGCACTCAACTATTGATAACTGAATACTCATGATAATATAGCCCAGATCAAATATATCATATATCTATTATGCCTTGTTACGATAAAAAATTAGAAGCAAGTCGACCTGATTTCTTTTTGGAACAATACAATACTAGAGAAGTAGATTGTGTTTTAACAACTAGCGAAATCGATAAAATGCTTCAAGAACGGCAATTAGACCTTAGACAAATGCCAGAGAGTCCTATAGATGATATGTTTAATAAAATTGGTATAGACCCCTCCAGTCAGTTAGAAACAGTGTATGGTGTACCTGGTTCATCGTCCGGTGGTGCTCTAGAATATATTTTCACTACAGCTGCTCGTGAACTATTTAATATTCATGATGTGCCTAATGATCCTTCTAATACATCTTCGGCTCATGTCGTTATTAAAGCTGGTAAAAACATGGATGTAAAGGAATATTTCTTAATCTCTGACGATGGTCGAATTTTGTTAAGATTTGCAGCTGCATATGGTTTTCGAAATATTCAAAATATTGTACGTAAAATTAAAAGTGGTAAATGTAATTATCATTATGTTGAAGTTATGGCATGTCCTGGTGGATGTGCTAATGGTGGTGGTCAATTACCACCCAGTACTGAATCAGGACAAGTTGTAAATGCCAAGGACTGGGTAAGTCGTGTTGAAAATCTCTATAGAACTTCACAAGGTATAATGCCAGAAGATAATGAAATTATAAAAACGATATACAAGTAAGGTTAAATCTATTCAAAAAATATAATTTCTACTAAAACTTTTTCTTATTATAATTAGCGAATGGATTGTTGATCCGACTTCTGACAGAGCACACCAACTTCTTCGCACTCAGTATCATGCTGTCACTCAAAATCTTGCCAATCCACTTGTAACAAAGTGGTAAAAAAATATGATGATGACTATTCTTTTTTTTTAATTATTATTTTGTACATACATATAACATACATAGACGGCTAATAAAGTGAAAAAAAAAAAAAAAAAAAAAAAAAAAAAAAAAAAAAAACTGTTACTTCAACCCCTATTTAGTTAGTAGATTTGTGAAAATGAGTAGATCCAATCTGTGTATTTTTTCATTATTATTTCTCCAGTTATTTACAAGCTACTTTTCTTACAAGTAGCTTTACTTAATAAATGAATTATTATAGTAAACTTTTATTTTGTCCTTCATCGATAAAAACCAGTTTTATATATATTCGCTTTTATTTATTAAATTAATTGTAGTGTGAGCGTGTAAAAAGAAGATGTGCTGCTAACTACAAAGATTCTAATAATTAAATATTGAATTTAAAATACTTGCATTAGTGTATTTGTGTTAGAATGTACCAAACAATCATTTGTTTATACTTTCCTTTTCACTTTCTGTAAGAATATATTAATTTATAAGAGAAAAAAAAATAATTATTTAAAGGCAATATTTATTATGAAAAGAAGTTTTACTTTGTTTATTAAAATGTATATTATGTATTATTATATATAAAAAATATGAAGATATGAAACCAAACATTGAGTTACTAATTAAAAATATCAGTATAGTATGAATGTTACTGTAGAATAAAACGATTTTTTTCGTAGAAAGTAAGGATATAATGAATGATTAAGAATTATGTTTTAAATAAATGAAAAAAGAAACGGTATAGAATATAGCAATAAATAAAATAAAAAGCAATATAAAAAGACTCTTTTTGTCAAGTGAATTTTTACTTGCCCTTTATAATTATTTAAAAAAATGGAAGTTTGATCATAGTATTTTCAGGAGTATATAAGAGCGCAGCCATAACATACCAAGCCGTAAGTGAGAGGGTAAATGATATCCAACCACTAGCAATATTGAAATTAACAATTCCAGTTAAACCACCAATACCACCACAGAAGAAGGCTAAGAACACTTGAAAAAGGACAAGACGAATAAGAATAGGTTGGCGAAGAGTACCAAGGAAGAAAAGGAAGGCTGCGATAGCATAGCCGATTTGTACAAGACCCATACATTTATGAACAGTTTCTAATCCTCCATTTTCCATAGCGATTTGAAGGAATCCAGAGCTAGGGATCATCATGATACCAAAAGTAAAGAAGAAACCAGAAAAGGTTAACATAGAAGCAGCTGCAAATATGTTTCCAATAACTATTTCACAAATACCACAGATAAACTGACCCATAGCACCATATCCAAAAGCTACACCTACAGCTACCTGCGGTAAATTTGTAATTAAGCCAGAGTTGTATAAGCCAAGAACGAAAGAACAAAGAGCAAAAGCACCGAAGCCGATAGGAGCAGGATGTATCTTTGCAAGAGAAGAGACTGCATGAGTTTGCATTTGACCAGTCGAATGATCAACCACTACATTAGCAGTAGGTAACATATCAATCTCATGATGTTGAATATCTGCTTTTTGCTCAATTGACGAATTAGAAGACATTTTTTTTAAGAATTAATATAAATATATAAAAGGTAAATTGACAAGATTTGAAGTAGTTGTATTTATAGGAATAAGTTAGATAAATACAATAAAGCTAACTATTCACATAGTCACGTTTTCTTTTCATAGTTTGGTAAAAAAGGACTTGCCAAAAAGGTTTAAAAAGGAAGGTTCCGCAAATACATAATGCCACTGCATTTCAATTTCCCCACATTTATCTCAAATGTTAACCTAGGGTTTTATTTTCATTAAAAACATCCTATTATGACTTCTTTTCCCAAAGTACAAAAAAAATGTCTTTATTTTTTCTCATCTATTTTAATATGAAAATAAAAAAAAGTTTTGTATGCTTTCTTATTCTATTGACTGTATCTATTGATAAGTAATAAACAGTAACAAGATGTATATATAAATATATGGTTATTACCATTAAATATGTGTATAAAAAGGGAATTTAAAAAGAGTACACAACACTAGTGACACTGAACATACTGCCTTCTAACACTTTGAATGACACAAAATAAAAAAACTATATTGCATTGTGATAATATAGCAGTATCAATTCAACGATCATTTTAAGTTTATTAAATAATACAAGCATTTACTGGCTTTGATACTACTTTTCAAAATACTATCTTTTCATGTTCTTTATTTATTTTTTATAAATATAAAACTCTATTAGGTCAATTCTCCATTTGTTTCTTATAATATTATATAAATTGAGAATAGGTACCACAATTAAAAAATGGCTACATTGTTAAAAGATAGAACATAGAGAAGTATCTCTTTAAATTTTTCATAGATTTATTCTCGTCTCATTCCCCCCCCAAAAAAAAAAAAAAAAAAAAAAAAAAAAAAAAAACCTGATTTAGAATATTGACAAGAATATATTGTTATGGTTACTTTTGACAAGGCGGATATTTAGTTAAAAAATACACCATAGACTGAATATATTTTGAGTTTGTCATCAGTAATCCCACGGACATAACTATTGCTTTTTTGTACAAAAGGAAATAAATTAATGTTTATTTTTTGCTTTTTATTCGTTTGTTTCTATTGCCACATTATTGATATTCTTTATCCTTTTTTCTTTTTCTCTCATGAACTCTACGTAAGGAGTTTTACTTTCTTCAGAAAAAAAATATTATTATCAAAATTTCTGGAAACTGAAATGACGATTTTACACAAAAATCAACTATTCATAATGTTATAAAGACTTGTATTAGCCACAGCTACTGTATGCAAGCTTTTAATGAGAACTTAAACTATTATACTTTATTGACTGTGTTGAACAATTTTTTTTTATATATGTTTACTGCCAACATGTATAGATCTTTAAAGAGGAAGAAATAAACGTACCATTTAATTCCTTACTCATGTACATAAACTAAATAGAGCAATGTATTTAAATTTGCACGTTTACATAATACTTTTCACTATGATAAACTTTATATTATCTAAGACATATATCTTTATGGAGAAAAAAAAAAGGGAATCATATTATATCCATACAGATGTGTTGCGTTTCCTAAAATATATTGTTATATCTTTCATATAAATATTAAAGTAACATATACAATTGTAGGCTCATAAAAGTGTCATTACTTATCATTTTTTTTAACTGAATAATATTAATGATCATACGTAATATCTGACCATAGGATAAGTTGTTATTGAATTTGATTAAATTATGTAAGATAGCTCACGTATCTAGTTATTATAGTAATACTACTATTTTACATTTCTAAAGATATTATATAACAATTCTTCTTTTTAAATATATTTAATTTTTTAGCCATTATCAAATAGAAGATAAATATTGGCATAAGTCTTAATCACTTTGAAATAATAAACAAATATATTTATTATATGTTCATCATATTTGCATTAATATTGTTTCATAACACTAATTGTATAATCTAATCTAAATTTTAAATATAAAGAATTTATGCTTCTTTGACTGCTTAAATTCCAGATATCTTTTATATTGGATCAGAAACGACCTGTATCTTATATCAAGATCATGAAAATAAATACATAATGTCTTATAAGTTATATCTCAAGATGATTGGATACCATTAAGGTTTATATTGTTTAGAAGGTATAATAATATTCAGTATGGAAAAATGGTATACGTTATATCTAGGCTTATAATTTATTCTTCAATATATAATTTACCTATTATAATACTACTTCTGCTCATATTCACGGCTTGTTTTATAATGTTGGACACGTTGGGCAAGCTGACGTATATGCACTTATGAAATAACAGTTATGGTGACCAAATATGCAAAGCGATATCAATTTATGTATTAATTGTTGCCTTCGTTGTCCACTAAAAAAAAAAAAAAAAAAAAAAAAAAAAAAAAAAAAAAAAAAAAAAAAAAAAAAAAAAAAGTACTCAAAATCATATCTATCATGAATCAATGAAATCGTTATAAATATTAACATTATTTACAAAGTAGCGTCTGTATTTAATAAGGGAACTACCCAAAACTAAGAACGATGATAAATATATCATCTAATTTATAGGTGGACTACGTCACAAATTGACCCATTTTACGAGATTTGCCTAATGCGGCCGATAAAGAACTTGGCAATCCTATAGAAATATTCTTAGATCATGGGGTTAAATTTTATGCTTAAAAAGTTAAAGCAGTATACTGTAAAAAATCAAGTAGATATATAAATTTATTAGTGCCTACCATCCACATAGCAATTCTAAATGTGAAAGAGTTAATTACATTATGCAATTTATGCTTGAGAAGTATGATAATGTTCATAATCACTATTAGGATGAACATACTGTTGTCCCTACAGCTGTATAGAGAATCTATAAACATAGGACTATATGTTATAATACCTTCTTTTAGGTTTATGAAACATAAATAAAAAAAAATACCTAGAGACTTTTATTGCCCTTTTATTTTGAATAGCAATAGAAGACGACCCTAAAATTATTGCTAAAGATATACTAACTAGAATACGGCAATTATGTGAGTAAAAAACTTGCGTCAGAGACAAAATGAGATATTAGGCAAAGAAGGTTAATAAAAAATCGAAAGATAATAAGTCTCAAATATATGATTAAGTAGTTATGTACTTTTTAAGCATAAAAAAAAGGCTTAGGATATTCATCTTCAGGACTTTATATTATTGAAGAAGATAACATAAATTTCAATATATAAAATTAAAAGAAAAAAAACTTAGTAATAGAAATTTGTATATATTTTTGATATGTACAGATAGGTTGCAGCTAGTAAAATATAATGACAATATAATTAACCAAACTTGGTATCAACTGCATAAAACTAGAAAGCAGTAGGTAGCTAAAAAAAATGAATTGTCTCTTCCTGATTTACCTTATTATTATTGATTTGACTCTTTTAAATCACTCTTCTTGGGTTGGGTATTGCTGTAACATTATTAGTTTTTTTTTGATCGACTATAGACACCTATACTACATTCTAGTTATTATAGATATAAAAGACTATAAAATATTTAAGGTGGTTTTCCTCCAGCTTTTTCTAACTAAAGAAGATAAGCTAATATTAATAAATTATTAGGTATACATATAAAAGTTAATCATTACAATAATATTAATAACAATAGCATAACATAGTATTGTCGTGCCTGACCTTATAGAAATAATATTTATATAAGACATAATTATTTGTAAGTAACTATAATATACAAAAAATATAATTTCTATTGAATAGTAGAATGAAAAAAAAAAAAAAAAAAGTAATCTGAAAGAAGATTTATCCAATTTAAGATGGCGCTTAATATAGTTCAATGTAATGGCTATACAAAAGTGTCGTTAGTTAGTTCAATCACTCTAACAGGTAAGTTATAAATGTATGACCATCTACGATTTGAATTAAGTGGAAAAAGATATAAAAAACTAAAAATCGTCGCCTGCAGGATTCGAACCTGCGCGCTCAAAGAGCAATAGCTTAGCAGGCTACCGCGTTAACCACTCCGCCAAAGCGACACTTTTTGAAAGAAAATTTTTAACTTTCTTATATTCAGTTAGTAATATATTTTTTGGTCACGTGACCTAGTTTTAATCATCACTATTTTTTTGATCTTGATAATTATTATAGACTGGTTTCTTTTAATACTAATTTATTATCAGTTTTAAATCTCTAAGACGACTACAATTATAGTAATTAGGTTATATTTAGTAAAACAATAATAGAGGAAGTTGTCATGGTATTGTGGTTTAGATAAGTTTAAATAATTAAAATATAATTAAAAGAAATAAAATAAAAAGAAGACAGAAGAAGAAGTACGTTGAGACTTGTCAATAAGTTCTTATTAAGAGTTGAATAAATTCAAGTATAAGTTCAAGTATACCAAATAAGGGTTAATAATGTAAAAGTATTTATATATTTTGTGAATAAGGATAATGAGTAATAAGAAGATAAAAATATAACAAATTGTACTTGATAATATTGTTATGATTGTAGTCGTATTTACAACTAAGTTAATAGAAATAAACTATCATTTATTTAAATAATAAAGAGTTTATTCGAATTGTTTTGATTAGCAAAAGAAAATGGAAGAAGAATAGTGTCATGGTTGTAAGATTTATAACTTAATTCAATAAGATAAATAGTCATAATAGAATACATAGTGCATTTGTATGATAATTCTCTCTATAAACATATTTAGTATATTTACCCTTGTATAGAAAAATAATTAATTAATAAAAAGTCCTACATCTAAAAATATACTTTCTTCTATTATTGTTCTGCTGAATATAAATTTATAAAAATAACTTTATACAAGTTAAACTGGGGTAAACTAAGAATAATACAAATACGCGTAATAATTGATTCTACTCAGAATACACGTATTAGTTATAAAAATAAATATATACTAAAGACATGAATCTATAATTATAACTCTTAGTAATCCTTCTATAATTATATTATCAAATACAATTTGTTATATTTTTATCCTCTTATTACTCATCATCCTTATCCACAAAATATATAAATACTCTTACATTATAACTCATAACTTAGAACATATAACAATACTTGTATTGAATTAACTTTTAATAAACTTATTGACAAGTCTCAACGTACTTCTTCTGTCTTATCTTCTTTTTACTTTATTCCTTTTATTTAATTACTTAAACCTACCTAAACCACAACAAATAGACAGAAGACAAGTCTGTGAAAACTTCGTATAGTTTATTAAAGATAATACCAAAATTGTACAACGAAAATTATATGGAAAAATTGAGGGTTATTTATATGTTTTTACAAGGTAAGTGTTATCAATGGAAATATGATTCAGATAAGCAAGTTTTACTATAATAAAGTGTTTTACATAAAACATTGTCTCCGAATAATTCTGCGATCAATAAGATATATCTTTATTCCTTTTTTCTCCCTGAGTTGTCGCTGTTCCTAGAAACCTAACGAATCATTATTATTGGACTGCGACACATCAATATTAATTCTCTGTGAATATGTCTGGCTGCAACAATACCAATTATTTATGAGTTACTATCATTATCATTGTATAAGATTTCATTATTTAACAATATTCAATATTATCAATGTATATCTGATATGTATCACTCAAGAACAATTATGTAATTGAATACACCAGTCATAATCCTGTTTGAATTATGTATATAATTATTATTATTGCTCGAACATTCTAACAATGACTATTATTAAAACTGAGTGTAGAATGAATATTATGCTGTGAAGTTCAATATACTAGTTTTATGTGAATAACCTCTTTATTATGTAATAAATGATGGTTCATTTCTATTAACTTAGTTATAAGGACGACTACAATCATAACACGAATAAAACTAGTGTATTGTACTTCACAGCATAATATTCATTCTACGCTCAGTTTTAATAATAGTCATTGTTAGAGTATTCGAGCATTAAAAACAATTATATATGTTATGATTGTAGTAGTCTTTATAATCAAGTTAATAGAAATAAACCATCATTTATTACATAATTTTTCCTTGTAAAATTTTTGTATTATTTTTCTTCAATAAAACTATACGAAGTTTTCACAGACTTGTCTTTTCTTTTTTTTCTCTTTCCTTATCTTTGAACTCAAAACACTAATCAACACACTTACAACCATGACAGGTTTTTTTCTATTAACTTAGCTGTAAGGACGACTACAATCATAGCACTATGAACTTACAACATAAGTATACTATAGTAATAAAACATATCTTTCCAAAAAAAGTTTATGCTATATGCTGTAGCTAGGCTACAATACTATAGTTAGGAAGATAACGAGGTCACGTGACCAAGATTCTAATTAGATTAAGCTATCATGAGGTTAAAAAATTTCTTTCAAAAAGTGTCGCTTTGGCGGAGTGGTTAACGCGGTAGCCTGCTAAGCTATTGCTCTTTGAGCGCGCAGGTTCGAATCCTGCAGGCGACGATTTTTGCCTCATCAGAAAATGTACACTATTTTTTTTACCATGGTATGACAAGACGACTCGAATATACTATTTTTGAATGTAACTAATTTTGAGCATTACTTCTTCTCTTATCTATCCTCTTTTTCCTTTTGATATTGAGAGAAATATGTATATAATCAAACTAAATATACGCATTTATGTTCACTATTAAGAATGAATTGAAGCTACGGTATCTAGGGATAAAGAGTACGACACTGAATAAGAAGAAGAAAACCATGCAAAATAATAATATTTGTTGTTAAAATGATGATGATAAAGAAGAGCAGGATACGATATTTTTTATTAATGTAGCAATATATTTATTAATGTAATAGCAGCAGCTATAAAAAAAATTATACATATTAAGTATGAGAAGTAGAAAAGTGGAATCTTTTTTTGTCCATGATTATCTCGAGTCAGCGAACAACTATAAAGAATATAAATGATGATTAAAATACATTAGCTTTCTTCATATTTTCTAATATTACTATTATTTGCTGATTAAATAGAACACTAATGAAGAGACAAAATAAAACTATTGATATATTATCATTGCATAATGAAGAATACAGATTTGAGAAGGAGATGATGACGATAAAGATTAAAGATATCGATGGTATGTTTGTATACAAGCATTGTATATATTTTTTAGTCCTCAAGTACAAAGAAAGGAAAAAAAAAGGACTTTACTTTATTTTATTATCAAATAAAGAAGTCTAATATAATATACAAATCTGATTTCAATTTAAATAGAAGTAATGATATGCCATTATTGCTTATTAATGTATAGTTAAAAATCATATTATTATGTGTTTGTAAGATAACAAAAAGCTATCTCTAATTGAATAATATTTAATGCTACCTCTTTTCTTGGATTATGTAAAGCAATAGTATCTAGTTTTTATTGAAACAGATATGTATTATTAAAAATATGGGTATAATAAAAGATCTTTTTCATAATATACCATTTAAATTATTAAAGGATTGCTCTAAATGAAATATATTACGATATCAATATTAAGCTTTATTATCAAATAACTTGATGCTATACGTTATGTAAATAATAATCAAGCATTTGTAGACCCAATTACAATAATAGAAAATCATTTATTATTATTTACAAAGGTAATAGTCAATGATTATTCTTCGTCATCATTTCTATCCACATCTTCCTCTTCTTCTTCATTTTGTTCCTCCACTTCATTATCTTCCTCAGATCTTAATTTTTTAACATCAACAGACATAACATCGTCCTCATCGTCATCGTCCTCATCATCGTCCTCATCAAGCGATCGCTTTTGTCCTCGTGTCAAGTTCTCTGTCTGTGCGTCCTCCTCCTCATCTTCTTTAGCTTTCGATTCATCTCTTTCTTTCTTCTTTTGCTTCTTTTCTAGCGCTATTTGTTGAAAGACTAAAAATGATCGTATATATTTTTGATTCAATAGAGGTTAATTCACTTGAAAATAAAAAGAAAACTTATTTGTTCAATAGTGGATTACCTGTTAAGGATTCCTTAAGCTCAGGAGCTAAATGATCTAATTCCACAATTTCTAAAGCTTTGAAAACGTCAGGCGCACTAATTGTTTTGTGATTTGCCCCCTTTGCAACATCATTAGCACTAATGCATATATATATATATATATATATATAAAACAAAAAAGACTACGTTGTTAATTTACTGAAAGCATTCTAATCGTTTTTTTTTTAATCGCATTACACTGAAGAAATATAATTAATAAAAACAGTGGCAGCTTTACTAACAGCTAACTTTGCATCTTTTTGTAATGCTGTTCCAGGTGGAAGCTATTATAAACAAGAAATAAGAAAACGGATGCATAACAACAAAGTAATCACTTTACAGCTGCTTTTAAAACTCTTGCCACATTTGCTTTTGGTAATTCATTATCTTCAATACTACTAGACATTTTCAAGTTGAAAAAAAAAAAAAAAAAAAAAAACTGAGCAACACGTCTTTTGATTTAAATAGCGAAAGTAGATCGTTTTTTTTTTTTTTTTGTTTGTTTAGACGGTCACGATAACAGGATCATCTCCGAAAGAAATATAAATATCATCGTAAAGTATGCGTGTGAAATAATAAAATCTGAAATCTTGTCTCTTTTACTTTAATATGAATACAGAACAAAAAGTAAGTAAAAAAAAAAAAAAACTATTTTTCATATTCTAATCATATCATTTTATATAAACACATACACACATAAAAGAAGCCTGTTCTTTTCAATTATTATAGATCTTCTGCTTCCTGGCGTATTCGTATTGCTTTAGAATGGAAAGGAGTTCAATATGATTATGTGCCTATTAATTTGTTAAATAAAGAGAATGTAAGAATTATTTATTGGCAAGAAACCTCTCCTCCCCCTTTTTTTTTTTTTTAAAAAATATGTATGTATTATTTAGTTCTCTGAAGAATATCGCAAAATAAATCCTGCTCAAAAACTACCTGCATTTACTACAAAGGATGGAGACCTTATAGCTCAGAGTCAATCTATTATTGAATATATTGAGGAAACTTATCCAGGTAAGTTTGAAACTATTTATATAAAAACATGTGACGTTTTACTTTTATTCATTAGAGCGTCCAATGCTTCCAAAGTGTCCAGTTCAAAAAGCTTATGTAAGGAAAAAGATTGTATTCTAAAATAGTAGATGTTTAAATTAATATTTATATATACAGGTTCGCGAGATTTGTCAAATAATTGCTTGTGATATTCATCCCCTTCAAAATCTTGGCGTCCTTCAACGTATTGGAGGCGATGATCAAGATAAAAAGATGGAATGGGCTAATACCACCGTCACACTTGGCTTTAAAGCCTTAGAAGCTAGACTTGAAAAGCTTTCAGGCACTTACTGTGTCGGTGATTCAATTACTATGGCCGATATGTTCTTAGTTCCTATGGTTGGCAATGCGAACAGATGGAATGTTGATATGACTCAATTTCCTATTATTAGTCGTATTCACAAGGCTTTATCTACTTTACCTGAATTTATTGCTGCTTCTCCACAAAATCAGCCTGATTGTCCCAAGGGAAATTAATAATAATAATGTATGAAATGCATGAATCTAAATAAAGTCACGTTATCATGCTGCTTTATTATATTCATCTATTTATTTTTTTTTTAAATGAAAATTATCTTTTTTTTATTTTTTTTTATTTTTTTTTTTGATTTTTTTCTTTAAAAAAAAAAGAAGAGACAATGAGCTTAAATTGGGTTATGTTAACGCAGGATGGTACTGCACCTGTGCCTTTACCTCAAGAAAAAATGTTCTTTACCCAAAAAGATGTTAAATTAGTTTTAGATTGTAACGATTCGTAAAGTTATTGCCATTTATACATGTTGCAATGACAAGTAATTAACTTTTTTTTTAAATATATATATATTATAGAGTAGGAGGATATCCAGGCAATTCAGAGTAACTATTTGTCAATAAACATGTATATATATATATGTATATATGTGTATTAACTTGTATATAGAGGATATTACGAGTCAAATAAAGGAACAGTTATATTATCTAATCAAAGAGTAAGTCATAATAATAGCTAAGTATACTACTACTAAATGAAAATAAAAATAATAGATAATCTATTTGGCACAGCCATCCTCTACACATAATTCTTTGACGACAATGCCGCAATTTAAAAATTTAACCATTCCAATTTTGAATTTTAAAAGTTGGAAATTAGAACAACCATGGTTTGGAGCAAACTATATATCTGGCACTGTTATTCCTGTAAAAAAAAAAGTTGCTATGATGATAAAAGATATAATTTAACACAGACTAAACTTCTTAAATAAATACATAGGTGCAAGGTGGCGGATTGACAAAGAATAGTCAATTAAAGTTAACTTTTACTGAAGGAGGCGCAATTGAATTTACAACTATTTTACGTAGTTTATTAGAACGTATGGGAGAAGTAAATGAAATCCCCAGAGAATATGAACCTTTACCTGCATATGAAGGCAATGGTGATAATAGCGGCAGCAGTACAAATCATGCTAATGAGCCACCACCTCAATATACATTTTAATTTTATGCATATATAAAAGTGTCTTGATATAAAGATATGGTTTTATTATTATAGTGATGCAAAGTAAAAAGTACAAGTATATAAATATATCTTTTTTTTTCTTTTTTATATTTATATATAAATATGTATAAATATATTTATGTACAAAATAATGATATATATAAATATAAATATATATGTGTATATTCATTTATAATATAAATAAATATTATATGTATACACGTATTGTTCTTTTTTTTTTTCCCTTTTTAACCAAATGTGGAAACAATATGCGCTAATTGAAGTAAGCCACTCGAAGAAGAGTTATTGGTCTTTTTACTACTACTACTATTACTATTATCTTCATCTTTATCATCGGACTTTGTAGGTCGTTTATGGTTCTCATTCTTCTTATTATGATGAGTTTGTGTGACGTCAGCTAATTCTTCCTCATGTTTAGCTGGATGAAGTAATGTATATGGGAAACTTGGATTGTGCGGTCTTGCGAATGTTAAAGGACGATGTTGATAAAACAGAGAAGAGTTTATAGATGGTTTTTCAGTAATAGTAGTAGTAGTAGTAGTAGTAGTAGTAGTAGTATTTGTGGTGGTGGTAGTGGGTAAAAGAGTAGTATCAGGTTTAGAATGATGTTGAGTATAGGTATTATTATTATTCACTTTGGTATCATCCATAATATGGTGAATAGAAGGTAAAGAAGTGGTAGAGGGTGAAGGAGACTTTTCATTTTCTTTTTGATGAATAGGAACTGACTTTTTTAAAGGAGAAGGAGATTTTACAGCTGGAGTTAATGGTAAAGGGAAATTAAATCGAACTGATGTGTATTTTTCATTTGTTGTATTGGTATTTGTTCTTAACGATTGATGATAATTAGAAAGATGCTGATCAATTGTTAGTGGAGGCTCTACTCTAACGGGATCAGAACGGATACGATGATGAGCATGAAGACGTGGTCTTGGTCTTGCTTCCTCTACGATTCCCCTCTTTTGTGATCTTCTCGATTTTGGTGACATATGAGTTCTGTAATGCTGCATCATGTTATCTTGGCGTGAAAATCTAGATTGGCAACCGGGAAATAAGCAGGGAAAGTTCTTTTCACCTGTATGAATCCTGTTATGTCTAGCAAGATGGCCACTAGTAATAATGTAAATAAAATAAAATAAACCAGAGAGAGATAGATATCTATTTATATGTATTTATTTTATTATTTTACCTGGTTGTAAAGCTTTTATTACATCCAGGCTCAGTACAGTGATATTTTCTTTTAGATTGCTGTTGAGACGTATCTTGTTGTTGTTGTTGCTCATTCGAAGATGGACTATTTTGTTCAATGTCAACATTTGAATTTAATAAACTAACTTGTCTACCTGATGCATTTTTTACTGATAATAAACTTTCATTCATTATAATTAAAGGGGAAGACGACAATACTATTTTTTTTTTCTTTTTTAAAAAAGGAAAAAGAAAAAAGAAAAAAATTAAAATAAGTTTCAGAGACCAAAAAAAAAAAAAAAAAGATCAAATGAGGTTTTATATGAAGATAGTGTATTATATAATTATTTTAAACTCCAGTCCGCGGAAATTACAAAAATGGTGAAAAAAAAGAGACCCTTAGCCATAAACGATCATAAGGGTGCCCAGCTCAAAACCATGAACCACTCATAAAAAAGGGGTTCTTTTTATTTATTTATTTTATTTTTCATTTTCTAATAATAAATTCACACACATCGATATAATTCTTATTATTCCCATTTGTGTACTATGATTTCCTCGGAATAAAAAAGATGCATATTTTTAGGAATGGACCCTGTTTAAATGATAAACAATAAACATTTATTTATGACATAATAAATATCATTATATAATATCAGCATGTAAGAAAGAAAGAAAGAAAAAAAAAAGAAGGATATATACATGTCTCTACTACTATTACAAGCTAGACCAGTGCTTTTTATACATATGAGCATAGGTTTATGCTATTCTACTACCATACCACAAATGTCAAAGTGATTATTAATAAAAAAAAAAGGGAAATAACAAATGCCACTTGACTGTCTGAAATCGAATACTTACTTTAAAGGAAAAGAAGGATTGTTAACAGTATTATGTATAAAAAGTCGGTTTATTATATCTTACTAGAGTTGCTTTTCTTTCAAAATTATATAGACTTCAGTCATATACATTGCTTATTCTTAACAAAAATGCTCTCTAATGTTCTTCAAAGGGCCAATATACATAATAGTTTCTCTTTTATATTACTCAACGTGGTAATCAACCTATTTCTTTGAGTTAGGATCTTGCCATTTGCAAGTATCCTTTACTTTTAACTATATTTGCTTTATCAATAAACACACAAGCTTTCAAATAGCACATATCTATACTTTAGAATCAAATCTTTCTAACTCTGTAATGCCACACAATACACCAAATTCGAATAAAGAAAAAAAAAAAAGGGAATTAAACTAGCCCCTTTCCTGAAATTATACAACATCATTTTGGTTATTTTTTAATTACTAGATCCAAACAAACAGTGTTTATCAAACTGTAGCCCATCATAAGATGAGGGGGGAGGGAGTTTCTTTACAAGCTATTTGGTAGAATAGTGCACATTCTTATTTTAAAGGGAAGGGAGGCTTTTTTTTTTGAATTCGTGAAAACTCCTAATCTTTATTACATTATCTGTTTCCATTAAATTGTTCAGGTCAATAACTCTATTATATTGAATTTCTTTATAAGAAATAAAAGTATTATCAATACTAATAAAGAGGAAGAAGGGATACTAATCAATAACGTCACACAACAAAGAAGGTCGAACAGATTTGATTTCATTTTCAGCAAATTAAATTAAGACAAGAGAGCTTAATTTTCTATTCTACGCATTAAAAGCGAGTCTACTAAATTGAAAAGCTAAAATCTTCATTACTTGAAACACGAAAAAAGATTATTTTTTTTCCCTTTAAACCAGGGACAATAACCAACAATCTTCTGTAATAGTTTTTTCTTATTTTCTTTATGTACGTAATGAATTAAAATTCCGTCTTTTAGCTATCTTTACGGGGTGACCCTGTTATTTTTTTTTTTTTTTTAGGCTACTGCTGCCTTTTATATTTTTGTTTTTTAACCCCACTCTTATTTTGTTCCTTGTTTTATCAAATAACAAAAAATAAAATAAAAAAAATAATGGTCCCATCTCAAGAAACCCTCAAGAAGAACTTCATTATCCCCTCTCCTGCTGGTGATGCTGTTGCTCCTACTGGTGCAAACCTTTATGCTCGTTTTGCTCTTGCCGGTGCTATCTGTTGTGGTATCACTCACGGTGCAATGTAAGTTTTTTTTTTACCATGTAATTATGAATGTATACATGACCTAACCATTTTAACAAAATAGGGTAAAATAACATAAATGAACATACATACATACATATATATATACATATATACATGTATATAAAGAAAATGATTAATAATTTCATATCATAAATAGACTCCTGTTGATGTCGTTAAGACTAGAATTCAATTGTCTCCCGAGATTTACAACAAGGTAATAAAAATAATAATAATGGAGAAGAAAAAAAAAATTTTTTTTGTTAACACAACTATTTAAAGGGTATGATTGCTGGTTTCCGTCAAGTCGTTCAAGCTGAAGGTGCTGGTGCCTTGTTGACCGGTTTTGGTCCTACCGCTGCTGGTTACTTCTTGCAAGGTGCTTTCAAGTTTGGTGGTTATGAATTCTGGAAAAAGACCTTTATTAATGCTATTGGTGTTGAAAAGGCATCTGAAAACCGTACTGCCATTTATTTGGGTGCTTCTGCTATTGCTGAATTCTTTGCTGATGTTGCACTCTGTCCATTGGAAGCTACTCGTATTCGTCTTGTCTCTCAGCCTACCTTTGCTTCTGGTCTTCTTTCTGGTTTCTCCAAGATTATGAAAGAAGAAGGTGTCCTTAAGGGTTTCTATTCTGGTTTCGGTCCTATTTTATTCAAACAAGTTCCTTATACCATGGCCAAGTTCGTTGTCTATGAACGTACTACGTAAGTCTTTTTTTTTTTTCTTATATTGAATTATAAACGTACATACTGATACATTTTTTTTATTTATTAACATAGTGAATTGATTTTGAAATCTTTGGATACTCCTAAGGATCAAATTGCTCCTTCTACTATGACTGTTGTTAATCTTAGTTCTGGTATTGTTGCTGGTACAGTTGCTGCCATCGTTTCTCAACCTGCTGACACCTTGTTGTCCAAGATTAACAAACAAAAGGGTGCTGCTGGTGAATCTCTTACTTCTCGTCTTGTTACTATGGCTGGTCAACTTGGTTTCAAGGGTCTCTTCTTGGGTCTTGGTCCTCGTATTGTTATGGTTGCCACTCTTACTGCTGGTCAATTGTAAGTATTTTATTAATTAGAAAATAAGGAGGAGAGGGAAGGGAGAGAAGATTGACATGGATTAACGTTTATTTTTTTTTTTTTTATAGCGCTATTTACGGTGATATTAAGCGTGTTTTGGGAGCTACTGGTGGTGTTGAAATTGCTAAATAATTTACTTGATTATGATTTTACATATACACACTATATACAACACAACACAACACATATACTATTTCTATCTTACTTTAGAATTTTAAACCTTTATATTTATATTATTACAGAATTGGTTGTTATAAATAAAATAAAAAAAAAAAGAGAGACTATCAAATATTCTTTACCGAATTATTTTTTGACGTAGAGGAGGTAGTCGTGACAACTGGGCTACTTGCTGACCTTTCCAGTGTTATTGGTGCGCCCGTTACAGTAGTTAATCTTTTTAATATAGAATTCCAGCTTTCAATTTGGGATTGAACTACAATCTAAAAATGTATGTGTATGAATATAACCAGGAGGATGACTTGAAAGAATTCATTTTACCTGATAAGGAAATGGATTACCTTCAGTCGTTGTAATAGAAGGTATATGTTCTTTATATTCATTAACCATATTTAATATTTTCAACAAGCATTGTATAAATTGATGTTCGATTGATTTGTTTAATTTGATTTTTTCTATAAACATGTATAATATATAAACATTACTGTTAATATAATATAATATAAAGCTACCTTGTTCTGAAACAGGTGTAGGAATCATGTTTAATGTGATGATCCATTGTTCCCAACACACATGTTCTTCAGATTTAGAAAATTGAAACCAGTTCTTTTTTAATTTCTTTTCATAAAATAAAACTGCCAGCTTTGTGTGTGTGTGTGTGTGTGTGTGTGTGTGTGTGTATGTGTGTATGTGTATGTGTGTATGTATGTATGCATGTATTAATTCTTCTCTCTTTCTGTCTTTATTATTATCATCATTACCTTTCCTTGCTTTAATTGACTTGTGTTATGCAAAAACTCTACTATCTTTTCTTCTATCAAGTTCTCAACTTCACTATTATCTGTAATAGACTAAATCAAAAAGGGGAAACAAAAAACAAATATTGTTATTATACATCTATCTATCTATCTATTTGCGTACTTTACAACTGTTGTATTTAATACTCTAAGCTCACGAGGTATGACGTTAGTTAACAGACGATGAAAAAAGATGGAATGTAATAATCCTTTAATGAACGTTAGTCAATTGTAATCAATTACTATTCTATTTCTTTTCTTTAATACCTCGAAGAACATCTTTTACTTGATTCCTTGGTAACCCATTCTTTTATCAAAGAAAAAGAGGGGAAGAGAGAGGAGAGAGAGAGAGAGATAAAGGGGGAATTAAATTAAGACAATCATATTAATAGGATGGATAATACCAATTCTAACTTGAATTCTTCTAATGAACTAGTCATTCTTTTAATGTAGATGTATATAGATGTATATATGTATATGCGTATATATTTTAAAAGGAAAAAAAAAGAACTAGAGTGATTGAATACTTTTTTTTTTTTTTTTTTTTTTTTTTTTTTTTTTTTTTTCCCTCTCCAAAGAAAAAATTATACTTGTACAGCTCACACTATACTTATTTAGGATATCAGCATGAATATGAAGGGTTTCAGCATTAAATAATTCAACTCGTTTATTATACAACGCTTTTCCTTTTCTATCAACATCCTCTACAATTATATACACTTATTATATATACATATATGATGAATAATGCTATTTTATTGTGGTTGAATACCAAGGACAGTTAACATATTTCCTACCATAATCAGACTTCCAGTTGTCAAGATTTGAACTTGCTCTTTATCATTTGGTAAATTATTCGATCTATTAATAGCAAATTGAACAGTATCTTCAATCGTTTCTACTACATGAACACAGTCTTTATAAAATTCAGGTACTTGCTCAAGCCAACTTTTAGCCAATACTTGCTGTACAGACGTAATCTCTTCCCTGGAATCTGTTCTATTGGTATTATCTGCGGTATAACCTTCTTTAAAGGTAACATTAGTAGTAAACACAACATGATCAAAATGAACTTGAGGTTGAATTTCAGAGATAACCCTTAATAATTTACTACTATCACGACCATGAGTACAGTTGAAAACCAAAATACGTAATGCTTTTGAATTATGTTCTGCAATGTCCTTGAACCATGCTGCACATACCTGAAGACTTTCAATCGTATGTGCACCATCCAAGTACCATGTTACATTATTATTATTATTGCTACCATATTTAGTCTCTTTTATAGGTAATTCTTGACATCTTCCTGGCCATTTCACCATAGCTAATCCTTGTCTAAATTCTTTAGGAACTTGCTCATTATTATCAAATTGAATACCACGTATTTTCTTTAACCATATTTTACATATTTCAATAGCTGTTAATGCATTATACTTTTGATGAATACCAGCTAAACCAAGTTTTATATCGTCTAATTTACAAATATCTTTAGCATGGACAATGGTTAAAGGTGCATTCTTTTCTTGAGCTCTTTTCTTTACTACTTCCATAGCTTCAGGAACTTGTTTAAATGAAATAACAGGCACACCAGGCTATAAATAATATATTATTTCATATGACTAGATTACTCTATCCATTTTTTTTTTTTTTTTTTTTTTTTTTTTTACCTTAATAATCCCTGCCTTATGCCATGCAATTTGGTCAATTGTATTCCCCAATATAGAGACATGATCTAAACCTAAAGCAGTGATACCACATACAATTGGCTTTTCAATGATATTTGTAGAATCATATTCACCACCTATGCCTACTTCCAAAATAGCACAATCTACCTACATTATTATAAGTTTTCTTTCTTTCTTTATTTTAATCAATTAAAGTTTACCTTTTCTTGTATAAAGGCATGTAAAGCAACCAAAGTCAAGAATCTAAAATAAACAGGCTTATCAGGATGCTCTCTTTTATTCCTTAATAAAGCTTGTGTATCTTGTTCTGATAAATTCAAAGCTCTAATTGCTTCTTCTTTAGTAGCTTCTAATCTTTCCCAAACATCTTGAAAATATCTAGAAAATAACTCTTCACTAATAGGTTCACCATTAATACGAATACGTTCTCGAACAGCAACAAGATGAGGCGAGGTAAATAAACCGGTTTTGATGTTGGAATCATAGTGATGAAGTATCGATTGAGTCAAAGCGCTTGTTGAACCTTTGCCTTTTGTACCTGTCACATGTATTAAATTCAACTTGTCAAAATCCTTGGGCTCGTAACCTATACGTCTAAAGTGCTCCTTCATTTCTGGTAAACTCTTTTCACTTGCACGAGGTCCTGCTTTACGGAGCTGTTCTAATAAGGCTGCATTACTTTGTAATGAATTAAGTTTTTCAACTGCTTCGTTATATGTGAATTTCCTTTTTGACATTATTGAACTATTTCTTTTCTGAATAAAAAAAAAACGAAAAAAAAAAAGTTTTTTATAATACATAGAAATAATAATAAAACCGATATTTATATGTATATTTTTGTATATACACAAATATACACATATTCATATACACATATTCATACACATATAAAAAATAGGTGTATCTATAAAAAAAAAAATAGATAGATAGATTTGATAATCCAATCAAATTCAAGCATCTACTGTTGGAGTTATCCAACCTTCAATCCCTTTCACCAGTTCCTCGCCAATTGCATTCACCTCAGCCACATTTTTGCCTACAACACTCACGACAACACGAGCACCGTCTTTACCTTCACCCCAATTAGGATAACTACCAATCTTGATGTGCCTTTCCTTGCATTGGTTTTGTAGTTGTGTCAAAAAGGGGGCAATGTCACCTTCCTTTAATTGTGTCGCCACTTGAACACGATGATAGGCCTCTGGATGATCACCCAGGAGAGCTCTAAAGTGCGGCTTTAAGGATTCAAGAAGGATTTCAAACAATCGAGGAATACCTGGTAAGACATGAATATTTTTATTGACCACAACTACAGGTACCCATATATCATTATGATTACGCAGTTTTTCAGATGGTTCAGGGAATAGGGCCATGCGCTTTCTCTCTTCTGTTAATTTCCAATCTGGAAATCTCTGTTTCGATACTTGTTCCATTCGTTGACACGTCTCTTGATCGAGTTTTAAAGATAAATTATAAGCCTTTGCGAGTGCTGAATAAGTGATATCATCGTGAGTAGGACCTATACCACCACTTGTAAATACAAGATCATGTTGACTTGAGAGTCGTTTAATTGTTTCCTTAATAGCTTCATAATCATCAGGAATGGTTTCAATTCTCTTTAATTCGACACCCAACTCAAATAAATATTTCGCTATCACAAGTAACATATTATTATTATTTCTCTCAACAACAACAACAACAACAAAATAGGACAAATACCTAAATAATTAGCATTTGAATCCCTTGTTTTTCCATTTAAAATCTCGTCACCAATTATACAACAAGCAGCAGTAAAGTTTTTTTGACTCATAAAAAATATATTTTTTATTCTATTTTGTTTCCCAAAATTAAATAAAAATGGTTTCAACATGCTATTTCTTTTCTTTTATGATAATAATAAAAAAGAGAATTTTTCCTTTTTTTTTTTTTTTTTTTTTTTTTTTTTTTGGGGGGGGGGAGAAGAGAGAGGAGAAGAAGAAGAGGGGAAAAGGATAGGTTTTTCTTAACTTTAACCCTCCATATTTACACTGTTACATCTTTCCTCTCTTCCCCCTCCCCCCCCACACACACACATACATACAAGAGATGATAATAACCAAGAAAGAATTTCTATACAAAGAAGATTTTTTTTTTTTGCAATAATGATGAAAATAGTATGCATTATATAAAATAAGTTACTATTATGAAATTGCATAATGATGATAGGTCAAAAAAATTTCCATTTTTAGTAAATTAAATAAGCTTATGAAGATAAACGTCGATGATAAAGAGTAGGTACGGTTAAATGACCTGAAGCATCTTCTTGTGGTTGAGACAAAATAAATTCATCGTCTACAACATCAATAGGACTACCAGGACCCCAGTTACAATCACTACCTACAGAAGAAGATAATAAATTAGGAGAACCTTCAGAGATGATGAAGTTGGGTAATTTAGTATGGGTGGATTGATGATGATCAGCAAATGGTATATGTACTCTAGTCAGTGTTGTTGTATGAGGTATGGTAGAAATAAATAAGGGCAATCGAATGACGAGTGGATTTAATAAAAGTTGAGAAAGAGAATGATGATGATTTCCTATGAGAGCAGGGACTAGAATAAAGATTTCATAAGAAATATCCATATATTCCCCAAATTGACTGCTTTGAGTGGTAGGTACGCAATAGGAAGGTATTTGAATTGGACAAATGGTTACATTGTTTCTACTCTGTTTCGGTATTGTAACATAAAATGATTCACATAAAAGTTGACGTTGCTTATGTCTGTAAGAAGGTCCTGAGGTAGGTAAATCAGGATAATCTTTTTCCCTTGTTTTTGAATGAAATGAGGTTGTAGTCGAGACTAATAAGAGCTGTATTTGATTTATACTACAAGAAGTTTGATTGTGTGTATTTAACTTTATGGAACACAAATCACCTATCATAATAGGTAGGTATACATTAGATTTCATTCTTTTACAAGTTCAATTTTATATACAACACATACCAGGACAGGATGATGGGTTCACTAAGCTTGCCGTCATCTCAACATTGTCCATTTTAATCGTCTTTTCATTTTTATATAAATAGTCATCTGAAACAGTAACCAAAGGCAAATAAGTTAAAGGGATGACTGGAGTCAATTTTGTTGATAAAGATGAACTAGTATCCAAATATCCTTGTAGAGAATATTCAATACGATGACCAAGATGGGTGTCCTTTATTGTAGGTGGATAATTCACACTGGAAGGTAACTGAATAGCAAATAGATACATATGACTTCCCATGTCTAAAAATACATTTTCTATACTAATGTTAAGAATATAAATAAATATATACATGGATATAAATGTATATGCATATATCTTTCTATTTATTACCTTCTTCTTCCTGTTCCCAAATAGTGGATTCAATTGAAAACAATATATTTTGCTGATTTTTATTTAATTCCCATTCTTCACATTTAAATAAAACTCGTATTGATTTTGCTTTAATTGGTTTCCCAAGGATTAGTTTCACACTACCTTAAAAGAATGAGTATAATAAGCATAATACACATATATACGTTCATGTAATATACAGGTATATATATATATATGTGTGTGTGTGTGTATACACGTATGTATAATTCCAGTTTACCATTAATAATCGATCCTGGACCAAATGCAACATCATTACTAGGTGTAATAGCCAATTCGAACGTTTGTATAGGATTTGATTTGAAAACATTAGTAAACTTCATTTTCTTTAAATAAATAAAATTCCTATAAAATGTGGGGGTGGTTGGTTCCATCACAGTAGCTGACTATACTAAATATATAAAATATCGCAGTTTAAAAATAGTTGGGTCTCTCTCTCTCTCTCTCTCTTTTCTAGGGTTTAAACGCCGCGTAACATACTATATAAAGGAGAAAGTGATTTTTAATTGGTTTATCATTTATTTTCTGATTGTTGACTCAATTTTAATGCAGCAATCATGACCGAAGTCTGTGGTGATAATTCATCAAAGCCACATTTAGTAGTGGTGCAGTGATACTTTATTTATGCGAAATTCAACTTTTTTCTTTTTCTTTTTCTTTTTTTAATTATAATAATGAATGATACTATCATTAAGACACATAAAAATAATTTGGATCGATATTATGAATTTCATATTTATGACAAAAATATAGGCAGTTACATGTATTCAAATTCAGAATATGCTCCTTGCCCTATAGTCGTCATGTCTCGACATCAAGGCTTTCAATGGAATGATGAATTATTTGTTAGTCCTTATCGTAGAAGTGCGGGTTATGAATCTCATAAAAGTATGAGTCTTCAAGATAAAGATAATAAAATATTATCTACAACAACAAAATCAAAAGACCAACAACAAGAAATAGATCATGAGTCACCACCTGAAGTGATCGATATCAATTTAACAGAAGCTGACTGTGATGTTTGGCCATAATTTTATTTTATTTTATTTCTTTATTTAATATTTTAGAAGATAATTGGATTTATTCGTTTACCCAAGAAGCGCCTCGTTTTAACCATTTGGCAAGTAATACTGCGATATCTTTAACAATGAAACTACCTACAATATGATTGATAATGGCACATATTTTACTTAATTTCAAGATTAATACATTATAGTGTGGACTCTTTAAAGACCTTTTCCTTTCACCATCATAATAATTTAACCAATTTTCTAAATATCTACATTAATAATGATAATAACAGTAATAAAAAAAAAAAAACTAATTTTTAATGTTATTTACCTAATACATGAATCTTTGTAAATAGCTTCTGTAATACTTCGATATAATTCTTATATTGATCTTCACTAAAAAAAACAAGTAAATAAAATAAATATAAAATAACTCTTCCTATTTTTTCTTCTTTTTTTACGTTTTTGTTAAACTAAATGCATTCATTCTTTCAACTGATTTTGTTAGTTTAGTTCCCCAAGACATAAATGATTGTGCTTTCTTTCCTGTATCGATTCGACTGATAACAGATATTGAATCTCGATTACTGTTATTGTTCATAGCACTATTTTGTTGATGATTTGTTCCATTATTATTAGTTTCAGATAAGCTTACTCTTTTTAATTTCTTGGATAATATCAGCTGAAGTTGTTCAATTGAATGTTCGAATTGCTCTAAAAGTTTTATGGAACTGGATAAATCATTTAAATAATTCCAATTTTCGAGTCGTGCAATATCATTCATTAATGTCTCACAAGCAGAGACTTTAATATCTACGGATGAAAGTCGTATATTAGGTTGTTGCCTAATTCAAACCAATAAATAAAATGTGAATGAATTTGACTCGTTCTATTAAAACTGGGTTCAGGGAGAGGAATCTCTCACACTCACACTCACACTCACACTCACTCACTCTCTCTCTATATATATATTTTACCATAAGGCTTTGGGTATATAAAGTTTTTGAGTAATATAAGCACCTTCCAACATACTTTTTTCCAAAGCAAATAATAATCCAAATCGATTATTGTCTACATTTGTAAACTCATTGTTCACAAATGGAGAATCATTTTCTTTTTCTTCTTGATTATCATCATACAGAGTCCTTTTAGTTGTTTCAAGATAATCTATATCATTTGTTGTAACTGGCTTAATTTGATCTTTAATAAAATAACCGTAATGACTGTGATTCCCCGGTGAATGCGATAGTTTATCTTTGTTACGACTCATAGAGAAACCTTCAATCGAGAGTCGATTGATTGCCTTTCTACGCATAGACCCTAAACTGCCACCTACAGAGGGTCGAGCGATGACAGATCGAGTCAGTTGATGAGGAGGTGAAGTAGACAATAGACTATCCTCTTGAGGAGATGATACTGAAGGTACAGGTTCAGGTGCTATCATAGAAGAAGATCTTTGCATGATTGGAGATGTTAATTTTAACGGTAAACTACTTGTACGAACTTCAGTCTTGTTTTTATCATTTACTATTTCTACTTCCTTTTTCTTTAATGAGGGTAAAGTCATTGTTGGCTGTTCTATAATTGAATCAAATACACATGAATCTGATGAACTAATAGATGATCGATTAGGATGAAGTGGGGTCGTTAAAGAGGGGTTTCCAGTTAATAAAACTGAGCTTTGCTGATGTTCTAAAGATCGATAATCCACTTTATTCTTATCCTCTTCCTCTTCCTCTTCCACCTCTTCTTCTTCATCTCGAGTATCATTCAGCTTTTTCTTGACAAGTTGACGAATAGGCGTACTTTTAGAAGATTGTGGATGAAATACAGAAACTTTAGATATATTATTACTGAATGCGTCATGTCCATTTTTGTTCATAGATGATGAAGATGCCATTCTTCGAATAGCTAAATTATTAGAGATAATTGACGATGTTATTGATTTGGAGTCTTGTTCTAAACCATTATTCACTGAACTTAATAGCCTAATTCTTTCTAAATATGAGTCATGCTAAATTTGTTTATATTAGCCATAAGTATATGTATATAACTATCTATCTATGTATATATCTATGTGTGTGTGTGTGTGTGTGTGCGCGTATAAATATATATAAGTATATATGTATATATATATATATATATACATAAATACATGTATATTCATATATGCGTATATAAATATATTTGATCCCTCCTTCCCCTTTATAATTCAATATGTAAGCACAAACAAACAAATAAATAAAATAAATATATTTGTATATATGCATATTTAATAAACTCATTTACCTCTTTTAACTTTTTCCTCTCCTTCCCTCCCATAACTCCGCTTCTTTCTTCTCTCACACACACTCACTTCTCCTTCCTCCTCCCCCCCTTTTTTTTATACATATGAAACTTACAATAGTTTGTAATCTTTGACGTTCACTTTCTTTTTTTACACTAGATAGCACACGTTCCAACAAAGAGATGGCCTCTTTATAAGCATGTATAGCACCAGGAACATCATTCATCGAATCACATTGAACAGCCATATTTGCTCTTTGTAAAGCAGATCTTAAAATAAGTTTAGAAATATCCTTTGAATCAGGCACAATGTTAGATGATGATGATGATGATGTTTGTTGAGTTGGGAATGGCTCTTTATTTAATGTCATTAAATTATTATTTGCTGTTTCAAAACTGCTCATTAAATATTAAAATATTAGTTATATTATCAAAAAAAAAGTAATAATAATAATAAAGAAGACAAACAAGTATTAAATATTATAAGGTAACAAATATAAATACAATATATGCTAAAAAAAATAGGCAATTTTTTTCTTTTTTTTTTATTGTGTATGTGTAATAGTAAATGTCTGTGTGTCCTGTAGGAATATCACATCATGGTTCTTTTTTTTTTTTTTTTTGTTTTTTTGTTTTTCTCCTTAAGATATCATTCAGTTTATTTAAACATTTATAAATCTTTTTTTACACCAATAATGCTTTCTCCTTCTTCATTATATAATATTTTAGTGTAGATTTTTTTTTTTTTTTTGTTTATTTATTTATGTTTGTCATACCTTACAAGTATCATATGAAGCTACATATATTAAACGAAATAATTTGATTTGTCTCCTATATCATGTATATAAAAATATATATTACATTCTTCTTCTTCTTTTTTTTTTTTTTTTTTTTTTTTTTTTTTTTTTTTTTTTTTTTTTTTTTTCTTTTGATAAGGCTTTTGCTACTCTTACATTAATAATGTTACATGGATATTTTAATAAATACCTCTTTTTTTTTTATTAATTTAATTGAGGCTTTAGGAGACTGCTAAATCAAAAAAAAACAAGTACTATCATATACATTTTTTATTTTTTATTTTTTCATTCTCCTTCTCCACTATGATTAATAGTTGTAGCTTACCCTTATATTATATTCGTTTTTTAAAGCCACCACCAAAAGAATGTCTAATTGGTCAGCATTTCACTATTGTATGGACGATTGAAAGTGATCTTGGTGATCAAACATATTGGGAGACTGTACCTATTACGATCAGTTTACAAGGAAGTTCAAGACTTGGCTTACGTGAGCTTAATGCTGATCCCAAAAGTAACTTGAGAAAGAGGGCACTAAAACCTTATTCTGATGATAAACAACAAAAGGTAACGCTTGCACGGGATATTCCTGTTACCTTTGATCCATTTCAAGGGGGTGGTATTGTTACTAAACTGGTGATAGAGCAACTACCGGGAGAACCTTTACCGATAGGAGCTCAAGTCCATGTTCAATTGAATATGCTTTTATCGCCCATAGCTCGAGTATCCCCCAATACGGCTACTACATGTCATTCTGTCTGGCAGAATACATATCAATTTCAATCTCAAATCTGGTTAATCCCCACCTGGTCAACACCTATCTTGACTACCATGGCAAAACAAAGACACGTTCAAATAAAACAAAGCGGTGATCAAGCAGAAAGAATTTTAGCTGTCAAGAAGCAAAAGTTAATACATATTCGTGAAGATGCTGTTCAAAGTATAGCTAGACATATTTGGTACATATCAATTAGCAGTAGTGTGTGTACGTGTGTATATATGTCTTTTCTTTATTACTAATAAATTAATTAGGGATTGTGGACTGGGCATGTGTCAATTTTTATCAGAATATAACATGGATTCTAAATATAACTCCATTCTGGAATTAGGTAAATATATATATATATATATATATATATAAAGACGGTGCTAAATACATTTAATTCATTTCATTATTAGGTAGTGGAACCGGCTTAGTTGGCATTTATGCTGCAGAATTATTAAAACCTGAATGTGTATATTTAACAGATCTTTCAGATGCACTGGAAATTATGAAACAAAATGTAGCTTTAATGGATAAAAATGATACCAATGTAAAAATCTTTATACATGAATTAGCATGGGGTTCTGAAAAGCAAGATATATACGGAGACGTTAATCTATTACTTTTAACTGATGTACTTTATAATCAATCATCACATGACTTGCTTATTGCTACATTAGATTGGATGTTAGACAATCCTGAATGTAAAGCATTACTTTCATATAAAGAACGTAACCCTGATGAAAGAGTTTTTTTTACTAAAATTAAAGAAAAAGGATGGAAATGTGAGCGTGTAGACAATTATGATCATTTAATTTGTGAAATATATTGGATATATAAAACCAAATAAAACAAGAAAGTTTTTTTTGTCACCTAATTCTGAGTTTTTTTTTTTTTTTTTTTTTTTTTTTTTTTTTTTTTTTTTTTTTTTTCAATCAATCTGGGGTAAAACAAAGTATTATGGAGTGAAGAAAAGCCGATCCAATTAAAATATGCCAAAAGAAAAAAAAAAGGTTACCCGTTACTCTTTTCCCTTACTTTTTTACTTTTTTTCTTTTTCATTTATTATCTTCAGCATCAATTTATTATCCGACTATGAATCAAGGTCGAATACTTTTTCAACATAAAGTATTACCAAAGAGATCACTGCTTTCATTTTCACACTCTTATACAACAATAACAACTCGTAAAAACAAGAGTCTTGTACGTCGTATCATCAATGGTGCAGCTATCGTTACCCTCTCTACTACGGTAACAGTTGGCCTCGGAGGTACTCTATTGTATAACACAAATGATAAATTTCGTCATGTCATGAACGCATTAGAACGAAGTGCCATTGCAGGCACTGTAGGAGTTAAAGTTGCTCTGGATTATCAACGTACACTTTCAAGGGAATACAGCGATGAGAAATGCTATAGAGACGCTAAAAGAGCTTGCCATCAGCGTTGCGCTGAGAGAGTACTTGCTGCCATTCAGCGACTTGGTGGTGTCTATGTAAAATTAGGACAACATATTTCAGTAATGCAATATCTCTTACCAAATGAATGGTGCCAGACAATGCGTGTACTACAAGATCGATGTGATCCTACTTCTCCTGAAGATATTAGAAATTTATTTATAGCTGACCTGGGATTACCAATAGAAGAAGTATTCGATGAGTTTGATTGGACCCCCCTGGGTGTAGCATCATTAGCACAGGTCCATCGTGCTCGATTATCGGAAAAGAGCATTCAGATTTTAAAGGAAAATCATCAAGATGGTTGGGATGATGGGAATGATCGTTGGGTTGCTGTGAAATTACAACATCCCTATTTAGATGAATATTGTCAATTAGACATGGATACTGTTTCCTTTATTTTTGAAATTATTAAACGTGTTTTCCCAAATTTTGGTTTTGAATGGTTTGCTGAAGAAATGAGAGAATCTATTCCTAAAGAGTTAGACTTTATTCATGAAACACAAAATGCTCGAAGAGTGGAAGCAAACTTTGCAAAAGAGAAATCAGATCATCGTACCTCATTAGTTATTCCTAAGGTCATTTGGGCAAAGAGAAGAATTATGTGCATGGAGTGTGAGTATAATGAAAGGCGTACAAAATTCCTTATATACATATATATATATTTATTCATCTGTTTGTTCATATAGTTATTCATGGTTCCAGAATAGATGATATAGATTATATGAAAAAGCATAATATTGATCCAAAGAAAGTATCTGCAGAGCTTACTCGAGTATTTTCCGAAATGATTTTTTTGCACGGGTAAGTGCGGTTATGAATATATTTGTATTTTTGTATAAAGTAAAAATACATGTGTATTTAAATTATCTTGTTTTATAGCTTTGTTCATTGTGACCCTCGTATGTATAACATTTATGATGTTTATATGTGTATTTTTTTTTTTTTTTTTTTTTTTTTTTTTTTTTTTTTTTTTTTTTTTTTTTTTTTTTTTTTAGTTATAATAATAACAACTTATCTTTAGATCCTGGAAATGTTTTTATTCGCCCCACTACTGATCCAAAGCATTCAAAACATAATTTCGATCTTGTTTTACTTGACCATGGATTATACCGAGAACTCTCTGATCAACTTCGATCTGATTATGCTCATTTATGGACATCATTAATTAAAGCAGATGAGGATGGCATTCGTGAATATTCCCACCGTGTAGGCGGTACTGATATTTACCAATTGTTTGCATGCATGCTCACTGGACGTGAATGGGATAAAATCAGTCAATCTGATTTAAATAGTGTTCGTGAGGTAGATGAAGTGGGTCGTATGTCTGAAGGAGCACTTAGGTATTTAACTGAGGTAGCTGATATTCTTGGTAAATTGCCACGACCTGTTCTTTTACTACTCAAGACGAATGATCTTTTACGACATGTGGATGAGAAACTAAATACAATTGCTGATGATCGAACGACATATATTATTATGGGTACCTATTGTTCGAAAGCAGTTTGGCTAGATACCAAGAAATACATTTTTGAAAAACTTCACTCTGTTGGATTTAGTTTTAAATTATTTAAACAATTATTTCATGCTTGGTGGCAATATAAATCACTAGTTTATGCTTTGTGGCTTTATCATGTTAGTACAAAACTGGCTGAAAGATTGAACTGGGCGGAAAGAAAATGAAAAAAAAAAATACAGAATTAATAGTAGAAGGCATAATAGAAACTCATTTATATGAATAGAAAAAAAAAAAAGTTTTTAATTTTATTACGTAATAAATAATGAACCCCTATTTTATTTTATTTTATTTTTTTTTAAATGCAGCTAGCCTTATTAGTATAGAACCTTAACAATGTTCGACATCGTATATGAAGTGAAGTCGAATCTGGTTCATGCTTATGATTATAAGCATCAGCATTACTTTCTTCGATTAAATTTGTCTCATTAAAGTAAGCTATAAAATATCTCTCATTATCAACACTTGAAATTTTGATATACATCTTCTTATAATCGTCAGAGGTCTTCTTGATCCAATAAAATGTGTCGAATGAGGTATATGGCATAGTAATCATCATTGTCGACTTCTTATTTTTATCCTTTATAGTTGTATGTTCAAGTATAAAATGCTTTAAATTAGGCAATCGAATAGAGAGTTCAAATAGGAAATCCTCATTGACATTAGACTTTACTATAGCTAATTTCTCTACTGTTTTGTTAATCTGGATACTAGGGTTACAATTTAACAGATCTAAATTTTCCAATGATAATCGTTTTAGACGAGGACAATGCTTAAACAATGTATCCATAGAATAACCAATGCCGGTAGTAAAATAAGAAGAGATATTGTTATTATGTGATACGTTATCGTTACTGTTGTTGTTGTTCCTGACTTCAATTCCAAAATTAATTTCCTCCACAGTGTCTCCAAGAATTTGTATAGCATGCGTATGAGGTAGATACAATAGCTCTGTATATGTTCCGAAATACATTTCCAATTGTATTAATTTATTTCTCAAATAATTCTTAGGTTCGCTGCTGCTGCTGCTGCTGCTGGTGGTGGTGGTGGTGGTGGTATTCATTGATTTGATATGTATTAAGCCAGCACTTATTTGCTTACGAACGTGAACTGGTTCTAAATATCTCAACCGAAGTGATAAAGTATTCTTAATGGATTCCTTGTAATAACGGCAAATATCAATGATATTATCGGTAGCGATGTATTGTATGTTGATGGAAGGGATTTGTGAAATATATTGGAAAAAATTCGCCATTAGTTCAGATGTCAAGGAAAATTTAGCACGAGCTAATAAATTGACTGCATCTCGATCCACTTTTTCATTTAATGATAACTGTTCGAGACAAGGAAATTTATACATTAAATAACCAAGTGAATCATTATTATATACCGACATATTAACAGCTAAACATTTTATAGTGGGTCGTTGTTCAATTTCAAGTAAACTCACAGGATGATTCTGAGAGGGGGAAGGTATGTCCATTGGCTGATAGGCAATGATCTCTAGCTTTTCCAACGTATTACTACAGTTCTGAATATAATCATCTAATTGATATAATTGTTTATCTGTATGAATCTGAATGGATAATTCCTGAAGATGAACAAATTCTTTCAAACGATGCGCAAGAAGCTTAAATTCTTTTGTACATCTCCTTTCCCCTTCTGTTATTCTCTGTAAGCTGTCACAAAGTAAAAGACGAACGATGGTCGTTCGAAAGACAGACATGGTACAATTGTAGTGCATAAGGTCTTCTTCTGTACTTGGAAGATTGGTTGACTTTAGCGCTTGCCATCGATCAAAATATCTATCGTGTACTAATTTCATCCAGAATTCCTTTTGAGGCTTACAGATACGTATGTTTTCAATTTTAGGACATATCTTTGCAAACGTTGTCATATAATCCTCAGGATCCCAAACAACGCCTTCTAATAAATTCATCAAATTAAGTGATTTTACCATCTGTCCAGGTCGTCCAGGAGATGATCTCAATAACTGAATAAAACTATCTGCTTCTGTCTTTTTGCACAAAGTAACATTGGAATAGCGAATCTTTTGAGCACAATGATACCATCTTTTACAAGTAAGTTGAAGTTGATCAATTTCTGAGGAATACGGTGCAAAATGACTAAAAATTGTTAATGTAATTTCAATTGATAGATTATCCCATGACATTATAATAATAAATAGAAATGAAGCTCTTTTATTTCAGCTTTTTTTTTTTTTTTTTTTTTTTTTTTTTTTTGTGTGTGTGTGTGTGTGTGTGTGTGTGTGTCAAGGCATTTAAGCCACCACTATAAAAGGATTTCGCATTATTATTATTTTGTACGCGCCTAAAACTATTATATATTTATATGGAGCCAAAAAAAGATATTCATACTGCCTTTCTTAAATATATAAAAGAATATCAAGGTTTGTTGCTGTTATATTCTTCTTGTTCTATTTTTTTTTTACAAGTTGTAGGATAGTACTAATGAAGCTTAGATATTAATGGTACTCATGTCCATGTTTATGAAAGGCCGCCTTCTGCCATTGAGTTTCTAAGATCATCCGTTCATCCAAATAGACCTGCCATTATAAAAGGTTTAATATAAATATTGATGTTCATATTTATGCAGCAGTTACTTATATATACATTTATTAGGTGCAATTGATCATTGGCCTGCACGTACAAAATGGACTAATGAATATTTAAGATCAAAAATGGGAGAAACAATAGTAACTGTTGCAGGTATGGTTTGAAAAATATTGAAAACCATGATATATATATGTATTTATTTACTTATTTGCTCTTCTTTTCTTTATTGCGCTAGTTACTCCTAATGGGTATATATATATAGATATATATACATGTATACAATTTCAAATTTTGTCTTGACATGTTTTATTTATTATTGACAGATATGCTGATGCAGTAACATATGACCCTATTACCGATAAAGACTATTTTGCTATGCCTTATGAGGATCATATGACCTTCAATTCATTTTTAGATATAATGGAAGGCAAAGTAACATCAGACAATGCTAATTATATTTCTTTACAAAATGGAAGTTTACCCATCGAATATAGTGCTATAGAAAAGGATGTGGATCCTGATATTACCTGGTGTAGTGAAGCATTAGGTAAAAAACCAGATGCTGTCAATTTTTGGTTTGGAGATGAAAAGAGTTCAACTTCTTTACATAAGGATCCTTATGAAAATTGTTATGCTGTTATTCGTGGACAAAAGACCTTTATATTATATCCTCCTACTGAGTATTATTGTATGCATGGTAATAATATATTTGTATATAGTTAATGACAGGGACGCGTATTAGGAAAGAGTAACATTACATAATAGAATCACTTTATCAGAATGCTATTTATGAACTTAATCCAACTACTAACAAGCTAGAATTGAAACCATTAGCAGAATCTGAAACTACGCCCTGGATTCCTGTTAATCCTCTTTATCCTGATTTTATTAAATATCCTCGTTTTGCGTATGCATGTCCTATTACTGTAACATTAAATGAAGGTGACATGCTTTATTTACCCGGTATGTATTATTATTATAATAATGATAATTATAAAAGAATAGGCTGCTTATTTTTTTTTTTTTTTTTAACAACTAGCCTTATGGTTTCATCAAGTTTTACAAAAGGGAGATGAAGGTGTAATTGCGATTAATTATTGGTATGATATGGATTACAGTAATATGCTATATTCAACCATGAGCCTTTATAGAAGATTGATGACAGGCATCATGGAAGAAAATTACGAGTTATTGAAAGATGATGAAGAAGATGATGGTGTTTATTAAAGATCCAAGATGCAATCTATCCAAGGTTCAGGGCCATGAACAACTTCACTAGTTCCAATTTTTTTAAATCCAACGTTTTCGTAAAAGCTTACAAGTTTAGGTCGACTTAATAAAGCAATACGATTATATTTTTTTCCTTGACCATTACCATTGGCTTTGTTAATATCTTTCAGTTCTTTTATCCATGTTGATAAGAGTTTTGTGCCAATGCCTTTATGACGATAATCAGGTGAAACGCATACACTATGTAAGCAAATCGTTTTACCATTAGGTTCATGAACACTCATTGATTCATCTGTGACTAAATCAGCATTCGTTAATGTTGTACAGAGAAATGCAATCACTTTCTGATCATCACTATCCATGTCACGCGCAACTGTAAAGAGTTCAGGGCCTGATTTTGAAGCATAAATAATTCGGTTCTCTAGTTGCTTTCTCGAAGCAGCTTCATCCGGATGATAAGAAGCTTCTTCATATTGATGAATAATATCTAAATCGTCTAGTGTAGCAGGTGTATTAATAATTTTCATTTTAGGCAAACAAAAGGAAAATAACAATAATCAGAGTAATAATTTTTTCTTCATTTTTTTAATCGGAGCTTGATTACGTGATGCTACTGCTACCGATACTTAAAGCTACATACTATGTTTAATCAAGTTAAAACGAGTGTCTGAACTTATTCAGAATATAGACATATATGATAACTAGAGTAAAGTAAATCAGCAGCAGAAGGTTATAACCTATTACTTGTATTATTTAGATAATTCTCTAAAGAAATTTATACACTACATTTCCAAGTGTACAAATGTATCACTTTCCTTAAGCGTAATTCCTACTGAACAAGGTTTTATTATTATTTTTTGTTTGCAATGTTATTTTGAAATTAAGAATGTACATATAATATGAGCTTTGTTCCTTGCTATCTTTGATCTGCTTCTATCTCGGTAGTATCCTTTAATATAATCTTTATCTTACGTACTTCTCCATCAGGACTAACCAACATACAGTTTGAAAGTCCATCGTATTCACTTTGGTGAGCGGGATTCTTTTTTTTTCTTCTTTCAACACTAACCATACTACTTCCTAATGGTTCTCGACAGCAAGGAACTAATTGCCATCCTGAGCCTAAATGGTAAGCACCTACTTGTTTACCATGTCTCATTTGAAATACTTTTAAAATCCCTCTTTTCGATGAATAAATGACGAGAAAGAGCAGTACCTTGGGAGGATACTGATGATTATCGGGCCGTTCAAGATTGTATAACTCATATTCAAATACTTCTACCCATCCACATACTGCATCACGTACACCCTTCCACATACGAATCATTTCACCTTCAAATATATCCCATAAAATGACACGACCTAATCCATCTGCAGTGGCTGCTAGAGTATGATGTTGTGCACTAATAGAAGGAGGACAAACTGAGATGTGATTTATTTTTCGATAAGTGTCATCTATTGCTAAAATAGATGGAATAGGTGTAGCTGGTTCAATATGGCTTGGTGGTGGGGAACGCATTTGAGGAACAAACGGAGTAGGCGGTCCTGATCTGCTTTGAGTTTTTTCTTGACTATTAGATGAACCCCACCACGATTTAGCAAATGAAAATACAGGTGAAGCGACTCTAGACACAACATAGCTTGCCATAGAAGCAGCAGACATTAAAGGTCTTGTTGAATCAGATGTTGCATAATAAGTCAACATTGGGTGAGCCCCTACAGCTATATACCTTGATGTAGTTGTTTTTGATGTAAATACCGTTGATGTTGAAATAGTGTTAGATGGGTCTATGAAAGGTATTTGACTATAAGTTGGTGAAGGTCCTACAATTAAAAAAAAAATAGATATATAGATATATAGACATATAAATATTATATTGCATCTCTTCTTGTTATCATTACTCATTACCTAAACTAATAATATCATTTACTTCATCTTGATGTTGAAGGTCCCATTTTTTATAAGTAAATGCAGTATGCATACGTGAAGCATCTATACCACTTTCTCGTTGTCCATCACATACCCTTAATACCATCCAAAGACTTTGTCCATCTATACTTACAACTCGATTCTCTTTAAAGAGTACCGTGATATCTTCATCTTCATGAAGAGATTTTTGATTCGCTATTTTGGAAATAGGTGGTGGCGTTCTAATCTTTATTGTTAATACAGGTGTTGTTTCTAATTGTTGTTCAGTTAAAAGAACTCCAGTCTATATATTATAGAGTTAGAAGATTATCTTTCTTTTTTTATTTTAATATCTACCTCTGAAAATACACGAATCCAGCCTGTATTATATCCACACATAACATAATTTTGACTATTTGTAAACATATATATTATTACTAAACTTGCTGAAGCAAATAATAATAAAAAAGGTCTTACGTTAGACGTGTTGAAGGCACAAACAGTGGTAAGCATAAGATGGCAGTAATCTCCTCACTATGAAAAATAATTTTATTTCAGTTTTTTCCTTTTTTTTTTTTCCCTTCTAAGACTAAGTTTCACTCACTTTGGTTGCAGACAGCCTGAGCCTTGGCCTAAAGCAGAGTATTCACCTTCATTATTTAATTGAACTATGACAAATTTTGTCTTATAAGCCAACACAAGTGTACGTCCACAAGCTGATGAAGAGATCAAATAATTATCATTCATAGATACATTAGGTGATGATGAACGTGTAGTAATATCTGCTGTTGAAGGTGTTGTTTCCTAATATGTATTCATTTATAATAAATTAGTCCCTCTTTATTCTCTCTCTCTCTCTCTCTCTCTCTCTCTCTCTCTCCCTTCTTCCTTTAATGCCATTTTTTCTTCTTCTTTTACCTTTTCTTTACCTCATCTACTTCATCTTTAAAAACTTTATTCCAGTCATCTATTCTCATCAATAATGTGTAAATATAATATATATATACTTGACGAAATTATTATTTTTTCATTAAATAATACCCTCTTTTGGGGATTTGATTAGTTGAGATTCTTCTAAATTTTCGTCTGTGACATCTTCAATTAAACTTGGAGCTTGCGGCAACTTTCCTTTTAATATCATTAAAATGGGTGTAGGTATTCTGTAATGCGCTTCCAAGATGCATTTTATCTTTTTAGGGGTCAACATTGAAATGTTTTTATGAACGTTTATTTAAAAGAGTACGCGTGAAAAAAAGATTTTTTTTTTTATTATTATTTTTTACTTGTTTATTTATTTATTTATTTTTTCATAGAGCGAAATTTATGCATTATCATTTTTTTCCTAAAAGCATACTACGAAAATCATCATTTGATTTAGGTACATCCTTTTTTTCTTCAGTTGCATCTCCTTTTTCTTTATTTGCACTTCTTGGAGCCAGATTTCTATTTACCGCTCTTCTACCCAGATTTAATGCTTTCCCTCTCCTTAGAATGAGCCCACGTGGCTTGGGATTAAAAGAGGGTTGAGGTGCTTGCGTATTTCTCTTATATTTCTTTTTTGAATCAGAAGAATCTTCAAGACTATTATCTACAGAGAGCTTGCGTTTATGAGATAATTGAGTGTTAACTACCTCTATTTTTTCATTCTTCTTTTCTTCTTCTTTTTCGTTTTCCTGAATATCGTTGTTTTCTTCTTCTTTTTCATTTTCCTGAATATTGTTATTTTCTTCTTCTTTTTCGTTTTCCTGAGTATCGTTGTTTTCTTCTGCTTGTATTTCCTTGACTTCCTTTTGTTCTTCTTCCTGGTCATCGTCTTCACGATCATTGAATACAGTTTCTTTATCAGATTGCAATTTATGTTGATCCTCTTTAAAAGCCTTTTCAATAGGTTTTTTAAATTGGTTTCTCTCTGATGCTTTTTTCTCTTTAGCTCGTTGCTTTTGTGCTAATCGATGTGCACTTTTCTTTTTCTATTTTTTTTTTTTTTTTTTTTTTTTTTTTTTTTTTTAAAAAAAAAAAATAAAATAAGTACCGACTCTAGTTTGTACATGTATAAAATATAATATTTACTCTTTCCATAATAAACTTTTCCTTTTGTTTAGCCTCTTCTTCTTCTTCTTTAGCATATTGAATTTCCCATTGCTTTGTCAATCTTTTTGTCTTTCTATTCATCTTGACTAGAGCTATTTCATATGATTCTAAAGTACCAATTTCATGCTCTACTGTATCCCATACATCCATTAATCTTGCAGGATTATCAATATTCTTTTGGATAGCTTGTTTGAATAATGATGAACATACAGTATAATTTCCCTGATCACTTTTAAAGAATGAGAAATTTGGACATGTTTGAAATATATATCTTTACCGTTCAAATAGTATATATTGTATCCAGGCTTCTGTATTTAATCCTTGTTTTTCAACTAAAGTACTCCAGATTTTTCTAGCTTTGTCATTATCTCCTAATCTATTTACTAAAATATAAGCATAATATTTTTCAATTCTAAAGTATGGATCTCCTGAATCAGGGAAAGCTATTATATATGAACATATATTAATGCTAAGAAGACAGGCATCTGATGTATATATTCTACCTTCATTAAGAATCTCTAAACTTTCTTCAAATACTAGACGTAAATTCAATACAGCATCTTCATCAACTAGTATATAACGAATTAAATTTTTTTTTATCTTACATATTGCATGTCTATCTATATATACCATCTTCCCAATCCACTCTTCTTCTTTTAAAATCACATTTAGCTAATAAAACAGTGACTAAATCATCTAAACTTGATAAAATTGGCTTGGATGCCAAAGCACGATCAAAAATATCTAATATAAATATATACATGAAGGCTTTTTATTCTTCCTTTAAACAAACTATTTTTTCTTACCATCAATTTGGTCTTCTGGTTTTCCACCTGATTCTAGTAGTCTACCTAAATGAGCCCAAAGGATTCCTGACCATGGACAATTACGTATGGCTCTTATACAAATAGTTTCTAAAAAGGATTGTATTCTAGCTCTTTCTAGCTTTTAAATAATGAATAATGTTAATAAGTAATATTTGAATAAATTCTATATAAAAAATATACCAGGAATAGGATATAATCGTTCCAGAGATTAGCATCTGTACAATAATAAATAATGGCTCGTTCATAGAGTGAACGTATATGATTTAATGAAGACTTATTCCTTAATCGTTTTTCATATTCAATATATTCATAGAATGAATCTAAATGATAACCTGAAGTCGCTAATTTTAATTCAAATACATCCCTTTCTTCAGCTGCTACCTTTGTCTTTGCATAGATTTTATTAGCTTCTACCATGGATTGTTCATAATTCAGGTTATCATAATTGGAAATAAAGCTAGAATAAGCATTAAATGTATCTTCATAATCAAGATGGAGAACTGCTAATCGATCTAAATACATTTTCCTAACTCGTGCAAGCTGCTCTGAATCTTCTTTATTTTGATCCAACATCCTCAGCTCAAATTCAGAATAAGCTTTCCATATTTCTTGACTTTGCTTAATATTAAATTGAGTAGCATGAACTGCTTTTAAAAGTTGTTCACGCGTTTCTTCAATCAAAAGATCCTGTTTATCTACGTCATCGTTATTTGTGGACTGATCATTAAACCTTTGTAAGATATAATCAACATAGTCTTTCCATATAATAATAGCTAATAGTCAATATTATAAAGGGAGAAGAAAGTGAATGAATTTCCTCAAGTTCTTGTTACTTCTTTCTTTCTTTTTTTTTTTTTTATTTACTCACATTGGTAATCTTCTTGAGCTTCATTATAAAGTTTAAATAACTTTGCTTGTCCTTCTGGTGTGTTTGCTTCTTTCTTGGTGTCATTTATCCAGTCAAGCCATAAAGCTATTGTTCTTGTTTGTTAAAAAAAAAGACTTTTTCTTTTTCTCTTTAAAAGAAATGAATGGGAATAACAAACCTTCTGATAAAGGGAAAACATCATGCATTGATATACGCGCAACTTCAAGTTGTTCAGTTAATTCTAATTCTTTTAAAAGTCCAATAAATTTGACATGTATGTCATATAGAGAATTATCTTCAGCAAGCTAAAGAAAAAGAATATATTTATATATGTATTTATAAGCTTTCATACAGACTATAAACAATATATTACCTTTTCTTGAAGCTCAAGTAGTTCATCATAGGCACGTATCGTAGTTTCTGCTTCTTTTGTTTGGTCATCTATGGCCATGGAATCAACATCTTGAACTTCACTAGGATTAATCATTTCTTCTTTACTTGCTAGCTGATCTGTAGATGATGATGATGATGTTTGATCAATTGTTTCCATGTTCATTATTTAAAAATAATTAAATAAATATATAAAAAAGAGCAAAAAAAAAAAAAAAAAAAGAACAAGTCGGTGAATAAGGCATTTGATAGTTTTTTTTTTTTTTTTTTTTTTTTTTTTTTTTTTTTTTTTTAGAAATAAAATTAAAAAAAATGACATAATATGTTTGATAGATAAATCCTTTTTTTTTTTTTTGTTAAGCTTTTCATATTTTAGAGATGTAATAGTGCTATTTGTTGTCTTGATAGTAAGAAATTATACAAAAATTGACTACTGAGGTTTAATCCGTTTATTTACTTGAGAAACTAAATTCTTTTCTATGATGAGGTAATCCTTAAATATTAACCTTACACATTATGCAAAGTGGGTTTATCTCTGTATGATAGAAACTAACATGATTTGATAGAATATCCTTATTTTGTTTAATTGTAAGCATTAGACTTACTAAATTGTAAATCACCATTCTGATATTCTCCTTTCTTCCCCCCTTTTTTTTTGTTATTGTTTGAGTTTCAATATACTCGAAGAAGGTTTTCTTTTTCACACCCTTGTTTTTTTTTTTTTTTTTTTTTATCATCATCATTCATGCTATTAAAACAATCAAGTCTATTAAAACAATTAAACCACTGTAGATTTTATGGAACAAAGACAAGAGGATATGAATTTTATGAAAACATCCTGGGATCACCAAAATATATAGTTGGTCCAATGGTAGAACAATCTGAACTTGCTTTTCGAATATTATGTCGACGATACAATGCTCATTTGTGTTATACACCCATGTTTCATGCTAGATTATTCAGTGATCCTGATCATGGTCATAAATATCGCATGGATCAATGGTCCACTAATCCAGAAGATCGACCTTTGATTGTGCAGGTAAAATAAAATATAAGCCAATGGACTCTCCAAGTTCGTTCCAAATAACTTATTCTATATACATATATATATATATATATATATATTTTATGTATTGTGTACAAAAGTTTTGTGCTAATGATCCTAATATATTATTAAGAGCAGCAAAGATGGTTGAGGACCAATGTGATGCAGTTGATCTTAATCTAGGATGTCCACAACATATAGCGAAAAAAGGGAAATATGGATCTTTTTTACAGGATGAATGGGAATTGATCTACAAGATGATCTCCACATTAGATCGAGAATTAAAAATACCAGTAACAGCCAAGATTAGAATATTTGAAAGTAAAGAGAAGACAGTAGAATATGCAAAGATGCTGGTCTCAGCAGGAGCACAATTGATTACAGTACATGGACGGCTACGAGAACAGAAGGGGCATTTAACAGGACTCGCAGATTGGACGAAGATTAGAGCAGTAAAAGAAGCAGTGAAAGATAGAGTACCTGTGATAGCGAATGGTAATATATTATATCATAACGATTTAAAAGACTGCTTATTACAGACAGGAGCAGATGGTGTTATGAGTGCAGAAGGACTGTTATATAATCCTATGCTTTTCGATGATAAAAGAAAGATACCACCTATATCATATGATGTAGCCATAGAATATTTAGATATTTGTAAGCAACTAAGGCCTAAAATAATAACAAGACCTGGTATCATAAAAGCCCATTTATTTAAATTCTTTCATACATGTCTTCCCATCTTTACTGATTTAAGAGAACAATTAGCAAAGTCATATACCTTGGAAGAAATGGAGATAATTACATTAGAATTAAAAAATAGATTAATACAACAAAAGATAAGAGTAGAAGAGTATTTAATGAACAATAATGATATTTTACTATGTCAGGTATGAAGATATATATATATATATGTATATGTATATAAATATATTATTTATAAAAGAAGACTTGTAATATTTATATCCACAATTTATTATTGTACAGCCTAAAATAAGAAAATAATCCTCAGTAATGAAGATAAAGACATAATAAAGTGATGAATCAGATACTGACTATTGAAAAATAAAGAGTCTTTTTATTCGAAATGCACTTTAACTGAGTCATTTTTATGGAAGCATTGCTACTCCTAGTGTGTGTGTGTGTATACTGAATCCATACATTTGGATGTCATGCTCTCATCTTGTGTCAGTTTCTGCATTACCATTCCACTTTATTGCACTCGACTTTTTTTTTTTTTTTTTTTTTTTTTTTTTTTTTTTTTTTTTTCCTCCCCTTCTCCTATGTTACCTAAGCAATACAATAATGGCTCATATTAATCAAAGCCTCCAAGTGAAATAAGTTTACATTTTCTATCCATTCCGTAGCGTTATTTCCCTTTCTTTTAAAAAAATATTCTTCCTTTATTATCTTTATAGAGTGCTCATTCAAAAGTTTTATCAGTGAAATACACAGAAATCAAAACCTCCCTTTGAAATGATAAAAATCACGCATTAGAGAAAAAAAAAATTCCCGCCCCCCTCTCTCTCTCTCTCAATTTCAAAATCCGCTTATTTCATGTTGCGACCACTACTGTTGTTCTATAAAAATGAATAAAATATAAGCTTATTTATTGATTCAGGAGGTAACAAACAACAATACACACGTCATATGCATTATTTCTTTTTTACCACCTTTCCCCTTAATATTATTGACAAAAAGGAGAAAAGAGATAAACTTTAAATTATTTGGTACAGACACACTATAAAGACGAAAGAAAGCAAATCTTGTCTATTATTTTCCCTCTTTTTTTACTACCAAAATAATAATGATATTTAATAATTCTTCTTTTATAATACAAAAGATTATAAGAAAGAAGGTTTTATCATCAAAGAATAACAATAACGGTCATCCTCCTATTCGGCCTTTGTACACGTCAGAAATGATGATGACATCTACAGATAATAATACCAGTCCGTGGAAAAGGATGTATTCATCACAAAAGACAAAGACTTATAACCTTCAGCAACTCACATGTAGTCCTACTAAAAGACCATCCACTCATACTAATTCTGGAGAGATATTAATTCATTTTATGGATCAACATCTATCATCAATAACAAATGGAGATGAAGAGCAAAGAGGGATAGCGACTTCGCCTGTAATTATCTATAATAGTCAGAAAAAATCATTAAAGAAATCAAGTAAAAGTAGCATTTTATTACCTAAAAGACAACCACATCCTTTAATACTGGATATGTCTTATGTCTTAACACTCGATGATGCTGAACAAGATAGAATGGTAGAACAGCATTATTTATTACGTACAGCATTCGGATCTGACTTTAATTCACCTATTCGTTCACAACTACGAAAGGGGATTGTCGTCTTGGACGTTGGCTGTGGCCCTGGTACTTGGACAATGGAAATGAGTACCGCTTTCCCTCAATCTACTTTTATTGGCATTGATCAAAAGGTATTCTATCCAAGAGACATCAAGCCACGTAATTGCCATTTTAGGACATGTGATTCTATTGTGGCACACAACAACCATGATAATCCTACTAACAATGCAGTTCCATTGTTACCCTTTCCTGATAATAGTATTGATTACATTTATCAACGTGATATGAACTGGGCATTAAAAGGACAAGTCTGGCAACTTTTATTACTTGAATATCAGCGTGTTCTAAAACCAGGAGGTTGGATTGAGTTTGTTGAGCCAGTAAATATGTATATAAATAAATGCATACAGATAAAATGTTATTCTTCTTTATAACTTTCTCTCTCTCTCTTCATTCATATAGGAACTTGAAACACAAAATAGTCTTGAAAATGAATGTTTTATGAATGATAAATGTAAAAAAAAAATTAAATATGACTACTTTGTAAACTAGCTATAAATCGTCTCATTTCACTTTGTTATAATTTAATAGTGATTCATGGACTAAGCTTACGTCAACAAGATCCTTATGTTGTTCATCGTTTACCTACTTTACTTTCTATTCACGGATTTAAACGTGTAGAAGATATATCTCAAATGTTTCCATTAGGCTGGGGTACCTTTAATGAAACAAATTCATCCATTATCACGACTACACCACAAGGGCATTGTTCTGAATTTGCAAGAGCTATGTCAAGTCAATATCTCTTTTTATTAAAATCTTTAAAGCCTTGGTTATCTATCGTCATGAATCTTAGTTCTGAAAAATATGATGACTATATCACTAGTTTACCAGAAGAATGGAGGCATGCACACACTTATATTAAATGGCATTCTATCATTGCTCAAAAACCATATATATAAATAATAAAAATAATAAAAATATATGTAACTATATACATATATTTATATATATATAAGAATATGTATAAAAAGATATACATATATACATATATGTATACATATTTATTTATTTATTTGGTTAGGATATTGTTTTCGTAAAGACGACGATCATCATTGCCATATTAATTGGCCAATAGACTGTACAAATATAGGTCAAAAACCATGAATGGACAATCTGATAATCTGTCAAGAGAATCTTTAACGTGTCAACTAGACTAAGTTTAGAAATATGACAGAATAAGAATGTTAGACACACTGGTGACAATAAGATTAAAATACTAGCTTGAATCCATTTTAGAATAGGATGTTTATCATGACAAGGTTGAATTAAACTGTAAGGTACTAAAATTAGAATAGCTGTGGCTACACCTAATGTAAAGTTTAACAGGGAGACAGTAGTGATGACAAGTGCACTTTGAGCAAGACAGAATGATTTTAAAATTGTTCCATCATGTTCAGTAGACTTTGTATTTTTTATCCATAAGAGACTGAGTGTAATCGTCATGAAAGCAATAAAGACAGAAGTCATGTACTGAATTTGAAGAGTCTAAAATAGGATATAAAGTAGAGTATTAGTTACTTTTTTTTTTTTTTTTTTTTTTTTTTATTTTTATTTTTATTTTTATTTCGGTCTAATTTTACTTTATATTCATCAAATTGATATAAATACTTCCAACCAAATGAAGGCTGCATAATATAAAAGATAATAATACCAGTTATATGTGTAATGATCAAGACTGTAAATCCAAAAACTGTATGGCGTTTCTTCAATGAATAAGCAGGTGGAATTAAATTGTTTTCTTTCTTCATTTCCTCTGGTCGATATATGTTCTTTTTTGTACCTAAATAATACAAAGATAAAGACTGAAATATGAGAGCACATGCAAACAAGATAATAGGCGGCATGTATTGACTAATAGATACATATCGATTGGGTTGTGGTAATAGATAAAAGAAAAATGACTGATGAAAATGCTCTAATAAATTGTTCAAACTACGAAATGTAGATTCAACTAGTCTAATAATAAAAAAAAAACAGATTTAATATCATAAAATGACTATAGACATCTTATTTTACCTTCCAATACGATTAAAACCAAAGATTTGATTTAGATTGTCACTGCCAATAATACCATGTATAGTGATTGCATCAATCTTATAACTATAATATACATATATACAAATGCATCTGTATTAACTCTCCTTTCACTTTTTTTGTCTACTATCATTTTAATAGCTTATTTACCGAAGATAAAGTCCTGCATCACTTGAAGGATGTCCAAATACTAAATATTTCATACTTTGTAATAAATGATTTAATGAATCCAAATAATTACGATAATGACTGAATCCTTCAAATAGATTTCTACTATTGTCGTGAAGAGTAACATGAATACTTGGTATTGTTCTAGTTGCAATAAGAACAACAGTATTAATTAAATCCAAGTTGGGTAATTGTCCATTTACTCCCTCTAAGAAAGTTTACATTAGTTTTTCTTTTTCTTCTTCTTTTTTTTTTTTAGCTTTAGGGCATTTGTTTATTTACCAAAAAGGATACCAAGGCTTTGATAATCTTGTATACCTGGAAAATCCAGGTTTAAAACTCCTTGAACTGCACCAGATCTAGGCATAATAACCGAGGAAAATTCATCTACATGTGTGTATCTAATATTAATTCTATTTCTTATTCCTTCCTTCTATCCTCTCTCTCTCTCTATCTCTCTTTTTCATTACCATTTTCAGTTATTCCATGATAAGCGTCTAACCAAGCTTGTGTTCCAGATTGTCCTTCATCTGTTACTAATAAAATCACGTCCTTTGACCAATAGACATTTCTTTTGAATAATTTGGCCAATGATAAAAGCGATGCAATACCATTTGTATTATCTATTTTAAAATACTCGTCAATATGTGTACTTGAATGAAGTGGGGTGTATATCTACATTCTCCTGTTCTTGATTTCCATGAAGCACTCAAAATCAACGCTTCTTTACCATCGCTTCGAGGTGCTTTATTGATAGCAAATGCATTGACTCCCTTTTAAATATCATTAAATACTTAATTCTTCTTGCTTGCTTTATATATACATCTTCCTTACCATCTTTGGTTCTTTTCCATCAATAACAAAATGTTGCACTGCAGATACAAATCCAGTTCGTCTAAATTCTTCATGAATAAATTTTGCTCGTCTAAACGCCCCCCCAAAATAATAATAAAATAGATGTGAATATAATATTAACAAAGAAATGAAAACATTACGTTTCACTATCTTTTGTTTGAATTTCAAGAATTTTTTGACGATAATCTTCAGCTGTACGAAAGTCGTTATAGCCATACTCTAAATTAACCTATTTTGAATGAATAAACTTTCATGACAATTCAATCTTTCATTAAAAAAAAAAAAAAGATAAAAACCTGTCCTGGTAGTAAAGCATTTTCTGATATATACGTTTGCTTATTATATCCTTCATACGGTAACATCAATATCCAACCAATACCTATAATAAATAATAAAAGACTACTCTCATAAACATTATTATTGTTCAGTTGTCCTATGTTCCTTTTTTTTTTTTCTTTTTACAAGTGTGCCTGGGCTACCTTAGGATGGGAATTGATTTTTGTAGTAGATTAAAAAGTTTCACTTGTTTTTTGAGATCCCATGTATTCTTTGAAGCTCTCTTCTTTGACCAACGTTCTCGTAATGCACTCAATAGCATTATTCAATGTATTATAAAACAAGTCTTTTTTTTTTTTAAAAAAAAAATGAAATTATGTGTAAAAGACAAACTGATTTTTTTAAACGCAGATGTAAAAAAAAAGGGAAGAATTACAGCTGCTTATATTTGTAGGTATGATGATGCTCCATCTTCAATGTTTTCAACTAATGTTTTTCTCATTGCTAATCAACGATGTATATATTTATTTATTTATTCAAATAACAAGACAGCAATAAAAATTCAAATAATACATAAAGTTTATGTAATTTTGAAATAGTCAGAGATGTTTAAATAATCATTGTGTTAAGGAAAAAAAAAAAATCGAACTGGATGACCTCATTATTAGTAAGTAGAATTAGGGCTTCTACTTTTTTTTTTTTTTTTTTTTTTTTTTTTTTTTTTTTGGGAGGTTACAACACTTTGATTTATAATTGATTATTATGCCTCTGTTACACTATTTCTCTATGTCTTTTTTTTTTCACAAATGCTTGTATAATTAGCAAAGCCCCAAAATGAAATGAATCATAAACACGCAAACAACTATATAATATATTTATAAAATAATAAATCATATTGCTAAATTTTAAAAGAGAGGAAAAAAAAAGTGAGGGAGGAAAGAAGAAGGTAAGAATGAAAGCTCTATTATTCAAAAGTCTTTTTGAAGCTAGGACGAGCTTGAAGACGTTCATAATAAGCCTTTAAATTTGGACGATTAGCATAGACCTGTTCAGGTGTACGAACAATCAGATTACGGAAAAGATAAGGTGTGAAATGGATATCAGCGATAGAATAGGTGCCAAAGAGATAATCACCATTTTTCTTCAAGATGGCCTCCGCCTTATCGAGAAACTTGGAGCCTACTTCCCAAAGATGTTTATTGAGCTCGTACATCTTTTCAGCATCACCGCCTGTATAATTGGATAAAAGTTCTTTAGTGTCCTTGATGTTCTTATTGTAAAGATCAGCATGCTCGGGGGATTGTTGAAGGTATGTCTCCCAACCTTGAATACGACCTTCAAGGAAAGGAACAATATCCTTCTTCTTTGCTTCCATTTCTTCAGCATTTCCTGAAGTGAAAAAGAGAGGATTACCAACATCGGCTTTTTCATGCATTTCCTTCAAAAAGGCGTCTATCTCTTCCTTTTTATCAGGAAGACTCAACTTGTGGCCAGCCAATGTATCAAGATATTCTACAATGGAGATAGAATCGTCAAGATATTCCTTCTTACCATTTTCATCAATCTCTAATGCTGGAACGGTATGGTTAGGGTTGATTTTCAAGTATTCAGGGGAGAAGTTTTCAGCTTTAGAAAGGTCAACCTCAACTTGCTTTACATGACTGATATCCAATTCATTAATAGCTAAACGAGGAGCACCTGCCCAAAGAGACAATTTGAAAGTATACAAAGTAAGATTAGGTGCCATTTTTGTTCTCTTTAACAAAATGAATAAAATAAATGAAGATTAAAAAAAAAAAAAAAAAAAAGGAAGAAAATCAAAAAGAGAAAAAAAAAAATTTGAAAAGCATAATTTATACATGTTTGAGATCCTACCACTAATAATAAGATAGAAATATAAAGAAAGGTTTAGACTCAGAAAAGAGAAATTACCTAATATTACGTTGATAAACTTAATCACAAATAAACCCTAGCTATTCTGTTAAGTGGTCATGAAGAGAATATATCTAAAATAACACTCAGGATATTATAAAAACTACTACAAATTGATAGTGTCTCTTATATCTTTCTTTCTTATTATTTATTTAAGATCGCAGTAATATTTACAATTCATATAAAACGTATCACTAATAAAAGTTTGCTTATAAATACACGAAAATTTTAAACTTTAATGCTGGTCACATTTCTTACATACACATTAAGCAATTAATCTATGGAATGATATGATATCTTTATTTAAGCTTCTCTTTTGCATTGAATACCGTCTCTGCAACTAAATATTACACTTTTGTCACGTAAATTACATCCGAAGATTTAAAATTCTTATCATTAATCACAATTTGAGCTCAACCAGACAAGCAGCTTTAACGTGCAATTAAAATAAATACTTTATCTGTTTATCGTATACTATCTCATTTAATAAGAGATAGTTGAAAAAAATAAAATGAACGCCACATTATATTTTTCTTTAGACAGAAGTAGGAACAGTATTGCATTATTATAATCTCTCACTCTCTTTTTAAGATGTATATACGCGACGAAAAAGATGATTACAAGGGAGAAAAAGAGAAAAATTTAAAACTAAAGAATTTATATTTATTTATGACAAATGATAATTTTATTATTATTATTATTTTTTTTAAAGACTATATACAGTGTTGAACTTTATATATTATACATGAAATTGAAAAAAAAATTAAAAAATAAAAAGAGATGAGATAGTTGGAGAAAGTGGAAGAAGAAGGGAGGGATATCTAAATTAAAGGTTGAACTTTTTTTTTTCCATATATAAAGAGGTTTAAACTTAAGCAAATTGGGTTCTAAGCTGGCGAGCAACTTCAACCATATTCTTAAGAGCAGCTTCAGTTTCAGTCCATCCTCTTGTCTTGAGACCACAATCAGGGTTGATCCATAATAATTCAGGCTTAAGGTATTTGAGTAAATCATCAGCCTTTTGCTTCATTTGTTCAACTGAAGGTACACGAGGAGAGTGAATATCATAGACACCGGGACCAATCTCATTACTAAATTAAATATATCATATTAATCATTTTATCCCTCTCATATATACATACATATATATATATTATATATACTTACGGATATTTCTTTGATTCAAAGATCTTGAGAAGTTTTTCATCAGACCTGGAGTTTTCAATTGTCAAGACATCAGCATCCAATGCAGCAATGGCATCAAAGATATCATTAAAGTCAGAGTAACACATATGGGTATGGATTTGAGTTTCATTGCGAACACCAGAGGTAGAGAGACGGAAACAGGCAACAGACCATTCAAGGTAAGCATCCCAGTCAGCACGACGAATAGGAAGACCCTCACGAATAGCAGGTTCATCTACTTGAATACAAGGAATACCAGCAGATTCAAGATCGACGACTTCATCCCGAAGAGCCAGACCAATTTGAGTACAGATTTGATTAAGAGGAAGATCATCACGTACAAAGGACCATTTCATCATCGTCACAGGACCTGTCAACATACCCTTCAAGGGCTTCTTGGTAAGGGATTGAGCGTAGACAATTTCATCAATCGTCATGGGACCACGACGAGAGACATCACCAAAGATAACAGGAGGCTTGACACAACGAGAGCCATAAGATACAACCCAACCATTCTCAGTGAAATCAAAGCCATGAAGGAGATGACCAAAGTGTTCTACCATATCATTACGTTCAGGTTCACCATGCACAAAGACATCTAAACCGACCTTCTCTTGGAATTCGATCATCTTCTTCATTTCATTCTTAATAAAGCCATCATATTCTTCAGCAGAGAGTTCACCCTTGTTGAACCTTTGACGAGCCACACGGATTTCCTTAGTTTGAGGGAAGGAACCAATGGTGGTTGTAGGGAAAAGAGGCAAGTTGAGCTTCTTCACTTGTGCTTGACGACGAACATTGAATTCAGCAGGACGTTTCCAATCCTCAGGGGAAATCTTGGCAACTCGATCACGAACAGTAGGATTGGTGGTCTGAGAGGAGGTACGACGTGATTGGAGAGCAGCAGCATTTGCATCAAGGGTCTCCTTAACAGAATCAAGCCCAGAGTTGACAGCAGATGCAATAGTAACAATTTCTTTTACCTTTTCAACAGAGAATGCCAACCAACTGTAGAGTTCAGGGTTCTTTTCAGCAATCTTCTTTTCAAAGGAAGTAGAGAAAGGAGTATGAGCAAGTGAACAAGAGGGACCAACGAAAACACGATCTTTACCAAGGACAGCAACGGCCTTTTGAGTTAATTCAATTGACTTGGCAAGGTCATTAATCCAAATATTACGACCATCGACGAGACCAAGGGACAAAGTCTGCTTATTGTTCAAGAGAGGTAAAACGGTATCAAGTTCTTCAGGAGCACGAACAAGGTCAAGATGAATGGCATCAACATGAGGAAGAAGTCGAGAGATGTTATTCTCTACACGACCAAAGTAAGCAGCAACCAAGATCTTGATCGATGTAGAGGCCTTAAAGGTCTTGTAAGCTTCTTCAAAGGCAGCTTTGGCATTCTCGGGTAAATCGAAAATAAGAGCAGGTTCATCAATTTGAACCCATTCAGCACCAGCGGCTTCAAGCTGCTTCAAGAGGTCAACGTAATAAGGAAGAAGTTTAGGAAGAAGAGTGAGGGTATCAAATTGATCAAATCCTTTAGCAGTCTTACCAAGATGAAGGAAAGTAACAGGACCAATAATAACAGGACGTGTTTCAATACCGAGAGCCTTAGCTGTATTGTATTGTTCAACTGCAACAGGAGCTTGGAGAGTAAATTGTTGATTGGGTTCAAATTCGGGAACAATAAAGTGATAGTTAGTATCAAACCATTTCTTCATTTCTTGAGCAGGAACATCCACTTTTTCAGTAGTAGCAGTGGCAGGCTTTTGAAGACCACGACCCATGGCGAAAAATTGCTGAAGAGGGTCCTTAATATGTTGATAACGAGTTGGAATAACGCCAAACTGATGAGCAGTATCTAAAACACGATCATACAATGTATATTCACCAGAGGGGATATGTTGAATACCTTGTTCCTTTTGTAATTTCCATTGACTTTCTTGAATTTTTTGATAGGCAGTCTTAAGTTCGTCAGCTGAAATCTTACCAGACCAATAAGCTTCTACAGACTTTTTGAGTTCACGCTTTGCACCGACATAAGGAAAGCCAAGATTAGTAGGAACAACCATTCTTATTTATTTGTTTAGAATCTTGTAAAATTGAAAATAAAAGAAAAAGATATAAATAATAAAAAAAAACTAATAATAAATAAGCTTGTATTTATACTTTTTTTTTTAAAGTTTAGTTTTTTGTCAAGGATCTGTTATAAGGAAGTATTAGCAGATTAGATGATATTTTTTTTTTTTAAGATGCCCAATAGATTTTTTTTATTTTTATAATATACAAATTTATCTCCGAATTGACATTAGAAGATCCTGCAATAGTGTGTTTAATAAATCATATGCTATCAGTTAGATGAATAATGACCAACGCATTTTATACATGATATATTATCATATAATATCTTTTAATTATGTTTGATTTTAGTTCACTTATTATCATAGGCATGTTATTTTAGATAAAAATTGAAAAATCTCTAAAAATATATTAGTTTATGCAAATTAACCAATCAAAATTTAGCATCGACATCTTGCATAATTCAGGAAATCTAAGTAAATGTGCGTACATATTACTATTGTACTTGTTGATTGGGAAAAGGAAAGATGTAGATTTGAATACAAAAAAACTACATATTCATCTATAATTTTTAATTTTACACTAAAGACTTTTATAGTTACATATGTTATGTAGGTTCATACTAAATATATAATAGTATTTAGAAGGGTTTTATCTGAGAAGGTGTAGTTTAGTAAAATTCAAAATTTAAATGACTTTTTTTTTTTTATTTTTTCTTTTTTTTTTTTTTTGGGTCATATAAAAATTTAATCAGATAATAAAGAGTGATTTTTTTCCGCTTAAAAATTGTTTTCTTCCTGGAAAATATTCTGTTACAAAAAATAATATAGATCAGATCCGTAGTTAAAAATTAAGAATCTTTTTATTTATTAAATGCGTTACTACATTGGCATACATATTTCTTGTTTGTTTTACTTTTTATAAAGATTTAAGATTCCCACTTGATTTATACAAAGCAAAATATAATAATGTCTGTATGTGCATTGATGTATAAACTTGAGAGACTAAGAATAATACAATTATATTTGTTTAAATTGACTTTTTATTTAATAGTGTCATACTATAAATTCTTCTAAATAAAGAAGTGTATACAATCATTTATTAGGTGAGTATATATATTCTTCCAATCGAGTAAACCTTTCTTAATGCTTTTATATAACGAAATATAACTTTTCCTGACTAAAAAAAAAAAAAAAAAATACTTCATAATAATTAAAGCGGGATGGTCATTTTTGAATCATGTTTTATACTATATTGTACTACAATAGGGCATATATGTTAGTATAGTAAGATAATATAGTATTGAAGAATAATCATATAAAGCAATTGCTATTATACATTTCTTTAACTATTATAAAGTATTAGAAATAACATCTTTAAGCTTTTCCCTTTTTTTTATCTTTAACTGCTTTTAATGCAAAAAGGTGAATATGTATATACCCAAAAAAGTTACATCTATATATTGTTAATTTAAGAAATAAGTTTATTGTGTTTTTCCAAACTATTTACGCAACAATTTTTCTTCAAAAAAAAAGAATCTAAATATGTATTTAAATAAATAGTCCTTTTGAGCACGATTGTTTTATACATTGAATTTGCCCAAATCAGTTCAATATATATCAAGTATAAAAAAAAACTCTTTTGGGTACAAGGGAAAAATGTGAAAGAAAAAAAAAGAGAAGGTGAAGGGGATATATATATTTTATAAGTTATTGCTCTTGTATCCGATGAAGGAAAGGAGACTTGACAAATAATGTTGACTGTAATGGTTTAGTTTCGATAGGAATATTATATTATATTAAATCTACAAGTGATAATGATGTTTGTTGTAAAAGTATACAATGTATTTTCTAATATGCTAGTCTAGAAAGTGATTGCAGATGACTTTAAGGTGGCATATTTTTAGGATAGAAGAAATGGGGTCAGCAATAGTTGTAGGAATGTATAAATAAGAATGTAAACTAAGGCATTGTATGATATAAGTCTTAGTAAGTTTGTGTTTTTGACAAAAACAAAGTTCAGATTTTTACTTTGCCAATCAATCTCTTAGAGTGTCCTTTGACCATGAACTATTGCTCGAACTTACATGGCTTCTTCTTTCCGTCAATAGTGGCCCTCGATGCCAGCCAAAGTCCTATCAGTATTCACTCTAGCTGATGATGATTTGCTTGCTTTTTCGACTTCAAGATATATTTTACAAAAAAAAAAAAAAAAAAAAAATCAATATAGTCATGAATAAATTTAGGTTATAATCATACTGCATCGGCTACACTTGATTTTTGAGTCATTAAAGGCGGTATCAATAAATCTCTATACTCGTCTCATCATATTCCCTTTTAATTGGTCAGTAAGAAGTAAATGAGTTTATTTAAACAATCCAAAATATTCCAAAAGGGTATTTCTTACCCGCTCGTTGACAGGGGATTCTTGTTGTTGGATCTATTTTTTTTTAAATAAAATAGCATCTGTTGATGTCTTGAGGAAATCCATGTAGATTTGCAATCACATAGGCAGATCGTTAAGCTTCTTTTTATTGTAACTTTTGATTTCCAAACGCTCTTCGTCGATAAAGTACTTTTCCCGAATCTTATCACTTGTATCCAAAATTAAGGAATACACGAAGCCCAAACAAACTTATTACCACGTTACTAACTTTAATCATCTTTAATGGTACATACTGTTCATATTTATAGTCAATTACATACTCTTCCGTTTCTTCTTCTACAATTGTTCCTGTAGATAACTTCCAACATGTATCCAGATTTAAATTTTCAAATATTTCTATAATTTTGGTTCTATCGCTTGGCAATAAATTCATCATGATTGGTAGTATTGGTGGATTCTGTGATTGATTCAACATTTTCTGTTGTAATTGTTGGTGTACATTGACTTTCGCTAACATGACTACTAAAATTCATGGTTGGGTTAGAAGTAGGTTGAACAATACCTAATCTTTTATCATGAATTAATATGGCAATTTTTCCCCAGTTTGGGAACAATTTTTTTTTAAAAGCAAGTTGCAGCAGACAAGGACAACACCTCAGCTATAAGAATAAAAATTTTTATCATTTTTTACACTGTTATCAGTTGATTATTTTTTTTCTTGTCAGCTTATTGTTAGCTGTGTAAAATGTCCAGGTGGTACTTCTGTTTGAATAGTACCGTAATCACACTATTTTTTGGCTCTTTTTTTTTTTTTTTTTTTTTTTTTTTTTTTTTTTTTTTTTTTTTTTTTTTTTTTTTTTTTAATGGAAGTTTTTTTTCTTCTGAACTACATCTAGTTTACGAAAAATTAAGTCAGTAGCTCCTTTTTCACAAATTGCTCCGATAATAGTAATAGAAATGCCTCTGTTGGATGGAAGCACAGCTTTAGTAGATAATTCCATGCTCATACCTCCCAAAATTACGTCTTATGTGTATGCTGAATCCCGTCTTATCAGTGAAAAAACAATTATCAAACCAATTCATTTCTTTATTACTCATCTACTCCAACACATATTTTCCTTCTTCATTGTTTTACTTATGAAGAGCAGAAAGAGCGATTGACTTACTGTCTAAAAAAGCTGAAAATAGTTTATCTCTTGCCTGCCACATGACAGCAGCAGTAGACTTATCATAATACTGACAGAAAAAAGTCATTCTGTTATGGCTCAAGTTTTCTATCGTTTCCTCCAGAGCATACCGTCTTTTTGTTACCTGATAAACACTTCTCATTGTTTTCTTTATGTGTTTTCACATAATGTTGAGCATTTAAAAAATTATATCCACCGTTAGTTCCGCTTTTCTCGGGAATATTTCTTCCTTGGTGACAAAATCGATCAGTTTTTGTACCTACATAGAGGTGTAAGAGTGATACAAGCCTCTGGAATTCTTAGTAGTCACAGCCTTGGTGATAATGATGGGGAGTTTTTTTTTTTTTTTTTTTACCTTTTACTTGTCGACTCACTGTTGTTGATTCTCGTTGAATAACAACAATAGTTTCCTTTGAACCTTTACGGAAAGCTTTAAAGCTATCAAGTTCCATTAGCCTCTTTATGTTTGGCTCATCTTTTTTTTTATCGACTTCATTTTATCTATATCTGATTGTCATTCATGTATTCAGAAGGTATATCTTAAACAGACATTTTTATGTTTAAAGCTCAAGAAAAAGTTGAGTACATAAAATTTACACGTCTGATTCACAAATAAAAAACAATGGGGTGCAAAAAAAAAAAAAAAGTGATGCACAATCGTTTAGAAAACACTAATAGGTGTAACTCTACATTTGGAAATATTACCTTGTATATCAATTCAGGAACCAAAGTTCATACATTTTTTAAAAAAAAAACGAATTTAAGCAATTAAAATAACATTTATATACAATCTATATTGTATTTACTTTAACATGGTAGTATTTTATTATATTATATAGCTCAATTCTTTCATTTTATATTTTATTATGTATAAAACGTGAATAATTCTACTATTATGCATTTTATATATCAATAAATACAAATAGTCATCTAATATAATCTATATCATTCAATCACAATATATACAAATTACTTCTCTATTATAAAAATTATTTGTTACATTAAGAGAGTTCAATATGAGGCTTTTTTGTATACTTTCGGATTAATAGGAATAAAAAAAAAATAAAAATTAACTAAATATATCATCTTCTATCGTGAAACAAAAAAATTGTTTGTAGTTAAAAAAACAAAATAATAAAAAAAAAAAGTAATAGTATTTAAGACATAGTCAGAACAATAAAAACAGGGCAGCAAATTTAATGGTTAACTGGTTGCTAGAGGCCATTATTTGACTATTACTAAATTCGGAGTAGGAAGCAGACAAATTAATTTAACGCAAATTTTTCTTTTTGTCTTATATTCTACGATCTGTCGTTCTTCTATCGATCATAATACCCATGAAGATATGCATAACTTACTTGGTATATTTGAAACCACTACAATTATACATGAAGTGAACAAGAAATAAAACACATTTTGGATTTTATTACTTTGGTTGAAACTAATCTTTGGCTGTCACTGTAACATTTAAGGATTTTTTTTTTAATAAATTTGTGTCCCCTTTGTCTATTACTAAAACAATTAAGTTAAAAAATTCTTATTCACTTTTTTCCCATTTCTTCCTTCTTTTATTTTTTCTTTTAGATCATAAGCTTATATTCTACATTCCATACATATAAATATATTTTATAAATATATTTATATACAATGTCTTCAACAAGGTAAATATTCTTTTTTTCTTATGTTTACCAATCTCCTCTAGAATGAAACTAACTTGTATATAGCCTCTTTGATCCTCGTTCTATTGAATCAGCAAAGAATGTGATAAGCACATTTGTTAAATCTGCTTTCTCTCAAAAGCATGCTTCAACTACTGCCATTGTATGTTCTGCTGTTGTTGGCTTATTTGCTTATGAGCAATATGTTTATTTAAAGAAGAAAAAATCTCTTCCCGGTCCTACCCTTAAAATTCCGATTATTGGTGCTTTTATGGATTCTCTTTATCCTACTTTTGAAGGATATATGAGTAAATGGAAAAGTGGTGAACTATCATGTGTTAGTGTGTTTGACAGGTAAATATCGTTATCATTTATTAAAGAATAATGATATCTATTATCCCAAAATATACATGATGTGTATATTTATATAAATGCGGGGGGGATATTGGATTTTTTTTTTTTTTTTTTATATAATTAATCTCAGATAATAATACAATACACAATTTAGATTTGTGGTTATCGCTTCAACTTGTGAATTAAGCCGTAAAATTCTTAATGCCCCTGTTTATGCTCAGCCTGCTGTAGTAGATTCTATGAAGTATATCCTTTGCGCTGATAATTGGGTATTCTTAAGTGGAAAAGCTCATGTAGATTATCGTAAAGGATTAAACGTTTTATTCACGCGTAAAGCTTTAGGGTAAAAAAAAAAATTTTTTTTTATTTAATATGTTTCATCGTTCTTAAACAAACCCTTTATATATATGTAGTATCTATATACCTATTCAAGAAAAAGTATATCAAAAACATTTTATGGAATGGCTTTCATTAAATGGTGTTTCTGAACAATATCAATTGCGATTCCGTGAACTTAATATGGAAGCTTCACTTCGAGTCTTTTTAGGTGATTATATGTCTGATGACATAGCAGTAAAAATTTCACAAGAATATTTCAATATTACGGCTGCATTAGAACTTGTCAATTTCCCTATTCCTTTACCGGGCACTAAAGTTTACAAGGCTATTCAATCACGTAAATTTATTGTCAAACAATTTATTGAAAGCATTAAAGATAGTCGTTTAAGAATGGCTAATAAAGGTGAAGTTAAATCAATGATGGATGCATGGATTAATTCAATGAATGAATATGAAATTGAGTGTGAAAGAGAAGGAAAGCCTGCTCCTAGAAAATTTAATGATCGAGAAATTGCTTTAACTATCTTGACTTTCCTCTTTGCTTCTCAAGATGCTACTTCTTCTGCTTTAACTTGGGCCTTCCAATTATTAGCTGATCATCCTGATGTCCTTGAAAAAGTCTATAATGAGCAAATAAAAGTTCGTAAGGGTAATATGAATCAAGAATTATCTTTAGAATTGATGGAAGAGAGTGTTTATTTACGTCAAGTTGTCAAAGAGATCCTTCGTCTTCGTCCACCTGTATTAATGGTTCCTTATCAAACTATTCGCGAATGGCCACTTACTTCTAATTATACTGTTCCTAAAGGAGCAATGGTCATTCCTACTACTTATCCTGCTCTTCATGATGCTAATGCATATCCTAACCCTGATGCTTTTAATCCTGATCGATGGGGTCCCGAAGGTACTGCTGAAAAGCACCCAAAGAATTTTATGGTCTTTGGTAATGGACCTCATCACTGTCTTGGTAAAGAATATGCTATCATGCATTTGATGGCGGTTATTGCTGAAGCTTCACTTCAATTAGAATGGACTCATACACGTACAGAAAAGAGTGATGAAATTTCTATTTTTGCTACTATTTATCCTCAAGATGGTTGTATTATGAGTTTCAGACCTAAGAAAATGACCACTAACACCACCCCAACAATCACAACAACAGCAACTACAACTACTACTACTACTACTATTACCGTTTAATTATTTCTTTTTTATTATTTTTTTCAAACTCTGCATATATGCATATTCTATATTAACTATTCTAATAAAGTTTTCAAATGAAATGATGCTTTTTTATATATATATTAAATTGACATATATTTATATCTATAATGTTATATTAAATGATCATTGTGATACATGCACCTATATCTACCTTTTAACGAGCATATTGACTTTCAACTCTTTGCTGTTTTAACTCAATTTGCGATTCTACTTGATTGATCCATTTCTTAAAAATAGAAAAAAAAAAAGGAAAAAAAAAAGTGATATTTCACATATACGAACTATAATAAGAATTGTAATTCGGGATATTTAATGCAACAAAAATGGTAATTGCTTATACAAATATCGTTTTGTTTTTGTTTAACTTATATCATGTAAACACGCTTTATGTGCATTAACAAATCGAATTATAAAGAAATATAATTCATATATGTTTTATAAATATCTTATTTTATTTTCACGCTTAAATGATAAAAGGATCAATAGTAATTATTTCATAGTAATTTGACGCATAATTTTATCCACTTTATCCAATTAATCAATAATACTTATTACTTCTTCCTTTGTTCATAAAAAAAAATAAAAATCAATCAGAAGTAGTAAAATAATTTTGCTTGCTTTTTGAAGTCTATTTTATTTTATTAAATCCATAATGAACCATTTCTTATTTGAAGATAGTAAAGGGAACCTTCACAACGAAGAAAGTAATCAAGTTTTTGTTCTTTTTAAAATGGAAGTTAATGAAGTTGAATATCAGCGAAAGCCAATCAAATACTTATTGACAGTGATGTCACTAAAAAAGACGAAACAAACCTATATTAAAAATCAGTTTTTTTTTTTTTTTTTTTTTTTTTTTTTTTTTTTTTTTTCATTTACTTTATGAGAAAAATATGAGTGCTTGTACCGCTTCTTGACAACATAAAGTCCCCCTCAGAGCATAGCACAAAGTTGGAAGAAGAAAGCTAAGCTGGCAGGAGATAAAGAGTTGAATTCCACACAGTTGAAAGAAATAGTCTTGAAAAAAATTGAAGAACGATTTAACTGGGTGAAAAGTCTGCTAGAAACTGATATGAATTACATGAGTAATTATATCTTCAGAGATGAAGCCGCATTTCATATTAACATGAAACGATCTGTTGCTCTCCAAAACAGCAACTATCTTCCATCGCTCAGGTACTAAGATATAAAAATCCTTTTATTCTGAAAATTAATAAATTAATATAGCTCTGAAAAGCACGGGGTAATCCGATATGGGTATAATGTAAACTGCCGTGCATCTCTTCCCAAACACCTTTATACCCAATTGCAAAACGAAATGACAGCAATCAAACAATACAATCTTTGTAGAAGTTACAAGGAAGGGATCAAGAACATTGTCCAAAAGGTTATTATATATGAAAAGATGTTACAAATAATGATCTAAAACTCTCATTTTTCAATTAATAGATTGATCGTAACGAAATGATGGATTCTATACAAGTCTTACGTTCTGTGGAGGGCAATCTAGCTGAGAAAAAGTTGCTCATCGACTTTTTTTCATTATTGTAAGATACATAAATATGATTTTAGGTTTTTACTGATAGTATCATCACTTTATATCATAGTGCTGAACAAATTTATGATGATGTCGGTGAAACTCTGTCCGAGTCAGAATCATGCCTGAAGAACAATTTAATAAGCCCCTGTTTGCAAGCGTGTATAAGAATGCTTCGCAGCAATAAATATGATATTACATATGTACCAGGGGAGGTTGAATTGGCTTCAATGACAGAACAATTAAGTAAGCAAGGCCTGTTAGATACCCGATATATCTATAAAGCAGATGGTAAAATCAGGATATATGTCAACAAGCAAGAAGTTTTGATTCTTGAAATATCCAGTGCCCTAGCACAAGCAACTCAAGAAAAGATAAACTTTGATCATTCCAAAGCAATGTTTGGAATGCTCTCAATCTTGAAAACGCTTGCCAACAATTATGACCATGGAACTTTCGCGTCTTTTAAGAATATTAAAATTCATTTTGTTCATGTTTATGGTAATAATAATGATTCTATTTGTTTTACACATGAATTAATCTCATCTTACATGACTTTGGTTTAATAGGGCATGCAGTTAGACACTGGACAATGATGACACCAGAGCCAGGAGTGTATATAATGACCAAAGAACAAAGGGCAGATATCCCTTTGTGCATTAACAATATGCATGATGAACTGATATCATTTATCCGTTTGCATTTAAACCTAACTGTGAGATAATAGTTAACTTATTTTAATCGCAATAGTCACTGACCGAGTTTTTTTTTTTTTTTTTTTTTTTAGATGCAATTACAAGATACTCTTGATAGTATTGAAGTTTTAAAAATGAGTCATAGAAAGAAATATGACGATATAATGATTGACAACCAAGTATTACTGAATGAAGACTTACTTTCTACGGTTGCCAATCCAATGACCATTATGTTAAATGAGGCAAAACATGCTAAATTAGTGGTGGAAAGCCCTAAAAGTCCTCAAAATTAAAAGATTCAATACTTTTAAATGATATGTCTTTTTTTTTTTAATGTTATGTATTTTATTTTATGTTAATGATAAACCCAATTAAAGTTTGAAACAAGCTTTGGGATATATTTACAAACGTTAAATTAACTTTAAACGTTATCAAAAGAGAGTATTAATGTACATCATTTTGTAGATGTACAAAGGCATTTTATTTGCAAAACAATTGAGTTTTCTATAAAAACTCCTATAAACAGATATGTATATAAAAAAAAAAAGTTAGAATAAGCCGTCTCTTTTTTTTGTCTGAGAGAAAAAAAAGACAACTTCCCACTTGTAGCTGGGTTGTTAAGGCCAGCCACTAATTTCTCCGGCACTAAAGCAGTCGCAGTTGGGTGTGAGGCCAACCACTGATCTTTCTAGCGAGCAGCAGGGTACATATATACTTTTACCAGTGTATTTTTCAAACACAAAAAAAATATATATGTATATATGTAAAAAGTAAGGACTTATCTTCTAATTGCTTGCCAATAAGATACTTGTTTTGGTGTAGAAAACAGCACATTTCATACCTTTAAACAAATGTAGAAACAAAAGAAAAAAAATAAAAAAAGGAAAAATTTCAATTTTTAATAATAATAAAAAGGTTTTTAATATCTGCTGATTGGGATATCTATACCCAATTAAATCCATCATCAGATGTATCACTGCATTCTTTCTCCTGAAGAGAATATTAAAGGTCAGATTTGTTCAGGGCGGCTCCAACTCCAATATTGGTTTTGTTCGTATTCAATTCTCGTTTTTTGTATATATATATATAAATGGATAAGGCAGTATTATGGATGAGCAAAGAAATAAGGCAATAAACTTGGAAGAAGCAGTTGACCCTTACAACCTTGGCACTTTAATGACCCTGTCCCAGTATCGAGCTTTTCAAAGCCACTTTCCTACTGAAGCTACATAAGAGATTGACTTAAAGATGGAAGAACTAGCTGAGGAGTTAGCAGAGGAAATGACTGTGATGGTATGTAATAAAATAAAAGGAAATAAAAGAAAAAGATAAAAGAAAACAAAAAGAAGTATAGTTTGAGACTTGTTTATTCAATGTAAAAAGAATGATATAAAGACTATTTTGTGTCTACACAATTGCTTGTATTTATACTAATGAATCCTGAATCAAAGAAATAAAAATAGCTGTCAAAGAACATGAGTCATGAAACAGTGTTAGTATTCAGATATACAAGTCTTGTTGATTCAAGAGACTGATCTATGGATTATCTATTGAACGTTATAATGATCTGATTAAGTTTTAAATAAAAAATTTATTGTTTGATCTGAGTATATGTTCCTGATATTTTTTTATATTTTATTTTATTGGATCAAAGACGACCTGAATCCTTTGTCAGGGTTATAAAAAGAAATACTCGGAAATGATATGACGTCTTATAGTTGACACATTTAGATGATTGAATGTCAATAAGTTTTATATTCTTTACAAGATATTATATCCCTCTACATGTAAAGTCCAGGTTGAGATCAGAGAATCTTTGAAGGCTAAGAAAATGAAGATTGATGGAGACAGAAAGAGAAATATGCCTACAGCGAAGAAAGTGTCTATAGGAACTGTTACTAGACATTATATGAGGTTTATGAGGTTTATTTCCAAGACACTAAATGAAATGGACAAGTTCCCTGATATCGTGGGGCGGTCTCTTCAATCTTAAAGAATGGGGTTTGTAGTTTCAATTAACGCTTCTGGAAGCCTCAAAGGGTGGAAATCATCTCCTCAATATACGGTCTTCAGATTCTCAATTGACAATATTGAGGTGACGTTTGTTTGCTTTCTGAATCAAAACATGTTGGGGTAAAGAGGTATTTATTATGATATCAGAAATAGACCAATACTTTTACCCCCGCAACACCGCTCAAATATTTAAAACATGGTTATCATCGAAGGGTCAGATACGCCTACATCATTATTAGTAAATGCAGAATGTTGACTATTTTTCAGCCTTGAGCTTTGGGAATTTGATAAAAAGAATCTTTATTTTTCCGTGTATAAAGGAATATCGATGAAACTATCAATTATAATGACTAATCAACTATGTACCATTTCAGTTTAGAAAACTTTGATAATTCCTTCGTTTTGATGAAAAATTATGTTTAAAAAAGCAATAGTAATCGGAGGATTTATGTTTCCTATAACTGCCAGAGTTATTGAAGCAACGACAACGCCATCACCACGACACTATTCAAATTCTGTCTATAGTTTGTAGCATACAAATCGATAGGCCTAAAAATATATATGCATATATGAGAGATTATTATTATTAATCATTTGAACATATCAGCTAATATTTATGATATTATTCTATCGCTTCATATTCCTAAAAATTAGGTTAGAAAGACTCTCTTCAATTACACGATAGAGTTGAGTCTAAGATGTCAACCATTTATCCCTAAATGTTTCTTCAACAAAGAAGTGTACCAAGCAGAGCATTGGCAGAGGGTTGAGCATATTATATCTATTCGCTGTTGAAGGAATAGCCAAGGTGATACCCATAACTCTTTGTTATGATTTTACAACGTGAAGTATAAATCCCATAAGATTCAATTGCATCTGCTCATTTTGCTAAACTTGATCAATTCGATGCCCTAGCGAAAGAATCCGTAAAAACTTGATATTTCTAAGTAATGTATTATACCAAATATAAAACTACACAGAACTACATTAGCATCGTCAAAAAGGAATAAATAGTTTTTTTTTATTTTAATCCAATGATATTGTGTATTTGGCTAAACTACACTATGGTACTCAGAATTGAAAAGAAGACGGGCTTAACAGACCTCTTGAAAAAATTAAAATACCATTGTTAAGTTAGTTATTATAAGTTTAAATGAAGATTAGGATGTTTATCAAAATGAGAGACAATAAAATTGTTCAAATAACCCCAACATCATAAGCTTGAATCTTTTCTCAATATACAATAGTGGACGTTTGTCTTATACAACCATCCATTAACCATATATGTGTGTATTTTAATTTTAATAGATTTTTCAGGTGGTATCAAGCCCATGTAATTGTCGTAATTAGTAGCATTCTCAAGGGGAAATTCAACTTCATCAACTTCCATTTTAAAAAGAACAAAAACTTAATCACTTTCGTCGTTGTGAAGGTCCCCTTTACTATCTTCAAATAAGAATTAGTTCAATAAAATAAGATAAGCTTCAAAAAGCAAGCGAAATTATTTGCTACTTCCTTTTTTTCTATGACCGACTTTTTAGTCAGCACGTGAGCCATATTTTGTTTTATGAACGAATAATTTCCGGAGATAATGTATGCTACGCATTAAATCCTTTTTCTCCTTTTATCATTACTTGTTAAATTAGATATTATGGCTCGTTCAAGACAGGTAATAGGATATTAAGGAAAAAAGAATAAACAAATAATTCAATGTTTTATTTATTTAGACTCGTCGTGCTGGTGGACCTACTCAACAAACTCGTCGTGCTCATACTATGCCTACTAGACAAGCACCACCTCCTCCTCCTCAACATCACCAGCAACATACCCCCATGCAACATCAGTCAGCTCCCTCACCTACTGTCGCTCAACCTAGACAACCAGGCTTATTTTCTCAAAGTAAATTTAATAATAATACAATTTTATAACTGCGCATATAATCTAACATATCTCTCCCCTCCTCTCTCTCTCTCTCTCTCTCTCTTTTATATTTCTATATGCAGTGGCTTCAACTGCCGCTGGTGTCGCTGTAGGTTCAGCTGTTGGTCATACAATGGCTAATGGTGTTTCTTCTATGTTTGGTGGTAGTGATGCTCAGCAGACAGAGCCTCAACAACAACAACAGACATATCAACAACCTATGGTTTCTCAAACACAGACTGGAGGCGCTTCTTGTGAAGCTGATGCCAAAGCCTTTACACAATGTCTTGAAGCTACCAACAATGATATGTCTGCTTGTAAATGGTACTTGGATGCATTAAAACAATGCCAACAAATGGCGTCACAGTATTAAAATCTTAATTATTTAATAAATCAATATTTATTTGTTTTCATGTATATGTATATGAAAATATATATTTTTATATTTTTTTTTCTTCTTATCTGCGTTCATAGTCAAAATCAAGTTCAAATTGAACATAAGGTCGATAACTACTATCATTGACAGATTGTAATTCATGATCCAAAAGTTCATCTTGATGATCATTTTTAATAGCCTGTCCATGGACTCCACCTAAACGACCATATTGAGCTACTAAAGTTTCATCTACTTTTTTTTCAAATTTGGACTTTGATTGAATAGTAACTGAACAAAAATCAGGAGGTAAACCATAACGAAGAACAGACTCAACGAAAACTCTAAGTGCCTTAAGATGTAACCAAGCAGCAAAGGCTTCACTAAAGTTGATCTTTGCTAAACGCAGTAATTCAGCATGTTGCTCACGTTCAGTAGCAGATGCTTCTTCTAATTCACGTTGTTGTGTTTGTAAAGCATCTTCATCATAAGTAAAATCACGAGGAATAAATCTTTCTTCTCTTGCCTTGTGACAATATTCTTCGGCAATACGTTTGAATAATGTAACAGAGAATAACCCAAATTCTTCATCTTCGGCAATTTTACTATTATAAACCTCAGTGAGTTTTACAAATTGCTCTGTTACTTGTCATTTGTTTATTGTACTTACACAGTAGATCGAGGAACAACCATCTCTGTCAATGTTTCATATTTGTTATTCCATTGCTTATAAAGCGTTTTGGGTACAGCAACAATTAAGGTAGTTAAAAATTCAGAATTTAATACGCAATGTTGCTTCTTAACAATACCATTTAAGCTACGAACAGATAAATTACCGCTATAAAAAATATAGCAATGTTATTATCTCTCTTTCTCTCTTCCTTTCTCTCTTTCTCTCTTTTTTCTTTATCACTCCTTAATGTTATACATTACGTTTGTTTACGTTGTAACGTTTGAAGGGCATTTTTATTTTGGGTATATAAGTTTAACTTGTTCTTCATAACAGTATCAATAGCTGCAACTTCCTATAAAGTGAAAAAAAAAATGTAACTTTGTTTTTTAGTTTCATGTTTCATCTATATTAAATTATCCTCTTTACTTGACTTAATGTAGCTGTGGTTTCTTGTAAGGATTTATCGGTACGATACTTCATGGTATTCCATTGAAAAGTAGAGATATATTGCTCGATAGATTCTATTGATGTATATAAAAAGGGAAAGAGAGGTGGAAGGGCGAGAGAAGGAAATAAAGTTAAATACGCGTTCTTAAACTTATTTATGTAATATATTTACTATCATTGACTAACAACTGATCCTGAAGGTTTAACTGTTGACCTTTCAATAAGTTATTCAACAGGTCGCTCATCTTATTAACTGATTGTTCAAAAACTGAATCATGTTTAATAAGGTCATCTGATAAAAGTACCAATGCATCCAAAGTACCAATCTATTGAATTATTCGTATTCATTTTCTTTCTTTTTTTTTTTTCTTTTTTTGAATTTTTCTATAATACCTTAAATTCAGGAATGTTTAATTTGTAAGTTTGGGCATATTCTGTTAATTTTCCTTTGATATTTAAAAATGTATTTTGCTTGTCTCCTAAAGCAGGTACCGAGATGAATGTATATTTCATTTGTTTATGTTTAAGAAAAAAAAAAGGGAAACGCAAGCTCAGACAAAAAAAAAAAAAAAAAAGAAATGCCTACAAAAAAAGATAAATGCGGACAATTAAAATGCCTTTTTTTTTTTTATAATTGTAGTAGATAAACATAACCCTCATTATCTACTTTAAAGTAGTTTATACAGCCAATATTATCATTAAATAGTGCGTGTAAATGACTTGAGATGTATAATTCAAGATATATTTTCTTCTTGTTATATTAATTTGTAAAATCAAAGTACAATATTTATATACACTTTTATTAGTTATTATGATAGGAAGAAGTATAGAATTACTATGAGTTATTTTACGTAATAGTCTTTACTATGATTACATTTACTAAATCGCTTACACTTTAATTTTCTCTTTCCTTTGAGAAAAAAAAATAATAAAATAAGAAACGTTTAATATGAATTGATATCTTTTTTATATATTTATAGCATTTTTTATTTTTGAATTCCATATTGGGTAATCTGTTTACGCTTTCTTTTTGAGGAGAGTTCCGCTAACAAAAAAAAAAAAAAAAAAAGTGCTATATAATATTTCCCTGTTTAGGCAAGATACATACAATTATATTATACATTATTCAGATTTATTCATTTAATCTTTTCTTCTTCTTTTGCTTTGTTTTATTTATTTGTTTTATTTTTTTTTTTTGAATTTTCAATATTTAATAAAATAGGATTCTTATGACTTCTAATAATACAATAACAGCAGTCAATGCAACTGTCTTTCAACAAAAACAACCAGAAGAAATCGCAAGACAATACTTAACTGAAGTCCTTGATTTAAAAGACTTACCAACCGGCACACTGCAAGAAGTATTAAAGGACGGTACTATACTCTGTCGGTATGTATAATACATTAAATCGAACTAATTATTTTCTGTACTTACTATTCTTTTTTTTTTATTAGTTTTATACAGCGCTTTGCACCAAATGAATGCATTAATATAAACGAAGGACATAATAAATTTGCCTATGTAAATAAGCCTTTTTTTTTCTTTCCTTTTAGGATAGAAACTTGATTTATGTAAATTTACTAACCTAATTATTATTATTATTATCAGCAAGATAATATTGGCCAATTTCTTCGTGTAGCAGAAAATGTATGTTACCATTGCAAATGATACTTAACCTTTTGTTATTAACTAAAAAAAAAAAAAAAAATTGAAAATTAGCTTCATATACCCCAATCCGATTTATTTCAAACTGTAGACTTATTAGAAGATAAAAGAATGCAAAGTGTTGTATCATGTATTCTTGCAATTAAAAGAATTATGTCCGAAAGAAAACTCATGCCCTCAAAAAAGATAACAGAGGCACCAGCAACAGGCAAAAGAAGTGGTAATAGTGCTCGTAATTCACTTTTACTTGCATCCACCGCTCTCTATCAGAATAGCAAAAACATGAATATCAATATGAATCCAAGTTCATGTATTGGATCCATCAACGATACTGTATATAATAAACTTTATTCTAAAATTTCTTCAAATTCTACGAAATCATCTGCGAATCAATATTTTCTTAACAACCAACAAAAGAACACCAGTACCTCTTATCTATCTGCTGTAAGTAATAATAACTCAACTAAAAAGAAAAATAGTATCGATTGGCAAAAGAAATTGAATGGCCATTTAACTGCAACTGACAGAAAGAAGGCAATAGCACCACAAAACACAGCATCAGCAGCATCAGCAGCAGCAGCATCAGCAGCAGCAACAGCAGCAGTAGGTAACGGGATAGGAGGATACGTAAAATCTCAGGTTCAAATGATAACTACCAATAATAATTTAACCATTGCGGAACCCGTAGTCGTTAAAGTCAGAAGGTTCTCTTCCTCTGAGAATAGTGTTAAAAAGGAAGAAGAAAATAGTCAACAATTAGAAACAAAGAAGCCTGCCACAAAGCTATCACCAGTGACTGTATCGTTGCCTCCTCTACCACCTATACCAAAACCATCTAAATCAACTCCTCTTGTAGCTGCTACAGAAGTTACAGTCAATGATAGAAAACCAGATACCAACGAAACGAAGTCTACTAAAAATAATAGAGAGACTTATTATACAAATATAGAATCTAGTCGAAAGACATCTTTGAAAAAAATGGGTTCATGTGCTATAACTGTCGAAGGTGATGATGGTATTTCTGCAGTTTATGTAAGTTTTTTTTTCTTCTTCCTTTTCGAGTATATAGTGTGTGTGTGTGTGTTTTGGAGAGGGGAAAAAAAACAAACACGGAAGTATTGATAGATTTATGGTTATATATAATAATAGGCGCTTGGTAAAAGTATTGGCAAAGGTCAGTTTGGAGAAGTATTTGGAGGTTTAAATATGGATACTGGGGAGTACGTTGCTATTAAACGCATAAGGAGAAACCAAATGGAATGTGATGATATGGTATATATATATATATGCATGATAAATCTTATATATATAACATACATATTTATCTCATTCAAATATACATATAGAATGAAGTAGGCGTACTTAAGCATTTAAATAGTGAGCACATAGTAAGATATAAGGGATTTTCAAAAGATAAAGAATATTTAAATATCATTTTAGAGTAAGTAATATACATATATAACAGCTTTGTGTATACACCGTATATCTAATGATTACCTATGTATACAAGATATGTAGAAATGGGTTCACTCCGTAATAATATTAAAGCTTTTGGAAAATTTCCAGAAAAACTTGCTGCGTCATATACATACAAAATATTATCTGGACTTCATTATCTTCATTCTAAAGATGTGATTCATTGTGATTTAAAAGCAGCCAATATTCTATTGACAAAGACAGGAGGTTTGAAATTGACTGATTTTGGTGTTTCATTAAGTTTAAAAATGAAAGATGATGAAAATACAGGTGAGCCAGCAGGTACACCCAATTGGATGGCTCCTGAGGTGATTAAATTTGCAGGTGCCTCTGCAAAGTCTGATATATGGTCTCTAGGTTGTACAGTTGTAGAAATGCTAACAGGGAAACCTCCTTATGCAGGCATGCCTTCATTTGCTGCTTTATATAAGATTGTAGAAGACGAAGAACCGCCAATTCCAAAAAATATTAAATTATCAAAGGTATTTTACCATTTATCTTGTAAAAATTTGCAAATAATATATAAATTAAACTCTGATCTCTCTCTCTTTCTCTCTTTTAATCCTGTAACATTTATAGGAGGCTACAGAATTTTTAATGGCTTGTTTTAAAAAGAATCCTGAAGATAGACCATCAGCATATGAGTTAATGAAATCAAAATGGATGGAGTCCTATTTCAAAAGTGATCAGTCATTATTAGAAGTACCAACAGTAGAATATGTAATAAAAAAGAGCAAAAGTGAAACAAATCTTGAATATTCATCTATGAACTTCAATTCAGAACCTATATCTAATAAGGATAGGAATGATTATCTAACTCATAATTTCGTTGATTATCAAACATACCAAGAAGGAGAAAAATGTTCTGGTTGCTCTATTTATATGAAAAGGCAATGGGTTAAAAGTTGTAAAGGTATACTAAAGATACATCTATATATCTCTATCCAGCTATTATATTAACTTATAATAATATAATAGAATGCCACCTTACATTCCATTCATATTGCATAAACAAGGCGCTACCATGTACTAAAGGTTATCCTATTCCTACCATGGCAATTAAGCCTAACCCTCTTCTTGAAGAAAAAGTCAGTTCTAATGCAAGATATAAACCATTAGGCCCCATAACAAATATAGTAGGAAAAAATAAGAAATCTTATGTATCCATTATGCAACAGCAACCTAATGGGCTATATCAACACTTCAAATCTGAAGGCTATTTAAAATCAAAAGGGAACAATAGCAATAGAAGAAACCTTGTAGTATCTTCAATAATGACATAATAAGGCACAAACATATTGTATATATTCGCTACCATATTGTAAATAATTTATATACACGTATTTTGTTTTAGTCTTGATTTATGACATAAAATAAAAATTATACTTCAACTTTTTAAAATACAATTGTTATACATGTACATTATGTATATACACATATTAATAAATTTTTTTCTTACCTATTCGACTTGAATGCTTTATCTTTTTTTTTTCTTTCATACATGAAGTTTATTTATTTTAACTATAATTTGACTTTTCACATTATTATTAAGTAATTTAAAAATTTTATTATTATTATTTTTTTATTTTATTTTTTTGAAAGATAGGAATAAAAAAGGAAAAAAAAAATATCAAGATTGTGGTTTTACATTCAGTGAGTACAAATATGTTTACTATATCTTTTGATAATGAAAAATAAAAATATAAAATAGCATAAGTGTTTTTTTTTAAAGCAAGAAAATAGCAGCACCAAGAGCACCGGCCATACAAATAACACTAGCTTTGAGAGAAACAGCACCAGAATCCACATGAAGTTGTTTAAGGTTGGCAGAATCAAAGACACTCATATTGTTAGCAGAGGGTACATTGATAGCGCTAGCTTGAGAGGCGTCTCTAGTAACAATAGATTCAGAGTTTGTTGGATCTGGAAGAGCAGATTCAGTAGTAGTGGTAGCTTTGGTTTTAGTTTTGTGTTTGGTTTTGGTTTTATTTTCATCGCCATGCTTATCAGAATCAGAAACTTCAGCACGTTTTTCAAGAGAATCAACTTTGTTTGTTGGAGCAGCAGCGAAAGCAGTAGGCATGGTAAAAGTGAAAGGTGAAATACTAATAGGAGAATGAGTGAATGGGAGTGGAATGAGATGTTCAGTGTCAGTTTCGGTACTGGTACTACTACTACTAGTAGTAGTAGTAGTTCTGTGTCTGGTTTCAGTTTCAGTGGGAGTTCCAGTAGGTACAGTAAAAGTGAAAGGTGAAAAACTGATACGAGAAGTAGTCATTGGAAATGGAATAGGATGTTCAGTGTTAGTTTCGGTACTAGTTCTGGTTCTAGTTTTGGTTCTGGTTCTAGTAAGAGGACCGGTAGGCAGAGGAAGTTCACTTATATCAATAATAACAGGTTTAGAGGTATGCTTATCAACATCAGGAACCTTAGCACGTTTTTCAAGAGAATCAACTTTGTTTGTTGGAGCAGCAGCGAAAGCAGTAGGCATGGTAAAAGTGAAAGGTGAAATACTAATAGGAGAATGAGTGAATGGGAGTGGAATGAGATGTTCAGTGTCAGTTTCGGTACTGGTACTACTACTACTAGTAGTAGTAGTAGTTCTGTGTCTGGTTTCAGTTTCAGTTTCAGTGGGAGTTCCAGTAGGTACAGTAAAAGTGAAAGGTGAAAAACTGATACGAGAAGTAGTCATTGGAAATGGAATAGGATGTTCAGTGTTAGTTTCGGTACTAGTTCTAGTTCTAGTTCTGTGTCTTTGTTTATGTTTAACTTCGGTCCTAGTTACAGTGGAAGTTTCGGTAGACATAGGAGGTTCAGTTCCAGAAGTAAAATCAAAAAAAGTGGTAGTAGGAATGACAGGTGTAGTAGAGGTGGTTTTTACATCATGAGATTTAGTTATAATACATCCAGAAAATGAGGTGCCATCTACGTCGCAAGCATTAGCACTAACTAGAGAAATAGCAACAGCACCAAAAGTAGGAAGTGTAACAATAAGCTTCATCTCAATGTTAAGTATAAGATAAATTGAATTTGTATATAAAAGAATAAAAACACGTCTTATCAAATGCCTTCTTTTATATTAAGTCGGATCATGAAAAAGGTTAGCATAATAATCTTCGGGTGCTTAAATTTCTTCTATCTATTTTCCTAAAGTCTATCGTGCCTAACGATATCGACTTTAGTTAACAGCTATATTTTGAATATACAGATGTTTTATAGTCATCATGTGCTACAACATCATAAATAGGCAATACTCATTCCTAAACGACCATTCTTCTTAAATAGCCAAAATCAGTATTTACTAGATAAACGAAGAAAATGTCAAATTTCCTAATCAGCAAATGTTTATTTATATAAACGTGAAGCCTTTTTTTTTCTTTTGTTAACTAATCCTTATCTATCCAAATTACAGCATACTATAAATGTATTCGACAATATTCACAGCTATCTTATCTAAAAAAAAGAGAGAGAGAGAGAGCAAATACTGTATTTTCTGGTTTATTATCTTTTTAATGTAAATATTGGTTTTTTTCTATATCTTTGACGGGGTTTGAAATTAAAATCTCATGCTTTCACTTTATAATATGCAGCATTTAACAAACAATTTGCAGAATTAAACATGTGCTCCAATAAAATTTCCAAATAAAACCACGATCTTGCTATTGTAATAGCATTTACTAAACGCCATAAAACATTGATATCTGAGTTCAATTGTTGCTAAGAATTCTGCTGAAGCGTTTCTCAATTATAGTTACTATTGTATATAGAATTTATAACGAAAAAAAAATAGAAAGATGACAACGTTGATTTTATTAAAAGAAAAAATATAGTATTGAATAATAAAAATGTGTCATAAAAGAAGTATTTGAAGGTTCGCTTCTATAGTTAAATATCTATTAAAGAACGATATAGCATGAGTGATCCATCCTTGACAATCCTCTACCGTAACATCTTTAGTGGTATCTATGATTCTTAGTACCAGAATATCTTCTGTTGAGACTTGATCTCCGCAAACATCAAACTTGACCATAGATTACATCCATCCTATCGTATTGGATTAAGAAAAGAGGGATATGCAAGTAGATGCATCAACTTGTAATCTCAACCTTTGATCAGATTCGCAATTTCTTTGTTCTTATGGATTGGAGTATTGTCCGTTACCAAGTATCAGTCCTTTATTCCACGAGCATCCAAGGTATCCATCATAGTATAAAGGAATTGAATGTGGTGTGAAGTACGAGTACCCACGCGTCTATTCACCTCCTTCTCAGTGCTCTAAGAAAGTTTTATCTTCTCCTTCAATACAACTGGTGTTATTCGTCTAACTGTCAAATTGATTATTCCTTACTCACACATTGCGCCCAGGATGGTAAGAGAAACACATCTTTGGGTGTTTACTGTGACTTTAGCAGGGGTACCTTTTAGGAAGTGACCAAAAGTTCTTTGAATATGTAGGTTGAATCTGGTTTCATCAATGAAGACACAGTTTTTGAGATGAGATCTTCAAAATATTGTCATTCGAGAATTTTATATCTTCTTTCTAACAAAGCCATTTCATCATTTCTAGTGGTAGGAAGCTTCTTTAATATCAGGTTATAATGCTTCTTTAGATGCTTTTAAATAGCAGAAATACTGATATTCAAATCTGCAAATGCTTCTTTTGCCTGGTTAAGAGTTGCCTTTGATTTTTTTTTTCATAGTACTCCAGGAGAAACTTGATACGTTATGCAAAAAGTTTCTGATTACCATGCTTCCTTTCCCTTCGATTTAACAGCCAAGGATTTCTTTTCACTTTCATCGTCGCCCATCTCCATATACATGATGGCAAATTTCTGTTCCATAATCTTCTTGGCCCTAGCAACATAGCCCTGAGCAGTCCTTACGTTGATACTATGATTCTGTGCAGCAATTGAAGCGAATTCGCCATTCACCAACACACTATATAGTAAGGTACTGACCTGCAATTCAATATACTTATGATATTGAACCTTAAATTTTGAAGCATCAGGGACTTGTTGTAAAAATTGTTTAAGCTCCGTAGGAGATCAATCCTTTCTTTCTTTTCTTTTTTTAGATCTAGTTGAAGACTGATAATTCTTCAAAATAAGTAGCATATAGATATCATTCACATAATTATAATCACCATACCAGTCCATTTTATTACTCTTGTAGAGTTTATCTTCAACAGTACAGTTTGGAACATTGTTTGCCTCTTCAAAATTGAAAGGATTAACCTCCATAGGGGCGCAATGTTCATCCATAACGAATTGATAGTTAATTAGAACGTTATTTTGAGTCATTTTTAAGGATATATGGAATTAGAAAAAGTTGTAGTAGTGAAAATTTGTCGATGAACAGATCTTTTTGCATCTATATCAAAATAAGATTTTGCTTATTCTTGCAAAAAATATATATATATATATTAATAAACTTGGTTAACGTTTTCAAAGTCTAAATGATCCAAAAATTCCAAAATGCCCTAGTTCTAATGTCACGAAATTTCGAAATCCATGATTCTATGAGTTCAATATTTCAAGTCCGAAGCCTCGAATTTCTAAAATTCCAAGATTTAGATAACAAGGCCCAAAATTCTACGCTTACTGAAATTTTATATTATATTGAGTGAATATTGCGATTTTGAGATATTATTAGAACGGTATTTTGGAGTTGTGTTCATGAAATATTATTTGTTCATGTAAAAATATTCAAGCATGTATTGAAGGCTAATAACTGTCTTTTCTCAGTTGTCCTAAAAATAACTTGCTAATTTTAATTGTTATCTTATTTTTTTTAGTATGGCTTCGAAATTTGTTTTTATATAAACATTTAGTAATTTTGTTAACGATTGTTTATTGTAACTTATTAAACCCTAAACAATGGACGAATATTACGAAAGGAAGCTTAAAGAAGTTTTAAGTCTTCGAATATGACGATCTTATTGCAAGCCTTAAAGCTAGCAGCAGTAAAAAGCTGAAAAATGATTACTTGCTCAAGAAAAAAGGGAGCCAACATAAAGTTTATTCTGATAATCAAATAAAAAGGATATTAAGTTGCTAACTTTGTTGACAAAATGACGACTACTGAAACAAGCAAATAATATAGCTTCCCGAGATCTTTTGAAAGACGATATATTAAAAAAGTACAAGAATATAATGTTAAATGAAACGGAACGGTGACAAGGTGAAATAGAAAATACATTGTTTAGTAAAATTAATTCTATAAAAATTAACGACTCTGACATTATCTTTTGTTCAAAATATACATTCAAACTATAAATTTAAACGTATATCAACAAAAGATCTCACCGATGCTTACTTATTTAAATGAGTCAAGCGTGTCCCAAAGTCTTATTATTTTGTAAAAAGGATTTTTTTATTATTATTATTATTACTATTTTACAGTCTTGATTGAATAACCAGTTACTTTTCAGCTAAAGTCTTTCTTTTAAGCTTATAAAAGGATTGAACGATGATAAAATATTCATTTGGTAATAGAGGTGAATGATGCTTATGGACTAGGGTTAAAAGGTAAAAATGACACTTTTACTCTAAAGAAATGCCTACACTGTAAGAGTAGAAGTATTGTGAGGATTGTTTTACATATATTATATAGTAATAAATAAACAGATAAAGATATGTATCAACAATATATTTTATAAATATATGTATATAATTATCTTTTCTATTATAATAAACATATACTAAGCATTATGTGCTTCATTGGATATTTTCCTTTTCTTCTGCACTTGAAAGTTAACTTCAAAAATTAATAATTTTACTCGATACATTTTTTTTTATAATATCGCATAGTTTCTGTTCTTTTTCTGAACGCATAGACATTAAGAATCATTATTTATATTGTTCTACCTTTATTAAGAAATAGAATGAACAGTGACGACGAAAATGAACAAATAGCTAAGGCAATGGCACTTTCATTACAAGGATTAGATTCTCAACTTCGACAAGAGCAAAAAGAAAAAGATGATCTTAGAAAAGCGATCGCAGCATCATTAGGAAAAAAAGTTGAAGAATTGACCGCTAGGGATATGCTTTTAGCAGAAACAACAAATCCACCACTAAAGCGCCCTAGAGAAGAAGATGAAAATGATGATGTTAATGTCTTGCCTACGCATCGCATACTAAAACGATTAAATAATTCTGAAGCACGATTTTGGGATGGTGTTATCAAACTGACATATGTAAAAGGGTTTATTGGTCCTGATTATATTCGTTTTGAGGATATTATTCAAAAAGTTAGTAATCTGCTTTTAAGAGATATATTAAAAACGATGAATTTACCCATAATCAATAGCATGATCTTAAAAAGGCATTAATAACAGCCTTTGTATGTAGTCTAGATTTTATCAACGATAATTTTCCTTTAGATGTTAATCTTTGCATCGTTACTCATGGTAGACCTGTAAATTATCAATACAATAGTTTATAACAAAGTTCTGCTGTTAAATATATTCATTTCCTTAGGCAATAAAAAAACAAATTCATCCTCATCGAATTATAATACAACCACCACTTAAAAATGAGAAATATGGCGTATTTCACCCAAAGTTAATGCTTCTTTTTCGCGACTCATCTGTAAGAATTGTAATCGGTTCTGCTAATATGGTTTGTATACAATGATTCTTAAAAGATTAACTATTATTTCTTTTTAATATCAGTTTTCACTATTAGGAACGTTATGATTATGAGGACTTGGAGAATGTAGTATTTATTCAAGATTTTCCAAGATTAAAAACCCCTCATAAGACATTTTCAGAATTGCCACGCTTTGCAAGAGATATTTGTGATTTACTTGATCATATGCAAGTGCCTAACTCAGTGAAAGAAGAGTTATTAAAATATGACTACAATAAAGCTAAAGTGAGTAACAAATCTTGCTTCCCCTCTTTACTATATTATATTTAAATAGCACTACCTTATAGGCTCATATCGTGGCTTCTATTTCTGGTACATTTGAGGGAGAAGAAGAATATAGAAAGTATGGACATACACGTTTAGCCGATATAATAAACGAAATTGTTGGCCCAATAAATGATTCTAAATTACTTCCAAAAGTGGAGATGCAAGTAAATAGTTACAATCGTTTTTTTTTTATTATTCAAACAAAATCAATAATAGCTAAATATTACTGTAGACGTCTTCTCTAGGTGCATTATCATTATCTTATTTAAATGAACTATATCGGTCATTTTGTGGAATTGAGTCCTATAGCAAAGAAAAACCAATTTTAATTACCAAGAAAAATGAGCTACCACCTATTGATATAATTTATCCAACAAAAGACACAGTTGAATCAAGTCGCTTAGGCCCATCAGTAAGTTCCTTCTTTTCTTCGATATAATCAGTTATATATTTAATATAATTTTGAATTAGGGCGCTGGTACTATTTGTTTAAATAGCAATACATGGAAGAAGCCTACTTTTCCTAAACAAATAATGTGCGATTCTATTAGTCAACGTCAAGGCACCTTAATGCATTCAAAGGTAAAAGCAGCAGAATAAACCAATATGTATATATATAATATAATATGAGTGTATCTACATAATTTATACCTTTTTTTATTGCATCAGTATATCATTGCTACTCTTCCATCCACTTTTAAATCGTCTAAATTTTTAACAGAGTCAAATTTAGGCAAACTAAGAGGCTGGATGTATTGCGGGTAATTATGTTTTATTCATATTATGAAAACTCAATGCTTAAACAACGCAACACTTTTATTTATTTATTAGGAGTCATAATGCGACAGTTTCAGCATGGGGAAAATTTACTGTTTCCAGAGATACAAAGAAACCAAAAATGAATATAAGGTAAAGCATAACAGTCATTTTCAAACAGTAACTGTCAACTTATCAATACGACAATTATAGTAATTGGGAATTAGGTGTGGTTTTACCTATCTTTGAAAAATCAGATTTTCCAGCACCGTATTTGAGACCAGCTCCCCGATATCAATCATCGCAGGAAGCTTGGACACAGAATATGGAATGGTAAATTAGTGTTGTATGGTCATTATTATTTTTTAAGGTTAAATCCTAGTTTACATGTTTTTTTTTTTCAATAATATACTTCTTTATTAGATTATAAAACATTGTATAAAAATAAAAGAAATAGGAATAGATATTTATATTATAAGAATTAATTTATTGTTTTCATATTAAAAATGACTTTTTTATGTACATATGCATGTATTATTTATAAGCTTTAATAAGAAATACCTCATCTGATTTAATTTTTTTTAGATTAAAAAAAATAAAAATATATTAAGAGATAAAGACTTTAAACACACACACATTCAACAATCTCGCGAACTGCCCCTCGAAATTCAAAGCTGATCTTACAGTGGTGTCATCCCTTTGTTTCTCTTAGTCCTATTCTATGGTTACTTATATATTTTGTCGAACGTGATTGTTATATTCGGTGGCGTCTTGGCTGGATTCCCTAAAATAACTCTACTTTTTACATAAGATACACCTTCTCTCATATTCTCACCCAGAACCCACGTTATTGAATGCCACAATATGCACCACCACTTTCAGTTATCACTAAACATATCTGATCTTATTTCGTTCTTATTGATTATTCTACTAACCCGTCCCACTAAACATCGTAATCGTTATAATCAATGAAATATACGTTGACCAACTACTCAACAACTTCTTTTACATGAAATTGATTACCTTCAGCATGAAAAAGAACCTACCAACACCACTAACAATCTTAGGTCAACAACTCCTCGATTGAATTGATGTATGTATCCTCAACAGTTGATAATCGATAATCCTGTTAAATCACTTTCTTCTTTCTAAATCTATTTTCCCTCCTTAAACACATTAAAGGCTGTTATTTTTTTTTTATTTCATTTCCTCACTTTTTTAAGAGCTTCTGTGAGCAATTCTGCTACGATATAGTTTATCAATAATGTTCTTGTCATTGAGTTTTAATTTTAAATGTATTTCTGTAAGCTCTACTAGATGCGGGAATTAAATAAATTCATTTTTTTTTCTCTCTCTCTCTCTCATATTCAAGTTGTTAAGGTGAAATGGAAAATACAAAGGAAAATAACGAAACAGTAATAATGCAAAATGCAGAAGAAACAAAAGAATCCCAAGCAATGCAAAGCTTAGAAAAAGAGTCAGTACTCCAAAGAGCAGAAGTTTTGATCAGATTAGTAGAAAGAATTAGAGCTGAAACAAAATTATTACCTGCATCGATTGCAAAACGTACTCGAGAAAGAGCAGAGCGTATAGAAAAAGAGTAAGAACAAATGAATTTCGAATTTTATTAACAATACACATGTTTCTAAAACAAAAAAAAATGTATTTATTTAATTTGTAGAGAAGCTGCGAAAAAGGCTAGATTAAATGTTACTATAAATGAAAAAACATTATTTAATGATCGTCCTGCATTTATGAAGCGCTTAAAAAGCTTTTCAGTGCGATTTATTAATAAAGAACGACCTTTGACAGCTTTGGATTGCGCAAAATATGGCTGGAAAGATACAAATTGTGTCGACAATACTAATCAAACTACTTGTATACTTTCTTGTGATAATTGTAAGAGTAAAATGTATGTAGTAGAAGTTAATCAGAAATATAAATATAAACCACGAGGTATGCCTTTTTAAAATATTAGATATGTTGTGAATATATACGTATTAACAATTCTTTTTTTTTTGTTTCCTCTGGTTCAAGTTATACAGGCTTATAAAAAGTATGAACAAGGTTTATCTGAATATCATAAGGAAGATTGTCCTTGGAGAAATAGTCATTGCGATGGTAAAATGAATTTTAACTAGAACATATAATAATACTTATAGTTTTCATTACTTTTTTTTTTTAAGATAAAATATATCATTTTCCATATTTATTCCTAAAAGAAGGACTAGAGCAATTTAAAGGGGAAGCAAGGTCGATTTTATCGGCTTGTAAAGCAAAAGGAGAAACAATACCAACATTAAAATATCCATTAGTAAGAAAAAATAAATAAATTACTGTAGATGTTTATATATATTTATATGCGCATATAGGATGACAAGATGTTAACAAAAGTGAAATACTTGGCATCACTTTACGAAAAAGAAAATTGTAGTGAAATAGAGAAAGACTCAAAGGAAATGATTGATTCAGCTTATTTATTAACAGTTTTTGGGTGGTCTTCATTACATGAAGGGATTCCTGGAATTCAATGTAATTTATGTTTTAAAAGAAAAGCTTTTAACTGCATGGACAGCGATTTCGATGTTTTTAATCAACACAGGCCTTACTGTCCTTGGATAAACGTTACAATAGCAAATGCTTTTTCACCAAATTTAACTTCAAATACTCAAAATATCAAGATAAATGGAATAGACTGGATGAAAGATGTCATTTATATAGAATATTTTATACAAATAAGACGAGAAGATTTATCATTATTTTCAAGAAATTCCCAATCGAAAAAATTTGAACAAGTAAGGCAAAAGATTAGAAAATCACATGAATTAGTAGATAGTTGGATGATGGATCTTGACAAAATTACAAAACCTGAAAATGCATAATGTTAAAAATATAAAAAAAAATAAAAAGAAATAAAAAGAAATAAATATTTTAATTTCTTTTTGATAAAAGATTATAATTTCTATAAATGCAAAGTAATAAAAGACAAAAAGGAGATGGGGATGAAAATCAACAAACAAACAAAAGAATAAAACAACAAAGTTCAATTGTAAGCTTTTTTGCTTCCACATCTAAAAATACAGATAAAAAAGCTGATGAATCGTACAAAGAAGATTTTCCTAATTCATCTTTTATTGATAATTCTCAAGAATCAAAGAACATCATAAATAATAAAGAAAATGAAACAGTTAAAGATAATGAAATAGATACTTTTACAACATCCATGTATACAGATGAGTTTGATAATATGCTTGATATCGTTTTAAAAGGGGAAAGCTATTTGTTTAATAAAGATGAATTGTCTTTATTTGATACTTACAAGTCTCTGAAAGGTATAAATAATTGAATGATCCCATCTTTTTATTTAGATTATATATATACATATACATAATATATTTCTTAATAGACGAATCAAGACATTTAATTGTTCGATTGTTAATGAGAAAGCATGGTTGGATTAGAAAAAGTAGATTGAATTATTCCAATCAAGTTAATGATGTGAATGCAGCTACTGCGGATTTAAAATCAAAAGGTTTTATTCTTACATCCCTTGAAGATTTGTCTGAAGCTGTCAAAATATTATCAAAAGAGGAAATGAAATTAATAATCAAGGAAAGAAATATTAGAGTTTTAAAAAAGAATAGCCTTGTAAGTAATCATTCTTTAATTATAATTTTAAAATACTTGTTTATGTTTAATAGAAGAAAGAAGACTATGAAAAAGAAATTATTAACTTTGGATTAAATGTGACAGGAAACATTGTTACGCATTATTCAAATTTAACAACTGATAGCATAAAAGCTAAAAAATTATGGGAATCCATTCACTCATTTCTAGGTAATTAAGTTCTTTTTTCAGTTATTCAATTTATTTTATTCACCATTTTATATTTACATGTAGGTGATTGTATTAAAGTGAACCCAAAAATATTTACATTATTTCAACGATTACAAATTGTTTACTACAGAATTAATAGTTTTCAAGATAAGAGTTACATGTCAAGTTCAATTTTAGCAAGAATAAGTAAAAGAAATTATCCAAGTTATAAATCTTGCAGATCAAATGCTATTTGGAATTCTCGAGATGATTTATTAAAATATGAAGATGCTTTATTAGTAGAGAAAGAATTTTATAATCATCTAGAACAACTATCAATTTACAATAGTACAAGGACAAAAAAAAATATTTCTACAAAAGGTGAAGATCCTATTATTAGGGATCTAATGGTTAAAAGTTGGACTCTTTGTGAAGATAGAATTGGAATATGGGAAGATTGTATTACTGAAAGTAGTTTACAAGAAAGATCATATTATTTGAGACGATTTGAAGCTGGATGGATCTATACTCGTTTATTAGATCATGGCACTGAATTATTAGCAAAATTATTTGAATATGAATTAGAGTCACTCATATTACAAAAATTACTTGATCAGCGTATATATCGTTTAGGAAAGAGAGGTAAATGGTATGAAAGATTAGCTTTAGTTCAATCAATCTATTTGAATAAAAATCAACCTCGATTTCAAAAAAAGGTTGCGTTAAAAACATGTATTGATGCAATTCAAGATCCAAGTGTTCATCAAAGTATTTAATAATACTTTAACCAATATAAAAATATTCAAATAATCCTTTTTTTTTTCTTCTCTTTTCTTTAGTTTATTTACATGAATTACATAAAAGAATTAAAAGACTTGAAAAGGATCTTTGTATACCAAAGAGAGAACAACACGATTTTAGTTATATGAGTTTAAAAAAACCAAAAGAAATAACAATTTATGGTGATTATTTTACTGAATTGATTTGAACTACTTTTAACATTTTTTAATATAGGCGAGAGAATATCAGAGCAAGTTACGGGTAAAAAGTCTATTTGGAGAAGCAACGATGGCTCAGAGTGCTCTGTTGAACAAATTGCGATAGAATATTACCAGAAGAAAGGATATAAAGGGTAATAATCACAAATGACATAGTTATCAATACACTAATATCTAAAACAAAACAAAAGAATTCACTGTGAGAATGGTATTATAAGAATGATTGTTAGTATTTATTATTATATAAAAATAAGGGAATATGTAAATAATGTATCTTTAGGCAGTACTTTTATTCTGGGACATTATTTTTGCTCCTATTGCAGGTGTATTTGAAACTCCATATCAAACTGAGCCTTTAGATTTGCGTACAGATTCCTTCTATGAGAGTAAAGATTTTATTACACCTGAATAAAAAAAAAAGGATGAGTTAATAATTTATTTATTTTAGGTCGAATTGATATTATTAATAAGCGTTTACGTGAAATAGAAGATGGTGATTATTTAAGAATTATAACAGAAGTAGACAAAAGGGAACGTTTGAAGCATACAGTGTGTATAGGAATTAACTGGAATTATGAATTTCAGGATATAATAGAAATTGCTGAGGTAATATTTATATAATATATATGTGTATACATATACAAAATATGTATGTATACATAAAATAATGTTAACTTAATTTATGCCTATATCAAGTGTATTGGGCCTTCTTCTTTAGCTTCTCTATGCAAATTGTTCTTTGAAGAATTTGGTCAACGACAAGGCGGTATGCCTGATTTATGGTAAAATAGATCAAATAGAGTATAAAGCGTAAGGCTAATGTAAATTATACACTTTATTAAAGCTGTTGGAATTATGATAAAAAGGAATGTCTTTTTTCGGAAGGTGAGTAAAGCTGTAAACAATTAAATCAAATCACTGATAATTTTGCATTTATTTGCTTATTAAAAAAAAAAAAAAAAAAAAAAAAAAAAAAAAAAAAAAAAGTAAAAGGGCCAAAAGACGTGTTATCAAAAACACAAAAAATTTGGATAGAAACATTAACAGGATTTGGTATTCAAGTAGAGGTGTGTCATGTTAAAATATGGAACGGCGAAGATGTTTTCTTAAAAGACTCTTAATAAACCCAATTTAGTCAGTTCATAACATATTGTGTCGATATTTATTTTTTTATTTTTTAAATTTCTTCTTTAAGCCAAATATAAACATACTTTATCTGAGTTTAAATTAATATTTGACACTTGTGATAGATCATGGAATGCAAAAATGACTCTTCATTTTTTTCCTTTTTTTTTTTCTTAAGAAAAAAAATATTAAGAGGACTCCAATCTAACTGTAATATGTGTACAGATAAAGATAATAGATCTAACTCTTTTTCAAATCCTATTATTGCACCTGAAAATGAACAAGGCTATTATTTACATGTCCCTCCATTTCATCAAAATAAAGATCGCATTTATCTCGCAATTAATTCTTTAAAAGATATTGAAGATAATCCTCCTAAAGTATATGAAGTACGCCCTTTACGTGAAAGTAGCTCGACTGATTCTTCAAGTATTTCAAACACTCCTGATTTAGTCAATTCATCATCATCAGTAATTGGAGAGTTAAAAGTTGCAGAAAGATATACATTTCAACAAGGATCTCCTGAAATGTATGACACTGTTGAAAAAATTTATAACACTCAAACAAATAGACATAAAAATTCGGATAAACTAAAGGAAATACTCGAAGATTATGAAAAGGATGAAAATAGTAATTATTATATTCTTATGAATATATATATGTATATATATAATTAGTTTCATTACTAAACTGTTTTTATACAGGTGATAGTTCTGTTTACGTTTCAGCGTTATCATCATCGAATTCAGTAACTAGTAATAGTGATTTAAAAAGGCAAAATTCAAATACTTCAGTACAATCAGCAGACTCGGATCAAAGCGAGGTTAATTATGTCCAGTCGTTGAAGAAATTTGACTCTTCTGAAGTCGTTCGTTATACATTAGTTGACAAAGACTTCCCTCGACATAGTTCCAGTACATCATCAAAGTACCACCAAAGGCTTAATGAATATGATAGCTCAGAACCAACAACCACTTCAATTAATAAGTCTTCAGCAAGATACAGTATGTCATCTTCAAACGATGAATATTTTACCGACAGTCATAACTCTATCTATTCACAATTAGCACCACCACCACCAAGCTATTCTAATTTGCCCTTACAACCACGACTTTTGACAGCACCTTATTATGTTAGTGATAGCAGTACATATGAGAGTAAAGAGAGTTATAAAGGCTCTCTTGGATATAAATTTTCAACTATCAATAGTAATTACAGTAGCTTATATCATCATTATAAACAGCATATGTTTCGATATTTTTATCGTAATATTCCTCCTAGTGAAAAAGTGAAGTCTATAACAAATGTCTCTTTCAGTAGTGGATTTGAAGAGAATAGTAATATAGAAAAGAACCAACCAATCTATATGGATTCTCCTCCTCCATTTTTTGAAGTAAATAATACGAAAGATAATACAAAATTAAAGAAAAAATGGAGACCTTATTTCACATTTTTAACGACACTTATTATGCTTGCTTATTTTGCAGCATGTCTTGTAAAAAATTATCAATTTTCTGGTAAAAATATTTAATAGAATATTTTAGTATTTATGAATCTAATTTATATCCTTAATTAATAGGTCATGTCCTACAATTATCGCCATTTAATATTATGATAGGGCCATCGGCACAAGTAATAACTACACATACATTTATATATACACATATACGATTGACCATTTAACTTATTTTTTTTTAATAGACTTTGATTTATACCGGAGCAAGATATTCTCCATGTATCAGAGCTTCATACTTATACCCAGTTACTAAAAATATTTATCAATGTCCAAACAGAAAAGGTATAATGCTACTCTATTTTACTATATTATATCTCTCTTCCTGACTCCTCTTTTTTTTTTCTAAAAGTTAATAAGACGGTGACGCCTCCAATCTTTAATGATCAGACCTCATTTCAATACCCACTTTATAGTAAGAATATGTCGGCTATTCTATCCAGTAAACAACATTGTGACCTCCAACAAGTTTGTGGAGGTACACGATTTCTAAATTCTAGCAAACCGGATCAAGGATATCGTTTCATCAGTGCTCTTTTTATGCATTCTGGTATTGTCCAACTCCTTATAAATCTAATAATTCATATTAAAGTTGGTATCAAAGTTGAGAAACAAATTCATCCTGTAAAATATGGGATAATTTGGTTGACTTCTGGTGTATTTGGATACATTTTTGGCTCTCTTTTTATTCCAGAAAGTAATGGTATGTATATAGGAAAAAAAAAAAAAACAACATATATAGAGAAAAAATAGTAGTATTTCTCTCTCTCTCAGTACACTAAAAAAAAAGTTGTTTTAGTTAATGTGGGCTGCTCTGTTTCTCTTATGGGCATAATGGCCTTTCTTTACGTTGATCTTATTCGAAACTGGCAGCGTATCATTAAACCCTGGAAAGTCTTGATGAATATTATGATTTATTTTGGTAAGTAGTAGTCAAGAGCCAATTGAAATTGAGCATATCATTGATTTTGACTTGTTTTCTACTCCTCTTTTCTATCGATATAGTCATAGCTTTAGTAGTTGGGATGCTTCCTGGGTAACTTGTTTATTTTATTTCCTACATTAATGTAATGTATTAACTTTATTTTGTATTAGATATGATAATTATGCTCACATTGGAGGTTTTATTGGAGGCATTATGATTACACTTGTTTTTATGCCAATGGCTACATTACCTAAATATCAAATAGGAAGACAAATATTTATGGAAAATGCTATGCATATTTGGTTACTACGAATTATGGTTATTGCATTTATGGCAGTATTGTTGTGGATATTGATAAATATATTTATTAAAAACGGTAGTAGAGAGGTAAAATTGATGAAGTCTTGTCTTCCCTTTTTTTTTTTTTTTTTTTTTTTTTCCAAAGGAATCAATTCTAACCTGTTAAATATAATTTTGTAGACTTGCATTTTGTGTCAATATTTCTCGTGTTTACCTATTTCTGATCTATGCCATTATTACAACTAAATTCTACTATGTATTACATACACCACACTATCTTTATTTAATACGCTTAATATTTAATTTGTATAATACAATTACTTTCATTAATAAACATGCATACTTTCATTATTACTATACAACGATTTAAAAACTTTTGTTTTTTTTATTTTATTTAACACTATATAAAAAAAAAAAAGATAAAACTAGAGAATTATAGGACAATGGAAAGTTTTTTTTTTTTCTTTCTTTTTTTTTTTTATTCTTCATCTTCATCCATAGAGTCACTTTCTTCTTCACTGCTCTCACCTTCTGCAATGTCTAACTCCATATCTAATTCTTGATCACAGCCATTATAGCTATCAGACATCAAATAAACCTTTAATGTATGTTGGCCAGCTTTAGGAGCAATAAAATCTAATTTCACATTCAATTTCTGCTGCAGTGTCACTCTCTTAATAGCTAATAAAGTCTTTGTCTCTGGATCACCAATAACAACCCACCAACCTTCGTCCTTCTTTTTGGGGAAGAATGGAGCAATGACTGGACCAATATCTTGTTCCTCATCTTCTTCATCGACTTCACGCTCAAGTTGAACTCTAACATTAACAACATTACCAGCGGATACAGAATCTTTATCACTAACTTCGAAACCAACTTCAATATTAGGGTATCTATTGACAAATCGAGCAACTTCACGCAACTTGCGTTGATCCAAACGAAGACAATCATTACGAACATCATCTTCAAGCTCCATAATATCAAATACAGATTCAACTTCTTTATCTTCACAACGCTTAATGATTTCGTTAGTAAAGTAAGGGATTTGTTTAAGAGGTGAGTCACGATCCCACATGGCTTGAACTGACATTTGTGATAATTCCATACAAGCTAATGCAGGTGATAACCAACCATTAGAAGAAATAACATCAACACAAGCTTGCAATAATGGAATAATCTTTTCTAGAATTAATGTTTGGTCAGATTGAAGATCAGGTGGTAATTGAACACGAGAGAAATGTGCTTGCAATAAAATATTAGTCTTAATTCGAGGAGTATTGAATTTAGGTGATGCCAACTTAACAGGAACACGATCATAAATACGTTTGAGAACAGCTTCTTCATGATGACGAATAGGAATATTATCAAATTCGGTAGAAGATGATACAATTTCCAAAAGGCCCCTGAGTTTGGTTGTGTTCTTCAAACTAACGCTAAACATATCGACCGTTGTATAGTTAATGTTATAGTATGCAGCAATCATACCCAAATTAAGAGGGCTAACATCCATCTCGTCTTCAATAGTAATACACTTGGTTTCTTCCAAATCATTGAGTGTTGATTCTACTAGTTCAGAGAGATGATCAGAAAGATGACGATGTGATGTGCCTTGCAAACCATAATAATTTGGATTATGAGCCATACGACGGTACAAGAATGTCCATGTGAGATAATCAACCGCATCTTGTTTGTTCTCGATAGTCTTAGTCACAACTTCAGCATTGAAGTGATCATGTAATGATTGATCTAAATGTGATTCAACAGGTAAAGCTTCATAGAGGAACTTCTTATAGTACTCTTTCTTATTAGCTTGACACATAAGAACACATTTTCCAGTCTCATCAACATTAGGACGACAGGCACGACCCATCATCTGCAAGATGTCTGTAATAGGATAATCGGCATAACGATGCTCTTTACCCTCAAAGTATTGAGTACCCATAATAATAACCATATGGGAATGAAGAGAAAGTCCCCAACAAGTATCACGAGAGGCAATAATAACTTGAATAGCTCCAGATTCAAAGAGTTGTTCTACAATTCTCTTATCTTGTTTAGAAAGAGCTTCATGATAAAAACCAATACCATGTCGAAGTGTCTCAACTAAGGATTTGTCTTGAATGCGTTCTAAAAGAGATTCAATTTCTTCTGGTTTACAATGCAAAAATTGATAAGGCTTATCATCTGCAACACAATATGTAATGAGATCAATAGCAGTTAATCTGCATTGTCTTCTTGAGGGAACAAAGACAACAGAAGGCTTATTATTGGCGTGACCGGTGATAGCAAGATATGTAGGTTTGGCCATAGCGATCATAAGCGATGCGAAATGAGGAACATTATAGCTTTGAATATGAATCTCCAAAGGAACAGGACGGACAGAGGGATGGAAATTAAAGACAGAATATGATGTAGCACCAATCCATTCGCCTAAATCACGAGCATTAGCAAGTGAAGTACTCAAGGCAACTATACGAATAGTTTTTTGAGTTTGAGAAGCAATGTATCTCATTCTTGAAACAATAACTTCATAGGTTGGTCCAAGGGCACTACCAATCATGTGAATTTCATCAGCGATAAATAAATCAACATTTTGGACATTCTTTCTTTGTTTCCAGCGACGAGAAATAACATCCCATTGGGTAGGAGTACAACAAATAATATCACCACGTTCCAACAGTTTCAAGTCAGCACTAGTTTCGCCAGTTAAGGAAACGACCTCCTTATTCAATTTACCAAACTTTTCAGCCCAATCAGCAGTACGCTCATCTACAAGCTCCTGGAAAGGAGCAATATAGACGGCACGAGAATCATTTGATTGATTCCACAAATGAAGAAGAGCAAATTCAGCACAAATGGTTTTGCCAGAGCCTGTAGGAGCACCAATAAAGGTATTATCATTAGTTGTATAAAGGGCATTAAAGACTTGTGTTTGAATAGGATTAAAGTGATTAATCCAGCTAGAATAAAGTTTTTCATAGTCAGGATTACGTAAAGCAGAAAGCGGTAAAGGTTGAAGATCATGAAGTTCGGTATGAGGAGGATATTTTTCAGGAAGTATCAAATGCTTGAAAGAGACAGGTAATTTGGTTTCACAATGTAACCAACGATCAGCAACAACAGCAACAAAGTAATTGGGAGGTAATGGCTCGAAAAGAGGAACAGTGAAGGTAACTAAATGCTCTTCTTCAGCATACTTTTGCTTTAAAATGAAATAATCATGGTATAATATATGTTCACCATCTACATCTTCAACTAATATCCAGAAAGCTTCAGCAAGCCCGTGTACTTTTTCATCCCATTGGAAGTCAGGGGTAATTGTCAATTCAACCTTAAGTAAAGAACGCGTTACAGGTTGAACATGAGCTTGAAGATCTAACTTAGGGAATTGATGTACAAATTTGTGAAGAGAACGACCCGCTTTAGGTTGACCAATCAACTCACCCAACTCTTGAGGATTTAAGTCAAAATATCGCTCCCAAGGGAATTCCTTACGCTCCAAACGACGAATAATATCATGGGGCATAGCCTTAAATTGACGCAAAGGAGACATAGGTAACCACATACGTTTCTCAACCATTTTACAAAGATTCAAGGCCTTTTTAGTCAATTGGGCCCAACCACGCTTTAAGCAAATTTCAAACATAGCACGTAGAATACGTCCAGCACTCTGAGTAACATATACCATATCAGACACTAAAGCAAAGCCTTCCAATTTTAATTGAGAGATATATGCTTGTAAGAGAACGTTAATTTTAGCAGTAGGTTCTTCAAGGCCCTCCTTTACAGGGACTGGCACACGTTCTAACATCTTTTGTAATTCCATCTTTTCCTCTTCACGGACAGGAATATATTTAAATTCATCTGAAAGAGCAAAAACACGGAATAATTCAATTTCACTCATCATAGGTCTCAAATGTTGGTTATAGGTAGACATAGAATGATGTGTTACATAATAATGAGAGGCAATACGACCCAATTCTGTAAGTTGGAAACGTCCAGACTTTTTATCATACTTTATAAGGTTACACTTATCCAAAACGGTGGCTGCAGAGTGAATTAAATCAACACGCTTTTGCTCCAAGTGAGGATCATCCTCAAGATCATCTTGTGAAACACTGTATAAGGAAGGATTGCGAAGCATACGAACATATAAATATGTATAACCTAACCATTGAACAGCTTCATCACGGTTTCGAATTGTACCAAGAACAATTTCAGCATTAAGATTGTCAGCAAGTCGAGATATAAATTGGGATTCGATAGGAAGTTGTGTATTCAAAAGTGATAAATAGTATTGTAACTCAGAATGAGATGTAATAATGATACCTTCACCATAAGTGTCAAACTGTGGACGACCGGCACGACCCAACATTTGAAGAACATCTTGAGGAGAAAGCTCAACCCAACGACCCTTTTCAGGAGAATAGATTTGAGTGCCCTTGATAATGACTGCGTGTGCAGGTAAATTGACACCCCAAGCAAGAGTGGCAGTAGAGCAAAGGACTTTAATATGTCCATCAGCAAATAGTTCTTCTACAAGTGTACGATCCGCACGTGTCATACCAGCATGATGAATAGCAAAGCCGTAAGGTAGAAGATCTTGAAGGTTAGGATCTTTAACCGTTGCAGCTTCGGATTGTAAAATTTCACGACTAGCGGAGTCTTGTTTTAAGAAGCGAGCAATTGTATCCTTTTCTAAAGCCATATCACGAAGTGTTTTAGCAGTCTTGGCAGTTTCTTTACGAGAATGTGTAAAGACAAGAACTTGGTTTTCTTCCTTTTGTTCAATTTGTTCCATCACCTTTTCATAACAAACTTCATTCATAGCTTGGAATCGTTTAATAGCCTTCTTTTCGGTAATACCAATAAACTGTTGCTTTAAAGGACAAGGACGGTAAGAACTGTCAAAATGGAATAAGCCTGTTTTGGTGTTGACACGTAAGAAAGCAGCAACATCTATATAGTTAGGTAAAGTAGCAGACAAACCAACAAGACGAACAAGTTCTTGAGTTTGCTCCATATTACGAATGGTACGAGAAATAATGCTTTCTAAAACAGGACCTCGATCATCATGCAATAAATGAATTTCATCAATGATAATAAGGCGAACTAAGGCTGTGTAACTACGATCAGTAGCCTTACGAGTAATCACATCCCATTTTTCGGGCGTAGTTACAATGACCTGAGTTTCAGCGATTTGCTGTTTCGTTAACTGTCGATCACCTGTTAATTCTGCAACACTGATTCCATAAGGCTTCAAACGCTCACTAAAGTTACCAACGACTTCTGCAACCAAAGCTTTCATAGGGGCAATATAAACAATCTTAAAGGCGTCGAGATCAATTAAGCCAGTCTCTGGATCACGATTCTTGCCAATTTCGTGTAGCATAGTAAGCATAGCAACATTCGTTTTACCAGCACCAGTAGGAGCACATAAAAGGATATTTTCATCACTATCAAATGCAGCTGGATAAAGTCTACTTTGAACACGATTAAGAGTTTTAGGGCCAACAAAGGCATCCTGGGCCCAATCAGGTAAAGATTTAATAGGAATAAGCTTTTCACCTGTTGCATATTGTTCTGGTTTAGGCGAAGGAACATGAATTTCTTCATAACCTTTCTTGGAACGCTTAAAGGAACCATCAGGAAGTTTAACCTTTTTATTTGACATCAGATGAGAGCCCTGTTCAAAGGCAAGATCATCCAAATCTAAAAGCTGACGAGGAGCAACGGTAGTACCAGGTGTGATTGTGATTGTAGTGGGTAATTCACTACGACTGCGATTGGCTGTAGGCTCTTCATCAATTTCCATAGCTGTATCTACAACGCCCTTTCTTTCAAGAGCTTCACCACGACGTTGTCGATCTCCACTTAAGCTACGCAAAATCCATCCCATATTCTTATCCTGCATTTCTGTTTCTACCGATTTCTTGTCATCCCCTTCTACACGAGCAAGACGAGTACACCAATAAATTATATCACGATTTTTTGTAAGAATACGCACCAAGTCAAACTTATCATAGTCAAATAAACCCATTAATTCGTTTTCACAATCACGAATATCGATTGATTCAGATCCTAAAATTTCAAAGGCTTGAACAGTCTTTTCTTGAGCTGTATGGGCATCAGGATAATGAGCAGCAATTTGACGTTGAAGCCAGAATGCATCAATATCATGTGGATATATAGTATCATCAGCTTCAACAGACTTTTTGATACCAGATTTCTTTTTCTTTTGCTGTCCAGGCAAAACGGTTTTAAAGCCATCTTCCTCATCAGATGATACAGGTTCTGTTTCTGCAATAGATGGGTTAAATGCAAGTTGATCTTCTTCCTCTTCCTCTTCATCATCTTTCATTTCAAATTGATCATCCTCTTCTTCTTCATCTTCATCATCATCAAAGACAACAGCAACACCAAGTTCATCATCAATCTCACCCACTTTTTCACCATTTTCATCCACTTCCATAGCTTCACCATCTGGTGAATAATCAGTAATCTTTTTAGCTAAATTAACAAGTTGAGCAAATTTTTCAGATTGAATGTTGCCGAGGACTGTTTCTATTGCCTTTTTCTTGTCAAAATCTTTTAATGTATCTGTTTTTAAAGTTTCTAATACGTCGTCCGCAGCACTTCGAATGACATCGCGTGCTTGATCGCCTAAATGTTCATATACAAAGGATAAAATGTGTTCATAAGCTTCGCGTGTTTCTTTTGTACGAGGTCGATAGTTAAGACCTTCCCAATCTTCAGTAGCTGAAAGAACAGAAGAATAACCATATGCTCTGCTAATGGCGCTTTCTTCTTTCTTTCTACGTCTTTTTTCATTCAATTCTCCAGATTTTTTAGCTGCTGCTTTCTTTTTCTTTTCTTCAATATCTTTAGGTGTTTCTCTTTGTGCGCGAGAACCGAAATCTTTTGGATCGATCTTTCCCCATAATGTTTCTGGTTCGCCTGTTGGCTCTTGGTCTCTACGTGGCAAACCTTTACGGTTAGCTTGCAATACCAAACTAGAAGTGGCGGCGTATTGATACTGGCTTGCTTTTGCAAAGTTTTCAGCCATTTTATATATATGTATAAATATATATATATATTATAAACAATAAAAAAAAAAAGAAAACTTTTAAAATGGTTGCAAACTCTATAAAACTAAAAATTAAATACATGTACATGAGCTATTGTTAAATTCCAAAATATTCTTACCAGAATAAAAGAATTAGAGTTAAGAAAAAAAAATAAAATAAATAAATTGAGTTGCAATAAAAGAGATAAGCTTAGTTCCTTTTTATTATAATAAATACGAGGAAAAAAAAACACCAGTAGTTTTAAACGATTGTTTCCTTTATTTATTTATTTTTTTTTTCTCTCTTCGCAGCTGTAAAATATCAAGAGTTGCGTCATTAATGTGTGGCTTGGATTCAATTTCATTTTGAAATCATTTTTTATGCCGTTCTGTACACCATAGCAACAAGGAACTATTGTATGTTAGAATGCTCATTTTGCTTAATAAAGCAAGAAAATTTAAATTAACATGATTATAATTAGGTAGATCAAATTTCTTTTCTCTTTCAATTACTCTTAAAGCACTATTGTATTACTATAAAGTGAGTTAAAGGTGAAAACCTATAATTTTTTTTTTCAAAGTTTGTATAATATCTACTCAAGGTTTGTTTGTTTGTATACTGTATATGCAGAAAACAATCTCTATGAGTGTAGAATACCCCCGCTTATTAGCTTGTAAAACGGATATATTGAGTATACAAATTATATTTTTTTAATGCTATATTTACCTACTTCTCTATATTCATGCTGTAAGAGAATTAGATATAAAATAGATGTTTCTATAATAAAGAAGAGGATTGTATGTGGTATTATTTTATAAAAAAAAATCATCTGATGAGAATAAATACAGACATGTACAAACAAGTGTATCAGTTACGAAGTCATAGTAACAAAATACAAATAGTGAATGTTCCAACATAGTACAACGAAGCAGTCATTATTTAACAAATATGCTTTACTTTCTTTCTTTCTTTTCTTTTCTTTTCTTTTTTTTTCCTTTCCTTAATGTACTATCCATTATAATGACTTCAGCAGAGTTTGGGAGTCCGTTAAGAAAATATAAACTTGTATTTTTAGGTGAACAAAGTGGTAAATAAATACTAATAATAGTAATAATAAAATCCTATATAGTTCTTATTCTCGTTTTATTTTATTTTTATAGTCGGAAAAACCTCACTTATTACACGTTTTATGTATGATACATTTGATAGCACATATCAAGTAAGTCTACATAATTTATTAATTTTTTTTTTTTTTTTTTTTTTGAACTCATATTGTTATCATCACAATTTTTGTCAGGCTACAATCGGTATTGATTTTTTGTCCAAAACCATGTATTTAGAAGATAAAACTGTTCGTTTACAATTATGGGACACAGCAGGACAGGTAAATGTTGTATATGACAATTACTTTAATAATAACGCATAACATTGCATACAAAAAAAAAAAAGGAACGTTTCCGAAGTTTAATTCCAAGTTACATCAGGGACTCTTCTGTAGCCGTCATTGTTTATGATATATCAAGTATATTAAATAGTCTAAATATATATTTATATATGTACATGTATTTTTTTTATTATTATTATTGCTTATATCTACTCTTGTAAATAGGTAAAGAATCCTTTTTAAATACATCAAAGTGGATAGATGATGTTCGAGCTGAAAGAGGAAATGAGGCTATTGTTGTATTAGTAGGAAATAAAACTGATTTGAACGAAAAGAGGTTAACCCCAATAGTTATGTTTATATACATGTATACATGCAATATTAATTCTTTTTTTTTATGAAATACATGTATTTAGAGAGATAACTACAGAAGAAGGAGAGAAGCGAGCAAAGGAATTAAATGTCATGTATATTGAAACAAGTGCAAAGGCAGGATATAATGTAAATAAATAAATAAATGAAATTAATGGTAATGTGTTTGATAATATGATGTGTATAGGTAAAGTTATTGTTCAAGAAAATTGCACAAGCCCTGCCTGGTATAAGTGGATCTAATATGAATGATGATGAAAAAGGACAATGTAAGACTTGTACAAGTTCATTTATTATCATAATCTTATATTCGTTTTAACATTGTAGTGCAAAAAGTGAATCTTGATCATTCCAATTCAGACTCGAGCAGCTGTGCCTGTTAATAAATTTTATTCTATTTTTTTTTTCTTCTTTTTATGTTGAGATTCTTTTCTTTACATAAATAAGGCTCTCAAAAAGAAAAAAAAAGGTGTTGAATATTCGAGATATACATATACATGTATATATTTATATATTTGCAGATTGTTTAGAGTGATTTGTTCAAAAGTTTCCTGCCTTTCATTTTTATTTTACTCGATACTCTTCAGTTAGATCCCAGGAACATCACACACATTTTGTAAGATACTTGAAGATCATTGATTAGATGTAAATGCTATTTTATAAAGTAGTAATAATCCTAGTATTAAACAAGGCTAAAGCCTGGCAAAATTGTTTAACTTTGTCAAAAAAATAAAAATTCATTAAGGATAATAATGTTTACTAATACAAATAAATAGCTATATGATCTAACCTGTTTTTTTTTAAAAAAAAAAGAAAAAGCTGATATCTAGAACCTGAAATAGTATCGATTATACAATCAGTCTCATTAGAACTAAGCAAATATGCTAGATATATTTAACCATATGATGAATACAACCATGACTACTCTGCTTTAAATTAACATAGCAATCGTTATATTTGTTTTTTTCTACTATTATCTTTACTCCATTAGACGACAAATATTAGAAGTGTATTCCTCATGATGTGTGTGTAGATAAGATAATAAACTTAACCCAAAAGATACAAATGTAGATATGAAATAAAGACTAAATAAAAAGATGAGTGCTGTCAAAAATAACTTCATATTCATGATATGATATAAAATAAATAACAATTATTTTTTTTACAAGTACAATGATCCATTGTTTATTAGCAACGACCAAAAGAAATGTAAAAGAAGAAAAGGTAAGGGAGTTTGAGCTTTGAGGTTATCTTTTGTAATGCTCTTTTATACCCTCTCTATTTTTTGAGCTTTAATAGAGACACACATCACGTTATAATGGGTTATATTAAATGCTCCTGAAAGATTAAATTGCAAAGCTTAGTCCAAATATGCTTATTTGTAAAATAAAGAGAAACGACATAGTACAGACAATTTGATCTAAGGATAAAGCTATGAATAAAGAAAGGTGCCTTATGTATGCATCTGACAAAAAAAAAAAAAAAAAAAAAAAAAAGGATACCTACATCAGAAGAACCTACAGTATATAACTATGTGTGTCACATTAAGATTAGGTTAATGTTTCATGTAATAGTAAAGTGTATATTCAAACATAGTGTCTCATTAGCACTATATTTTATATAATTCTTCAGGTGCTACTGTTTATTTTGCTGTGAATGATAGGGCACTTTAAAGCGTGACATAGTTTTTGAAAAAAAAAAAATGTACGTTTAGCAGATTTCCATATTTAGATTATTTTTTTTTTAAAAAAAAAGAGATATTTTACTTTTCTTTTTTTTTTTATTTCTTTTCCTTTTTTTTTCTTCATATAGATCTGAATACATATAAACTATATAATAAAAATGTCAAACAAACGTAATCGTTCATCTTCCATCGATAGAGAACAAGACAGAACCTCAGATGAAAGCTTAGTGAAACGTAATCGTATTGATAATACAAAGGATGATTTATTATCTGAATTATCTCAAGTTTTAAATACAATTAAATCAACACCGTCATCTGGTGAAATCTCTGCAGAAGTGATGGAAACATTTAAAATTCTAATGCTGGAGATTGATCAATTATCCGCTGATGAATCTAATTTAGAAGCAAAACGTATGAAGCAAGAGAGTGAGCTTTGTTTAGAATCTTGGTTTGATGATTTACTTGCTCGTTGTGAAGCTGACGGTGAATTAAATTTGGAAGATTTAGAAAATTTATGTGCAAGTGATGAAGAAGAAGATGCTATTGCTTTTGCTATATCTCAAGAAGATGATGAAGACGATGAAGATGAATTGATTATTGTTGATGATGAAGGCTCTGAAGTAGGTGGAACTTCTCAGCCACTTATTGTTTCATAGTTGTAAGTTTAACTTTACTGATGATTATTTTCTATTTTTCTTACTTAATAATCATTAATAGATATACCGTGAAATACTTATGACTTGTATAAGAAGACCATATAGTTCACCCTTTTTCTTTTCCAAATCATACTCTTTTGTTTTCTCCTATCCTTTACGCTTACGAATGTATATCTGCTCACTTATTTTTATATTATTCATTTTTTTTTCTTTTTTCCTGCTTTTTATTTTGACTTTCCTTTTGCAACAGCAAATACCATTCGCCTATTGTTATACAAAAGATAGAGCCAACAATAAACCAAGTACGCGCATACATATATTTTATGTAATATCAATCACACTATTATTTAGCATGGGTAGCTCAATCAAAAAAAAAAAAAAAAAAAAAAAAAGTACATAATTGGCAATGATGACAACCTTTATTAGCGAAATTCCGTGTTTGTCTCAGGTTCTTTTTCTTAAAAAAAAAAAGTTAACCAATTGTAGATAAAATAAGAGAATATGTTACCTATGGGTTCACCGAGATTTAAAAAAAAAAAAAAAAAATAGTGAAAATCAGTACACACTTAAATTTTCAGTAAAATTAAATCATCAGCAGTGAGTATATTCATGTGTCCTTTTTCAACATGTCATTTATCAATGTTAATCGTGCTGATTTTTTATTTATTTTGAGGTGGGAGGAGCAAGTCAAAAAAGTAAAAAAAAGAAAAAAAAAATAGGCTCGAAAGACTAGCCCGTTTTAATCTCAAGGGCACTACTATGAGTGTCATCAACTAAATGTGACAGAAAAAAAAAAGGGAAGAAGATACAATAGATATGAATACTGCTTGGAAATAAATTACAATCAACTTTATCTATTCGTTTTTTCTTCTTCTTCTTTCTCTCCACTATATTGGATTAAACTAGACAATCATTTGAACAAAACTACAGCAAAATAGTATAATCTCATTCATGGTAAGACTCACCAACAAATAGGACAGAGAGAAAAGGTTTCCACCAAGTCATAAATATGTCTTGATCTATAAACCAAGGTTTGTATTCTTTAGTTTTCAATAAAATATAAACATTTATGTATTAAAGATTATACTGACATTTATAAAAGACATAGCAACTTTCAACGAAAATTCGTCTTAATAGACAAACATTGAAAATAGTTATCAATTGAGTTGAAACAAAGCCTCTCTTTCAAAAATATCACTTTTTTTTTTTTCATTATCAATACAACAGGATTATTGTTTGTTCTGGCAAATATTAGGTTTTTACTAGAGTCGAGTAATTTATCATGGATTTTGACGTAAATGTCTTTAAAATTATTTTTGACTGATAAAATACAGCCACTGATTATCATCAGTTCTCTGTTAGACGGGAGGCAGAATATTCGATGCGAATACTACCAGAAGAGGTAGATTTTATCATACTTATGGATTTATCAGAAAAACTGGTACTATTGATCATAATAAGAATGACCCAATTCATACGCTTATATTTATATATAAGGAAAAGTCCAAGTATTAAAAGAGAGAGAGAGAGAGAGAGACCATGATATAAAGATATAAATATAACTTATGTGCAATTTTATTATGAGTTAAGTTTGTACATGATATAAGAATGCAACTTTTATCTAATCCCAGCCACCAACATCTAAACCAGTACCCGTATTGCTATCTTCATTTGTATTTTCATTTTCTAAAACAGCAACAATATCTTCTGTCGTCTTATTATTAGGCTTTTTAGCTTTCTTCGTCTTATCAACAACACCAACTACACCTGTCTGTGCCTTTGTCTGTACAGGAGGAGGAGTAGTTGGAACAGAAGGGACAGTTGTAGATTCAGATGACGTCGCTTTCACTTTAGACTCTGTGGTAGTAGCTGTCTTGTTAGAAGCAGTAGCAGTAGCAGTAGCAGTAGCAGCAGCAGCAGCAGTAGTAGTAGCAGTTACAGTATGAACAGCAGTTGACTTCTTAGCCATTTCCTTCTTTTCTTTAGAAGATGATGTCAAGAAGAAAGGATCATTCTCTTTTGTCAACTTCTTCTTCTTCTTCTTTAATCCAGATTCCTCCATTTTTTCAGCAGGACGTTTTGATTTAATCTTGGTCACTTCAGCAACTACAGATCGGTTTGGTTTGTGAACTTTATTAACTGCTTCTGTCATTTCTACATCACTTTCCTTTGCTGCCTTTAATTCCTTCTTTTTCTTTTGAAGCTTTATACGTTTAATACGTTGCTTTTTTTCGATAAGATTAATATTTTCTCGTTGTTTTTTCTTTCGTTCTAAAAATTTAGGATCAAATCTTTCACCATCCAAAATACGAAGTGAAGGTACAAGTTCAAGTATCTAAGAAACGAAACGAAACGAAAAAAAGGAGGGGCTTTAATTCATAATGATCTATACATATAGTATTCAAGGTAAAAAAAAAAAAAAAAAAATTCTGCTTACCTTTTCAATATAATCTTTTTTATTCGCAATTGGATTACCCTTTAAATTTAGATTATGAAGTTTCAGTAAAGAACCAAGAGCAGCAATATCTTTCCATTCAGAAAGTTGATTATTACCAAAATCTAAAACTTCGATGGAATTACAATTTCTTAGTGATTCGGGTATCTCTGTAATCTTATTGTCATTTAATCGAATTTCCTTTAATAAAGGGTTATAAGTAAAGTCGGGAACGGTGGTTAATTGGTTGTGTGCAGCAGAAAATTTTGTGAGTTCAGCATTGCTAGATAACTTTGGTACAGTATCGATTTTATTATGAGAGACAACTTGAAAAAAAAATACATGAATAAAATATAATATTATTTGATAAGGCCAAACATGTGTCCATTCAACTTACCCAAGGTATTTAATTGATGCAAAGATTCAATATTTTCAATTTCCAACAATTCATTATTATTTAAAATGAGAGCTTTTAACTGCTTAATACGAGTAAGGTGTGGACTCATGTGAACTAATTTATTATGACTAACATTAAGCACTATAGACAAAGAAAGCATAATCAGACCCAAATGAAACATGTAATATAGATATTTATATGTATATAACAAGGGATTTACCATTCAAAGTTTTAAAATGCTGAAATCCGGTAAAATCCTTAAATTTGTTATGAGAAAGATTCAAAAGTGTTAATTGCTCAAGATCTTTCAGCCCGGCAATGGAAGCATCGTCTTCAAGTTCATTATTGGATAGAATTAATTTACGAAGTTCTTTACAAATAGATATATCGTCAATGCTATTAATGCCTTTTTTCGAAGCATTGATTTCTTTTAAAGTCTCAATTGATTGATCTTTATAAATCTCAGATATATACTTTGGAGTTAACTTCATGTTCAATTTCTAAACAAGAGGACAGAAATAGACCCTTTTTGTTTCTTTAAAAAAATAATAAAAAAAAAGAAAAAAAAAGCCACAAATAACAGTCACAGACTATTATTGCTTTAACTGGAATTTTTCCAACTTATTGTTTTAACTGAGCGACCCTTTTTTACATATAAACATTATATTTTATTGCTCTCTCTCTCTATATATATAAAGAAAAGAAAAAGAAAGAAATGTCAGAAGAATCGGATCCATTTGAATGTCGTTTGCATTTTCTATCATTATTGAACAAGTTGAATGCATCACAGCAATCTATACATAAAGTTGCTATATTTGCAATGCGTCATCGCAAATTATCTGAAGATTTATACAATTGCCTTTTAGAACAACTTGAAAAGGTAAGAATATAAATGGCCAAATTACTTTATTGTTATTTTGGTATATACATTCGAGAAATAGATATAGTTTAGAAAACAGTTATAGGTATAAATAGAATAAAGGAGGAAAAAAGAAAAAAAAAGAAGAAGGAGGAGGAGGAGGAGGAAAGAGATTGAAAAGAGAGTAGGATTAAATACAAATGAGACACTAATAATATTGTTAAAAGAAAAATGTATTTATTCACAACTACTTTCTTGAATTTTTCTTTCTTTCTTTCTCTATTATCTTTTTTTTTTTTTTTTTTTTTTTTTTACTCTTTTTTTTTTTTTCTATTTGATCATCTTAATGTTTCTTTTTTTTTTTAAAAAAAAATGTGTATATACTTTTTATGTATAAAATAATATATAAATATTTTAAAATACTGCATAATTTAAATTGTCTCCATTATTGTCATGTTTTTTTTTAATTTGCCTTTTTTTTTTTTGTAAATGTATTTCTTTTGTAGGCGTCTTTAAACGCTAGGTTAAATATTATTTATGTATTGGATGCCATATTCTCGGCAAGTCAAAAATCAAAATATTCTGGCTATATAAATCTAACACGGCCTGATCTATCTCGCATCATACATGCTGTAGTTGCTAATGGACCCAAAGGAGTTCTCAATATACCCAGTACACAAAAGGTTGGTTATGATAAGTCGAAAGAATTAACCTCTTATTAAATTAATGTATTGTTATTAGATTTTAAATAATTGGAAACGAAAAGGTTATTTTGAAATTGCTGAGATTGAGGAAGCAGAAAAACCCTTATTAAAACGTAATTCAAGGTTAGTGGGAAACAAAAGTAAAGAATATACATTTATCTATAGATGGATTAACGAATGGAAAATAGTACAAGTTTATCCCAATCAAATTCAACAGAGTCATTTTCAAAGGAAGATATACTTCGAAGAATGGAAGAAGATAGAGAAAGGGTAAAAAGTTTATAAAGAGAGAGGGATTTTAGGATTTTTTTTTTAGTAATAATGTAATAATAAATAGCATAAACGATTAAGAGAAGAAATTTGGATACGACCAGCTGAAGAAAGCAGAGATGCTGAATTTGAAGAATTTTGGAATACAATAGAAGCATTAGATCCTGAAACTGATTATGAAATTATGATGAAGCAAAACATGTTACGACTTCCTAATTATGCTTGGCAAACACAGTTTAATCAAAGATCAACCTCATTATAAAAGACATAATAATAAACTAAATAATTGAACACTATTTACTGTTAAAGAGAAGGAGGGAGGGGAAAGTATAATAGCTCTATTTATTCCAAATTATATATAAATATATGTTTTTTTTCTGTATCACACACAATCATAAATAGATGTAAGGATATTATTGTTATTGTAGTAGTAGTGCATATAGTTATATAAATAGATGTATTCAATTTTTATTCTGAACGTGAATGTCCACTTTTGAACGTGAACGTATACAAATAAGAAAAGCCCAATTTTTATTGGATCAGTTTTAACTGGCTCCCCTTCAATAATTCATAATATGACTTGTATGTTCTCTTCTTCTTCTTCCCCGAGAGAGAGACAGAGAAAGAGAGTTCTTTCAAAGAGATGGTTATTATTATTTAAAAAGCACATAAAGATGTAAATATTTTATAATGATTTCTTTGCCAAGACGAACATGATGGATGAAAATATCTTCAAAGCCAAAATAAGCCTTAAACAAAATTTTTCTTAAAATTGAGGAAAATAGATGTTTTAGATATTATAAATCCACTTTATGATTGGTATAGATTATTTTTGGGTTTTAAAGCAATAGTAGTGATTATGGTTGTTGTTAGTGAAAAGAGTACTAATTTAAACATATTTACATTGCATATGATTAAATATATTATATATTATTGTTACTATAGAAGATCCTATTTACTTTCTTTCTTTCCTTTATTCACATTATAGTAAACTTGTTTCAACTATGGTAGCAATGTTACTTACTTTAATCAAAAAAAAAGAAAAGACTTGTTCTTCATTCTATGTAGTATTGAAATGTCGTCTTTTTTCTCTCTCTCTCTCTCTTTCATTATTTTTATTATTTTTATTATTATTTTTTTAGCTCATTTAGAATCTTAAACACGGTTATTGTCTATTTGTAGATAATATCTCTATTTTTATTTATTTATTCAGCAACATTTAAATCGGGGTTTGAAATAAATAAGACAACTATTATCAAATATAAAGGGTTTATAAAAATAAGAAAAAGGGGAGGGGGGAAGCAATTAAGACAATTTTTTTTCTTTTTCTTTTTCTTTTTATTCTGTAAACTATTTCATGTTAAACGTACATCCTATACATTCGCCCGAATTTAAAATTCATTTAGATAATGATGAAGTTATATTACGAGGTACAGCAGAAGAGTCAGCAGGTGTTATGTTAAGAGGAAGCGTTTTATTTATTTGTCATGAACTTACAAAAGTGAAATCGATTACATTAAAATTCATTGGTACGACAAGCGTGAATTGGGTAGAAGGTAGAGACGATAATGATTAGAAAGAGTAGAGTGTACTAAAAGTTTGATATAAAACAATAGGTCTTGGAACCCATCAAAAGCACTATAAATCTGAACGTAAAATTATTGAAAAGGAATGGACATTTTTAGAGTTAAAAAAGAAAGCTTATCAATTATGTTCAGGTCGATATAAATGGTAAAATTAATTATACAACAAGTGTATTTTTTTTCTTTATAGTAATTCTATATCTGTTTCTATTTCTTAAATAGGGATTTTGCTATACCTATTCCAGGAAATTTACCAGAATCAATCTATCATGAAATGGGACAAGTTCAGTATAAATTAAAAGCTTATTGTGATCGACCTACGTTTTCTATGAATTATGTAGATAGAAGACATATTAAGATTATTAGACATATGTTACCAACATCCTTAGATTTATCTCAATCTATCATTATTTCAAATATTTGGACAGATAAAATAGCCTATGATATTAGTATCCCTAGTAAAGTCTACAGTCTCAACAAACATATCCCAATTTCTTTCGATTTATTACCTATCGCCTCTCACCTTAAAATTAAATCAGTCATCTGTTCCTTGAAAGAATACATTACTTTTCGTACTTTAGATCATCATCATAAAACTGAAGGTCGATTAATTAATTATATTCGTGACGATCAATTCATATTTAATTCTGATACAGGTCATTGGTCAAAAACTGAATTATTACCAATCTCTACCACTCAACAACAACACGTTCATTATGATATGTGCGGTGAATTAATTCAAGTAAAGCATAAACTTAAATTTATTGTCGCCTTACAGAATGCGGATGGTCATATTTCGGGTAAAATGACTGGAAATTTTTTTTATTTTTTTAATTTTTTTTTTAATTTTTTTTTTATTAATCATCAATAATGCTATTAGAATTAAGAGCTGCTATTCCAGTTATTATAGCTCCGATGATTCCCGAAGAGGATGGAAATGAGTTACCTGCTTATGAAGATGCTTGGAGATCAATTCCTTGTGATGCTGAAACTTTAACCCCTTTAATACATGTTCCTAGAACAAATTCATTACCTTCAATTGATTCGAATTCCTCACTATCATCAACATTGTCTAATCATCAACAACAAGACGACTTATTAACTCCCGAACCCTTGCCTTGGATGGGTTTTGATATTTCTCGTGTACCCTCATATGGAACTGCTTTACGTTCAAGTGTTCCCTGTACTTTAACACCGTCACTTCCTAATTACGAATCCATTGTCATTGTATAAATTAGTATTATTGTTATTATTATTTTTGTGTGTATATATTTGTATTATTATTATTGTTATTATTTTGATTTATTTATTCAAAAAAAAAAAAAAAAACTTTATCATTCTATCTATCCTATTATATAACTCGTGTTCATTATTATGAAAAAAAAAAAAGTAAAATACATGTATAAAAAAGGACTTTAAAAATAGTTTTATCTGACTGAGTTGTACAACCATTCCATGACTATTACGACTGCTTTATTGATTTAAAGTTAAAGAAATAGTAAAATAAACTATTTAAAATAAATAACTTTTATGACATTTGTGTATAGGTTCTTTTACTCTAATAAACGAATTATTATTAAATAATACAAAAAAAAAAACTCCCATTTTTTTTAATATTTTTGACTATTGTGCATTTGTTATCTAGATAAACGCAAATACCACATTTTAGCGTGTAACTAAAAAAAAAAAAAAAAAAAAAAAAAAAAAAAAGAGAGGAGTCAAAAATTAAGGAACGAATCGTTAAAGCCCAGACATGAATAAAAAAAAATTAAAAAGTTATATCCAATCAAAATTCGGTATATCTTTTTGTTCTTAACTTTTCTTTTTCCCCACCCAGCAAACCCCTCTTTTATTCTTTTTCTCTTTATTTTATTTTTTTAATTTTTTATTGTATTTTTTTTTTTTTTAAAAAAAAGAAAACTGCCTATATTAATACAAATATACAATATATACAAAATATATATTTTTATATATTTTTTATTTATTTATTTATTTTATTTATTTTATTTATTTTTAAATGCCTATCAGGGCTGCAAAAACGATAGTTAAAAAACTATCAAATTATTATTATAATTATGGAAAACTAGTTTCTTCTCGAACTTATTTATTACTACTCTTTTCTCTTTCTTTTATATCCTATTTTTCATTACCAATCATATCCAAATATTTTCACCATGTTGTGTCTTCGAATAGTAATATACCTTTATCTCATATATCTACTTCTTTGGATTCCCAATGTTGGCATGCTTCAGCTCATGTTCAATTCAATAATTTTACCCTTAATCAACAACCGCCAACTACTTATTTAATAGCAGAACAAATACGTTTATCTTTACCAGATCAGTCTGTTAATTTTGAATTAATAGAACAGGCAAAAAAAATTTATGAAATGATCACAACAACGGTTGTTAATATGGATGGTGAAGCAGCTCCTGTTTCTTTGGCTACTATCTGTTATCAACATAGAGGTCATTGTCTAATTCTTGCTCCATCTTTTAACCAATTAAAAGATGAACCTAGTTGGAGATCAAAAACGTATATTCATCATTATCCAGAATATGACACGCATCCTTATTCAGTTTATTCAAATGCTACTTTTGATTCTAAGGGAATGTTCATTAAAGCAGATGCTGTCTTGTTAACATTTATATTAAATCAAACACAACATGGCAATTCTGTATTCATTTGGAATAAAATTTTAGAACAAGTTAAATTAAAGCTTCATATTTTGGATATTCAACAAGAAGGTGACTCCTTTATTTGGTCTGCCTCATCAAATATTTTGCCACAAATGATACAATATAAAGTAAAAAAAAAAAAAAAAAAAAAAAAAAAAAAAAAAAAAAAAAATCAGGGGGTGGGGTTTAATTAACAAAATTTGAACTGAAACAATTTTTTTTTCTTTTTTTTGATATATAGTTTAATTTACTTCCTTATGATATCTCGTATAAAGTCCAAATCTCTATTCTAGTTTATATCGGAATCTTTTTCTTAGTTTCATATACATTTGGAAAATCAAATTTAGTGAAATCAGGTTATACATTTGGTTTAGCTTCTATCTTTCTATCTATTGCTTGTTTCACAACGACTTGGGGCATTTTTGACAAGTTGGGAATGTCATTTCATTCTGTACCTTGGTATCTTTTATTACTAGTTATCAACATTGGTTCATTGGAGAATATATTCTTATTAACGAATGCTGTTATTGATGCTGGTTGTGACATGATTGTAAAGGAAAAAATCAATAGAGGTATTTTATCCTTATCATATATGTATATTTACATATATATAATCAGACTGCTTATAAATATATATATAAATACATATTTGTATATTTTTAGGGTTACAAAATGTCGGTGTCCCCATGACTGCAACACTTACAGCAGAACTTTTAATTCTTCATATTGGATCACAAATGGATACTGAATTGATAAAAGAATTTTGTGTATTTGCAAAAATGGCATTATTAGTAGATTTTATATTAGAAATGACGTTTACTATAGCTATACTTTCAATTGACATTAAACGAGTCGAGGTATGTGTATATATGCATATCTTTCTTTCTTTCCTTTTTCTTTTAACTAATCCATTTTATTTTTTTAGTTGGCTGATTTAGATGATCGTCAAATGTCTAAAAGACTTCATGAACTCTCTGGCTTTGATTTCGAAAAAGAAAGACAGAATCCTGATTTTTGTCCTATTCAAGATACAAAAAATAAAGAAGATTCAAAATCTTGTGCAGAATGTAAAGATTTTAAAACACATCGAGTTTATAACGCGTTCATGGTAATACATCTTTTCTTCTTCTTTTTATTTTTTTTTCTTTCTTTCCAAGACTTACTTGTCTTTTTTTTCTTTCCGTAGCTATGCTTAATCGTTCTTGCCTTGTCTTTGTTTTGTTCTAAAGAAAAACATAGTCATACATCTTTATCTTCATCAAATACAATTGAACAGCAAGCACACTTTTTTAATTATCAACCTGATTTAAGTCAATTATCAGATCAATTTTGGTCTACTGTAAATCCACAAAAGGATATTACTTGGCTTCAAATTCAACCACCTCAATTAATTATCTATGATTCAGATATTAAACGCGCTAAGAACCATTTAAATCGTTTACAATATTTATATCAAATGAAATCAATGTCGATTCGTTATAAAGCTGAGCATCGTTCTTCTCTTTTTCGTATGTTCATCTTTTCTATCTTACAAAAGTTCTTTACCTTTATACTCAGCATCAATATCCCTATCTTTATTCTTTGTTTGGTCATGATCGGGATCATTACCTGGATGACTCCTAAATGGCGAAAACAATGGTTGGTACCTCTTCTTATTCGCTATTTTAATCAAATGGTCTTGACTTTAATTCGTTGGTTTCCTTTAAGATGTCTCTATTATACTTTAATTAAAGGTCAAGCTTATGAAGGCTTGAATAAGGAATATGATGCAGATGGTATACATCATCGTGGTGCAATTGCTGTTCAAAATATTTTTAATCAACAACAATATCGTTCTAATGTCAAGACGGTCCAGATACGTACTTTAAGTCATCAACATGTGGCTGATATTCAAGGTTTAGATGCAAATGCAGGTCATAGTTTAGTTTCTTGTGGTCAAGATGGTCGTATTATCTTATGGAATGCAAGTCCTAAAAAGGCTACATGGGCTGCAAGACTTGATAAATTATTCCCTATTCGTGGTGGTGGTCTTCAAGCGACTCTAAACCCATTTCTCTCTTCTTTCGACAAAAGGAAATTATCTGTTCATCATCATCATCAACAACAACAAAGAAAGAAATCAAATCAGGCTATTTTATTATCTAAAAATTATCTTTCAAAGCCTCGTTGTGTTAAAATGGATCAAGGAAATAAATGGATAGCTGCAGGTTATGATAATGGTATGATTCGTGTCTGGAATGCAAATACTGGCCTTCTTTTTAGAGAAATGGATATACATCCTCATACGCCTTCAGTAGAGGTTCAACAAGAATCATCCTCTCATCTTCGTCATCGATTCAATCAAGATATTACAAATGCAGGTACTTTCTCTAACTTGAGTTTTACAACGAAAAAAAAGGGTCGTATGGATCCTATTTTATCTATTCGATTCATGGGTGCTATTGCTGAATATTGTCATCCTATCATTGCTGAAGCAGCTGCTCGTTGTCGAACGTCAGATACAGAGGAATCTCAAAATTTTATTATCTCTGCTCATAAAAGTGGTGTTATTCATGAATGGAATATTTTATCGGGTGAATGCATTCAGACAGTTAAAACGGGTCATACCAAGGAGATAACGCAATTGCATGTGGTGGATTCAAAGGTACCTCATCGTAAATTGGGGGTCACTTGGGTTTTCACCGCATCCAAAGACGGTACAGTCAATTGTTGGGAACGTCGATTAGTCGTAGTCGTTCATGCTACCAAACGAACCGCACAGCAGGATACAGAAGAAGAAGAAGAAGATCTGGATAGACAACAAACAACGCGTTGGACTTTAATGTATACTATTAAACAAAATTATCCTGTTACATCCATTGCCACTGAGGCACCTGTTGGAGGTATGGGCATCTTGGTGATCGGCTATAGTGATGGTTCTGTGAAAGCATGGAATTTTGAAACAGGTGAACCTGTTTGTACATTATCGTATGGTAAATCAAGGTCATCTTTATCAAATGATCCCCTTGGTATCGATGCTAATCATGTAGGAGGTCCTCTTCGTCAATTCTCCAAATTATCAAATCATCGTGCAAGTGATTCCTCTGATAATGATAATGATGATGATGATGATGATCATTCATCTGATCCACCATCCTCTTTTACTTCTTCACATTCTCGCCGTATATCAGATCATCATGGAGCCATTTATCAAGTAGCAGTCACTCGTTATTGTGAAGTAGAGAATGGACCCGGTCTTTGTCGTGGTTGTGATACTTGTTTTGGAAATGGATTTTTAATTGCATCTAGTAGCATGGACAATAAGGTTCATGCATGGCGTTTAGAGCGTGCTGATAACAATCATGAAGGTACTTGTACGTTATGCACAAAGGATTATCATCGTAAACAATATAAGCATCGTAAAACCTCAGTTAGTAGTAGTAGTAATACGAATAATAATAATAATGAAGATGGTGATCCTGCTATCTTGGCTACTATGAATAACGATAACAGCAACACTAGTCATAAAAGAAGAAGAAGAAGAAAATCTAGTCAGCATGGAGAAAATGCGAGTATGATAGCAGGGAAAAGGAAACATATGAATCATACCAAGACAAATAATACAAATCCATCTGAGGATACCTTGGAATTACTTGATATTGAGCAATTAGTCGATGATACCCATATTCAACTAAAGCCCACCTTTCTTGGTAAAGTAGATCAACCAGCGGGGCATGGTGTGATCTTTTGTGACAAGATTTTAGCAGGTGTACGTCGTCGTCGTCGTCGTCATCATCAACCTCAACAACACCGTCGTCAACTTGAACAATCACATAAGGAACATGGTGAATGGGAGGCATGGTTTGCATCTTTACAATATTATGATCCATCCGTTGTAGATGAAAGTGGGCATACAACTACGATGAAAATTCCTCTTGAGACCTTTATCTTGGATGATCCTCAGCAAGATATCCAATTACAACCAGACTCGCCATCCTCTCAAACACAAAAGAGTTCATTTTTCGGTCTTTTCTCCTTGTCGTCTTCATCAAATGCTGGTTCAAAACATGACGAGAAAATCATAAAAGATCAATTAAAATATAAAGGAATTCATGCGCATTCAATTGATCATGAGTATACAAGAAGAAAAGTAGATAAAGAAGAAGAAGAAGAAAAGGAAGAAGATATGGAAGAAGAAGAAGAAGATAGATTAGAAGCAAGTGAAAATTTACCATTTTCAGCAGTACGTCATATTATACCCCTGGATGGATCAGGTTTAGCTTGTGATTTTGGTAATTTTATAAAACTAGTCTTTCTTCAGAAGCCTAGTTTAACAGAAAAGGAGAGATTAAGACAAACAAGAGATGTGATGGAAGATCCAAAGTATAGATCAAGAGAGACGATAAATGAAGAAGAAAATAGTTCAGAGTGTCAATGTACTGAAGATACATGTTCGTTGGCTACAAAGGGAAAGAATGGATGTTGTGGTGGAGTGAATAAAGAAAAGAATGGTGGACAATGTTGTGGTAACGGCAAAAGTATTAAACAAAAGCAACAAGCCATTAGAAATCAAAAGCTATTGTTAAAGAAAAAAACCGCTCCAACGAATAGTTGTTCAGGATCAAATGGTGGTAATCTTACTGAATGTGCTTTAAAAAACAATTGCTCTCGTGCTTCAGAATGTGCTTCATCTAATCAACAGGCACTTGCATCAAGTATATCCACTTTATCTTTTAATCATTGGCTATAAAAAAAAAAAAAAAAAAAAAAAAAAAAAAAAAAAACTCATATCATTACCGCCTTTTCCCCTCCTTTCACACGCATACTCACTCACTCACACTCGCACACTCTCTCTCTGTGTGTGTGTGTGTATTGTGTTGTGTTTACTTGAAGGGAAAATAAAATAAAACAAAATAAAACAAAATATACATATATGCATACCCACTTTTATTACTTTAGCTTTATACAATAATAAAAGAATAGTATTTATTGCAAACTTTATTTTATTAAAGTACGCTCACTATAAATAAAAGAATCATATACACATGTATCATTATTCAATTTTAGATAGAAATAACCACACTCTACTTTCTTTACTCTATTCAGTGTAACGATAATCATGAATATCGAAACTAAGAAAAGACTTTTTTTTTTTTTTTTTATTTCTAATACATTAAGCTTACACGACAAAAAAAAAAAAAAAAAAAAAAAAAAAAAAAAAAAGAAAAATCAATTTTATTATTTATATTTCTATTTTCGTTATTAGATGGAGTTCTATGATAATGACGATCTACTGCTATTACGTAAAGGATACATTTTAGAGTCATTTTTTCATAAGCCAAGAGATTTTATTATACAATAACAGCTTTAAGATGTATATATCTCGTCATTTTTTTTTAGCATCATAATAAAAAAAAACTAGAATAGTAGACTTTATTGCTCTCTCTTTTACTTTTAGATAAGCTACTACTACTGCTACTACTATTAATAGTGTAGTACTTTTTTTTTCTTTCGTTCTATCTTTAGCAAACATCATTCTATATTTGTTTTTGTTTTTTTTCTTTTCAACTAAAACAGTAGTAATAAAATAGAATTAATAAATGTACATTGTATCCTTTAAGGAAAAAAAAAAAAAAAAAGAAGCCTCAATTGAGGCTTGTCTCTTATTTTTATTTATTATTAATACTACATAATAATAATAATAATAGCAGGAAGGGATGAAACTATTAAATGTGATTGGAGGAAAAAGGCCCAAAAGTAAGTAAACTTATTATGCATTATACAAATATAGTCAAGTTAATTAAGTAGTTTTTGTTCATTATAATAATAATAATAAGCATCACATGTTGCTACTAATGGCTTATTATCATTATTATAATCATACCTTATTTTTTTTTTTTTAATTTCCCCCTCAGAATAATTATGTACTAAAATAATTATGATGATCGTCAATAAAAGTAGTCGCTTTTTTTTTTTTTTTTTTTTTTTAATTCATTGCCAAGAGACAAAATAAGCCTTACATCATTTTATTAAAAGGCATAAAAAAAAAAGTCTGCATTTTATTATTTTAAACTTTACAGTGGCTAATTTCTTTTACCAATTCCTGTTTCAAGATTTTATTATTATTTTCTTTTTTTTTTTTTTTTTTTTTTTTCATGCATACATGAATCTATATAAATACGGGCTAAGAAATTTTCTTTTCTTTTTTTTTTTTTTTTTTATAAATATTTATTTATACAAATCATTAAAAAATGTTCAAGAACACTGCTACTTTTATTTTATTCTTCTTTGCTTTTATTATCTCCTTAACCTCTGCTCTTGTTATTAATCCTAAAATTACAGTTCCTAATTCACACACGAAATGGAGAGCAGGAAATACGTATATTGTAAAATGGAAGACTACATACCAGGATTACGGTAGCAATAAAGCAATCCCTATTCCTGATGACTATAAGGGTACAATCAAATTGGGTTATCTTGATGAAAGAAAGGATCCTTATAATGAACACCTTCTTTGGGATGATCTGGCTTCTGGTTTTAAATTAAATGCTGGTTCTCAAACTATTACTTTACCTTCTGATCTTGAGACAAAAACATCTTACATTATTGTTCTTATGGGTGACTCTGGTAATGCCTCTCCCAAGTTTACTATTCAAGCTGCTCGTTAAAAAAAAATTATACCAATTATAATTTGTATTATATATCCTCCCCTCCCCTCAACAATTTATCTTTATTTATATGTATTTCTATGTTACATATATCTATGTATATAAACACACACACATATATATAATATACAATTGTGTATATTTTCTTTCTTTTCTTAAATAAACTAAAATACATGTAATTTTTATTTTTTCAAGCCTGCAACATCTTCTGCATGTTTCTTTAATTGCTTTAGAGAGCCAACACCGAAAAAAATAGAACTTAATGTCCATTTCAGTGTATTCAAAGGACTATACCAACCTCGACCAATACAGGTCAATAGTGTAAAAGTACCTTCACATAGATGCAAGACAGTCAAGCCTTTGAAGCATTTTGAAAGTAATTCTGTCCCGATTTTAGTTCGTACCTGTAATAATTGAAGTGGAAATTGACGTTCTAAATAATCATCTGACGTGTATGTGAATAATGTTAAAAGGCCAATAAAAGTACCAATCATCAACATAGAATTTGTATCTGGTAAATAAAAACTATTGAGAGGGACATGAGGTTGAGACGGAGTATAGACATCTGTAGTTGAAGCTATTAATGCTTTAGCTATAGCCTTTAATGGAGGTGGTCCTGAAAGCGAACTAGGCTAATCATATATGTAGTTAATAATACTTTTTTTTTTGTGTGTGTGTGTGTGTGTGTATAATGTATTATTATTTATTTATTTATTTACTAATCCTAAAGCAGTTTCTGCTTCTTTTGCCATCTCTTCTAATATAGGTCTAATCTCTTCTCTCTTTTTTAACGGTGTCTTAAATGGTATCGTTAGTTGATATACTTTAGAATCATTAGGCAGTTCATAGTCAAGAGTGAAATTTTTAGAGTTAATACTCTTAAACTTTGCTTTGGTTGCATTATCAATTTTCCCGAAATATCTCACGTAAGCAAGATTTGTAGCTTTATAAATATGTATATTCATATATGATGAATAAATGCACAATAAGGTTTTTTTTATATGTATACATATGAATATAACTACCTTCATGTACACTCATGTAAGCTGAAATGGGAGCACTATGAGGAGCAATCGGATCTGCCATTTATAATGATCGTATATTTGGGTTTTTTTTTTTTTTTTTTTTTTTTTTTTTTTTTTTTTTTTTTTTAATAATAATAAAAAAAAAAGAACAATAAAATTATTAAGAATGAACAATTGTTATTTTATCTCCTTTTGAATTACACAAATAACAAATTGTTTCAAAACAGGAAATTATTATTGCCTGCTATTACGACGATAACTTTTTTTTTTTTTAATGCAACAATAATAAGCTTATTTTTTTTTTTTCTGTGTTAACCTCCTCACTCCTACTTTTAATGAATCGGCTATATTTGGAGTATTTTACATTAATGCAGCAATAATGAATCCGTATGCTGCTTATTTATCGTATCGTGGGAGGAGGAAAATGATTTAACCATTTTATTTATTATTATCAATGCTAGTTCAAAAAAGAAAGAAAGAGAGAGAGGCTTGACAAGCCATTCGAGCTTTTATATAGAGAATAGTTTTTCTTTTCTTTTTTGTTTCCATTATCAAAAGTATGGAATTTATTTTATAACAAAAGTTAGTTGAGGATAGTTATCACATATCTAAATAAGCGCTTATAAATAACGTTTGTATACACATACAATTATGTGTTTACGGTATTATGGTAAATATTTAAAATTCTTCAAATGATTACAATTCCTCTTTCTAGACAAAACATCAATATATTTATATTTTATTTATATTTCTTCTTTGCCGTTCTTCTTCTTTACTTGTTATTAATATTCATTACTCCTATTAAATGCCATTTGACAGTACAACTACCAATGACTCTTCTACCACATTAATTTCAAGATGGAAGGAAAGATTCTTTACTTTTTATACTTTGTGTAAAATAATATCATTAAGTTTGAATCTTATATACATGGTATATACATACATACATATATGTATATAAAAACAAAACTAGTGATTTATAGTGAATAAGTACACTAAAGTAATTTACACGTAATAAAGGCAAGAATCATTGAATACACATATAGAACTGGAACAATTATTATGAGTACTATTTTATATCATATTCATATATAATATTCTCAATTAATATAATGTTTCAAGTTCCTCAGCATAAAAGTTCAGGAACATCGTTTTTATTTGTTCAACTTGTGATGGGATGTTTTATTATGTTTTCTTTAATTGTAGATTTTTTTATTCTCACTACTGTAAGTAAAAAAAATAAAATAAAATAAAATAAAATAAAAATTCAAACATTCAGACAGATATTGTTTTAATAATATTGTATAGTCAAAATTGAATGTAGCTAACTGGTATTGGCAGCCTGGAATCCTTTTCTTTATATTAACGTGTGGAAGTTTTTTATTTACTATTATAGATATCATGATAGTCAATAATGATATACAATTGGGTTCTTGTATGCAACGATTCACAGAGAGTGATACCTCATATCTTTTACTATTAGAAATATGTCATTTAAAGATACGTCTAAATCATCTATTTACAATGGCTGTAATAATGAGAGATTTTTTTACAAGCGTAAGAATGATGGTTGTCTTCTAATTCGATACATTAAATATTGATATATATATTATGACAATTATAGGGATTATATGTCACAGCAAGCTATTATTATATGTTTAGATTAATTCAAACATTACAAAGAAGGGATTCATTAGATACAGCGATGCATCTTATATCGAATAACTATAATTCTCCATCAATGACTCAATAAATCGTTTTATTTATAGTAATAAAAAAAAAAGCATGTACAAAATTAAAGGTATTTGTTTATAATCCTATGTTTTATCTTCGTCTTCTATCATCGTCCCTTCTTCTTTCACGTTCATCCCTATAATGTTCATGATCTCGTCGATAATCTTTTCTATCATCTCTTCTACTTTCTCTTCTATAATCGTCATCTCTTCTACGATCCTCGTCTCTTCTACTCTCTCTTCTATAATCATCATCTCTTCTACGATCTTCAACTCTTCTATCTCTTCGATAATAATCCTTTTTACTTTCTCTTCTGCTATTATCATCCTTTATTAAAGATCGATCATCTGTTTTATTTCTCTTTTTCTCTCTTTCATTTGTATCAAATACCAAGTCGTAATTATCTCCATGATTTGCATCACCTTCTCTATATCTTGTTCTCTTTGTAAGATTATCGAATCCTCCCATTGACTGAATATTACCACCTGTTCTTCTACTAATCCAATCCTTATGAAGTTTTGATACAGATTGCGAGAAATCAACATGAATACGTCGATCATCTATAAGCACAGATTGCATTTTAAAATATGCCTTTTTTTTTTTGAACAAAAAAATAAGTAATCAAAATTCTCTTCCTTTCTCTTTCTCTCTCTCCTTTATACCTCTTCTGCATCTTCTTTATTCTCAAATTCAATAAAAGCATAACTGAGAGAATCACCAGTAATTCTATCACGAATGATTTCACAACTATGAATAGGACCAAATCGAGAAAAAATTAATTCCAAGTCCTCATCTCTTGTTAAAGGATTCAATTTGCAAACAAATAAAACATTCTCGGGAGGTTTTACTTCAGCAAAGGGCAAGTCACCAATCATTTCTAGAGTGAGTGCATGAGCCTTTGCTTCTCTCTCTCTTGCTCGTTCCTCTAATTCCTCTGGATCACCCATTTCCTCGATATTTTCATCATCGGCAATACGCATGGATTCTAATTGTTCTTTTGTGGGTAAAGGAGATTGGTCAGGAACCTGGAGCCCCTCTGGGTCAGGAAAAGGATCATCTAAAATAACTGTATGTTTAATACGAATATCACGATAAGGTCTTCCCTTTTCATCGCAAAATGCATTGTTTATTTTATCGAGTACTTCAAATCCTTCAGCTACTTCACCAAATAAAGTATATTTGCCGTCCAAATAATCTAAATCATCGCCTAAAGTAATAAAAAACTGACTTCCACTCACACCTCCACTTTCTAATGACCCATCCTGAGCAACCGCCATCGATACCATGCCGCGTTTTTTATGTTTTAATTTAGGATTAATTTCAGCAGGAAAATAGCGCTGAGATGATCCATGTAAGATACCATAAATTGATTCACCTTGATCTCCCTTACCAGTAGGATCTCCTGTTTGTGCCATGAAATCTTTCTGTACATTAAAAAACGGTGCAAAGTTGTAATATTTAATTTTGCAAAGTTTTAAGAAATTAAGTGCGGTTTTTGGACATTCATCTGTGTAAAGATCAATGACTAAATCACCTAACGATGTCTCTATTAAAACTGACTATGTTGAAAAAAGAAGAAGAAGAAAAAAATGCACAGGTAATTTATATTTAGCATCATTATTATCATTTTAGGACCTAAGGGTAAATTTACCATATAATCTGTTTTATGAATTTAGTATTTACAAAAAAAAAAAAAAAAAAAAAAAAAACGGAAAATTAATAGTGAATTTTCATTAACATCGGCAATTAAATGTTTTATTTTTTTTTTTATTTATTTATTTTATTTTATTTTATTTTATTTTATTTTTAAATAATATTACAATAAATGGATTTAGTTACATCTCTTGACTCATTATCAAAACATGGACTTCAATGAACCTTATTCTTCGGTTTCCTTTCAATACAAGAAACTCACATCACCTTACCCATACAATAAAATGAATAATAAATCAACACCTTTTTTATCTAAAAGGCAGCGAATGATCAGACAACTTAAGCATCATTATAGAAGCATCTTTTTTCTAATATGCTTCATCTTGTTCATCATGTATCATACACAAGGTATAATTTCCAACTTTTTAACTTTTGTAAAAATCAAGATGGATAATACTGTGTTTGATCGTGGCTATGTGCCCTGTGGATCACTTAGAAAGCAGCCAATGTTATTTGTTCAAGATACTCAGCATGTTCAAGTTGTCTGGGAAATGAATTGTGGAATGTCTAATAAGGAAATGACACTTAGTTATTGGAATAGGGATGCACCTAATGATAACAAGATAACAATGGGTCCTATCGAACCAAAGGTATTGGATCCATCTCATACACTGTATAGAGCAACGATTGGACCTATCAAGACAGGAGGACAAATCGACTATATTCTCGAAAGTAAGGAAAGGGATACCCAAAAGAAAAAGATAGTAGCAAGGAACACATTTAATTGGTTTAATGATATTGAAAATCAACCTATTCGTATTGCGGCTATGGCCGATAATCAATTTGCCATGCTGATATTCTCGTCTTTATTGCGTCAAATCCGAAAACTCCCTAAGCAGAGCCGACCTCATCTTTTACTCCATGCAGGTGACGCTGTACAGAATTATCATTCATTAAGACAATGGCAGACTGATTTTGCTGGACCTTTAAGCATGCATGGATTACTTCAAACTATGCCCATGATCTATGCTCATGGTAATCATGATTACGATTTTAGGGGGGAATACATCTATACTCGCAAACCGCAGGATAATGGGGCCCCCTGGTTTGCATTCTCTATGGCAAATAATGCCATTCGATTTATCATCTTGGATAGCAATCTGGATTGGGAGTTGCAAGATCAATGGTTAAAACAGGAAATAGCCTCTGACGATTTCAAAGAAGCTCAATTTCGGATTGTCGTTGTTCATGTCCCTCCCTTTTTGGAGTATTGGGACCCTGAAGCTTGGTTTCAGCAACGACAGAGTGAATGGGGTGCCTTTATAAAGGATCGATATGTACCTCTCTTTGAGGAAAGTCATGTTGATCTTGTTATTTCAGGACATCAACATAACTATGAGAGAGGGGAACGTAATGGCGTTCACTATGCTATCATTGGTGGCGCTGGCGGTGATATCGATTATGAGCAAGTTAAAGATTGGGGCATGTATGAGGCAAAATTGTTAGACTTTCATTTTGTCATGCTTGAATTTAACCCACCAGCAGTAAAGGAAACTGACAGTTGGACTTTACAATGGGATACTTTCAACAGGAATGGACAAAAAGTAGACTCTAAGCTCATATTTTCTCGATTTAACAAAGATAGCAATAGTAATTCGATTTCATGATGATTGTACATATTATATTCATGTTATTTAACATACATGTTAGAATAATTTAATAGCAATACATAATAAATATATAAAACTAAACACATATTTTATTTTTATTACTACTGTTCTTGTGAGTAGAAAAGGAGAGGGAAATAATAATAATAATAAAAGTATTATTTAAAAAAGACCAACAACTTCACCACTTTCATCTAAATCTACATCAAAGAAACATGGACGGGTAGGTAATCCAGGCTATTCAATATAAAACAAATTAGTTAATTCCAAATATTGCAAAAAAAAAAAAAAAATGTAATTACCATTGTTTGCATAGCGCCAACTAAAGGATAGAGGAAGCCAGCACCTGCAGAAGCACGGATATCACGAATTGGAACAGTAAAGCCAGTTGGGACACCTTTAAGTGCAGGATCATGACTAAAACTGTATTGAGTCTTGGCCATACAGATAGGAAGATGATCAAAGCCTTGACGAGTATAGGTTTCAATTTTTTCTTTTGCCAAATCACTATATTCAACACCATCAGCACCATAGATTTCGCGACAGATACTTTCAATCTTCTTTTCAATTGGGAGATCAAGATCATATAAAAACTTGAAGTGGCTAGGTTGTTCACAAGCATTAATAACTGCCTTACCAAGATCAATAGCACCAAGACCACCACGAGCCCAATGATCACACGCAACAGCATCAAAGGCACCTGCTTCTAAAGAAACCTTTCGAATAAGTTCCATTTCAGCATCTGTATCAGACCTATATAATAATAATAATAATAACAAAAAAAAAAAAGACTTAATATTCTACATTGCACATTACATAATATTCAACTTATTTTACGTGAAACGATTAACGGCAACCACAACAGGAACACCAAACTTCTTTGCATTTTGAATATGTTTTGCCAAATTGCAACAACCTTTTTCAAGGAGTTCCAAATTCTCTTCATTGTAAACATCAGGTAAAGGTTTACCAGCAACAACCTCTGGACCATCGCCATGTGTTTTAAGTGCTCTAACGGTAGCCACAATAACGACAGCATTAGGTTGCAAACCAGATACTCTACATTTAATATCAAAGAATTTTTCCATACCCATATCAGCACCAAAGCCAGCTTCAGTAATAACATAACCAGGTTCCATATCAGGTCCATCAGAACCGGCTAACTTGAGTGCAATTTTGTCTGCTAAAATAGAAGAGTTACCATGAGCAATATTAGCGAAAGGACCTCTAATGAAATAAAATATGAAATGTTATCTATTTGCTTTATATAATAATAATAATAATAAACTACTTACGCATGAACAATAGTAGGGGTACCCTCCAATGTTTGCATCAAGTTAGGTTTAATAGCATCTTTCATTAAAACAGTTAATGCACCACCAATACCAAAATCATCAGCAGTAATGGGTTCACCCGATTTAGAAGAGGCAACTACCATATTACCTAATCTTTCACGCATATCTTTTAAATCGGTTGCTAAAGCAAGAACAGCCATCACCTCACTTGCAACAGTAATATCAAAACCTGTTTGACGTTCCATACCCTTTTCAGTAGGTGCTTGACCAATCGTAATCTTACGCAAGAAACGGTCATTCGTATCAATACCACGTTGCCATGTAATCGTATTAGGATCAATATCTAAACGAACAAAACGTGCAATTTCTTCTTCAGTCAATTCATTAGGATCTGTCTTATGAATACCCAATTTTTGAAGACGTTTCAACATAACAGGAGCGAATTTACGGACACCCTTCTTAGCAGGACATAGACGATTGAAAAGAGCTTTATTTGATTGTGTATTCTCGTGGAACATGCGAGCATCAATAGCAGCAGCTAATAAGTTATTAGCAGCAGTAACAGCATGAAGATCACCTGTCATATGGAGATTAAATTCATCCATTGGGATGACTTGAGAATATCCACCACCTGCAGCACCACCTTTAATACCGAAAGTTGGACCTTGAGAAGGTTGACGAACACAAGCAAAAGCAGACTTTTTCAAATGAGCACATAGTGCTTGAACAAGACCAATAGTTGTGGTTGATTTACCTTCACCCAATGGTGTAGGTGTAATACTTTCCATATTAATTAGAATTTTTTAAAATAATTATAAAAACAGTATTTTTTTTTTTTTTACTTACCCAGTAACAACAATATAACGGCCATCTTTACGATGATTAAGTCTGTTCAATACATCAAGTTTAATCTTGGCCTTTGAAGTACCATAAAGTTCATACTAGATTTATAAATAAGTTCATTATACATTCTATCTATAAATCACGTTTTTTTTTAAAAAAAAATATATACACATATATACCTCGCTTGAATTCAAGCCAATTTCTTTACAAAGTTCAGCAATGTCCTTAGGAGTTTGAGCTTTGGCGATTTCGATATCAGAAGGAACAGGTGTTTTCAAATCTAATTCAAGAGCAGAAACATCTCTTTTACGGCTTAATGTCAAGAATCGTTCGGCACTGATAGCTGTATTTTGCATTAACATGGCTACTGTCATCGGTCCAACTCCTCCAGGAACAGGTGTAATAAATGAAGCAACTTCTTTAGCCTTTTCAAACTCAACATCACCTACCCAGCGAATACCCGATTTCTTTGTAGAATCTAAATAAAGTTCAAACTTTATTAGGAAAAAAAAAATAAAAATAAAGTGTCTAACGAAATTTTTTCAAGTATTTACCTTCTACAGCATTAGTTCCGACATCAATTACTACAGCACCAGGCTTAATCCAATCTCCTTTAATAATCTCGGCATTACCTACAGCAGCAACTACAATATCAGCTTGTTTAACCTTAAAAAAATATATATATGTATATCAGTTCTACTACTTTCTATAAAAAAAAAATACATACAATAGCTTCAATATCGTCTGTTTTTGAATGACAAAGTGTAACAGTTGCATTTTCAGCTGTTAATAAAGTTGCAACGGGAGAACCAACAATATCACTACGACCAATAACAGCAGCCTTTTTACCCACCATATTAATACCAGTCGATTTTAATAAATGAATAATGCCTTTAGGAGTACAGGGTAGAAACAAAGGTGTTGAATTTCTCTTTGCCATATTTCCAATATTAACAGCATGAAAACTAATTGCATTATGCAAGTATTATAAAATGAATAAGAAAACAAGAAAACAAAAAACAAAAAAAAATATGTTTACCCATCCACATCTTTTTGATAATCAATAGCTTCAATGACAGCAGTTTCACTAATATGAGAAGGTAATGGCATTTGAACAAGAATACCATGAACTCTATAATCGTTATTAAGTTCCTTTACTCTTCTTAAAAGTTCAGCTTGTGAAATAGTTTCAGGTAATTTTTCCATAGTTATCGAAATACCAGTCTATATATATATATATATATATAAAGAGAAAAACAAATGCATATACATATACATATGCAATTTATTTTAATATAAATACTCGTTGAAACCTTGTTATTACAAACCTCTTTAGCAGCTTTATCTTTCATTTTAACATAGATGGAAGAGTCTTCTCGGGAACCCACTTGAATCATGGCCAAGTGAGGATCAAAATGGGGGTATTTTTCTTTAATGGAGATAATCTTTTGTTTTACTTCATTACGAACAGCTCTATATACATATATATATATTTTTATAAGGGGTGGGAAGGAACCAAGATAGAAATAGTTAGTATGTACAGAATAAATAACTTGTCTATATTGTCTTGCTTTTTTCTTTATCAAGGGTATACTTTACTGTGCAATTGCTTTCCCATCAATAAGAGTTGCAGTCATTGTACTATATGAGTGTCTCGATAAAAATAAAGAAGTGAAACGAGAACGCGAAACAGCTGAGAACATTTTATTTTTAAAATAAATAAATAGATAAAAAAAAAAAAAAAAATCCTCCGGTGTGTGTGTGTGTGTGACAATCAAGTGAAGATTATTAAGGATAATATCTAAACAAAAAGGCTGTTGATTAGATATTTCGAAAGCCGAATCATCAAAATAGATCTATGATTGATTACAGTCGAAGTCCGAAGAGGAAGCTGCCATCTCAAGAAAAAAAAAAAAAGAAATCTAGTCGACATTTATGTCGTTTTATTATTTCAGGTACTATTATTAATTCTGGATAAAATTTTGTAATTCGATATCTTTTGTAATTAAATGGAGTTTTGTCGAGAATCATTAACTTGAATAGTCCTTAAAATATATACAAGTATATGCGTATGTGTATAGGAAATACGAAAAAGATTAATTTCTTTTAATGATAGATATTCTATCATATGGATGAAGCTCTGTACTTGCTGTAATATATTTTAGTTCATAATAGGTATTCGAATAGTTAATACATGTAAAATGCGTTCACTTACGTTCATAAAGATACTCATTTCTGATAGTAAACCCATTTATAAAAAGTAGAATTAAACATTGTATTTTTTTATTTATTCAAGGGGTTAAAATAGCAGATAGGCATGTGCCTGATACATACTATTACATATGAAACAAATCTTATTTCAGATACAATATTCTTACAATAAGTATCCTTTTTCTTAATGTACTTTCTAACTAAGCTGTCTATTTTGATATATAGTATATGTATTGTTTTCATAATATGAATATAATTATCAAGGTTAGAAAGAGACCTACAAGCAATTTTTTTTGTCTTTATATAATAATAAAAACTTATTAAATACTATTTATTTTATCATGTTAGAATGAATATGTGAAGCTGAATATGGGGGATGTGTTATCTCTTTAACGTTTATTGTAGGTATAGAAGGAATCTAATTTACATAGAGAATATCTTTCTTTATATTGTATCAATACAATACTGTCTATGCAATCTTATTTAACTTTTAGGGGGGGGGAAACAAAAGGTAAGGTAGAAATAGCAGTCAAAGCATACAAAAAACGCTTTATTTATCTTCTTTCACCTTTTTTTTTTTTCTAAGATGATAAATAGAGAGAGAGGGAAAGAAAAAAGGAATAAATTTTCATTTGAATAGAAGGTAAACTAAAATTGATTAAAGATGTTTTATATAATAAAGTAACAAGATGATTGAAACAAGTGTATTACTTTTAATTCTTTATACCTAGTTTGTAAGTAAAATTTTACGAATTTATGCTAATCAGGCTGTTTCCATGGTAAAATTGAATATTTTTACATGACTCTCTTCCCGCCCCCCACCCCTTTTTATTTATTCATTATTTATTTTATTTATTTATTTTATCTTTTTTCATCTTATAGAAGAAAAATGAAAATACCTTCTAGTGCATACATATCAACTTATAATGACGTGACAAAAGATAATCTCGAGTCGTATTTTTTAGACTTTTTACCTAAGCTTAAAAAGGCTTCTCATATGGCCATCGATTTTGAATTTACAGGACTTGCTAGACCTAGATCAACCGACATGAATCATCGCTATTTAACCATGAAAAAAGTGATTGAAGAGCATTCTATTGTATCTTTTGGAGTTTCAATCATGAAAAGAATCGATGCTGATGATGAAAAGAATGAACTTGATGATGATTGTAACAATTCTAGTAATGGCAATAAAAAATTTTCTTCATCTCAACCCATTATAACATCTGACTATGCGACCATCGAGAGAAAAAACAATGAATCGGAAAAAGCATGTTCTTTAAATGATACTTGTATAACAAAATCAGTACCGATAGCAGAAGAACCCAAACATAGTCAAACATATGAATGCGACAACTATAATTTTTTAACATTAAAGGAGGGTCCTTTATTGTTTAGTACAGGCAACGCTCAATTTCTTGCAGAATCTGGATTTAGTTTTGATAAACTAATTCATGAGGGCATTCCTTTCATCCCTCCAGGAGACGTTATTAGAAGAGAGAATGAAAGAGAAGAATCGAATGATACTATGACGGGCGTTGTTGCGACAACGACTGTTAGAGATACGAAATTATTCCAATTATGGAAAGCCATCTTAGGCATATTAAAATATAACAATATACCTTTAATATTACATAATGGTTTACATGATCTTATGTATCTATATCATAGTTTTATTGGTAAACTGCCTAATACACTTTCAGGCTTTATTCATAGTATTTCGAATCATTTCCCTTCAGGGATTTATGATACAAAATATCTAGCCTATGAATTAAATTTCAATGCCACTTTTTTATCGTATGTGTTCGCAAAGGCAGACCGTTTAAGACAAAATCGATTTATGAAGAGTACTAAAGAAGAGCCTTATTTTGAAGTGATTGTAAATAAGCCCATTGAACCCATAAGATTAACAAAATCCGTATCTTCTTCCAACACTAATAATATAGTACCGACTGCTACAATTACCATTACAAATTCTCAAAAGAAAAGAAAGGGATCAATTGATTCTTTACCCACTACCTTTAATAAGAAGAACAACAAGAAAAAAATAAAGAATAGTACTATCTGTAAATCATACGCTGTAAGTACCCCTATTTAAACCAAAATCAAAGAAATAGAGAGTATTCAGGTAGAATATGACTTTATATTATAGGCAAAAGGGTGGTGTGAGCTTGAAAAGACAGGTCATTCAGAACATCATAAATATAGTAAACTTCATGACATTCAGTATGTATTAGACTGGGAAATGGGAAATTCAGAATACCCTCAAGTCTATACTTCTAATCTCAAACAAGGAAATACGATAGAAGGTGCCCATTCTGCTCATTTTGATGCCTATATGACTGCATTTTCTTTTTGTTATTTCATACATACAATTCCATCAGATACTTTAAAAGAAAGTATAAACAAGATCAAGCTTGATTTTATGCCATATCCATTAAGATTTCCTTTAAAAATAAATGAATCCAACAAATCATAATTCTGCATTATATCCTCTTTTTTCATCATATTCATTAAAGCATTTTTTTTTCTTACAATTTATTTATGTATGTTGTATATGTATAAGCATTGTTTATGTAACATTTAAATAGGTCCACTACCACCAGGTATCAGCTATATAAATAAATAAATAAATAAAATGAATACTAGAGACTTTACGTTTTTAACTAATTTCTAAATTATAAACTCACAGCACAAATATTGTTTCCATTTAACAAGATTTGTTCTAATTTTTGTGTTTTATAACCCTCCTTTGTATTTTCACTAAATTTATAATTCAATGTCAAGTTAAAATGTAAATAAAAATTAAAATAAAATAAAAGCTTACTATTCTGTCACATCTTCCAAAACCATGTCTATAAAAAAAAAAAAAAAAAAAAAAAAAAAAATGGAAATGATTAGTTAAAATATAACACTATTATTATTTTTTTCAAGCAAAAATAAAATAAACTAAAAAACGCGTTCCTTGTATTAAATACTTACTAACATAATCGTCGAAACCTAATAATTTGCCTGTAAATTCTTTTTCATTTTTCATGACAACCCAAATTCTGGATCCAATACATTTATCAATTAATTCTAATCAAATAAAATAAAGAAGCATTAGTAATATTCTCTTTGACATGTATATTCCCTAAAATACAATGAAGGAAAAAAAAATAAAAGAATCACATTTTACCTAAAGGTAGTAATTGTGATGTTGCCATTTCTGTAAATTATATGAATGAATAATAATAAGAAAAAAAAAAATAAAATAAAATAAAATAACAGAGATAAATAAACAGAACGAATTGAAAAGTTGAGTTTTAAATGTTAACCTTTATATGCTTCAAGTTCATCACTAGAATGTTAGTCATCATTGCTGTTTTTCTTTAAATTTAAGCTATGATTTTCACACAAGTTCCTTTGAGCCCACTTACTAATTTATTTATTTAAAAGAAGAAGGCTTCTTTTTTTTTTTTTTCTTTAATTGTCTTTCAAATGATAACAGCCATTTCGTTTATTTGAAATGAATGGTTAGTACTACTATGGAACAAATAAGTCTATTATAATAATAAGATAGATTTATATAGCCAAAATGAAATTTGGATAAATTGTATGCTTTCAAGAGAAAATAATAAATTAAATAAAGAGAGAGCGAGCGAGTATTTTATGTATGACTATAGATATTAAGCAGGGCATCTTGAGATAGGCGCACTATCCTTTGAATCTTTAGACCATAAAGCAAGAGTAATACTTGTGGTATATGTCATTGAAATGATACCAAAAATAATAATGGCTATATCAATTGTCTTTTGTCTCCAAGATTTAGCAATCGCTTTTAAATGGAAAAGAGGAGGAAATAAGAAACAAAGAGGTACACAACACAGGGATCCAACTAAGGACACAAATTTATCCAAATCACCAGATCCTCCAATAGCAATAATCGCACATAATAAAACTGCAACAAATCTAAAAACGTTCTTTTGCCATTTCACCATTGTATTGTATTTTCCAGAACGAGTAAATAATCCATTTTCGACAATACGAATAGCAGGGAATAATTGAAGAGGAATAGATAGACAAATAGCTAATGCATATAACCCTTGAACTGTATTCACGATAGCTGTACCTGGCATATTTAATAAAATCACTGTCTGTACTTGACTACCAAATGCCAAGTAAGAAATAAATCCGACCGATAAAAAGATACCCGTAATAAAAAGCATTGTACCTGATAAGACCTTTGGAAACTTTTCCGGTTCAGCCATCGATTCAGTAATAGGGATCACTATACATACATAATCAAAAGCATTAATTTTAAGATGCATAGAATGGTGTTATTTTTTGTTTACCTAAACCAACTCCTTCATATGTGAATACAGCAGTACCAATAAACATTGGAAATGATTTATAATTGATCACCCATTCCACGTCAGCGATCCCCTGACTAGATAGTGTCAAGAAATCATAATAATATAAATAGACTAGCCCAATCAATATAAAGAGGTCAGCAATTAAAGCAAAGGATGATAACTTTTGAATCTTTCGAATCATTGCAAGTGGTACGAAAATAAGAATCTGAGCAAGAATAAGATAGGATAAAGAAATTCTGAGATCACATTGGGATACAGACTCAATTAGAGCTTGTACATTTTGGGCTACAAATACCATATATGCACAAACAAAACCGATCTATAATCATCATTCGTTATATGGAAAATAATCATAATAAATATATATTTATATACCTGAGAAACTGTAATAGCAAATAATACGGCAAAGCGCATCCCTTTGCCAAATAAGACACCACCGATATCACCAAATGAAACAGGTATTTTATTCCTTGTCTCAACTAATAGTAAAAATGTATATAATGAAATAATCGCTATTGCTGCTAATAAACCTGTAGAAAACAAGAGTCCACCATTATAAAAACTAAACAATAGAAATAAGTTTATTAATCATATAATTCTTACTTTTCCCACTCTGTAACGTATCCTGCTCTCCTCTCCTCTCCTCTCCTCTCCTTTTTTTTTTTTTTTTTTTTTTTTAGTTACTTACGCTTTAGGTAAAAACATAACACCAGTACCAACAAATGATTTTAAGAGTAAGAATACAGCCTTTGCAGGCGTTGCGGTCCCTTGAACAGCATTCGCTTGTGCTTTCCGAATCAGGGGTGACTCCTCATCTTCTCCTTCGGAAGAAGAACTTCTTCTTTTTCTTCTTCTTATACCACCTGCTTCTTCATCCTCTATTAAATCATCATCATCATCATCTTCTTCCTCTTCTTCATCATCACTTAAATCTTCACCACCAAAATGGCCATAAAGAGCCAAAAAGTCAACAAATGTTCGAGTCATCCAGTGAGGAGGATTTCTTCCTTGTCGTGTAGCTCTGTCAACGACAAAATGTCGTCTAAAACCTCCTGGATCCTTTAATCTAGCCAAAGTAGGGTCGATAGGGCCACTACGAGGGACAAAAAAGGACTGTGATCGTTGACGCTTTGCCATGTGTTCATTCTCAACATCTTCAGCCCATTTATAAATGTCGTGGGTAATAGCACCACCTGGTAGTTGATGAACACTCCATAAGTTGGAACTATTACCTTGGTCTTCTTCATTTGTAATAGACTGATGAATAGAAGTACTATGAAAAGAAGGGGATGGTGATGAATCAACAAGATGTCGTTTGACAATATTGGCTACTTTGTTATCAGGAAGATCGACACTGACTGTATGATCTTCTGGATTAAAAGTAGCAGTAGATAAGGGTCGAATAAGAGTGTTACTATTCGTTGTTAAGATATTATCTATATCTGCCGAACCATAGCTTTGATGAGAACGAATACTTTTAGGAGAAGACCCATAAATTCTGGGAATGGGTGTAGTGCTTAAGCGAGCAATTGAAGCAGCTCGATCCACTGAGCTTGATAAAGAAGATTCATTAATATATGAACTTACTTCCTTATACCCTTGTTTTGCATTTACTGGTAATGGGGAAGTCATTACTCTATAAATTTAATAATAACAATTGAAAAAAAAAAAAAAAAAAAAAAAAAAAAAAAAAAAAAAGTAAAGTAAAATAAAATAAAATAAAGCAAAGTAAAATCAATCCGAAGCTTATCCTTATTCGTACATTTTTATAGCGCTGTTTTTTTTTTTTTTTTTTTTTTTTTGCGTCCTTTTAATTAATTTATTTTTTAGAGCAGATGACCAATCTGGATTACCTAATTTTTTTTAAAAAAAAAAAAAAAAAAGGAATACATGCTAGTAACGGTTTGCTTTATATCATTTACACTTTTGAAAAGTGCATCTTTTTATTCGCTTGAGAATATAGCCGGTCATCCATTAGGAAAGGGAAGTAATGAAAATAATACTAAATATACCAGAGAAGGATACTGATGCATCAAAGCTCTAAAGGTGTCAGTAAGGATTATGATAAATAAATAAAAGATGATCTCTAGCTTTTAAGTTTACCTCTGCCCATTCATGGTTAAGGGCCTGCAGGCTACCTACGTACACGATAGTGAATATAGTATAAGAGGAGAAGGAAGGGAATCTTCCTACCCATTATTATTTATATGTAATTATAAAAATCGTGATTTTACCAACTTCAGCAAAGTACAAAATGAATCTTTTGTTACAAGAATGATCGACTCTATTATATAAGGGCTTTGTCTACGTTTATCTATCATCCTTTATTATTCTGATTAAAAAAAAAAAAAAATGGACTCTATGTTTGGCCAGTTTATTAACTTTTATAGATTTGATTTTATTAATTTTGTCCTATTATTCAAATCAGCATATATATGTATATATGTATATAAATATTTAATAGTTACCATTACTGTCATATCATTAGTCATGAGATGTTCGAATTGACATTATTGGGGTTATTATGACAGTATAGAAAGCGACTAGAAAGCCTTTTTTTTTTCCCCCGCTATACACATGTCTCTTAAAGGTTAATGGGCAGTTGTTCACAGTAATAATAAGGAAAAAAAAAGAAAAAGAAAAAGCTTGACATTAAATAACTGTCAGTAGATTATTATACGCACACAACACAACACTGCACTACTACTGAATTTTCATGATTCAGGTCCAACTTTGTATGATAAATTAATTATTTTAGGTACCTGTCAATCATAAATACATATATCGTGTATAGCATGAGTATTTATCTTCTTTCAATTTTTATTACTACACTATCTCTGTTCAACTACAACCAATGAATTCTTTCTATATAATATATATTTGTATATTTCCCTAATTGATACATATTATAGATTTCGTTCCTCCCTTTTCCCCTTATCTTTACTCATTTTGTTGATGATAAAAATAATAGTATATCTAGGATTCTTTTCTTGAAGTAGAACATTATTTACTATAGATTAATATATGAGTAATACTTACTAATCAAACTGTAGTAACGATAAATGAGAGTCAATGAGTTGAACTATATTAATTTGCATATTTTATAATTTTTTTTTTTTTGTAAGTAAACTACCGAAAGATGATCTTGTTCTAGTAATCGACTCTAATAGGAATGTCTTCTTATAGTATTAGTTACTATGACAATGAATTATTCATCACTCTATTCCGCATAATCAATAAATAAAATATCAACCAGCCTAAATAATAGTTTTTTATTTTTTAACTTGTTAAATTTTACAGGGTTGCCTTCTTTATTAAATACCTCTTTGCCTTGACTTTGCATACAGTATCATAATACAAAAAAAAAAAAGAAGTTTGCGTAACATGACAATTTGATGTAAATAAATAAATAAAAACTATTTTCTCTTCTTCTTCTTCTTTTTTTAAAAGGGAGTGGGTTATTATATGATGTTACAAGGAATTGCTTATGTTTTATTATTATCACTGATGTTGTTAATGATACAAACAATAAAGTCAGAAATTATTAAAAATATTGTCGTATTTGGAGATTCATATTCAGATGTTGGTAATAGACAACGATTAACAAATGGTCCTTTATGGAGTGAACATCTTGCAGTTGGTTGGAATGCATCTTTGTATAGTTTTGCTTTTAGTGGAGCAGTCTGTACAGATGAGATGTATCCAAGAACTCAACAAAGTAATGATACACCAAGTATCATTGATCAAATAGAAATGTATTATAAACAAAAGCTAGATTTAAACATGGAAGAAACTGTTTTTGTATTTTGGGTTGGTTTAAATGACATTTATAGAATTCTTGAAGATGATGAAGGTTAGTGAATATAAATCATGTCCATGTTAGTGTAATTAGTGATTACGGTTTTTTAATTTTTTTTTTTTTTTTCTCTCCAAGATGTGGAAACAAAACTTGTTCAAGTAGTCAATTGTATTAGTACAAATATTGTAGGTTATACATACATATAAAAATAAAGCGTTTATAGAAATCTTATCAATTATATAGCGTAATGTACGTAAAGTATTCTCTTCAAATAAATTTATTGTACTTGAGATACCACCTCTTGAACAGATGCCTTATTATTCAAACACAGTATTAGCATCAAGTAGAAAAAAGGCAACTCTTCAATTCAATGAACAATTAATAAAGGAAGTAGAAAGAATGAATAAACACTTGACATCGTTAGAGTTAGATGTAGTAGATATTCATAAGCTAATGAATGATATCATAAGTCAGCCAGATTTATTTAACATAAAGAATGTGAAAGAATCTTATTGGGAGAGTTGTGAAGGCTCGTGTATGGATGAAATAGATGCTTATGTTTGGTGGGACAAAACGCATTTGACAGGAGGTGTACATCGTTTGATTGCGAATAGTATTTTAATGGCTGGATCTTTAGGCCCTGAAAGCTATTTAGATGACAGTCTCAACGTGAATCAGCTTCTTCAACAGCCTAATTCAACTTACAAGTCACCTATTTATAAGGCAGAAAAGAATACAGCTGAAATTGACAAAGTAATAAAGACGATGAAGGATAATAAATCAATAGAACAACAGACTTCCTTTACAGAAGATCCATCGATGAAGCCCTATTATTCTATTTATGTTGGAATATCCGTCACTCTCCTTATTTCTATTGGATTCATTATGTTTAACAAAAAGAGAAGAAGTCATGTAATAACAGCATTATTGAGTTTATTTAATCATCCTATTGAACGTGGTGGTAGATTTATGCCATTGCGTAATATGGATGATCCTGAAGGACAATCATAATGTTGTCAATATAATAAAGAAGATGAATAGTTATATTTATCATAATTGACAACATTTTATATAGCAAAAAAAAAAAAAGATGATAGTATATAAAGTAAATATTATCATTTTATTTTATTTTATTTTATTTTATTTTATTTTTTTATTGTTTTATTTCTATTTCTATTTATATTTATATCACTTTTTTTTTCTTATAAAAAAAAAATACATGTATATGTGTATATATTAATACGGAAACACACATATATATTCATACACTTGTATCTATCTATTTATCTATATATCTATACACACACACACACACACACACACACACACATACACACATACAGTATGGGAGAAATGTATACTGAAAATAATCAACTCTATTTAAGAATACAACAAGATCCTTTATGGAGTCATAGTAATAGTGATGGTGAATCGCCTCTTACCTCTCCTTCTTCTACTGACCTTATCATATTGGCAAGTACAAAAACAACACCTACTTTACATTTTTATGAAAATGATCAAACAACCACCAAAATAAAAGTAGATGAAAAACGTTTATCGCGTTTAGAAGAAGTAGATTTATATTCTACTATGTATCATCAACATTTAGTTGTACCAAATGAATCCATTGTTTGTATTAAACCTGAAAACATCATGCTTCAAGATTACCCTTCAACAACAACAACAAAGAATAAGAAAACGATCATCATAGAATCTGATACTAATCAAGACAAAAGAATGTATAGTAAAAAACGAAAGCAATGTGAGTTAGATATGAATTATTCACTATTAGAAGAAGGATTAGAAGAAGAAGAAGAAGAAGAAGAAGGAAAGGATAGAATCAAAATGTATAAAAGCAACTGTTATCATCAAGAAATAATAGAAGAGGAAGGTTTTAATAAGAAGAGGAAAAGTAATAATAAGAAAAGAACCATCACGTCTTATGATAGTCAAACTTCATTTTATCTTAAATCAGTCTTCTTTGAAGTTTATAGTTGTCAATCAAAATTGACTAAACAACAACGGTTAGAAGTTCAAAGGAAAACAGGCTTACCACCACGTAATATTACTTATTGGTTTTCTAATCACAAAAGAAGATTTCAAAATACACTTAAAATCTATCGGAAAATCGTGAATGAAGCAAATGGAAAAATTAAAAATTATCATGATTTTATTAATTGGAGAAAAGAACATGGTTTACCAGAACAAATATCTCAAGAAGAAGTGAAACAATTAGAAGACAATGATGCAGAACAAAAATAATTATTAAACTACTCTGTTTATTTGAATTAGCTTCTAATAATAAAATATGCTTAGATCAGGAAGAATCATAAACTTGATAAATTTCTTTTTTATTCTAGAAATGTATCTTTACTAAATTGATATAACGATTCACTATGTACACATATTTATAGTCTACAGCACTACTTGTAACATCTTTAAATTTATATGATTCTAGAAGCAAAGACTTTATAATAAATGAGTCATTTTAAACAAATCAACTTGATTCCAACTCTTTTATAATTTTGAAGGGCCGAATTAAAAAAAAAAAAAAAAAAAAAAAAAAAAAAAAAAGGAAAAAGAAAAAACTTCAAGATCTTTTTTTTTTTTTTTTCGAGGAATTATCATTTTTTTTTTTTTTTTTTTAATAGATTATCACAAAATTATGAAAGATAATTATGATAAAGAAATTATCTTGGAAGAAAATGCTTCTTCTGAAAAAAGTGTCAGTAATGAAACATCATTATTAGCATGGATTGAACTTATTTTTGTTATTCTATTAAATATGTCTGTTAATTTAAGATGGCTAACGTTTAGTCCTGTTGCTTCTTTAGCAGCAGAATACATGAATGTCAGTATGTCTTCTATAACTTGGTTGGCTAATTGTGCTACTTTGATCTTTATTGCTATTAGTACATTTACGGGTTGGGTATTTGAAAGATATGGCATGAAAGCATGTGTAAGGAATCCCAGATAACATGTACATATCATCTTATTCATTAAAATATATATATATATATATATATTACGTAATAGTTTCTATTTGCAGCTTGCACAAGTATTTTAGGTTCATGGATTAGGTATTTTGGAACATTTGCACCTATTCATCAAAGATATGCTATTATCATGTTTGGACAAGTAAATATGGATCTCAAAGATGACTGGTTTATATTATTAATCATTATCAATAGTGTATAGCTTCAATTGCTGAACCTTTTATTATGAATATTGGAACTCATGTAAGAACCCCCTCAAATTTCAAAATAGATTTGTATGTAAAACTGATTGAATTTTCATATAAAGTTTGCTGCTGTCTGGTTTGCTACTCATCATCGAGTTACTGCAAATACACTATTATGTAAATAGAATCATGATTATTTACCTCCCCTTTTTTATTATTATTATTACAAAAAGGATAACATTATTATTATTATTAGCATTACCACTTGGTATGATTGTAGCTACATTATCTATGCCTAAATTGGTTCAAATCCCATCAGAGTTGCCTCGAGCTGTAAAATAGAATTTTTTTTTTTTTTTTCTCTCAAAAATTTATTGATCCCCATTTTTTTTTTATTATTATTATTAGCTTTTGATTACAGCTTGCATTTCAACTGCATTTGGAATACCGTTCTTAATTTTGCCATCAAAGCCAAAAATTCCCCCAACTTTAAGTGCAAAAGTGACTCGTACTTCATTTCGTGAGAGTCTTAAATCAATGCTTAGAAATCGAAATTATTTATTATTGATTATCATATTTAGTATCAATTTTGCTATGTTCGCTTCTATTGTCGCTATTACGAGTAGTATCTTTATTCCTCAAGGATTTAGTACCGTACAAGCTGGTTTAGCTAGTTTTATACGAATTATAAGTGGTATAGGTGGTGCATTGATTGCAGGTCGTATAACAGATTGGACAGGTCAACATGCACTTGTATTAAAAATAGCTGCACCTATGACAGCTATCACTACTGTTATTTTGTATATTCAAGGTATCTTTTCATTTTTCTTTCTTTCTTTCTTTCTTTCTAATCCTTAATGTCTTTTATTATTACTGTTAGACTTGGTTAATACATATGCTTTTATGATGGTATCATGCTTTTTAAATGGATTCTTTGTATTCCTCATTATACCTGTTTCCTTAGAATTAGCTGCAGAATGTACTTTCCCTGTATCTGAATCAGTAAGTGCTTCCATTCTTTGGGGTGTATCTCAAGTGAGTTCATTTTGTACAACTTTCATCATGGATGCATTAAGAGCCGGTCCTGATGCTTCTCCACCTTATAATATGAAACATGCTCTTATATATGCGATAGTTCTATCATGTATCGGTGCTATTCCATCCTTCTTCCTTTCAACTGACTTGAAGCGTATTCATCGTGATAGAACTACAGATGACAAGACTATAGATGTAGATATAATTCAAGAAATTGAGCCTACTACTACTACTCCTGTTCAAAGCAAACAAACAAAAAAACCTCCCCATGTAACTTAGATTACCCTCTCTCTCTCTCTCTCTCTCTCTCTCTCTCTCTCTCTTAAACTAGATTATAGATATAGATATATGCATATACATATACATACATAATATTGGCCTTTATTATTCCTCACTATTACAGAATCTAACTCAATAGTTATAACTTGTATTAACATACTATTTACATTTATTCATAATTTTATTATTTATTTTTTTAAAAAGATTGCTTATGGCGTCTTAATTCTTGCACTTCATTCTCTAAAGCTGAACAAGCAATGCTAACCTGTAAATTTTGAGTGATCAGGTCTGACCATTTATTTTCCAAAGATGAAAGTGAAGCTGCTGCCTCTGTTTGTTCGCTTTTACGTTCTCTATTGATTTCAAGTATCTTTTGTCGAAGCTCCTCTGTTCTCTTTTTAATAGCTGCAAGATCAGCCTCTAGTTGATAGTTGTGTACTCTCCATGCATTAGCTCCATATTTTTGAAGTAATTCTAAATTGAACATACTTCCAGCTTGTGATTCTAATTGTGATTTGGTATTATTAACAGCTATTTTCCATCCTTCGAGATCATTTTCATCCTTAGGTCCTTGCAATTCATATCTTTTTGTATCTAATACATCCAACGTTTCTTTCTTTTGAATTCGTTCTATTTCCTTTTTAAAATCTCGTCTTTTTCAAATAAATCAATATTTAAAGGTAATTCTGATCGTTCTTTTCTTTTCATTCTACGCATTTCTTGTTCGATCATTCTTTCTACTGTTATCTTCATGTCTTTTATTTGTAGAGAAAGGGAGGAATGTTATTAGTACTTTTTTTTTTTTTTTTTTTTTGTTAGTTTAGTTCAATTTCTTACTTTCATCATCAAGTTCTCGATCAACATCTATGATAATGCGTTAATAATAATGTTTAATAAAAAAAAAAAAATCCTCCAAGAATTCACATACAAGGAAGAGCATCAATGTCAACATCAGGTCTAGTTGCACTCTCAATAGCTTTTGTTGTCATTTTATGAGATAAAGTCGCGTTAAAAAATGAAAGCTTAACAAGTTTAAAACAATAATAATAATAATAGTAATAGTAATACTAGTAATAATAGATAAAAAAAAAAAAAAATTCCTCATTACGTCACACTCATCAATTCAACATGTATGAGTTGGGTGTAATAAGCCAGTAATAATTTCTAGTTTGAAACACATTGTCAAAATTTCAGGTACCTAAAGGAAAAAGTGTGGCGTGTTGATGATGCTCACTCACTTGAACGAATTAATAAATACACAAATAATATATTGTTTGTCTTTAAAAATAGCCAACTAAAATCCTCTTATAGAAAGTTCCGTTCTTTTACAATAAATATATCTATTTCGTTACACACATAGACAAAGAAAGAATATCAATAGCATTCTGGTGCAACAGGCTGCTGATCTACTATAATAATAGTATGAATGTCAATTCATGAATATTACGAAAAAAGAAAAAAAAGATGGATTACATGTTATACCTAAAGAGAATATCACAGTTAAATAAATAAACAAAAAAAAAAAAAAAAAAAAAAAAAAAAAAAAAAAAAGAGAGAGAGAGAGAGTCCAAATCTTATATATTTGGATAAAATCCACGTTTGTCATATTTCTAAAGAACATACAGAAAGAACAAGAAAGAAAAAATGATAATTTTATTTTTAGTCCTTGCAATTTACTCTATTTGATAAACAGCTGTTACTATCCCTCTTTCTTTTTTTTTCTTTCTTTCCTTCTTTTTCATTCTGCCTCCCTTTTAAACGAAAAGATAAATCTTCTAGTATTTCAATGAAATAAGGAGTTTTTTTCTCTTTTAACCATTAAACCAATCATCATGTTTCATAATTACTAAAAACACTTTTAGTGCAATACTACCACAAATTCTATAAATATATTTATTTTTTTGTGTCCAAATAAAGAGGGTTACATCGATAATACAAGCTTGAGTATATATTTTCAATCATGATAATATATATTCATTTAGGCATCCTTGCTACCGTATCACGCGTTCTAGCCACTACAATTTTAAATCAAAAAAAAAAAAAAAAAAAAAAAAAAAAAAAAAAAACTTAATTCATTTTGTCCTCTATTAATATATTTCGACCGCTGCTACTACTACCACTAATAATACTGCTACTACTACTACTACCACCACGATACAAGGACTCTAAAATTAGATATAAATAGAAAGCATCTTACATAAACTTGTAAGGCCTTTTCTTCTTCTTTTTTTTTATTTTATTTATTTATTTATTTATATATATATATAACTTATTAACCTTTCCTTTACATATACATAAAAAAAAAAAAAAAAAAAAAAAGAGAGAGAGAAAAAAAACAATAATTTATAATAAAATAATTAAAAATTACCAATGGCAAAAAAAATAATAGCCCTTTCTGCTTTAATTACTTTGGCACTTTCAGGTGCATTTGCAGCAGATGTTCAATACTCTGTTGTTGCTTTTCCTACTGGTAACCAAAATGTAGCTGTATCAGTAGCAGGGCAAGTTGTTCCTCTTCAAAAGAGTCCTATTCATTCAAATATCTTTACCGGAAATGCACCCTTTGGTGATACTTATCAATATGTTCTCAATGATGGTCAAAAGAATATTCCCGAATCAACCACCCGAAAGCTTACTCAGGGGGCTACATCGACTGGTAATGAATTCTTTAATCGTTCTCGGACTATCTACAATGTCCCTAGCCTTCCTCAAGCATATAATCCTATTTATCCCAGTAAAGTTTTTATACGTATATACAATTTGTAAATTAAATAATTAACACTCTATTTTTTTTTTATATATAGCTTTATTTACAAACTTGAACAAATCAAATGAAATTGCTACTATTATTATGTCGGTCAATGCTACAGCATTAGATGCTTTCCATAAAGCACCTACAGAGAAATTAGATGATGCATTGGTTTCTGATTTCGTTTATATTAGCAATAAAGAAGTCTTTACTATTAAAAATGGTGGATTATCAACAAGTGGACAATCTACAAAAGATTTTTCTAAACAATCCTGGGCCATTGATTTCAATAAATATAACAAGAATGCAACCACTAAAAATCTTCTTTATGGTCGTACTTCATTAAAACTTCGTGCTGAAGAAACTGATGCAACACTTGCGTAAGTGTCTCTCAAAAAAAAAAAAAAAAAAAAATATATATAGTAGACTTATTTTATTTTAGCCGTGAAAAATTAGTTCTTGATATGCTTGCCGCTTCTGGTGGTGCTACCCTTTCAGGTTCATGGGCACGTGTTTTTATTAATAATGAAGCTTATGGTCTTTTCTTATTGATGGATGATGCCTCTACTCATCTTATAGATGCTATTCTTCATGGTGGCAACTTTAAATCAACCAATACAGGTATTACATATTGATTTCTTTTCTCTTTTTTTTATACATGTATATATGTATTCTAATCTTTTTATTTATTTTTTGTTAGGTGCCACATATAAGGGTAACGCTTTAAGTCCCGAAGTAGAAGGCAATCTTGTGTACGTTGGTGATGATCCTACATTATATTCAGAAGACATTTATAAACTTGCAGATACAGGAGAAGATAAATCGATTAGTAAAAAGAACAATAGTCAAGCTAGATTAATTGACTTCACAAAACGTTTAAGTCAAGTGAACGCACAAGATGCTAAAGATGCTCAAAACCCGGGTAGTATCGCTCAATTGATTGATCCTCAACATACACTTATTCATATGGCTATTAATTATCTTATTGGCTCCTGGGATGGTTTCTGGTATCAAGCTAGTAATTACTATCTCAATGAAGACCTTGCCACTAAAAAATGGACTCTGATTACTTATGACTTTGACGAAACCTATGGCAATGGTATGGAAGATACAAGCATGAACACTGTCTCTTATAAAAACTATTCTCGTCCTGGATCCAAACGTCCCTTGGTTGATGTCTTTTTAAATAATGCTTATTATGACAGTGTCTTTCAAGATATCTTAAAGACGATTGTGAAACGATTCTTCAAGCCCAGTGTAGTAGACCCTATCCTTACGGCCTGGTCGGAGATGTTGAAGGAAGATATCATCTGGACTCGTACTATCTCAGGTCGATCTCCTGGAATAAAGACAGCATTTACAGTTGAAGATTTCCAAAATGGTTTACTTGGTAATACGTCCTCGATTCGTCAATGGGTCAAGAACCGTTCCACTTCACTGATGCAACAACTTAAATTTAATGATACTGATGATCTTCCTGCTTTGCCTCCTTACACTGCTGGTACATACTTGGATGCTAATGGAAATGTAGCCAGTAACAATGGTACAGTCGTTGCTGGCAACGGTGCCAATGGTATTGCTCCCAGTGGTGGTAATAATAATAATAACAACAACAACATGAAGAACAATTCCTCTGCCAATAATAACGAGAGTAGTAGTGCATTACCTACTATCAAGATTTCCAAGGAAGCTATCGTAATGGCTATTGTTTCAGTACTTGCTATCACTCTTTAAATTAAACCATCTCCATTTACTGTTATTATTCATCTTTAATAAATAAATATGATATACATGTTTAAAAAAAGAAAAAAAAAAGGCTATTTTTAGTACGTTGTATGTATGTTCTTTCTAAATAGACGTAATGGAATAAAGTTAATAGTATACAACATTACATCGTTTTTTTTTTTTTTTTTTTTTTTTTTTTTACAATAAATTAAAATTTTGTATGCCGATCTTTGGATGCTGATGGAGGAGATGCAAAAAAAAAAAAAAAAAAAAAAAAAAAAAAAAAAAAAAAAAAAAAAAAAAAAAAAATTTTCCCCCAAAAAATATAAATAAAGAATGATGCCATATAATCATGTTCGTGTAGCCGAGTGAGTGAATTGATGACATTTTATTCAAAGTAGTATAAAATAAAGTGAAACATATTTTAAAGTTGAAACTATCCAAGTCAAAATAAACTACGTTTATAGATAAACGATCGCTGCTGTTTTTCCACTTTTTTTTTTATGAATGATATATGTCACGTGTTTTTTTCTATGATGAATTGTTCATATTTAATATTTTCATTCTTCTACTTTTACAATAATGAATAATAGTAGTAACACATCTATATACAACATCTAACTTTTTTTTTTACAATGTATGAAGCCAGGGTAACTATCATTATTGTTAACAACTACTATTACTACAAACATTTTAAACTCAGACACAGTGAATTTATTACAATTATACATTTGAAACTTTTTGTTGTTTCCAAGATATTTAACATTTAAACTTTTTTTTTTTACCTTTTATGTTATTTAAAAATAGCAAGACGAACATAAAATATGCGTGGGTTAAAATAATGGGTACTGGCATAAAAAAAATACACTAAAAAAGAATAAAAATAAATCGATAAAACATTGAGTAATGAATGTACGAGATGAAATCTTTGTTTTAAAGAAAACTATATACTTACTCAACTTTGATGTTAAAAGGAAATAAAAAGAAGTTAGTAGTATTAGTAAGAGTGGTATTCACTTTTTTAAACACAATTATCAAATAAGGTAAAAAATGTCTGTTCTTCTTGTAAACAGTTTGTTTCCGCTCTATTAAGGCGGAGAAAACAGACTACTGCATACCCTTCTTTGTTTAAGTATGCAGAACGAAAAAAAAAAAAAAAAAGGAAGTCTGTTACTTGAATGGTTTTATATAAATATAAATCAAATATTAATAATAAAGTTCCTTTTTTTTTTTAAATAGAATTTGGGCATTATAGTTTCTTTTTTTTTAAAAAAAAAAAAAAATAGCATGAAGTTATTTTCTTCTACTACTACTTTAATTGGCTTCATTAGGATAGCTATTATTGCCTTAGCTCATGTTGTTGTTGTTGCTAATGCAGCCAATGTGACATATTCAGTCGTCGCTTTCCCCGGTAAAAATGAAATGGTAGCTGTTCATATAAATGGAACAAACTATCCTCTTCGAACAAGTCCATTAAGTGCTAACCTTTTCACTGGATCTGCTCCCTTTGGTTCTAATTATCAATATGTTTATTTGGCGCCGGGCGATAAACAAAGACCCGAGTCTACTGTTCGTCATTTGACTAATACTTCTATTACATCTACTGGAAATGAATTCTTTAATCGATCTAAAACTATTTATGATGTTCCAGAGCTTCCTCGTGCTTTTAATCCTATTTATCCTGGTAAAAAAAAAAAAAAAAAAAAAAAAAAAAAAAAAAAAAGTTTTTGTCTGTTTGCTTTGTATATGATGATATTAACTTTCTCCTCCTCCTTTTTATATACATAATTAGCACTTCATAGTGGTCTAGGCAAATCAAATGAAATTTCTACTATACTTTTAAATGTTGATTTCAAAAGTCTACAAAAAATTCTTAAAGCTCCTTTAAAGGAACATAAATTTGCTGAAGTATATAATATGACTTTTATCTCTCATAATGAAGTCTTCAATTATCAAGGCGCAGGTATCAAGAATAGTGGCCAATCATCTAGAGAGTTTGCTAAACAATCCTTCAAGATTAAATTCAATAAATTTAATAATGCCACAAGGGATGAACTTTATGGTCGTCGTGCTCTCAAGTTACGCGCAGAGGCTACAGATCCTAGTATGGCCAGAGAAAAGTTATTATTAGATTCCTTGAATGCGGCTGGTGCTGCAACATTGAGCGGCGATTGGGTTCGTTTATTTGTCAATAATAAACCCTTTGGCTTATATCTCATGATAGATGAAACATATAAGGGCTTTACTGAAAACCTTCTTCATGGTGGCAACGTAACTGAGGGCACTGGCGTGACGTTTAAATGTAATGCGATCGATCATAAAAGGGAAGCCAATCTTGTCTATCATGGTAATAATAATGCAAGCTATGACTTTGAGGATGTCTACATCTTTGATAATGAAGGCAGAGATAAGAATATCACAAAGGATCATTATACAGCTCCTATCATTGACTTTATGAGTAGATTGAATCAAACGACGATCCCTGGTAGTAATGTGACTATTACTGACTTGGTCGACAGTGCTGAAAATACCATGATTCATATCGCCTTAAGTTTCTTGACCGGGTCCTGGGATGGCTTCTGGTATCAAGCTAGTAACTTTTATTTGAATCAAAACTGGCAAACAACGAAATGGTACTTGATCACTTATGATTTTGATGAAACCTTTGGTAACGGACTTGAGGTCCCCGAACTAATGACAACCCCTTATCAAAACTATTCTCGTCCTGGCTCTCAACGTCCTCTTGTCGATGCATTCATCAAATCTCCTTATTATGAACCCAAATTCCGAGACATCCTCAAAACCATCGTTCAAACTTTCTTTAATCCTCGTGTGATAAAACCTAGACTTGAGGCATGGATGGAGATGTTAAAAGAAGATATGGAATGGGACTCAAGTCTTCCTTATCGTTCCCCTGGCCAAAAGAGTCATTTTAATGTCAACAATATGTTGACTACTTCGCATGGTACCATCGGTGTCCTTGAATGGATCTCTAATCGTACTAACGCTCTTTCTCATCAACTTAATTTCACATATACTGCTAACAACTAATTCTCTTTCTCTCTCTCTTACTCACTTATTACACCATAATACAAACTGTAAATAATCTTACTTATTATAAATAAATCCTTATTATAATTATTATTACTTTATTGAAAGTATCTATTTACATTCAAAAGAAAAGAGGAAAGAAAAAAATCATGATCAAGATTGATGATTACTATTATTGATAGCTTGTTGCTTTTCAATTAAAGCAACTAATTGTTCTCTATTCCTTAGTAGTCTTTGTTGTAATTCAGGACTTAATTGACTATATTGGCTCATAAGTTGAGGGTTTTGTAACAATGCACTAGCTTGTGCAAGTCCATTTGAATAATTAACTAATAAATAATAACTATTGTAAATATAAATTATAACAATAAAAAAAAACCCCTATTTTTTTTTTTTTTACCTGAATTTTGAATCTCTTGTTGCTGTTGCTGTTGCTGTTGCTGTTGCTGTTGTAGGAATGGTTGTTCTGAAGAAGATGGTTGAGGTAGCATTTGTTGAAAATGGTGTTGCTGTAATAATTGCTGTTGTTGAGCCTCTTGTTCAGCAATTGTAGCTAATCTAGCTTTCTCAGCTTGTATACGTATCATTTCCTGTTGATGTGCTGCTTGTTCTGCTGCTATCCTTGATTGTTCATCTGCTAACTTTTGTCTTTGTTCCATCAAGATTTGTCTATTAGTCAATATCTTTATTGACAAGTCACAATCATTCTAATTATGTAATTTAGTATTTTTTTTTTCTACATGTTCTTATTCATCTTGATGATTACCTCTTCTATCTTTTTAACAATAGTGTCAAAATTTTTAAATAATTCACTTTGACATTTAAAAATCACAATAATTGTATTATCTAAGTATAAATGAATAAGTGTCTCGTCCCTTTTTTTTTTATTTTCTTTTTTTCCTTTTTTTTTTTGAATTTACCCTGACGTTCTAATGGGATTTTATTGGCATCTAAATCTCCTTTTGGATATTGATAAATATGATAAGGTAAGAGTCGATTCATAGCATCTCTAATAGAAACAAAAGGTGTCTTGTAATCAGGATTTGTAACATATTTATGATCGGATAATAATGATTCAATGCATCTAATAATGATTCGTTATTTTATTTTTTTATAGCTTATCTTTATCCATTATGTAAAATATACCTCTTTTTAATTTCACGATGTTGTAATTCTTCTTCAGGTAAACGTTTTGATAAGATAGAATCAGCTGAAGGTTGAATTCGTTGTTGAGGTGGCTTTTGAATAGCTGGAGTAGTAACAGTGGGAGTCAAGGGAGCAGGAGATGGTTTATTACTTTGATCATGTATTTGTTGCTGTTGTTGTACTGGAAATGGAGTAGTCGAGGGAACACTATTACTTAATGGTGTACTAGCAGCAGTACTTGATGTGATAGGAGTTGAAGGAGTAGACATATTTGTATTAATATTGATTTGCTGCTGCTGTGGTTGCTGTGGTTGTTGTTGTAGCTGCTGCTGCTGTTGCTGCTGTTGTTGTTGTTGTTGTTGTTGCAAAGATTGTTGCAAGGCAATCAATTGTTGTTGTGTTAATTGCTGTTGCTGCTGCTGCTGCTGCTGCTGCTGTTGTTGTTGTAGTAGTAGTTGTTGTTGTCGCTTTTTGGAATATTTTCCTGATTTATGATATTTTCTTGTTACTTTACCATCAACAGACGAAGAGGAAGATTGTAAATCATAATTTTGACTTATTTGTTTATTCATATTTTGTTGTTGGTGTAATAATTGTAACTGTTGTTGCTGCTCTAATTCTTCTCTTAGTTTACGAGCCGTTTCTTTAATTGCGTCCGCTTCAGCCGCAGTTGGTTGAGGCGGTGTATCTAAAGCGCTTAAAGCTTCACTTTTAGGCGCAATGGGTTTATTTAACATGTCTATATTAGTCAATTGGTGTTGATGTTGATATTGGTGTTGGTGTTGTTGTGCCAGCTTCTGCTGCTGTTGCTGTTGTTGTTGTTGTAATTGTTGAACGTTTGCTGCTGCAGCCATAGTAGCTTCATGTAAAGACTGAATTTCTTTCATCAACTGTTGGCGTTGCTGTTCACCAATAGAAGAAACTTGCATATTATCTGATAATTTATAAATGATCTGATCGCGTTTACGAACCATTAGCACTTTTAAACCTGCTAGAGTAAGTTGAGTTATGATTTGTTCTTCATCATTTTGTATTTGAGGTGTAGGCTAAACATATAACACATAAAAGTAAATCTCCATAAGTAAATATTAACATGTATACAAAGAAAAAAAAAACAAATCTACTTGTTGTGAAAATGAAAGATCTTTTTGATTTAGATTGCCATTGTTCATCTCTATTTCACCAAATATGAATATGTTATGTATATTAATTTTTTGTTAAAAAAAAAAAAAAAAAAAAAAAAAAAAAAAAATACCTTGGAAATCTGCTCTCTTTTCTTAGAGCTAACGTGACTTCATTTAAGGCAAATTACTGCTGTTCTTAGCAATGCAATATATCATTCTTAATAGTGATGATAAAAAATGAAAGGGTGAATGATAATGTATAAGAATTCCTTTTTTTTTTCTGACTTGCATTTATGAGAATATATAATATGCTTTTTTTTTTCTTTTACAAGCTATGTCGACAGTGCAATAATTTTTTTTTTTTTAAAAAAAAAAGAAAACTAACGTTTAAATAATTAGGTTACATATGATTATTACTACCTTTTTTTTTTCTTTTTTTTTATTCATATATTATTATTTGAAGTACGTGATTGTAAAATAACATCATGTCAAAAGATAAACTGAATAAGAAAAAAGAAGAAGAAACATTAAAGGAGAAAATTCAAAATTATTTTAATTCAGAGAATTTGAATGAATGGACAGATTCGTTGATTCAAACTATTTGGCGACCTGTCTTATCAAGTCTTGTGATAGGCGTACCTGCAGTTTATATAATATATAAATTTGTAATTGGACATAGATACAAGACTGCAGCACATATACCCCCAGAAGTCTTTGAGAGAGGAAAAATGATACGAGGAAAAGTTATCTCTGTAGGCGATAGTGATAATTTTAGATTATATCATACACCGGGGCTAGGCTGGGGTTGGATAAGACATGTACCAAAGACAAAGAAAGAACTTCAAAATCAAACCATTTCTATACGTATTGCTGGTGTTGATGCACCTGAGGGAGCTCATTTTGGTATGCCGGCTCAACCTTATTCTAGTGAAGCCAAGGCCTTTTTAACAAAGCTGGTATTAAATAGAAGAGTACAAGTTCAATTATTAAGTAGAGATCAATATAATCGAGTAGTAAAGTGCACATCGACAGTTTTATATATAAATATACATATGTCAGATATTAATTTCAAATAACATAGGTTGCAATGGCTTATGTAAGACAACCTCCTTTCTTTATAAAAAAGAATGTTTCAATAGAGATGGTTAAAGCAGGCTTAGCGAGTATTTATGTAGCTAAAGGTGCTCAATATGCTGGTATACTGGATCAGTTACAAAAACATGAAGCAAATGCAAAGTAAAGAAGCGTATATATATTAGATATAATATATAATATATAAACATATATCTTAATATCTCTCTCTCTCTCTCTCTCTCTCTCTCTTCTTTAGATCTCATAAAAAAGGCATTTGGTCTTTAAAGAAATATGTTTCTCCTGGCGATCATAAATTAAAGTAAGTCGATCTATTTATTGAAATAACACCAAAAAAAAAAGAGAAAGAGAAATGCCTTTATTCTGATTATGCTTATGTAAATAATAGATACCTTGGAAATGGTGGAAATAAAAAGTAGTAATAGTCTTATTTTTTTTGCTTCTTATTGTTAAATAGCTTTCTTTGAAGCCTTTGAAATTCTTCTTCAGTTGGTAATCTCTCGTCTTCTCTTTCTTGATCTTTACGTTTTTTATTTTCTTTTTTAGCAGAAGCTTCAATTGTCTCAATAATTGAATCCATTTTGGCTTGTCTATCCTTATTTCTCTGTTGAATCAATTCTAAAAGTGAACATTCTTTGTCACTCTTATTGTCTTTATCTTTTTCTTGTTCAGCCAAAAATTGACGCTCTGCCATTAATTCCTTTTCAATACGTTTTTTATGTGCACGTGGAGTGGTTGTGCTATCAAGTGCAGGATAGAAAGTGACAAGCTTCTCTTTAATAGCAGATCGGATTATCTTCTCAAATCTTTTACAATCTCGAGCCGTAGAACATTCAACTAATTCAAGGATTTGATCCATATTTCCTTTACAACTTTCATAAGCCTTTAGTAAATCTTTTTTTTCTTCATCCGAGCCTATATAAATTATAAATATTTATATTTATATACACCAACAAACAAACAACAATAATAATTGCTAAACTACAAAACCTTGATATTTCTTTTTTTGTTCTTCAATCGTATCCGCATTGACTACGCCAGTCCATAGTTCTTTGAAATAAGCAGCCCAGTCTTTATCTTCATCAAACTCACTTTCTTCCATACTTCCTGTTTTATCATACCGTGATTTACGTTTAGCATCACTCAGAACTGCATATGCCATGCTCAATTGTTGAAAGGTGGCATTGGCTTGTTCCTTTTGTTTCTGTGTTGCATCTTGTGGTAATTTGTCTGGATGGAATTGAAGTGCAAGTTTTCGATATGCTTTTTTAATATCACTTTCAGTAGCTGTTTCTTTATTTAAATTGAGAACTTTATAACAGTCAAAACTTTTTGACAATACCATAACTAAAATAAGTGAAGAAAAAAAAAAGGGGGGGAGAAGGAGGCGAAGGAGGAGAGGATTTGGAGAGTTAAAAATCGCGTTTGACGGACTTTTTTTTTTTTGAAAATAGTAGTAGAACGCGTTTAATTTATAATCCAATCAAATCTTAATGCACTAAGGATTGTTGCTATTGTTGTCTCTCTCCTTTTTACTACTATAAACATTCATCAACAAGACTGCAATATCTTTAGTGTATAATATTCTCCTTTTTGATTAAAAGAGAGAGAGAGAGAGAGAGATAAAGAAAAGGTAAAACAAAAAGACAAAAGTAGGGCTAGTAAAGAAGGTAATCCTAATGATCACAGAGGTAGTTGATTGAGAAATTAGTGACTAAAATTGATGAAAATAGAGTGGAATGGGTCTTATTGTAAGCCTGAATAGTTCATTTTATACAATGAAGTATAAATAGCTTTAAGAATATACCAATTTTTGTTATCAATTGTAACATTTCGAGATCATTCATTCATATTAGTTTTTTTTTAAAAAAAAAAGCCTAAAATGGTATTTAAAATGCTAAAGGTTAAAGATAATACACTTTTTTTCTTTTTCTTTTTAAATAAAGAGTATTTGTTTTATATCAAGTAACTTTGTCTATAATTTTTGTTTGTTGAATTTATAAATCGAGTCATTCATTCATGGCTACTAATTACTCAAATGCTTAACCTATTGATAGAAAACAAAACAAAACGAAAACATTCTCTTTATATTACCTTTTACTCTTGTTTCTTTCAAGCTTTATAATAATTCTCCTATTAAGGCAACAGAATGGATTTAAGACATTACGTGCTTAAACGGTCATTTAAAATTTTCATCAATTTTTTTTTTTTTTTTTTTTTTTTAGAAAAAAGCATGCTTTGCAAGAAAATTATTAACAACAGAATATCACAATTATGTCTTTTGATATCCCCGGATACTTTCTAGATAAAAAGACAAATAAGCTATTTAAAATCACACCCCATGGCCCATATAGTTTACCTGAATTACGAAAAAGATTACAAAAAGAAGAAGAGGAAGCAAAAGCTGCTGCTATTGCTGCTGCAGCTCATAAAAACAACATGAATAATAAGGTATCACTCTATTATTCACAACGACGACGACGACAATGGCCAACTACTATAAATCAATATTTAAGACAACGAGCTGCTTTTGGATCGCTAAAACCATCCATGGATGGTATAACGTTTTTAATGTCTTTATTGAAACCGAGATCATCTATTCGATTAGATGGTCCTAATAAGCGTATTTATAGCAACATGTGTGTTGAAATGACGAATGGTTCAGAAGAATATGGTGAAATTTTTATAGCAGGTCGATCAGGTTTGCATCATTTTGGATACGAGCTTGATCCCCGATTTCATGTATGGAAAGTAAGTGATGACTATTATAATGGAAACGAAATTCAAGCCTTGCAGCTTGGTCAACGAACACAAAATGATGGCGAACGCAACTTTAGGGACTTGGTTGGTACAACTGGGAATTTCATTTGGAGACATGCTTTCCCTGTTTTACCACCTTTATTAGATGAGGAAATTCGACACATGTTTCTAACAGAAGATGAATCTATTCAAGATTATGAAAATATCCTCAGTTGTCCATCTTCATATGTTGGCTTTTGTGAATCATATAGACGTGGTTCATTTAGACAAAGAAAAGATTTATTTTGGTCTTTTAGTTTGAATGATGAATTTGATTCCCTGGTTATAGGAGGTGACCAAAATTTGTATTATTTAAATAGTGCCTTTGAGCTAATACATTCAAGAAGGGTAAAGTCATCTATCTTTGCAACCCATATACCTAAGACTCAACCTAACATCTGCTGGACTGGCTCACGTAATGGAAAGATTAGTTTGATGGATTGGAGACAAAATAAATCTTCGCCTTATTATTCTTCTGATAGATGTCTTCAATCTTCGTCCGTTGTTAAACTTCAAACCTTGGACGGTCACAGTCATACTGGATTTGAATTATTAGCAGTTGGCTTGGACGGTTCAATCAATATCTGGGACACTCGTAAACCGAAAAACAGCTCTCATTCTACAGTAGATAGTAAACGAAAGAATAAAGGATATTATCATCATTCGAATTATTACCAAAAACCAATAAGTATATTAAATGGTCATGTCAATGAAAGTAATCACTATCTAGGTTTTGATGTCGATTTACAGAATGATCTACTGATGGCTGCTGGTAGTGATGGTCACGTTCGTATTTGGTCGTTAAAAAATAGTAATGCCAATGATCCAATTTGGACTTCCTGTAAATATGCTTCCCCTATTCCTGCTGTCAAATTTATGTGCAACTCTCAGACATATCCTCGCTTACAAGATGGATGGACATCTTTGTTTCCAAAAGGATTGCTATCAAGACGATGCCCTGGTGTTTTATTCTTTGGTACAGATAAAGAAGACAATGAACAATGCTCTATAGAATGGTTAACATCTATGAAATAATTATACTGTAAATATTATAATACTATGTAACATAAGTAAACACATATATACATTTTGTAAGTGTATTCGTTTAATTGCATGTCTTGGAATATCTATGCATATAAGTCAAAGCTATTTATTGTGTACATGGGATGAAAAAAGCAAAACAAATCTTCTACATAACAAAATATTTTTTTTTAAAAAAAAAAAAAAGAAAAAAAAAATAGATGGGGAAGGAAGAAGGAAAGAAACTATATAATACAATGTATAATAATTTGTCTTGCCTATAAATTAGTCTATATTAGGGCGAGTAGCCAGAATTTCATTTTTGGAATCTTGCATTTCTGAAGCATCCATTTCTCTAAATTGATCATTTGCGCTTGTACTTTTAGTTTCGAAAACTGCAGGACTACGATCTAATAACTTTTCAAGATCTTCATCTGAAATAACTTTATCACCTTGAACAGCAATTTGGACTTGTTCGCCATCTTCTGATGCTAAAATTTCCGCTAATTCACGTACAGAGCTCTCCTGCATTTTTTTAGAGTTGTTACCAGACCACACAGGATGCTTAAACTTATCTTTGCTAATAACCAGCTTCTCTAATCTACGCTTAGCAGTAGCTTTTTCTAACATTTTATCCTCTACTGTTTTAGCAGCTACAAATCTATAAATAAGAACTGGTTTCTTTTGTCCAATACGATGCACACGATCTTGTGCTTGAAGATCCATTTGTGGGTTCTTTTAAAAGAAAAAAAAAAAAAAAAGTTAGTTTTATAACTAACTTGATAGTATAAATTATTTTTACCCAATCACTGTCAAAAATAACTACAGTATCAGCAGCAGTTAAATTGATACCAAGACCACCGGCACGAGTTGACAATAAAAAGAGTTTAACATGACTATTAGGATCACTAAATTCTTCAATTTGTTGACGACGATCTTCTTGAGAAACATTACCATCCAATCGACAAATAGGCCAGCCTTTTAAGCTTATAGCCCAATCTTCTAAGATATCTAACATCTTTGTCATTTGGGAAAATACCAAAACTTTATGTCCTCTTTCAAACAAACCAGTTAAGAGACGGTCAAGCAAAAGAACTTTACCCGATTGAGCAGCCAAATCATTATTGACTACAGGTGCATTTGTTGCAGGATCGATGGGCCAGTCAAATAAGAAAGGATGATTACAGACCTTACGTAGCTGCATTACTAAATTTTGAAGATGTAAACCATTCACTTGCCTAACAGCCTCTGCAATTTTAGCTTGTCTTTCTATTCCCTTTTGGTCCACTTGTTCTTCAGTCTTTTTATTCAAGTCAGCAAAGAACTGTCTATCTGATTTTTCTTTATAGTTGATCACTTTTTTGGGTCGTTTTTCATTACTCTTATCTTCTTCTTCTTCTTCTTCTTCTACTACTACTTTCTCGTCGGTATTTTCTTCAGGTTTTAAAGTCTTTCGTTTAATGAGATAATCACGAAGATCACGCTTAATGATAGCATCGTATAAGCTCTTTTGAACGGGTGTTAAAGGAGCATAGAGTAGATATTCTTTCTTTTTGGGTAAAGAATGCTCAACGTCAGTCTTTAATCTTCTTAACAAGAAAGGGCGAAGAATGGTATGAAGACTGGATACAATTTTATCTTCCTCTTCTTCTTTTATAATACGATCTTGTCCACTCTTCATATTAATATCAGAGAAATCAAACCTAGATATGTAGATTAGCGATAAATGCTAAAAGATTAAAAAAAAAAAAAAAAAAAAAAAAAAAAAAAAAAAAAAACTATTTTTTGTTCATACCAGGATTGAAACATGTCCAAGTCATCAAAGATATCAGGTAATAAGAAATTTAATAAACTCCAGAGTTCAGCAAGATTATTTTGTAAAGGAGTTCCGGTCAATAACAAACGATTAGCACTAGAATAAGTTTTCAATTCTTTTATCAATCTACAATTCATATTCTTCAAACGATGTCCCTCATCAACAACGATGTATTTCCAGTTATAACGTTGTAAATATTTGCGGTCATTCATGACAATTTCATAACTAGTTACAATCACGGGGAACTCGAAAGTTGTTTCTTTCTTCTTTTGCATTTTGCGATTAATCATATGGTGACGTTCGTCCTTTGAGCCATGATAAAGTAATACATTGATAGAAGGAGCAAATCTTTTAAACTCATTTACCCAATTAGCTAAAGTAGATAAAGGAGCAACAATCAAATAAGGACCAGACACTTGCATACCCTTAAGGTGAGCAAGAAAAGAAATGGTTTGAAGTGTTTTACCCAAACCCATTTCATCAGCTAAAATACCATTTAAACCATTTTCCCAAAGACTAATAAGCCATTCAACACCAGCAAGCTGATAATCACGAAGAATACCACCAGTAATAAGGGAAGGTTGACGGGCAGAGACAGAAGGCTTTATAATAGTTTCTGCCTTTGGCTTCTTTTTAGCATCAGCATCTTCTTGAATAATAGCTTTACTAATATTACCATCAGCTTGCTTACGTCTTTTAACATCCTATATATAAATATACATACATATTTAATATATGATAAAATCAATATAAATAAACTTACATCTTCTTTAAGATAATCTGTCAATTGATAATTAGCATCTGTAGTCTTTCTCTTCTTACTATTAGCTGTAGTATTGGAACGTGTTTTATAAGCTTTTATGTTTGATTCATTATTAACTGCTTCAATTTCATCAGCAGTAGTAGTAGTAGTAGTAGTAGTAGTAGTAGTAGTAGTAGCAGCAGCAGCAGCAGCAGCAGCAGCATCCAATTGAGCAGCTCTTTCACGAGCTTCTTCCTGTTGTTTAGCTAATTTACGTCCCAAGATAGTTGCATAAGCACCCGATTTTTCTAACAAAAATTTTAAACGCTTCATACGTTGAGCTTTAACTGCCGCATCAAATTGAAATTGAGCCTTATAAATATTATTAATTTTCATTATTTTTATATATTATTGTGTTTTCTTTGATAAACTACCTCTTCCCTCATTCTCTTTTCCTCTTCCCTAAGAGTTGTTTGCTTCAAATTTAACTCTTCCTTAATGATAGTTTCACTTAAACCGCTATTGATTAAAGCTTGTTTTGATTCATCACCATTTTCAATTTCTTGATCACTAACAAGAGGTGAAGCTTGTGCAGTAGACTCCTATTTTTTCCAAGAAAATAAAAATTATCAATATGCATACAACATATGAATATATAAAAGAATAGCTTACAGAACATGGAGACTGTGGTGTCTCTGTTTTTAATAAGCTGCTTTCTGTAGTTGATTCAGATGGACTTTGATCGCTGATCAAAGAATCGGTTGACATTATTTGAATTTTGACAACTAAAAAAAAAAATATGAATGTATAAAAAAAAAAAAGGATAAAAATCAAGACTTTTTTTTTACGCAGCCAAAAAAAAAAAAAAAAAAAAAAAAAAGGGGAGGGGAGAAAATAATAAAAAGCCACAAGTATTTTGAAACAATTATCTATAAAGTTTATTGAATTAATACATAAATGAAAGATGATTGTAATAAACGGAGGGAATTCACAATTTTTTTTTTATTGTTATTATTGAGTTATTATTAACTGCTGTTGTTGCTGTTACTGTTGTTGTAGTAAAAATAAAAATAAAAAGAATATATGTTTATATATAAACTGAAACTTAGAAACCGTGAACTTTAATGTCACTCTTCTTTGCAATGCCTTCATTAACCAAAAATTCAGCCATCTTCATACGTTGATCACCTTGCATTTGAATAATTTCACCATGTTCTTCATCTTCAACAACAGTACCATTACAAGCAAAAGCTTTTTTAACGGCTTTTAATAAACGCTTACTATCAATCTCCTTGGGCAAACCTTGGAGAGTGGTTAATGTCTTACGGCCGTTACGTTGTTGAATGCGAAGATCTAGTCAATGCGTTTTTTTTTTTTATTTTAAAAAAAAAACATTAATAAAGTCAAACACACATGTACAATTCAAAATTGACTAGATGAATAATACTTACGAAGATAATTGGTGTGACTGACGCCCTTCTCTTCTTCAGCATCAGCAAAAGGATCTAATTTATATTCACTTTAGCGAAAAGTTCGAAAATAATGAGTTTCGCACTTTTTTGACAGTGTTCTCGTTGTGCGATTTGATTATTTACCAAAAGGTTTGTTGAGTTCTTCGAGATCAGCCATATCTATCTACTTTTTTTTTTATAATGGATGGATATATATACAAAACAAAAAAAAGGGAGAAAAGAGAGACGGCTGGATGATGGATATTAATGTATGCTACTAGCGGCTACTAAGGATGATGAGGTTCTTAAGTAATTCTAAAATTTTATTTTTAGAAATTTCCTTATTTGGAAGTTACCGATTTCTATAAAAAGTAAGCTCCTGTGGGTCAGTACAATCCGCGGCCGCGCTCCTTAGGAACACCCTTATTTTTTGACAATTATTTGGAACAAATTAAATAATATTTGAAGGAGAAAAGAAAGGGACAATCAAAGTAACATTTTCTTTATGATAGAAAAGAAGGGAAAGAAAAAAAAAGAGGAGAGTGAAAAAAAGAAAAAAGGCGAGTTCTTTTATTAATAAAAATTTGATTATTAGCAAATCTTTTAATAGCGAAACAAAAGATATTATAATTATTATTTTATAATATCCGGGATATTAATATTTATTTTAAAACCCTTTTTTTTTCATTAATTATTAAATCATGGCAATATATGACAAAACTATAAAGGCACCATTTGGTGTAATTGATATGGGTTCAAATGGTATACGATTTGGTATCGTAACTGATTTTGCAAGACATTTGCCTGTGACATATGAAGAACGTGCGCCTATATCTCTCTTAGAAGTTCAGGGTGAAGATCATTACATTCCTTCTGAAACTATTGATGAGGTCATTACAACCTTTCAGAGATTCAAGACAATTTGTAAACATGAAGGAGTTGATCCTACTAATGTCAAAGTCATCGCCACTGAAGCAACTCGTATTGCTTCTAATTCAAAAGAATTTTTAGACAAAATACATTATGCAACTGGTTGGACAGTGGATATATTATCTAAAGAACAAGAAGCTATTATTTCATCAATGGGTATTATTGGTAAACTATTTTTCCTTTTTTTCCAGAAAAAAAAAATCTGTCAAATTAAATTAATTTTTTTTTTTTTTTTTTTTTTCAGGATCATTTTATCGAGTCAATGGTTTGACAATGGACTTGGGCGGTGGCTCAGTCGAGTTAAATTATGTAACATCAAATGATCAGTCACCTTTAGTGAAAGATTCCGAAAGACCTAGAAAACGGTTTAAGGTGTCCTCAAGCCCTGTATCCCTTCCTTATGGTGCAATCATTATGAAAAATCGATTAGCAAATTGTACAAACAATAATGAAAGAAATGAACTTTATAAGGAAATTGTAGATCAAGTCAAAAAGGCTAAAATAACTACTAATATTCCAAACAGTTTACAAAGTTATGATGGATATACATTGTATATGAGTGGAGGCGGTTTCCGAGCATTAGGTTACTTGTCAATGGCTGAAACATATTCTAAAACAGAGAAAGGAAAATATCCTATTCCTATTATTAGTGGCTATAGTATAACAGGAGATGAATTAATGGAATTAGCTAATAAATATAAGGATCGTGATCCAGATGAACTTGTTAATGAACTTCAAGTATTTCGTATATCAAAACGTCGTGCGAGAATGATCCCTGCTATATGTTTCCTAGTATCTGCTATTATGAAAGTAATTGAAATTAAACAAATTTATTTTAGTGAAGGTGGTGTAAGACAAGGTGTCTGTTATTATATGCTGCAACCATCAGAACAATTAAAGGATCCATTACTAGAAGGTGTAAAATCATATGTATCACCCTTATCGCATGCTCTATCTCATGATGAATTTGAGGCTATAATGTCTTTATTAAAGAGTGCCATTCCTCCTCTTTATCTGACCCCTGATCATCCACTTCAACTTCATCGATTGATCCCGGCTGCTGTACATCTTGCAAACTTAACAACGCATTATCCAAAGGAAACTCGTGCCTTTGTTGCCTTTCATATACCTCTCGCAAGTGGCCCCCTGGCTAATGTTCCTGGCCTTTTACATTCAGAAAGGGCCATATTAGCATTAATCTTGGCTTATCGTCAGGGAGGAGAAGTACCAGATCCGATATTTAAGACAATAGAAAATATGATTGGTAAACATGGTATATCTGTATGCAAATACATTGGCAAATTAATGGAGATTATCTTTTTAATTTCTCCACGTTTTCCTGGTTTGGGCGCATTAGAAAGTGGAATTAAGTTTCACTTAAAATCAGTTGATTCTGACGATGAAAATTCAAGTCCTTGTAGTTCCCCAATTACTCCATCTGCACAACGCTATTATTCTCCATCTAAACTAGAAATCATTTTACCAGAAAAGCTTAGTCCAATGCTATCTGCACCCTCTGTTATTTCTACTATTGAGAGTATGGATAAAAAAATTCAGCCAAAAAGTTTTGAGTTAGATGAAGAAGTACAAGGGTTAGATATAAGAAGTAAATTATTTTCTGTGTCTATTATTCGTGATTAGTGTTCTAGATTATAAACAATATTACGTTGTATATAATAGATCTAACTAACATTTGATAAAAGCCTACTATAATATAATATAAACCTAACTTGAATAAGTAAAATAAAAAAGGATTTTTCTCTCATATTTATTATTACAAGAATTATGCAAATACATATATTAATAAAGTAATGCTTTGCTATTATCTTTGAAGAAATCATTCTATTCTTGAACCAAGTTATTAGGAATTGTTATGTATATGTATACATGTATGTATGTATGTATTTATTTATTGTTCTGATTCAGGTACTAGGAGAGAGTAAAATAATAATAAAATTTTGCGTAAAGATTCTCTTATCGATCATCTTATAGGCTTTATTGTCTAATAAGTCGCTTATTATATAGTAATTTACAAATATTGGAGAACAAACAAGTACTTGATAAACTTCCTCTGACACTTTCAAGCTTTTGTTTGTAATTATGTTTTTTTATTATTTTATCTTCCTTGTTAGTATAGTACGACATTCACGCAACTTTTGCATTTCTTTGTTATTTGTTAAATCATGATTAGAGTATAAAAAGAACCTTGAGCTATTATATTCATTCTGGTGATAGCTAGTTCAAATTTACTCTTTATCTTTCTATTATGGCTCTTTTCTTTAGTTTTTTAAACCCTTTTTTCTTTTTTTTTTTTTCTAACTTATTTGCTCAATTAGATTCTTTTAGAACCAACTATTAATAGTAAAACATAACCTTTTTTGAATGAATGGATGAGAAAGATTCAAGTTTCTTTTTTCCATTTTGCTCACAATCTTCGTATTTGGTCACATTAATTTTAGTGTTCAATTGCTTGTGTACAACTGAATAGCTTAAAGTTATTTTAATCATTCTCTTTATTCTTTTGCTATTTATTGGTCACTTGAATAAAATTATGTATCCTAAACATTGTAACTCGATTACTTTTATTTTACTGATTAAAAAGAAAATAAAATCATCAAAACAACATTACTATTACTATCTTACAATTACTTTTTTTTTTGAATTAAGTCGCGTTTTCAATCTTAGAAACGCTATCTATTATTCCTAAGGTTATTATCACTTAGAAAAGCTGCCAAATATGCATTTTAAAGCTCTAAGAGTTTATTAAGAAATAATAGTAATTAGTACTCTTAAGGAACTCTGGTGCATATTAATTTCAATAAAAAGTGAGTATGAGCTCATATGACAGCCAACGATTATCTTTAAAGAACAAGTGTAGTGTCTAAGATAGACTCTTTAATTATTTCATTTATACACAAACTCGAAAATAGTTTACCAATAAATAAACGCATATCTTTTACATAATCAAAAGAATGCATTCAAACCACTTTGTATGGGTCAATAAAATAATATATTCAAAGAAAATGATAACTAATGATGATTCTTAAAAAATCTATAAACAGTTATTAGTGCCTATGTCTGTATTGTATACTTAAGCATGAAGGTTAAATTATTTTAATATAAAATAGCTATACTTGAAGCTAGTACTACAACTGTAAGATAACAATAATGTTAACTTTATTGTATACTTGATTGATGGTAATCTAGTCTTTATAATAGCACACTTACATAGTTTAGAGATATTAATTTTTACTTGAGCTTGTAGGTTTATACTCGGGAAAAAATGTGTCACAACATTGAAGAAAGAGATGTACCTTGGATATTTAAACTTCGATATTATACTGCAAGTCAACGAGGTAAATGTAGGTAATAATATATATATATATATATATATATATATATATTCTGTAGATATATGCTCTCAAAAGTAGAATACTAAAATTCAGAAGAAAGAATATCAACAAAAAATCATTAAAAAAAAAAGGATACAAATACGTTCTATATCGTTAAGCCTATGACATCAATTATAAATGTACTTGATTAAAAAAAAACAATTAAATAAAAGAATAGTTCATTATAAAAGATGACTATAAAATCTTCAACGGTTGTAATGTTATGAATACTAGGGGTATAAATCACTATCTATGTTTCTATATTCGCCTCTTCTAAACTCTATTGATGAAGAGTACTGGTAAACAAAAAGCACAGGCAGAAACTTGTCTTGTATTAGAGAAGCATGTATGATCGTTACTTCTAGTAGAGACTGTCAAGGATGATTTAAATATATTGCCTTTTTTTTAGGATAGATATTTCTAAAAAGAGGCTGACTTTAGGTAGTTTTAGTATTCATATATTCTAACTTTAAAGATTAAAAGAATATGTCAAAAATAAGCATGACTAAAAATAAATTTTATTCGTCTAGAAAATTTTCCAAACTGTCTCAATTTCATCTGGAAATAATGTAAAATATTTTTATTAAAGTAAAATACAAAGAGGACATATCATAATATACGTAATTGCGTCATCAAAATACTGTTTATATATATTTATATGTATAATAATATACAACATGGTAAAGAGGAAAATAATAAAAATAAACTCTTACACTGTAATAAACGATTTTATATAATAATTTACGTATTAAATCTCAGCAAGACAGATTAAAGCCTAGCTTCAATAAGTTTAAATAAAAAAAATGAGCCCATACATTTTGTTTCCGATAGTATTAAGTTCTAAAAAAAAAAAACTGTTGTTTTTTTTGTTTTTTTTTTTTTTTTCTTTCTATTTTATTTTTGCTTTGTTTTGTTTTTTATATTCTTGTTTGAATATACTTCATTTTGATTGTTACTGTTTTTTTTTTAAATCATATAAAGCATATCTAGTATTTACATACATTTTACAAATAGAAGAATTATTTATTATGGAAGCGTTCGCTAGCCTTCCACCACAGCATAAACTGCCTACATTTGACAGAGTTATGAATAATAATGATCATGCATCTTTCTTATCGCTATCACAGTTTGATATAGAACTTCAGCAACAAGCTCAAATAGCTATGCAGCAAGAGATGGAATCATGGCAAGAATTTGAAAAAAGCTATTTATCACCTATTGATTATAATGAAAACAAATATACACAACATTCATATAATAATCAACAAAATCATTCATCATCATCATCTTCTTCTTCTTCTTCATCTCATGCACGACAAGCTTCTCCAATTCATTCTGATATAAAACATCAATCTGCCCTGAATGGAGATATTGTTGATTTAGTTACTAGTACAGACTTACCAATAGATAATTTGATTTCGTCTCACCATAATAATAACAATGAAAACAATAACGAGAACAATAGTATTACACTATCGGCAAGTCCAACAGTAAATAATAACTCTAATCAACAACATCAAATGCACCAATGGCAAGCTTCAAATACAGTTTTATCACCAGATAAAATAAAATTTGAACATTTACCTTTTGCATCTCCCGCAAGTGAACATATTCATTCCAGTATTTCATCTTTTGGAAGTCCAGATTCTATGCTTTATGCTTCAGATAACATGCAGCATCACTTGCATTCTCCTAAACAATCTATATTTACAGAACAGTCTCAGATTTTTCCACACTTGTCACAACAACAACAACAACAACAACAACAACAACAACCTTCATCTGCCTCCACAGATAATACTCCTATTCAGTCACCTAAAAATGATTTACTGACATCTCATTTAAACTTTCAAATTCATTCACAACAAACACCTAACTTTCAAGCATCTTCAGTTCAACATGAATATCAAAAATCTCCATCAACTCAAGGTAAGACATTATATTTTTAACTAAATAAAGTGAAACATGATCAAATATACGTGGAGAAGAAAATTTATCCGTATTTTTTCTTTCCTTTTAGGGAATGATGCTTCTTCGGGTAATAATAATCATAGTAATAATAATATTCATTTATCACCTCAACAACCAATATTGTCTACTTCCACAGTGAATACAGAATTATCTGTACCTACTACTGCTAATAATACTACAAATCATGTTATACGATCTATTATGCCACAGCAAAAAAAGACCGCTCATAATGCTATTGAGCGTCGCTATCGAAATAATATCAATGATCGTATTGCTGAATTAAAAAATGCAGTACCTGCTCTACTTCATGCTAAGCTTAAAGATTCTAGAGCAGGAAATAAGCGTTCACATCGTTCGTCTAATAACAATAATAACAATAATGATGATGAAGATGACGAAGAAGATGATGAAGAAGAATATCTAGATGGTGTTGCTGTTGCTACCAAGTTAAACAAAGCTACTATTTTACGTAAAGCTACAGAGTATATTTTACATTTGAAACGTACAAGTGAAGATTTACGTAAAGAAAATGCAACTTTACAACACTTATTGGGCCAGTTACCCGGTGGCTATGAAGTCCTTAGTCGTTATAGAGTACAAAAGTCTCAACGTGAGCAAGAGCTACAGAGACAAAAACTTCAAGAACGTGCCTTACAAAAACGCCAACAACAACAACAACGTAAAGCAAATAGTCGTAAGAGATCACGTCATACTGAAGTATCTGAAAAAGAATATGAATCATGTTCCTCTTCCAACTCAAATGATCCTTTAACACCTCCTGTAATAATCCAACAAAATCAATCACAAATGTACAATACATTTGACCCCACTCAACAACATGTGAATAATAATAATAATAATAATAACAATAACAATAATAATAACAATAGCAGCCATAATAATAATTCGGTCACTAACCGTGTGTTTATGGCTATTTTTATGGCCATAAGCTTCTTTTCTACTTCCCCTCTTTCCGCTGGTCCTACCTTAAAAGATCAATATGAAAGTCATAATCATATTTCTCGTACTGCAGATGATATTCTCTTATCAAATAATAACTCCACTAGTTCTATGATAACCTCATTATTCCCACTATCTGATAAATGGTAACAATATAAATATATATATATATATATATATATATACATATATACATATATAGTTTATTTACTTATTCTTTTCTCTCTCTCTCTCCTTTAATTTAGGTCTATCCTCAGATCTACTGTATTTGCCATATGTCTTGTCCAACTCTTTTTCCCAGTATTTCGATTTTGGCTATCCTATAGTCTCAAGATCAAAAGAGTGAATAAAAGATCAAAAACAAATTCTTCAGAGAATAAATCTTCTTTAAATGGCAATATGGCATCTCATGTTGCCACCTTGACACCCGGTGATCAGAAATGTATGCAAATCTATAACATCCTTGTCAAGTCCTTGGAGAACGATCCAAGTAGTAAAGCAGAGAAAGAAACTGTATTCCCCTTTAACTATAAAAGTACTCTGGGTTTCTATTTCTGTCTCACAAAGCAGATCGCTCGATTTGTGATACGTCATTGGCTTGGTTACGAAATTTTGTACGACGATCAATATTTGACACCTCAGGAACAATGGGTCTATGCCTGTAAATGGATCAAGTTAAACGAAGTTGAATGTCTTGGGGGTAACCCTCATGTGACACGCTCCTCTATGCTCTATTCATGCTTCTATCTACTTAATTTATTTGAATCGATGGAAGATGATGAAAATGAATATGTGAGTCAGTCACGTTCTCGTGTCTATGCAACAACAGCTATGCAAATGGCGCTCATCATTCCTCATCATGACATCGCTGAAAGACTCTCTCGCTATTTCTGGCGTCTAGCCATGTATGAATCTGGTCTCGAAGATGACACCTTGATGCGTGCACTTATCTTTGATTGTCATGAAGATGATGGTGAAGATCGTATTGAGGCCATGCTTAATTCCCGGGCCTGGAATGAAACCCTTGAGGTGATGAATCAACAGATTGGTCACTTTGGTAACAGGCTCGAAAGTCACGGTCTCTCTCTCTCGATGACCGCACCCGTCCTAGTTCCGGTTGGTATCCTGTCTACACTTCATCTACTTGATAACTTGCAAACACAATTTGGTCGTTTGATTATTTCTGTTACCGCAAAGCCCTTAACAGCTGCTATGGTAGCTGAAGAAAGTGAATCTGATTTTAATGAAACAGCATTTGCTCAATTGATGGCCATCACCGATCCTACATTAGAAAGTGAAAGCCGCTTTAGTGATTATCATCGTTTAGCACACTGGCTAGCCGCAGTGGGCGCTACAGCGGATGCACTCTGGAAGAGTGATGTGAAAACTGCAGAGAGACTGTTGAAGACATTAGTCGAAAAGGTGCCACGTTCACTTGTGTCCCGTGAGAGTACAGGGTCCGATGTTGTATGCCATAAAGATCGTATGAATCAATTAGATGAGCTAACAAAGAAGAGCATGATTCATATCCTTGTTGGTGCTACCCTTCTTAAACAATCTACAGATGGACAACGTCGTCGTGGTGTAGAGGAGCTCTGGAAAGCAGAAAAGATCAAGACAGAAATGAAAAAGATAATCAATCATAACTCTTCTACTAAACGTCACTACTATCAGAAAAGAGTGGATCATGATCATGACCTTGAAAGCTCTGTCTTGGCCCTTGCTGAATTCGTAACTGCAGTGACTGGTCTTGAAGCTTGGATTTCAGCTTGGCGTTTGGCTCCTGTATTAGCAGCCGATGAAGGTAAAGAATGTGAAGTCTGGGAAAATACGATGATTGAACAAGTGCGAAATGCTAGTCTGTATTTGCGTCGTATGATTCGCCGTCATTCACTAAATGGTTTGCGTACAAATCAAGTCATTGTAGAACGTCTAAGTCGGTTAGGAGCTTATGTCTCTAGTCAAATTGATGAAGTGGATTCCGCTTGTGAATGTACAGAATTTGATAACGAAAATGATATCGAAAAGAAAGATAACAATGATTTATTAACACAACGTTCTCAAAGAGCATTAGATATTCTTCGAGGGCTTTCGTAATTTTTTTTTTTTTTTAAAAAAAAAGTATTCTTTCTTTTATTATTATTATTATTATTATTATTATTATATACAATAAATATAAATGTAAACATACATATATAAAAGTAATCTATTTACAATGTGAATTATTATTTTTGCAATTGTAAAAGCTGTTGATTATAATTTTCAACATCATTTTTTAATTGATTTAAATGCTCTTGAACTGTTTCTATTTCTTGGTTTAACCAATATGACTCTTTCATTACACTACTATCTGAGTCCTGTTGTTGTACTATTTCAAGGTATCGATTGATACGATGTAAACGTAAAACCAATAGAAAATGCATCAATAAAGTTAAAATAATAAATGCAGTATATACAGATTTAACAAGCCAGCTTGAAAATACATTTTTGTCATCAGATCCGTTATGCGATGATTGCTTTGTTCGTTTTATGATATGTAAATCTTTTAAAAGTTTTTTATCATTAGTAAGTTCACGAACTAACAACGGCTTTTTCATCACTAGATTGAAATGATTATAAATCCTCAATTGACTATTAATAGCATTTTTTTCGATTATTGCTATAAAAAAAGATATTATTAGTAACGCATATCATAATAATAATAAACAAAGAAAAATCCGTTTATATTTACAACTAATTAAACCACTTTTAGAGAAAACTACTTGAAAAGTTACTAATACATGAACTTTATCTTTATGAATATGTGTAATACATGTTCGAGATTGAATAGAATAAATAGCGCCCATTGGAACATCTGGCGTTAATACTTGTGACTTTACACAACAATAATAAGGATATTTTTTATAAACAACCTTATCTTTGAATAGAGTAGTTATGATCTTGGCACCTAATATGTTTATGTATGCATGTATTTACCCATTGTAATACTTTTAGTTTTACATTTGCCCATTACTTCTCTATGGCCATGCTTCCATTTACCTAACTGTATATCTAAAACACACATATAAATGTTAATATAACATTCATAATTTTTTTTTTATTATTATCATCATTATCATTATTACTTTCAAAATTTTCGTAGCGCTCAAGAAAATTTTTAAAGAAATCGCTATCAAATAAGAGTCTGAACATGGCATCGACTGTGCCAGAATATGTTTCGTTGAGGGCAACATGAAAGTAGTGTTTATTGTGAATACTACATGGACATGCTTTTGTCCTTTTTATACCAGTTGAATGCTCTTGATCATAATCACGCTTTAAACTGGTGGAGTTGTGAATGAAAGGATATGTTGTACTCAATGAATTATCATTTCGTTTTTCTTTAATTTTTGCGTATGAATCTGAAACAGCTCTAGGTCTACTATGTTGTTTTTCTGTATTATCCATTACTGACTCAGTCGCTAAAGCAGTAGATTTAGTTGTTTCTAAATTATGACTAGTATTCACTACTAACTGATCTTTGGAATCATTATTATTTATTGGTGGAAATAGTTTAGCGGTATTTGGTATTGATTGTTGAATAGTAGGGTCTTTATAAGTAATTGAAGATGAAGGTATATTCATATTAGTAAGTGATTGAGTAGAAGATATACTAGAATTATCATCATCATCATCTGTCATTTCTTCAGCTTCTAATACGTTTGATTTAAAAGGTGTAACAGAAGAGACTTTCTTATTAAGGTCCCATATTTTCATAATTTGATCATAAGCAGAATCACGCGAAAAAAAGGAAGCAAATACATACTGAGAAAAAAAAAATCAATTTAAACGTCAAATAGTATTAATACTATAAATTTCTTACAGTAGATGTGTTTGTAGCAATAAGAATACCATTTGGAATGATTTTTGCTATTGATTTTTTTTCAACACGAACCAATTCAGAAAAGTCGATAACAAGCTAAAAAAAAAAAAAAAAAAAAAAAAAAAAAAAAAAATAAGATAAAGAAGTTACTATTTTTCTCTTTTGTGGTATTTATGCATCATCATACATTTGTAATGAAGCCAAAGATATTTGATTTAAAGCAGATATGATGTTCAGAAACGAAAAGATGTCCTTGTAAAAGTATATCTTTTTGTAATGCGCATTTATAATCTATATTAAAAGTGTGAATTACTTTTATCTCTCTCTCTCTCTTTAATAATATGCATCTGTAGACTACCTTCTATTAGTAAATCTTTTTCTGGTACGCTTTTGAAAAGTGAATGAAATTCACCATTTTTCTTTTCATTAGCCGATCGGAAATCACATGCCGTGGCAAAACCACCGGGCCTATTAACATCCGAAAAAATTAGATTAGTTTTATCACCATCTGCTATTGTGTTGTGTATAACAATAGAATGCTCAGGACCTGTTGTTGTTGTTGTTGCAAATGCTATTGGTGAAGAAGGCTCAGTACTGGACGTGGTATGAATAAGGGAAGAAGAAGAAGTTGAAGGTGAAGATGATAAAAACTCTAAACTTTGATTCTTCTTCTTAAAAGTAAAGACTTTTTTAATCGGTAAACTTTGGTGCTTTTGATATTTGGCATGTTGTTGATTTTTATTTACAGGCGAAGGCAAAGTCTGAGAAGATGAATTATTTGAGGATGAGGATACTTGATCTTTAGTTGAACTCACAGGATGTTTAGAGTCTAGACTATGACGTTTTTCAAGTACTTCTTGAACCAAGGACTTTGTCGTATCTTTAGCTTTAGTTAGCATTTTAAGAGCTGAAAGTCTTCGTTTTAAAGTTGAGGAATTAGGTTGATTAAGAGATAAAGAATTTGTTAAATTTTTTACTATATCTGACATTTTTATAATTAATAATTGAGTTAAAAATGACGACGATGTTTCAAATATCTAAAGAAGAAAAAAAGAAAAAAGAGATTAAATAAATAAATAATAATAATAAAAAAAAAAAAAAAAAAAAAAAAAGAAAACACACACACACACACACACACATAAATAACTTTTTAGTCCTTGTAACAATAAATAACAAATACCGTAAAAAAATAAAGAAGTACAAAAAATATTGAATAACCGCAGAATGTGTAATTTTACACCTTTCATTTTCTAAAAACAAAGTTCTTCCATTCTTTCATCTCTTTCGTTCTTATTATTCATGCGGGGTAAATTTTATATAGGACAGCGTTTTTTTTTTTTTTCCTTTTTTTTTTCTTACATAAACAATTTTTATACTAATTTGATTATTATTGGGCAAAAGATTAGTAAACGATCTATGTAATGCATTTTATGATCTAGATGATTTATTTTAATACTAATAACACACATAAATCAACTAATTGTACATGTTTAATAAAACTTGGTTTTATTAATGAAAACATTATTACTTGCAATCTCGTGTAATTTCATATTATATATAAATATTTATTTATATATTTACATGCGTGTATGTATAATTTACATTTAAAATAATCCAATTTTAGTCTTGTCTTTCATTAATGGGGAAATAAATTGACCAAGGAAATTAAAAAGATCTCCTCTTACTTCTTGAATATCGAATATGTTAAAACTCTTTGGGTTTCTTTCTGTGTCTATTACGACTAATTCTAAATTATCAAGTTTCAAATGTCCTTGCTCCACTAGTGTTAAAAGTCGATTAGGTGTACCGACACCAATATGAATAGCCTCTTGTTCTAAAAATTTAATTTGATCTTCTATTTTAAAATGCTTAGCAAATAATTTTGCAATTTTAGCTGTACTGCTGAATTCTTTTAGAGCTCTAAAACAATAAACTAGTTAATCATAAAGTGTTCTAAATCAATATATGTATATATATTAGGAAGTTACCGAACGAGATTAACTGCACGAATGGCTGAATGAGTAATAATCAATACAACAGGACTGGCAAGTTGTGTAGGCTTTTTACTTAATTTTTTATGTCCTGCAACACCAAACTTTACATATTTAGGTAACGATTCTAGCACATGCTCTTCTTTAAATTTTTCATTATCCACTAGGTTCGAAACTGGCAGCACTTGCTCCTCTAACTCAACAGTAGACAATTGAGGTAAAGCAATTTTTTGACGATCAGCCAAATAGTTGGCTTGTACTTGTATATCTTCTTGAGAAATATTGATTTTATCAAAGGGATTTTCTTCTCTTTTCTTCTTTGGATGCTTCTTTTTCTTTTTCTTTGGTGGTTCTTCTGATGTCATTTCCTGTTTACGTTTTAATGAAACATTTATCTCATCAGTGTCAACATCATTATCCGAGAATTTATTTTCGTTGTCAGAATAAACAAGAGTGTTATCTTCTTGATAATCATCTTCAAAGTCGTCGGCAGAAGTAGGTATTTTTTTATTCTGAATTTCAGACATTATTAATTGTTAAAAAAAAAAAATAGAATTACCTAATAACACAGCCACTATTCACTTATTTCATGTATGTAGTGGCTTAGATATGTAGGTCTGAAATTAAATTTTTTTTTTTTTATTTATTTTTTTTTAAAAAAAAAAAGGGTTTTCTGCAGATTTTTATTTTATTAAACATTTCAAAACTCATCGATCATGTCAAAAGTAGTAGATAACAAAAATCAACCTACTGTTGATATTGAAGAAATTTCTAAAAAAAAGCCTGAAGAAACTACATTTGCTGAATTGGTAAGTAGTCGTAGGATTATTTAAAAAATTTTAAAAAAAAAAATGCTTTTTTGTCAAAATTTAAATTAAATTAAATAAAATTTAATTAAAAAAAAAAAGAATCACATGTACTAATCTTTATGTTTAATATTCTAAATAGGGTGTCTCATCTCAATTATGTGAAGCTTGTGAAAAAATGAATTTTAAGCACCCTACCGAGATTCAAAAAGAATCTATTCCTTGGGCAATTGAAGGACGAGATATTATTGGTCTTGCTCAGACAGGTTCTGGTAAAACTGCTGCTTTTGCTATTCCTATTATTCAAAGGCTTTGGGATAATCCTCAAGCCTTTTTTGCATGTGTTTTAGCTCCTACAAGGTAAATATGGTTATTAGCAAAGGACAAAGAAGCAGATATTTACGGTGTTTACATAACCCATATTTAGAGAATTAGCTTATCAAATATCAGAAACATTTGAATCATTAGGTTCAGTCATTGGTGTTCGAACTGCAGTCCTTGTTGGCGGTATGGATATGATGTCACAATCTATTGCACTTTCTAAACGCCCACATATCCTCGTTTGTACTCCTGGTCGTCTTCAAGATCATTTAGAAAATACAAAGGGATTCAGTTTAAGGAATTTAAAATACTTAGTTATGGATGAAGCAGATCGTTTATTAGATATGGATTTTGGACCTAAGATTGATCAAATTTTGAAAGTGATTCCCCGTGAACGTAATACGTTTTTGTTCTCAGCCACTATGACTACAAAGGTTGCTAAACTTCAAAGAGCTAGTTTACAAAAGCCTGTTAAAGTCGAAGTAGCCACTAAATATTCAACTGTAAAAACACTTTTGCAATACTATCTCTTTTTCCCTCTTAAACATAAGGATTGTTATATGGTTTATCTTATGAATGAATTAGCTGGTAACTCTACAATTATTTTTACACGCACATGTCATGATACACAAAAGATTGCTATTATGTTAAGAAATTTGGGTTTCGCTGCAGTTCCTCTCCATGGTCAAATGCCTCAAGCAAAACGTTTAGGTGCCCTTAATAAATTTAAAGCAGGTACACGTAATATTTTAGTAGCTACTGATGTTGCTAGTAGAGGTCTTGATATTCCTTCAGTTGATATTGTCATTAACTATGATGTGCCACAATCATCAAAAGATTATATTCACCGTGTCGGACGTACTGCCAGAGCAGGTCGATCTGGTAAATCTATTACATTTGTTACACAGTATGATGTTGAATTGATTCAACGTATTGAAAAGGATTTAGAACGTAAACTAGACGCTTTCCCAGTTGAAAAAGATGAAGTGATGTTATTACAAGAACGTGTGGATGAAGCACAACGTATTGCTACATTAGAATTAAAAGAAACCGAAAATGGTAGAAAATCAAAACGTGGCCATCATAAGAATGAAGATGAAGACGACGATGATGTTGATCAAGAGGAAAAGCTTGGTGTGCAGATAAAGAGAAAATTTAAGGGAGGAAACAACAATAAAAATAAAAAGAGACGTTAATAAATAGTATTGTATTGTATAGTTTTTTTTTTTTTTTTTCATTATAAATAAATTGGGAGAGACAGAGAGAAACAACGTTATTTGAATCCATTTATCCTATTTAAAGAAGAAGACTCTATATTGCTTGTGCAAATATACCCATCGTTATTAAGGAAGTTTATAATACTTTGAGAGCAAAGAATTGCTTACTTCTTTAACTATAATACTATGATGTATAAGCTCATTCATCATTACAGTCCACTATGAATATATATATATATATATATTCATTCACTCATTATAGTAAAATTGTATTTAAATATTACAATAAACTTTTTTATTTTATAAAGGCAAATTCTAAATATTAATATGAAAATATACAAATAAGATTAGATTAAATAAGATTACAGAAACAACAATAATAACAAAAATGACTAGTTATAGGTTAAAACAGTCTTGAAAACATAATCCCATAACTTTGAAGTAATACCATAACCAGCTTCAAAATCCTTGTAATGATGTGCTAAATGGTATTTCTTCATTTCAGCAAAATGAAATTTGATAACTTTGGCATGATGAACATAATAATGAGTCATATCGTAACAAACATAACCAAACATACCGCCAGCAACTACACCATAAGCCATCATCTTTGGGAATAACATATGAGCTGCTGTGATCCATGGATAAGCTAAAAAGACAAAGAGAGCAGGTGGTACGACAAGTCTCAATCTAAGTTACACACGTATATGTCAAAAGTTATAAATAAATAAATAAATAAATAATGGCGCCATTCTTAATAACACTTACCTATCCATGGGCAAATAATGATGAAAGCCATGAAGAACAAAATGTAAAAGGAACATGTACTGATTCTCAGGCATACGATCATCATAATGAAATAAGAAACGATGAAGACCATATTCGAGGAAAGTCCAAATAAAAATGCCAAAAATGAAAAATGAGATAGTAGCTAGAGCATTACCGAATGATAAAGATTTATAAAAATTATAGGCAACATAAGGTAACCAAATAAGAGGAATAACCCACCAAACAGTTTTAGATAGAGGCTCTAATAGAGGATGACCAAAGAATTGAGCTGGTCTATTTAAATAACGTGGTTTATGAACTTGTTCAAGATAATGTTCCTTTGTAAATTTCATAGTCAACATTTGAGGTACTAAAGGCTTATTAAGGTCCAAGAATTGATGAACCTTAACATCAGCCTTTGTATCAGTAAGAGAAGGAAAGAAGTTCTCCTCTGTATATGTCTTATACTCTACTTCCTTTTCTAATAAACCCACTCGTCTACGATGAAGACTAGCACGTTGACCTTCTAAATGCCTAACAGGACCATTATCTAATTCAGTTCCTTCCAAGGTACCAATCAAATACTCTTCTAACATTTCAAATGCAGGTTCAGAATGACTATGAGAATCTCTATCGGACATAATTGCAGTAATATCTTTTCCAGCATATTCAAGGATAACATCATCACCACCAGGATGGTCTTGAACAAATTCAGTTATATCATATACTCTATCATTAAAAATAACCCAAAGAGACTTTTCATTATTATGTTTAGCAACCTCCTCTATTGAATACACTTTTGACATTGTGAAGCAATAGATACTTTTTTAAAAAAAAAAGAAGAAAAAAAGAAACCCTTAGCTTTTTATTACTGGAAAAAAAAAAAAAAAAAAAAAAAAAAAAAAAAAAAAAGTATCACCCACCCAATTGTTCAATTCAAATTAATCCTCCGAATTGAAACTTCTCTTAAATTAAGTTAGTAAGCATGTCTTAAGTTCCTGTTATTATTATATTACTTCTTGTCTGTTTAAGCTGCTACATTATTAAGTTATATAATTACTTTTTTAATTATTGTCTTTATAAAATTCTATTGTATACAAAAAAATGATTTTTCTCCCTTTTTTTTTTCTTTTCTTTATCGAACTATTCTTAATAATAGAAAAGTCGAACATTTTTCGGTTTCTTTATTTTTTTTTTCGTAGTTTCATTCTGTATTAATTGTAAAAAATGACAAATGATGAGGGATAAAAGATGCACTGGATAATAAATTATTAAAAAAAAAAAGAAACGGGAGGGGCAAAGTATATAATAGAAATGAAATATTTATTGATTTTGAATACATTGATAACATTTCTTTAATATTTAAAAAATGAGACCTCTTTTTTATTATTGCACTGTCATTTTCTGTATTCACATGTTCGCTAATTTAATTTAAACAATAAGGTTATTGTTTATAAAAAAAAAAAAAAAAAAAAAAATTAATTTGCGCTGCTTTTATAATTTGAAAAAAAAATGTCAATCAAAATGGTAATAATACCATCGTATAGCAGAGAGATTCAAGATACCTGAAGAGTAAGAATTAGTTAGAATTCATATAATTCTAGTTATATGAGTAAAAAGATGTTTTGTCGTAATTCTTGTTAATTAAAGTAAGAGTGCCTTTTATACAAGCAATATGTCTAGCAGTAGTAGCCATAATACATAATATCTCATCAATGCTATGCTGATATCGAAATAAGCTTTTGCCATCCTTTTTTTTAAATGAATAGAAATAAAATTGTAAAGAAAGAGATATAGTCAGCATTCATCAAGAGCATATTAAAAGATGCAAAGAACAATTGTTATTACTTATAAATATATATAGTATTTAGGCTACTAGCATGAAAGCAGATATAATGAAGCATCTTTGAGAGGATTATAAAGTATATAAGCATTAACGAGAGAAATTATGTAAGCAATACAACAAGTTTTATACATTTGCATGTAAGATAAATTAATTTTGTTGTTGTTGTAATAGTTGTATATATTTAAGTCAAGATGTTAACATACAATAAGCGACAACATATATATAAAGCTATCTACTGTTATATATCAACTTCCTTCATCTATAGTATGAATTTTGTTCAATCTGATGTTGAGGCGATGATTTATTTATAGTTTTACCTAAAAAGTTATTATTATTACTAGATCAAAATAGGTACGTGCTTAATTAATAGTTATAATAATCAATTTCAATGATGAAGCCTTACCATGAATAACTTGTATATCAGCTGCTTTTATTGAATATAATGACTAATTTATCATCATTATTTAAAACCAAGAAAATGCATAAAAAAAAAAGTTAAATACAGTGTTACAGTTATGGAGTCATGTTTTCTACTTTTATTATTATATTTTACCTTTAAAAAAAATATAACATTTATTATCTTACAATACTTATTAAATAAATATATTACTAGTAGCTCTGGAGCTATTATTGTTTATAAAAAAAATTTAGTTATACATGTCGAAATATACGTTGTTATCATTTTTTTTTATATATATGATTTCTGTAAATTACAATCACCACCTTGAATTAATCATTTTTCTCTTCTTGTTTTAACAACTCGACAAGCATTAACCATCAAATAGTAACTGTTCGAAAGATAGAAAACATGAAATAAAAATAGCTACACACACCCCGGAATGTAATTCGAAAAAAAAGAAAGGGCTTCTCCGGGAATCGAACCCGGGACCTCTCGCACCCTAAGCGAGAATTATACCACTAAACCAAGAAGCCATTGACGTTTTTCTTGACCAAAAAATAAAACATAAATAACAAAACAATGAAAAAATCACGTGACTATAATCCTTATCATTTGATTGGTCAGCGGTTTGTAAAAATGTCGAAGAAAAGCTGTCTTAATGAGGCTTATATTTTTTGTTTGCTTTATGATTTTGAATTAATGTGTCTCTTTTTGTGAACATTTTAAACAATTCATATAATAAGCATGTCATCAGAAGAGTAATTCCTTTTTTTTTAAAAAAATAATTCTCAAAGTCCAATTATTAACTTTTTATTTTGTATATTTCTTTTAGCGCTACTGTAAGTTACATTTTTCTCATTAGGGATTGTAATTTTAAATTACTTAGATGTAAAAAAAAAAAAAATAGATGGGTGAAAATGAAAACATCTTAATTTTAGAACAAGGCACCGAGTCTCAACCTTCAGAAAATAAAGTAAAACAAACCACACCTTATATGACAAAATACGAAAGAGCAAGAATTTTAGGCACCCGTGCTCTTCAAATTAGGTAATTAAAACAAAGTGTGAAATGATTAAAAGGTGTATAATTTATATTTTCTTTTTATTGTATTTAGCTTGAATGCTCCAGTCATGGTTGAACTTGATGGAGAAACCGATGCTTTAGTCATTGCAATGAAAGAGTTACGAGAGAAAAAAATTCCTCTTATTGTTAGACGTTTCCTTCCTGATCAAACTTATGAAGATTGGGATGTAAAAGATTTGATTGTAGATTAATTTTATATTAGATGTTAAGTCTCTCTCTCTCTCTTTTTTTTTTTTTTTGTAATATATTTACGTAAAAGCTTTATATTTATTAAGAAAGCTTTATTAGAACCTATTTTTATAATAAAATATATCAAATAAATACTACAGATTGTTTCTTAATTATATTAACATATAAAAAATAAACGTAAAGTTGGGTATATTAAAGAATTTTTTTTTAATTTAAACAACAACAGCTAAATATAAAGCCTTTGATATGTATTTATATCATAGATAATAGTTTCAAGTGGTTTTATACTAGTAACGTATTCATAATTTGGTATAATATTTTGTATATTCAGTATTATTTAATACATATTGCTAATTTCAAATTCACTTGAATAGCCCTTATGTGGTTTGATTTCCCTATTTAATTGAATATGTAAGTGACTATAAAAAGAAATAATTCATATGTAAAACTTACTTGCTAAAAGGTAATCTACTATTTCCCATATATCCTATTCTATAAATACCTGGTTCAACACTATCTGAAACGTGCCATTCGATAGTTGCTTCTGACGTACCCAATAATAGATGTTTATATTTCCAAATAAATCTAATAAAGCGATTTAGATGTTTTAAATAGATACAAGTTAATAATAATAGTCTTACCTAGTATCATAATCGTCATCTGTTCGTATGATTTTCCATTTATCTTTACCAATTTTTTTTTCAACTGTCAAAAATGTTTTCCCTAACATGGGATCATTACGTGGATTACCAGCTACAAAGATAGCAGAAACAATAAAAGATGAAGATAAATTATTTTTACTGTAATATTTAGAGGAAACATCTTGTAGAACATCTCCAAAAGATCGAAAGAGATGAGGCTGATCAGATCGATATTTAGGTGTTAAATTGAATCCTTGCTTTGTATAATCTAAAAGCTCCTCTGACTTAATACTGTGATTATTGGGGTTAGCCATCATGTAAACAAGTTCATCAAACGCTTTTATATAGGCTTCTAAAGTATGAGGTCCATATGGAGTCTATAAGTAAAATATTTATATAAATAAGAATAAATATATGAAATGGAATTCTACACAGACTTACAGAAGCACCTTCATATCTTTGATGTTGATATTCTTCAAATGTTGCACAATAAGACTATTAGCAATATAATAAAACGTAAAAAATGATTAACCTTTATAATAAAAATAAAATGAAATAAAGCCTACAGCATAGCCATTTGCAGGACCAGAATGAATGACAATTGTATCTTGATTACCCAAGCGATACTTAATTAATGCTCTTTTAATAGAACTCCTTAGTCTTCTACCACTCATTGTTGTAAACTCGGATGGAACAGCATAAATAAATACGTTACCTATACGAAATAGTTGAATATCTAAAATTACAGGCTGCCAAGGGTATAAAGTGCTTATTTCGCCTGTATCTAATAAAATAGGTTTAGGTGCCTGACATTTTTTTTGCTCTTTCGAAGGCTTTTGCACTATATCCTTAATTAAGTCCCATCCAAATGTTCCTTTTGTCGTATTTTGATAGAATCCATTTAGAGCAGGCCCATCGGTTGTACCAGCAGCTAGTATATTTTAATTAACTTTCACTTTCACTTTCACTTTCACTTTTTTTTTTTTTTTTTTTTTTTTTTTTTTATTTTGTTAAGAAAAGCTTACCGAAAGCATAACCCTATAATAGTCATTAAAAATACATTTACCCCTTAAAATATAACTATACCAATAAACTTTACTTACCATAGCAGGATGGCATAGTTGCACCTTAACGCCATTTTTATCAGTAATGATAGTTTTTGTAATATCCCAATAACGTTGTACATAATCTACTTTTCCATTAACAGGATTTGCGACTTGCTGGCCATCATATAACTGTAATGCTTTATATGCTTGATTTTGTCCAATAATACGATTTGATTCAAGGTCACTTTTTTTCCATGCTGGCCCTCTAGATGATATTAATAGGTGTACATTTTTTTTTTTTTTTTTTTTTTTTTGCATGATAATACATTATGAACTCATCGTGTTACCTTCCAACGCAATAATGACCTTTGGCACATTTTGAGTCGCGGGTTCCATCACAAGGTATGTCAGTTCCTGTACAGTAAGGACCTAATATATTTGGACTTACATCCCCTTCATTCTGCTGTGCAAAAGCAGCAACAAACCGGTGGCTACTACTGCTACTACTACGATTATCATTGTTCATTATTTTTTCTACCAGATAAGCAGCATATCCTTTATTATCTCCATTAATCAATCTATTCGTATTATTTACAGAAACGCCATGAACTGGAAACCTAAAAAAAAAAATGACATAGTTTGTAATTGTTTATATTAAATCCTATTTATTCTTATTTTACCAACTTATTAAGCCTAAACCATCTCCTTCTTTATTTCTAAAGCTTAGTATTGACATGTTTTTATCTACATCAAATTGATAAAGTGATCTCTCCTCGATAGGATTCATCAAATATGCTTGAGGTGATCTATTAATATTTGTATTTAATAATTCTCCTTCAGAAAAGGCAATTGATCCCTCTTGAAGGTTATCATGTGCATTCATGATTGACTGAATAATTCCATCTACCATTGGTTTTACAGTTTCTTCAATCCATCCTAAAGCTGCAAATTCATAAAGGGCTTACAGAATATTTAGTCAGAATACATACCTACATATATATATTTCAATTAAAATAATTACTATATTGTAAATAGCCACCCATTCCACTATGGGAGTGTGTACTTGAGATCATAACATTATGTATAGTATACATAGTAGGACCATATTTGGATTGAAGTCCTTCTACTACACGTTTCTTTACAATATCGCCCATTGATTGAGTATCAGTATTCACAAAGACAATTCTTGTTTGTGTTTTCTCATCGAAAATAATAAACGCTCTTGACCATAGACGTTGAAGGATCCCTTGACCTGTTTGACCCAATGTTGCATAACCCATTAGCATAACTTGTGTAATAGGTCCTGTTATATCTGCTATTCCATTTCCAATATGATAACAATAAATATTGGCTATTAAAAATGATAATAGATAAATCCATGACTTCATTTATCAAATATTACAAAAGTATATATGTATAATAAAAATAAAAAAGAAAAAATAAAAAAAAAAGAAAAAGGACAAATTCAAAAAATAGAAATATGTATTTTATATAACAGTTTATTTAAAACTTTCTTCATTCTTTATCTTCTCGTGATACAATCATCGTTAATAAACTTTAAAGCGATAAATTATAATATTTTAATAATAGCTCCAAAAGCCATAATTTACTTATGTATAATGATATAATAACTTTTTTTTTTTTTTTTTTTTTTTTTTTTTTTTTTTTTTTTGTTGCTGAGTTATTTCAAATATTTTTATGCTGCTGTCATTTTTTTTTTTTATTCCATTAGAGTAAAATAATTTATACAGTAAATGATTCACCACAACCACAAGTTCCTTTAACATTTGGATTATGAAATACAAATTGCGAAGATAAGCTATCCTCAACGTAATCCATCTCTGAACCTAAAATAGTTAACAGTGCCTTTGAATCGACTAATACTGTGACATCTTTTTATTTATATATATAATAAGTTAACATGTGTATTTGTAATCCATATTATATTTATTGGCTTACCTTCTTGGTTAACTGCTTCATCAAATTTCCCCTTTTTATCTGTAAATTCAAGCATATAAGAGTTTCCAGAGCAGCCTTTACTTTTAACACCAACCCTTAAGAATTGTGGTTTGTCTCCTTGTGACATTTCTCTTAATCTTGTTACGGCTGCTGAGGTCTTTTTTTTTTATTATTAATAAATATATTCTCTTGTTTTATTTGGTTTTGTTCAAGTTTTTACCAATGTTAAAGGTGCTTTTCGTAGTCTTAATTTACGCGGGCTACTTTCAAGAATAGTTGACTTTAAGATTTGTCTATTAATTAATGTAGGAATCATAATGAAGAAAACAAGAAAAAAAAAAAAAAACAAACCGAAAAAAAAAGTAGTGGTTTCAAGATAATCAGATCTATAAATTATTGGCTATAGCACTTCAAAGATGAAACTTGTTCCGCATATTAAAAAGTTATTGGCCTTTTTCTTTTTTTTTTTGTTTTCAAAAATAAAATAAAATAAGCATACTTTTTCTTATAAATACAATTTCATTTATAATGACTGTTAAAAAAAAACAAGTATTTAGTGATGAAGAAGGAAATGAACTTATAGATTTTAATAATGAATTATATTGGGTATTGAAATGGTACATCTTGAAATATAAAGTCATTAAAGAGAGGACAAGATGAAGATAAAAAATAAATTCTACATTACTAGATTAGAAAGAAAGCTGCTTAGGAATATTATATATTATACTATACCAAAAAAAAAAAGGAAGGAAAATATGGCTCTAAGAGATATATTTTATTACATTAAAGGTTAATCATTAAGCATATCTATTTAAAAATATTTCACAATAATGTATGCTTTGTTGAGACTTTATATCGCATATAATTTCTTTAAAAAGTGAATAAAGCATGATAATAAGAATTTAGTCATGTTTAATCTATCAGTATAAAGAGAGCTTTGATTCTATCAAGCATTTTGTCTATAATATAAATAAAGTATTCGTAGACTTTTATTATTATTATTTTGATTTTTTGTGCTTTAATACAGTTATTTTTAAGAGTTTATTTTATCCTTTAATAACTACTCGATCAAAGCCGCTACAATAGTATATATACAATTTTTTTTCCATATATATCACTATACTGTCTTTTTTATTTTCTAGCAAAAGCTTTTCTTTTCTTTTCCTTTTTTTTTTTTGGTTATAGCTATAGTACGTTGCAAACTTCCAGGGATAGAATGTTATTATTTGCTGATCACACTATGGGTGTCATGTTGTGCATACTAGTAAGAGATAAAGCGTTGCATGATGATTCGTATATGAATCATTTGAATGAAGCTCTAAAACAAGAACAATACCATGATTTCCGACTTTCAGAGTTTGCAACTCTGTGATGCAGACTCTGTCATTCTTATATATTTACCATGGACTTATAGAGTTAGAAAGAATTTTAACAAAGAAATACTGCATTTATACTAGTTCTCTTAGACATAACCAAAAAAAAAAAGAAAGAATGGAGGATGAGCACACGCCTGATAACTTCCTTAAGCTTCCTATAGAACGCATCACCATATCAAACATGAATGCCTTCTCAACAAGAGTTTAGATATTTACAGGTGGATTGTCCGACTAATGATATGTTAACCTGTCTAAAAGACTGGCATATAAATCCTATTTTTGCTTTGTCCAAATCCGCTGTGTCACATTATTCACAATTTATTTTATACGTCTAAAAAATGTTATTGGCTGTTCTAAAAATTGTTTTTGATCGTCTTATTTTAAGTGGAAACACTGCAAGCTATTTCTGCTGCTACTGTGCTTTTTTATTTTATCTTTTTTTTTCTTTTTTATTACACTTATATAATATCAAGCTTCCCTTTTTATTTTTCTATTTCTTCATTTCTTTTCTTTTATATCTTTATATTTGTATCTATATTTATATTTATATTTATACATATATACATACATATATACATACATACATACATACATACTAGACAGGAAAAGAAAAGAAATAAAGCGAAAAATATTAATAAAAAAAAAAGATAGGGTCATTACCTAAACAAAAAAAAAAAAGTCTCCTTTATTGAGGATATTGGCTTATGCATAATCTCAATATCAGGTATATCTTATTAAACATAATTTCAAACTTAAATTTACTTAATGATTTTCTTTTTCATTATAGATCTGGTGAAGTTTCCTTAGAAATTAGAGAAAAAAAATACATTATTAATCCAGGTAAAACAAACATTTTAATGTATTCTATTTTATTATTAAACTGTATATTTTACATTGTAGTATTAGATACAAAACAATTCGTAAAGAAATCGCATGCTATATCTTCCTCAACTGTGAATGTTGTTTGCGCTAAAGTTACTACTACTATCACTCCTTCATCAGCCATGTGGAATAGAATGAACAATGTTCCTAGGAAACAATCCATAGAGGCTTATATTACCAACAACGAAAGCGAAATCCCTTATCATTCTCCTTCCTCTGAAAATGAAATTATTAATGAGAAACAAAATCAACATTGTAATAGCAGAGATAATGATGACGACGATAATGGTTCTGATGACTTGAATATAATGAGTGACTCCGAATCACCATCTGATCTGGAAGAAATAGAAGAACAACAAAAAATACAACATCATATTATAAAATCAGGCTCTAAAGATCAATTTCAGTTTCATTTTGAATTTGGCTCAAAGAGGCCACCAAGTACTGCTATTCAATTTGAAGAGGAAGAGGAAGAAGAAGAGGAAGAAGAAGAGGAGGAGGAAGAGGAAGAAGAGGAGGAAGAAGAAGAGATAGATATTATAAATCAAGAAAGTTTTGATAACGATGTTAATAATAATGACACTGAAGATTCATCCGATGACGAAGATGATGAATGGGCAAAAAAAGGTAAACATCATAATAATGCTTTAAGACGTTATATGCAGAAAAAAGTATATAAATAAATTTCTTCATAAAAAGATATTATGACAGATACCAAGTATTTCCCGTCTGTAACGAATGAAGCTTTACAAACATATCAAAATATCCAAGAAAATATTTATATTGGGTCTGCAACAGGTCGATCTATGGCAGAAGAAAGTATGCCATGTGAATGTAAATACGATTCAGAATTAGCTAATCCCTCCGAAGCTTGTGGTGATGACAATACTTGTATTAATCGTATGATGTTTATGGAATGTATGGTTCAAGATTGTCCTTGTGGCCGTTTATGTCAAAATCGTCGTTTTCAGTTATGTCAATATGCTCCAGTTGATGTTATCAAAACTTTAAAAAAAGGATATGGACTTCGAGCTTTAACTAATTTGCCACAGTAAGTTTAGATTTTTCTTAGATTTTTATCTATCTATTTATTTATTTTTTTGCTCCCTTTAGAAACACATTTATTATGGAGTATATCGGCGAAGTTATCCCACAAACAGAGTTTATAAGACGCACTAGGGAGTATGACACAGAAGGTTATAAGCATTATTACTTTATGACATTAAAAAATGATGAGGTAAGGAAAAAAAAAAAAAAAAAAAAAAAAAAAAAAAAAAAAAAAAAAGGGAATAAAAAATATTTTTGTTAACAAAAAAAAAAAAGATTATTGATGCTACGAAAAGAGGATGCTTGGCAAGATTTATAAATCATTCTTGTAATCCTAATTGTATTACACAAAAATGGGTAATTGGTAAAAAGATGCGTATTGGTATTTTTACAAATCGACAAATTAGAGCTGGAGAAGAACTTACTTTTGATTACAAGTTTGAGCGTTATGGTGCAAATGCTCAAAAATGCTATTGTGGTGAATCTAATTGTAAAGGCTATATAGGAGCATCAGATGAAAAGCAATTAATAGATGATGAAGCTTTAAATAATAATGTTAATATCAATAATTACTCTTCCTCTTCTTCTGATGAAGACGATTATAGTGAAGATGATCAAGACGATGATATGGATATCAAACAACATATTTCACTCCAGCCTTTACAAGATGCAAATAAAGTACAATCCTTTGTTAAACGTATGCTAAATTCTGTCGGTAAATCCCGCTTAGTTAACAAATTATTAATGCGTTTACAATTGACAAATGTGGACAATTCGCATGGAAGAGAGATATTTAAAATAATCCTTAGATTGCATGGTTTAAAAATGTTAAAATTCTGGTTAGGCGAATGGAAAAATGATGAGATGATAGTATTAAGGGTAAAAAAAAAAAAAGATTAGATCTAAAATTTGGAAATGAGTATGATTAATTATTTACGGTCGGTTTTAGGTACTGCAAGTGTTAGAAAAGCTTCCTCTTGCTAATAGGAATGGACTTGAAGATTGTAAATTATTTGATGTCGTAGAGAAATTTATAGACCATGAAAATGAAGAAATCAGTAGACTTTCTCGAGATTTATTAGACAGTTGGAATCAATTAAAGAGTGTTTATCGGATACCCAAAAGAGTGCATGTACCTATGATAGATACTGATTTAACTGAACTGGATACTCATATTATATATGAAAATAAAAGAGAAGAGGATATTGATACTACTGAAAATATAGCAAACAAATCAAATAATATAACTTTGTATAAAGGAAGGAAAAGAAAAAGGTCAATATACGAATCTAGTCGAGAATTTTTTGATCCTGATCACGATTATTTTGAATATTTTTCAATGAATGAAACGCAAGAAGAAATACTATGGAAAGTTCACTACCTTTCATCCTTATCACATATTCCTACTGCGCCTCGAGCCATGTTAGATTCATCATTAGATAATACTGTATACCATCCTTATCATTATAAACATCAAAAACACTATTACAAAAAATATTCTCAGGGAAACTTTTCACAATCAAACAATACACCTGCTATAAATAAAATTGATAACAATACCCTGCAACAGTCTTATACAGACTATTATTATTATTATTATTCTATGTACGATTATTATACACCAGAAGAATATTATTACTTATTTCAACAGCAATCCTCATCTAATTGGCAAACAGCCATTGCTCAAGATGGTACAACCTATTATTATAATGTATTAACAAATCAAACTCAATGGGAAATACCTGAAGAATTGCAGCTTGCAACCATACCCACAGCTCCTCCTCCTCCTCCTCCTCCGCCATCACCACCACCACCACCGCCACTGTCACTGCCACTGCCACTGCCACTGCCACCACCGCCACTGCCACCATCATCATCATCATCGTTTCCATCATTATCACCACCGCCTGCCCCTACTCCATCCTCATCTTCAAGTATTCAAAAAATTGGAACCTCTATTGAAGGTGTTGTTGTGGATCCTGGTCAATTAGAAGGTTTAGTAGAGCAGGCTATATTAGAAACAGATGAAAAACGAAGGCTTCGTCAAATGAGTATAGAAGAGGATAGCCCTATGAGTAGCAGTAAAGGTAGTCATCTATTAACTCCTACAAGTGGCTCAGTAGAGGCTAGTAGTATTCTTGATGACACTCTTTACTTAAATGATATTGATTTAAAGAAAGAGGTGGGTAAAGTTGTGACAAAATATCTAAGTTCAAGGCAACAAAAACTATGGAACGGAGATAAACATTTATTTAAAGATCTTGCTCGAAAGGTAAAATAATTCGTTATTTATTAAATTCAACTTTTTTTTTTCTTCCCAGTTAACGTATTATATTATTAGATTACACATCATATTGTAGATAAAGAATTACAATCAGGTAGAAAAATCAAGTCAATAGATAGTTCATTGCGTGTAAAAATTGAAAAATTTATTGATGCTTATGGAACTGATTATGTAACAAAATTTAAACAAAGAAACACTAGTCTCTCTTCAAATAGTTCCCCTTCTTCAACATTTAGATGATTTTTTTTTCTTATTATTATTATGTGCTATTATTTATTTTCTTTTCTTTAAAGAAGAAGAAGAAAAAAAAAAGGCTGTATATATGTATTTGATTTGTATAAAAAACAAAATAAAATAAAATAAAATAAAATAAATAAATAATTACGTGACTGTACTTTAAACTTTACAAATATATTCAAATGCATTACGATTATTACATTTTATTATAACAAGGAACAGGAGAGATGGAAGAAAGTAATCAGGACAATAATAATAAAAAAGACAATACGTCCGTTGACGAAGACGAGGATGAAAATGTGGTAACAAGCTCCAAGAGCCGCGCTTTATTTTCCTTTTATAGATAAAAAAATAATAATAAAAATAAAAAATATACTAGAATCCCCTTTTTCCCTTTATACCTTCAAAAGTCGGAAGAAAACTCAATTGGTTTTGATATAAGGGAGGGGAACATGAATGAAATAAATATAGAATTAAAAGTAAAACATAAAAAGATAGTTGGAATCAATTTTTCCAAGTTTCTTGTAGCCAAGAAAGCCATGTGGGTCGGGTTGTTACCACATTTTCATCCTCGTCTTCGTCAACGGACGTATTGTTGGTCGTTCCTTCAACAATCCTTGTTGACTGCGACTCGGACTCCAATGTGGTATTTTTTCCTTTGATAGAAACAATTGAGTTTGCTATTCTGGTGCTGTCGTTAAGTTGCGTGCTTGGCTTGAGGTAATATCGTTCAAATGTATTGGAATTATGACTCCAATTAGCATGTTGTTTGACCTCCGAAATCGTTATTCCATTTTCAACTGCTTTGGTGCTTGAAGCTGACCTGATAGAGTGTGGTTTGTAAGAACTAGTGTCAATACCCGCTTTTTCCATTGCTTTTGAAACCCATGTAGCTACAGTAGAAGGACTAGCGGATTTCACCTTGTCTGGTTCGAGAATGAATGCCAAAAACAAACTATGGTCTATAGGAAGGTTATTGCGAAGATGGCTCGACCTTTGTAAAAAGTCGAAAAGTGTGGAAACAAGGCACATGTCATTGTCATCTGCCAATCCTAGTATAACAGATTTCACTTGAGTCTCTTTCGCTTCTCTGAAATGTATAAGAACTGACACTGGTTCTTCGTTTCTAAGCTCCATTTGTACATCTCTAAACTGCACTCTGCCAACATCTGATCTTGGTCTTGCCATAGTCGTCAAGCATAACAATAAAATTGTTTTTTGTTGTAATTCATATAAGTTGATAGATTGATTTTTTGGCCATTCTTTTGCGATATAGTCCACCAGTATATTTGTGTCCCATATTTGGAGATTTTGCTTGGTAGGAATGTTGACTTCTGATCTTCGTTTTGCTTTAAAGAATTCAACTATGGGTTCTTTTGCAGCTAACGGACCCTTTTCTGGATGCAACACTTTAAAGACAGATGCTAAAGCTGATCTCAAACTATTTAGGTATTGGTATGAAAAGTGTCGATTTTCTAACAAAAAACGTAATACATTGGCTTCGTCGTATGTGGTAGGCTGTATTGGTACTGGTTGTGCTGCGCACCATTGTGACCATTTTTTCCACCCAGTATTATAGTTCTTTTGTGTTTTACGTCTCTGGGCATGTGTCAAAAATTCCACTGTGTCCTCTTCCAAGTGACCAGCGGTTTTCCTCTTGTTGCAGATAAGTGCCATGCGGTCATCTTCCATCTTCTTATCTTGAACATCAGAGGTTTGTTGATGTGTTTCATTTGCAATAAGGACGGGAACCAGAACTGGGTTGGCCAATACGGTGTGATTAATACTGCCTTCTGGATTCGTTGCTGTTTTATTATCTGCATCACTTGCGGTATGAACTTCCATGGAGGAAATAGGTACATTCCCTGTTTTTTCCACGTTTGTTGAAAAGCATCTGTTGCTGCTGCCTCCGGATCTGGTCGCATGCTCCAAAATATTGGTAGTTTGGTGTTCATCCTGTCTGCAAATGCATCTACTGTTAAAGGACCCCATCTCTGGTTGATCATTCGAAATAGCCGTTTCGGTAATAGGGCCTCGTAGAGTAAGTTTTTTGTTGCGGTGTGATGCTGTCTGCTCAGCCAATCTGCTCGAATATTCTCCAGTCCTGGTATGTGTTCGTATTCGACTTTGAGATTGTAGTGGTTGCATAGATTTTGTATCTTCACTGCTAGGTCCTGTAGTGTTCGAGATGCTGTGCCTCCCGACTTGCTGCTGTATTTCAAAGCAGTCATGTTGTCTGTAAATATTTTGATGTGTTGATTCTTGAAGTCTTTGGCATGTAGTTTTAGAGCAAAATATATCGCTGTCAGCTCCCTTGCATTGATTGACATGGTGTTCTCTTCGTTCGTCCATGCTCCAGTGGTTTGCATCGTGCCAGAGCTCACACCCCATCCTAGGTCTGACGCATCTACATATATTGTTGCCGCCTTCGGTTGATTGGGTGCTAATTTCTTTATTGGCAGGCCGTTCTTCTTCACCATCCAACTTGTCCACCATTGCAGTTCTTTCTTGCTGTCCTCCGATAGTGTCATTGGTGCATTCCAATTCTGTAGATGTCTGTTGAGTGTTAGGGAGAGATCCCTCTGCATGTATCTGATGTGTAACAGGGCTTCTCCGATGGCTGGAATCATGGAAGTCATCTTCCCCATCATACTGGCATACCATCGACAATTGTATTGGTGAGGTGTGGCTTTTATAGCTTGTTTGGTTCGAACCATGAGTTTTGAGATCTTCTTCCCTGGGACTGCTATCTGCATGGTCTTCGTATTGAATTTGAAGCCTAGGAATTCCTGTTGTTGAAAGGGGATTAGGACACTCTTCTGGAAATTTATTAGGAAACCCAATGATTCCATATGTGACAGTACTATTTGTGTGTGGTTCGTTGCCTCTTCCTTCGTCGCACCCAGAATACATATGTCGTCTAAATAATATACTAGGCGTATTCCCTGTATTCGTAATGGTTCTATTGCAAATCGCATCATTTTGCTGAATACTCTGGGACTGACACTCATCCCAAATGCTAGAGTTTTGTACTGATAAACAACTCCTTTGTTCTGGAAAGTCAAGTATTTCTTTGAGTTTGGGTGAATTGGGGTGACCACATAAGCATCCTTTAGGTCCAATTTGCAAATAAAATCGTTTTTCTCGATGATTTCCCTCAATGCAGGTACCCCTTCCATCTTGAAGTGATGACACTGGATATAGTTGTTGATCATTTGGCAATCCAAAATCGGTCGACGTTTTGTCGCTTCCTGTATTGTGAAGAAATTGGATAAATAATCTGTGTTCTGTGTTGGTGATACCTCTATTATCCCCGCTTTGATAAATTTGTTGACTGCCTCGTCCACTGCCAATTGTTCTATCTGGTCTAGCTTTATACGACGTAATCTCCAAGGTGTTGGTTTTTTTAGCAAAGGTATCTGATAACCCTCTCGTATCACTGACAATGGCCATGGGTGTTTTGTAATCGACTGCCAATTCTTGAGAAAATGTTGTAGTCGACCCCCTGGCGCTATGCCGTCTGCTGGGATGCTGTAATTCGTCATTGATTTTATTGGGGGTTGGATGTGTGATTGGATTGGTGGGGTGATTGTTGTTGGGCTGAGTTGTTGTTGTGCGGGGTTCCCCACCGTTGTGAGGTACCCTGTCCAAAAAAAGCACCTCGTGCTCTGTTACTACCTCTTCCATATCCGAAGCTTCTATTTCCTCGTTGATATCCTCTACTTGAGAATCCATTTCCTCGTCCTCCTCCACGATTACTACTGGCTTGTTGAACGAGTTTTCGTTCAAAGTTGGCTTGGTGGTATTTGTTAAGAAATTCGTCACTGTAGGCGTTCTTAGATTTACTATCCTCTTCTGTTGTTTCCAGGTGGCGGATACTAAATGGGATGTTAAGTGCTTTGTCTGAATATTCTTTTGCTTCTCTTTCTTGAGCTTTTGCTGTGGCCAACCCAAAGACTGCCAGTCGTCGACTTTGCTCCCTGCATCTGCTGATGATGTCTTTTGCTTCGTCATGGTCTGCTTCTTCCAAGACGTATTGAAGTTGTTCAAAGATTTCCATAGCAACCTTTGCTTGGAATCTGGTGTTTTCTGTGATTTTATAAATGGAGTTGACAACCAAAGCTGTTTCTGTTGAGTGTTTTTTGAGATAAGGGGCAATTGATTTGTTGATCTTCTCGGGTGTTGTCCATTCTCCCAAAGCGTATCGTTGGGTTTCTCTTCTAAACTTTTTGAAATTTTCAGTAAGTTGATGCGTGGGAGTGTTTTCCAATTCCTCGGAGACCTGTCTTGGGATTTCGACTCCATTGATTCTTTCTTCTTTCTCAATGTCCATTTTTTTGACGACATCTCGGACAATTGCTTCCATTTCGCTTTGGGTGTATGTTCGTTCATTGCTAATAGTTGAATTGATATCACTCATAATTTTTCCACGAATGCGCGGCTTTTGAAGGTATAAAGGGAAAAAGGGGATTCTAGTATATTTTTTATTTTTATTATTATTTTTTTATCTATAAAAGGAAAATAAAGCGCGGCTCTTGGAGCTTGTTACCACATTGGAGTCCGAGTCGCAGTCAACAAGGATTGTTGAAGGAACGACCAACAATTCAATTTTGAAACGACCCAATTTTTCTCATTGCCCAACCTAGTTTCTTCGACTGTAAACCACCCACTAAGCGAATATGTATTCATAATTATTACTCTCGTCCAAGTATTATTTTTCTTGTAAGCAATATATAAATATAACATGTACTTGCTACAAGAATATATTCAAGTATATACAGCTTATTTTATACCTTCAAAAGAATAAAAAAAAACCCTCATTCATTATTTAGTGAGAATCAAAAAATTATATCCATGATTTTTAATAGATATTTTTATATAATCAACTATAACTATCTTATTTATATAGTTAATACTGAGCATGTACATACATACATACATGCATATATATTGAATTTTTATCTACGTGTTTAAAGCATAGATTTCTGTTTCATTATTTTAAATTTTATATCAATTATAGCATACCAGTCAAACTAACATGTATTTTTTTTTTTTTTTTTTTTTTTTTTTTTTTTTTTTGTTTATACTATAAATAAAATTATCTCAATTGAAAGCCGAGAGTGAGCATGGTTACAATTGATATTTCTTTTTTTAACTTATATTACATTTGTGTAATAGAAAATATATTTGTGCTGTTAGTATAACAAAAAAAAATATTTACGCGTTTTAGTGTATATATTACGCCCTAACAACTTAGTATGCATCACCTATACATGAAGTAAAAACATACTTTGATAACAGGATATAAATGAATGCATTCATACTTCACTTGTATACAAAAGCATTCTATATTTTATAAATATATGTAGATGTATATGCATATACATATATATACATATATATATTTATGTGTGTGTGTGTGTGTGTATTTTACATAGATACTGTATTATTTAGTGCTTCATATATCTTTTCCCCTAAACGTAGCACATAAAAAGTTGTTGGAGCAATCTTTTTATCTCGGGTGTCGGACGGATTCCGTGAATTCCTTGAATACTATTTGCTTATTCATATAAGTAAAAAAACAACAAAGTATTATAATGTATATTACTCATATATTATATTTGAGGAAACGTTTCCTAATGAAAATTAATAAAAAAAAAAATAAAAAGTAAAAAATAAACATTATACACATACATGTATACGTATTATATATATCTTTATAAATACATAATTATAATATATATGCTTGCGGTGGGTTATATAAATAAAAACCGGGGAATCATACAAGTCTATCAATGAATAATATTACAGAATATTGCATCTTAAACGTCTTTTTCTTATTAATTTTTTTGGCTTAACTGCAATTGTAGCAGCTAATTTCATCACGTCTCTAACTTTAGTATTTGTTTTCGCACTACATTCTCCATATTTTGCTCCGATTTCTTTAGCTAAATTCATGCCCTATATAAATATACGAATAAATATGAAATACTATTAACATAGGTATCATATTTACTTGCTGATGACTGATAATATTTTTTGCAGCACATGATGCTTCCGAGCGTAAGTCAGTTTTAAGCCCAACTAGAAGCAATGACACGTTATTTCCACAATGGTGCTTCACTTCAGGTAACCACTAATTGTGTTAAGTATACAGAGGATAAGAAAATAAAATAAAATGAAATAAAATGAAATAAAATAAAGCGCCTTTTATATGCTAAAATATAGATATTACCTTATCCCGAACATTCTGAAAGGAAATTATATTATCAATAGCAAAACAAATAATTACAACATCTGTTTCGAAATAAGATAGAGGACGTAGTCTATCATAATCCTCTTGTCCAGCCGTATCCCATAAAGCAAGCTCAACTGTTCTATAATCTAAATTTACTCGAGCAATATAATTTTCAAATACTGTAGGCAAATATTTCTAAAATTAAACTTTGGTTAGTTTACTTACTTGTAAAAAAAAAAATAATATATAAATATATCCACATTTATATTACCTCTGGAAATCTACCATTTTGATAGACAATTAATAAGCTAGTTTTGCCACAAGCACCATCTCCAACTATAACTACTTTTTTACGCGTTGCATTGCGGACCATATTAGTATGTATATATTTCTAAAAAAGTATATATAACTTTCTATTTTTTTTAAAAAAGAAAAAAAAAAGGGAAAGAAAAGGGAAAAATTAAGAGGAGGAGGATCCATCGCAGTCCTTGTTAGATAATATATGTGTAATAAACTAACACCACTGTACTAAATACTACAAAATCATTTTCGTAAAAGGTACCGAGCTTATTTAATTGGATATCTGAACCTTAAATTATTCGTTATTCCTGTTATTGATTTTTTTTTCCAATGAATTTGTGTTAGTTTTTATTTTTTATTTTTATTTTTTAAAAAAAAAAAAAAAAAAAAAAAAAAAAAAAAAAAAAAAAAAAAAAAAAAAAAACTTTGCGTACTATATTTTTTATTTTTTGAACCCAATTGAGCTGTTTTGATCGACACTCAAAGCTGGTATTAAGAGTGATTGCTTTACTGCAACTGACAATCTTAGTAATAGAATTATTGAATCAGCTCAAAATATTCAGTTGAGGATTGTCAAAGATGAATAAGATATTGTACTTTGTTTTTTTGATCGTTGATTTGGCTTTTGAGCCTATGTTTTAGTTTGTACGCAAATAAAAAAGTTTATCACGCAAAGTCAAAAAAAAAAAAAAAAAAACTGACACAAATTCATTGAATATAGCAAATGACATAATATGTTATTGTAGTAAAATATGTATTCAGATTATTGCCCTTATAATAATTACTGTCTTTTGTTTTTAAAGATGGAACGAGCTGAACTGGTAAAAGAAAAAAGATATTTATGACAATGACATCGTTGTTAGTAACCATGATCACATGTACTATTAAGTTAGTAACTATCTATCTACACCTTTTTAGGCTAATACATCAAATGATGGACTTTTGAAAATTACAATAAAGTTTTCCCCTTCAAAACTTGCTGACATATAATCTTTATCTGTTAAAGTCTACAGTCATTGATAAAAAAAAGTTTACAATGTTTGACAAGCGTAAACTGTTTTATTTATTGTTATTTTCAGTGTAAAACAGTTTTAGAATGAGAACTTCCATGATGAAACAATGCTGGATCATTGTACCTTATTAATATAATTCATCCAATTGAGGCTGAAGCAGGTAACATTAACTGATTTCCTCTTTCCCCCTTACCCTCCCCCCTTATCCCATATTATGTGCCATTAGATCAACTTGTATCAGATGGATAACCTTATTTAAAGTTGTACACCCATAATAAACGAAGATCCCTAAGAAAGAATAAATAAACACTCATGGTATAATTTACTTTATTAGCCTATTGTTTTCATATTACTATCATTTTTAGCAAAACACTATCCTTTTATTACTTATAGTAAATCTAGTTAAGAATGAATATTTTTGCATATTATAAAATCAATTGCAATGTTTTGCCATAGAGATTGTTGGAAACACTATGCTAATTTAGAATTAAAAGTCAAGCCTTTTTTTTTTTCATAACACCAATAATATCTTTCACTATTAATCTCTTCAAGTCTTGTGGCTTATGTTACAAAAAGAAAAAAAAAAGTCTCATCATTTCACAAAAATTAAACCCAACTGGTCCATCCTTCATACATCATACAAAGATTATCAACAGAAGTAGCTTGTTCAATTGTTCTTGCAACTTGTTCAGATACGCTCATTTTATGCTGAGTACCAAAATCAACGCCTTCTAGTTTTGATCGAATCCGCTTCATAATTTTTGTTACATGATTATTTGAATTTAATTTATTTGAAGCTAAATGGATATGTTAATTTAACGACTTATTATATACGACTGTGATAAAATATATATACTTACTTAACCCCTGAGATATGTTTTGATTTACATTATCTTCATTATAGTCTTCTTCAGCACGTTTACTATTGCTGCTTTCTTCTGCAATAACAGAAAGATTGGATACGTTTTTATTACTGTCAGGGCCAAACTCTTCCAAAGTTTTCAATTCAGAAAAGTAATCCTGAACTGATTTAGTAATAGTTTCAATGAAATCTATCTATAGTTTGAAGAGAAAAAATAATAATAATGTAATAATTAGAAATCAAACTTGATTATCTCTTTTCACTCTCCATATACAACTTACTAACTGAACATAGCTCCATTCTGACTCATAATTTGTGTTTTTATCTAATTGTTTATCCAACTTCTTTAATTCTGTTTCAATTGTAGCAAGCGCATCAAGGGCCGTCTATATTTACATAAGTTTTTTTTTCCTTATACATAAATAATAATAATAATAATAAATATACCTTTGCACTCTTTTGAGCAGGACGTAATTCATTATCAATATCAGTTTCAATAATAATAATTGATTCCAAGAGAGGCAAAATACTCTCGATAGATGAACGTGAGTTAGTAACAAGTAAGCTAACATTTGAAAGATGACCTTTAACTTCTCGTAAAAGATATACAGGTAATCGACCCTATTTTGTAAAGCAAAAAATAAATAAATAAATATAAAAGGCAAATGAATGAAATATATATATATATGTATATATATATATGTATATACCAAAAATGCAGAAGCTTCAACTTCATCAGAAACTATGGAGGGTTCATGTTCTAAACCTTGTTCATCTTCATCACTTCCTTCTTTTGCATTCAAGGATTCAGATTCTAATAGCATTGATTCTTGCCATTGCTGTAAATCATGTTTCAAACTAGAAAGACTATCTAAAATTATCTTTCGTTCTTTTTCCTGTTCATTTTGTTTTTCAAAGATCCTTGAGGCTACTAAGCTCACATTAGCTTGTAACTCCATCATTTGTCTATGGCCCGCTTCTACCGCTTCGCTTTCCCAATCTACTAGAGGATCATATACAAAGGCATCCAAGAGAGTAATGAGCACCTCCTTATGCTTTCTTAACACACGTAGAGTTTCTTCAGCAGCTGTCTTAAATTGGCCATCAACACCAGTAATGCCAAGTGCTCCGTAAATATTTTGAGTCAAACGATATGGAACTAACTCAGGTACACGAAGTCGACGTCCCTTTTCGAAACAGACATTGTAATCAATATGAATAACTTCACCTGAACGGAAATCAATCATGATATTGTCCAAGTGTCGATCACCAAGACCAATAATATAGCCAATCATTGAGTTTACAGCTAAAGATCGAGCAAATAATGTACTTTTTCTTAACCATTCTGTAGCACTAGAACTTGAATAATATATCTTCTTTTCAAGCAAGTCACCTGGTGTTTCTTTAACAAGTTCAAGGTACACTTTTTTTAAAACATCCTTTGGCCAATAACGACGATTGGCTGTCATACGAAGACCAGATGCCTTTAAGACAGATGCGATCTTAGCCATAAATTGCTCCGTAGGTCGCTGATTTAATGCTTGTAAATATGCCTCATTCGGCTTATCATTGTTTAAAAGCATATGTGCAACAGATTCTCTCTTTTGCCATTTTTTATAAAGAGAAAAGAATGGGGTTGCCTCATTGACCCATTGAATCATACCAGAGTGATCACTGAGTGGAATAACTGCATATGTTCTTGCACGCATCCCACGTAACGCAGTGGCTTTATTTTCATTTAGCAATCCATTTGTAGTCGTGAGTAACTGCATAATACGTTCATCTAGATGAAGATCTTCAAGTCCTTTAAAGAGGTATGAATACTTCTTGCCATTAGTACCCTTAAAATCAAGCTTCTTTGGTTTAGTTTTCGTAGGTAGAACAATAACACTAGTGCCAAATGAATCAATAAAGCATGTGTTATCATTTTCGTGCTTTCCTGGGATACCAATAGGTGTATCCTTCATATTATAAAGGTAAGGTGATACTTGACTAAGATCCAAATACGAACTTTATGTACTTCTGCCATAAGTTGACGATGGAGCTAATATATACATATATAGTTATCAAATTAGGATTCATAGTTAGTAAACATAATTAACTTGTAATTATTATAAATAACAATTGCATTTACTTGTTGGAAGCATTCCCATCCACCGACGATATTCTTTCATTGAAGTTGGCTTTTGAAGCAAATTATAAGCATTCATTAATTTTTTTCCATATGTTTGCTGAACCATTGTTCATGAGGTGTTAAAGAAACAGATTTATGAATAGTTTCCACAAGTAATTATCAATAGAAGTAACAACAAATTTCATCAACTATCATATATTTCTAAAAACTTGTTTCTTCTTTGAGAATCATCTAATTCATCTAGCATACAGTCTATCTTTTCAATCTCTTGATCCAACTTTGCAAACTGTGCATAGCAACATATTGTAACGAAGCAATTTTGTTTAACCATTTTTCTTCTAAAAGTACTGTAATTTTTTCAAGCTCTCAGCCATACGACGTGTAGAGACCCAAAGTAATTCATTTCTATCCATCATACGGTTTGCAATAGCATCCAAGCTTTGTTTTGTGTCGCGATTTGTTTTAGATGAAGTAGAATTAACAATGACATCATAAATAATTTCTCGGGGATATTCATCACATATGCGACTAATTAATTTACCAACTACTTGTCTAACAAAGTCATTTGGATGATGAGTTGTGCAAATAACTGAGGGATTACAGGTTTCCAAAGATCAATTCGAACAGCATTAATATGTTCAGAATAAACTGTTTGCAATGCCTCACCATATTTAGTAAGAATACGTAAAAGACGAAGTGTAGCAGTAATTACCATAGATGTAGAACTAATATTTAAATCATTTCTCTCTATAATATAGTTATCCTTATCTCTTAGTCTTTTTTTTTCTTTTATATTCTTTTATATAATTATATATATATATTTGTAGCCCCATTGAA